TTTTAAAAAAAATCTTGTCTCTTTTTGAGTTTGTACACCAAAATGTGTTTTTTTTCAAGAACTCAAAGGAAGTAGAGGAAGGGTAACAAGGCGAAACATATACATGAACAATAAACTCTCCATCTTGAAGCTTTTGGACGCCTCCCACCCTGATAAAATCAGACACATTATCCTAAAGGGAAAGGTGAATCAATTAAAGCTTTCTAATGCGTTATTGAATCCCAATAAAGAAAACGTGCAGAGGGTAACATACAACTTACTTCATTATCAGCAAGACCATAAAGAGCAACAGCTAAGCTGCAAACTTGATTTGATTATTTTTTGGTGGATGTAAAATCCTTCCTTTGCAGTTTGCACTATGTGTGCCTGATAGTTATCGCTTTAGTCTTTAGAAATGGGAAAAAAGAGAAAGGCCAAGTGGCATTGGGAATGTATATATTCTACAGATCAAAAGAAGCAAACAACTTATCACTCGGAAAAAGGACAGAATGTCATATGAATTTGTATAAAGAAGCAAAATTCTGCATAAAAGAAAACTAACAGATGGAGCTGGTAGGTATCAGACTAACTCATCTGAAGGAAGCCTTGAGTAAAGTCCGGATGTTGAATCCTCTCTTGTGAGCCTCTTGGTTACAGTATAACTCATGACTTGCGGATTTTAGTACCACCCACAGTAACCAGACTCCAGATATATGTATCAATGCTCAGGTGTATAAATTTGAAGAATACAAGGAGATCAAAATTGGTTTATATGGATAGAGAGAGGCAATTCATACCCAGTCTCCATCAGGGTAAGCACCAGGCACCATTATCTCACTCGATATGGCTGCCTAGTTGTTATAGCTGTCTCTAATGAGTCTTTGCTTAGATATATGTGACAACCAGTGGTGTTGTCCACAGAAACTGTGGGAGCTGAGGCATTGGTGAAGTAAAAACAAAGCAGAGTCAGAAAAGTCAAACACACAGAGAGTCAGAAAAGAAAAAAAAAAATAGGTCAAAACACAGAGTCAGAGAAGAAAAAAAAAACAAAACGACAACTCATAACAAGCAAAACGCAAACGATATAAAGTGATGTTAATAATATAGAGCTAGCAACATGTCTACTATTTGTTCAAAATCAGCACCAAAACGACAATAACGTAAAACGCAGTCTACTCGCTCACTTTTAAATTTTAGCCAAAAATGAGCAAAATTGATGGACTATATAACCCACGAATTAGGCCTAACGCGCGCAACGCGCACCAAGTGCGAGTGGTTATGAAATATGTCTTTTCATGCGCGTGGCATCAAATCCAATGAAGGAAGAAACAAATAGCATCAAATCGATTTCAACGTTTATATAAAAGCCTGAGCTTTCATTCAAACTTGAAGTAAAGAGATCCGAACCCATGGTGAAACTCGGGAGTTTCTGGGTTATCATCCTCTTCTCAATCCAATTCAAGGGTTCGTTTGGATCCGAATCAACTAAGAAAGCTTACGTCACACTTTTGTGCGGAGATGAGTTCTTACTGGGAGTTAGAGTATTGGGCAAATCGATTCGAGACACCGGATCATCTTACAAGGATATGGTCGTTTTGGTCTCTGATGGTATTTCCGACTACTCTAAGTTGCTGCTTAAGGTATGCTACTCTAAAATGGGGATCTCATTTCTACAACCTTAATATTCCTGGAAAGGTCTAACAAAAAGAAAAAGGCTTTCATTTCCGCTGTAGATTATAAAGTGATCCTGATTTCTGAGTCCTTACTTATCATTCCTTATCATTTGAGCTGAATCTATTTCATTGCGATGCTTGCTTGTGTTGTATTAAAGGATAGATTTTGATTATGCAGGCCGATGGATGGAGAGTAGAAAATATTACTTTGCTAGCAAATCCAAACCAAGTTCATCCCAAGAGATTCTGGGGTGTCTATACAAAGCTTAAAATTTTTAACATGACTGATTACAAGAAAGGTAAGTGTTAATTAGTGTTTCTTTTTCTTCAATGGTGAATTGAGGATTAGTTTTAATTAGTTCAAAATATCTTCTTCATCTTAAGATTCTCACTATTAATTCACTATTAATGCAGTGGATGGTCGATGACGATGCCGACACGGGTTCCGGCCAAAGCTTTGATGATGGCGGGATCAAAGCTTCGATGATGACAGACTCTTGTAACCTGAAAGTATAATCCCTTGAGCATGTAGCAACATCACTTTTTTGCTACGTAATGCGGTTTGTTTGTTTCAATAATGTTCAAGTCTAGTTAATATATATATATATATATATATATATATATTGGTGTCCTTCCGCCCACACTAACTTACAACTCAAGCATATATTCTGAGCTTCTCAAGACAACTTTCTCTGAGTTGAAAGAGTTGGGTCATAGCTGAAGGTATAGATCCTTATATATAGCATTGTTGTTACTCTGTGTCTATTGGAGTCCTAAACGTCTATTGGTTGTGTGCAGATATGGGCTAGACAAAGGAGCTCGATATACGTCTAGACAAAGTAACACATGGATTTCATAGGTATGCTTATACAGCTTCAGTCTTTTTGCTACGTTCAGTGTTTAATACTGTTGGAAAACCCATACGTCTTATCATGTATGATCGTCAAGGTTCTCTTGCCGTCTTCTCTGCATACTATGATTTACTGATTATTAATTAACGTTTAAAACTTTCAGGAGAAATTGCGTTTTTGTTCCTGGCTGTTATTTGTAAGCACTTGTGAAATTGGCTTTCCGGATGACCAGTGTTGGATTCCACGAGGTTACCTTCAGCTGGAAAAATTCTTAACTCAATAATATAGCTCTCTTTTATCCTAAACCCCTCTTTCTCTTTCTCTCCTCTTTCTCTTTCTCTCTTGCAGCCAGTTGCAGGATGCTAACTACCGTCTCACCCACCGTCTCCGCCGTCATGTTCTCTCTCATCTCACAGCCCTCTCCTCCCTCAGGTATTCACACCATCTCTCTTTGTTTGTTCCATTGCGTATTCGTATCTGTAATCTCCTTTCCCGATTTCTGATTTAGCGATTCTAATCCGCCTAGAATTTCAGGAACGTCTCCGAAATCTAATTTACCGTCAGATCCTTCCCGCTTATCCTAAGCTAGACGGCATACGTGATTAGCGTTTCCCGTGGCTGGAAGTACATGTGATAAGGACGACTTATAATTACTACGGAGGAGTTACGGAAAAGGCACGACTTCTAATTACTACGCATGTAACACATCTACTTCTTTACCAACATGTACATCCTACCCATTCTATTGTCTGTACGCTACACATATCTATACATGACACAATCATTAATATACGTAACTGTATACTATCACTTAAACTAACCACAATAGAAGAAGTATGACACCTTCCCAAGAGTGCATCTAGCTTTCTCTGTTGCCTAACAATCTTTATTCCTCATCATTACTCCCATCTTCACATTCATGCCTATACACTCCAAAATCATATCAATTTTCCATTAGAATCCCTTTCTGAATTTCAGAAACTTCTGTACAAATCTATCATGCAAGTTTCACTTTAATCCATAAATCATATCCCTCTATGCCGAATTAAAGTAAATAAATATTATAGTCTTCATTTTTCTTTGTAGGAACATATATAACACTCATTTTTCAAGATAACAGAACAAGGAAAGGCTTTACTAGGCTGTTAAAAGAACTACTCGATCTGTTCTGTGATATATAAAGGCCCATGTTTTTACTGGGAATAAAAAAACAGGGCATGATTTGTCCACCACCATAAAAAAAAAAAATCCAATAAACAAGTCGATTCCTTCAATTCCGACTGTTATTTCAAAGCAAAAATTTAAGAGTAATTTACCAAACCAACGAGTCACGAGAGAAGTTAACCCAAGACAAAAGACAACAAAAAAACCTGAATATTAAAATCATTTTTTACTTTACTTTTCAGAGTTTTTTTTTGGGTCACGACTTTTCAGAGTTTAAAGCTCAATATATTTGATTTTTTAGTAGTCCATAAATAAGATTTAAAACCGAAAAAAAGAGATGAAATATAATTCTGAAAACACAATTATGAATTTTTTTTTAACATACATAATATATACTGTAAAAGTGTAAGAGAAAAGTAAAATGATCTCAAACCATTTTATAGAGTAAGAACAAAAAATATTTTATATTTTCCAGTCTCATAAAAATCATTGAGAAAGAAGAAAAAAAAATAACCCCCATTTTGAGTATTTTGTGATCAAATCTCTTTAAATTGTTTTAAACTCCACAAAATATATACTAAAACACCATAGTTTAGCAAAGAAACAAAAGTATTAGACCAAATGTGTTACCTTGTAGGGTGATGTGATGTCTCTTGTATGTTGCTCAGAGAATGAGAAAATCAGAGATAAGTTTGAGTGGTAGAATAAAACAGATGAACTGAATGAAAACAGAGTAATGAACATCTGAAAGGTAAAAATCAGTGTAATAAAATTTCTCTGTCCTTTTTTTTGTAATCGAAAGTTTTAAAGAGTAAAAACGGGGAAATAGGTAAAAATCAGGTGGATGAAACTTTCGTTGTCTGAATGAGTAAACACGGCCGGGATATATATAGAGATTATTACCTACATTTATTATTTATTATTTTTATTCATTATAATTACAACGGTCGAATAAGTTACCGTTGTAACGTTCAAATTTTGTTGCTTTTTCTTCAACCTAACGTTCTTCTGTCATTTTTACAGAGACGGAGATAAGAAATGTGGAACCCTACGTGTAGACACGTGAATAACACCGCTCAAGAGATTATAATGGTTTCTCGTAGTTATTATTATTTATTAAATCAACGTATTTTAGTGAAGCAAACTAAAGAAATAAAAACTCTACATATTTTAGTTAAAATATAAGAACATCCTCAATGCAGAGACTATTATAGGTCTTTTATTTATTATTTTAATAGTTTTTCAGCAAAAAGTGAAATTAAAAACTGGTTTTAGAGACTTTTGGTTTTGGGTTATACAATGGGAGAGACCCATATTGATTTCTTAAAAAAAAAAAAAATTCTTGGAAACAAACTTAATGAAAAGTATGTAGCTTCATTTCAGACTGTTTCATACAAGGACTATGTAGTTATGGACAAGAACAAATCTCAACCCCCTAAGAAATTTCAGTGCATAAAAAGTAAACAAGCAAAAAAGACCTCTTTTTCCTCTAGACGGCAGTTCAGTTCATGCAACTCTTTGTCCATACTATTTTGCAAGAGCTTGTGCTCCCACTCCTTTGCCTCTTCGTCTACTTCCCTTGAATCACCTGCATATAATTTCTTGAATAACAATGCCTTCTTCTAGTTTCATAACTCTTTTGAATCTTTCTTTTACCTATCGTGGCTTCAACCATGAGATAATTTGACGTCTCTATACTCGTCCACACTGCACTATCGCCTGTGAAAGAAGCACCATCACAGTAACGCAATTTAACTCTGTTCCAGTTGAAGAAATCTGCAAAATGTCCATAAAAAGAAAAAAAAAACGAAACTGAGGAAAAGATACTCCGAGTCACTGCAAGCAAATGTTTAGCTCATGATATATAATTCTGGATTAATCAGGATTCTCATCAGTCTTATCACTCAAAATTCCAGTGAATGCCAAAACTTTCTCCATATAATTTGATGAACCACGCCCAGTGGTTTTCCGGAAGATACAGCTCCTACGTGTGTTGCACCATCCTCCACCCTGCATCAAATTAAAGAAACATTTTTTTAAGAAGAAAAAACAGACGAAGAAGAAGAAGAGTGATAAAAGAAATTTTCTAAGAATCTTTCATAGTCAAAACTCATTAGCATTTTTGAGCGAATATACAAATAAAATAGCATTCATAAGAGTTAGATTATATATATAATATATGTATACCTCAAGTTGGATGAGCCAGCGGTTAGCCCCTTATCCAGAACCGCGGTGTAGATGATAACCAGGTAATGTTCCATCCAGGCAAACTGCAATCAAGTTTAGTGTTCAAAGAGCCACAGTATTCAATCAATCTAGAGAAGAAACTGAGTTTGCAAACTTCATCTTAGGAAACAGATTCAAAGAGCCACAGCATAAGCGTAACAAAAGAATGACATCAAAGTTTCAAGCTTCAGGGTAATTGCATTTAATCAAAAATGTGGAGAACAAGTCAAAGAATATTTCAAATTCTCTATGATCAAACAGCAGTAAAGAGAGCAGAGGAATCTCGGTTACGATTCAAATCAGCACTAGCTAGTAGCTAAGGATCTCGAAAATTTCCGAGAGAGAAAGAGATCGTACCAGCTCCTTTGGAGACAGCTCCCTGAATCAAGGTGAGAGGACCATGAGAAGCTGTGAAGAAGATGTCACCAGTTGATTTTCCAGTAGCGAGATCGCATCGTCGGTATCTCTCACTTTCCCGATTTCATCGCTAGATTTGCTCTGAACCACAAACATCGGTATCTCTCACCCCTGATGTCCCGATTTCGTCGGAGAAAAGAGAGCAGTGGAGAAATGAAAGGGAAAAAAATGAGATGACAGAAAAAAAAAACTTTTTCTCTAATTTTTAACCAATAAAATCTCGCCATGTGTGAGAAGAAACGTCTTCAAAAGTTCCCAAATAGGAGACATCTTTGTCAAATAAGAAACGATAGCTCTTTTGTTTATTAATAAGTTTCTGTTAAATACCCTAAAATAACCGCATTAAAGATGCTCTAAGGGATCATCAAGTTTTGTGTTCAAATCCAGTTTTGATATGTTTTTTTCTTTCCCTACATACAAAATGAATTGATCTAAAATAAGTAGATGGAATAACCATCGATTCAACTTTTGCATTAAATATTTGCTGACATTGTTTTTTCTTCTCTCGATTAGAAAAGGAAAATATTCGTCGAGGAATTTCAGCAAAAACTAATTATTTATTGCACTGAATTTCTCAGATTATTCATATAAAATACAGGTAGAAATTATAGGAAAATTGAAAGTAAAGAAAATATAAAATTAGGGATTATTTGTACAATAGATTAAAAGCAGGCAAGTCTCTGATGCTGGAAACATCCTCCAGCGCAAGCTCACGTTCCAATTGTGCCCTCGTTGATTTCAGAACGTCCTGCACCACAATTGAAAACCGGTTAACACAGAACCGAGAAGGAAAAATCATAACAAAACCGTAACAAGCTTGGTTCAAAGACATTTACATTGAATTCCATGTAAGAAGCTCGTTTGGCAAGCCATTGTGCATCCATCATTTGGAAAGCTATACAGTATAGATTATCAAACGCCATTTCGTCTTCTTCCAGAAACGCCAAGAACCTTATCCCGGCCATTGTTGATGGTTTACCTGTAGAGAGATACAAACACATTTCAACGGTTTCACAATCGAAAGGAAGAGTTATCAAGCTTGAGCATTTTTACCTGATTGAAGATCTAACATTTGTGCCAGCATGAATGAGATATTAATGCCAGCAACCGCGAAAGGATATTCCCATTCGGCTCTTGTTCCATCTTTTTTATGTAACAATCTGTGGAATGATTCCTGTCATAAAATGCAATTACAAATCTCGTTGGCGATTCAGAGATAACCTCTTTAATATATAATTGTGTAAAGTCAGCAACTTTGGCACTGATTCTCTTAAAATAATTCCTTTTCTAGGGTGAAGATAAGAAAATCAAAGATGTAGATGTGAACTAGAGATGTATTACAAACCGGATAGGTCTTTGCAAAGAAGATTAGATTTTCCAGTGATATATATCCTCCACCTCTACAAATCAATTTATGAAACCAATCATCAGTAAAATGACTAGTGATATAGAAGATTCAAACGAGTAAATATGCTATAGTGTACCGGAAATCTGTTGAAGGGTCTGTTCCTTGCCAACCCATCTCCTTCCAGAGTTCGGATTTAAGAGGTGGTAGTTCCCTCTGTGGATAAGCTAACCTCCATAGTTGTCTAAGTGCATCCTGTAAATCATACGATTACATAAATGTAGACAAAACTTTGCGCATGCGGAAATTAATAGAGAATTAATCAAACAGAGTCAACATGAAAACACTTACTTGATGCTCCATTCGAGATCCATCAAATGGTATTTCTATTCTTCGCTTAATGTTTCTCAGCCTTTCTTCCTAGTAAGAGGTAACAAAATACAGAATGGATATCAAATTGGTAGACCGTGGAGAACTGGAAGCAACAATTAAAAATATGGTAAATATGTTTAAGAAATGAAGCACATTGACTTTGTTCCTAAAACCAAATAACGTAGCATAGAATGTGAGACTCAAAGAGATATGGTATAGGGTAATCAATTAACTCCTCTTAAGGATATCATATGTGTTCAGAAGATAAGATAGATGCTTTGAATATACCTGCAACATACTAAGAGGAGGAGGCAAAAGCCTTCCACCAGAACCTATTTGAGGCAGAGAAAGGAACCTCCCAAAAAGTGAACCAGATCCAAAGACAATTTTGGCTGCAAACCAAGAAACAAGTCGTAATCTGATAATCCCTCTTTTAAAAAATCAAGGGGTAACAGTAACAACAGAACCAAACCAAACCTATCCACTGAGCCCATTGTGCAATCAACTGAGAAAAGATTAATGTCCAGTGAACTTGCTGTTTCTTCCGTTCTTCTTCCCAAATATCCTCCAGAGTAGGCTCCTAAGAGACACACCACAGCTAATACATAAAAGAGTTCGTCTCATCTCTAATTGAAAAACACACACCGAAACACTAACCTCATTGTACCCGTCTTTACTACCACTACTACTTCCCAACAAAGGTTCGCTTAAAGTTTCAGAGTCTGTTGCATCATAGCGTTCATACTTTCTCCCATCTACGTCCCCATGATGAAGCCGCCTCCTTAGAGTCGTAGATGCCATCTTGTAAAGCAATAAATACAAGCGAATAAGACCCTGCATAATACCAAAAATCAGATCAAGCTAATCAAAAAAAAAAAAAAATGAAAATTTGAGACTATCTTCTAAGAAATGATTCTATCTTCTAAGAGATGATAATGCAGCAGAAAGAGTAAAAGTGTTTTAATTTGTTCAGTCTTTGACTTTTTGAACACTAGACCTTAATTATCCGCACGATATCACAGAAGAGATCAATTGGATAAAACGGAACCTTTAACAAAAAGAAAAAAAAAATACGAAAGACTAATTCAACAGGGAACTTTTCGATCTAGAAAACTACACACCGATGCATCTGCGCAAAGTCACCAACCATTGAATCGTTAAATTTCAGAACATCAAACAGAGCTCCGTCACAAACCCTAATTTTCAATCACAACGGAGATTCCGAAAAGACAAAGACAAACCAGGATCGCTTGAAACCCTCCCAATTATTAGATTGGACTTTTTAATCTCAAATCAGGAAGCTTCACAAGAAAGCATTCACAAAATCCAAAATTGTAGGTCATTAAGACACACTGAAAGACAAATAATTGGAAATGGGTTTGATCGATTCTCTTACAGGGAACGTGATCTCGAGTGAAATTAGAGCTTCCTTCGAGAGAAAGGTAGGAATAGCTCACCAAATCTGATACCCAAAGGAAACTGTCGCCGCCAACGGCAGAATTTCCAGAAATTCTTATTTATTTTTCTTTAATTTCTCTTTGCTCTCTAACTACGTTACCATAAAATTAATTAATTTTATTTCCATGGTTGGTCAACGACGTGTGTGCAGGTTTAAGTATCCGGTTAACATTTCTGGTTTAGACATTGGAATACCGAAATGGGCCAATACCAAAATTACGGCCCGGCTTGATTCGACCCGACCCGAATCCCTGCGGCCAGATTCATCCTTCCTTCTTTCAGCTTCTCCACTCGATCTAAATCAATCTTAAACCCTACCGTCTCTTCCTCTCGCTGCCGTCCGGTAGCTCTTTTTCCGACGAGAAATGACGATTCACGCCGCAGTAATCCAGAAGCTTCTGAACACCGGCGCACATCTCGGCCGTCGCGCCGCCGAGCACCATTTCAAGCAATACGCTTACGGGACGCGTAACGGGATGACCATTATCGACTCCGACAAAACCCTAATTTGCCTCCGTAGCGCCGCTCATTTCGTCGCTAACCTCGCGCACATGCGAGGCAACATCTTCTTCGTCAACACCAATCCTCTCTTCGACGAGATCGTCGAGCTCACTTCCCGTCGGATCCAAGGGGACTCTTACAATCACAACCGCGCGATGAATCTGTGGAAGATGGGAGGGTTTCTAACCAACAGTTACAGTCCTAAGAAGTTCCGATCAAGGCACAAGAAGCTTTGCTTTGGTCCGACTACGATGCCTGATTGCGTCGTCGTGTTTGATACTGAGAGGAAGAGCTCGGTGATACTCGAGGCCTCGAAGCTTCAGATTCCGGTTGTTGCGATTGTGGATCCGAATGTGCCATTGGAGTTCTTTGAGAAGATTACGTATCCTGTGCCAGCTCGTGATTCGGTCAAGTTCGTGTATTTGTTCTGCAATGTGATCACCAAGTGCTTTGTGGCGGAACAGATGAAGATGGGGATCAAAGATGAGAGCAATGAAGATATGATCAAGGATTTAGCCGCATGATTTCGATATATTCGCAACAAAAGTATGAAACTTTTTTATTGGGATTTATCTATAGTTTGCTCTCTTCAGTCTGGAATAATTGTTCTTCAGAATTTGTGGTTTTGAAATTATGGGGTGCTTTTACACATTTGGATGATTTTGTTTCTCTCTGAGATGGTTGGAAGATTGTTCATTTCTTTCTTGGAATTCGATAAGATTATTGTAAGAAACAAGTTATGATTGGATCTAAGATTGATCATTTTCGCTAAGATTATTGTAGTGACCCATCTACTGATCAGGTTAAGGGATGAGCTGGTGTGTACTGTCCTTTGTATAGTTTGTGGCAAGAACTCTGGAAGACAGTTGACATTTAAAGATGTTAGATTTGGTCCTCTCTTCTGGTCATGTGGGGTTGTCCTAGTTGTGCTTCATTTTGTCTTTGTCCTAAATCTATATATATAACTTCTCAATCAAAGTTTATTAACGCAAAGCACATGGCTTTAGAGAGGGAGTCGATCCTATTGATCTCAGCAAAAGTTCCCTCTATTCGTCCTCATAGAATAGAATACTACTGTCTGTCCAATTTATCCTTACGTTCGATGATCTCTAAAAGCTTTGGCTTGAAGCTGGATAGTTCTCAGAGACCACTATAGTTCGCAAATTTCAAAACCTTCAATCGCTTCGATAAGCTTCAGAGACATTGATCTCCTCATTTCAGATCACGATCGTCTCTGCAAGCTTAGTTCCCCCATCTGATTAAGCTTCCAAAAAAATTAATGTTCTGCGCACATCTCTTCCTCTGAAACTCACAAAAACGTCTTTTTTTATCCCAGTGATCTGATAACGAATAAGTGAGAAACAAAACAGCCATGGATTCTTAAACTAGTACAAAGGATATGAAAGATTTCAGGGCTCTTTCAACTATCTCTCATTTCTCATCCTAAAACCTTGAAGTTGAAAAGCTTCGGTGTCAAAAGATTCCAATCCCGACCCGACAGGTTGACACGTAAGAGTCAAAGGTCAAACCTTCATGTCCCAAAAATACTTTCCTAAATTCCCCAAATTTACAGACAGAGTCAGAGCACAGAGACACTTGTTTACGACGAAGGAGAAAGAGAGAAAACCGAAGATTGGCGAGAAATGTCTTTCGTTGCAGCTAGGTTTTTCAGGCTGTTAGCTCCTGCATCTGGAGCCAACTCTTCTGTGGTTTCTTCTTCGAGAAGTGTAAGCACTGCCGCAGCTGGAGCCACCAAGAAGTCGGCGGCTAAATCGAAGGCCAAACCTAAGCCAAAGCCAAAATCAGTCTCTCCGGCGAAGAAGACGCCGAGGTCCACCGGCATCTTCAAGGCGACTCCTGTGTCTCCAGCTCTGGCTCAGTTCCTTGGTACCGGTGAAACTACACGTACCGACGCCATCAAGGAGATTTGGACCTATGTCAAGTCCCATGATCTTCAGGTTACTCTTTTCTTTTTCTCTGCTTTTTTCTTTTTCTTTTGAGTAGAGCATAATCTAAGGAATGGATAGATTCTCTATTTCCTGATGATATGGGTTCTTGCATATAATTATAGACAAGATTTACCGGAAAAATTAGAGGTTTCTCTGGTACACTTTGCTTTGTGTTTCCTGGTCTCAACTTGCTTGATGAATTTAGTAAACAAGTCTGGTGGGGTGATTCACCCAAAAGATTCACTTTTCAGATTTCAGATATCTGACATTTTTCTTTATGCCTTGTGGTTCTGGTTAATATAGTTTTTCTTCTCGAGTCTCTTGTCTACTGATATCGTAAAAGTTACTTTGCTTAGAGTCTTCACATTTGTTCTCCATTCATTTCCCCTCATGTGCCTGTTGTCTTTTTACTCTGCTTTTGTCTTTCTTTGCTACATTTCCTACGTTTTTATCCTGTGTGGGAGATGGTGATATATGGTTTCAGTCACCAAAGCCCTTCTCTTTGGCTTAATGAACCGAATTGACACATTCCATCAAGTTAAAACTGCAGTGGAATTGATGCATTCTATCAAGTTAATGTATTGGAGTCATATCAACTGGTTGATTTAGTTGGTAGAGAAGCTGGTCACCAAATAATAAGATTCACTATGTCTTTGTTAATTTTGTGTAAAATGTTCTGTATCAGAATCCTGCTGACAAGAGGGAGATTTTCTGCGATGAGAAACTGAAGCAAATCTTTCAAGGGAAAGACAAAGTCGGGTTTCTGGAGATTACAAAGCTCTTGTCCCCGCATTTTGTGAAGACTGCTTGACAATTTGCTCAACATGGAAGCTACTGATAAAGCCCTTTTTTTTCTTCTTCCAGTGACTTGTTAACGTTGTCAATATCTTTTCACTCTTTTCCTGTCTGTTTTAATGATCCCGAACATGGTTTGACTAATGTTGTTGACTTGTGAAGAAATGTGTTTGCATGAGTTTGAAAACTCTTCTAATGTAAATCTAAACGCATGGGCTCGGTCGAGCCAAGTCTTAGTAGGATCCAAAATTTTTAAACTTTGAAAGAAACAGAGTTCATTGACAAAAGAAGTCAACAGCAACGCATCATCGTACATCGCTTGCCAATTTTGGAATAACCGAAAAAATATCAGCAATAGCTAAGATTATCAACCACATTTACCACGTATTCGTAATTGATCCCTTCAGGTCGTTTTTAAGGGAATCAAGAAAGCTACTACTGCTACAGGTTTGATTTCATTAGTGTCATGTTGCCATTTTTAACCAATCGAATATGACATTGGTTGTTTCTCTTGCAACTCCATCAAAGTAGAAGAAGGTGACTTCCATCAGAAGGCAAGGATTATAGAAGTTAAAAGAAGAAGATTGGTTTTCTGACAATTAAATAAGTAATGTTTGAATCCATAAGTGAAACGTCTTCGATTATATTGCAAATGTCTTGCATCTTTGATTGTTTATGGATGTTTTAGCTGTTGACAAGAGCGTACAAAGTGTGTAGATTTATGATTCTCAACCACACCAAGAATTGCTGTTGCATTTGTACGAAAACCAAGGGGATTTAATTTGTCGTTGAATGGCATCATCCTAGCCTCTCATTGATTAAACGATTAGGAAATTAAACAAAGGTTCCAAATAGAAGCAACTTAAAAGAGATGATAAAGAAGACAGACAAAGTTGAAAACAAACCACAAAACTCTCAGTAGCAAAGTGAGAGGCAATAGTTTGTAGTAGTCCTCCCATTGATAACCGACTCAAGCTGCATCTGCTGTTTCTCTTCCAACCTGGTCCATATAAAAGCGCATGTCTTTGCCCACCGCCCCACACTATATGAGATGAAAATCGTCACTCTTTTATCTGCATTTGTTCTTGCTTTGCACTCGATACAAATTTCAGCTTTCAGACTCGACAGCAAACTAACAAAACCAAGTTTCTCCCGTGGAGGTGGGGGAGCTATGTCCATTACAAACAATCCAAGATCCTCATCAAAAACTCTGTGAAAGGTCACGGGATGATTTGGAACAAACCCAGGGTAATATATTTCAAATATATAAACTGACCAGTACGCAGAGCATTTACCACAAAGCTCTACATAATCAACATCCTGTTGTTTCCAAAAAAAACGCCAGCGTTTTGACAAAACACTTGTTGCCACGGCCTCTTTTGTCGAAAGCAGTGACAACATCTTCACCAATAAATCGTCTGGCAACTCGCTGATATTTCCCATATGGAAGTAAGTCTGTACTCTGTTACAGTTCAAACAAGAATTGGTTACAGTTCAACATCAAGATCACAGAGGAAAAATCCCTCTAGATGGAAAAGAGAACAACGTTTCAAGTATCATCACTGAGGCTAATCTAGAGTCTCTTGATTAACGATGAGACACAAACCTAGTAACTAATCTTAGCCTCAGCACAGCTTTGCATATAAACAATTTGATCCCTCGCTCTCTAAACGTAGACAGTTTTAAAAGATCAACGATCCTCTTTAACTGTAAAGTTTAGATAGTATAATAAAATGGCTTGTAAATAAACCAAAATCACATCAAACTTGAAACGATATCTTTAGCACTAGAATCTAGTCAAGCAAACTTGAAATCACTGGGATTTTTTTTTTTTATAAAAAAAAGTAAACACAGACTTTTTAGTCACCGAGAAACGTGAATTCAAACCACAAACCATTCGAGAGGAAGAGCTGAGATCAAGCAAACCAACTCAGGAAGCCACAAGCTTTTCACTACACACATTAAAGCATTCATTGCGAAATCCCAATTACCAAGAAACTGGACTTCACAAAAACCCAATCAAATCCTTAATCAAACAGCATTAACCTCACACAAAACTAAACCCCACCAAGCAAAACAACAAGATAAAGCATCGGAATTTCCCAAGAAGAATCAACGGGTTCACCAGAAAGGAGAAAACAGCTTACAAGTGTTAAAATCCCAAATCGGAAAAGGAAGTGAAAGCACTATTATGATGATCAGTGACGAAAATCCCGGCGTTTACAGGTCGGGCTCAAGTCCGGAGAAAGGGGGTTTACATAAATTTATTAGATTTTCCTTTTTTTTTTGTCGAAATTTGATTTTCCTTTTTAACCTATATCAAATTTGAACCGGATAAATTGATCTGAACAACTGATTTGAACCGAATGTAACCAAAAAAAAAAATAAGCGGTAATCGAGACGAAACCGTAATTTTTTCGATTAATTATAATTTACAAAAAAAACTGAATTAACCGAAACCAACAAATATCAACCGATTTGGTTCGTTTAACGGTGGGATGCAGATTAGAGTATCATCGGCTTTCATCTCGAAAGCTCTTTCATCATCATCTAACCTCAAAGACCTTTGTCGAATCCACGCCGTTGTAATCTCGCTAGGCCTTGACGGCTCTGACTTTTTCTCAGGGAAGCTTATCGACAAGTACTCCCATTTCAAGGAACCCGCCTCTTCTCTCTCTGTTTTCCGGCGAGTTTCTCCGGCGAAAAATGTGTACCTCTGGAACTCAATCATCAGAGCGCTTTCTCAGAATGGTTTGTTCCCTAAAGCTCTCGAATTTTACGGGAAACTCCGAGAAACCAATGTTTCGCCTGATAAGTTCACGTTTCCTCCCGTCGTCAAAGCCTGCGCGGGATTGTTGGACGCGGAGATCGGAGACTGTGTTTACAAACAGATACTGGAATCGGGTTTGGAATCTGATTTATACGTAGGCAATGCACTTGTGGATATGTACTCGAGAATGGGATCGTTGGATAGAGCACGACAAGTGTTCGACGAAATGCCTGTTAGAGATCTCGTGTCCTGGAACAGTTTAATTTCCGGGTTTTGTTCACATGGTTACTACGAGGAAGCCTTAGGAATTTATCATGAATTAAGGAATTCTTGGATTGTGCCAGATTCCTTCACATTTTCAAGTGTTTTGCCTGCCTTTGGGAATTTGGTGCTTGTCAAAGAAGGACAGGGACTTCATGGTTTTGCTCTCAAGTTAGGTGTTAATTCCGCTGTGGTGGTTAACAATGGACTACTTGCGATGTACTTGAAATTTAGCAGACCAACGGATGCAAGACGAGTTTTTGATGAGATGGTCGTTCGAGACTCCATTAGCTACAATACTATAATCTGTGGATTCCTCAACTCAGAGATGTATGAAGAATCTTTGAGGATGTTTTTGGAAAATTTGGATCAGTTCAAGCCAGATATCTTAACAGTTAGTTCTATTCTCCGTGCCTGCGGACACTTACGAGACTTGCGCTTAGCAAAGTACGTTCATGAATATATGTTGAGATCTGGATTTGTGCTTGAAACCACTGGGAGTAACATTCTAATCGATGCGTATGCAAAGTGCGGTGACATGATCGCAGCAAGAGATGTGTTCAAGAGCATCGAATGTAAGGATACTGTTTCGTGGAACTCGATAATCAGTGGATATATACAAAGCGGAGATCTTTTGGAAGCCATGAAACTCTTTAAGATGATGATGATGATCATGGAAGAGCAGGCGGATCATATCACGTACGTGATGCTTGTATCTGTCTCCACTCGTTTAGCAGACTTAAAATTTGGGAGAGGGCTACACTCCAACGCCACAAAATCTGGAATTTATTCTGATCTTTCTGTCAGTAACGCTTTGATTGATATGTATGCTAAGTGCGGGGAAGTAGGGGATTCTCTTCAGATATTTAATTGTATGGATACTCGGGATACGGTAACATGGAACACAGTTATTTCATCATGTGTTTGTTTTGGGGATTTCGCCACCGGTTTGCAGCTAACTTCTCAAATGAGGACCAGCGGAGCGGTGCTAGATATGGCCACTTTTTTAGTTATATTGCCTATGTGTGCTTCGCTTGCTGCTAAACGACCAGGCAAGGAGATCCATTGTTGTCTTTTAAGGTTTGGATATGAGTCGGAGTTGCCAATAGGAAATGCACTAATCGAAATGTACTCAAAATGTGGTTCTTTGGAGAGTTCTTTTAGCGTCTTTAGACATATGAGTAGAAGAGATGTTGTGACATGGACAGGGATGATCTATGCATATGGAATGTACGGTGAAGGTGAGAAAGCTCTTGAAGCTTTTGCTGATATGGAAAAATCCGGTATTGTTCCTGATCATGTTGTCTTCATTGCCATCATCTATGCTTGCAGCCACTCTGGTTTGGTCGAGGAAGGCTTGGCGTGCTTCGAAAAGATGAAAACTCACTACAAAATCGACCCGGTGATAGAACACTATGCGTGTGTGGTTGATTTGTTGTCTCGGTCACAGAAGATTACGAAAGCCGAGGAATTTATCCAAGCAATGCCGATAAAACCCGATGCAAGCATATGGGCATCTCTGCTACGAGCTTGTCGAACAAGTGGAGACATGGAGACTGCAGAAAGAGTGTCTAAGAGGATCATTGAGCTGAACCCGGATGATCCGGGTTACTCGATTCTAGCATCAAACGCTTATGCAGCCTTGAGGAAATGGGACAAAGTGAGCCTGATCCGCAAATCCTTGAAAGAAAAACCAATGAGGAAAAATCCGGGATATAGCTGGATCGAAATCAGTAAAAAAGTTCATGTGTTCCGCGCAGGAGATGATTCAGCTCCTCAGTCCGAAGACATCTACAAGTCACTGGAGATACTTTACGATCTGATGGCTAAAGAAGGGTACATTCCTGATCCTCGGGAAGTCTCACAGAATTTAGAGGAAGAGGAAGAGAAGAGACGTTTAATCTGTGGCCACAGTGAGAGGCTAGCGATTGCGTTTGGACTGTTGAACACAGAACCAGGGACGCCATTGCAAGTGATGAAGAACCTTCGTGTCTGTGGTGATTGTCATGAAGTGACGAAGCTGATATCAAAGATCGTGGGGCGTGAGATATTGGTGCGGGATGCTAATCGGTTCCATCTCTTCAAAGACGGTACTTGCAGCTGCAAAGATCGGTGGTGAATAGTTTCTTTCTTTGATGCAACTCAGAGCGTGGATTCGCAAAAATCTGTCTGAAAGCAACATTTTTTTTTGTTATAAATGAAGCAACATTTTTTTGCAGAAGCAAATCTATCTGAAAGCAACGTTTTTTTTTGGTTATCAATGAAGATTCATCAGAGCGAAACACATGTTTTGCATCAAACACTTGGTAAATTTCACAAATCAAAACGTTCTTGAACCATATATCTCAAAAGAGGTTCGGTCTTAAAGCTCCAGCGAGTCCAAATCTCAAATAGTAGTTAACCCTGAAGGGAATCCAAACCGAGATTCCCGATTTACACAAGAATTGTTCTGATCCATGTTCTACTCGTCGCAAAGGAAGATTCTTAGACGCTTTTAGAGCATTGTGATATCTTGAGGTAAAGAAAATTTGCTTGTCGCCCCAAATACACTGGCCATCTGAAGCACCGCGGTTTGAACAGCAGGAGCGGTTGGTACTAGCGATTCCGGGAGAAACGGAAAGCAATCTGGCTGATTTTGCTTGTTATTCAAGACTGGAGTGTACAGTGCCAAGACAGCTCGGCAGAATATAAATCTGCAGATATGGGAGACAAATTCTAAATAGTTAAGATAAAGGTTCAGAGAGTTCAAGAATCTTCGATAAACTAAAACCAACAATGTATTAAGGCTCCTAGTTCCTATACAATTTATGTCCAAAAAAGATCTTCAATCTTGTAATATTCCAGTAGATCTCTAGTTTGTTTTTCTTTTACTGAGAATGGAATTTTATGAAATCCTGAAGGCGTCTTAGAACTTGGAAGAGAAACATGTACCTTAGGAGAAGTCGTCTCAAGAAGGGATCTTTTAGTATCTGCGACCAAACAGGGTGAAGGGTATCTGATGCTGCCAAAGTCGAAGCCCATTCGTTCATAAACGAGGAAAGATGCTTCTCGGCCTTAATAAAAACATCCTGACACATGAAAGTAGTCAGCGGTCAGCACGCAAACAAAAAGAAGTGAAGAAAAATAAGTATCAAGCAAGTGATGAAGCTTTATCTCTACCTACCGTTTCTATATCAGGGCCAGAAATCCCAATCAGCAAGCAAAACGCTTGGACTGGTGCGGTGAGAAAAATGGTGAAAAGGCTACCACTAGGTTGACGAGAGAAATCAGCAGAGATAAGCGGAGGAGTATGTGATGGAGACAGAAGCAATGCAGCTGGTTCTCCTTTCTCCGCTCCACATATATTCTTCAAAATTTAAGTGAGAAAACATTAGTATCTTCTTAATTTACTAACCACAGGTATTCCAAAATGGATCTTAACATAAGAAAGATGGAGTCCGATGTACGTACCTTAAAAACTGTGCTGTTATCACTGTCAATGATTATGAAAAGAGGTTTCCTTGTGAATGGAACTAAATCAGAGGGATAGATGCAGCTTGATCCTGGGGGAAAAGACAGTTTTCAGATAAAGTTCAGAGAGACTTATAAAATAGCAAATTCTACATTTCCCTTGATTCCATGAAAGGAAATTTCGAAATTTCTGTAGATTCAGAGTTGTTCCCTCGTGTGCGAAAAAACCTCTCTAATTAGATTGATCACAATGGTTCAAATTTACCCAAGATTTTTGTCTTACAAGAAACCACCTTCTGCCCTCTAGAATATATCGTATATTACATTTTCCTGACATTCCTTGATTTTACTTAGAGGGTCCTCTCTCATTTTTAGAGGACACTTTATAGAATTAACCTCCTGTATGCATATCGACTAATGTGATAGTATTAGATAAATGTTTACATGAAAGTTTCAGAAAAGCCTGGAGTGGATACCTGTGAGCCCATGGCTGCCAAAAGACAAACCACATGCGTCCTCACTGATTTGCCTCAACGACTGACCAGGTCTGTCACCAGATGGCGTTATTTGAAGAGATAGGTCTTCCTCTTGTTTGATTGTGTGAGATTCAAAGTCTCTCAAAATATTCTCCTCAATGCTGGTTACGCTTCTAGCACTCAAAGGAGATAATGAAGTCTGACCAACCTTTCCTGAATGAAAACATAAATGTTAGAAGCTAAGGCACTCAATATTCTACCAGAAGAAGCATAATACAAACATTACCAGAAGCAGACAGATATAATAAAAGCACGCCATTAGAAGGAAGCTCCTCACAAATGGTGGCCAAAACCTACCAAAAAGCCAATGGTTTCAGTTATATAAGCAAAAATCGCACATATATTATAATTTGTGAAGAAAAGAAAACTAAAACAAAACTAAATTCAGCTTACAGCCAAGAAATGCGTTACGGATGGACGATAAAGGACAGCTTTACGAGGATTAGGCGGCAAAGTAGGATCAGTCATGTTTTGGGAGTTTATACGAGCAGCTCCAGTGGGAGCATTCTGACCCATTTTAGGAACAGCCGACTGATATAATGAACCGCTCGGTTCCCACTCTAAGCATTGAAGCATCCTGAACGAATCAAGAGTGAGCTCTGAATACTTGACCTGGTGGATATCAAAAAGCAAGATTGCAAATTTTAGAGGGTAATACTTTTAAGTAGGCAATCATACCAAACATGGAAAGTAAAAACATTACCTCATTGTAGTGATAACTGCTCAAGATTGCATCCGTCAACCTTAAAGACCTACTTGCACGCGGTGTACCAGCATCCAGATTAGGATCCAGCACAAGGCTGTATCTTAGAGGCCTGATGTTCATAAAAGCAGTGTCAGATTTCAGAAATCTAACTATTTCCTGCGCCACCACCTTCCATTCTTTAAAATCACTTTCCTGAAAACATGAAAAGTTGTTTGAATGGTAGACAATGGAAAACAGAGATTTAAATGAATAGAAAAAGAGGGTGATCTCTGATGCATTGGAAAAGAAGACATCTAATTTTGATAGTAGAGAAGCATCTTACGTCACCATTTATATCAAGAAGCATGAAAGACTACGTCAAACAAAGGTGAGTCATATATTCCTTAGATCTCTATGATATCATGTCACTCCATGTACAGCTATGATTATAGCTCTAATTCAGTTACATGTTACACCACCCTATTTTTATTTTAGAACCACTATAAATTGCAGTTTAGCAAGGAAGAAACTTCTGTTTGTGATTCTAGCCGTTTGAATAGAAAGGGAAAAAAACATCATGTTTGGCCATACAAGGCACTAGGGATTACTTGACATAAGTAAACAGCGTGAAACAAAAACCAATACAACCCAGCCGCAGAAAGTGTTATCATTGTCCATTAAAACAACTATCTAAAGTAGGCCGGGGAGATGAGATTTTCAGAAAGAAAAAAAACCTGGAATGTCCTCTTGCATTCATCTATCAACCGTTTAAACTGCTCGACGAGTTGATGCACCATCTCTCGGCGGCCTAGGACCAAACATACCATAAGAAACCTCGCAAGAAACCGTAGCTGTTTGTTTGCAATATTGAGATCCTGAAACAAGCCCTCTTTGAAGTACTCTCTAGTCAATATTGCTTCGTAGAACACATAGGACTCGGACAAGTAACCCGCGTCACTTGTTCGCATATAATGCCCATAGTAAAGCTGTGCAATTCGAGATGCTATTTCTCCAATCTCCCATCTCTTAAGTCCAGCTTCTACAAGCTTCTGCCGATTTTCTTGCTGAAACTTCCATAACTGTGTGTATACCTTGAATACCTTGAAGAAATAGTTTTCATACCTGGAAACAGAATGAACAATTCCATGAACAACAGTAGAAAATTCTGTTCAAAAGAGCATCAGATTTCATCGATTATTCTATGTTCTGGATTCATTCTCCTTCTCCATCCTATTTTTTTTTTTTGTCTCACATCCACAATACTATGTACAGTTTTTCCTTCCAAACCTAAGCAAATATCATAAAATCAAAGGAATGTTGATTTTACAGAACAAAAATGACAAAATCGAAATTCTCAATTTCACAGATATTCGCAACGGAATCGAGAGTAAATCAAAAGAGAGGAAGAACCTGCTGCGTTCATAGAAAGGTAAGTCTCTGATCTTGGAGAATTTCTTGTCGGCTTTGTTAACGAGAGACCAGTAAACTTCACTCAGCGGAATACTATTACCGCTGATTAGCTGCGACATTTCTGAGAAACTTAACGGTCACGACGAAGCAGTCACTCTTCACAGAGAGAGAGAATCAGACGAGTACAGTTCTCCGTTCCTACGCGAATCCTGCTTCGTCGTCGTCGTCGTCGTCTTCTAGATCGGCGAATCGGCTTTTGGAAAAATAAAAATCTTGTACCGAGCGGTTAACACGAGTAATTTAGTCTGACCCATGAAATGTACAATCGATTTTTTTTTTTTTGAATAGTCTTTTCTATTTTGACACAAAACCAAGCTCAATGGAAAGATTAGAATATGCTAATTACCCACTCGGGAGATCATAATCCAAACCCATCCACTCACTCTTGAAAGCTAAATATCCACTAACTACTAATATAAGAAGCATGAATCACATTACATTAACAAAATGTTGGTTTTTGTTAGTATTTTTTTTTATCTAGAGAGCTCTTTTGAAGAGGTTTGTCTTTAGCGTTATTTAGATAACTATCATTATATTACTTTTCATATTTATATGAAGTTTTTCTTGGCTGAAAAATCAAGAAAAAAAAAAAAAAAATCAAGATTTTGAATGTCAATTATTATCTTTTACTGACATCATGTTACGTTTTGATAAATTACAAAGAATGTTCAATTCTGATAGATAATTAGTTTTGTAAGTTGGTATCGTTTGGGATTAAAAATAGATATGTTACAATTTTTTTAAAATAAGATTTTATTTTGTTAGTAATATATATACTGTAATTGTGTTGTTCCTTATGACGACCGTCGTAACGTAGACGACGTCTTACCGTCAAAGATAAGTTAGGGGCTTTTTAGACATTTTTCTTTGGTTTGTGGAGTTGAATTTTCCTTTTTAGAAATTGAAACTTTCCAAAATATTGTTGATGAGTGATGACTTCTGATAGATTGATAGAGAAACACAGCAACGCAAACAAAAATCAAATCAAACAAATCCGATGTCCTTAGATTCGAGCTTCATTCGAGGGCTTAAACACGATGGATGACAATCGAAGTTCTGATCCAGTCAAGAGGTATCTTATTGTTTTGCAACTTTCGGGATTTTAAGACAGCGTTTATATGTTTAGTGATTGTTCTCGATCTCTGTAGGCATGAGATTGAAAAAGAAACTAGTGCTTCGAGGAAGCTAGAAGAGAATAATGCTAAGTTAATTCAAGATCCTGAGGAAATGGTACCTATTCTCGGTCTCAGTTTTGAGAATCTTATTCGAGCTCTCTTACTGAAATTAAGCTAAACAAAAAAAATAAAAACAGGCACTTTACTCAAGAGCTAGATCGCAAGAAGAAGAGATTCACAATCTCCAGGAACAAATTGCTGCTGCTTGTTTGAAGGTACATAATAATAACATCATGCTCACATGAATGTTTCAGATGAACTTGCTCAAGAACTGAATTGCATCTTTGGTTTCAGGATATGCAGCTGCTCAATGAGAAGTATGGGTTAGAGAGAAAATGTGCCGATCTCCGTGTGGTTTGTCTTTTACTTTTGTAAAATTTTATCAAGATTGATGGAAAGTGTTCACCTTTGGCTTCCGGGTTTGACTAAAATCTGTTTCTCAGGCAATTGATGAGAAGCAAAATGAATCTGTTACGTCGGCGTTGAATGAATTGGCTCGTCGAAAAGGTGATCTCGAAGAAAATTTGAAGTTGGCTCATGATTTAAAGGTAAATTGGCTTGCATCAGATTTTGTACTAACTTCAAATTTTTGAACTTCATTGCCTTTTACCCTTCAAATATTTAGGTTACAGAAGACGAGCGGTATATTTTCATGACGTCCTTACTTGGTTTATTAGCTGAGTATGGCGTTTGGCCCCGTGTTGCAAATGCTACTGCTATATCCAGCGGCATAAAGGTAAATTGCGTTCACTACATCTTTCTTCAGATTCATTCACTAGACAATCTTAATGTGTAATTCTTCTTCGTATGTAGCACTTGCATGATCAGCTGCAATGGAAGATTAAAGCTTGCAATGTAAGCTCTCTGTCCTGTAGCTTTTGGTTCGAGCAACCGAGAAATATTCTCAATTTTAAGTATTCACACACATTTTCCTTAGTTTATTGTTGTCTGCATCTCTCCCTTGGCCTAGTTAGACATCTGCAGGAATGTGAATACTCTTGATGGATTCCTTTCCAACTTGTTGTGACGAAATTTTTAATAGCAGGATAGGATTAGGGAATTATCATCGGTTGTGGAAACTCAATCTGGAACAGATTTTATTAGTAAAGACAACCATGATCCCAGAATTTCCAAAGGTCAAGCTTCTTATGGATCCACGGTAGTCTCAGCAAGTAATTTGCTAAATTACTTATCATTTCCTCATAGGACTTTTTCTCTAAAACATGTGACATCATTTCGGTAGAAAAATCTTACTTTGTGTGATCACATACTACCTCTATGCAGGATCATGGTAATGATTACCGGATCAATGAACAACTTTCGCCACCAATGGACAATATCACGAGAAATCCATATCATAACCTTACGCAAGAGACTGAAAGTCTGAGATTTAATAATCAGATTGGCGGTGGATCACAGCAGCCGAGAAGGTATTGTATCATTGCTCAGTTTTCTGGAACATTTTTCATCAGCCTCAGTTTATAACCGATGGAATATCATCTCTCTATTGTTGTAGGGAAAGTTTTGGATATCCTCTAAGTAGTGTGGCGGGAAAGGAAATGATCCGAGAGAGAGAAGAAAAAGCTGAGAGTTCTTCCATGTTTGATCCTTATAACGGGAATGAAGAATTCGCTTCTCATGTTTATGAAGGTTGGAAAAAAATATTCTCCATTTGACTCAAGACTAGTGGCTAGCTATATGTTTAGAAATCTTAGTCTGGTCTTTTTTTGGAATCAGAGGGACCTGGAATTGATGGATTTCAGATTATTGGAGAGGCAATACCTGGAGAAAAGGTTCTTGGTTGCGGGTTTCCGGTACGAGGAACCACTCTCTGTATGTTTCAGGTAACACCATTGGAAATCTTTTGCTCATAAGAGTCTTTGAAAACTAGCTTATAACTAATTAACCAGATGAAAAAAATTAATATATGTCCCGATTTGTTTGTTTCTTCTTGAAAAGTGGGTTCGGCATCTTGAAGATGGCACGAGGCAATACATCGAGGGTAAGATTTCGTTTATTTGTCTTACCGGTTTTCTCTCTGCTGTTTAAAAGCTGAACTATGAATTTGATACATTCAGGAGCCACCCATCCAGAGTATGTTGTAACCGCGGATGATGTAGACAAACTGATAGCTGTTGAGTGCATTCCAATGGATGATCAAGGTCGTCAGGTAAAATATAGAGTTTTTACGGTTCTCTATAGCAGTGGTAGTATGTGTTTGGACCAAATTGTCTTACATTTCTTTCTTTCATTTTTCTGAATGTCCAGGGCGAATTAGTGAGATTGTTTGCTAATGATCAAAACAAGATTAGATGTGGTAATGTATTTAACAGAATGAGACCCGGTTTTTTTGTAGATATCTAAAAAGCCTTTTTACCGTCTCTTATGTGCTGCAAATGTTTTTGCTTTTCACAGACACAGAGATGCAAACAGAAATCGACACATATATATCGCGAGGTCAAGCAAGCTTTAATGTGCAGCTCCTGGTATGTTTGAAACTCAGAGCCTTGAATCCACTGTCATCAACTTAATAACCGTTTTTTGGCGGTTTTTTGATAGATGGATTCAACAGAGAGTTGGGAACCTGCGACGGTTATTTTGAAGAGATCTAGTTACCAGATTAAAACGAACAACGTAGAAGCTATGGTGATCTCAGAGAAATACTCGAAGGAACTCCTGGTAAAATATAGTTTCTTCACATTGAGAGTTAAACAAACTTAAAAAACATTTCCTTTATATATGTTTCAATTGATCAAAAATGCAGATAAAAGTACCGTGTGGATTCTCAACACAGTTTGTTCTGATAAGTTATGATGGATCTTCACATCCTATAAGTACACTCAATGTCCGGTACGTATATTTACACATCTCTCTTTCGTAGTTTTGCAATGTTAACGTCAAATACAGATTGGTTTTTTTTGATTTTACCGCAATTTTTGTTTTACAAACTCACTCTTAATAATCATGAATTTTTTCGTTTTTTTTTCTTGTTTTTACCAGCATGCGTGATACGCTAGTCTTGACGATGAGAATGCTTCAAAGCAAGGTATGTTTTGAGAATTATTGAAACGGAGTAATCTTGTTAGTTTTTTTATAAATTAATTGTATAAGTATCCTATATGGTCAGTTATATCCCATATCTAAGTATATAATAAACTTAATATTAATGAGACAGGCACTGGACGAACGCAGAAAAGGACGAGTTTGAAGTTGGTGTGACTACAGAACAGATCCATTCTCGAGTCCTTCAATTAAGTTTAATCAAATCTGCGATTTGTTATTTTATTTTTATTATTGAGTAATAATTGTTGTAGCTTTAGCATTATTTTGTCGTTTAGCTCTTTGTTTTTCTAAAGTAAAAAATAAACACTCTTGTAATATTGTAATAGACGGTGACATTCACTTTGGAGTCGGAATCTTCTTTTCTTTTTTTTGCCGGTTCTTATATAATAATAGTAATGGGATGATCTCTTTCCATTTGATATTTCCTGGCCCTGCGCTTTAACTTTTCTTTTCTAATAATTAATAATGTCAAAACGTTTCTATTGTAATGGCATTCCATTCAAGTTTATCCAAGAAAATAGAAAATTTCTTTCCTTTTCTCCAAACAAATAAAATGAAAAGAAGTCAAACAGCAAATCAAGGAAGAGACACTTAATCTAGTTAAATTTGGTTTGAAATCAGGCTTAAAATGTATTTCGTAAAAACATGAGATTATACCTTAACTTTAGCCAGTTGGCATAACAAACAAAAAAAGGGACAACTTTAGCCACGTGCAGATATATGTGTAATCAATCGTTTACATCATACTCTTTCATGAAGAGTGTTGTTTTAAAGTTTTATTTTTGTTCATAAAAAATGTCGTTTTATATTTTTAATGCAAAATTTTAAATAATATTCCAATTTTAACCCTATTAATTTAATGTATTTATTAGATAAAAATAAATTATTTAATATATTAATAAGAGATAAAATTGTATTTTTAATAATTTTCTTAACATGTATAAAAAATGTCAAAATGACATTCTTTATGAAACGGAGAAAGTATAAAGTTATCTTAAACCCAGAAGGGAGGTATCATTCAATCAACCTTACCATGGTCTCGATTGAATAATTCATAGAATGACAGGATGGCAACTTTACAATTAATATAATTTCCTAAGTTTTTGTTACACAAATGATTGCTGCCTATGAATCGCAATTTAAAAAATCTGTTGCCGACATTAATTATTTATTAATTTAAGTCTTTATAGCGAGTTTTTATATTTATTCGTTTCAATATATTAACCATATAACTCCTATGTATATATGTTATTTATAAGGTGAATGGTTGGAGGGTTTCCATCAATCGTCCCACGAAAAGAAAAGAAAAATATGAAAAAAATATTTGAAGCGTTTAAATATTTAACTAAATTAGAATAGATCATGGCAAGATTTCTTTTACTGTACATGATCATATCATATAGGTATTACAGGAGTTCGCGCGACAACTTTTGATTACTCTCTAGTTTTTTAATTACTCCCTCTATTTCATAATTTGATTTTCACTCAAATATTTTCTATTTTATTTTTTTGATTAATTTACTTTTACAATTAATTTATTATTTTTATTAATATTACTTTTTATTTCCACCAATAGAGAATAAAATATGCATTAATTACAGACAAACATATTAATTAGATACAAAAAAATTATTGTGAAATAAGAAATAAAACTCAGAAAATCAACTATTATAAAAGAGAGAGAATAGTAAATTAGAAAAAAAAAATGGAAAAATCATAATCCATGTGGGTAAATAACTTAAAATGAAATAAAATTGTTTTGTATTACTACTTAAGTTGAAATGAAATGTACTTTTGTCTTCAATAAACACATGACGTAACTGTAGAGTAGTTTCTGACCACAAATCTATAGATACGTACGTGAATAATTTTGATCATCCACGTGGCCCATGTTCAAGTATTCCACCTTCGTCAATACTTCACCAACCATTTTTATGCCTTGAAAAAGACTAAAAACCCTCTCTCCTTTTTTATTTGTCAACACTAACTTTTGTATTACTTTCTTAGTACTACTCACTGACTCAGATGAAATCGAACATTTACTTTTAGTAACATAGAGAGAGAGAGGTATATGATCATAAGGTAATAAGTATTCACATCTTTCAAAATTCTAGAAATCTCCGTCTATTCCACTAACAATTTCTCAAGGTATGCATTATTTATTTCACAAAGATTTAAAAATGGAAGAAGCATAAAGAGAAAGCTAAAGAATAAACGACATATAAATAAAAAGCAAATTCTGCACCTTTATGTTATACTTTATATAGATTTGATAAAGAAGAACATTCACTTAATTCCATCATTTGTTCACTAGATTAGTGATTTAGTATTACCATCATATAAAGCTATCATAAACATTCACTTAATTTGATCAATTATCTTTCAATTGATATTTAATTAAACTCAGAAAAATAGACACTTACCAGACAAGCAGGCCCCAAGAAAAGGAGAGAGAGAGACACACTTCACCTCTCTCATCTCTTCTTCTTCTTCTTCCTTCCTTCCTCTCTCTCCTCTGCATCAATGGGTTCTACAGGAAACCCAAATCCATGGGGTCCATACGATTCGTACAGAGACTGTTCTCAAGGAGTATGCAGCGTCTACTGTCCTCAATGGTGTTACGTCATCTTCCCTCCTCCTCCTTCCTTCTTCCTCGACGACGAAGATGATTCCTCCTCCTCTGATTTCTCTCCTCTCCTCATCGCCCTTATCGGAATCCTCGCCAGCGCCTTCATCCTCGTCAGCTATTACACACTAATCTCCAAGTATTGCCACCGCCGTCGCCTCGGCTCCTCCGGAGCTATCAGCCGAGATCTCGGAATCTCTTCATCCGCCACCGATCCATGGCAGGGAACAATCCGAGCTCCGAATCCGAATGCGGAGGCTGGCGATGGACTCGATGAATCTCTGATCAAATCGATTACTGTTTACAAGTACAGGAAGGGCGATGGATTTGTGGAATCGTCGGATTGCTCTGTTTGTTTGAGCGAGTTTCAGGAAGACGAGAGTTTGAGATTGCTACCCAAATGCAACCATGCCTTTCACGTCCCTTGTATTGACACTTGGTTGAAATCTCACTCTAACTGTCCTCTCTGCCGCGCCTTCATCGCCGGAATTAACGCCGTCGAGGCTGTTGCGGTTTCCAGTCAACCGATCTCCGGACACCAAGTCTCTGCGGAATCCGGTGATCGAGACGAAGGTACCGTGGGGATCAACTCGATTTCGACCGATCACCATCGCCAGATTGGAGATTCCGTCGTCGTTAACTTAGATCTGGAAACCATATCTCGGAATGAGACGGTTAGTAACGTTAACGGCGGATCGACGCCGAAACTACCGGAACCGCATGGGTCAAGAGACGGAGAAGATCAAGTGAATCGGAGATCGGCGTCGCTTAACTCAGGCGGCGTGGTATTGATCGCCGATATACTCCGGGAGATTGAAGACGATCAGGGAGACGAAGAGTCATCGGGTGTAGGAACTTCTCGTCGTGTAGAAGACGGGGAAGGAGAGAAGACGCCTCCGCCGTCAGGATCGGCGGCGAATGAAACAAGTGGAATTTCGAATTTTCTGGTTCGGGGTTCATTGGCGATGAAGAGATCCGTCTCGGCGGGGAAATTTGCCATCTCCAGTTACGATCGAGCAAGAAATTACCGTTTACCCAATTAATAACCAAAAAAAAAAAAAGAGAGGGATTCCTCAGTATATTTAGGTGATTTGATTTTTTCTTTTCTAATAAAAATCCTAATTGGCTGATAAATTTTTAGATATTATACGGTTGGTAATTTTATACCGATCACAATCATTGTTTTGAAACAGAGAGCAGCCTTTTTTTTTAATGTGTGATCAAAGAATTTTGAATTTACCGACCATATATTCGTAAGTATGTAGTTTAAATATAAGCTGTATGTTCTTTTTCTTTTTCTTGCTAGTGTTCGTAAGTTTAGCTAGTATCATGCAATTTACGACATAATTTCTCCATACTAATCATTAAACTTAAAACTATCCAAAACTGCATAATTTCATAATGCAATAACTAAACAAAGAGATTACTATGCCTAAACTAGCTTTTATAATTATTATTAAGATAGAATTGATTTTGTATGCAGACATAAAAATAATATACGTCTTCATGATTTTGCAGATATTAATTCTCCCAATTTAAAGGGTTTTTGTATACCTCACATCTACACACTCTACTATAGTTGAACCCTGTTGAAATCCTTGTCAACACAAGTTCACAAGGAAGAGTTCATTCTAACCACTCATAGCATATCCTGTTTTTCTTTTCCCATTGGCTAAATAAATATATAAAAACTCAAGTTCAATTCTTGAATCTATTATCTTCTTTTGGCTTCATGATCCTTCATCGGCTATTGGACTATATCATTGGGACAACAACAAAACTGAGGCAAAATTGATGAATGAAGAAGATTCTCAAGTGTTAAATCCTAAAGAATTTATCGATGCGATTAAAAGTGTGGAAGGTTGTTCTTTATCCCAAAAAAAGGTGTGGAAGGTTATTTCGAGGCAATCAATGGGGATATTCAAATGACATTTTGGTGACTTGAGGCATTTTTGTTGCAAAAAGCATAATGGGCTTTTTGGTCATTTTTGGCCCACTTTGTATCTGATCATTGCTGGCCAATTTTTGTGACTTGAGCCACTGAGCAAAGAAAATCATTCATGAAAACATAACAAATCATAAATACACTTGATTTTTTCAAGATATTTGCCAAATCATAACAATGAGCCATAGAAATAATTTGCAGGCTATTAATATCCAACGACCTCAAATGAATCCAATCTTTTTGTTTTACCATCTGCTTTCATTAATTACTGAAACGATTGTGTTTCATTGAAGATATGAACAATACGTTTTGGAATATGGAAAGAGACTAAAATTGAGTATTTGCATGTAAATATTCCTTTGGTAAACGATATGCCGCCTTATATCAGGTCATAAGTTTTTTTTTTTTTTTTCAAAGATCTCCTTTGATGAGTTTCATCACTGTTTTATGTCTACTTCAGATAAAGAACCAAATTTTATTGCTGACGTAAAGAGAACAAAAATGCTGGCGTAATAAGACATATGATAATGATGATTAGACTTTCCAACATAACGATCTAGAGGAAACTAGAGGAAACTTGGGCACGCCTCTATGGCTCTATATTCCATTTCTTGTATGACACGTCACAAAATTGATCGAGTACAAGTTACTACTTCGCTAATACGATAGGATGTAATAAATGGACAATGTTAGTTTAGACCAAATACATACTTTTTAGGCAATCTAAAGATTTTTCGTGGACCTCGTGGTACATTAACATATTGGTGGACTGTCGTAATCACAAGCAAAAAAAAACAAGTGTACACCAAAAATTAATTGATATTCCACCTCGATGATCGGAAAATCAACTCTATTTTTGTTCCGACGAGTGCGAGTAGTATATTTATTTTAGGAAAAGGTATCAAATGGAGGAATATGTGTACTACTAATATAAATGTAAACAAAACGATAAGTGTTGTCTTTCTTTAATTTTCCATGTATTCGCATATTCTTTGGTTGATATAGAATGATAAGCATATTCTCTCTTTATGTTCCTTGCCATAGCGTGTATATCATTTTCTTGACTTTTTTTCTTCTCCATGTTCCTGTCCGTTCAGAAGTTACAAGTAGCCAAAGTGTCGTAATATCTATTGTTTATCTCGAGAATGTGACTCCCTTTTATAAGAAAGAGCAAGAGAGAAAACCAAAAAAATCATGAAAGCTAATTAAGTGAATAGTGACGAGCTAAAAAATGATATAATTAAAAAGTGCGTAAGATAATTCATGACATAAACTAATTAAAAACTATGGAACTAGCGAATGTATTGAATGATTGTATCTAATTACCTATACAAACAAAACTCCAAAGAATTATATAGAATTACAATTTTGTCATAAAAATTGTCAACCTTTCAAGTCACCACAAATGGTAATTTTTCATCCATCTTTAGAGTGTTGGTATCAATTACTATCGTACAAGTTGAAATCGGTAAGAAATTTAATCTACATCCAACTTTATTTAGAGTACATACATAGTTAACGTTATACCAATTCAATGGATAATAATAACCATGACGTGCCTACTTCCGATTTGCTGTTTAATTACTTTTTCATCTAAAACTCTTTCTTCAAATCTTCAATCAGTACATATGTATATTTGTACGAGTATAATATGTAGGTAAGGGGTCTATATATATATATATATAAACCCACACATTCTTTCTTCTCAAACATTCAACAGTCACAATAGAAAAGAAACAGAATGACCGAGACGACCAAAGGCACAGGATCATATCCGATCAAAACCGTCGTCGTTTTGGTGCAAGAGAATCGTTCCTTCGATCATACACTCGGCTGGTTCAAAGAGCTAAACCGGGAAATCGACGGCGTCACAAAATCGGACCCGAAATCCAACCCGGTTTCTTCCTCTGACCCAAACTCTCTCCGTGTCGTCTTCGGCGATCAGTCTCAGTACGTTGACCCGGATCCGGGCCACTCCATTCAGGATATCTACGAACAAGTGTTTGGTAAACCATGGGATTCGGGTCACCCGGATCCAAACCCGGGTCCAGCTACCATGTCCGGGTTTGCCCAAAACGCCGAGCGAAACAAGAAAGGGATGTCATCCGCGGTTATGAACGGATTTAAACCGGACGCTTTGCCGGTTTACAAGGAGTTGGCTCATAATTACGCCATATGTGATAGGTACGCCGGTTCGGTACATCTGAGTTAAACCGAGTTATTACATTTAAGTTGTCCCGGTTTATAGAAAAAAGATATCATGCATGCACGTGAACATTGTTTTGGGCCTTTTGGCAGGTGGTTTGCGTCGGTTCCGGCGTCGACGCAGCCAAACCGATTGTACGTACACTCGGCAACATCACATGGAGCAACGAGTAACGACAGAAAATTGTTAATCGAAGGGTTTCCACAGAAGACGATATTCGAGTCGCTGGATGAAGCCGGTTTAACCTTTGGCATTTATTACCAATTCCCTCCTTCTACTCTCTTTTATAGGTTTCTTTTTTTTCTTTTTCTTTTTAATTCGTTTATTTACACCTAAGTTTAAAAGATTTAGCACTCTATAAGTTTTGTTTGCTTTTTCCTATCAATTCAGATATCTATAGTTATCTATAACGTTACGATTACGTAAATAATTATGAATGTTTAATCCTGATTTTGGTTTTTTGCTTTTTTTTTTAATTTACTAATTAAGCAGTAACTTATCCTGGTTTGGTTTTGTTATTAATGCATGTATTCAGGAATTTGAGAAAACTAAAGTATTTGACGCATTTCCACCAATACGGAATACGATTCAAGAAAGATTGCAAAGAAGGCAAGTTACCGAACTACGTCGTGGTCGAACAACGTTGGTTCGATCTGTTGTCGACTCCGGCCAACGACGACCATCCATCGCACGACGTTTCTGAAGGTCAAAAGCTCGTGAAAGAGGTCTACGAGGCCTTGAGATCTAGCCCTCAATGGAACGAGATTTTGTTCATTATAACATACGACGAGCACGGTGGGTTTTACGATCATGTCCCTACCCCGGTCGACGGAGTTCCTAACCCTGACGGTATCTTGGGACCTCCGCCGTATAATTTTGAATTTAACCGGCTTGGTGTTAGGGTTCCGACATTTTTCATCTCTCCTTGGATTGAGCCTGGCACAGGTAATTAAAGGGTACTTGTCATAGAGTTTAAAATTTACTTAATGAACTTATAATCACTCAAAATCCTAATATTTTTAAATAGATGGATTTTTTTTTTGTTTTAGTTCAATCCAATTTTTTTTGTTTAACCTTTTCGGTTTTTCAGTCTTTTTCTTTTGGAATAAATGATAGATTTAATATATAAAAATATCATATAATATTCAAAAACATAAATTATCATTAATATTCAAAGTGTATTGGACACATCTACTTTAGTTTAATCTTGTATATAAATATAAAACTTAAAAGATGTAAAACTAACTATGCTAGTAAAAAATGTGTAGTTATTCATGGACCGAATGGGCCGTACCCAAGGTCACAATATGAGCATTCATCAATTCCAGCAACGGTCAAGAAAATTTTTAATCTCAAAGATTTCCTGACAAAGAGAGATTCATGGGCTGGCACTTTTGAATCTGTTATTACAAGAGATTCACCAAGACAAGATTGTCCTGGTACTTATATATTCCTTATCCTCAATTTATTTCTATCAAAATTTATAACTATGACTAATAAAACTCTATTATGTTTTTTATTTAGATACATTATCAGTTCCGGTTAAACTGAGAGCGACGGTGGCAAAAGAAAATGCACAATTAAGCGAGTTTCAAGAAGAGCTCGTAATAATGGCTGCAGGATTAAAAGGAGACAACAAAAACGAAGAATTGATTCGCAAGCTATGCAAAGAAACTTGCGTTGCAGACGCTTCCAAATATGTTACAAACGCGTTTGATAAATTTATGGAAGAGGCTAGAAAGGCAAGAGAAAGAGGATGTGACGAGAACGACATCGTTTATTGCTTTGATGCTGATCATGATAATGATGATCATGTAGTAGCGATACCATCACCCTCACATTCAGAAATACCACATGCCGTTCCTAAGCCGAAAACACAAATGTCCTTTTTCCGTAAGTTATTTTCTTGCTTTACTCGTCATGATTGATAGAGTATACAATAAAACGAAATTCAATAGCTCTAAAAAACCTTTTAAACAAGTTACATCCATTGTAAAATCGTTTTTTTTTTTTGTTTTCTGTTCGATTAGTTTACATTCAATTAAAAAAAAATAGATAAATATTAAAGTTTTTTTGGTGTATGTGTGTGCGTGTGAGGGATATATAACCGCGATGTATTAATTGTGGTGGTGTTGTTTTATTTAAGATTGTAAAGCTTTAATATCCCTTGCATATGGTTTTTCTTTGTTTGAGAACTTACATATGTCTCGGTTGAGATTTACTTTAATGATTCGATTGATGAGTAGATTATTGACTCTGCAATTTTTTTTCTATATATAATAATAAACGGCTCATATAAAAACGTGATATATAGTGTAGCAAATAATTGGTCGCCAGGTAATTTTTCTTTTATCATCGGTCAATACCTAATAAATCTACTCCCTAATTGTATAATGATGTAGACTAAATAATGTATAGAGCGCCAACAACCACCTTGTTAAATTTTATTTTAATATCTAAAATAGACGAACATGGAGTTAAAGTAGACATTTGTACCACGAGATTCACAATCTTTGATCGTCATTTCCAACTTAGTGACAAAAATAGTGATTTAAAAAAACCTATAAAGAAACGTCTAATAAAAGTTGGTCTCGAGACAACCAAACGCAAACTTCAAAAACTTTTTTTTTCATCTGCAATGAAAAGTACTAAAAAAGAGGAATAGTTCTTCTGCCATCTCACCGATCGTGAGAAACATACAAATGCCAAGAGTCTCCAGAATTCCCCGATTTACTTTTATGTCATATATAAAATGTGAAATATCACCGAGTTGATTTACATGAGTAACTATTTCTTATGGGTTTCATATTAACCTACTCCCACTGAATAATTGATTCTTTCCTTTCCTTCTCTGGCTTATTAGACCATCTCTAATGGGGAGGTCTAGTAATAATTTTTTAAACTGTATGTATATAAAATAATAATAAAATATTAAAGGGATTTTTTTTAAAGAGGAAAAAGAGTATCTAAAATCTCTTATTTTAGAATTTCTCTATGCTCTTTTAAAGACTCATCCCTCCTCTTTTAACATACTTTTATTTTATATAATATTTTAAGAATTTTTATCCAAATTTTTAGAATCCATAGTTGGACATGCTTCAAACATTCCGCTTTGAATGAAAAAAAACTCAAAAGCCTAAGACTGCAAAGTAATTCAAGTCTAGTACACCGGGGAAAGGAATCGATATCTCTTTCGTTTAACTACAAGAGATAAGTTGAAATTTTACATTGCTAGTTTTCATACATAATGATTTCTGAAAACTGAAAAGTCCAAATAGTTTTGTACTTTTGAGGAAGATTTCATAAGTTAACAAAAAACAAAAGTTTTGTTCCGAAGAATAAAATTATAATATTAAAGATCCATTTATGTAATTGGACCTCGTTTCTATGCCTAATATAAAAACTAAAAATGTGTATCATTTTGACGGAGACACAGCTAATTCAAAGAGAGAAAGAGAGAGAAAACAAACTAAAGAATAAAGAAAATGGTGGAGGAGACGAGTTCCGGCGGCTCTTCTCCGATCAAGACCATCGTTGTTTTGGTCCAAGAAAACCGGTCATTTGACCACATGCTAGGTTGGTTCAAGGAGCTAAACCCGGAAATAGATGGAGTATCCGAGTCCGAACCCAGATCCAACCCGATATCCACATCCGATCCGAACTCTGCTCAAGTTTTCTTCGGCAAAGAATCTCAGAACATTGATCCTGATCCCGGTCACTCCTTCCAGGTACACGTCGGTTCACATAAGTCCTTGATCAGGGAAATGATATTCTTTAAACCGGTGTAATGTTCGGTTTCATGTGTTTCGAGGATAAATCGTCTGGTTATTTTGATTTCTTCTTAATAAAACCGACCATCAATTTGGTTAATACGTTGACCAAATGATGTCTTATGTTGTTTTCTATTCATCGGTTCTCTTTCAAATCAAATAACCAAAATAAGAATCGGTTAATTTAATTTTTTCGGTTTGTTGACCCAATTAAAAACACTCTTAAACCGGCCAGTGATGCATGTTTTCTTGGAATGTTGTCAGGCGATCTACGAGCAAGTGTTCGGGAAACCGTTCAGCGACGAGAGCCCGTACCCGGATCCGAAAATGAACGGGTTCGTACAAAACGCAGAGGCGATAACCAAAGGGATGTCGGAGAAAGTGGTGATGCAGGGGTTTCCGCCGGAGAGACTTCCCGTATTTAAGGAGCTAGTTCAAGAATTCGCCGTCTGCGATCGGTGGTTCTCGTCGTTGCCGTCGTCGACGCAGCCTAATCGACTCTACGTCAACTCCGCGACATCAAACGGTGCGTTTAGCAACGACACTAACACACTCGTCCGTGGGTTCCCTCAGAAGACAGTGTTCGAATCACTTGAAGAGAGTGGCTTCACTTTTGGTATTTATTACCAATCTTTTCCCAATTGCCTCTTTTACAGGTAAATAATACTTTCATTCTTTTTTCTTTAATTTCGAAAAAATATATTAGTTGAAATGTAAATGTAAAAAGTCAAAATTATATGATTGTAGGATAATTTGGAGAAATATTAATATGATGAATAAAAAAATGATAATGACAAAACCCACAAAGTGTGGTTACACGTGGATTGCAATATTATGATGAAAAATGAATTATATTTCTCGATGATTGATTTTTATCAATAAGAAAGTTTCCCGTAATGATCATGTACTAACTACTACTCGTGCTTTAGGAAATGAACACGTGCTTGGAATATTTCTGTTTAGTTTATATTTCTTTGTAGTTTATATAATTCTTTGTAGTTTATGATGTCGTGTAAACCTAAGAATTCACTAATTTAAATTTAAACTCAATTAGGAACATGAGGAAATTGAAATACGTGGACAACTTCAATCAATACGACTTAAGTTTCAAGAGGCATTGCAAAGAAGGGAAGCTTCCAAACTATGTGTTCATAGAACCGAGATACTTCAAGGTTTTGACGGCTCCAGCCAATGATGACCACCCCAAAAACGATGTCGTTGAGGGCCAAAACCTAGTCAAGGAGATCTACGAAGCCTTGAGAGCTAGTCCTCAGTGGAACGAGACTCTCTTCGTTGTTGTTTATGATGAACATGGTGGTTACTATGACCATGTCCCTACTCCAGTCATTGGTGTCCCGAATCCTGATGGTCTTGTTGGACCTGAGCCGTATAACTTTAAGTTTAACCGGCTCGGTGTTAGGGTTCCTGCATTGCTGATCTCACCTTGGATCGAGCCTGGAACCGGTACGGATGTAAATAATTGGAACTGACTTGTGTTGTTAATTTAGCGATATTTGCATGTTAGTTGAAACCGGTTATTGATTCTCTCTTAGTATACACTGCGGTTAGGTTATCATATAACCATTTCTTGTTCATAACACGATTTGTAGTGTTACACGAGCCAAAGGGACCGGAGGCAACGTCACAGTTTGAGCATTCATCAATTCCAGCGACACTGAAAAAGGTATTTAACCTCAAGAGCTTTCTTACAAAGCGTGACGAATGGGCCGGAACGTTCGATGCTGTCATCAACCGAACCAGTCCAAGGACTGACTGCCCGGGTAACTATCGGTTATCTAGTCAATTACGGTCCATAGTAGACGTGTTGGGCTCTGCAAGGCGCAAGATTGGTTCATTGTATAATATTTTTCCCTTTATTCTTTCTTTCAGTTACGTTACCGGAACTTCCAAGGAAAAGGGACATAGACATTGGAACACAAGAAGAAGAAGAAGAAAATCTCACTGATTTTCAAATCGAGCTGATTCAAGCAGCGGCTGTTTTAAAAGGAGATCATATCAAAGACATTTACCCGTTTAAGCTAGCGGAAAACATGAAGGTTTTGGATGCAGCTAAGTACGTAGAAGAAGCTTTCAATAAATTCCATGGTGAGTCCAAGAAGGCTAAAGAGGGAGGTTGTGATGAACATGAGATCGTTGATCTCTCAAACGGATCTACACGTCACTCAAATCCGAAATCTTTTATTCAGAAGTTTTTCTCTTGTTTGATTTGTGATAATTGAGCTAGAGTTACAAGAAATTTGATCTGTGGTGGTTTTTTTCTGGATTTAATTAGAAGAGTGTATGAACTACTATGTTTGTTTGTTTGTTTTTGAATATATATTTTAAAGACATTCTGAATATATTTCCAATCATATACACCAAATACGGACTTAGTTTCAGCATACATAGAGATTGCGGATCAATAAAAAAAAAAAAGGATTTCAAGGTTGAAATAGAACAAGCGTTACTGTTTTAAAAATAGAACAAAAAAAAAGAAAAGAGGTTTAAATAGAACAAAAGTCAAAAACAGAGGATTTGCTAAAACAGAGGAAGAAACAGAACCTAAGATTAAAACAGAGGATTCGTCAAAACAGAGGAAGAAACATAACCTAAGATTAAAACAGAACAAAAGTCAAATTATAACAAACCAAGAACAGAGAGTGATGTTGTTATTTGTAGTGATGGTAAGTCTACTTCCTCTTTTTGATATAACAATTGCAAGCATCCACAGTAAAAGAAGTCATACAACCAAACTTCCTCTTCACTTCCCTCCACACGCTTATCTCCTCTTTCATCTTCTTCTTCCCGCAATGAACAGCACATGCAAGATTCTCAATCCCTCTTTTCTTACTGGAATCAGATTCGATGTCGAGCCTCAACAACTTCTTATTCATATTCTCGATTTCATCATTTTCCTCTTCTTCTACATCTACGTCCTCTGTTTTCTCATGTACACCCTTCAATTCTTTAGCCCACCGATCGCGAATCTGCTGCTGAGAAAAGAAAAGAACCTGCACAACAATCCTCAGTGGAAGCTTCTCGTTCTTCGAAGCATGTTCACAAGCCTCGGGTGAAAGCTTCTTACATTCAAGAACTCTACAAGCTTCCATCTTCTCCGATTCAGTCAAACCTCTACGCCTCTCCAAGAAAACATCAATTGCTCTGTAGATTTCATCAGAGTATCTCAGCACATCGCAAGACGCAGCAACCGTTATTTCTCCTAACGCCTTAAACGTTTCTACTTTTAAACTCGCATCACTCGCAGCAACCTCGAATAGAAACTCTTCCAACATTTTCGCTACACTCACAAACCGCGAAACGTCCGAGACATTGTAGTTACTGTAAAAGCTCTTGAGAATGGTTTTCAAGAGCTCGATGTCATATGATCCATCTTCTTTTGATGACAGAATCAGAAGATCTTTCGCTGTAGCCATATCGAGCTGTTTGCTTATCCTAACTTCAAACCCATTTCGACAATCAGAGCAAGCATCAAGAAAAATCGATTCTTTAAGCGATTTAAACAAGAATCCACAGGAGATAGCTCCTCTTTGGTGAGGCAAGAGCCTCTCAACAGCTTCAATTACTTCTCTCTTGTATCTTGAAAAGCTTTCATCTCCAGAATCTTTATCGAAAACCCATCTTTTTGCGTAATTGCAGAGCGATACCACGAGGTTTTCTATCGGGACATTGTGCTTACTCGATTCTAGGATCAAGGATTCATATAACCGAAGAGGTAATGTAATAAGATCTTCAAGCAGTCTAGGATCTTTGAGAGCCTTTTCTACAAGAGAATCTAAGAAGACTTCGATGATTCCAACATCAGTTATCTTGTCTAGAATCTTATCGCTGCAGACACGAAGAGCTTTCACGGTCTCATTCCAGCTCGTAAGAACCCGTTGTTCCAAGAACGTTACTGCCTTGTTCAACAAGTTATTAGAGCTATGATCATCGTTCATCTCTAGGTAATAAGCAGCGCAGAGAACAGAGACGATGATTTCAGATGAGAAATGGATTTTGTAGCCATGGCAGAATTTGGTCACGAGGAAGAAGGTTGTGGGGTCGATGTCGATGTCTCTGAGGATCCAACGCAGTTCATCGATCTTGCTACACTCGAGTAATGTTGTCACTTTTGCGGATTTCTTAGCCAAAGTTTCCTAAACAAACACCAAAACCAAAAATCAAAACCCTGGAAAATCAGAAGAAAACCCAAAAAAGCCATGAACCTCAACGAAATCGAGTGCAGAAAGCTTACTTTGTGAAGATGAAATGGGACTCCTTTCACAAAGAGCTCAAGATCTGGTGACTTTGAATCACTACACAATGAACATTTAGGGCTGTTAATATTTCTCGGGTTGATTACAAAATTAACCTGAACCGGAGAGATTAAGGGTCTTACCCGATCAATGAGTTCTTCGAATATCTATTTGACATTTCGTAATCGAGAGATTGTTTCTGTCTGCGAACACTAGACTGTGACTGTAACCTGTAGTCCAAGGAACAGAAGCTTGTGTTTCACGGGGTTATGCAACAATGAAGAAAAAAAAACAGAGAACAGGATGACTAAAGCATTCTTCAATGCTGAAGATTAAGTCAAAAGCTATAAACGAAAAAAAGAATAAAAAAGAGACGTTAGAAGAAAAGTGTGGTTCATGCTGAGATGTAGGAAATTCTGTTATGATACTGCGGGATTTCTCACTGAAAACGTAATTTTTCGAAACTCTTCGTTAGTTGTTTTATTCCTTGGCGATATATCTGGGTAAATTTGAGATTAGTCTTTCTTTGTCCTTATATCATGCTTTATAGTTTCAGTGTTTCACTCTGACACGTTCTACATAGAGACAAAGATCTAAAAAAAAAAATCGCGACGTCATATCCTTGTGCTAACAAAACTTATTACTCGCATAATCACTTCCAGAGTTTTTACTTTATTATTACGACAGTAGAACAACATAATTGGTTTATACAAGAAGTCAAAACAAAAATACATATTGGTATAGGAAATGGTTGCAAAATCCACCAAGTAACAGAAACAACAATTAATGAAAGATGATTTTGGTAGAGGATAAGTTTTATCCACAAACATCAACAACAAACAAATAAGCAACAGCAGAAGCAGTTCTTTTGTCTCCTTGACCAGAGATGATGTTACAATTGTGTCGAGAGACCCACACACACACACCATTTACGGGTCTGCAAGCAATTTAGAACCTGGATAAGAGAACAACCTTACAGTGTTTCCATAAGTTAACTCCGCGAGCTCTTCTTTCTTCATGTTTGACAGGTTTGCAACATAATCTAGTACCTGTTAACCACGGAAAGGATCAGACAAGAAATGTGTAATCTAACCAGAAGAAACAAGAAACAATATCATACAGCAAGAATGTTTGCAGGCTCATTGAGAGTTGGTTTTGGATCCGATGAACTCTCATCGGCTTTTGGTAGTCCGTCAGGTGAATCTGTCTCCAATAAGAATCTATCGGAAGGAATCTACACAAGACCGGGAAACAAATCAGAACTTTCGTTATCCAGAAGTTGTATAGTTATAGAGGAAAAATAACAAACCGATTTCAAAGTGTTCTTTGCGATTTTCTCATCAATGTAAGTGAACCAGCCAGAAAGGGAGAAGTATGCACCAAGCTCAGCAAGTTTAGGAACAACTTCAGCAGAACCATTGAATGAATGAAGAATCACGCCCGCGGGAAAAGGCCCTACAGATCTGCATATATTGAGATTTTTTTTAAGGCATATAGAAAGGAAGAAGACAAAACATAATGGGTTTCTCCCTTGAAAATCTTCGTAAATACAACTTGTAGAAATATATTTGTATAGATACCTCATTATCTCGAGGAGATCATCGAATGCATCGATGCAATGAACAGCTACTGGTTTGTTCAGTTCTTTGGCAAGTTCAAGCTGTGGGCGAAACACGACAAGCTGGTCTGAGTAATCAATTCCTGCTGCTAAGGGGCTTTTGTCCAACCCAATCTGCGAAAAAAACATCATTTCTTATGAAGATGTAATTATAATGAGATCTCAGATAAAAAAAGGTTCCAATATACTCTCCAGTAATATTACACTAAAATCTACAGCTTCGCAGTTTATACTTACTTAATCAAACTCATTGAACCAACAAAAGTTAACAATCCAGTATTCATTAAAAAAAAAAAAATTAGTTTAGATGAATCGAGAGATAATATAAAGACTAACTTCTCCAACCGCAGCCGTAGGAGTAGTCTCAAAGAACTTCCTCAATGTTTTAAGCCAATGAGGACTCCTATCTGCAATAAACCTGAAAAACCGAAAAACATAGAAAAGAGAAAATAATAAGCTTTGATCTGAAACTTTTTGCATTAATTGAAGATCATCTGCATATAAAATCCATACCAAGGATGAAGTCCAAAGCAAGGAACAACAGAAGGATACATCTCTCCCATCCCTTTCACCAAGTCCCAGTCTTTCTGGATCCATAAACAAAACCCATTAAAAACATGTGTAATAGTGACCGAATGATCAGGAAAATGTGGAAAATACCTCAGAGGTTCCATTGACTGCGAAATTGGTAACACCGACAGCTAAAGCAGCAGATATGAGCTCAGAGGCTTTGTCGATGACCCTCTTGTCCTGAAGGTGACAATGAGCATCAAACAACTTCATTATCACCGTGAGGTTCTTGGACCTGAGAGATCTCTGTGGCTTCTTTCTTCTCTTCTGAGGTTCTTAAATTATCTGGAGATTCTTATCATATATATATATATATATAACAGATGGGTTATGTACCAATGTTTATAGCTTAACCCCAAAGATATGGTTTCATCATATGATCAGACCAAGGCGTTGACTTTTGAGATAGTTTGAGGTTTAAAAGACGCTACGAAACTCTGATCTGGATTAACTTGAAACTGAAGACTGCAATGGTAAACAAATACTTTTCGTAAGAGTATTCACGTAATATATTAGAGTAAGGAATAAAACAAAAGAGACTAAAATAAGAGTTACCACCCTATCCTATCTGTGATAAGCATACAAAAACATACATTGTCCTGCAGATACAGCATAACCCTCCCTTTCAAGGACATTGTCCCCTGCACTTCTGCTTCCAATTTCACCCTGAGAACATGTACGAAGTAAATTGCAGAGAACTAAATTTCCAATTAAAAGATATGCATGATCTTTATTGATGTCTTTAACTCACTCCAAGATTTGTACACGTAGAAATGGATCCACTATTAAACTAAGAGATAGCTTTTAAAGTTAAACTTATCAACTTGCTAAAAGTCCATACACAAACTATAATTGTATCAAAGATGCACCATTGAGAGGAATTTCAAACTTATGAGGAATTAAATTTGCTGAGAAAAGCAAAACTGTATGGATACACATACACCTAACTGTAACTGTACCATGTATTCACCTATTTCCTGTAAACTATAAGTGATTTCAGAAATAATCCTCACATGTAATAATGCTGTAACATTGAAAATGACATTTGATGACAGGAAGAATGCTATATCAAATTTCAACGATAAGTGAAAAAAAAAAATAGACACGCAGGGACATTACCAAAAGTAATTGCATCGTCTGCAGATGTGCTGTAACATAAAATAGAATGCCAACGGAGACCAAAGCTGCAGACTGAAGAATATTTGAAGATAGCATGTTTTGTTTTTTTTTTGGGTCACGAATAAGAGATAGCTAAACTCCATGGATTCTGCAGAGATAACTGAAATCAATGGATTCTGCTAGGAGCAAGACATATGTGAGGTAGAAAAGATAACTATTCCAAAGATTCAAAGGGGATATATGTCTTTACTTTTAGCATATGTAAGTAAATTGCATAGCAAATCAAACAACTTCTACTTTCAGTAATTGCTTGTGGAGAACTAAAATACTTTCAATAAGTGAAACACCACAGCAATCTGTACCTGTAGAAGTGTTGGTATCTCAAACTCAGCATATTGAAGCTTGGTATCGAAAGTGTTTCTGGTTGACTCGCTATCAACAAAAGTAGTAGTAATTCATAATCTGAGCCCACGACCACTAAATAGTCAAGAAAATGAAGCAACTGAACTTGTACCTTTGCAATATCAGGTTCTTCAGTACGAAGCTGCCAGACCAAGCATCAAACCTACCGTGGTGCTCTCATGGTCCTATAAGACCAATGAAAGGATGCAATTAAGGCAAATAGAGAGTAGTCAAGAATGTGTCTGAATTTATCAAATGGAAAAAATCACTTTAATATAAGAAGAATATGAAAGTTGTTGCATCTATTTGCAGATTAAAACGATTCTATAATGTGATAACAAAGGCTGATAATGAAAAACGACCACATTTATCAAATGAGGCAGACATTAGTCTTAATTTATTAAAGGAGTCCAATGTTGCAATTCCTAAATTCATATCTCCACTCTAAGCCACATGTGGTCACAACTAGAGATGACATGTGCTAATCCAAAAATCCAAAAACATACATTGTGAGATCATGCATGTGTCCCAGTTTGGTGTTTTCTCTCATCTCATGATGCAAAAGTAAGATAAGAGACACTAAAACACAAACCTGAAGCAGAGCCAGTCCAGCAACAACATTATAATGAAACTCTGGCCAGGTCTCAAAATCAGCAATAGCATTATATTTGCAACCAAATACATACACAGAGATTGTTCCGCATCACACTCCTAAAGTTTTTGTTCCCAAATTTGCTTTGAAATAGAGATCGGATAGCTGAACTCAAAGACCCATATCTAAGTCTTTGCTCACTTGTCGCTTCAATCACTCAGATTCGTCTTCTGAGAAATTTTCTTCTTTCAGAGCTCACTGTCGTCGCCATCGGGTTCCATCGGAGACCTCTAAAGAGCAAAACGACAAACGATAACAAGCAAAACGCAAATAACATATATTTGTTGTGAAAACTTAGAAACTTTATTAATCACTGGAATGTATATATAGAGTACATAGGGAATCTAGGTTAAGTACAATGCCCTGATGGGCCTAATGGGCCGGTATAAGAGTCCATATATGATATGTGTTATAACAATATTGATGTTAATAATGTAGAGCTAGGAGCAATGCTACTATTTTCACTAAATTAAGACCAAAACGGCAATCCAATAACAAATAAAACGCAGCGGAAGAAAAAATAAAAATAATAATAAAAAAATAGCTCACTCGCGAAAAAATCGCGCTAGACCGCGTTTTGGCAAAATACAAACAAAATTGAAAGGAACACCTTTCGATTTTGGGTCCACGCGCTCAACGCTCCTCGGGTGCGACTGGGAGATTGAAATAGTAAGTTTGATTTGTGACCGTTAGATCAATTGAAAAGTAACCGTTGGATTGGAAACTTAATATAATCTCACGGTAAGTTTGCTTTTGACCGTGGACTAGCTTTAATCGAAATAATCCCGTCCCTACATTTTCTTAAGTTTACGGTCAAACCTTTTTTATTCACTTTTACTTCCATATACTCATTTTCATCGAAATAATCCCACCTATTAGTAATGTAAAATTTTTTTTTTCCCTCTACGAAAATTGATGACAATATCCGCTCTTTCTTTGACTCTGATCACAGAAGAAAGTTTGAGTTTTCGAGAAAGACGATGCAAAAGAACACATGGCTGCTCGTTTTTTTAAAAAAAAAAAAAACAGAAACACACATTTTTAAAAATAATTAAGCCAACAAGTTGATTTGCACGTTTTATTTTGACTGGTGAAAAATATTTAAAAGCTATCGCGTTTTCTAAGTGTATGTATTAATTCTTTTATTATGGTTGCGTAAGTGTTTTTGGTTAACATTTGCGAGTTCACGTGGGAAAGTTGCTTTCGATAGTACCAAACCATCGATAGAACGAGCAAAAAATCAGAATAACTAACCAACAAAATGTTGAAAATGTGCAATATTATGTGTATATTATGTGCTTAAATTTCTTATCTTACATCAAGATATCAAACCATGGACTATCAGGTGTCTTTGCCTCAATCCACCACCACCACATGTCTCTCGTTCAAGGTTCATCGCCAGCAGCCGGAGCTGGTAACTCCGGCTAAGCTAACACCACGAGAACTCAAACCTCTTTCCGACATTGACGACCAACAAGGGTTAAGATTTCAACTTCCGGTTATCTTTTTCTACAGACCTAACCTTACAAGTAATCTTGATCCGGTCCAAGTGATTAGGAGAGCCCTCGCGGAGACGCTGGTTTACTATTACCCGTTCGCTGGGAAGGTCCAAACCGGAAACTCGCGGTGGACTGTACCGGAGAAGGCGCTTTGTTCATTGAAGCCGATGCTGACGTGGCGTTTGCTGAGTTAGAGGAAGCAAACTCTCTTCTTCCTCCTTTCCCTTGCTTAGAAGAGCTTCTCTATGACGTACAAGGCTCCAGTGATTTGCTTAACACTCCTTTGCTTCTCGTCCAGGTATTGTATTGTGACATATTACTACTATCATTTCAATTTATGTATTTATTCTTTTTAAAAATCAGCTGAACAGAGAGCTCGGCTTGCGTGTAGGTCACGCGTCTTAATTGCGGTGGATTTATCTTTGCCCTCCGTTTCAACCACACCATGACCGATGGAGCCGGCCTGTCCCTCTTTCTGAAATCACTCTGCGAGTTAGCGTGCGGGTTACGAGCACCCTCGGTTCCACCCGTGTGGGACCGACATCTACTGACAGCGAGTGTCTCCGACCGTGTGACCCACACGCACCGCGAGTACGACGCTAAAGTAATGGAACCTGAAGCAGTAGTTAATGTCGGAGAATGTTTGGTTAGTCGGTCTTTCTTTTTTGGTGCGGACGAGATCGCCGCTATACGGAGACTCCTCCTCCCGCCTAATCTCCACAACACCACTTTTGAAGTGCTGACTTCCTTTTTGTGGCGTTGCCGGACCGTTGCGTTGAATCCTGAACCCAACACCGAGATGCGTATGACTTGCATTGTCAACTCGCGTTCCAAACTTAGCAACCCACCGTTACCATCAGGTTACTACGGAAATGCTTTTGCCATTCCTGTGGCGATAGCGACCGCAAAAGATCTGATAGAGAAACCGCTTGAGTTTGCTTTGAGGTTGATACAAGAGGCCAAGTCGAGCGTGACAGAAGACTACATCCGGTCCGTGACGGCCTTAATGGCAACTAGAGGCCGGCCTATGTTTGTGACTGCTGGGAACTTCATAGTGTCAGATTTGAGACATTTTGATTTAGGCAAAGTTGATTTCGGGCCGTGGCGTACGCCGGTGTATGGTGGAACCGCTAAGGCCGGTATCGATGTTTTTCCTGGAGTGAGTTTTTATGTGCCGTTGACGAATAAAAAGGGAGAGACGGGAATCGACGTGGCGATTAGCTTGCCGGTTCCTGCCATGAAGAGATTTGCGGAAGAGCTAAACCGTGTGTTAAAACGTCCAACATGTGTGTGACGGATGAACCAAATAAATCTAAACCAAAATTGTGGTCTATTCACCTTTGTGTGCCACGTATACGTGATAGGGTATCGATCTAAACCAAAATTTGAAACATCCTTTCAACGATTAATTAATATAGATCGAGGTTGCGAACATATCATAAAATGAAAAAAAATATATATTGAAAACAGTGAAAAGGCAAGCCAATGATCCATTACACGATTTGCAGATAATAATCGAATGAAGACACTAACTTTACCTACAAACTTACAAAGTAACTGAAAATGTTAAGCTTTGGAGTTGGATCCATTACACGATTGCAAAGAAAACATGACCAGAAGCAGAAACGTACACGTTACTGACTTACTGTTTATAGTTTTGTCACTAGTCTAATTTCCTTCTATACTCCTATTCCATTTCTTTTTATTAGCAGTATATTTTCTCATTATATTAAAAAGTTCATCCGAAATCTATAGTAGATTACACGAAGGATAGTAAATTAATGTATAGAAATATCATATACTCATTCAGGACCCACTACAAAACTCATATATAGTAGAGTGAGAATTTTAAAAAGGTACGTACGAGACTTCAAAACAAAGTAGACATAGTTTCTGAAACTCTCTATCGGTCGTCGGAATTAATTGAATTCAAACAAATGTTCTGAGTATAATTAAACAAAACGCTAAGTGTTTGCTAATAGTTACATAGTATATGAATTGTCTTGTTATTCACGTATTCACTTATACATGCACACCACCGAATGAAACACGGTGAAGAATATTGACACCACGTTGCATGCATGGACAAACGTGACAAGTGTACAGAAGTATATACACTTCACAAAAGTTAGCGACCGTTAATTAAATCAACGAATGATCTAGCAAATTGTAAGGAAAAAATACACATATTCATAAAATTTCACCCAAAAAAAAAAACATCTAATCGAGTCTAATATACATATTTAGTCTCATACATTTCCCTCTAGAGGAGCAATTAGCAACAATGGAGATCATCACAGTCTTCTTCCTCATCATCATCTCCCTCTCCTTGTCCATTTTCCTTAAACTCATCTTCTTTTCCCCAACCCACAAACTCCCGCCGGGTCCACCGCGTTTTCCGGTCATCGGAAACATCATCTGGCTCAAGAAGAACAGCTTCTCCGATTTCCAAGGCGTTCTTCGTGACTTAGCTTCCCGTCACGGACCAATCATAACCCTCCACGTAGGCTCCAAACCTTCGATCTGGGTCACCGACAGATCACTCGCTCACGAGGCCCTTGTCCAGAACGGCGCCGTTTTCGCCGACCGTCCTCTCGCTCTCCCCACCACCAGAGTAATCACAAGCAACCAACACGACATCCACTCCTCCGTCTACGGCCCTCTCTGGAGAACCCTTCGCCGGAATCTCACCTCCGAAATCCTCCAACCGGCGCGTGTGAAAGCCCACGCGCCGTCGAGAAAATGGGCTCTCGAGATTCTCGTCGATCTACTCGAGTCGGAGCAGAGAGGGAAAGGGCATGTCTCGGATGCCTTGGGTCATCTCCGTCACGCGATGTTCTGTTTGTTGGCTCTGATGTGTTTCGGCGAGAAACTGAAGAGAGAAGAAATCAGAGAAATCGAAGAAGCTCAGTACCAAATGCTCATAAGCTACACCAAATTCAGCGTCCTCAACATCTTCCCAAGCGTGACCAAGTTCTTACTCCGACGAAAATGGAAAGAATTTTTCGATCTGCGGAAATCTCAGGAGAACGTTATACTCCGATTCGTGAACGCCAGAAGCAGAGAAAAAGCCGGAGATGTTCTCTGTTACGTCGATACGCTGCTGGGTCTAGAGATTCCGACGGAGGAGGAAGAGGGGAAGAAGAGGAAACTGAGTGAATCGGAGATCGTGAGTCTGTGCTCGGAGTTTCTAAACGCAGCGACGGATCCGACGGCGACGGCGATGCAGTGGATCATGGCGATCATGGTGAAATACCCAGAGATACAGAGGAAGGTATACGAGGAGATGAAGAGTGTTTTAGCCGGAGAAGAAGAGATAAGAGAAGAGGATTTGGGGAAGCTGAGTTATCTCAAAGCTGTGATCTTGGAGTCTCTAAGAAGACACCCTCCTGGTCACTACTTATCTTACCATAAAGTCACAAAGGATACAGTTTTAGGTGAATTCCTCGTTCCTCGCCAAGGTAAATTAGACATGCATATACACTAGAGCCAAGTAACGTAACCATGCATGCACAAACAAATTTTGAAAATTTGAAGATAAGCTGGCAAGAAGTTGTAGACTTCATGTTTAATTAGTTGAAAAGCTTTTGAAAAACATAACTTTAACCAATTAAATTAAGTCCAATAATGAATGTAGTATCTGATTTGTGTTGGAGTAGGTACAATAAATTTCATGGTAGGAGAAATGGGCCGAGACCCGAAAATATGGGAGGATCCTTTGACCTTCAAGCCGGAAAGATTTCTAGAGAACGGGGAAGCACATGGCTTTGATATGACCGGAACTCGTGAGATCAAGATGATGCCGTTTGGAGCGGGACGAAGGATGTGTCCTGGTTACAGCCTTTCGCTGCTTCACCTCGAATATTTCGTGGCCAATTTGGTCTGGAAATTCGAGTGGAAATGTGTGGAAGGTGAAGAGGTTGATCTATCCGAGAAGCAACAGTTCATCACAATGGTCATGAAAACCCCTTTCAAGGCTAATATGTATCCAAGGAGAAAGTGATTTGCCTTTTGCTTCATTACATTTTCAATAGCCCATTGGGCTTGTTAGTCATCTGTATATATCATCAACTACTTGTCTCATGTGTGCTAAAACCAATTTGGGCCGTAAATGGGCTTCAATAATATATATTATCAATCAGTAGGAAGAAAGTCACATTTCTTATGTTTTTAGTGTCTTCCCTTTAAATCATCATCATTTTCATGGCAGAGAAGAAGAACAATTGCAAACCGAAACCCTAAAAATTCGAAATTAGCTAAGAGAAAATGGAAGGATCGAAGCAGCAGCAGATTTTGCTTCAAATGCAGCAGCAACAACAGCTGCAGCAGCGTCAACAACAGCTCTTTCTGATGCAGCATCTGCAGAAACAGCAGCAACAGGCGGCGATGTCGAGGTTTCCGTCGAATATCGACGCTCATCTCCGTCCTCTGGGATTAATCCCGAACCGACCCGTTAACCCGTCTCTTCAGAACGCAATCCCTAACCCTAGTTCTGCCCCTAATTTGCTTCAACACACCAATAACTTTCAGCAAGAGCAGCAGAGTGTGCCTAGTCAGCAGAAGACGATGATGATGATGCAGCAGCAGCAGCAACAACAACAACAACAACAACAGAAATCGATGGTGATGATGCAGCAACAACAACATCAACAGCAGAATTCGATGCGTCCATTGAATCAATTGGAGTTACAGTTCGCTTACCAAGACGCGTGGCGTGTCTGCCATCCTGATTTCAAGCGACCTTTCGCTTCTCTCGAAGACGCCTGTGAAAGGTTTGTTTTTAATTCACAAATTTTATCATATATCTTCGTATAATTTAATTCATTTCTGCCTTCAGTGAATTTCTGGTATAGTTATCTCTTGAAAAGATTGTTTTTGATTGATCTCTGGTAGTACTTAGCTTTCTGTAGAGGAATATCCAACTAGACTTCTCATCTTTAATCATAAAGGCCAATGCTTTTTTCTTTTATTTTTTAGAGTGTTGCTTTTCTTCACCCTTTTGTAGAAAAGTATATTATAATATGTTTTCTTCAACTGTTATCATCTCTGTGTAGATCCTAAAGTCCAGCATCGTAGAAAAAGTTTTCTATTTTAGTACCGTGTGATATGATATTGTGTCAGTTGATCCATATAGTTTTCGTTCCCAAGATTTTCTCATGCATCAGATCTCCTTATTCACTTTCTTTAAATGCTTATATGAATTGTTTGTTCTCTTGCTGAATTCAAATGTAGTATCGTCTCCATGGTAATCTCTTATCAAGTTTTCTATTTCTCTGTTCTCTTACAATCTATTGCAGATTGTTACCTTATCACGTCGTGGCAGATTACGAAGCAGAAGAGGACGACAGAATCCTCGATTCAGACACAACAAGCGAGACGCTATCACGAAATCAGCAATGGGACAACAACATTGCAGCCAAAGTCGCAGAATTCACGGCGACATTTGAGAAGCAAGCCCAAGCTTTCAACATAATAACTCAAAAGAGAAAGGGTGGAGAGCTCAGATCGGAGGAAAGGTTGATGGTTGAGCAAGCTTTGCTCCAAGACGAGAGAAAAGCATGTGTTGATGTGAAATCAGAGTTGGATAGAGAGATGAAGGCTCAGGAGGCGAGGTTAAGAATGGTGGCTTTGGCTCAAGCAGGACAAGTGAAGGCAGAGTCACTCCAATCTCATACCGAGATGATGGCTCGCAATCCGCTGAGAGCTAATGCGATTGGGAATCATGGAGAACAAAGACGTAACATGAACCCTGATGAGATGATGATGATGATGATGCATGGATGGGGGAATAATAGTAATAATAATAGTCAGAGAGAGGACAAGGAACCAGTAGAAGATTTCTTGAATGATGAAGAAAATGAAAATGGAGAAACTGGTGAACATGGGAACTGGCGAGGAAATGGGGAGTTTGATTTGAATACTCGGTAAATGGAACAAAGAGATTATATTTTTTCCTTTTTTTCTTTTTCTTTTTTGGTGATCCAAATACTTGCAGAATGCGATGGTTTGTAGTTAAAACTTGAAAGGTAGTGAGAGTACTGAGAGATAAGGTGTTCTTCTCGACTTTGGTTACAGTAAAAAGAAAATGACGCTGATCAAGTTAGTTCAACTACGTGCCGTTTCTTTTGTAGTATAATACATTGATCAGGACGATATTGAGCAGGAAATAAAAACCAGGTTCAAAGAGGTATGTATTGTGCCCATTCTCACCAACAGGTGCATCAACGAATATCATTTTATTTTAGCTGCGGCTGGACCATATACAATAATCCGCAACACACTTTCTTTCCTTATATTCCAAGAAGGATCTCTTACGGTTTCCAAACGATACAATATATAAAAAACTCTTATTAATTATGCACACTGATGTGTGTATATACCTTACATTAGCATATATGTCTTTTTTTTTTTTTTTTTTTTTTTTGACAACACATTAGCATATATGTCTATAAACAGAAAAAATATGAAATAAATCAGTGAAAGTAACCTTTATGTTGTGGACGTCTCTTAGCCTATGTCTTCCTCTACGTGGCACATGACAGGTTGTTCATGTGTCAGTCTCACAAAAAAGAAAACGTGAGCAGTAGTTTTAGCTCAATGAAATAGTAAGGAAATAAAACAATTTCTTTTTTTTTTTCGTTAAAACAACTTTGTTTAAATCATAATGATCAGAGAAAATTCACTTCGCCATAACTATCTAATGATATATGAATTTAGTTTAGATTTAAAAATAATGTTAAGTGTGACCTGAAACCTGCTGAAAATTGACACTCATTTGCCATCTTTTTGTTTTTGTTTTTAATCAAAACAACATAGGATTCTTACTTCAACGTATAGTCGAACTTAAAATCTAAGACACACCATCATGTTGGCTTCGATTTTAAAGCGTTACAGACTTGGTGTCTAAAACTCTAGATCATATGTTTGATATGAATTTTTGCCCATATATATTTGATCATTGATTAAGTTATCTATTTGACAATTAAGATCAGGGAACGAGTGGGAATTATAACAATATATCTCTCAAAAAATTAAGAGAAAATGGATAGTATAATATAATTTGTCTTTGTTTATTAATAGTACTTTTAAAGATAAATTTCTATATCTATTAAATTTGAAATTGTTTAGTTCTACTAATTAAAAATTGAAAACATGCAACTCAATAATATCAGTTGTCATTAAAAAAAGAAGATTATCAATTGCCAATTGTTTAGTCCGGGATAACAATAGGTATTCTGCTTCAAATAGGAAAGAAAATAAATCTTAAGAAAACGACATTAAGTGCGATTTTCTTAACACGCATTTGGTGCCGTTTCGGTTTAGAAACAAGGAAGTCGTATGCAAGAATATGACTATATTTAATGTCATTTAAGAACAATTAAGTCGTAATCGTATATAAGACTGACAGTCCATTAAAGGCACTTTTATACTTCAAAACTTCATAAATCTTACAACAATTTGTTTTTCTTGTCTAATCTTACAACAAATCTTACGAAAGCACACTACAACCTAAAAGTTTTATCTTGAAAAAAAAAAAACTCAAACATACTAATTTTATTTCAAAGACTTGGACAACATAAGTGTTCAGCTCTTTCCATCGTAGATGTTACAAGTTATAACACACACTACAAATCTTATGAAAAGTATTGTTATCCTTAGTTCTTACTATTGGTTACCACTCATGCATACGAATTCACCAACTAAAACTATTTTTTTAACTGTCGCATGTCAGTTTTGTAAACAACATAATTAACTAGAAACGATCTAATCTGTTACTAACTTATCTCGTGTTTAATTAGCTCAACAAAATCCATTATTTGTATTTAAAACAATATCTTGTGGGAGGTAAAAAGAGTAAGTTCTTGGTCTTGGAGTTGGGAAAAAGAAGAGGAGAGAAACAGATGCCAAACTATAGTGGCATCCTCTGCTCTCCTTATCTCTTAAACACAGTTCGATATCACTTCTCTCATTGGACCTCTCTCTATCTCACTCCCTCGTGTTTATATACTGTATATATATATTGTATCTCTCAGAATCTCCTTTGTTTCCACAAATTGTCTGTAACTATATCACAAAAAAGACCAATCCTTTTTTTCTTTTCTTTTTCAAATCCCCATTAAAAACCTTACCTACCCATGAAGTAAAGTAAACTCCTTACATATATCCAAAGAGACTTTTTTTTTAATTTCTCAACTTCATCAGTCTCTCGTCACAAAGAAGGAAAGATGAAGAGAGGACATGGAGAAACGTGGGGCCCAGTACCACCACAACCATCGACTGGTTCTGGTGAAGGTCCTTCAATGGCGGATAACAAGGGGAAGATGGCGGATGACAGCAACATGGATGAGCTTCTTGCTGTTCTTGGCTACAAGGTTCGATCTTCTGAAATGGCTGAAGTAGCACAGAAGCTTGAGCAGCTTGAGATGGTGTTGTCTAATGATGATGTTGGTGGGTCTACTGTCTTGAACGACACTGTTCACTATAACCCATCTGATCTCTCTAGCTGGGTCGAGAGCATGCTTTCCGAGCTAAACAACCCGGCGTCTTCGGATCTTGACCCGACCCGAATTTGCGAGGACAGATCGGAATACGACGATCTGAGAGCAATTCCGGGACTTTCGGCGTTCCCGAAGGAGGAGGAGGAAGGCGTTGACGAGGAAGCTTGCAGCAAGAGGATCCGACTCGGATCCTGGTCCGATTCGGCGGGCGAGTTAACTCGGCCTGTGGTGCTCGTTGACTCACAGGAGACCGGGGTGAGACTCGTCCACGCGCTGGTGGCGTGCGCTGAGGCGATTCAGCGAGAGGATCTTAACTTAGCCGACGCGCTAGTGAAGCGCGTGGGAACACTCGCGGCTTCTCAAGCTGGGGCCATGGGGAAAGTCGCTACGTATTTCGCCCAAGGCCTGGCTCGTCGGATTTATCGTCGCGCTTACACGACGGAGACGGACATCTCCGGGGTGGGTCCCTCCTTCGAAGAGGTTTTGCAGATGCATTTCTACGAGTCTTGCCCTTACCTGAAATTCGCTCATTTCACGGCGAATCAAGCGATCCTCGAAGCTATCACGACGGCGCGTAGAGTTCACGTAATCGATCTTGGGCTTAACCAGGGGATGCAGTGGCCGGCTTTGATGCAAGCCCTAGCGGTAAGATCCGGCGGACCTCCGTCGTTTCGTCTCACCGGAATCGGACCTCCGCAGACGGAGAATTCGGATTCGCTTCAGCAATTGGGTTGGAAGTTAGCTCAATTCGCTCAAGCTATAGGCGTCGAATTCGAATTCAAGGGATTAGCCGCCGAGAGTTTATCGGATCTAAAACCCGAAATGTTTGAGACCCGACCCGAATCAGAAACCGTAGTGGTCAATTCGGTATTCGAGCTCCACCGGCTTTTAGCCAGTCCCGGCTCAATCGACAAGCTTCTTGCCACCGTAAAGGCTGTGAAGCCGAGCATCGTTACGGTGGTGGAGCAGGAAGCGAATCACAACGGGATCGTCTTCCTGGATAGGTTCAACGAAGCGCTTCACTACTACTCGAGCTTGTTCGACTCGCTAGAAGACAGTTACAGCTTACCGAGTCAAGACCGAGTCATGTCGGAGGTGTACTTAGGGAGACAGATTCTCAATGTGGTGGCGGCGGAAGGATCCGATCGGGTCGAACGACATGAGACGCTGGCACAGTGGAGAATCCGGATGGGATCAGCCGGGTTTGACCCGGTTTCTCTCGGATCCAGCGCGTTTAAACAGGCGAGCATGCTCTTGTCTCTCTTCGCCGGCGGAGATGGATACAGAGTGGAAGAAAAAGACGGTTGCTTAATGCTGGGATGGCAGACGCGACCACTCATCACCACGTCGGCGTGGAAACTCGCCGGAGCCGATGAGTCACGGCGGCGGTAGAGACGACGTCGCTCGCTCGAAACCGGGAAAATAAGGACGAAATGTTAAAAAAAATTAGGAAAAGGGACCGTAACTTAAGTTATGTTTTACTGTTTAACCCGAGGTTTTTGCGTGTTTAACCGTTTTGCCTAAAAGTTCACATCTTTATCTTTTTGGACCTACGTAGTTGTGCTTCCTCGTAGAAAGTGGAGAGAACGAGTAAAACCTTGTATCGTAGCTCGAGCTAGTCGTTTTTTTTCAAGGTTTTTCAATAAATGGAAGGATAACGATTCTGTATGTTTTTATTTCACACAATATACATACATATTGCTAAACATTTATTAAATTGATCACTGTGATATTTTCAATTTTGGACAGTTTCGGTGATAACATGGGGGGTGAACGTGAGCGTTTCTGAAAAGGCGGATCCAAAACGTACTTTCAGTTTCGAGGACTGATGTCATGCCTTTGTTAAACTACTTTAGTACAATATATTTTTGCTACATTTTTGGTTTCAAACATTAAAAGAACAAACAATTTGTTCTTTTTCTCTCTTTAGGATGGGTTCGATGAGGTAATATAGATGTGAAACTGATCTTCACTTACGTATTCAAACTTCAAAAGTATGCGAGATGAAAATTATTCTAACTTTTATGAGATCATAAACATCAACTTGATGGTCTTTCTACAAAGGATTAGCTGGATCTGAAATTTGGATGATTATAATTCTTAAACGTGATACATGTGATTTTGAATTATGTTTTTTTCTAACAAATAAAGAAATTATTTAAAAGAGAAAATATCTAGTAGTGTTGATGACTTGAAGCTGAAAATGAAATTTAATCCTCTATTTTTTATAAGCATATAGCATAATATATGAAAAATTCTTTTTTGAGTAGAAAAAAGTCTTTATTAATATAACATTTTGCTTAATCGATAAAACATTTTAAATTTTGATAAACAATACATTTTAAATTTATAAAAACACATTTTGTTTTGATTTCTTAAAATAAATTATGGTAAGAAGTTTCACATATCGAGTCACAAATGTCTAGAGGTATCATAAAAAAACAAAAGTATATAAAACGAAGTATGTTTTAAATATGTTGAATTGGATTCATGTCTAATAGTTTGGAATAAGTTTATCACTGTAACTGAATTTCCATTTCAAAATATATCCCAAGAAAAAAAGGTTATATTCACAATGGAGTATTTCTATTTTCTTAACATGGGCACGGCCGCACGGCCCACATGGAACCAAACTGTTTTACTTGGAAGAGAACAAAGTAAATGCGGGTTTTGGATCCCGGTTCTAAGGACGGACAAGTGTCGAAGCACGTTCTTGTAGATGTCTCAAGCTCTTTTCCATGCTAACTTGCACCATTTCAGCTAGCATCTTCTTCGCCTTACCGGACTGATCGTCCCCGTCTATGTGAGAGATTAAGCTCGAGACTATGTTTTCTATTGTATCGGGTTGAACCTCTGATCTCGGGCTTTCTGAGTCCCTAAGTAAACAGAGAAGCCTTTGAGCTTTAGTCCGAGATTTCGATGTCCCTTGAACCGTAAGCTCAAGCAGTCCTGGTATTACTCCTTCTCTAAGAATTGGCTCTCTGTATTTACTCCTATCGCTTTGGCACAATGTTAAGAGCACACCAACGGCGTGTTCCCGAGCTTGTAGTGATCCGTTTTCAAGAACTTCCACCACCGCGAAAACTCCTCCTTCATCAGATATTAACCCCGTTCTCGCCTCCTCACCAGAAACCATCAAGGATTCTATCAGGGAACAGCATTTCTCAGATGTCTTGGATGACTTTTTACTTGTTTTGAGAAGATTTAGTATAGGCGAGAGTGGTTTGGTCGCTAGGATCATGCTTAGGTTATTGGAGAGTGTAGAGAGGTTGGAAAGTGCCATTACGGCATCAGCTTTAGCTTGTGGGCTTCCGTGTCTAACGACTTTGACTAGTAGAGGAATCACTCCATTAGCTCCAATGATGGGTTTGTTGTTAGCGGACGCGGAGAGAGTGAGCAAAGATGCAGAAGCATACTCTTGAAGTGTTGGGCTAGTTGATTGTAAGAAGTTGATGATTGGCTCCAAAGCACCAGCTTCAATTATGCTCACCTTATTCCTGAAAAATCGAAAAATCAACAGCAAAAACTCAGAATAGTCTCAGAAGAGAATATTCTTGAAGACAATGACACACATGTATGTTTCTTAGCAATTAGGCAAAAATCAATCTTTCTTTCTCCAGGACTTTAGTGCAGTCAATTTCTCAGTCATATGAATAATGTAATCAAGGGAAAATAGAGTTGTAGCCATCTACCTAACCTCTTAGGGACACCAAGCCGGCCTAAAGGGAGGATTCAATTAATTAATGTTTATGGACGACACAAAAATTAAAGCAGGGAAGATATTTAGTGAAATGAATGTAGGAGAGGAAAAGTGAAGATAAAGAAAGGCTTAGGTTTAGTTTCTCTACTTTGCTTGCTCCTTCTATTTCCTCCACTAGATGGATCCCATTAATAAAAAAAAAAATGTGATGATATCAGAGTTTCGACCAAAGAAGATATTGACTGCAAAGTCGTTTGCGTACAAATAAAGGAAAATTCAAAAAATACTTAGTCTGGTAAAGCAGGGCCCTACAGATGTACAAAGCGCAAATAAATAAAGTTAGGCAAACTTATTCGTACCTGCCCCAAAGAAAAGAGTTAGTTAGCCTCAGGTGATTTCCATCTAAACTAATACTTGACTTAGATCATCCTCTGTTTTTTTTTTCGTTTGACACAAAACCTAAAGGCTGGCAAAAGTCAAAGCTTTCTTGGATTAAGATCCTTGAGATGCATCATCACTTCGATGCATCGAGATTGGCTTATTATTTTCCTCTCTTTCTGATGTAACTAAAGGAGAGGGAATTTGCGGCGATGTAACCCGCCTTAATTCTCTCTGTGTCTAGTAATATAAAGATTCTTGTTTTGGTCTTATCTTGCAACTTGATACTTTGCTTGCTTATGGAATTTCAAGACTAGGGAAAAGTAAAGGAAAAGCTAAGCTAATATGACTCTACCTCCTTTTGTGTAGATCAATCAAAATTTCATCTGCAACTAGAAACCAATCAAACCTCACAAAAAAATAACGAGAAAAGAAAAAGAATAGTCAGAATTATCCAGAAACCGCATAAACCAAAGAATAATTTTTAAAAGTGAGAAGGAATAAAGAATAGTATCCATGTAGTACTGACTGTGATGAAATATCCTGTCCCCAAAAAATTGATGAACACTAGGAGAACTTTGAATTCCCAGTAACAAAAATCCTTCAAAAGGAAGCAAAAAGGAAGTAAAGGAGGAACACATGAAAAGAAAAAAAAAAACTTAAGGAAACATAGAGTACACTCCAAGCAAACAAAAAGCATTTGTAAACAAAGACAGGAAGCATAAAAGCACCCAATCTGATGAAAGAAAAGTGGTTAAAGCAGAAACGGGTTCACTACGATTGAGATTATCCATCGGATGCAATTATCCAATCATGAACTTTCATAAGACCGACCAAAAAGGCAAGAAATGACACCTATTGATTTACTGATGACTCGATTTTCTCACCGGAAAAGAATAAAGTCGGAGGAACAAGTTGAAGTAATGGAATAATCATGTGTTTCCGTCTTTCTAGATTTCACAAGGAGAAGACATGAACGACGAAATTGTGATTAACTTCTTCAAAATCCAAATCTATTTTCTACGAAATTTGATAGCTTATAATCAAGTAAATTAGTAATCGATTTCGACTAATTCCAAGCGGAGTAATGAGTAATCCGATTCAAATCAACGTATATGGAAACAGAACAATTCGAATTGGGGGAAAAAGGAAGAAGAACGTACTTCTCGTCTTTGACGGCGAGGTTAAGGAGAGCAAGTAGAGCTGCCTCGTGGTGCGATTCAGGCGAGTCGAATCGGAGCATCGAAACGAGCGGTTCAACGGCCTGGGAAAAGTGTCGGCGGCACCTATGTGACGTCTTGGTGAGCCGACGGATCTCTCTAGCAGCAAACAGCCTTGAATCAGGATCCTCGGATCGGATTAAACTGAGAACTCTCCGGATTGAAGCAGAAGAAGACGAAGAAACCGAAACCGATACCGACGCCGAAACCGCCGTATGTAGCAATTCGTGGTCTACATCTCCGCCACGTGGCGAGTCGCAATCGTGGCTCGTGTCGATTGATGATACGGAGGAGGAGGAAGAGGAAGCAACGGTGGAGGCGAGGCTTTTGGTTTCGCCGGCGAGTTCCATTTTCAGAGACAAGGACCAAAGATTTGTTTGGGAGTGTGAGAGAGAGAGATAAAAGACGTAGGAGTAAGGCGTTGGCCAACGGTTACATAGTACGTGGTATATATATAGTATATACAACAAGAGCAATACAACCAAATATTTTATTTTGGTAGTTTCATTTCCTTTTTATTTATTTATTATAGTTGAGTATTAAAAACATTAAAATCCAAATTATAGAAGAAAAAAAGGTTTGGTTGACACTTTTTCAAAGGATGGCTTCAATTTCCCTAGTTTTTATTTGTAAAAAGATATTTTTTTGAACAATGATGTAGATGGGCCAAAGCTAATTGTGAGATTTTATTCTATCATTTTTATTTATTAAAGTGTATATGTTTGGTCCTCAATATAAAGACCAATTACCAACCATTCTTTGTTACAGGGTCTTTATCTTATGTATAGCTAGAACTAGAAACAAGAAATGGGAGATGTTTTGCTAACTATACAACAACAAATGGAGAGCCAATAATTAAAAAACTTATAATAATATTTAACACATTTTTTAAAATAAAATGTAGAATTGTTCCTACACGATTCTAGATTCTGCATTTCTGCTAAAAGAAACTATCTAAGGAAGCACATTTCAGATTGTATTTTTATTTTTAAAAATACCATTGAATTCTAAATAATTCACTAAATTTGAGTTATTCATATTCAATCATGCTCAATAGTCCCAAATAGCCTAGAACCAAAGCCTTTCAACATGTAAATGACGCAATGTTACAAATGAGATCAACGAAAACAGTGAAAACAAAAGCTAAAGAATGGAAAAATCATTGATATATCAGTACAATCTGTTTTCAAGAATATTCCAAGACCTCCCATTACATGAAATTAAAACAATGAAAAAAACAAAACATACTTCATCAGATGATTGTCAGTACAGAACAAATTTAACATGATTAAAGCTCAAAACCTTTTCATATGAATATAGATCAGAAAATGTTGCTTAGAAAATCTTGGCGACATCTTTCATAAGACCGCGATTGGCACAAGCGAAATCAGAAAATTCTTGGTACGATATGTATCCATCACCGTCGGTATCAATCTCGGCCATCATACGCTTAATGTCGTCGTGCGTGACCGAGCCAAGGTTCTTGAGAGCATCTCCTAGCTCGGCGGCTGAGATTTTCCCATCTCCATTAGCATCAAATTTCTTGAAAATACGGTCGTGCTCAGCTTTTTCGGTTGCGTCAGCCATTTTTTTTAATCGTTTTTGTTCTATTGCTCGGAGGAATTAGATGATCGTACGAGTTATATAAAGCGATTTGATTGTGATGAAATTTGAGGCTATGCTTTAACTTAGGCGATATAAGGAGAAAACTGAATTTCCGAAATTAGAATGTGACTCGGTCTTTCATTACCCGTCGATACAAAGTTGTTTTCTTTTGTTAAAAACAATAAAAGTTTATATGACAAAACTATTACTTGTCAACATGTAAGTTAAATAAAAATAACCATTAAATTCGTTTGATTAATTAATACTTGAAAAAGAGGGAGAACTTGTATTCATAACAAATATAATGCATACGATGATTCGTTTACCTTGGTATAGTTTTCTTACAAACTACTAGTGTGATGCAGAGCTAACTATTCCTCCATAGTGTGATGTAAAATACAAATCCATAAATCAAAATTATAGTTTCAAGCAAAATCCACTTGAAATCAAGATTTTGTATTAGACCTTATCATTTATTTCCAACAACAACGTAAAGAATCTAAACAAATACAAAATGAGGAAAAAATCAACGGCTGAATCCAAAGGTTTTTCCGGCTTTATATCGATCTTCAAAGATGAAGTTGAACTCATAACTTTTGAAGCAAAAGTAAGTCTCTCGCGATTGTAAAAAAAGATCTATTACCTTCAAGGAGCTCTGTCAAAAGGCTTAGTGTCATTGTAACAAGTATCCCACACTGCTTCCATGGCGTCTTTGGCTGCTACTTCCGAGCAATACGGGTTGCCACGGAGCGATTTCAAGACTCTTCTTTTTATACATTCCTTTTGAAAAACGGAGAATCGAGTTTAATATTGACAAGGATCATCCATGGTTCCACAAGCGTTTATATGAACTAAAACAAATGCAATTCTTCTCTTATTGTGTGACTTACTTGTTCATGCCCTCTTAATTTGATGAAACCCCTCAAAAGTTCTCTCTTGAAATGGCAATCGCCACTTAGATGACCTGCGCGTATCTGTTCAAAGAGAATACACACACGATAAAACAATCAAGAACTTCGACAGGAAGTATATCAATTGGCGCGACGGATTTGAAAGCAATAATTAACATGGTAATCACCTCGCTGCAAGCATGATGAGCACAATTAGTCCAATCCAAATTCTTGGCTCGGCACTCGTCATAAGCATGGATTAGCTCATGTATAACTACTTGGTTCACTTCATCTTGAATGGTCAGATAGTTACTGCAGACAGTGATCTTGAAACATAGAAAAACAAAAGGATTTGAGCATCAGCATTACAAAAACCAAGAGCTCGAGAGCATTAGTAATCGAAAAAAAGAAACATGAAGGAAACGGTTTTACCCCTCTTCCTCTAGTGAAGCCTCCAGCTACAGGTCCAGTGCAAACAACTGCCTTTACGAAATTATCACCAACTCTGCACCCAGATTTCTCCATTTGCTCCATCAGAAACTTCACAATTGGGTCTAATCAAACGAACATACAAAACTAGTTTCAAGCACAGATATTAGACCAATCAAAGCTAGTGGCTTTAAGAACCCTAAACTCATTCAACCCATGATTCAGGTATGAGATGGACAAACAAAACCACCCGTCAAGTTTCTTCTTACTCTGGCATGATTCCAAAACCCCAAACCGGAGAATTTCTCAAGATACAGAGGCGTTAATCGAAAAACAATGGATTTAAGATTCAGAAACTGAAACAAATAATTGGAAGATTGAAACAAGATGCTTATTCTGTATTTACTTCGGAAACTTCTCTGAATCATGTCCTGGCATTCTTCGATAGATCTACCGCGTTTTCCTCCAAGGTTTAAATCAGAACCAGAATTAGGAGCGGCTGCATCTTCCATTCGATCTCTGGTTTGCTCTTAGTCGGCGGTAGAGAAGCCGGAGATTTCTCGGGAGTGGCGGCCTAAGATCGATGGTCGGACACAGAGCAAATGTGACTAAGGGTAAATATGTAAATTACATTAACATCCCTCTCTGGGAAATTTACTACAGTGTTAAGTAGAGGGATGGCTCATTACTAAACAACACGAAAAATACTTTTTATTTATCTGGTATAAGAAACGAAAAATACTTGGAAAAAATTGCAACCTGAAAATTACAACTTTCGTTTTGTTTTTTTAGTCGTCATCTTGGTTTTTAGTCGTCATCTTTGGTTTTTAGTTATCTCGACAACAAATGTTATTCGATCCGGTTTTTAGGTGACTTGCAAAACCACCAGACCGTGAATCCTTGTTATTAAAAAATTACTGTTAAAGTTTTTCCAAATTTTACTAATAATGGGCTATACATATTTTATTACGGGTCGGCCTGAGCCCAACCCAACATATTGAATCACTGGCAGAATGTTTTCAAACTCCTCAATATTTGATCAAATCTTTCTCCATGTAATTCTCGTTCATGGAAGAGATAAATTGATATTCAATATTTTTGGATAATGGATTGCTAAAAAAAATACAGTCAATATACATACCGAAGTTATAGAATAAGTATGACACGTATACATTTCTTATTTGTTTAGGAAATTTTGAAAGAATTTTTTTTTTCAGATTTTTTTCCTTTTCTATTATTAAAATTATACTTGACTATTTTACTTTTTTTGAGGTTTAGTATATGATAAGGTAAATTACAATCTTAACACGTGTTAAATTTGGATAATAATTCTGCAAAATAACAACTTTTTCTTTTTCTTGTCATGAAATATATTTTAATATTTCTATCTTAGAGGGTAACATTGTACCAAGTGGGCAAATCAGCCAAGTTATACATTTGAACACAATATCCTATTTTTTGGAATCTTCATATTTCCTCCCTTTTTCGTTTTTAATCTAGATATTCCTCTTTTTTAATATCACTTATTTTATAGAAAACTTTTACTTTTAATCAATCATATCTATTGGACTATACAGTTATATCAGTTTGTTAGTATTTTTTTGGTTTAGGATTTTCAAACCTATAAATATAAGAACATTGTGCGTCGGGTTTTCACAAAAATTCTCGTAAACAAAAGAAGAACATACAAACAATAAAAAGCAAACAATTTAAGACAATGTCTGCAAGACAAATCTTCGAAAAGTTCGACAAGAACAAAGACGGCAAACTTTCATTGGACGAGTTTCATGAAGCAGCTCTTGCTTTTTTTAACAACTTTTCTCAGGAAGATATCAGTAGTATGTTCAAAGAGATGGATGTGGACGGTGACGGCGAGCTAGACGCTGATGAGTTTACTTCGTGCATTGAGAAGATGTTGAAGGATGTGTTTGATTTTTGTGATGTCGACGGTGACGGGAAGATACCGGCCGATGAGTTGTATGTGAGCATGACTAAGCTCGGGAAAGAGTGCACCGAGGAAAGCTGTGCCGAGAAGGTTCGACTCGCTGATGCAGATAGTGATGGTTATTTGAGCTTTGAGGAGTTTACGGCTATGGTGTTAAGTGACTTCTAAGAAATAATACATTGCTTTTAGTAAGTGTATTTACTAATATAATATAACTAATAAGACTTATTGATGTTTATTGTCATTGGTTTAGAGGTTTCTCGACCTTTTTCTATTTCTTTATAAATAAATTAACGAGCATGTTGTTAAATTTAAGTGCATGTTTGTTAAATGTCATTACTCAATAGCAAAGCCGGTCTAAAGGTCACTGAAATCCAAAATAAATGTGTGTTTTGGAACTGAATCTGCTTTCAATAACTTGTGTTGCTTTACAAGTCTTTTCCTGACAAAAATAAACTGAACGCGGGTGAATTATGTGAGAATGTGATACATGGAACTCTATCAGTTGATAAGATGAAACAAATCCATTTTTAGAACAATATATTTCCACACATCCCTTCTTGAAATGTTATAAATTTTATTTTTCTTTCATGAGAAATGATTATTTATATTCTGTAAAATAAAAGAGATACAGCTTCTAATCGGCGATATTAGATCCGACCAGTTTCGAAGCGAAATTGAAAAAAAAAAAAGAAAAGAAAAAAAAGGTAAAACGGCAAGGGATAACAAGCAAAACGCATGTAATGTGATATAATTGATGTTAATTTGACGGACAGTGTCATATAGGAACATGTCTCCTAATTGCTAAAAATTGATCAAAATCGAGCCCAAAACGACAGCATGATAACACGCAAAACGCAGTACACTCGCTCATTTTTTACTCAATATCGCGTGTAGGCCCAAAATGAAGAAAATCGATAGCTTATATATTACCTTTCGATTTTGGTGACACGCGCGCAACGCGCACCTGCTGCGACTGGGATATTTCTTGCGCGTGCTCTAACTTTTTCTTATTTAGCCTACAGATTCTTTCACTAAAAGTCCATGGGCTAGTGCGCCCATTTAAAATTATACTACTAAAGGCCCACTTTGTAAAGACTTTTCTTGTTTTTGTCGAATAAGTATCGTCGCCGGTTAAGAGAGGATAATGAAACATAGGGTGACGAATTAAACCGGTTCAAGGCTAAACCAGAAGAGGAATTGAATGTAAACATCTCGGTTCAGTTTGTTACGCTATAAATAGATTCTATTTAACACTCAGAGAAATCACTGTCTCTATCTTCTGGTTCGATTTGGATGAAACTCTCCTCTTAAAAGTAACAGATATGAACACAGAACCTGTTTGCATTCACTAGCTGATTGTAGCTTCACCATTAATGACTAAACTGCTTCTCTCTTCTTCATTGCTACTGCTTGCTATTGCTTTTCATTGGCTTGTCACCACTGGCTGCTCTCCTGGCATCTTTCTTCTTCAGGACAAGTTCATCCACAGATGCAACTTTTGATGCTCCTGCAGCTGCACGGTCCTTGGACGAAGTATCCATGTTTCTGTGTTCAACAACTAAGCCGAAGCTGACCTTTTTCATTCACCTGCATTATCCATGTTTCTGTGTTCAACAACTCATCTAATTATCATTAATTTTCAATTAGTTATAGGGACGCAAGAACTCGCTGACCTCTATTAGTTTGACGTCAATGCGGTCTCCTACTTTGAATGCCTGAAATGCCTGCATCATGCAACCAGCAGATAATTGGAACCCCAAAGGTGCTTTAGTACAGATTTGTATTGACATACCAGGTAGTAGCTCAGCTGCACGAATGACTGAAGCACCGGCAGGACTCATTGCTGACGGATTATAGGCAATCAGAGCATAGTTGTGAACAGGATAAAGAAACACCACCTGCATTTCAGTTAAGAAAGATCAATACTAAAGTTTCCTTCCATGAACTATAAGATTCTCAGGGAAATCTAACCTCTCCAGGAATCTCGACTGGAAAAGCAGCAAAGGACAACATAACATCAGATGCAGAAATAGCTACAGTGTTTTTGTACACCACAGCAAGCCCCATGCTTGAAGAATGATAAATAATGACGCCAGTCCCAAAGAAATGTTGTGAATGTACACCATCAAGACTGCACGATGGTGGCACATGAACCTGTATAAGAGAACTAGCTTCAGCATAGGCAAATTGCCTTTAATCACAATAAGGACATTTAATCACAATCACATATACCAGAAACATATAGCCAAGACCGTAATTCCGTACACCAGGTAATACTTCTATGGTTTTCTTATAAGCACCCATAGATATATATCAATGTTAGATTATCAATGTTCTGACCTTTAAAAATAGATACCAAATCTAACATGTTAATAGTTCCATCTAAAGAACCATCTTCCACTCTTTGTTTCTTTGCTTCTGAGCCAAAATCATTCTGAGAACCATCCCCACTCGAGGCTTCCATAATAGACGCAGTATCATTAACTCCACGAAGATTCACTTCATGCAAGGGTTCTGTATCGTGATGGCAGAGAGGAATATGTTGGCTTATAGGCAAACCACTATTACCAATCGATTCGATTGCAGGTTTCACATCCCATAAACCAGAACTGTCATTACGGGTATACAACTGTGGAGGAGCGTACCATTCATGGCGATCAATTGTGACTAACACAGACTGCAGGAAATGGAACCCAAAAATCACATAGGCCATCATAGTAATAGAATAATGAACAGATGACATACCTCCAATTTCGCTGCATTTGTTTATAAATGTATGAGTGTGGTCTTTGACAAGAAGGTTTTTGTCAGCTCCGACATACATTACAAAAGAACTTGGTATATATAAGTGTTTAGACATGCCTAACAACCTAGTACAAAAAACCAATGTCTCAGACAAAAGACGGAAACAATCTTATTATGATCGAAGGAATCAAAGTTTCAGTCTTTTCTTACTTTGAAGTCTCCATCAAGTTCATAGAGCGTACTTCCATTGATCGATATCAATGGTCTCCATGGAAGTTTCAGGTAAGTCCTGAAACATCATAGTTCAATAGATAAACATTAAAGATGACACATAATAAGTGAAGAAAAAGTTCCATCCGAATACCTTAGCTTCCATGTCGCCCGTATATAGTTTCTTTGGGACGACCCACTCTGTAATGTTGGTAATGTGTTAAACCGATTTGAAGAACATTGAGAGCAATTTTCAATATGAGACTAGGATCTAACAGAGGCTTACTTTCTCCCTATTTTGCAGTTCAATGGATGCATCTTCGAGGAACGGAACCAGTAATCTCAAGTTTCGTTCAGACAATTCCGTACCTGCAAAAGCCAAAAGAGACTACTAGTTCATTCTCACATCAACACTTAGGATCTGATAGATAAGAACAAGCTAATCTGATCCCACCAATCTACATTTGTTCAAGCAGATACACTTATCACTGAAGCACCAAACTGAAATTGCAGAGGAAGCACACGAAACTCATACGAAGGATTATGTAATTCCTCACCCTGGAAGCTGATTGTCGGGTCCTCGAAGATGCAATCATCCGAGTGAACTGCAGAAATGAAGATTCCTGGTACCATTTAAAAAAAAATGAGTTTTACCAGTTTGTGTCTGAGCTTAGTTTGTGAAAGGGAAATCTTAATAATGAGCTTAGTTTCTCACTCTCCACCTTTACTAAAGCCGTTCCCAGTTCCGCTTCTGACCTTGTCAATACTCTTGAGTAGAACCGAGACTGTCTCTCCGAGTATAATCCGAGAACTCATGATCAACAGTTTTCAAAGCTAACTCCTTTTCTCTCAGTGTCTCTCTTTCTTTTTCTTCCATAACACATCACCGAGGAAGGGCACAGCTAAAGCTGGAGCTTGAAACGTTTGAATTGGTGAAAACCCAATTGCAATACAAAACAATGCGTAGCTTCGATACAAACTCTATCAAACTCTCTCTCTCTCGTCTTCGCGCTATACCCAGACAACAATGGCACAAGCTCATTTCCCTCTCTGCGTAACCTCAGAAACTATTTTACACCCTTCTTTAGGCTGGTTCGAGCTAACGAAACTTCCATGTACGCCGGAGAAACCAATACAGCCTCTAATCGGCGAAATGAAAGCCGACCAGTTTCGAAGCGAAAAAAAAAGGAGAAAAGAAAAAAAAAAAGCAAAACGGCAAGGGATAACAAGCAAAACGCATATACTGTGATATAATTGATGTTAATTTGACGGACAGTGTCATATAGGAACATGTCTCCTAATTGCTAAAAATTGATCAAAATCGAGCCCAAAACGACAGCATGATAACACGCAAAACGCAGTACACTCGCTCATTTTTGACTCAATATCGCGTGTATGCCCAAAATGAACAAAATCAATACCTTTCGATTTTAGCGACACGCGCGCAACGCGCACCTGCTGCGAATGGTATTATTTCTTGCTCGTGACTTTTTCCTTTATTTACATTCGCACGAGAACATCACGTGATCTCTCTCTTTATCAATATAAATAAAAAAATTCAATCCATCCTTTGTCAAGGCTTCTTTTTCTACGGCCTTTTTTTGTTAAGGGCCTTAAAGGGGCCTTTCATAAAATAAATTTCAGCCGAATTAAAACAGAGAAGTAAATAAAATTACCAGTTGGATAAACTTATTTAGTTCAGTTTTAAATTTATTTTTGGACTAGATATGAGAGATATCATTAGGTGATTACTATCATTATTTTGGATTGAACTCCGGTTATCATAGTTAAACGTTTATATTTAATACTATCATTGCCTAACTATAAGCATCAGTGCATCACCATCCTTCTACAGCTCTGCTTATATATCTTAATTTCCAGATTTGATTCGAGGGATCAAAACTGAAAACAAAAGAGACTTTGGAGACAATCAGAGTGTACTAAGAACTGAAATACTTTAGTAATATGATTTTAGAAATTTTTTTTTTCTTTTCTTTGGCAAGAGGAATTTTGTTTAGAAATAAAGCTATATCTGAAAAAGTTGAAGTTGTCCAAGAATGATCTAAAAGATGAGGGGTGTGTCGTAATTGTAAAGAGTGTGGAAGGTCCGTTTGGAATTGGAAAATTAACAGCATTGTCCTCCATGTAAGTACCTTGACAGTGAATATATGACTGAACGTCAAAAACATCATTTTTGATATTCGTGTGCTTTGAACAGCTGGCTGGAAAACAATTCCTCTCTCGGGAAGTATACTTGACTTCAGATCACTCAAATTGCTGGAATCAGTGTAAGCAGATAATTCTTTTATATATTTCACTGCTTGTGGTGCACATTTGTTCTTGTAAATGATTATAAAAAAGACTCATAAGCTAATCTCATCCCTTCTCCCTATAGGCACTTGGAAGATAATCGTTTCAGTGGAACTATTCCTCCATTTTTTTGGTGGAGTCCCACACTTGCGAGAGCTGTATAGTTTCCATTCTCATATACGCTCCTTTGATTATTGGTTTGAATGCTTTTCTAGAATAAGTTGCATAATGCATGTCTGCTTCTTCTGCTCAATCATTCTTGCCTTGTGGATGGAAAATGCATAATACCTTGTATTCATTCAGCAATACAACAGTTAGGCCTTTCTTTTTGCATCCCCACTTGTGTCTTTTTAACTTTACTTTTAAAGACTCGAACGCCATATTAAACAGTACACTATACCACCATATCTATGATCATGTTTCCTCTACATACATACTCAGTTTCATGATTCTGATATTTCCTCTAAATGTCTCCATTTTGTTGCCATGGGTATGAATTTTTGACTTAGTTATGCAACTTATTCTAGAAAGATTCTCAGCGAACATCTCAGTCTGATGAAATATGCATGTGGATAAAACCAGGAGACAGCAAGTGAATATTAAAACTCTGTTAAAATTTACGTTTATCTTTCATATCTGTATAGTGTCAAAAAAAAAATATTGGAGAAAAAGGGACAAAAGAATCTGAATTTCACCCTTTATCAGATTTACAATGATGAGAAAAAGAACAAAAGATATCTCCAGCTTCACATTTGCTTCATGGGAAGACCTTAGAGAAGGATGAAGCATATAGGTCATCCAATTCTTTTTATTACTTATTTTGTCCGATTTTTTTTTAAAATTCGCGATTTTAAAATTTTTTTGCTGCCACCTGAGTTTGAACTTTTAACATAGGAAAGAGATAGGGGACTTCTACCACTGAACCAAAAACACTTTTGGACAAAAAGACAATCCATTTGCTTTTATTACTCATTTTCATTTGTTTTTTTTTTAAATTACGATATTATTTTTTCTGTTTTTTTTAAATTGCAATCTATTTGCTTTTATTACTCATATTCTCCTAAACCAAACACATTTTTCTGTTTTTTTTTTTAAATTGCAATTCATTTGCTTTTATCACTCACTTTCTCCTAAACCAAACACATTAAAATCGCAATTTTTTATAAAAAGAAAAAACAGACGAAAATGAGTAATAAAAGCAAATAGATTACCTTTTTGTTCAAAAGTGTCTTTGGTTCAGTGGTAGAAGCCTCCGTGGAAGCAAAAAAATTTAAAATTGCGAATTTAAAAAAAAAATCGGGCAAAATAAGTAATAAAAATAATTGTATGACCTATATGTTCGAAAGTGTCATTGGAACTGTGGCATACGTATCCTTAATGTGTTCGAACTCAGGTGGAAGCAAAACTTTTTAAAATCGCAGAATTTTAAAACGACGTCGTTTCGAGTTAACCCAACAGTAACAGCAGAGTTAACGGTGTTTAAATTTTCTGTTAACTTTATAAACGGTGTGCTGATTTGGCAAGTCAACAAAAAATTTGTTATTATTTATGGAAATCAACAAAAATTGAGTATTTATTTGGCTAAGCTGATAATTCATGTTTTTTTGGCAAAAAACGAAAAGTTTGGGATTTTTTTGGCCGAATTCTCGATAAAAATTTACCTTTTGCTTTGGATTATGTATGGTGTACGTACTGCATGCATTCCACGATTATCAACGACATAATATCCCGTTTAATTTTGTAATCAACAACATGAATTATAAAATTTTTGATGGTAACAGAATAACAACATTGGTCAAAAGGTACAAATCACTCTAATACAAGTCGTCATTGGTTTAAATCAATACGTTCCCAAATATATTTTTATGTGTAAAACTTATATATATCTATATATATATATTTTTTTTAATTTGATAGAACGGAAACACAGTCGGTCTCCTTTGCGATTAAAATAGACCAGTTGGATAAACTTATTTAGTTCAGTTTTAAATTTATATTTGGACTGGATATGAGATATCTATTATGAGATATCTATTATTACTAATATAATAACTAATAAGACTTATTAATGTTTATTGTCATTGGTTTAGAGGTTTTTCGACATTTTTCCATTTCTTTATAAATAAAATTAATTAAAGAGCATGTAGTTAAATTTAAGTGTATGTTTATTAAATATCATTACTCAACAGCAAGGCCGGTCTAAAGGTCACTGAAATCCAAAATTACATTAATATATGTGTTTTGGAACCGAATCTGCTTTCAATAACTTATGTTGCTTAACAAGTCATTTCCTGACAAAAATAAATTGAACATGGGTGAATTATGTGAGAATGTGATACATGATGTTGGCGTTGTCCTGAAGCATTTTTGTAGTTTGAAGCTCAGCCAATGCTTTACATCCATTTTCATACTTTTGTTGTTTCTTTTCTATATCTACAATTTTATCTTTTAATAACTGTTCGAGAGCATTACACGCAAGATCGATTCTCATGGGCAAGGCCAGTGAGTCTGGATGATAAAAAATGTTTTCTATGTGATCTATGATCTCTTGAAGTGTGCTTGACTGGTATCTGTTCATGACAACGGTTCTCTTCTTAGTAGCACTCCTTTGAATACCTCTTATCAAGATATCATAATTTTTCAAACGAGACTCAGAACTCCCAGTTGGAGTAGCAGCACGAAATGTTTGTCGGGCTCTGAAAATTAACAAAAAAAAAAAATTGCTCAAATGTTTGTCGTAATATCAAGCCAGTATGCTATATGTTCAATATACTCAACTATATGATGTAACTATATCCACCCATTACTATATAACAGTTAGATTTAGATCAAACTTCTTTAACAAAAAAGAAAAGATTTAAATCAAACTTGATGCTCCTTAAATTATCATCCTAATATCCAGTGGCGGATCCATAAACATATTATATGTGGGGCATAAATTACACATAATATCAAATTTATATGATAAAAAACAATATTAACCAAATATATTTTAATTTTTGAAATACAAAAAAACACCACTTTTTAGAAAACAATACTATTTCTATTGGTTTCAGAAAATATATTTAGTTACATATATTCTATATATATATCTTTAATTTATTAGTTAGAAAATGTGGAGATTACAACTAATGATACAAAATTTAAATTATATAGATATATATATAACTATTTAAGTTTATAAATCTAAATATTACACGAATCTACTCAGAAACTATTTAATTAACTAAAAAATAATAATCTAAGTGCATTCTTTGTTAACAAAAAATAATAATATTGTTACTAATTAAAAAATTAATAGTAATAACAATGTTGGATAAAAATATCTAACAACAGCCAAGGAGAAAAAAAAACATGACCGAACAAATATTATTGTAAAAAGAACAAGAAAAATCAGACAATAGGAATCGAACTCACCAACCTATGAAACGACGAGCAACCATCTTAGCCAAATGAGCTGATACTGATCATGTTATATTTAACAAGATAAATGCCACACCCCTCTTTTCAAAAAAAAAAAAATGCCACACCCCAACTACCTCTACGTCCGCCACTGCTAATATCTCTATATGTCCACTTAAGAAGTGCAAGAGATATAGAGATTCTAACCTCTGAAGAAACTTGGAAACGGACAACATGCTTGTGTCAAGATGCACTAGGAGAAGGAAGATGCACTAGGAGGAGGAAGATGCAATAATAGTAGGTGAGAGTGTTAATGAATTTTTTTTTTTGTGTCAAATCTCTCTTTCTACGTGAAAAAACTAAACATAGAAGAAAACACGATGATGGAAGCTTCAAAACTAACTTCGAGGCAAAACAATTAATATCGTCTCTTACAAGCTGCTTGGAGGAGTATGAAGTGTTGAAAAAAGATGCAATTGTAGCATTGGATGAGCTTAGAGCCTCAATGTCGCAGCCCAATGAAGATGCTACGAAGGAGAAGATAAGAAATGCAAGAAAGTTTCTCCAGAGGTTATATAACTTATAAGAAGACACGCGTGGGAGTTATGAAGCAAGTCTGAAGAGTTCAAGAGAAGAAAATACTATTTTCTTCTGTAATTCCATTTCAATAGTGATTTTCTGTAATTCGTTGGAGAGTTGAGAGATTGTTTCTGTAATTCCTTTGTAACCTTGTTCCATAACTCTGTTATCATCTTTGACATTCATCACTCATCATCAAAGAGAGAGAGAGAGAGAAGCGATAAGAAAAATAGAGGTTCGCATCTGATTGATATAAATATGTAGGAATAGTGTTTCAGATTCACGTAAGTTTCAAAAGAAAAAAAAATGAAATCAACCAAAAAACATATGAATGTGAATATGAATCTGTCTACAAGTGATATATTCGAGAAATTCGACAAGAACAAAGACGGTAAGATCTCATGGGAAGAGTTTCGTGATGCTATGAATGCTCTCTCTCCGACCATCCCCTCGGAGAAACTTGTCGAGATGTTCATCCAGCTTGACACAAACGGTGATGGTCAGGTCGATGCGACTGAGTTCGCTTCGTGCATGGACCAAACCGCCCGGTCTAGTGGTTGTGGCGTGGAAAAGGAGTTGAAGGATGCGTTTAGATTATATGATATTGATTCTGATGGGAAAATATCGGCGAATGAGTTATATGAGGTGATGACTCGGCTCGGGGAAAAGTGTTCGCTCGAAATCTGTGTGGAGATGGTTCGAGCCGTCGATGTAGATGGCGATGGTTATATTAGCTTTGAGAAATTCAAGAGTATGATGGGTTTTTAGTTACTAATATTCAGTAGTATTAAGGGCTTAACGCCTTGAAATTGGTCGCTATAATAACGTTTTAATTGAGCGTATCATAATTTTATTGTTTCTTTTCCATCAATTTTATCCGATTTCATAAATCTTTTCCTGTTTACTTTGCTAGATATACTCACCATTACACAGTTGTTTGAATTCAAAACAACATTAATAGCAAAATGATACTCCCTCCGTTTCACAAAGAGTGTCGTTCTCACATTTTTCACACAAATTAAAAAATAAAATAAAAAGTCTCTTATACCCTTATTTTATCTATGTAATTACATTACTATTTATTTTGTTTATTTTTTTATAATTATAGAGCATTCAATTATTTCTATTGTTTACCTTTTAGTATTCTACGCATATTAATTTAGTCACTTTGAATAATTTATTCCATCCATTCCTACGATCAATAGATTTCTATGACAAAAAATTGAAGGCAAACTTTTTTGTGTGTTTTACGTTTTTTTTTCAAGGTTTGAAAAACTAATGGAGCCAAATATTGAAAGTGGAGGCAAACAAACAATGCTTAAAAATTTAGGAAGTGTTTATATTAGTTCATCGTGATTTTCCCAACAGTCACATATGGCTTCTAATAATTTTGATTTCCATCTTCCATCTGTAAAAAAAAACCAAAAATCATTTGATTTGAATAATTTACCTGTGAACAGTGATGATCATGCCACTCAAGTAGAAGATTTTGGTTATGACGTAGACTCGGGTCATTCAAATGAGAACATTTTTTGTTAAGGTCGAACACTTGCACCACTTTGATGACATCATGCTCTTCTTTATTCATATTCTATTTTTTGTTCCACCTGCAAATTTTTGAAAAACTTTTTAGTCAAATTATTCAGTGGTTTTGTTTTTTTTTTTACGGCAATTCAGTGGTTTTGTTAGATGTAGAAGACAAGTGAGTGGAAGAGTCAGATTTCCTAAAATTATGAAATTCTCTTCAATTTATTATTAATGGTGATGAACATGTTTGCTTTGGAAATAGTAAGAGATTTGAATAAGATAAATTATTAATTTGCAGAAAATGATTTTTGAAATTATATTTATAATTAAATTTCTGAATTTATTTTTGAGGTTAAAAATGGTATTTTATGTTAAAATTTACATTGGAATTCTAAAACGACGTTTTTTTTGAAACAAAAAAAAGTGTCAGAACGACACTCTTTGTAAAATGGAGGGAGTAAGAAAATAAACATAAGTTAAAGAAAAACTTGATTTGATTATTTTTTAGTGGATGTAAAATCCTTCCTACTGAGTTTTTTTTCTGTAAATTGTAGTGACCGTTCTTTTATAATGGTATGTAATGAAGATTTGGAGTAGAATATTGATAGAAATACAACAAAGTTGAAGCATATGAGAGATCGTAAGAGCTCTTCAGAGTAATCAATGATCTAAAAAAGATTTTCATTTTAAGGCTTTCAGTATATCTCTCCGCCAAAGAGCAGTGTCTGGGTCGAATCTCAGCTCCCAAGTTGGCCAATAATGGAGATCTTGTTTCAGAGTCAAGACTCGTGGCTTGCCGTTTAGGTGAACAGTCCTTATGCGCACAAACTGCCCGTGCTCTAGCTCCTGTTGCAACCGAATCACAAATAAACAATCTAAGATCAAACTTCAATTCATAGTAAAAGAACAGCTGTGATGGCTGCATCACTGTTCTTCAGGGCCCAGAGTAAATGGAAGTGTGAGTTTTTTGTAAGGAATGAGATAAAAACCTTGGTAGCATCTGCAAATGCGTTTAGATCAGGAGTCTTTTTCCCGTTAACTTCCACGATCCATTGAAGTGCATAGAGGCCATACCGGTGTGCGGGACTCCCGTGACACCATCTGAGAACAAAATTTGTCAGAGATAAAACACAAGCAACCGATGAGATCTAGTCGGTTGAGACAAATAATTTGTAAGGAGCTAGGTCTCTTGTTAAACCAATTTGAGATTCCATATACATATAGGTCATAACTAGTACCTCGTTACATAGACACCATGGCCTTCCTCAGGAAGAAATCCAAGAGCGCGAACCGCAGGATGAGGATCCTGAACAACGCACCCACACCAGTTTATCGCTCTTGTAGTTCCATTTCCATCTCTTTTATCAGTTCCAACTATGAGCTCCATTTCTCGGCCCTGAAAACAACCAAGAGTCTAGTATAAGCTAGTGGACCTTTTTTCTTATTAGTGTCAATAACCTCAAGAAAAGGATATACACTATTGTCACAGGTGGTCTGATCAATCGATACAAGGACTAAGGTGATAAAGGAGAAACAAATAAATAATAAGATGTCTCAAGAAACAGGAGTTAATGGTGTCACCTGTCGAAGGATTGTTAGATTGAGATTTTCATCGTTGTGGCTACCCTTATCCAATGTTCGGCAAGCGGCTTCAATGTCACTGAAGCATGTAACTGGCATCTTATTTACTGCCAGAACCATGTCGCCTTGTTCCAGAAGATTTTCCGCTTTTGATCCTGCCAGGCAACCTTTAACACGCAGAACTTGTCGTCTAACAGGATCCTTCTTGACTAGGATCTGTGAGAACAATCAATAGAGTACATGGATCTGAGAATGCCTACTTTACTAGCATTCTGCTAACGGTATGGTATACATATAGTGTTTTCACGTATATACAAATTCTACATGCGGAAAGACGTATATCGATGTGATAAAGAATCGAAGCAGATTAACGAAATATATAAACAACAAAAGGCTTACTTGGATCCAATCATCACTCAGACCAAAACTCCGGGCTTTTGAGAGCAAAGTAGGATACAACTCAACTTCCAAAATCCTAACAAGTGGCATTGGCCTCTTGACACCATTTATGAGAAGAGCTGGTCCATTTCCACCGTTTATGATTTTTTCAAGGACTTGGCTGATCGCAGATACTGGGATACCTCTGACAAACTGATGGTCTTCTGACGAAGTAGAACTATATTTAATCTGTGATCAATTCACAAGAAAGCACCATGTTAGGAAAAAAACACAAACTTTATGAAAACTCCAAAAGTGGGAAGATGAACCTGAGTCGAAAAGCTTCCCCAAATGGCCCGAATCCTCCCCTGCTCATCAGTCAGCGCTCCTGAAAATGAGCTACCAAAATCTGCAAAGAAACAATAAAAAAAACGATGTGCGATTTGAACAAGCTTAAAGTAAGTAGCTAACAAAATTTAATGTCAAAGGCTTTGAATTCCTTACCTGTATCAAGCTCAATTACTTCCATATTAGTAGCTCTATAGCGGGGAGAATCAGCAGACCCAATGTTTAACGCTGCACATGGATTGGTTACAATAGATTTTCTTGATGTGGCTTGAAGGTTCCTACTCAATCCGACAAGATAAACTGAATCTCCACGTTGTAGTGCAGGTTCTGTTCAGAAAAGGCATTGCAACTAGTCCCATTAGATTGACTAGAAAAACGGAAAGTTTAAACGACAGTCAACTGAAAGCAATACAACAAATACATAAATCTAATAAGACAGTTGTTCACAAAAAGCACAAACAGAGCAATGGGTGAAACTTTCAAATGGTTAACAAAAACAAAGCAATAGCTAAATGCCACCCCATCATGCAACCAGCATATAATTGGAACCCCAAAGGCGCTTTGGTACAGGTTTGTATTGACATACCAGGTAGTAGCTCAGCTGCACGAATGACTGAAGCACCGGCAGGACCCATTGCTGACGGGTTATAGGCAATCAGAGCATAGTTGTGAACAGGATGAAGAAATACCACCTGCATTTCAGTTAAGAAAGATCAATACTAAAGTTTTCTTCCATGAACTATAAGATTCTCAGGGAAATCTAACCTCTCCAGGAATCTCGACTGGAAAAGCAGCAAAGGACAACATAACATCAGATGCAGAAATAGCTACAGTGTTTTTGTCCACCACAGCAAGCCCCATGCTTGAAGAATGATAAATAATGACGCCAGTCCCAAAGAAATGTTGTGAATGTACACCATCAAGACTGCACGATGGTGGCACATGAACCTGTATAAGAGAACTAGCTTCAGCATATGCAAGTTGCCTTTAATCACAATAAGGATTTTTAATCACAGTCACAAATACCAGATACATATATAGCCAAGACAGTAATTCCGTTCACCAGGTCATACTTCTATAGTTTTCTTATAAGCATCCGTAGATTATCAATGTTAGATTATCAATGTTCTGACCTGTATAAATAGTTCCCAAATCTAACATGTTAATACTTCATAGCTTTGGTGAGTGGGAGGTCCAACCTTGAATTCAGTTTTGTACACTATTTCATTCAGGTTCAGTGACAAAGCCATAATCCACTACTACACTCAAATTTGAGAGATTCTCAATCTTTACCTCAAACATGACAAGAGCGGGCTCAATAGCACGTTCAGCCAATGAAGCATTAGCAGGCAGTGCTGTTGCACCTTCGTAGTCTCGTAAAACTGTATTATCTGTTGCCATTGCATCATCAGATTTAGATTCACTCCCATATACGGAACCGTTTGCAACAGTTCCATCTAAAGAATCATCTTCCACTCTTTGTTTCTTTGCTTCTGAGCCAAAATCATTCTGAGAACCATCCCCACTCGAGGCTTCCATAGTAGACGCAGTATCATTAACCCCACGAAGATTCACTTCATACATGGGTTCTGTATCGTGATGGCAGAGAGGAATATGTTGGCTTATAGGCAAACCACTATTACCAATCGATTCGATTGCAGGTTTCACATCCCATAAACCAGAACTGTCATTACGGGTATACAACTGTGGAGGAGCGTACCATTCATGACGATCAATTGTGACTAACACAGACTGCAGGAAATGGAACCCAAAAATTAGTACTACTCTCATTTGAGTAATTATTATAGAGTTCAAAAAAGAAACATGGACAGCTACCTAATAATGATAGGAACGCTGTTAGCACAAAAAGATCCATTGTGGAAATCATAACTTTAACGATATTATATTTTTCCATAGACAGCGATCACAGTAGCAAAAAAAAAAAATCACATACTACGAACAGCAAGAAGAGAGGTAATATTATCAAAGAATCAATAAATTGCATGCAAGAATACAGATGCCGATTAAAAGTAAATTATTATATATAATATTATTATATATAATGGTTTACACTTTACAGTGGGTTAGGACGCCTAACAAAAAGAACTTTTAATCAAGGTGTATCACCTTCTTGCGATGGCGATCGGTGTGAGACATATATTCCAAGGGAACACGAGCACCCCTGGAGAGCTTTGAAAGAACGGATACTAAATCCGCAAGACAAGAGATATCCTCATTAGCAACCTTCTTTATGATAGCATGTCGTGGGACCCCAGCTCTAAATAGCATGTATCTGCATAGAAAATAGCTCATCTGAGGAAGAAATACAGTGACTCGTAATATCCAATATATAAGAATTAATTTTCTAAAAATGGAATCATTTGCATTCACAATAAGCTCACATGTGCGAATATTGACACATCAGTCGAGAAGATTTTTAGATAAGTCAACAGAGAGACAAGAAGCTAGAAGCGAACTATCTTAAGATCTCTGATGAAGGGATAAAAAGTGTCATTTTCAAGATAAAGTGGGGTCTAAAAAGAAGTTACAGCTGACTTTTTGTACCGAGGATACAGATAAATAAATTTTAGAATTAAAAGAACATAGAAGGAAACACTCTTTTCTGTTGGACTCTATTAGGGAATTGCACATGGATCAAGAAAATGTGCAAATTTTGATGGAAGAAAGTTGAGCGGCTTACCCAGGGTCCGCAACATAGGCCAATCCACAAGGAAAACGAAAATTACGAGCCTGTCAAATCAAGAAATTTTAAGATCAGCTAACGCCCATAAGAGAGTCGGTAAAACAAAAGTAAGCTTATTTGTCAGCAGAAAGTTGGATAATAACATCACGAGATCACTTGGTTATGCTTGCACACTCGGATCTAACAAGGCAGTGTGGGCCGTGGAGCAAAAAATCTGTCAGCATTATTACAATTAAAAAAATCCAGATATATCATTTTAGGTCGTAGTTACCTGCTGATAAGACAACGGATGAATTACAGCACCACTTACTTCCAGGAAGTGATCTGGAGTGATTGAGTGTAAATCCTGAACCTGTGTCGAGAAATACATAAACACATAAGGATCTATATCTTTATAAAAGACAGGAAGTATCAATCATATTTAAAAAGATTATGAAATTTTACATGAAAACTATTTATTGAGAACTTTTTCTCAGGAAAAAAGAAAACAGCAGCAAGAGCGAATTTAATGACCAACAGAAAAGAGAAGAGACGGCTACATTTATCTTACTTCTAGTCTTTCCATAGTCTACTACTTTTTATAGCCAATATGTGACTAGGCAGAAACTAAACATAAAATCCTAGAAGAACACTAAAAAAGCAAAGTTAGAAGTAGAAGAATGGAACTCACCGATACACTAACGGATAGTGGGTGTCCACCCCTTTCAATTTCCAATTCAACTATCTGGCCAACACCGTCATCAATCAGACTCTCCAAGTTCAGAAATTGCGTAAGAACCTGTGATAACAATGAAATGCATAAAGGGAGATTTAGCAAAACGAGTAAAAAAAGAACAAGACAATGTAAGTGCAATGATTAGTAGGTTCTACGTCTAACTAATTTATAAACCATGTGTTTCATATACTAATGTTGCAGCAAAGATGTCACAATTCTAGATTGCTTGAGTCAAACAGAAAAATCATCCTCACTAAAACGATGTAATCAAGACAACTTACTGTGCCGTTCACACGAACAAGAACATCTCCCGCTTCCAAATGTTTATCAGCAGGGCCACTTGGCACCTACCAGTCATATATCAATGAAAATTTTCAAGTTTAGGCACCACTTAAACAGTATCCATTTTCTTTTCAAATAATTATTGTATTGTATGTTAATAATGAAGCAAACTCACCACAGAGTCAACAACAAGCATTCCGGTTTCCCCAGGTGGAGATGCATGTCGAACCACCTTCATGGCCAAGATATAGCATTTTAAGGTGTCACCGTGTAATACAAGGAACGATGGTAAGAAGGAAAATCGTGTACCTGTTCAGTTTCGCTCCTGAGACCAAGTCGCCGTATCTCATCGAAGCCTTTGTGAATAAATGTCATCTAAGTACACAAGTAAACAGATAAAACCTTACATCAGCAACCCCGGAACTCGTATCAGAAAACAGAGATTGAACTTCCTCTGAATTTCTGAAAATCTGACAATCGTGGGAAAGTGTTTAAGAAATTTAACATGAGAATTCGTACTCAATCCTCATGAAACCATGAACTGACTCATAAACCTTTCAATTGCAATTCACGGTAGTCCAGTTCAAAGTTCCATGCTCATTTATATATTCTTAAGATATTTAAAAGGACCACATTTTCTCTCCAGGATTTGAACCAACATCGGTTGAAAATTGATTATACGCAAATAAAGTATGATAATCGAAACGTAACTACAAGTTGAATCCAGCGATTCTTTTTTTAAAGGCCAAATCTGATATTCGTGGAAATATTCTTAACTGCATTATGAAGATTGAAGAGTCCCAAAACCCGACAGGTGGAAAACAAACCTGAAGAGTACCACGAGGAATATGAACTGCTTTTGGCTTATCCGTGGACGAGTCGATGCTTTTCTGGAGAAAACTCAACGCCCTGACAACCTTCCAAATAAGAGAACCATACTTGATTAGAAGTCCTAAGCAAATTTCCAACTAAATTTCATATCAATTTCGGGGTTATGGAATGATTTGAATAAGTGATGAAAAAGAGATATTGCTTACTCGTTGAAGTGGTAGGAAGAAGGCTGATGCACTTGAGGACTTGCTGCCAGCATTCAAGGCTACCGCCCTGCCTTGCCAATCAATGACAGGAGAACCACTTGACCCACCTTTAGTACCTGATGCTGCCTATAAATAAAGTAGCGAAAATATTAGCAAACACAAGCATATGTTAGGCTTAAGATTAAAAGCATAAAATAGTTGAGTACTGCACGATAAGCTACAAAAAGGAAGTTTAACCTAGTAGATATTTTTGTAAGGAAAATACGAGTAAGAGGCACATTCGTACTGGAAATGGGAAATAAACTTAAGCATGGCACGACTAGAATATATGAAAACAATGTTTTGCCTCAGGGAAGATAGCACGTAATCTAGCTCAAATAAGTTTAGTGAAGTAGAATAACGTAATAAACATTAAAGAGGAAATAATCACTTACTTGCATATAAAACGTGTTGAAGTCGTTATAACCATCTCTGCATTAAAAACCCAATTGATTTTCATGTTATGTATGAAATTAGCAGCACTATAAAAACATGACCACTGAAACAGGTAATACTTTTTATAATGTGGAGCATCCCTATCCAACCGAGCAAGAGTACCAGCCAGTATGGAAACCTGCAAATCCACACTCCAGTTATCAGAAGCATCACTTCTCCATAAATCAGTCTTAGGAAAACTGATTTATCATGAGAGACGTACTGTAGGAAAACTATCAAGTAACTCGCTAGTGTCATTCGATATCCCATAATGACAAGTGAAACCAGGTCTACTGTTTGGATCAAAACATCCAAATGATAGATTATATGCTCCTTTTTAGTAAATTAGTAATGACTAACATAATCGCATGCAGAAGCCAAGAGAACTGAAAGTTCCAAGGAGGCTGAAAATTTGACTCTCATACTTTCAGCCTCCTTGTAAAGGAATATGCCATACTATTTATGTTACCTTTTCTCCGCTATCATTTCCGACAACCCTGATTTCGAGTCCAACAGAAGCCGCCTCTGGGGCAAGAGGAATTTCTTCATAACTCAGAAACTGTACTGCACCGGGATCATACGAAAAGAAGCCAAAGTCATGGACCTGAAACGGATACCAAAGAATATCAGCCTGATGAGGGAGGAAAAGATAAGAAGGGAGCAAAGTAATCGGTATCTATGCCTCATTTCAACGAAACAGAAACAGTATATACGATCTAGTAACGCAAAAATGCACAAGTGAAACAAAGATATTCTGGACTGTGATGCCAGTTTGCTCGTACTCAAAGGGAAGCAGGAAAAGGGAAAAATGAATTCTAATATAGGGGATTAGAATGAGAGACTTACCGGATCCCTGTATACAGGATAGATTGGGATTTCTTCGCGGTTCACAAACATTGCCTCAGCAACTACTGGGCCTACAGAAGACGAAAGAGATGGATCACTGAATATTATATAGATCTCATTCAACTTCAACCCCAGAAGGATTGACCAAAGTATCTCCATATTGGCCTAGAAGTTAGAATTACAACATTCTTCGTTTCTAGGCTGAGCTGAACCCTTTTAGATAGAATCGCAAAATCCTAAAGCGAATACCATCATAGCCTTTAAGTTCCATTGCATAACATCGTATGTGAAATCTGATATCTACCAGCTCCCTAACTCGTCTCTTGGGACGAAAAAAATTGCTCAAAGCAAATGGAGATATTCCGATCAAGAATTGACCCCAAAAGAAATCTGAAGAGTAAAGCGCACCTGGCTTAACCACATGACGATTGGTGAGGATGATCCCACGTCGCTTATCAACGACAAACCCAGTAGCATAGCTAGCACCGGCCGACTCGGTGTCGAAGGCGCGACAGGCCGTTGTGCGGAGTACGACGACGGCGGGAACAACTTTGCTTAGAGCACGACGCCAGTCTTCGGCGGTGGCGACGGTTTCGCTTAACGGAGGATCGATCTCTAAACACAAGTCAGACTTCATGCCAGACTCCGTTGCCATTGATGCCTCTGATCCCAACCTCTCCAACGGATCTCCCATTTGGTCTCCGTATTAGCTCCCTTTCACAACGAAGAGTGAAAGGGGAAAAAATCCGCGGGAATGGGTTTAGGGTTTTGGGATTGGTCTCTCTTCTCTCTCAGATTATCAAGATTGGTGGAAATGAAATCTGATGATAATCTTTCCTTTCGTAGTACAGTTTTATATTTCTTTGTGCGCTGATTAAATTTTAAATATTGTATTATGGTTCCTTTTTTTTTTTGTTTTTAACCAATCAGCTTCCTAAACGCCATTTTTTGTCTAAATCAATATTTTTGCCCCCCCAAAAAAAAAATTGAAAGAAGAAATTTCATTTTGTCGACAAATTTCAGCTATTAAAAAATAAAAATGAAAAAGAGTTCTGCAGAACAATTGTTCTATCAATTTAACTTAATAGTATTTCTCTAATATTATACTTAAAACTTTTTTTGTTATAACAATTATACCGAAACTTTGTTTCTATAAGAAAAGAAAAAGATTGACTTAGACATAGTTAATATGTCTTGTTAATTTTGTAGTGGAGATTTTGCATGTCTAATGTCAATTATACAACAGTCACCAACGTCTTTTTTTTTCTTTTTTATTAGCATCACCGAACACCAAAGTTCTTTAAATTATATAAAACGTCTTTAAAACTCCTTAAAACTATTTTCAAAGTGTGAAGACAACATCTATATTTCCCACTAGTTTTGTTTAGCAATTTTAGATTGGTGAATGGGAATCTTTTCAACTGTTTAATTTGATAATTTTCATGTTTTAATATATAGAAACATTCACATTATAAATCACTTTAGCACTATGAATAATCTGTGTTCTGGCAAAACAAAAATACGATTAAACACAACAAATTAATAGTATAATTTGGGTAGATAATAAGTCGATTATGCATAATTACGATATTTGATTTAATAGAGCTACGCTTAAAATCGCTAGCACCCTTGATAGCAATTTTTTTCTCACAAATTTATAACAACTACAAACCACCCCACAGTTATAATAACCAGGATACACTGCACCGAATTCCGGTTTGCACTAGAATAGTAGCTCCACTGGTCATTCGGCTCAGTCCGGTATAGTTCTCCAGGCACACCGGTCACGTACATGTATTTCGCCGGAGGTGGAGGTGATGATGACCTACTGCAGTAAACCGTCTTTGGTGGTGGTGGAGGTGGTAATGGCAACGGCTTTGGTTGAGCACAAGAGTTAACGCAAGAGTCTCGAACCGGTGTTTCGGTGTGTTCCAGGGGCGAATCGGAGTTGGCTTGATAAGTGAGGCAGTGTAAGACCAGGAACATGGAGGAGACAATAATCAGAGGTTTTGGTTTCATTATGATGATAATGGGATATGTCTTTTAATTGATCAAGACTTGAAAAAGAACAATAAAGCATATCTATAAACATATGCATGTGCATATATATATATATATATATATATATCTTATATGCTGCAGCATCATATCTTTATATACGTCACCCATATGCATTTGGTGAGACCGAATCATAAAATGCAAAAGCGAGGTTCTTAAATTTTGAATAAGTCTTCAAATTTGATAAGATCGCCTATATGTTGGTTACTGTACTTGTATTAATAGTTTTATTGTAATGGTCTGGCCCGGCTGATGATGAGCCCGGCCTGTTTGCGACACAGCTCGTTTTTGGTCCTGATCGATACTTGACCCTAAAACATATACATTGCACAAGAACCCAAAGAAATTAATATAGTAAACCGACGATGTCATCAACAATTTGACACCAATGATCTCGTGGGACGATAACTGAGATAGAGAGAAGAAAACACGTATCCTCCTTGAACCACATGCACAACTCTCGAACACAACACCTGTCAAAAGTGAAAAGAAAAAATGATAAGAAAATATATGTATGGACTTATAAACTTAAAGATCAAATTAATTTAGTATTAGATGAAACTAGAAGAACAGTTTTAAAAAGACAAATGATTCGCTTGAGTCTCTATATAAGCATCACAATCCAACTCTCCATAATCATACACTTATTGCTCTACTCATATTCCATACATCACATCTCTATAACATCCACAAACATTTCACATCTTTGACACCTTTCCTTATTAATTTGTTGTCACCGTAACGAACGATGATTCCGATATGTGTGCAGTGCGGAACAGGAGGGAACCCATGTAGATGCAAAGTGGTAGGACCAACGTTAGGGCTTGTGGCGTTTGTGGCAGCCGGAATAGTGGAATGGCCGGTGGGAGCTTTGGTTTATATCTTTAAACACGCCAAAGGTCGCCGTATTATGGGTCATCCGGCTACTCACGTTTATCCCAAAGTCACCCGCTCCATTCCCATATGATTTCAATATCTCACTTTCGAGATTTGAGTAATTTTACTATATATTATATGTTTTGTATGTTATTTTGTATGTTGTGTTCTCTTTTGTTGTCTTTCTACAAAACTTTAATGATTCGGCTACTCGTGAAAAGCTAATAAGTTATCGTTTTCAATTGTAATGGTTGTGATCTCAAGAAAAGTCTATAGTGCCATGAGTTTTCATTTTCAGTCGACAGTAAGAAGACGCTTTTTAATCTTATAGATCTTCGTTTGTTGTGATCTATGAACTATAATGAAATTATAGCACCATGATTTGTCGTTTACAATAGTTTTGATCTAGTGATATTGCAAAGAGTGCACCTTTTGGCAAGTCCCCTTATCCATTTTTCTGATAATAACAATTCAAATGTCAGAGGAGCAACAGCAGCTATTTAGAAACAGTAGTCCTGAACTTAATTACTAAAATATCGGCGAAACAAAACAAGTTTCAGATGTAAAATTCTTCACATTGTAAATGGCGTCTTCCCTGCGATTACTCCCCAATCCATCCTCTCAAACAAAGATTTGGGGTGTTTTTTTCTTTTTACAAAAAACAAAAGCAGTTGGTGTAAATAATTAAGAATTTAACTTCACGTGTGACCCTAGATATCAATATTTTATGATTTTACCCTATATTTGTTTTTGTTAACATATTTGCCCCTGAGCTTTTCAAGGTTTATGATTAAAACTTGTTCTCTTTGTTCTTCGCCGTTGCTCGAACCAAGAAAATGCTGACTCTACTCATCTTCTCTCTCGGACTCCTCCTTCTTCTTGGTCTGCTCTTCAAATTCGCACTCGCCGATGGTAATTACTTCGAAGAGTTCTAATTCAATGTTAAGTCATTTCATTTGTGGCTGTCATGGAAATTAGTTTAGTTTCAGATTATGTAGAAATTGATTGTTCTCTGCCTCCTGCAGGGGATTTTACCCTGATTTCGAAGAGGCATGTGAAGCGTGAAGCCATAGAAGGCAAGGTACTGTATTGATATATGGAATATGAATATTTTCTCGGCTATTTCAATTCCCGAGCATTTTTTTCCGGGAAAAAGTTTTCAGATTTCCGATTGATTCGTTTTGGATCAGGTAGTCTGGATCACAGGGGCTAGCCGTGGAATTGGTAAGAAAGTTTTCTTTTTTACGATTAGTTTCTAGAAATCTGTCTTATATATTTTGGCTGCAAATTGTTGCTACAATTCATGTCTATTTCTTTGTTGATGCTTGCTTTTAGGGGAAGTTCTTGCTAAACAGTTTGCAAGTTTAGGTGCCAAGCTTATTCTCTCTGCGAGGAATGAAGCTGAACTGGATCGGGTTAAGAGCGAGCTCAAAGGTAATTCCTTGCACATTGAATCAAGGAAAGGTCTCCAGTTTTGAACTGTGCGATTTCTGTTTCTGTTGACGCACCATGTAATCAACTCAGCATTCTTGTAGGTAAATATGCACCAGAAGATGTCAAGGTTTTGCCTTTGGATTTAGCTAGCGGCGAAGAGTCGCTCAAGCATGTTGTAGAGAAAGCAGTGTCGCTTTTTCCTGGAGCCGGTGTTGATTTTTTGATTCACAATGCTGCCTATGAGCGTCCGGTAAGTAATTTCCTTGCTAAAGTTTTGTATCTACTTAGCAGAGAGTCTTTAGTTCAAGCTGTTATTTGAGTTGTTCAAACTCGTGTCGTACTCATCACCATACTCTTTTACTTGTAGAAATCTAAGGCACTGGATGCGAGTGAGGAAAATCTTAAGGTATTCTAGAAATGTTGGGTAAAATCTGTAGGCACGACAATATCTTTGTGTTTCGATAGCCAGAGACTTCTTATTCTGTAGCGAATAGGACATGTGTGGTTTTAATGTATTTTTTTTTTTCATATAGTTAATCAATGATTTTTGTGTACAGACTACCTTCGAGGTTAATGTATTTGGGACAATATCTCTTACAAAGTTGTTAGCTCCTCATATGCTAAAACAAGGAGGCGGTCATTTTGTTGTGGTACGTGAAGCTTTTGCTAATCTTAAATATGTTAAATTTGAGATTTTCGGCTATCCAGATTGTCCATTTCCTTGTGTTAAATGTCGTAATCAATAATTGACGTCAATCTTATACTCAGATTAGCAGTGCCGCAGGAAAGGTACCATCACCTGGACAAGCTATATATTCTGCTTCAAAACATGCTCTGCAAGGCTACTTCCACAGCTTACGTTCTGAGGTATGTTTGAAGTAAAGAAGCTGCATGGTCGCAAATTATTTGGAAACGAATGACTTATGGAAGACATAACAGAAAACTCGCAGCTGCGCCACAAGGATGTTAATAAGCTTCATTTCCTGCTCTCTCCTTTGCTTGTGTTTTAGTCTCTCGCATTCCTATTCACTTATTGCTGAAATAGCACAATAAATTATCAAATCTGACCGTTATTTCACAATCATCTGCGCATGGTTTCAGTTCTTTCAGAAGGGAATCAAGGTTACTGTTGTTTGTCCCGGTCCAATAGAAACCTCGAATGGTACAGGAACATCAACTTCGGAAGACAAGAAATCTCCTGAGGTTGGTTAACTGATTATGATTGTGATTTGTTGACGAAACTGTCAGCAGTTCTAACTTCTAAGTACTTCTGCCTTTGCTTTAATCTTTAACTAGTCTTGTAGACACACATTGAATCCTCTTCTCTGTCAACATTTGGATATTCTATCTTCCGCTGCTCTCTCTTTTCAGTTTCTCTCAAGTATCTAATAAGCGACTTTTCTCTTCCCAAGCAGAAGCGTGTGTCATCTGAACGATGTGCAGAACTGACCATAATCGCTGCATCTCATAACTTGAAGGAAGCTTGGATTTCATATCAGGTACCTCTTTGTCAAAATCGTATATGTTACACTCGGGTTAGACGTCTGATATATAAGCTTATTTTCGGTCTTTATCAGCCAGTACTGCTCGTGATGTATCTAGTGCAGTACATACCTCCCCTTGGCTTCTGGCTCATGGACAAGGTACTTTACTCTGTCAATAATGATTACTTTGTTAGTAGCAAAAAGTTTTACGAAATGAATGGCTTGCAGGTTGGAGGGAAACGTGTGGAGGTTGCGGAAAAGAAAGGCAACACATACTCATGGAATTTACTGTTTCAGAAGAAGACTAAAACAAACTGACACTGGTTATCTAGAAAGTATATGAAGTCTTGTCAGTGTGGTAGTGTTTATGTTCATGTCTGTTTTGATAACTAAGAAAGTGTCTCAGGAAAGAGTTTGCTGCTATATAACTAGTTTACTGTGATGACTAGCACAGCTGGTGTTAGAGTGGTAAAATAGTTCAATACACTGGCTAGAGCTCAATAAGTAATAAAAGATGGCAATCATTCATTTGGCTAATACAACATCCACATTTGTTTGAAACCATCCGAGCTAAATATTCTAAAACCATTGATCTAGGTAACAGTTCTTTTTCATAGAATTGATTAGCTTCTCTGCTCTCAAAGGTGCAGCTACATCGTATTTCTTCCTGTATAGTCATCCAACAGACTTTTGATCCCATTGGACTTCAGTTCCTACAAAAGTTGAAGCGAAAAGGAAGTTCTGTGATGCGGATATTGAAGACAAATGAACACTTACGGGGTTTCACTTGGTGCTAGAAACTCACAGACAATACTCCTGCCAAAGCTGCATAAGGCTGATCAGCTGGTTTAGCAACACGAATTGCTACAACACCGTTCATTCTCTCCTTCTCTTTAGGGTAAAAATTTCGGTAAACTCGAACACCTGCAGAAAGAACAGCCTTTCGGGTTAGAACGAAGTCCACATAGCACAAGAGATGCCTTTTAAGTGTGTTAAGTAGCTATGGCAAAGCCCGTCAAACCTTCTTCTATACTCTCGACTCCAGGAAGAACTTTGGAAAGACCCTCCACTCTCAGCATTTCTGAGAATGAAGTATAATGACGAACGTCCTGCCGTCATCAAAATGGTTGATAAGAAGATGAAAAAGTGCTCTCACAAGGAAGAACTCACAGAGATACGATGATTAGCGAGTACCTGAACTTCAAGCAGCAAGCATTTATTGAACAAAATAAAAGCTCCTGAACAAATCCTGAGAGTACACAGATAGCTAAAAAGTAAGTAATAAGTAAACCAATTGTGAAGTCAATAGAGATAGATGTAAATCACATTTACAGGTTAAAGAACCAAACCTCATGTAGTCTCCTACTGCACATCTTCCTTCAACAGTTTTCATACCATCTGGCGAATGAGAGGCACCAGGGAATGAAAAAGAGATCGACCAAATTATATTAAGTTGATCATGTAAATAGAAGATGTACCTTTCAGTTGAGTGAAATAAGGCTCCTGTACATGAAGCTCAAAGTTTACCTTCTGCAACATCTGACACAACGAGGATTTTTTCCAAAATTCAAACTTTTTCTACTCTCATTTAATGCAATCAGTAGTTGAGACCAAGCTCTTCATGCTTACATACATTTACCAAGTCATGTCCCAGGCCATGAAACAGTTCTTTGTATTTTTCCAAGTTAGAGTTTTTATCAACAGATAATCCCTGCTCCTCGGAAGTTAGACATTCATACAAAGCCCTTGCTAGAAGCTTGTACAACGCAAGCTTTTCTGCGAAGAGAAGAGTATTTCTGAGGAATTTCAGTTATTTTTCTTGAGTGTTAGTATATTAAACTCCAATTGCAGATTTTGCTTGCTAATTGGAAATGTAACTTCCAAAATCCTACACAGACAAAGTAGAATCGGATAACTTACCCGTTGAATCTGTATCTTCCTCCAGGAGATGGAGGCAGAAATCTCTGGTCAAGTCAAGATCGAAACTTGGAAGCGGTTCGTCCAAATGAAAGCGCAGAGTAAACCGTAAAATAGATTCAATGCTTTCTCCAAGCTCCACTGACTTTGTTCCCGGCGACGGTGGCTGCTCCATTTTCGCCGACTGTCTCCGTCAGAACGCCAAACTGGATCAACAAAACTGTTTGACAAGATGCATAAAAGGCCCTGAAGTTTGTAAATTTTGCAAGATGATCCAATAAAGTTTTAGAATAGTAAAAAAAAGACCATCCTCTTCTTACGTGGAAATCAAAAAGGGACCCTGGATGTTTTGTAATAATATTGGAAGATGATCCTACAAAACTAAAACTTACAGATAAGCCCTCAATTTAACTGATAAAAACAAAATTAAAACGGAAGTGACACGTGAGAAGCACGTGAACCTTTTGGTGCAGAGAGTCACAGTCACACATGGCATATTCTCAGAAGAATACCTCCATGACTCATAATCATATACCTCTGATAAGTCCCCACACACAAACCTGCCATTTTCTCCTGACCTCTGTAGAAAGAAAGGATCCGAATTGAATATTCCGGGTCCGTGACTTGTGACCCGCTTTGATGGACTGGATTTCGTGTCCGTGCTGGGGAACCAACGACGATGAAAACGCCGGCGAGGTGGCGGACCGAGATCCCGTCCTCCTTGTCTCTGGCGTCGGAGGCTCGATTCTGCATTCTAAGAAGAAGAACTCCAAGTCCGAAATCCGGGTTTGGGTCCGAATATTTCTCGCCAACCTTGCCTTTAGGCAGAGCCTCTGGTCTCTATATAATCCCAAAACCGGTAAACGTGTCTCACTCTCATAGATGAAAAATCAAAGCTTTAGTTCTGGGGTCTTACTCTATGATCGACTATTACTTTACTCCATTTCTTTTTGCTCTTTTAAAATTTATTCCTTTTTAGATATCTTTGTATGCGCTTGATTCGAAACGATACTGAATAAGTTATTTGATCCTCCACAGTAAAATCTTTCGTCTGCTAACTTTGTTTGTGATTGCGTGTTGCTATTGATTACTTACCTTTGCGATATTGTAAGTCGTTTTCTGGATTGAGTGTTGTTTATGAAAATTAGAATTGGAAAATCTGATATTTTTTTGGCCTCAGCTGATTTGTGAGTTAAGTTCTACTGAACGAGAATTTCCTTGAGGAACTCATTTTTGTAGAAGAATGTCAAGTGGAGACGAAATTTTCTGTTGTTTCTTATCTCAATGGTATTGTATTATCACCCTTCTTGGCCGTACGTTTGAAAGAACTTTGTAGTTACCTTCAGAACTTATTTATGATGTTGTGGTTTTTGTCTGTTTCTTCTGTTTTGTTAAACTGTAATGTCATAATTCTTGTGCATTCGGAGGCTCATGCAAAACGACATCTTACCATCTTATCATATTTTTTAAGCAAAAGTAAGCTATGAAGCAGATGTGCAATCTCGAATGTCTTTTGCAGGTTATACTGAACCATTGGATGATAATATTGAAATTTTGGTCCCTGATGATGACCATGGACTCTATGCAATTGACATTCTAGATCCATCCTGGGTAAGATGATACAATATTTTTTTTCTTTTTACGTACTTTCTAATCTTGAAATTTGTTTGTTACTTTGTGAGTTATTCGTTCTTGATGCCTAACCTCAGTATCTGATCTTCTGAAATTGTTAGCGTTCCTTCTTCGTTTGATCGTTTTAGCTTACTAATAAGGGAGTTTAGTTCGTTTTCCTGTTATATATTTGATATTGTATAACTTCGATTTCAGTTTGTAAAGCTTTGTCACTTGACGGAGGTGTATCACTTTCACGATATGATAGAAATGCTTGTTGGATGTGGTTATAAGAAGGGGACTACATTATTTGGTTACGGTTACGATTTCCGGCAAAGCAATAGGTGATTTGCATGAAAAAATTCTCTGTTGTTACCTGAAATTATAGTTTTACGAGATTCTTTAGTTGTTTTGCTTATTTCATTCTTTCAGGATCGATCAACTTATACTAGGTCTCAAAAAGAAGCTGGAAACTGCATATAAACGTTCAGGGGAGAGAAAAGTCACTATCATCTCCCACTCAATGGGAGGAATTATGGTTTCGTGTTTCATGTATCTCTATCCCGAGGTATTATAATCAACCATTCATTATGATCTTTGACAGATTCTAGCCCAAGTTTAGAGAATCCCAAAAGGAAACAGGGTAATGAGCGAGTCTCTGTTTTAACCATTGGCAGGTTTTCTCCAAGTATGTCAATAAATGGATTACGATCGCAACACCTTTCCAAGGTGATACAGAATGATCTCTTTGGGAAAGTTGTTTATAAGAAGAAAAGCTGGTTTTATTGGAAATGACTCGGATTTGGTTGACAGGAGCTCCAGGGTGCATCAGTGATTCACTCTTGACTGGAGTGCAATTTGTGGAAGGCTTTGAAAGCTTCTTTTTTGTATCACGATGGACGATGCACCAACTGGTAATAAATCCTCAAAGTTTCGAGTTTTCCGGCATAGATACACTTTTTGCTTTACACCAAAAGAATTTAGATTTTTGTGATTTCTTCAGAGTCCATGAAAGTCTTGTTCTAAGATTGATGAGTTTGTTTTTGAATTTTTGGTTTTAGTTGGTCGAGTGCCCATCTATATATGAGATGATGGGAAATCCAGATTTTAAGTGGAAAAAACAGCCAGAGATTCGAGTTTGGCGTAAGAAATCTGAAAATGACGATACTTCTGTAGAACTGGAATCATATGGCCTAATCGAGAGTATTGATCTGTTCAACGATGCGTTGAAGAATAACGAGGTATCAGTCGCAACACATCACCTTTTCTTTCCTCTTTCCACTGGCTTGAGATGTTATTGGTCACTGAATTACGAGATATTTTCATCTTATTATGTATAGCTAAGCTACGGTGGGAACAAAATAGCTTTACCCTTTAATTTTTCTATCCTCGACTGGGCGAGTAAGACGAGAGAAATTCTCAACAAAGCGCAACTTGCTGATGGAGTTTCCTTCTACAACATTTATGGAGTGTCACAAGATACGCCCTTCGATGTTTGGTATGCATTCATACCACTCTAGTTCCTTTATGGCATTAGGCTGTTTTTGTTGATTTATTCATAAGTAGTAGTATCTAGACGTTGATTCCAGCTATTTCGCAATCTAAAACCACACAAAAAACTGTTTTTTTTTTTTGGTTTCTGTTGCAGTTATGGCACAGAGACTTCTCCAGTTGGGGATTTGTCTGAAATATGTCAAACTATGGTGAGTGAAATGAGTCGTCTCGAGAAGAATGCTTTGCGCCCTTTTAAAGTCTGAAACTTGCGGCTCTCTATTCCGACTCGTCTTCGATTTGTTATCTTAAGCTTCATCATATTTGTCTAATAAGTCTGTATCTTGTTCCAGCCTGAGTATACATATGTAGATGGAGATGGAACTGTACCAGCTGAATCAGCAGCAGTAAGCTACTCTCTTGTTCATCCTTAGTTCTCGGTTGTTCCTGAAGAAATCTGTAAAATTAAAACTTGAATGATTTGAGATTGTTGGTGGTTCTCATGTCACTTCTCTGGACCTTAACCAAAACCTTACATTTTCAACTTTTTTTTTTTCCGCAGGCTGCTCGATTTAAAGCAGTTGCGACTGTAGGAGTTTCCGGTACCCATCGCGGGCTTCTCCATGATAAAAGAGTGTTTGAGCTCATCCAACAATGGTTAGGAGTTGAGCCTAAGAAGTCTAAACGGAAGCATCTAAGGAGTCATAAAGTTGCTGATTCTGGTTAACTCCAAATCCTGGACTTCAATTTCGTTTGAATAAGTTAAAATGAAGAATGTGTGATTGTAATGATTGCTCGTGTTTTTTATATGGTGAATTGTGACATGTATGTGCACAGAATTGTTGTTGAAAGCTTTGGGATTTGATAAAATTTGTTTCTTTTTTCTCTAAATAATGTAATGTGTGGGAAAACAGAATTTACTCTGTTCGTTTGTAATATGAGTTCTCTTATAGTATTAACCAACAAGATTATAAAGGCTGTGTCTACTTTTGATACTCTCACTGAGTCTCACACGCTTTACGATTCTTTCATAGATGTAAAGAAAGAAAATTTAATGATTGATTCATGGGTTGATTTATTTCCTTAATTAAACATCTTAGCAAAGAAAACAAGCCAAAGAAACGAATTAAGAACTAATAAAAATGTAGACTTTTTAGGTGGAACACACTGCTGTTCGTTAAGCGTGACGATTTGCAAATACAAATTGAGAGATTCATCTGCAAATGCTACTGAGTCGCGAGAAAGAGAGGTGATGGAAGCGATCGGCGACGACGATGAGCTCCCAAGGAACAAAATTTCCCAGTGGAAGAGAATCTCCTTTACGATTCTCCTTCTGTTAATCTCCTTGACCACAAGGGTTTCTGGTTCTATTGACGAATCTGGTAGAAGAGTGATTGAAGCGAGAAGTGGGCAAGACTTGATATGGGTGGTTCAGCTATCTGACCTCCATTTCAGCGTTCATCACCCAGAAAGAGCCACCGATTTCAAAAACATAGTGGGTCCTGCTCTGTCTTTGATCAACCCTTCTCTCGTCTTAATCACCGGTGATCTTACAGGTAAATCTCCTTCCTGAATGTTTTGCTTTATCTGTTTGAATTTGTGAGTCTCTCATTAGTTTGTTTATTGAGCTTCTGTGGAGAATATTTGTTCTGGGTTTTTAGGTTTTACTTAAGCTTCCAATTTTGTGGCTCAGCTAAATTTGTTTGATTTCTCCGTTCCGGATAAAAATTATCGAACAAATATGATTCTTTAGCTTTGTCGGATATTTTCGGCTCTTTGTCTTTGGTCAAATTCGCTTAAAAACTCATTTTTTTGTGTGAAATATTGCTCGTTGATATTTTTTTCATTAATTTGGTTAATCAGATGGGAAAAGTAAAGACATGTTAACAATGAAGCAAAACGAAGATGAGTGGTTAGAATACGAGAGTGTGATGCAAGATGTTGTGAAAAGAAGTCGGTTGAATAAGACCATATTCTATGATCTTAGGGGTAACCACGACAACTTTGGTGTTCCGTCTGTTGGTTCATCCGTTGATTTCTTCTCAAATTATAGCTTCAATGGAAAGATGGGAAGGAAAGAAAATGTTAACACCGTGACTCTTGAGGTTGGTTACACTCTCCCAACTTGGTCTATTGTTAACGCTCTTGATTCATTTGGTATATATATATATGCTGCTAACAGTTCTATGTTCTGTTATACAGACTAGTGAACGTAAACATCTGTTTGTCGGTGTTGACACCACGATGCATATTGGATTACGCGGCCCAACCAATCTCTTTGGGCACCCAACTGATGAACTTTTGAGCTCGCTCGACTCACACCTATCGCAATGGGATGACCAATCAATCAAACCTGTGACAAAGATATCATTTGGGCATTTTCCGTTGTCCTTCTCAGCGATGTCACATTCGCAAAAGAGCCTCAAAGATGTTTTCTTGAAGCACTCCATCTCTGCTTATTTGTGTGGCCATCTACACTCAAGTTTTGGCAAGAACCTTAAGAGACTCCATCACTCCGGTGGTACCAGTTTATCAGATAATGACTTGTTTCAGCTGAATATGAGGCGGAGTAGCGCTGAAAGCACTACGAACTGCTCATTTGGAGCCTTACCGGCTGCAGAATTCTGGGAGTGGGAGATGGGTGACTGGAGAAAAAACAGGGCAATGCGTATCATGGCCATTGATAGGGGTCATGTTTCATATGTTGATCTTGACTTCAAGTCAAAATCTCAGAAGACTATCATATTGCCGACCTTTCCATTAGATTCACGTTTCATGTCAACATCCTTTGCACGCCACAAATATGAATGCCAACATATGATCTCGTCATCTTATGATGCAATCAGAGCCATCGTGTTTTCTCATTCCCTTGTTGTTGAAGTTGTAGCTAGAGTTTATGACTCGAGCCCTGGATTTGACAATCTGGTCATGGAAGCTCCAATGAAAAAACATGGAGACGATTCTTCCACTTCTGGGGCATCATTTTTTTCACTTCCATGGAACTATAGGGCCTTTGAAGATCCCTCACCTGATAGGTTTTGGCTGCAGATAGAAGTCACTGACATCAAAGGCAGATCAACTTTATCAGAAATGCGGCCATTTTCCATCAATGGTCTAAGCTCTAAGGTCTCATGGACATGGAATGAGTTTCGTGTCATGGGCTGCCAATGGGCGGCATTATATTTCCCGAGTCTTTGGTCTGCTCTATATTGTTTGTTTCTCGTTTTTCTCATCCCCAAATGCATTATCATTGTTTTCAAGAAGCAATACACTCTCAAAAAGTTCATTGCCAAGAAAGGACCAATCACGCTTGTACTTTGGATTCTCCAAGACCTCTGCAGAATTCCTCTGGTTTGGTTTGGTTACATGGCATATTTCTTTTATCTCATATTCTTTCCTTGGTTTTCCGGTGAAGTGTTTACTGATTCTGGAAACAGAACATACATGACTATTATGGGATGGGTAGTCACGAGCTCAAGCGCGGATAGGAAACATGAATACATCGGACAACCTGATGTAATGGTTCTGGTGATCCCGCATCTGGTCTTTGTTGTTATCCCCAGTGTCTTGGTCGTGTGTTGTCTGGTTGCGGAGAGAGAAATCTACAAAGATCACATTCGAACCGTCTCTGGTAAGAAAGAGGACGACCATGACCGGGGAAGGAAGAGGAGATCTCAACGCCGGTCGCTGTTATTCTCTAACAGAAGACTAGTTCGGAAATTACTTTTGCTGGCTTCATTGGCTCTATACTGGAAGCATTTCAAGGTATCACTTATCTAATACTCTACTGTTCATTCATTCTTTTTATATCAGTTTCCAGTTCTGAAGTGTTGTTTGTTTTGTTTCTTTGCTCTTTATAGAATTGCTGGGCTCTAGCTAGAGCTTATGAGATGAACTTGGTGCTTCATTTTCCAGGTTACGGTTTTGTAGTTCCTTTGTTGCTACTTTATGTTATCTGCAAAACCCACAAGGTTACATGAGAATCTCAAAGAATACTCTTTGGAATTTTTTTGTGTTAAAGAAATACATATAAAGGTTTTTCTTACACTTTTTTTTTTTTTTTTTTTTTTTGCTTTCTGCTCACTCTCTCTTCATATGCTCACTTTCTCTTCTAAAGTGTTGGAACAAAAAAAATGGTTTTCTAATTGAATGGAACTAATTAAAAATTCTGATTCCATATGGTATGTACCCAATACTAGTAAATATATTTCTCAAAAAAAAGAAAAAAAATACTAGTAAATATTCATAATCGATACGAAGTCAAACAAGTTGAAATACAGTTTCAACTTGACATTGTGCAAACTGATGATTGCCTATGGAAAAAAGTCACGAGCAAGATGAACGGATTGTCCATTATCAACTTTCCGAGATATTTTTTTTGTTTACAGTTTTTACCATTTTTTATTCCAACCTTTTTTTATACTCCATCTTTTTGTATTTATGGATGAAGAAAATACTAGTATTTGCCTTGCTTTTCTTTTTGGCTTTTTCTTTTTGCATTTTGCCTTTGTGCCACCCAATCAGTTGCCGTTTTAATAGGTAGACAAAAAAGTTAACGCTATTTTGCTTTAATTGTTGCAGTTTTTTTTTGTCGTAATTGTTGCAGTTAATAATATTAATTAATAACTTACTGTATATTTCCATAAAAATGTAGTAAACTGTATAGTTCCATAAATTTATTATCTGTATTGTCCCATACCAGTCAACAAAAAAAAAAAAAAAGGGAAGAGTCTTCTTCAACAATTTATTATTTCGGAAACCGCAGAAAAAAAAATTCTTTCATAAATACTCACACTTTGATCGTTCATCTTCGAACAAACTTTCTACTTTCTTCTTCTTCCCTGAGCTTTTCTCTCTGCCATTTTCTGTAGCCCAACTTTTTTGTATTTTGATCGCGGCGTTGTCTTTATCCCACTCAAGGTTTTCTTCTTCGGATATTATTTTGATTTCAATCCCTGGGTTTTATTTATCTCCGTTTATTTTGGAATCTGCCTTCACCTGTGGGTTTGTCTACTATTTGTAAAAAATTGGTTTTTCTCAAAAATTATATTGTTTTAGACGGCTATGGATTCTGATGAGATGGAAACTGAGAGCGCCGATCAAGTCTCTACCAGTCCTCTATCATTTGCAAGAAGGTGTAGTTTGTCTTCTATCTTCTAGGCTCTGTTTTGTTTTGCTAGATGATTTTTACCCATGATCGTCCAACTTCTATCTACCTCCTGATAATCTGGGTAGTTAGACATTAGGGAGGAGGCTTTTTTCTTTCTTTTCCTTCTTAATTTCAAATCTTACATCTTGTATATATGATGGATGCTCTCTGTTACCAGTTATCAAGTAGAGGCACTTGAGAAAGCTATAAAGCAGAACACAATTGTCTTCTTAGAGACTGGTTCTGGCAAGACCCTAATTGCCATTATGCTTCTTCGTAACTACGCCTACCTTTTCCGTAAGCCTTCACCATGCTTCAGCGTCTTCTTGGTTCCTCAAGTGGTTCTTGTCACTCAAGTATGATGCTATCTTCCACTCTTATGTTAGCTCTTGTAGTGTTTATCGATTGAGACCGGCTTACATTTGGATCTTCTGAGTCTGATGTACAGATGTTCTTACTCGTCCTTGTGTATTTGACGCAGCAAGCAGAAGCCTTGAAGATGCACACTGATCTAAAAGTGGGTATGTATTGGGGAGAAATGGGGGTTGACTTCTGGGATTCTTCAATATGGAAACAAGAAGTCGATAAATATGAGGTCTTATTATATGAATCCTATCACCATATATCCGCCCTGGATTCACATCCATATAAGTCCAAGTTTTTAACCTGTTTGGAGCTTTCAAGAGCTCATTTTCCTTGCTTTCACAACTGCAGGTGCTTGTGATGACCCCTGCCATTTTGCTGGTTGCATTGAGACATAGTTTTCTCACGTTGAACATGATCAAGGTTCTAATTGTTGATGAGTGTCATCATGCTAAGGGAAAGCATCCTTATGCTTGTATCATGAGGGTGAGCTTGAAAAGATACTTCTAGTTGTAGAACTCAAACCTGAATGACATCTCATTGAAACATAGGAAATTTACATTAGAAAATAATTACTTTGTGGTAGCTTTTACACCTTTTGACAATATAGCTCTTTCTAATGTAGGAGTTCTATCACCAGGAGTTGAATTCTGCATCTTGCAATGTTCCACGGATACTTGGGATGACTGCTTCCCTTGTGAAAACCAAGGGTTAATAAGCATTTAACATTTTTTTTCTTATTGGATTTCGACATTATATTTTCGATTCTATATATATGTTGTCACGAATTTTATTTTTCTCTTGTCTTTCTTCTCTCAAATAAGGTGCGAAGTTGGATAGCTACTGGGAAAAGATTCATGAACTTGAAACTCTAATGAATTCAAAGGTGAATTATTTTCTTTATCTTGGGTTTTTGGTATTGTCCTTCTTGTTTTGTATGATTTTTAGTTATAGATTGTGAATGGTGCTCTCAAAATCAGAAACCTTTATTTAAGATTGATATTTTTGTTATAGTGACCATAGTCAGTATTTACACTCCATATTGATACAGAAACTACGTCTTTTCTCTTGGTTGCCATTTACTGCAGCAAGATTGTCTCATCTGTTAATTGCTTGTACTGTGTCAATAATTTAGAAAAGTGAACCATGTTAGAAATGCTTCCTAAAAATGTATATGAATCATGGAAAGTTATCTCAAGAACCCAAATGAGACAAGAGATATACCTAAAATGATAACGGCCAAGTCCATGTTTGTTGACACTTTCTGAAACGGTAACTGATTTTGTGATGATTTTATCTTCGCATCTATCATAGTAATATTATTTACTTAATAAAGGTCTATACCTGCGAGAATGAGTCCGTGCTTGCTGAGTTTGTCCCCTTTTCTACACCAAGCTTTAAGTACTACAAGCACATTGAAATACCAACTTCTAAACGTGCAAGCTTGGTAGGGAAGCTGGAAAACCTAATCACAAAGGTATGTACACGAAGGCTTTGCTAAAACCTAATCTTAATAAACACTTATTTGTTTTAGTTCGAGTAATATAGTCCATACTTATATTATCATTCTTGTATCACACATTAACTAGGATAGTGCGAACTGATAGTAGGCTTATTTTTCAGCATCGCTTATCCCTTGCAAACTTGGATCTCAAATCCTCTACTGTTGATTCTATAGAGAAGAGGATGCGGAAGATAATTTCATGTCTAACTTATTGTTTAAGTGATCTCGGAATTTGGCTGGCGCAGAAGGTATATTTGTTCATGTTTCTCCTTTAAGGCTTTAGTTTACAAAGGAAAGTAAGAAATGCTGAATGATTGTTTTTTTCTTTGCACAACAGGCTGCTCAGTCATTGTCAGACAGTCAGAGTGACTTTACCTTGTGGGGCGAACTAAACATGTTTAGTGAAACCTTCGTCAAAAAATTCTGTTTTGATGCTTCACAGGCGTTTTTAGCTGACATACCTCATGGTAGTTTCTTTCTTCCTAATTTTTTATGGTCCGTTCATTTTTTTTTTATTTTTTTATTTTGCTTTTCCTCACTTTTTTGGTCTTTTTGTTTGTATATAGGTCTTAACTGGAGTGCTGCTAACATAAAAGAAAATTTGGAGGCAGGTCTCCTAACGTCGAAAACAGTCTGCCTCCTCGAATCTCTTCTTGGTTATAGGTTTGGATTGCATGAACACTTAGTTTTCTGGTTATTAAGCTGCAGTTAAATGAATAATCTTGAATGTTTGACATTGCTAAAGTCAACACATTGTTTTCTTGCGGTTTTAAAAGTTGGCGTATAATGTATTACTTAGGTATCTGGTGTACACTATCCAACTGTTGGATATGCAACTGTCAAATTCTTGATATATAGAAAATTCTGCATATTATTTAACTTTTCAATTCTGTTTCTCTGAAATTTCGTTGATACAGCTCCTTGGAGAACATACGGTGCATCATTTTTGTGGACAGGGTGATAACAGCAATTGTTTTGGAATCACTTTTGGCTGAGATTCTTCCAAACTATAACAGCTGGAAAACCAAGTACGTTGCAGGAAATAACTCTGGTCTGCAAAATCAAACTCGGAAGAAGCAAAATGAAATTGTGGAAGACTTCCGGAGAGGCTTGGTATGGTCGAATTCCTGTGTACTGTTGGAGTTTTCTGCTTACTACTATCTATAATTCTGAGTAACCTGTTCTTATTTGTAGGTAAACATCATTGTAGCAACATCTATTCTAGAGGAGGGTCTAGATGTTCAAAGTTGCAATCTGGTTATCAGATTTGACCCTGCATCCAACATTTGCAGTTTCATACAGTCTCGTGGGCGTGCTAGAATGCTAAATTCAGATTATTTGATGATGGTGGAAAGGTCTGATACTTTTTTTTTTTGCTGGCCTTTTAGATTTTACGGTTTAGTTTTAGAAAACGATAACTCCATGCTTCAAAAATCTGATATCTTTCTCACTCATTGCCACTGGCAGCGGAGATCTAGCAACAATAGATCGGCTAATGAAATACCTTTCTGGAGGGAAAAGAATGCGTGAAGAGTCTTTGCATCATTCTCTTGTTCCCTGTCAACCATTTCTTGATGATTCATCCGAGAAAATTTATCGCGTGGATAAGACGGGAGCGAGTGTAACCCTTAGCTCAAGCGTTAGTTTAATATATTTCTACTGCTCAAGGCTTCCTTCAGACGAGTTAATCTTATACCTACCAGCTCCATCAGTTAGTTTTCGTTTATGCAAAATTTTGCTTCTTTATATTTTCTTACTTTTTTCTCTTTTGGCTGGAAAAGGTACTTCAAACCAGCTCCTAGATTTGATGTAGACAAGGATCAGGGGATATGCACTGTTTACCTTCCTAAGAGCTGCCCAGTGAAAGAAGTTAGTGCTCCCGCAAATGGAAAAATGTTAAAACAAGCTGCCTGTTTTGAAGCTTGCATTGAGCTGCACAGAGCTGGAGCTCTGACTGATAATCTTGTGCCTGACATGGTTGTGGCGGAAAATGTCGAACAAAAACTCGGTAATTTTCTGCTTCTTCATTTTTAGATTTGGGCTGTTTAATTAACCACTCATCTACGAGGTTTGAGTTTTCAGGGAATATCAACTATAACACAGAGCAGCCATGTTACTTGCCCCCAGAGCTAGTCTCCCAGTTTTCAGGACAGTCGCAGACAACATACCACTTATACTTAATAAGAATGAAGCCGGACTCTCGAAGAAACTTTCAGTTTAACGATATCTTTCTGGGCACCAGAACTGAGCTTGAAGATGACATTGGGAGCACATGCTTCCAGTTGGAAGATCATCATGGTACAATAGCTGTGACATTGAGTTATGTGGGAGCGTTTGACTTTACACAAGAGGAGGTATTTTTTTTTTTTGCTCATTTTTGTATATCAGTTATATATCACATTTGAATTTATTTTTCATTTAAACGACAATTCGATCAGTATCTCTATTTTCTTGTGTTCAGGTCCTTCTGTGTAGAAAGTTTCAGATAACTCTTTTCCGAGTTCTTTTGGATCACAGTGTGGAAAATTTGATGGAGGCATTAGATGGATTGCATCTCAGAGACGGGGTAGCACTAGATTATCTACTGGTTCCGGCCACTCCTGAGAACGAAACATCTCTTATTAATTGGGACATGATTAGATCCGTGAATTTAACTCGTCATAAAGCTTGTGAAAGGCACGCAGATTGTTCTGCCAAGGGTGCTTCTCGCATTCTTCATACAAAAGACGGCTTGTTTTGTACATGTGTCGTGGAAAATGCATTGGTCTACACCCCACATAATGGACATGTCTACTGTACCAAAGGTGTTCTCAACAATCTAAATGCAAATTCAGTATTGAGGACGAGATATTCTGGCGATCAGACTTACGTGGAGTTCTATGAGAAACGGTACACATAATTTCATCGAACAAAAAAAAAAGTTTACACAATTCTTGGTTGATTCGAATGTTGTCACTATTGATCTATTTATTGTATTTACTTTTCAGATACTAAAATTTATAATTTTGCTGCAGGCATGGGATTCAGTTAAATTTGCCGGATGAACCCCTTCTGAATGGGAGACACATTTTCACGCTCCATAATTACATTCGAATGACCAAGAAGAAAAAGGAAAAAGGTTTTTAATCCTTAACCACAATCTTATTAATTGAATCCTAAGTTCTTGTTGAATTCCTTATTGCTTTCTTTTCTTTTTTTTTTCTTTTTTTGCTGCAGAACATGACAGAGAGTTTGTTGAATTACCTCCTGAACTGTGTCATGTCATTTTGTCCCCAATATCAGTTGATATGATCTATTCATATACTTTCATCCCATCTGTTATGCAACGCATTGAGTCTTTGCTTATAGCATTCAACCTAAAGAAGAACATCCCTAAAGTCAATATTCCAACCATCAAGGTATACGTGAGACTTTCAAGCTGATGTAAATCATGCATGGGACTTTTGTTGATTTTTTCACCATGAAAGTTTTTTTATCACTACAGGTTCTGGAAGCTATCACGACGAAGAAGTGCCAAGATCAATTTCACTTGGAATCACTAGAAACTCTTGGGGACTCTTTTCTCAAGTATGCTGTTTGTCAGCAATTATTCCAACAATATCGTACTCATCACGAGGGTCTTCTCAGCGCAAAGAAAGATGGAATGATTTCAAATGTCGTTCTCTGCGAATTTGGATGTCAGCAGAAACTTCAGGTGAACATTCTTCAGTAGTAGTATTAACGATTCTATAGAATTTTTTCAATTTTCACGCAGGTGGATTTTTGTCAAATAATTTTATGGAGTAGGAGGTAAAATATCGCATTTGTAATTACAGGGATTTATCCGCAATGAATGTTTTGAACCTAAAGGTTGGATGGTTCCTGGTCAATCGGCTGCAGCTTATGCTTTTGTCAATGATTTTCTACCCGGTTCTAGAAACATATACATTGCTAGGAGGAGGAATTTGAAACGCAAGAGTGTGGCTGATGTTGTAGAATCACTAATTGGTGCATATCTCAGCGAGGGAGGTGAACTTGCAGCGTTGATGTTCATGAATTGGGTTGGTATAAAGATTGATTTCACAACGACTATGATCCAAAGAGAGTCCTCGATACAAGCTGAGAAGCTTGTGAATGTAGTCTATACCGAGTCGCTGTTGAACTATAAATTTGAGGATAAGTCTCTTCTAGTCGAGGCATTGACTCATGGTTCATACATGATACCTGAAATTCCAAGATGCTACCAGGTTCTGTCATTTATCCATGAAGCCAGTCATCTACTTTTTAATTCTGTCGGTGTTTTATAATGTACTAATTTGACTTTACTGCAGCGGTTGGAGTTCCTTGGCGACGCTGTGTTGGATTATCTCATAACCAAGCATTTGTACGGTGAATACCCAAATCTTTCTCCTGGACTACTAACCGATATGCGCTCTGCTTCTGTGAACAATGAATGTTATGCTCAAGTGGCGGTGAAATCAAACCTGCACAAACACATTCTTCATGCCTCTCATGATCTCCACAAACACATCTTTAGAACAGTCAGCGAGTTTGAACGGTCATCTTTGCAATCAACTTTTGGATGGGAATCCGATATAGCTTTCCCCAAGGTAAAAACACATGTGTATTTGATCTATTCTACTCTGGACACAAGGTCTTAGTGTGTCTTTGTCATTTCTCAGGTTCTTGGAGATGTGATAGAATCTTTAGCAGGCGCAATATTTGTTGACTCGGGTTACAACAAGGAAGTTGTTTTTGCAAGTATAAAACCGCTTTTGGGTTGTATGATAACTCCGGAGACAGTCAAGTTGCATCCTGTGAGAGAGTTGACAGAATTGTGCCAGAAATCGCAGTTGGAGTTGAGTAAAGCTAAAGGTTTCGAGAATGGTAAAGCTTTCTTTACAGTTGAGGTGAAAGCTAAGGAAATGAGTTTTTCTCACACAGCAAAGGCCTCTGATAAGAAAATGGCCAAGAAATTGGCTTACAAAGAAGTCTTGACCTCGCTTAAGAATACTCTCGTCTCCTAGATTTCTCTTTCTTGTGGAATCAGTGAAGATTGCAAATGATTTTTTTATTATTATTTTTCTATAAGTTCTTAGAAATGTTTACTCTTTAAAGCGCACTTACAATTGGTCTACTAATAATCCTGGTTACTTGGTTCAAGAACAAAAAAAGCGCTCTTAATCAAACAAGAACTGACAAAATTGAAATCATTCTCTACAAACAAAATATAAAAAAAAAAAAACTTGACAATATGCAAAGAGAAAGAAAGCCAAACCTAAGATGGATTAAATGAATTCAAGCTAAGAGCCAAAAGTTCTTGTGACGTTTGGTTGTGATCAAGTAGCCACCAAGCTTACGGCTCTTTGGTTTAACCGCAATGGTCATACACGAAGCTTTCTCTAGGCAATACTTGAGAACTCCGGCTCGGCCCCGCCGTTTCTTCCAACCCCATCGCTTCACTAATCTCCAAACCGGCGGTTTCTTCTCTTCACCGACTACTAAGAGGCTCACTTGTTGTTCTTTTGCTTCTTCCACTATCTTCTCTCCTTTCTCTTTCTCTTTTCCTTCTAGTCTTCTTATTTCAACCTCTATCTGTTATATTATAGACATAGTTAATATCTAATCACATTTTAGAGTTTTGAAACGCTGAAAACACTTGTTAGAATTTACTAATTTGGACTCACCCCAGGTCGCTTTGTTTGGCAGAGTTTCTTTAGAGTGTGGACGAGTTCGTCTGTCTTTACTTCACGTTCCCGGTTCTTACTTTTGCCTTTATAGCAAGATCAAAATCTTTACAAAGCCATATACTTACTAAAGATCCAACATTTTGAGAAGGCAATGATTTTGTTTGAACTTTCAAATGAATTAAAAAGCTCAAAAAGTTAAAAGAGATGACCTTTTCTAAAGGGTTTGGAGAAATATAAGAGAAAAAGATAGTCTTGTGATTGTAATGTGTGCTTCAAAGCCCATTCAAGAGCTCCGGTTGAAGCAATCACTTTGTCCACCACCACCATCACCCTATTCCCTGCCTCAATGATCTCCGCCTCCTCCTCTGCCACTTCTGTCTCTTCGCGTTCACTTTTGCCACCGCTTACAACGCTTTTGCCATCATCATCATCATCTTGTTCCTCTTCTTCTCCTTCTACTCCCTCATCTTCAAAAAATTCTTCATACTCGCTACTACTGTCGCCAACGTTTCCCTCTTCTCCAACGCCATTGTCTCCTCCGAGAAACTCGATTCTCTGATCTCTTTCTATGGAACTAGAGTCCGGTTTGAACCTGTTTGTTGAAGAACGGATCCGGACATGTCTTAGGCTCAACCTGACTGTTTTCTTGAGCGATCTGGCCATGGTTCTCTCTTTTGAATCTTGATTCTAACAACCATACATTGGTCTTGATTATCATCATCGTACATACGTGCAAGAAAAATAAATCATCAAAGAGTTGTTCCTAGGACGTGCGTACCATTAAAATATACTAATAGTCCGAACTTTAGGAGAAAAACACATGAATTAAGTAACGAATCTTTTATTGAATTTGAAGATGATCTAATTAATGCAACACACGTTAACTAGCTACATTATTCTTAAACCTCTCGTTAAATCGATCGAGTTTTTCATCCATTGTAACCATCTCTTAATTACTGAGACGAGGATTGCAACTTATTTCTCCACAACTTCTTCCAGAAATTCCCGGCTATCTTCATATCCCGTTCCACACTCTTGAGACAGCGAGCCAGAGCAATACCATCCTTCCTCTTCCCGTCCTCACTCACATGTGCAACCATCGCAAAGCCGTACGTAGCAGGCACTAAAGCCTTCACATCAACCAAAGTCTCTTCAGACATATCTATCTTCTCTTCGCATCCATAAAACCGACACAAACTCTGAATACCTCGGAGGAGCTGCCTTAATCTCAGCCTCTTGAGTCTTCAAACGAGAAAGCTTATCGCTAAACATTTCCAACACTTGTCTCCCCGCAGGCAGAATCTCCCACTCTCTAGCAGCTTCAAGTATCACCATGATTCTCTGAACCGGAGGAGGAGTTGGGCACTGATACCGAGCAGCTAGCAAAGGCATCAGAAGCTGATGCTTGCACATAACCTTTGCAAGCCAATACGTCTGTGCAAGACCAAAAGGATGAGGAGCAATACGTAGAAGACACTCCTTGTGCTCTGTCATCATCATATTCATCACCATATCCGGGGTCTTCAATGTTTTCAAGTAAGAATTCCCAACCCGGTTCATGTTTTTCGTCTCCTCTAACAAAAGTCTTGTCCTTGCTCAAGTGCAATAACCCGAAAACCGCCAAGATATTGAGGCATAGGTTCATAAGAATCTCTCCAGTGCTCTGTTGAAACGCAAGAACCTCGGTTTCATCAACCGTACAAGGCATCTTTGTAGTATAAACAGCCTCTGCCTTAAACTCACTTCCTTGAGCAGGATAAATCCCAATCCCTAACCCATAAGCACGAACCCAAGCTCCAAGAGGATAGTTCCCAACAGAGTCATAGTTGAGAGCAGCAATCATATGCAGAGTATACGGTTTCAGCTTGTTCTGAATACGGTTCAGAGGAACGTTCTCAACATCATTCGACCAAGCAGTATCAGTAACAGTAGCATTGTCGGTAAGGAGATAGCCAAAATCTCGGATATCGCAGTTAAACAGAAGCAACTTGCTTAAGTTACCAAACGTTTCATCGGAATCTGATTCCGTCGTCTCCCACCAGTTAGGTATCTCGGAAACAGGTGTCACCATTTCAAGACCGTCGATTACTTCACAGATCGCCTCACCAGTGGTCGTTGTCTTCACGAGAGACGCGATTTCGGTGTAGGACATTGACGCGACCTTCAAGAACCTAGAACAGAGAGTGTGATCTGTTTCGCAGAGCTTCGCCGAGTTCGTCGGTGACCATGACATTCCCATTGCAGCTGGTATCTGCAGTTTCTGATTCTCTGGGAGGTATTCAACTGAGACCCTCTGTACTGGGAAATGATTATTCCAAGATGTATGTGTAATGGCCCAGATCGGAGATAGAGAAATCACCATCACTCAATTCGTCGATCTGTGATTCTGAAGCTGATCTTGCTCGGTTTCGAATTGATTCGGCCATTTTTGAGGGAAGGAGAAGGTTAATTAATCGTCAAGGTTTGGTAGTGAAGGAGTAATCGAATCGTACTTGTATTTATAGGGAGACGTCGAAACAGAGCATTATTTAAGCCGTTAAAGAGACAAAATGGTCATATTGGGGTTTCCCGAAATACGGTCAACGACTCTGGTTTCAAGGCTAATTAATTCTTAAATCATTTTCCAGTTTCCAATTATAATTGCAATTATCAAGAGACGGGTTCCATTACTCTCCTATGATTTAATTTTGATTCTATTTAATTAACTAACCTTTTGTTCTCTTTATAACGTTTGTTTGTAACTTGTAAAGTTAGAGTAAGCGTTTACCAAATTACTCTCGAAAAACACATTATTTTAGAAAAATACTGTATTGGTTTTCACCCCTTCATATGAACAGAAATCTAACACAAATCATCAGTCTTTACCGATTAATATCCGTTTACAGAACGGGGGAAAAAAAAAAGCGCATTTACATAGGCAAACCACACAACTAACTTCTCGACTAATATGTCTCCTTTCGTACATTAATACCACAGAAGAGAGGCAACTTCGTAAAAAATAAAAATTAAATTAAATGAAAAATGGATCTTTTGTTTGTGTTACGACACATTTTCTTCAACAATGGTCTCCAGCTGAGGCTTCTTGGATTTAGAAACAGAGATCCGATGAATAAACTCCGCCGCCGAGAAATCTTCAATGTCTTCCAGGTTCAGTAGCTTCGCTCCCGAGGACATCAGCCTTACGTCATCATCGTCTTCCTCCTCCTCCGGAGACACTCTCCTATTGTCACAGCTTTTGGCGCGTTTCTTGCCGGCGAGGAAGAGCCGAGCCATATCGGAGGCGTTGGCTGCGGAAGCGACACGCGTCATCGGGAATGCGACGTAAACATGGCATCCTCCGAGGTCGATGTCATCGTCGGCGGCGAGTGGGGTGAATTTCCGGCCGATCTTTAACGATTTGGCGTCGACCAGGAAATGGCTTGGCATCTCCATCATGAGCTCGGCTGCTTTCGTCGGAGCGTGGATGTCACGCACTCTACAGTCGGGGAGAATCACTTTCGCCGCCGCTGGTGATGGTGATGACACAGACGATGTCGTTTTGCTTAGAGCGCATGAAACGTAGTTGCCCATTGATCAAGAGATCGACGTTTACGAGTGTAGGACGAAATCTTGATTTTGAGAGGATCGAACAAGACTACTGAAACTTATATATAATCAGTTACCAGGGAGAATTAGTGATTTAAATTTTTTATACAATACTATATAATATATTAGTTACCAGATAATGATTTTAAAAAATTTATACATAAATAAACAGAAGTTTCCGTTAGTATATGTTGAAGATGGACAGCTTAGCAACTTATACTAGAGGTTGACATTGGATAGTTGAATCCGCGTCTTTATTACTTTATACATTATTTAGCCGTATTTTCAGAAGTTTTACTTTATCTCCATGTTTACTCTGCGTGCGTATAATAAAAAGAAAAATGGTAATGAAGGCTTATCAGTTCGTTTTTCTTAAACGATAAAATAGGTCAGATTTCTTTATGGTACAGCTTCGAATTTTGATTGAAATATTTTCATAAGTTTTCTGAAAGAAATAAAATTTGGTCGGGGCGTACCCTAAATATCACGGTATGATACTTTAAACTTTGACGGAACATCAATTATATTTATACCTGGAATGTTTTGTTCACACAGAGTTATCAAATCAGAATAATTTGGATGATAATAATAAAAGCAATAATCACGTAGGCTCAAATTATTTTAACTAGGAAAACACATTAAAGCGCTGAGTCAACGTAGCTATGATTAAACATTGCCAAGAGACGGTGACAAAATAACATAAAATAAATAATGTCAACAAGAGATTTAGAGGCTTAAAGTGTGGAAGGAAGGACGGAAATCTTATTTTATTGCTTACTTCCAGTTGTAATCTCGTAGTTTTTAATCATACGATTTAATAAAATACGATTTTTTCTAAATACAATGATTAATTCAAAATTTTACAAAATGTTTTGCTAGTTATAAGTTAAAACTAAACAACGCGTGTGACATATGCCCACCTCCATCACTCCATGAACACCTGTATTTTCAGGGTTTTTTTCTCAAAGTTTTTTTTCACGGCTCTTTTCATAGCGCAACAATTTTGGTAGAGATTATTGGGCAGTTCGTATTAGACCCATTGAGAGCCAAGAAGTTAAAACTACTTTTCTATTAAAATTTCTAAAAAAAATAAAGAATAAAGTTACTTTTGATATGTTGGGATCTAGTTCCATGAATCAGTAGACAAATAAAAACTTATAGATGAAGAAAAGTTGAAGAATAAAATTTGCCTTAACTGAAAGTTGACAAGGAATATTGTTTTCTTGTTAGACCAATTGATATAAAGAGAATTCACTAATACACAACTTATGCAAATACATGCCTTACTGGCCTTCGTTAACACACGTTTTTTTTATGCCAACACACAATTTAAGATTTTGATTATAATTCTCAAATACATACATACTACATAGTTATTTTTAAAATAAAAAAACCAATGCACTCGCTTACGTCAGTATAAAATGAAAAATCCAGTATCATATCAAGTTATCAAATTTCAATTAGTATATGAAATGAGATGTTATACAAAAAGACGAATACAAAAAAAAGTTAATGAAAATTCCGTTTCCTATCACTTTCTTTGAAAAAAAAAATACTACTCTTAAAACAGTCAATTAATAAAGACTTTTTGTTGTGTTTTAGGAAAAGTAAGCAACAGAGAGACCTAGTAGCTTCAAGAATCTCACCCACCATAATTCCAAAACAATTCAAAAAGAAAAAGACAATCATTAAATATCTCGAATTCTGTGTGCGTCATTATTCTCCATCACATCAAACCGGTTATACAAATAAATCAGACTAGCGTAAGCAAATTCCACTTAGAAATCATCGAGAGAGAGATTGAGAGAGAAAAGAGAGAGAAATGGGAAAAGCACGTACGGTGGGCGTGGGAATGGACTATTCTCCGACGAGCAAATCGGCTCTCCGTTGGACGGCGGAGAATCTCCTAGAAGATGGCGACACCGTCATCTTGATTCATGTTCAACCTCAAAACGCCGATCACACCCGCAAAATCCTATTTGAGGAAACCGGTTCACGTATGCACAAAATTACTATATCTTCATATATTTAAAAGAAAATCGTAGTTGGTTTTGATCATTTAGATTAGTTATTATTATATTTTTGCAGCGTTAGTTCCTTTGGAGGAATTTCGAGAGGTTAATTTCTCTAAACAGTATGGACTTGCTTATGATCCGGAGGTTCTTGATGTTCTTGATACACTCTCTAGGGCTAAAAAGGTATTTTGCACTCTCTCGCTTACTACAATTGTTGTTTTTGGTCGTCGTTCAAGGTTTTTTTTTGGTTAAAGGGCTTTCATTAATAAAGAAAAAAGGATACATTAAAAAAAAAAAAGCATAACTTACCCAACCCAAACCGGGCATAACCCGCACTGGTTTAAGAGAATGTTGTTTTTTTGTTCAAGTTTTTATTTTCTTTGTAATTGGTTTTCCTAATTAAAGGTTAAGGTGGTGGCAAAAGTGTATTGGGGGGATCCAAGGGAGAAGCTTTGCGATGCTGTCCAAAATCTAAAACTCGATTCCATTGTTCTTGGCAGTCGAGGTTTGGGTTCTCTGAAAAGGTAATATTGATATTCATATAGTCTGGTTTGAAAATTTTCGGATTTTCATTATATAAAGGAAGCAGGAGCTTTAACGATCTTGATTGTTAGAGTTTTTTTTAATTCGGTTTGAATTTTTATTTAACATTATTATAGTGACATTTTTCTAAAAGATATATGTTCACATTTTATTTCCTCAAAAAAAAAATTATTTCCTCCGTTGGATTTCCATTCTTTAAAAAAAACTAGTAAACCCGTGTATCATTATTCAGTTTTAGTTTTTTGATTATTATTATTATTTTATTTTTTTTGTTTGTATCATCTTTAACATTCTATAGAATTGAGAAACCAATTAATTTAATAACACTAGAATTTTGTAGAAATGTAGATGCATTCAAATTCAATTAAACCCTCTCGTTAAACCTTTAATTTCAGTTCATTTTTTGCTTACAAAACAGACACACGTATATACAGCAAAGGGGGGATTTGGTATTGATTAATCAGTAAGTTCATTTTCTTTTTGTTCTTTTTGTAGGATCTTGCTGGGTAGTGTGAGCAATCATGTGGTGACAAATGCAACATGTCCAGTCACAGTTGTTAAGGCCAATTAACTAAAGTCTATTGTTCTTTAAAGCTTGGACCGTAGTAGTTACGACTTATGTGTGGTGTTAATGCATTAGTCTATCAAGAAATTAAAGTAAAATGATATTTGTTGTTATAATTTCTTACTTTTTATTTTGATGAAAGAAAAAACAGAACACAGAAATAAATTTCTTTTATAATATTTCACTTTTGATAGAGAAATTAGTTGGAAAACCTAGGATACTAGTTGAAATACGTTCTAGTTGAAATACGTTCTAGTTGAAATAATTAAGCTAATGGATCAATAACATTTAACGACTCGGCTAAACAGTTTGAGGGAATTTGATGAGGGCTAAACAATGAAGGCGAAAGTTGGAATTTTGTTTTGGAAGGAGGAAAACCCGTCGGATAGAAATATGGAATTGGCCGTTACTCGTTAGGTGTAAACACGAAAAGAAAGACACGATAGCAACCTTAAAATGTTGATTCGGTGAGATTAGACACTGTTGATGAGATGATTCATAATGATTGTGTGAGCTGAATCGGGCTTTGATCGGAGTGGGCTTATGAAAATTGAGTGTATCCATGGTCAAAACTGAGAGTCTATGCGTTTTGGGTCCGATAATAAAGTGCTCAGACCCTATGAAATATTTTCTCGTAAGGATTTCATTTTGGGTACAAAAACCTTCAAAATTTACGCTCTTCGATCCAAACGGGAAACAATCTGGTCCGCCTTGGATTGGTTCATCGAATTTTGCACCATAGTCATAGACCAGACCATTTGCAATTGCGCCATTAACTGGTAGGACCGTCCAGAGTTTTGGAAGCCCAAGACGAATGAAAAAATGATATGTACTCCATATGTTTCAAAATTACTTTTAATATATAAATATGTACATATATATATATATAATAATTCAGGTGATTATGAAAAAAATGTAAATTAGTCACATAATATCTATTTATCCAATATATTAATTAACTGCATAGAAATGTGAAAACAAATAGTAATCCGAATCTTATCTAAAACAAGTAGTGATCCGAATCTTATCTAAACAACAAGAATAATTGATTAAGTTATGTGTCATTCTAAAAGAATAACAGTTGAAAAGAAAATTTTGGAAACATATTTAATTTTGAAACATAGAAAATATATTTTGTAATAATTTTTATATTCAAAAACCTAAATTGAATATTTTTTATTTTATTTGATGAAGCGCGTCTAGAATTTCTTAAAATTTTCTTCTACAGTATCAACTTTGGTATTTACAGTTGTGGAATGAGCTGTATATATATTTGAAAATATAGTAATAATCAACCAATTAATTAATATTTAAATCACTAATGATACATTTCTTTATAATTGATATTTTATTTTAATTTATTTAAGATTCTTAGTCATTAGCACAAGCTTATGTAATAAGATAGCAAAAGACATTAATTTAGATATTAAACTTTAAAATCTTTTAATAAAAAAAAAAAAAAGCTTCTTTGATATTATAGACTATTTTATATTTCATGTTTATAAATAAACCAATAATAAAACTAGGTGATGCCAGAGTACTGATTTAAAATTAAAAAAAAAAGTATGTAATAAAAATTTTAGATTTGTTTTTATATATGAATCCTTTTAGTTCAATATATAAACTGTTAATAGGAAAATATTTAATAAAAGTTTCTATGTTAACAATTTTTCAAAGTAATATTTTTTTTATCTTAAGTAATTTAAAATAGTTGTAAACTAAAAGAGATAAAGGTGCTTGTTTAACTGGTTTAAGTTCATCCTCAAAAAATGAATCGACCAAAGATAGAAAATAAAATTTCTCCTAAAAAAATTAAGTTTCCTTAGATTTAATTTTTAGATATATTTGGTTCACCCTCAATACACTGTACACAATGATAATAGCTACTATATATATAGATCCCTTTTAAATCTCTGATAAGTATTTGAATTAAATAAAATTAAGCATTGCCTTTTAACATATAATATTACCCACTCCAATAGCAATCATCCATATTTTCCCTTTTATTTACCTTTTATGAACTAATTTATATATTTTTTTAGTTATCCTTATACCACCCTTTTCCATATAAATGCTGACTAAGTTGTGAATTAACCAATAACAAACAACATTGCAAAAAGATCTATTTTTCTTTGGTGAAGAACAAAATGAATTATGATGGTGGTGGAAGCGCAGGCAATGGACAATGTACTTCGCCAAATGCCAAGAAGAGAGAGAAGAGAATTTGTCATCGCCACACTCCTCAACAGATCCAGAGACTTGAAGCGTAAAATCTTTATCAACTCTTTACTACGTTCGTAAGATTATTGAATTTTTGTATTATAATAATTATTTTTGGATTTCTTAAAATTGAATGAAGTTACTTCAAGGAATGTCCTCATCCAGACGAATCACAACGACAACAATTATGCAAAGAGCTGAATCTTGAGCCGGATCAAATCAAATTTTGGTTTCAGAACAAAAGAACTCAAAGCAAAGTATTTATCTTAGCAAATCTTTTCAGAAAAACAATCTTATAATTTATTTCAACGAACTGTATTTTATAAAAATAATGTTTTCATATGATAGGCTCAAGATGAAAGAAACGCTAACATATTGCTTCGTGGAGAAAACGAAAAGATCCAATGTGAGAACGATGCAATGCTAGAGGCTTTAAAGAATGTGATTTGTCCAGCTTGTGGCGGTCCTCCTTTTGGCAGTGACGAACGCGAACACAATCTCCAAAAACTGCGTTTGGAAAACGCTCTCCTCAAAGAGAAGGTAACCATCAATTTATTCCATTTATCTAAACTCATCAAATACTTCACTGTTATATTTTTCTGGATATATGTTTGATGTGTCATCAATTTTTTTCATTTAAAATTTACGAACAAAAAATGGTATACATCATCAATTCTTGACCACTAAAATGATATTCAACTATTTGAAACAAGATGATATAAATTATATATATATATAAAGTAAATTGATTGTGTGGATATACATATAAGATAATTCGTTAATATTTGTTTTTTCTAAAATAATTCGTAAATATTTATAATATATAGTGAAACGATGGAGTAACATAACCATGAAAATTGCAAAAACAAAAATTCTAACAGATCATCCGTAATATATGTTCTTTATAGCGTGACAAAATCGCCAGTTTTGTATCCAAGAACAAACACCAACAAATCATGGTGGAGTCATTCGCTCCTGCTCAGCAAATCGTTGATACTCGCACCTTGTACGGAACAACTAATCCAAGCAATCTCTTGTTCGAGCCACCAAGCTCACTAAGACCACCAACTTCTCAAACCATCCAACCACAACCACTACTATCCCATATGGATATACCGCGACTGACTGAAACCGCGGCAAGCGCGGTTGAAGAGCTCAAGCGCCTGTTTTTTACCGAAGAAGCTTTTTGGGTCAAGTCTTCTGTCGACGGAACATATGTGATTGACCAAGAAATGTATGAGAAGTTTTCGCACACAGTCAAACGTTTCAGGAACATGAGTGCTCGCGTCGAGTCTTCCAAAGATGCCACAGTGCTTCCTATAGGAGCAACAAATTTGGTCGAAATGTTTTTAGATTCGGTATGTATTCTATCATGCATCATAAAATATTTATTAGGATTATGTTGATTAGGCGTGAACTTAAGTGGTCCATTTGCATTTGATATCTGATTTCCAAAGATTATTTTTCCTATATTTTTTTGTTTGCCGAAGTCATTTTAAATAAAAATTTAATTAAAACTTGTTTACTGTAGGAGAAATGGAAAAATCTTTTTCCAACGATCGTGAACTCGGCCGTCACGGTTCATAGGCTCGGATCCCAGCTTCCCATAAAAGAAAACTGCAATGTCGTGCAAGTGGTGAGAAATCTATTTTCATTATGGAATCAAAAAAATGTTATCAAAAAATTATTTACATTCCGTTTCATTCAGTTTAAAGATATTCAATTTGAGTTGGTTCGAGACGGCACAATTTCAGTTTAGAAATACATTTTAATTGAAACTAGGTTGTTTGTGTGAATTTTCTCTAAGTTGGATCACAATAAATAGAGTTTTTCACCCCTGAAATATGTAAAATCTGATTTGATCTTAGTGTATATATATGACCATATATGGGTTTTGAATGTGAATGAAATTGATAGATATGGGAGCGTATACACATTCTGTCGCCGCTGGTGCCACCAAGAGAGTTTATGATCGTCAGGTGCTGCCAACAGATCGATGAAGGGCTCTGGATTATTGCTGACGTGTCGCACAGCATCGTTAACTTTGACCAAGTCAATCCTTCTTGTTATAAACGTCCTTCTGGTTGTCTCATACGAGCCTTGTCCAATGCTCATTCCGAGGTGTCTCCCATTGCTCGATCGATCTCATCACAAGTGTCTTATCTTCTTTTTTTTTTTTGGGATCAAAGCTCACGAAAGTCTATCTATATATTCTCGTAAAACTATACATATATACATTAAGAAGTTGTTGAAATATTGCAGGTAAAGTGGATAGAGCATGTGGAAGTGGACCACAAACCCGAAACACATCGGATGTATAGAGAGCTATTATGTGGCCGTTCAGGCTATAGCGCAAAGCGATGGATCGTTGCGCTTGAGAGAATGTGTGAGAGGATAGCTCTCTCCTCCATCCTTACCATTCCCGCTACTGACTGGAGCGAAGGTACATATATATGATCTGTCACTAACTTTACTAATCAATTCTTGAATTTGTGATAGTGGAAAAAAGTTATCATTATTTTTTATCATTTGAGTTGAATGGAATAATTGTTTCATTTTGATGATAGTTTCAATTTGGTTTGGAAGATAAAAATCGAAAACGCTAGTTAATGTTTTTTCTTAGTTTTCTATAAACGAAATTATGAAAAAAATGTGAATCTAAATATAAATGACAATTAAACGGAAGTTTTTTCCTAAAACGAAATAAATGTACTAATTAAAAAACAAAAAAAGAAAAAGATCTACCCGTTTCTATCTAAATATATTATTCCAATAGAGTTTTTACGGTTTTACAAATTATAAACAATATATTCGTAAACTAAATGTTGTGCCCACTTATTTTTGTAAATTAAAAAAGACTAGGACATAATATATATAATGACAGAAGTTTTTCTTGATTTATCTGGTCTTGTGGTGATTCTAGTTTTGAAGTTCTTTAAGAAAATGTAAAATCAAATGGATTAAGGTCAGGTCCGGTCAACCACCATTTTTATTGGATAAGCCCTAATTAAGGTCATAGTTCAATTTTCTTTGATAATCAGTTTTTATCATACTAGTTGCGACCTGCTAAAAAAAATGTTAAGATGGTCGGATAATTTTGTTTATCTCTACATTCTAACCTTAGGACATGCAACTGTACTGACCAATATATACCTACATCTAGGAAACGGTCAGGGCTTTGACTAACACAACTTATGTATTATACATCGATCATTTAGTTGTACCACATATAATTTTTGTTTTTTTAATAGATATATAATTTGATTAAAGATGAATGTACGTGTCGTAGTCTCCGAAATATAATCTATTCCAAAGACCTTAGATCTTTGATGAATCTCTGATGTTATTGATAAAGTATAATGTTTTTGGCAGCTATAAATACGGGAGAAGGAAGGAAGAGTGTAATGAAATTAGGGGAAAGAATGTTGAAGAACTTCAACGACATGTTGACCATGTCCGGGAAGGTTGACTTTCCTCAACACTCGAAATGTGGAGTCAGAATCTCGATCCGGATGAACATGGAGCCCGGTCAACCAACCGGTTTAGTTGTCAGTGCTGCGTCTTGTCTCTCGATCCCTCTCAGCCCTTTGCAAGTCTTCAACTGCTTGCGAGACAACAACACTCGTCATCAGGTTCTTTTTCTTCTTCTTCTTCTTCATCTGCATATATACATCATTATGGAACTGAAACTTTAAATTAGGACTGTAACTGACGTAAATTAAATTCACTATAAATCGTTTTAGTAAGATTGCGGTTCGTGTTCAGTTTTTACTCAATATGAATAGGGTATTGTTTGTGAATAGCTGAATATACATAAATAGTAAATTATAAAATATCTCTAATTTTCGAAGTAGTCTTGTTTCAGAAAAAGAAAATTCTTTAACTTGGTTTAGAGTTTCGCTTTTGACATTTCAGATACGGAAATTAAACAAAAAATGATGATGGACCAATGGTCTGAAACATCTATGTAATTATTCAAAAAAGACATGCATGGATACTTAAGCTTTAAATTCGTTTTTAAAAAAAAAATCTATTATTGTTGTCTTATGTCGTTTATTAACAACAAACCACGTTTGCATGTAACAGTGGGACGTTCTTTGCTATGGAAAAGTCTCTGAGATCGCTCGCGTTTTCACCGGATCAAGTGAAACCAACTACCTCAACATTCTCCGGGTATACATACATTTTCCTTAACGGCCAATTAATAAATATTTGATTATACATATAACTGTACTAATTTTTAAATATATACAATATTAGCCTCCACGAAGAGAGGATATTGCCATAAGTATGGCACAAGACTCAGACAATGACAACATGTTAATGCTACAAGACTGTTACATGGACGCACTAGGAGGCATGATAGTGTACGCTCCGCTCGACGAGACTACAATGAATATCGCTGCTTCCGGCGAAGTCGACGCTTCCAAGATTCCAATCCTTCCCTCTGGTTTCACCATCTCAGGCGACGGCCGGCGATCCATGGCGGCTGAAGACGGTGGTGTTGGTCATGACGGTGGGACTTTGCTGACGGTGGCTTTTCAGATCCTTGTCTCTGGTAAAATCACCAGGTCGAGAGAGTTGAATGAGAAGTCAGTGGACACAGTGAGTAGTTTGATCAGTGGTACTGTTCAAAAGATCAAGCTCTTACTCAATTGCCCTCATGTCTGATAGTCTGAGTGAGGGAATATTCTCTGCATGATTCTCTTTTTCTTTGTTTAAGATATTTTTATATTTATGTCTGGTTTTGGATGATTTCGATTGGTTTTGGATGATTTTTCAAGGACAAGATTATTATGGATTTTATTGTTTTGGACCTTTTGCTCGGTTATAACAATTTTCCCGATATTTTGAAAGATAGATGTTTGATAATCATATGCAATGATGTAGTCATTTTTTAATAACTTAAAAATTTGATGAAATTATTGTATGAAACAACATCTCTGAAGTTAGCTAGGTGTATTGGTATAAAATAAAACTATGAAATGGGAAATTTAGTAATTTATTTTTTTTTAAAAAGCAAAGAAAAATATAGAAAATTTACAGACAGGAAAAAAAGTTGACGGACATGGAAGATGTCACGTGTAAACTTGTAATTGGTAAAGAGAGAACAATGTATATATGCGCGGTCACAACACGCATCGTCACTTCATCACCACTACTCTTCTCAAAGGCCAAAACTCTCGTACGCCTATAAATATATCTCTGCTTTATTTCCATCATTTCTCTTGATTTACGTTACAATCTTTGTTTTTGTTTTCTGGATCGGAAGCTCAATTCGATAATCGAAAATGGCTGCCACAACCGAGAATCTCCCTCAACTCAAATCCGCTGTCGATGGCCTTGCTGAGATGAGGTTCGCGTTCGGATTCGATCGTGTTTTTGTTTTTCATTCTCGCTTCCTTGATTTAAAAAAAAAAATGTTTACTCTCTTTTCTGTTCCCGAAAATTTGTTGGTTATTGATTTGGACTCCTATATGTGAATTTTCGTGATTATTTGGAGTGATCTGCTTTTGTTTCAGTGAGAATGAGAGGAGCGGATTCATCAACCTCGTTTCACGCTACCTGAGGTTCGTCTTTCTCTTTACGGCTTTCAAAATGATGTAATTGTGGATGTGTACTTCCGTATTTCGATTAATTTGTTGTTAAATGTGATGATCAAACAACATCGTTTTACTTGGCTTTTTTCCGGTAAAGTTGCTTTCAATCTGAGTTTACTAGTTGGGATTGAAATATGATTGGATCTGGATAATAGATCTGGGTTGTTTTCGACGTTGTTTACGTAACGGTAGACTAATTTGGTCACTGATTTCATATGAATTTGAAGCGGTGAGGCACAGCACATTGAGTGGAGTAAGATCCAGACACCGACTGATGAAATCGTTGTTCCTTACGAGAAAATGGCTCCCGTCTCTGAAGGTATTTTTCCATCTTCACTGATACCGATTTTTTAGAAGTTTTTGTTTCCTGCTTGCAGTTTCTTTGTGATTCTAAAACGATGTTTTATGTTTACGAAATGATGTAGATGTTTCCGAGACCAAGAATCTGTTGGACAAACTTGTTGTGTTAAAGCTCAATGGAGGTCTTGGGACAACTATGGGGTGCACTGGCCCGAAGTAAGCCTTTTTTTTATTTGTCTGTTGTCCTCAGTTTTCATCCAATTGCGTAGCTGCTCTCTCATAGTCTCTTTGAAATTTCAACTTCATTGTTAAACATGAAATTTGTTTTTGCATTTTTTGCCCTGTATGGAGATCTATTCGCCATGTCATCCCTGTCTTTGGACTTTCTGGTTGTCTGTTCTCTTTTTTTTTTACGGTAGAATTTTCTTTTCATTGCTAGTGGATGTAACATTCAAAATGAAGCTACTGAAAGTGAAGTTTTGGTATAGCAAGCATGTAGTAGTCATTCCAAGATTCAGGAAGTGCAGAAATTATATCTTGCTTTTCTCTGTGCAGGTCGGTTATCGAAGTTCGTGATGGTTTGACATTTCTTGATCTGATTGTTCTCCAGATTGAGGTTCGTCAAATTCTTTATTACTCTTCCCAAGTACATTCTTCATGTTTCCTAATCTAATCCCCAGTTATATTGCTCACCCACAGAATCTCAACAACAAGTATGGCTGCAAGGTTCCATTGGTTCTCATGAACTCGTTTAATACACATGATGACACACAAAAGGTAATTCTATTTCACTGGGGATCACATTTCTTCACTTCTAAATTTATGTTTGGCTAACTGTGCTTGTCATATTCAGATTGTGGAAAAGTACACCAACTCAAATGTTGATATTCACACTTTTAACCAGGTTTGTGTTGTGGATGCATATCAAATTACAGCTAATTAAAATATTGTTAGTATTGAAAAACTGACATCAGATCTGAACTAATTATGTTTACTTGGATTTTCTAGAGCAAATATCCCCGTGTTGTCGCAGATGAGTTTGTGCCATGGCCCAGCAAGGGAAAGACCGACAAGGATGGCTGGTATGATTTCATTTTCTCATACAATCACACAGTACTATCCACTAACTTTTACATATTTTTTTCTTCTTTCTTTGGCCTTCTTGTGCTCCATGAGTTTGTGCATCAAAACTATGAAATGTTTCATTCTGCTCTTAAATACTGAGCAGCAACAGAAAACAGACTCACTCAAAACAATTTCGTGTTTACTTTGGTCTTGATAATTTTGATGGTTTTTGTTCCTTTTCATATTAAGTCACATTAGATCTTCTTATGCAAGATGGAACTGGTTAATCTCCCTACGTGAAGAAGTATCATAACTGAGATTTGAAATTGTAATGTCTTGTGCTCTCTGAGACCAGTCAATGATTGCAGAGAAAGAAGCTTTTGTATTTGTTTTTTTTTTTTTGAATCTACAAGTTTTTCTGAATTCTTTTAGATTTAACAAATGTCATCCGTCTGCTGGTTTACTATATGCTGTAGTCGTCATATAATTTGTTTTGTTGCCCTTATTTGCGGTTTCATTTGAGATTACGGTTGCCTTTGAAGATATTGAATATCTTCTGTTGTTTATCAGATCACCTACTAATGATTTATCTTTGTGAAGGTATCCTCCCGGTCATGGTGATGTATTCCCATCCCTCAAGAACAGTGGAAAGCTCGATGCTTTCTTATCGCAGGTTCATTTTTTAATGCATTCGACTACTGTTTCCCCCAGATTTAAGATTGATGCCCATGTTTATTGAAATTTGTTTTTCTGGGTCTCACAGGGTAAGGAATATGTGTTCGTTGCCAATTCAGACAACTTGGGTGCCATCGTTGACTTAAGTATGTCCTTTTCTGCTCATTCTTGTTTACGCATAATTTTATATGTATATCAGAAAAATTTACATGAAATCCCATACTAACTTCCTTGCTTGTCTCGTATTGGTCTAATTGCTGCAGAAATCCTGAAGCACTTGATCCTGAACAAGAACGAATACTGTATGGAGGTTACACCCAAAACCTTAGCTGATGTGAAGGGAGGAACCCTCATTTCTTATGAAGGAAAAGTTCAGGTAAGTTCTCAATTGTGTCATTTCTTGCTTAAAACGTACAGTTTCTTATGCATCATTATTTAAAAACTGCTAATCAGATTTGGCTTTTATCTACTGTTGATTATGTTTGATTTTGTAGATGCATTTTTATTGCAAAAAACGTGTATCAATATGTATGTCTATTAGGTTCCTAATACATAACAAAATGTCACAAATCTCAACTCTTGATCTTCTTAGTGCTACAATTTTCTTTTGTTACTGAGGAACGTAACTCGTTTTCATGACCTCTAAAATTTATTTTTCTGGTGTATCACAGCTTCTGGAGATTGCTCAGGTTCCTGATGAACATGTAAGTCCAACATGAAACTATTGTAGCATATTCATTAGGGTTGTGGGAAAGGTTGTGATTTGAGCTTAGTTTTCAAAATAAATTGCTGCTCTTCCAAACCCTTTTCTCTGGGGAAACTGTAGATTTGTGTTTGTGATTTCTGCTTGCTTCCATTTGTATCAGCTGTTTAAAAGAGTTACTGCGTTCATGTTTTGATCCTTGTGGTAGGTCAATGAGTTTAAATCAATTGACAAGTTCAAGATATTCAACACAAACAACCTGTAAGTAGAACATGTCCTATAATTTCCAGAAGATATAAACTTATTTGTAGACTTTAACTGTGTAAGTTTACAGATGGGTTAACTTGAAGGCCATCAAAAAGCTTGTGGAAGCTGATGCACTTAAAATGGAGATCATTCCAAACCCAAAGGTGCATGCCTGGCCTATTTCGTAGTTTATGATTTTTGCAATTTTCAAAAAGACTGAAAATCCTATTCAGGAAGTCGATGGAGTCAAAGTTATTCAACTGGAAACTGCAGCTGGTGCTGCAATAAGGGTAATATGCATGTCCTAGTGCCACAATTCAATATATAGAGCGCTCACTATATTTGACAATTCAAAGTCTTCTTTTAAGTCCATTTTGTTGTGCGCTTCTCTGTCTTAAAACAGTTCTTTGACAATGCTATCGGTGTTAATGTACCTCGCTCACGGTTCTTGCCAGTGAAGGCAACTTCAGACTTGCTGCTCGTCCAGGTAAAGACTTACACCATACTTTTTAAAGTGGAACAGTGTAACACAGACATCTTTTGTAACATATTTTCATTCTTCCACAGTCTGATCTGTACACCCTAGTTGATGGCTTTGTCACCCGAAACAAGGCGAGAACTAACCCCTCAAACCCATCAATTGAGTTGGGACCCGAGTTCAAGAAGGTAAAAGAAGGAAAAATCATCTTGACAAGTCCTGTTTGGTTCTCTAAACATTGCCTCATAAAGCCTCACTCAGTGTATCTATATATATCTTTCTTAACAGGTGGCTAATTTCTTGAGCCGGTTTAAGTCCATCCCTAGTATAGTGGAGCTCGACAGCCTTAAGGTGTCTGGTGATGTCTCGTTTGGCTCTTCCGTTGTTCTCAAGGTATATACATATGTAAATCTGTTAAAAGTCCATAACAAATTAGCTCCCGAGGATGTGTTCACTGTTGACCTAATAAATACTCAAAATGGTTCCCTTTTGGTTTTCCAAGGGCAATGTGACTGTGACGGCAAAATCGGGGGTAAAAGTGGAAATCCCGGACGGCGCTGTGCTCCAGAACAAGGTAATTCTACCCAAAAAGAATTGATGTTTTTTCAGATTGTTCTTTTACACTGCGATTTTGGTTCAGATATAATAATAAAAAAAAAAAAACACAAGTGGAATTACCAAACATGTAGTTTAGGTTTTATGTCGAGGGGTTTTATCCGGTTCAGCTAAACCGAGTGGGAGCATTCTACGTCCTTTATTTAACTTCTTAACTTATTTTGGAGATTAAAGACTAAAATGTCCCTTGTGTTATTTGCAGGACATCAACGGTCCCGAAGACCTGTGAATAAGGCAGTGAGAGTCTTCTTCCCTTTCTTATGGAAGACCGAAGACATATCGTGATACTTATACCCTTATATTGTGAAAAGATCAGAGAGTCACAGAACGTTTATGAGTAAACTAATAAATGATATTTCGTTTTGCAGAAAAGTATTTTCCACCATGGACTTTAATTAGTTTATGCTCTCTCAAATCTACAAAACAAATAACAATTAAGTTTGAGTTTATTCTGGTCCTTTCCATTCCACAATCCTTTTCTTTTTTTCTTTCGATAATTGACTAATTATTTCCACAATCATACACTTTATTGAAAATAGACCCGCATAGGCTCTTATATTTAAGCTTTAGAACGCTAATAACATTCTAATAGCAACATTCAAGCAATGTGCTTCATTAATAGGAATACAAATACCTTATGACATGTTTCGGCTTGCATACGTTTAATTTCTAGATTTAAGTTGAGAAGTAAAATTAAAATTAAAAAAAAGGCTGAGAAGTAAACGTAATCGTATACTAACTTAAAAACTGAAATAAACTATTAATTATATACAACATATAGGGTTATGAAAGTTCATTCCGGCACTATTAGTAAATAATTTATGTACTATTATTTTTTTATCATTAGCATTTCATGTTAACAGCAATCTAATTTTTGCTTATGAATTGTAGAAACACATAAATATAGTTAGTAATATATCGATTAAATAAATGCAAGTATATACACAAATCTACACATATACATTCTAAAGCCACATACATTGTATTTCATATGAATTTAGCAACAAATCCACCATATATGAAGTAAAAATCAGTAATATATATGAAGTACTCCATGAATAAAATACATACAATATATACGAAGTCTTATACACATATATACGTCATGCAACAATTATACCTATAATGTTCTAGAGGCGTTGAACGTTCCACCTGATGTCCACAAAATGGAATTTGTCTATAATATCATCGTATACTCACAAGATATTAACTAAAGTACAATTTGCAATGTTCCCTCGTCTATTATCTAACAAATGACGTTTGTTCTATTATACAAAGAGATAAGGGGAAAGTGGATCCCCTTCTCTATATACAAAGTTTTACACACAACATCAAAACATCAATCATATTGTCGGCAAAAGAAATATCAATCAAATTCAGATGCATATATACGTGTATTAATTCTTAATAGTAATCAAGCAAAGCACACAAATTATATCTTAATGGTTTTGTTTCTAAATTCTTTTGATACGGGTCGACGTTCTAAAAACAACATGTACGCGTTTTAGGTATATAATATATTTTTTATCAGTATATTTAGACAGATAATATCTTCTTTTCCATCTTTTCTCAAATCTAAACGCGTTAAATGCATTCTTCTGAATTTGTTTAATTAGTTTTAGCCTCTGCCTTGTGGACAGTATAAGTATTGGTAAGTTGCTTTGGCCAGCGATATCGTCACTCTCGATTTGCAATTACTTAGCCATCTCATAAATCATCAGGTGGGTTTTTCTCTCTACGACAGCTTTGTTACAAATATATTAATAAAGTGAGGTTAGTTACAAGATGATGACAATGATCATTACTGGTAGTTTCATATGATGTCCCAATAATGAAAGTATCAATGTTTTTTTTGTGTGTTTAATTAAGCATCTAAGGTACTTTTTTTTTCTGCATCTAATTAAGGTACTCTTTGCAATGATCCATCATATCTTATCTATAGGTAAAAAGATGTTGCTTCTTGTTGTAGTTGTCGGGTTACTAGGCTATCATGTCTACAAGTCCATAAAGCCGCCGCCACCAATTCCGCTGCCGGAGAGTGTTTCTGAGATATGTCCAAGAATCAAGCTCAATGATGGGAGATATTTAGCCTACAGAGAATTAGGATTTCCAAAAGATAAAGCCAAAAATAAAATAATCATTCTCCACGGATATGGAAGTTCCAAGTTGGTGGATTTAAAAATCACACAGGTATTATATTAGAAAATTGATTGTATTTAAACAAAGCGAGCACACTATGATATAAGACTTATTTTTATGATGATTTTTCATATCATAATATTTGGAACTACAACTCTCCTTTGGCTTCTAGGAAATGATTGACGAATTCGAGATATACTTCTTGCTCTTCGATAGAGCTGGTTATGGAGAAAGTGATCCTCATCCATCAAGAACGCTAAAAACGGATACATACGATATCGAAGAACTCGCTGACAAATTGCAAATCGGTCCAAAGTTCCATGTCTTAGGAATGTCACTAGGGGCTTACCCTGTTTACGGCTGTCTCAAATACATTCCTCATAGGTATATCGTATTATACCAATCTCTTAAGATGATCTATCTAAAGTAAAAGCTACAGTTTATTTACATATGAATTTACATAAATATCACTGGCGTATAAATTATATATTCTGTGCTAAGACTGACTTGAATATGCTTGCATTTATAAACTTACTTCAGACCATATAATTTATACTTATGTGAAATGTTTTAAACAAAATGTATAGACTAAGTGGAGCAACGTTGGTGGTTCCATTACTGAATTTTTGGTGGAGTCGTATGCCTAAAAAATTGTTGAGTTCGGCGCTCAAGAAATTACCAATTCAAAATCAATGGACATTTCGAGTTGCACACTATTTTCCATGGTTGTTTTATTGGTGGATGACTCAGAAATGGTTTTCACCGTTTAGTCAGAATCCAAGAGAGACTATGACCGAGCGCGACATAGAACTCGCGGATAAGTATACGAAACACTCCTATATCAAGGTAAGCATGTATCGGCTGATGTTTCTCTAAGTTCGTGTAGTTTCAGACTCATTTTCTAGCTAAATTACAGTTTTTAAGTGTTCTTATTAATAATGAACTTGATCATATAACCCATTAAATTTCTAATGAATCAATACTCATGAAAGCTATACTAATTTATTATGAGATCCAGGAATCCGCTCTACGACAAGGAGAATATGTGAGCATGCAACGAGACATCATTGCAGGTTTTGAGAATTGGGAGTTTGATCCAACCGAATTGCTTAATCCATTTTCAGATGATAACAAAGGGTCGGTTCACGTTTGGTGTGCACTCGAAGACAAACAAATTTCGCGCGAGGTTTTAGTCTATATATGTGATAAGCTACCATGGATAAAGCTTCATGAAGTCCCAGAAGCTGGACATCTCATTATACATGAGAAGCAGCATTTTGAAGATATTATTAAGGCCGCTTGTAGTTGAAATTGGAAAAATAAAAACAAACAAACACAAAATAAATAAAAAAACCTTTCAATAGGTGGTGATATTTGATAAATAAAAGCGAAGTGATGCACTTCTACTGAAAATCTCACGCTACACAAGTACCAACAATCCAAGCCAAAATGAACAGTACATCGTACTCCCTCCGTTTTAGATTTCATTTTTTGTTTTAAAAAAGTGTTATTCTGCATTTTCAATGTAACTTTTTACCCTTATTTCCTGTTTTACCCTTCATTTAAAGATAATAGTCTTTGTAATTAAATGTTATAAAAATATACTCCCTCTGTTTCATTATAGTTGATTTTCTATGTTTTTTTTCTTGTTTCATAATATTTGATTTCCTATATCTAATTAATGCATATCTCTTCTTTAAATTGAATGAATAATATTAATACACAGTTAAGAAAGAAAAAGTAATAATAAAATAATGAAATTAGTTGTAAAAGTAACTTAATTAACAAAAATAAACATTAAATAATTGAGCATTTATAGTTTTCTTAATCTGTGTGTAAATATTCAGAAAATCAACTATAATGAAACAGAGGGAGTATTAATTAGGGATATATTTATATATTTTATTAATTTCTTAATCTGTGTGAAATATGTCAGAATGACATTTATTATAAAACGGAGGGAGTATTTGTTTCAGACTCTCAGTATTAACATTTATGATGTAGGAACAAACTCACATGATGGTGCCCCCCTTTGCTGTTAATCACGAATAACCATCACCAGAAATCTGTTATTCAAAAAAAAAAGACATGGAATTCAGATGATTCAATAAAAAACAAAATATTTGGAAAACGCTGATGGAACCAATGTAACATAATTTCATAAATCGACAATGAATGACGGGAGTTACACAATTCACAATGAAGCATGCAAAAAGACAACCAAATTATTGGTAAAGTAAAATACGTTACAAAGCTTTTTTGGATTAGCACTAATTATTAAAAATTTGTCCAGATGTGTGGCTAATTTTGGGGTGAACAAATAAAATTGAACAAAACAATTAATGTTCTCATTTTCTATAATAAAATACTAATATTAAATAACGATTACGTTTTTTTTCTTAGTAGCTATTTTATTGATTCAAATCTGTGATAAATACAAAATTAAAAATGTAAAAGGTGCAATATATATAATTGAGGGGAGATTACACAATTGTTGATAAATGCAAAAGGACAGCCAAATTCATTAATAGTAGTGCAAAACAATTTATGAAAACAATTGTAACAAGGAAAAAAATAAATAATAAAAGACATGTGTAACAAAAGAGGTCAGCTGCCAGCATTATTTAAGTTGTTTGGGCCAGAGATTCCATTACATCACAATAACTAGTCATCTCCAAAATCTTTTTTTTTTTTGTTCAACATCATCTCCAAAATCATAAGGTCAGTTTTTCCTCCTATTATTTTATTTAAGAAAAACTCTAGTCTTTTGGTTCGGAGACTTACAAAAGATGACGACCATCGTTTGTTATATTACCTCATGCATGTAGTGTCTATAGGCCAAATAATGTTGATTCTACTTGCGATTGTGGGATTAATAAGCTATTATGTCTACAAGTCCATAATACCTCCACCGCCAATTCCATTGCGGGAGAGTGTTTCCAAGAAATCTCCAAGAGTCAAGCTCAACGATGGCAGACATTTAGCCTACAAAGAATTAGGGTTTCCAAAAGACAAAGCCGAAAACAAAATTATAGTCGTCCACGGATATGGAAATTCCAAAGACGTCGATTTATACACCACACAGGTATAAACGTAATTAAGGATTCAATATATGGTTATATTGTGGTGATTCTTCTTTATTGTTTAATGATTTTTTTGTTATAATACTTTGCAACTACAGTAAACTTATTTAATTTGTTCTACTGGGGTAATTCGTTTTAATTATTGTTTTCGTAATAATATTTGCAATTGCAACTACAATTATAATACTCGTCTGGCTTTTTCAGGAAATGATTGACGAATTCAAGATATATTTTTTATTCTTCGATAGAGCTGGTTATGGAGAAAGCGATCCCAATCCATCGCGAACGCTGAAAACAGATACATACGATATCGAAGAACTTGCTGACAAATTGCAAATTGGTCCAAAATTCCACGTTCTAGGGATGTCACTTGGTGCTTACCCTGTTTACGGTTGCCTCAAATATATTCCTCATAGGTAATACTATTTGTGATTGTCACTTCTTAATGTTTATCAAACAACAACGCGTTTTATATTAAAGATATACACAATTTCATGAAATACATTTGGTTTATCCATTTTTAATAAGATTTACGATTTTATAATTTAAAAAGCCGTAGAGATAAGAATTTTTATTTTTTTCCTATTTACAGCGATGAGAAGTAGCAAATTAGGTCATATAATAAGATATGAAATTTGTTAAATTCGAGAAGAAAAGTAAAACATATACAGTATAGTACTAGTTGGGATAACGTTTTCTCAAATATATTACTTTTTTCTCACCCCATCTTTTATTTACCAAAAGTGAGGTTATACTTCCTTTTTTTTTTATGTATGTAGTTTAGTAGTTCTGTTGTCAGTAATCCGGATTTAAAATTCCCATAATGGATATTGTTGACAAAGAAACAAAAAAAATAGACGTTGATTGTTTCTATTTACATTTGTAGACTATGTGGAGCTTCATTGGTGGTTCCATTAGTGAATTTTTGGTGGAGACGTATGCCTCGAAAGTTGTTGAATGCAGCGATTCAGAAATTACCATTTGAGTTTCGATTGACACTTCGAGTTGCACACTACTTTCCATGGTTGTTATATTGGTGGATGACTCAGAAATGGTTTCCAAATAGTCGGGATCCCAAAAAAACTCTGACGGAACGCGACATAGAACTCTCTCAAATACATGCAAAACAGGTATATGTATATAGAGACGTATTTAAATAGTTTTAATATGATTTTATGAATATAAATGGATTACGCTATCTACTATAATATTGTGAAAATAAACTCAAGAAAGCTTTATACAACTATAGGAGTCTGCTTTACGACAAGGTGAATATGTGAGCACACAAAGAGACATCATCGCGGGTTACGGAAATTGGGAATTTGATCCAACCGAGTTGAGCAATCCTTTTTCGGATAGTAACAAAGGATCAGTTCATATTTGGTGTGCACTCGCAGACAAACAGATTTTGCGCGAGGTTCTACTCTATATATGCGATAAGCTGCCATGGATAAAGCTCCATGAGGTCCCTGAAGGTGGACACTGGATTATCCATGAGAAGCGGCATTTCGAAGCCATTATCAAAGCTGCTTGTACTGAATGAATGAAGAGTCAAAAGAAAGAAAGCAAAAACTCTACAAACTTTGTATCTAGGATAACTAAGTTTGAGAAAATTATGGCTATATTATACAGTATGTTTCGTTTGACATAATATTTCATAATCAATATATATTAATATGTAATTGGTATGCCTTATAATATACAAATTTTTTTGTTGGTCTGCCCATTTAGAGCATGATGACACAAGAAAGGAAAAGTTGACTGATCGATGTTAACTTAAACATGTCTACATTTGGATGTGCTTTGAGCTTTTGATCAAGGGTAATTTCGTCATTTCAAAAATCGACAAACCGGTTAAAGCAAATGTTTTCTTCCCACTAACAAAAACAAAATAAAGAGAAGAAAATTAAACATCAAATCTCTACTCTACATTCACACTTCGCTCTCTTCCTCTCTCCTTCGGAGATGCAACTGTTTCTACCTTTACTCCTCCTCCTCCTCGTCGCACTGTCGCCGCCGGTGACTTCCCATTACTCTTCCTCAACCTCCTCTCCTTCTTCTTCCTCCGTCTCTTCCGACGCCTCCGAATGGCGTCCCGCTCGAGCCACCTACTACGCCGCTTCGAATCCTCGAGACGCGGTGGGCGGTGCGTGTGGATACGGAGATCTCGTTAAATCTGGGTACGGTATGGCGACGGTTGGCCTGAGCGAGACTCTGTTTGAGCGTGGTCAGATCTGTGGTGCTTGTTTCGAGCTCAGATGTGTCGATGATCTCCGTTGGTGTATCCCTGGAACTTCAATCATCGTCACCGCCACGAATTTCTGCCCTCCTAATTACGGATTTGATCCCGACGGTGGTGGTCACTGTAACCCTCCGAACAAACATTTCGTGCTGCCGATTGAGGCGTTTGAGATGGTCGCTATTTGGAAAGCTGGGAACATGCCGGTGCAGTATCGAAGGTGCGTTTTCTCGAAATCCCTCTCCCGCGTTCTCTTCCCGAACATTTTTTTTTGTTCTTCCAATTTGTTCGCGTTTTATTTAGAGAAGCGTTTGCGGTGGGGAGAACGCGGTTCTGCTTTTCTGCCTCTTTCGATTTAATTTTTTATTAAACAATTCAATCGATGATGATATGCTTTTGCTTTTGTTTTTCCTTCTTCGATATCCGTGTGCTTTATATGAGCTGGGTTTGCCCCCGAAGTGCTCTCCCGAATTAGCAAATTTACAGTATTGTCCTTGATCGTTAATGGAGTAGACTAGTGACTTTAACAAGATTCAAATATGGTATTTAAATTGTGGTTTAGATTGACTGTAGCAAATCTGAGAAAAAAAAGTAGCTTTGCTCGCATTTCAGTTGCTAGGAAGGTTAGTTTGTGGAATGCTGGAGTATATGAACCATGAGAGGAAGAAGTGTGGAAATCAATTATTGAAGTGATTGTTTCACTTCCTTGATGTAAATAACGATTTCGGGTGCTACACTGTTTTGGAAAAGTTCTAGGCACTAGGCGATCACCTAATCTTTATGTTTATGATACTATGGTTCATTGGATCGTTATCGGTTTGTGGAGTGATTTGTGACTGAGCCTCTTAAGAGTGTTTACATATCACATAACCATTGTTACCGTTTTGCCAAAAACAGGATCAACTGTAGAAGGGAAGGGAGCATTCGGTTTACAGTCGATGGTGGAGGCATTTTCATCTCGGTTCTGATCACCAATGTTGCGGGATCCGGTGATATAGCTGCTGTGAAGATCAAAGGGTCGAGAACCGGGTGGTTACCAATGGGTCGTAATTGGGGACAAAATTGGCACATAAATGCTGATCTCAAGAACCAAGCTCTCTCATTTGAAGTAACTGCTAGTGACAGATCAACCGTGACAGCTTACAACGTCGCTCCTAGAAACTGGAATTACGGACAAACCTTTGAAGGGAAACAATTCGAGACTCCATGACACACAAAGACGAGTACTTTTATAGATATCTCGTCATTCAATTTTTGTGTGAATTTTTTGATGGCAAGTAGATGAATCTTGGTCTAAGGTTATCTTTAGGGTTGAAAAAGTAGAAACTTGTTTCAGCAAAAAAAAAAAAAGTATGCCTCTTTTGCATTTCATAGTGATCTCTATCTCTCAAGCATAGGTACAAAAGTCACAAATGTACTAAAAACATTGATTACACAAATATCATTATTGTATCTATTTGTCTACATTACTAAGGATGGAAAGCTTCCCTTCGAATGCTTAAAGGCTAATGATGAGCATTGCGTCTTACGGGTTTTTGACCATCCCACCGTGTTCCAGTTTTTGTAATAGAAGCCAGAGGTAAACCATGAGGGGAAAGCAAAAGTGTATTGTGATATAACAATAATCAGATAACTCCCCAAAAGTTATAACTTCAATGTCAAAAGATATTAAACCTATATAGCCAAGAATGTAAGTTCAGTTACTTCCAATGTGAAAGATCATTTAGACCAAAAAGGATCACCGTGTGTTGTAAAAAATCCTATGCACATCCCACTTGTCCTTAAAACTCTACAAGAAAAACTCCAAACAAGAAAAACGAAAGAAAAAAAAAAAAAAACCTGCCTCAAGAAGTCATAAAGTTTGATGAGATTCGATAAGCAATGCGTTGAGCATGACATGAACAGCGGCATCATAGACCGCAGAGTCATAATGCATTCCATCGATTGTACATTGCGGTCCACAGTTCCAAGTAAAGGACTGAATATCAAGCAAGATAAGCGGACCACCCATTTGCCGCAAGATCTTACTCTCCCCAAGTGATCTATCATACTCATGCCACACCGTATCACTCATCTTCACCTTCTTCTCTTCCGTATTCAGCATCCCGTTTATCAGAACCGGCATCCCGATCCAGAACAGATGCATTGATCTACTTCCCGAAACCGATCCTCTTCCTTCTTGCTCCTTTGGCGAAAAGGGCATTAGAGACTCCACATGACTGCTCAATTGCTTCAACCGATAGCCGAAATCAGAAGCATTGTTCACATGAAGCATATGCCATAACCCACTTCCCATTATCACAACATCTGGATACTTGTTCTTCTTCTTATACGATAGCACAAGATCGTCTAAATCTTTCTCATAAGGAGCCCACACAAACTCCAGTTTCATCCCAATCTCCTTAACCACGATGCTGTAATCACTATGTCTCCTAAAGAGATCACTTTTAACCGAGTCCATAGCTTCTGAATCCGGACCCAACATAAGATTCATCAACGACAAAGCCACGAATCTCGCCTGAGAATCACCAGCAACAACAACCCATGATCCATTCAACAACTCCGAGACATCGAATTTATCCAATTTCTGAAACTCACAACTCAAAACTTTCCTAGATTTCATCCAATCCCAATTCTTGTCGAAATAATCAAGCTTCGAGCCGTTATTCCTACGAACAGACTCTGGATTTGGTCTCGGCTTAACATCCCAGACAATCTGATTCACCTCGTTAATACAGGAGACACGGTGATCGTAGACAACAACAGACGAGACGGAGGCTACGATGTCGGAGACGGAAGGGAAATACGGAGTCAGGTGAACACAAACCGCGAGGGAAATGAACAGAGCGCAACTAAAGAAGAGCATCTTGTTCCTGCTCAGATGCCAACCAGCCATAGCCATGGGAACGAAGAGGACGAAGCAAGCAGCTAATACTCCGAAATGAATCGCCCCTATCATCTCTCTCTTCGATCTCAGATTTCGGAATCAGACACATCTAGATTTCATCCAGATTCGATGGCATGAATTTTCCAATTTAATTATTTTTTTTTCTTCAATTAATAAAGCTAGGGTTCCTAATTGGTTTGGTGAAGAGACTCCATCAGATTCGAGAAAAACAAAAAAAAAAGTTGAAGGCGAAGCTGAAAATTTGGTGAGCTTAGGAGATAGAAAAGAACAGAACAACCGTAGGCTTCTTCTTTCGATCTCTATAAGTTTTTTACTTTTTAACTTTCCGTACTTGCAAGATCTTCATAATTTATGATCTCGGACATTTGTTCGGCTTACCTTAGCCTGAAACGGAACCGAGAACTACTCTAACGTGCGCTCAGTATGGGAAATGACAATATAGCCCCTAAGCTTAAACCAGCAATGTATATTAATAAGAGTCATTCATGCATAGCTAGTAAGCCCTTGGAGATCTCGTAGAATCTCCCAAAACTCATAATAGTTTCAATTCATTTTGCATATTTATCTTTATTTTATGATTTTATCTATATATATAATTATATATGTACACCCTATCTCAAGGTACGTAAGGCTAATCAGAGTAATCTGATCTATTAGTTTATATATAGGGCTAATCAGAAAGAAGTAAAGAACCAAAAGATGGATTCATGTGAGGGAAATGTGTCACGAGGGGTATGTACACACTGTATTTGTATATATGTAGATATATCTTGTATATGTGTGTATCATAATGTACATGTATATGTCATGATCATAGAAAGAGAATATGGAATTGGAATAAGAAGAGCAAAAGGTTATGACGATGATGAGAAAGGCTGAGAAGTGATTCTCCATGGTTGGCCCATCAATAGCTTCCAAGGATTTATTCACATGTTCACAACTGTGGACCCACATGATCATATTTCATTTGTGCCTTTTGTGCTACTTCGTTTTTATAAGTCGGGATCTTGTATGTCGAATCTAGTTACAATATAGTTTCATAATTGCCGGTGCCAAGCGTGAATATTTCCATATGAATTGATCATATCAAATAAAATAATAATGTCTCATAACCATAGAGTATTATTGGACTTTCGATTAAAAACAAATATCTGATTTTTTAACCAGTAATTTTGTAAATTAGCAGAAATGAAGACGAGATGTTTTGTTTCGAGATAATGTACTTTTAATTATTCAAAATTTCAGGTTCGAGTTCACAATTTCGAGATCTCATTTTTTCCTCCGAAACTTATATATATTCTTAAACTTAACAATCTAGTATTCTATAAAATATACACACAATAATTAGCAGATCAACCATTAAAATTGACTTCTTCTTTATAGCGCGAAGCGAACCATGTATAAACTATAACGTACATATATATATGAAGCTTTTTTGGGTATGATATTATATAGGGTTATGCGGATAATGAGCTAGTTATATTGAAAAGGGTATATATATACATATACATATAAATGAGAAAATGAGTGGAAAAAAAAGCACTCGGATAGATGAAACACTATTTTTAAAAGAAGGTATATATATGAACGTAGATCGGTGGGAATGAGAAGGAAAACAAAGGATTCGCAAGTGGGTACAAAAGAGACAGTTATTTCTGTATTTCAGTTAGAAGTGCCGCCAAAGAACAAAAAGAGAAAAGAGAGATTGCAACAGTTTTGGGGTAACCCAATATTCGATCTCCCATGCAACCAATAGATTCATGACACGTGTACTTATATTCCAGACCGACCACACTTGAAGAAGCATGGGATAATTGAGGAGGCCACTTGATGAAGAAACACGTTTTTGCATTTAGGGCGGCAATTTTTGATTAGTTATTCCTGTTAATTCCAGAATCGCCTCGTGATCATGTTCTGTAACATACTTTTGGTTTTGTCATCACTTTACTATACGTTGTTTAGAAACAGAAAATCTAATAACTTACAAAATAAAAGAACAAAAAATTTATCACTCTAGAAGAGAAACTACGATATCTAGGCGTTATAGTCAAATTTATGTACTTATTAAATGTTAGAGTGGTAGGCTAATGTATATGAACAAAAAGCTCAGATATGAGAACTTCTTGTTGTGTTTTGTGTATATATTAAACTGTATAGGAACTTTGATTTAGCATATTATGCGTCACGTCAGACCCGAAAAAAACATTTTGACTAATTTTAAATATTAAATGAATTCTTAATATTATTTGTTGATTTGGGATGGGGACCTTCCCTTTATTCACTTTTGCCTTTCATTTTCCTATTTCTTCTGTATATCTCCCTCTTTATATATGACCTTCCTCTTCAAACCCTCAACGAATACAAAACATTTCTATTCTCTTATATCTTCTCCTCTCTTCTCCTCTCTCTCTCTCTCTCTCTCTAGATCTCTCTCTCTTGAAAATTGCAATTGATCTAAACAAAAGAAATTCGAGATTATTTTGAAAGATATATGGCTCCTGTCTCGTTACCTCCAGGTTTCAGATTTCATCCAACGGATGAAGAGCTAATTACTTACTATCTAAAAAGAAAAATCAACGGTCTAGAAATTGAACTTGAGGTTATCGCAGAAGTTGATCTCTACAAGTGTGAGCCATGGGACTTACCAGGTAATGATATATCTTCTTCGAGTAGGCATAATTAGTTAATATGATATATATAAACCTCTTTTCCAAAATAGGATGATTGTTTTATAAAGAAAAACAATACTCGATTGTACTGTATAATCTTCAAAATTCTACAAATCTTATTTGAATTTAGATTCACAACCTTTGTAATTAAGAATTTTTTTTTTCTGTCTACAACAATAGAAGCAAGAGAGGCTGAAGAAAAGAATAAGAATATAACATCGATGAAGAAACCCTAAATATACTTTAATTTCTACAGGAAAAATACTACATACACGTTGATCTTAATTTACATAATTATATTACATATATTCATTGTCATTATCAGCTTAAATTTTACAAATTAGATCGTAAATTTGAGTTTTATAACGGGAATAATTTGAAAATTATTATATTTATTCTTTGTTTTCTGAACTAGTTTTTTAATAAGATAAGTTTGATTCTAAACATGGCATGACTTTAATTGAGATATTCTGATATGTTTTGGCAAATTATTATTAGAAATTTTCTATATAGTTAAAAATAACTAACAATAACTTTAATGATAGGCAAGTCATTGCTTCCGAGCAAAGACCAAGAATGGTACTTCTTCAGCCCACGGGACCGGAAGTATCCCAACGGTTCAAGGACAAACAGGGCAACCAAAGGTGGATATTGGAAGGCGACTGGTAAAGACCGCCGGGTTAGTTGGAGAGACCGAGCCATTGGAACCAAGAAGACATTGGTGTACTACCGTGGTCGAGCACCACACGGTATTAGAACCGGTTGGGTCATGCATGAGTATCGACTCGATGAAACTGAATGCGATCCTTCTGCATACGGCATGCAGGTTCGTCAACTAGCTAATTGATTCGACTAAACATTTTTTTTATATATATATAACCTAAATTTTTATAATTTCAGGATGCGTATGCACTTTGTCGTGTATTTAAAAAGATTGTGATTGAAGCTAAGCCAAGAGATCAGCATCGGTCTTACGTCCACGCGATGTCGAATGTGAGTGGAAATTCGAGTTTTGACGCTTGTTCAGATGTAGAGATCAGTTCAGCTAATCACCAACTTCAAAGCGCATTCCAACCGCGATTTGGAAATGGACGTTTCAACTCAAACGCAATCAGTAACGAAGGCTGGTCTCAATACCACGGTTCTTCTTATGGACCTTTTCCAACTCCATATAAGGTATAACTAAAAAACATCCATCAACCTATAAAAAAGGATCAAATTAAGTGTATAACAACTTTTTTTTCCAACGATGGATTTAAATATCATATAATTACATGTTCATGTAGGTTAATAGCGAGATCGAATGCTCAATGTTACAACACAATATATCTCTACCACCGCTGCGTGTAGAGAATTCCACAGTCAGAGATTGTGATTTCTTCACGAGTATGACTCAAAACAACGATCCTTCCGTTTTGGAGGACTTTTCTTTCGCTGCAAGTAACTCCAACCATTATAATAGCGTTAATGATCAAGTGATCCACATAGGCAATTATGATGAACCTTTACTAATGCCAAATCATCATATGAACCAGGTAGTTTATATCTCAAAATTTAATATAGATTAACGTTTAAAAATATATATTTTAACGTAATCTATTTTTGTATTAATATTGAAAAGGATTATATAGAAGAGCAGAAGATCATATCGGGTCTGAATGATATTCACCAAGATCATGGATTTCAGGGTGAGTATGACATATAATTTTGTTTGACATTCAATATTGTTTAGGTACTTTTCTTATATAACGATATCTGAATGGTTATATTTACAGGAATCAGTACAAATAGCAACATAGATATCGATGATTTATTCTCGTTTGATATATATAACGAGGAAAACGTAAACCGAATAGAAGGCAATGAAGAAGACGTGAATACAAATGAAACCCTTGATTCATCGGGATTTGAGGTGGTTGAAGAAGAAATTAGGTTTAGCAACCAAATGCTCATCTCGACATATCAAACAACGAAGATTCTATATCACCAAGTCGTACCTTCTCACACGTTGAAAGTTCACATCAATCCTACTAATCACAATGTGGAAGAGAGAACCTTGTTCATTGAAGAAGACAAAGATTCTTGGTTACAAAGAGCTGAGAAGATCACGAAGACAAAACTAACTCTTGTTAGTCTAGTGGCTCAACAATATTACAAATGTCTTGCGATTTTTTTCTGATTTTTAAATTATTCATTGATTTAAATACGCCTTGAAAAATGGGCGTCTATATGTACTATATATATAGTATAGATATACTAAAACATATATATCTCATTCTTGTTATTTATTACCATTGAAAATATATTTTATGTGTAGACATGCTGTTAAAACTTAAAATAATTCAACAACGACCATTATTGATCAGAAGAACTTTCATCTTTTTGGAGGGCCGGGTGGATTAGAAAATTCACATCCACTTGATTATGATCTAATCGAGCACTTAAGGGTTATGAGCTACCACAAGTTTTACTTAATTCTTATTTTTTCTACGAAATTAGCTTTATCAGAAAAAAAAAGAGAGATCCCTCGAGAAGTGTTCTAGTGGTTGTGTTTCTCTTTTCTATGAGTTCTCACATATGTTATAAGAAATCATTAAATCTTGATAAATGTCCATGATTATCAACAACATCCAAATTACTCAAGCGTCTCTTAAAATAACACTATCCCACGAAGAAACACATGAAATTTAAATTTTTATATGGGAATGACAGGAAATGTTAAAACTTATTTTTCAAAATATTAATCAAAGCTTATTTGATCCAAATACCACATCAGCAGCATAATCAACGCACGATATACTAAACTAATTTAATAAGCAGCCATTTCCATGAGTTTTTTCCAAGCCGGTCTGGACGAAATCTCATCCCACCACCGGTTAACATTCTCCCGAGACGTAATCATGCCGCTCAAACCAGCTTCATTCATTATATACCTCATACCGGGCATATGAGTCAAATCAGCCAATGTGAATTCAGCCCCAGCCAAGTACCGGTTCGTAGCTAACCGGTTCTCATACACATCCAAGACCTTCTCGAACTTGACCTTTAGCTCTTCGACCAAAGCGACGTCGCACTCAACAAACTTTGGCTTAAACACGATGTTTATAACTAAAGGTAGAACCACAACGTTGAAATAGTTGGCCTCCACTTCCATCCATTGGTCCACGATGGCTCGTTGCTCCAAGGTCTTGCCCAGTAGGTCCGTTCCTTGCTCCGCATACTTTGTCGCGTAGTACCTCGATATGGCTCGCGATTCTTGGAACCAACAAATCGAATATATATATTTAATTATTTTTCTTGTCATTAGTTTGTTTCAAAAAACAAGAGTAAATAATTAATAAAATTATTTTAGTAAATTCTGACTTATTCTTTTGACTAATTTTAGTTTGTTTCATATATCAACTTTACGTTTTCATTTATAAATTTGGAGAGCGTTAACCAAAAAAAAAATGAAGAAGTTTGGAAATATTATCTTACCAAAAAGCTTCAAATCCCCATCTTCAATAGCTGGAACTTGACCAAACGGCTAACACAAGTATACAACATTAAAAAAAAAGTATACAACATAAGAACTATGCAAATTGACTATTTAATTATCTTATTTTCTGTGATATAATTAAAATATTATGGAATAAATATTTACCTGACGAAGAAGATGTTCTGGTTTTTTCTGCTCAAATTTATCAAGATCGACATGAATAACTTCAAACTCGATGCCCTTTTCCAAAAAACAGAGCAATACTCTTTGTGGATTACCTGCTTTTATCTGCCCATATAGTTTTACCACCATTTTCTGATTAAACAGATAAGCTAATATGTAATGGTTGATATGAACTATTAGTACCGATACAGCATAAACTGTTACTCTTTAGTACATGATTTCAACAAATACAAAAAGTATAGAAGAAAGGATAAGAGAATATGGATGTGTGCATTTTATAGGCCACGAATATTTCAACCTCCAATGACTTAGTGGCTTGGCTAGTGGATAGTGATCACTAATTAGTGGTCATTTTTTTTTTTGTTTTTTCCAAAATCCACTGGACCGGTGAGTAGGTGAGAAATGCAACGTGTTTTTTTTTTGTTATTGGAATTCTTGGTTTCTTTTAATGTTTTTGTTTTTTATTTATGACTAAAATTGTGAATAATATTTACAAAAGAAAAATGGAAGTTTTTCAGTTTCTTAGTAGTTTCGAATCATAGACGAACCAAACTTTAAATAAGTAATAGGATAGTACGTAGTCTACATATCGAAGAAAACATATGACCCAGGTTTCAGACACAAATATCTATAAGCTATACAAAAGTAACTGGAAAAACTAAATCTCCATTAAAAAAGAAGAAGAAGATGCTGTTAAATAATAAGTGGACTGATAGATGATGACAGAATCAAAAAGAGAGGAAAAGCCACATGCAAGAGAACATCAATCATTCACAAGCCATTTACAACACATTAACGATGAGTGGGAGTGTATTATATACATAAGCAGCACCTGTGTATCGACAGTGGTTTACAGGACATGTACATCTGTGAGAAGAGGATTAGACAGGAACACGCCTTCCACCGTAGCGATCCAATAACTAATACAATTGAAATTGGATCAGGTAGATATGAATAGATTAAGGAGGCTGAGTTGAAAAAGTAGATAAAAGCAATGCAGTGTACCGATCTGATGTACGGTTGCTGCATAAGCCAGCCCAATATAGGTATCCTTTGAAGGAAGACAGCGAGTGTAGGCCAGAAACCACTTAACATGTCAAAAACAATGGAGAAAATACATCAATAAACCAAACCAAAACTATAAATGAAGTGGTGAAACCACAACATTTTCAAGACGAAAAACTCCAAAAAAAAAACCCACCTGAAGAGCACAAGGAACCCATATGATTCTAGAAGCAAACCGAGAATAGGCCATCCAAACACAACCAACAAGAAACCCAAGCCAAATGATATAGTTCCCTAGTATAGCAAGAAATCGACAAGGAAGAACATCTTTTTTAAGTACTATATATAATTTGCAAAAACACAGAATAGATTGTGTGTTTGGAAGAGACAAGACACTCGCTAAGTAAGATCTTAGTCATATATAGCTTGTGTGTTGGGCCTTGTGGCCTTGAGGAATCAGATTGAAAACAAAAGGATAGTGAAAAGCACCTTAAAGTTGCGTCGTTTTGTAAAGAATTGGATTGCTGGGTTGATCCCAATGGTTAGAGTCACACCGGCTAAGAAGAGGATCTGCTCAAATAGATCATGGAGACTTAAATGTTCTTAAAGCTTTGTAAACTTCGTAAGAGCAGAAAGATGGTATATACCTACATTTCCCATGGCGATGAGTCCCTTGTCAAACACAAATATCACTCCGAGGAATGTAAAGAACACTCCAAATCCAGTCAAGCCTAGCCCAATCTCTGCACCCATCACATTAGCAATATTCAATGAATATTATTCATCAAGATGAGTTCAAAATTGAAAACTGTTGAACCACAGTAATGATTTGACTTGCAGGGCAACTTCAGAAGAATCGAAAACATAACATTAACAAAAAAAGTCAAAATCTAATATATTTTTTTTTCGTTAGTTTAAGGTCAAAATCTAATAATATCCACAAAAGTAATTTTTAGCCTTTGTAAAAATACTTACTAACACACGAGATATTGACTTTTTAGATTTTGTTCGTTTTTTATAAGATGTTTCTGTTTTTCTGAGTTTGCATGGACTGATGCACCTCTTTTCGTTCAAGGATTTTATATGATGTTCCTTGTTACTGTTAATCAAAATCAGATGATAAGGAAAATATACTAACACACGACGAATCCGTAACCAAGAAACAGAAGAAAAACGATGTAGAAGAATTCATGGATTCAAATTACAAACAAATTCGAAATCGAGAGGCGCAGTAAATCAATGGATACTAGTTCATGATTTACATCTCAGAACAAAGAGTTCATCGGAACTTACTTTTCAGGTCATTCATCTCGAAGGAAGCCATTATCCCGGCGGTGAATTGGACAATAAACGAAGAATTCAAATCCGATAAAGTATATATATATTAATCTCTGAGGCGAAAATCAACGCTAAGGGTACTTTAAATCTTCTTTTTTTTTTTTTTTTCTTTTTCTGCACAGCTAAACTGCAAAGATCGATGAAAGATTGAATCGTGGTGTCAACTTCCTTCCAGTGGAAGCAACCAAAGTCCGTTTTATCAAGCCAGTCAAAGCTTCGTCAGCCTTCGTTCTCCACGTCATCTTTCGTGACCGATTAAGTTTTTAGTATTCATAAAACTTCCCCTTAGCTTCTTCGAATTACAAAACTGCCACATAGTTTTGTTTTTCTTAACAAAAAGTCCTTTGAAGAATTGACACTTAACAAACCTGCCCAATTTTTTCTTTATTTACAGAATTGCCCAATAACGTTAGGTATTTTCAAGAGTTTTCCAAATCTCTTGTTCGTATATACGCTTAAACTAATGCTAAATTATTGTGTAAGGCTTAATCTGATTCCAAATATCTTGTATATACGGTTAAACTAATTCTAAATTAGTGTGTAGACTTGTAATTCTAAATTAAACTGAAAATTACAAAATTATCAAAAGAGTCGAAATACTTGTACACTCATATACATTCACACACAGTTCAGAAGATGGAAGCTTGAAAAAACATCGTCCCAAACGAAACCCGGTTTCGTTCCGGTTTAGGAAAGGAAAGAAAAAAAGCTAAAACTTTTCGGTTTTAGGTTCGAGTGAGCAACGCCGTCATGTGAGCCGCCGAGAGCGTCTGAGCTCTCAGAGGCGGTCTATTACCGGAAAGTCGCGGCGGTCTATCGTTTCCGGCGAGGAAAACGTCGTGACCGCTCAAATTTCGCTCCGATGCGCCGCCACATCCGGAGAGTCGTCGACAGTGAGTGTTCTCCCGTCGCTGCTTAAGTTTTGCGTTGAAAGGATTCTCGGGTTTCGCGAGATCCTCTACGGTTAGCGCTCCCGACAACGACGTGAATGATTGCGATTTTCCTTTGTAATGTTTTGACAATCCTCTCCTGTAGCGAAATATTTCAGAAACATAAAATTTGAGGTAAATTTACAGAACTTTCATAACAAAATGAAAGAACATGTACAATTTTCCATATATCAGGTATCGATCTTGTCTCTCGGAAGCGCCCTGAAATTAAAGTTTTTTTTTTTTTTTTGGTAAAATGAAATTAAAGTTCTTTCGTATTATACCCCTAAACTATACCCCTAAACTATACCCCTAAACTATAATATTTTTTACTTAAAGAAGAACCTTAAATTTTGGGTATATTGTAATAAGATCTAAACTCAGGGACAGAAATACGAAAACTACTTGCTTCTCCTCACCTTGAAGAAGAAGAAGAAGAAGAACTGCGACGGTCCGGATCGTCAGGAGAATTTGGAAAAGAAGAAGGAGAATTAGAACCTTCCTCTGCGTCAGCGTCTGCGTCCCTGACGCAGTTTCCGCGTCTGCGTTCTTCACCCAACATAAGAGACTCCATCTGTTCTTGATAGTGCATTTTTTTCATCAAAGCCGCTTCTAATTTATCAAGACTTGAGAACAGAAACAGTGGCTTTTTATACAAACAATGTATATATAGTCGGCCAGTGATTAACTGAGAAATGTAAGTTTGGTAGATATTTTGTCCGAAATGTAAAAAAATGCATGTTTGTATCTAATTTTGAGAAGTTACATAATGAATATTCGAATTTAAAACATTATCTTATCGATTCTGTTTCTCATAATAACATGTTCACGCCCCTGAACATGGCTTCTGGTTTTGCGGTCCTTATATAATAAAGTTTTTCTGGTCGGGATAAGATATTTTAGAAATGGTTGTGCCCCGATTGTGACACGTGAAAAGAGCAGAGCAATGGACGGAGATTGGGTGCATGTTACGTGGTGGGTGGAAACAGATGGCACGGACTACGAGGTCATCGAGAATCTCTGTGTGACGAATCTAACGAGACGTGTCGAACTATGTTGAGCACATTCAGAAACTTTTGGGCCATGATTAATTAACAGACTTTTATTTTCAAGTATGTATGGACCGTTTCTACGAGCCCTTAGCACATGGTCGATTTTTTTAAAGAGAGAGAAAAAAAAAACAAAAACAAAACGAATTTATAAGCTACGCAGATCGAATCAAATAGTGTGTCAATTATCATTAGCAAGACTAAAACTTCTGGGTCGATCATGTATATCGATTATTTGCGAAAATATTATGCTTATGTTACACACGACACTATCATTATAATCTTTAAATCTTTAATCAATCATCTTCCAATATCATAAACATTAACACAAAGATATAAGTCGTTTAATTAGTCCGTTTGTATTTACATAGAATCAAAGAGAAATGTGTTTGCTAAAATAACAAATAATCAGCGCCTCAGCGGTGGTTATTAAATACAGCATTTTAATCTGTAAACGAAGAACAAAAAAACCGAAATCATGCATTCCTACTCAGGCCTCGTATGGTTCTGTGTCGAGTTATTCTCAGTAAGATCTTTTTCTTTATATCTTGGACGAATAACTAAATGGATATGAATCATATAACATCTTCCAAAGTCGATACATTTTGAAACTAAAGAGTGGCCAAAGCTCAAACATTTAAAAAGGTAACTCAGGTAAGAGTGGCCGAAGTCTTTCACAACAAGATCAATGAAGAAGCAAAGACATGAATCATCAGTTTTCACTCCAACATTATCTATCAAAAACCCGCTAAGGATTACTCCATTCTAATCTTCTAAGAAATGTCGATCATTCTGCATTGGTCAATCTAGGCTCATGATAGATACTTCCTACTTAAGATTTCAAATGCATTATGAGAGATTAGTACAGCAGGGGAAATACACACAGGAGGAGACAGTTTTAAATTCACCCTGAAATCAGAAAAGCAGACATTGAACACAACTAATAAAAATGTTATTTCCAGATTACCAAACCTGTAAACCAAGCTCTAGTTCGTAGATAGGATTAGCATAAAATAGATTACAGTGTGTGAAATAGGATCAACAACTGTTGAGTTTCAATAAATCATTTTTTCTGTGTCATCAATGCCAGTCCCGAAGAGAAGATTATGAGTCAAATCAAAATTCAATCTCCAGATTACAAAGAACAAGCATAGAAAATTGGATACTTAGATCCTTCAATCTCCGAAACATAAACGACCAAATCAGAAGCGTTGAAACGGGAAAACAGCACAAACCTAATGAAATAGGGGAATACTCGAAAACGAAAATGGCATTACACTAATTGGACCTGTGACGAGACGATCAATCCTTGTTCTTGAGCCTCTCGATCCGCTGGTTAAGCTGCTCGATCTTGACGACCAAGCTGGTGACAGAGTATAGGATCCAGTAAAACACAAGTGCAGCCGCAATGAGAAGCGCGTTTCGCTGGGATTTCATCATTGATTTCTGGTGACGGAGGTGCTCCGATGGTGTGCAGGAATCACCGTCGCACGAAGGCATCGTCTCGTATTTCCAGTAAATATCCATCAAGAGGAAGAGACAAAAAGGAACAATCGAGAGAAAAGGTTTCAGGAGATTACGCGTGACGGCGACCAATCCCTTCCGGAGTCCGTCAAGTCCCGGCATCGTCAAAAGCACGACCATGATCGCTTCAGCCGCCGCCGCGTAACCTAAAACAACCCATTCGAGAGCCATTCTCACGGATCTAGAGTCGCCGGATCAATGTAGATCTGAGTAAGTTCTTCGCAGCTTGAATTTTCAATTTTCCCGAAATTTTTGTATTTCTTCTGTGGAAGAAAAAAGGAAGAGGTTAAGGAACATGAAAAACGTGGCGGTGAACGCGGGTCGCACGTCGTTTAAGAGGGAAAGAATTTAAACGGGCCGAGCTTAATATTTAGCCCAATTAATTACTAAGACTTCAACGGGCCGTTTATTTACACCCAAAAAATGGCTTTGATTCACACACCGTCCATCTGTTAAGTAACGGCGTCAGAAGAAAGCGAAACGGCAACGTTTGGTAGGTAAGACACGCGGATCAGATTGTGCTTTGTCTCCTAATCCCATCTCTTTCAAAGCATATATACGCACACAATAAACGGTGTTATATCATCATACTATAACTGGTAAGGCCCATAACCAAAGAAAAAAAGAAGATTCTCTCTCTACTATTCTAATCTCCGACGAAGAAACAGAGTTGTATGGCAAGCGGATCGAAGAGCTCTCAGTTGATCACCGGCTTAAGGAAGCAACTCGTGAACGCCATATTTCCACGCGCTTCCCCACGCGCCACAGCTTCGGCCTCAGCTCTCTTGGCTTCACGGTATCGAACATTCTCTTTCTCTGACTATTTTTCTTCTTACAAATTATTTGATGGTTTCTCTATGTACAGAAAATATATAAACTGATGATTAAAAGGAGTAAAGGACTACATTTTTCTGTGGAAATATCTTTTTTTTTTTTTTTATAGAATGGAAACCCCCCAAAAATGACATGGTGCATCGTTTTGTATAGTAATGATTAATGAAACTGATTAAAAAATATCAGAAGTTTTTTTTGGACGTCCAAACATATTAGAGGTTTGGTGTTTGATTGATTCGTTGGTCCAACCATTTTTGATCTTCTACTTCGGTGAAATTAAGATAGTTGTTCCTAGATCTAGAAAGCTCAGATCAGTTAAATACTTACATTTGTGTATATACCTTTATATTTTCAATGACATATATTTCCTCTTTTATTTTATTTCCAATCGTTTTGTATTTGCTTAATTTAAACGAAATGGATCTGAAAATAATCCATTGGTTTTTGTACAAGTGTATTAAATTCTTCGAATAAAAGAAGATCCCTTTTCGTCGACAAAAAAAAAAAGATAATCCCTTTTCCATATTTTAAGTTTTTTCAAATATTACTTCATTTTCTTGAAAGAAAAAAAAAATAGGGTACAAAAAGCACGAGCAATGTACACTGTACAGTGCACGAAAAATGGCATATGCCATTTGGCTTTAATGGATAACACCAAAGGAAATCCGCTTCAGGGTTTGACACGTCCCGTCGAAAATGACATCCTTACCCCTGATAAATACCTTATGTAGTTTTTTTTTTTTGAATCGTTCAGATAAGTTAAAATTCAAACTGTAGCCAAATCATCATCATTTTCCATCTTTGATTCTCTTCTTTTTTTCGCAATTTTCTATCTTTTAACTTCAAAGCCTTTTTTTAGTTTTTTGCTATAAGTCCATTGAAATGAAAACACAGTTAGTCGACAGAAATGAAAACGCAATTAAGATGAGTAGGCGTGACGTGGCTGGTTATTTTATATTTTGAGATTACGATAAGAATTGGACCGACAGCTTTGAAGATGTATATTGATAGAAACTTTGATGCCTGACGATGACATGTTTGACATTACTTAATTTTATATTTATATAAAGACCTTTTCGGGTCACCTTTTCAGAAAAATAAAACTTTCCATCTTTAATAATATACAAAGACTAGGAGGGGAAATAAATATAAAAAAACCATATAACGATCCGTCATTCTTTTTTTGCTTGTTATGCGTATTTCGTGGTTGATGGTGGCAATGTCTCACCTACCAAGCAACTATCTCCCACCCAACTGGAAAACTGTTTTTATTTCCTTAGACATTTTAATAAAATTTATACTACACTGAACATTTGATTTCTCTATGATCATTGAGGTAATTATATTTTTATAAAAGCTTGTGGGTTCGACTAAATTCAAGATAAATAAAAATCGTCTGAACATTTATTTTAGAGACAACTTGTAATATTACAGTAAAAAAATAATCTACTCCTATTAAATATTCATTTTTTGTGTGGTTTAACAGTAGGAATGGTCATTCCTCGGGGTATGACAAGAACGTGGAGGATGAGTTGCAGGCAAGTGCAGTACCTGAGGACGTCGTAAAGCCAGATTCTGATAAATATTGGTCTCCTCATCCTCAAACCGGAGTCTTTGGTCCCTCCACGACTGAGGACAGTCCTGCCGCGGAGGCTGCTCGCCAGAACTCGGCGGTGATGGAGGAGACTGCTTGGTTTCGTCCGACGAGTCTCGAGGATTCAGACAAGACTCACCATGTTTAAGTCTCTCACTCTCCGTCAGTTTGTTGTGTCTTCCGATGTAATGCTGTAATAAAATTCTAAGTGGAGAAACTGTATGTCAAGTAGTGTCCTGTATAAACTTTTCGGTTCTGTTATGTCTGAACTCTGAAGTCCTTTTTTTTTTTCGGGTCAAATATGTCTGAAGTGTATTTGTCGGACGGAATCATATTGAAACGATTTAAATGAAATTCGGTTAGTTTGAACGTAAACAAAGCCCAATATCAATCAAACTGAGCTGAAGTCGAGTCCGAACAAATCCAAAATAATTGAAGCGATAGTAGGGATTCGAGTTTGGTAAGATATTTGACCATTTTCATCCAGCGTAGCCTATACAATAGAGTATAGAGACTACATCAAACCTGAGTCAAATCCGATTTCTTAGGTTCCGGTAATCTTTCATGAGCTGAAACCAAATTCGAGAAACGCAAATAAAAAAACTAAACGGGTTAATCTAGCGTGGACCCGACGACAGATCATAAAATCTATGAAGAACGCAATCGATAATGTGTAAATTAATTAGCCAGCAAAGATTCAGCAAATCGAAAAGGAAAAAAAAAAACTCTCAGATTAATCAATCTAAACTTGGAACTAAAAATCAAAGAGACAGAGAGCTTTTTGGAGAATGAAAAATATACATACAAAACGCACCAGTGGTAACATTGTTCTACCTCTTCACCTGATCTGTACCAAAAAGTAACCAGAGTCTCTCTACGTAAACTGTTCTCCCTACGACTAACTTTCCCTCAGGGTCATCACATAATGAAAGCCTGATGGTTGCTTAAAAAGACCCATCATCCCAGAATTTTGAATGCCCTAAACGTGATTCCCAATCTATGGAAAACCAGAGACAAGAATTTGTTATATGCTTTATACCTATAAATTCCGCCCTCTAGTTATTGATCTCTTCTTCTCTCGTTAAAGGCTTTCACGGTTGGCTTTGATGGCGGTCTATTTATCTTCTCCAGTAATCTGCTAAATACTAGTTTGACGGGTATGCAGGCCACGGTTGGTGGTCCCGGTATCACCCGTCTGTTAGAGAGCTCGTGAGTCCGGTCACGTAACGCCTTCATCCCGTGGTGTGCTTGTTCGCTGCTGAATGATGATAGTGCCCTTGTCTTTTGACTAGGGGTTGCGTTTGTGTTCTTCAGCAACTTCTTTTGCTGCTGCTTTCTCTCTCCAGGTGGTCGTGGGATGCGCATTAGATTGCTTCTCCTCACCGAGTTATCGTCATTATATAAGTTTCCCGAACCAAGTTTCTTAAACAGCGGTTTTCGTCCCTGATCTGCCGGAGAATGATCCTCAGCATCGGCTTCGAGAGATGATGATAATGGGTGCAACCGTGGAACTCGTGAATTACTCCTTCTTGCAGTCTTCCAAGCAGGGGGAAGTAGAAAGGGTTTGTCATGGTAAGTTGTTTCATTACCATAGTAATCAGTTGTCTGAATATATGACTCCGAGGAACCATCTGCTAAGACTTCGATTTCGACTGGATGTCCAATTATTGCTCTGCCATTTAATTTACTCATAAGGGAGACAATTGGGACAGGCCCTTTCTGATAGCTTCCTCGCACTTCTAAATCCACATCCATCAATGGAGAATATGTTTTTCTTCCAAAACGTCGATGATAAGCATCAAACTCCTGACCAAAACCTTCGATCTTTTCATCCCATCGCTTCTTCATACCATTCCGGCCTTCCCAAGGATCATCATCCCAGTCCAGCATGTCATGGCTGTAGATGTTCTTACATCCAGATGCAACCATAGTTGAGAGCTGATAATCATCATCACCTGGTCCAATCATTCTGTCCCCGAACTGCCTTTCGTTGGGATCAGTGTCATCAGTTCCATCACTCATATCATTTGTCCCATTAAAATCTAATCCATAACCCATAGGCTTTTGGCCAAACGCCCTTCTCTTGTATTCACAATATCTTCCATCTTCAAGACGATTACGGTGCATTTCTCTTTTACGTGCAGACCTTCTTGGAAGATTGCGCATGTTTCTTTTTCCCTTGAGCTGCCACTTGGAAACCGTACCAGCTTCATTATCAGGATCTTGGGAATAAAGGTAAGACGAGTCGCCAGAAATGGATGACTCATAACGATCTTCCTCACTGCTGGTGCTTTCATCTTCAGCTGACATATGTCTACTAAACGTATTGTGTTGCTCTGAATGACGCGCAGTTCCTGGTGGGAGAAGATATCAAACTCAAGTTAGGGAATAACTAAAAACTAAGGGACACATAGATAACTGTGGTCTAAGCAACCAAAAAGGTTTATGGTTTCTAAAGTCAGAGGCTTGACACCAGTGCCAGACATAGAAGAATCAGAAATGAGTGTCGTTTAACACAACTGAAAACCAATATTTGCAAAAGAAGAAACATATATGTGATAAGAAACTAGCTTTTAGACGTCCAGGAAAGCTTCACCTGACAGCAAGGGAATGTCATCATCAGTATCCTCTTCCATATCAGAAGAATCAGTTTCAGATTCAGAAGACTCAGAATCAATATCTTCCAAGAACTCAGGAGGGTCATATTCTGAAAGCGAATAACGAGAATCGCCACCAGCGAACGAGGAACGCATTGCCTCCCTGTGGCTTAGCAAACTCTCATGCAGGTCTAAAACATCGTTAGTTTCATTTGGTGCGAACATATATTTAGTCCTTTTAGCCTCCATCGTACTCCTACTCTTCTCCTTTCCTGAAACAGAGGCAGAATTGCATAAGAATTTTATGTAAAAAAGAGCCAGAAGCCTTTAGTGTCCAACCATACTGGAATTACATACTTGGAAGTTTCCAAAATCATCTTACCGAGGGTGTAACTGGGCCTCTCCATGCTATGATCTCCACTAGAAGAAGCTGAGGAGTTGCTTCGAGCCAGAGACTTTAAGGAAGTATCAGGACCATTGGGACATGAAAACTTTCGCTTAGACGAGGTAGTTCTTAGCCCAAAGTCCTGCAAGCCTCTCATTCGAGGCACAGCCTCGTCCTCACAACTTGGCTGATCTACCTCTCTATCTTTTTGCAAATGCATAACATCGCCAACATGGTTAAGCCGTAGACTATCAGCGGATTCTCGTGTTCCATTGGAGATATCCTGGACCTTAGATATAACCATTCTCTCCTTGGTTGCATCAGGAGAGTTATCCCTAGGCCTGTCAGAGATTAGTTTCCCTTCCTTTTTCAGCATTTCCTTTTCAAGTTCAAGAGCATGGAGAATCGCATCTTCTCTACGAGCATACTTTTCTCTCTTTCTTATTGTCAACCCTTGCGAAGATTCTACCCTCTCAATGCAGTCATCAAAATCGCCACACCGAAATGGCTTGACTCGCTTGGACTTCTCTAAATTGTACCAATCCCTTAGCACATCAAAAGATGAACAGAAAATGCTTTCAGTTTCAATCTAAGTGAGATAAGTTTAGACAGGTAAAAGAAGAGACTTACACACTTGCATCTTCTCTCCCAAGGAGCTTCACCGGAGTTCCAGATCGTGGAGACGTGATATGCGTAGAGTCAAGATCTTCCTGTCCCAGTATCTTTCCTGGCCACCACGAGCCGTTCCTCCTCCTGACCCACACAATCGAACCCACCGTCCAATCCGCCGCACCTGATCCTGGGCTCCCCATCCTTCTCTCAATCTCTCCTCCCCTCTCTACACTCAAGATCACACTTTCTCTACGGGTTTCTTCTATGTAACGACCACAAGCAGGCCTCAAGAGTCTACCATTCTCCAGGAAAAAACAATTTCTTCTACGGTCATGTATTGATCTACCAGAAAATCAGCTCAGCCGCCAATAATACAAGCGAATCCCGGCGGATCCAAGACCAACTGAAACAAACGAATGGGAACCAAGTGAATTCGGCAAGGAGTAAGCTTTCCATTCAGATTTGGAAAATTCCCATACCCCTACGCTTTCTGCAGGTTAGGTTAAACCTTCCTCCTTGCTTAGCACCTATGTAGTGAATGTCTCTCTCTCTTCACTCTCTGAAACCTCCGCGTCTTCGTCTGTCTCTCTCTCCTCTCCGTCGCTCTTTCGCCCTCTCTCTCTCTCCTCCGGATGGTGATTGCGAGCCGCGCAGCCCCTTGAATTAACACACGCGCTTCCGAAAAGCGCGTGCTTTCTACGTTACCGAATATAGGCCCATTGACTCAAACTATGAGCTTCTTATTTTCATAGGCCCACGAATAGGCCATAAATTCCGATTTCCCAATAATATAATGTTATTTTCCGAATATATTTAAAATTCAATACGCCCCAACGGTCACTTGCGCTTAAGGGAGTTAGGGTTTACGTTCGACAAGTATATAAATACTCTTCATCTTCGGACATTCAGACATATAGCTGAAACTTCTCGTTTTACTACTGTCATTTTCCACCTATCAATTTAGAGATAAACTGTTTCATTTTCCTTCTCTATATCGTCGCGATGGATTTCCACAGTCTGCCGAGAAGAGATCTTCAGTTTTTCTGTAAGAAGAACAAAATCCCGGCCAATATGACCAATATCGCCATGGCTGATGCTCTCAAAGCTCTTGAGATTGTAAGTGTTTTTTGCTTCTCTTTCATTCAATTCAATGGTAAATCGAATATTTTCAATCAAGGTTTTCAGTAATATTGCAAAATGATTTGAGATCGATATCGATCCAGAACTTGTGGATTCATTTATATCTGCAACAATTAAGTACTGAAAGTTCTTGAAATTTTGTGAACTCTGAATGTTTTTGCTAGACTGAGAGTTAGTGAAGAAAATGAATCGGAACATTTCTCTGAGTGGTTTCAGATCATGTGTAATCAATTCCATTAGACTCCATTGATTTCTTCGAAATCGTATCTGAGATCTACTAAATCAAACAAAATTGAATGCCGTATAGTTGTTCTGGATCTTCAACTTTTTTTTGTCATTGCCTTTATCATGCACCGTTTACTGATTCCCTTGTTTGGTTTCTGTATATTTAAGATTCTAAACTTTGTGTTTAACTCTTGGCAAAACCGGTAAAATCAAGCTCAAGTCGGATGTGTTCTATCTTAACATTTCATTGCAATCCCTGATGGTTCTGCTTTGTTCAAATAGTTAATCTGAATGTTGTTTAGTTTTTCCTCGGATCTATCGGGTAACTTGTAACTCGAAAGATTATGCTCTAGTCATCTTACCATTATGTTTCTCTGTTTCTATTTGATAGGTTGACGGTATTGACGAGTTCGTGAATCAATCGGAGTCTACTCGTGACCAATCACCAACCAGTGTAGCAAAGAATTTGCCAAGTGCTGCTCGTACCGCAGCTAGAACAACTCGAAGAAAGACCAAAGATGAAACTCAACAATCAGACTTGGTGACCCGTTCTTGTCTTGTGACGAGCAAGTCCCTAGCTGGAGAACTGGAACAAGAAAACAGGAACACGAACGTGCTCCAGAATCCATCAGTACCTCAAAGCCGTAGAAGAGCTGCAGCTACCTCAATTGCTATTAACTTGGAGGGTACAGATATGAAGTCTGAAAACAATGTGATCAAAACTCCAGCGGCGCGAAGCACGAGAAGGGCTCAGTCAGCTGCGTCTTCTAAGAAGGATGAGTCGGTCCAACGGGTGTACAGCACTAGAAGGTCTGTCAAATTACTAGAAGAATCCATGGCCGACCTGAGTTTGAAGACTAAGGAATCCCTAAATGTACTTCCAAAGAAGAATGAAGATGCTGAAAGAGAAAATTCCCCAGAAGGTATGCAAAAGACATTAGTGCCATGTTGTTATAAGTTGTGTTATTCTATGATGAGTTTGTAATCAAGTTCACTTGTAATATGCAGGTTCCGAGTTCAAGGCAAAATCAGATGACAACTCTGAAAAAACCGAGGACGCTGAAGTTATCTCGGTGAGAGATTTAAATGCTTCGTTGGAGAAGGAATGTGATGGTTCGAAGAATGATCCAGATCTTGATATTTTATATGGTGATCTTGGCGATATCACTTTCTCTGATGCAAACACCAGTACGGAACAGATGAATGGAATAGGTATACACAGAGGCATACCCATCATTGTTTGCTTCACTATCTTCTTGTTTGCACATTTTCAATTATTTTCGTCTTTGCAGAGTCCAGTACCGTTCCAACATTGCAGGAGGATGATTTTGTAGTTGTAGGCCATGAAGCTTCTTGCAACAAACAATCAGAGTCTGAACAAATGAAGAATGTTTCTGAGTCTAACGTCTCTGCTAGTGGTAATGTGAGTATGGTAAACTCCGTTCCGACAGTTCTGATAGCTGATGAATCGAAAGACCTCGAATCATATAATGACTCAGGCGAGAGCTGCGAGTCTGATGAGGTGGCTCTAGTTTCCGACAAGAAGACGACTCAAGATGCTTCTTCTTCTACACCTCATGATGAGAAAGAGCTCGAAACAGACAGCGAATGGTCCGAATCCGACTTTGAGATAAGCGATGTGGAGGAAAACATATACGGATCCAAAGAACTGATTGGTTCTGAAACAGAAGAGGCTCTTATTTCATTTGAAGCAGGATCAGTCTCAGATCCAAATAATTCAGCTTCAAATCTGGTTGCAGACATCAACAACAAGAACAATGAGAATGCTGAGGAGATAGTTCTTGGGGAGAGAGAATCCGAGGCCGAGGCTAAGAAGACGAAGAAGAAACCAATCGATGAAGAGAGCCTCAAAGACGTAAGCATGAGGCAACTAACGAAAATGGTGAAAGAACTTGCTCTTAAGAGCAAGCAACAGCACAAGTGCGCAGAGTAGGAGAAGAAACTCTTGCCTATTTGAATCAGTTCCTTCTCGCTGGAGGAGAAAAAAATTGTTTCTTTTGTTTCATCAAGGTTTTTTTGATTTCCTTATTCCATAAACTCAAACCGAATTTCTAATCAAATATATTCTGGTTTCATTCGTAATTTCTTCTCTACTTGGTAAAATCTCAAACGAAACGAGAATACAACCTTAATTTATCGACATGAACACTTACCAAGTTGTGAAGGAAGACGGACGGGAAAATATCAATCATCTAGTTTAAGTTTGCAGATTACAAACTTTTCCATCAGAATATACAACCAAGCGCCAATTACATAACAGCTTTCAGAAACAGTGTCAAAAAGAAAAAAAAAACTTCCATTACAAAAGTCTAAGAGGTTTTGATTTTGTGATATTACAGTGCCAATAAGAAGACCTGGCCACTGATCAAAAGTATACAATGGTGGAGAGACTGAGACACCATGAGCTTGATTTGGTACTTTTCGTATGCCGATTTAGCTAGTCGTTTTTTTTCTTTTTTTCTTTATAAACGAAGTATGTTAAAATGTGGGACCAACCGATGAGTAACCAGCGGCTTTAACCTCTTTGAGCGTAGAGGATAACCAGTCTAAGCCTTCATAGAGCCCATCTCCTTGAAGAGCACATGTGCCTTGTATATGCCATTTCCTGTTCTTGAGATCTAATAAGCCAAGCCCTTCACATACTTCTCGAGGAGACATGGCTCCTCTCTGATATTGACAAAAAGTTTAGATGAATATTGGTCAATGACAAAGAAATTTTCTTTTCTTTTTTTTTCAAATATTGAACTTTTACCATGTCTTGTTTGTTCGCAAACACAAGGATGACACTGTTGAGCATGAATGGGTCTTTTATGATCTCCTGAACAAAATCAGTTAGAAGAGGTTAGAAACTCTACGGAGACTAATTTTACCCAAAAGTTTGTGCCATAGATCTAAAGGTACGGGAACAACCTGAAATTCTTGCTTAGCTTTACCAATTCTTTCTCGGTCCAAGGAGTCTACCACATATATCTGCAATAAAAAAATAAAAAAAATTCAAAAACTACATGAGGAATTCATCTGTCTATATCTTCTCCTCTGGAGAAACAGAGCCGGGAAATGAGAATAGCATAGGAAAATGAGGAGAAGAGACCCAATGACTAACTATCTGACTACACAGAGAGGCGAAATAAGAATAGACTTACAAGTCCATCGGTATTATTGAAGTAATGCCTCCACAAGGGCCTCAGCTTTTCTTGGCCACCAACATCCCAAACTGTGAACATCACATTCTTGTACTGAACTTTCTCAACATTGAAACCTAAGTAAGAAAATTCAAATCCTCAGCAAACCAGAAAAGTATCCGGCATCATGAATGCAGTACATGACAGATATGGGAAGAACAAAGATTGTGCTAAGTTGTAAGATGAATCAGATAAGGCACAAACGCTAAATCTAAATGCTCCAGCAATCTAACCTACCAATCGTGGGAACAGTTGACAGAACTTCCCCAATGTGTAGCTTGTACAGAATCGTTGTTTTGCCAGCCGCATCCAGACCAAGCATAACGACCTGAATTAGACTCTCAGTTGTCAAGAAACAAACCCTCAATTTGTATAAAATAGAGAATTTCATTCGAATATTCTTAGCTAAAAGCATTTTATGATACCGGCACTAGACACTGCATACTAATAAGACTGGTAAATTTCTCCCCACAAACAAAAAATTTCTGAATTTTGCTGCCGATACAGTGATTTGATTCGGAAGAACAAAATCAGCAACATAAACAGAGATATTCAGGCACCATTCCGTGATATTTCTTAGAAGCTAGCAGCAAACCACAAACGATCTCTCATATTTCGAATGTCAAAACATTGAAATCGGATATAGTCAGGTATGACAGAAACCCAATCAGATTAACGATGGGTAACACACGATTCCGTCAAAAAGTGAAGAACCTAGTAAGCGATCGAAACATTCCATATATACGGGAAAGCAAAAAAAGTAAACAGAAGATTGAGAGGAGCAGAGTACCCTCATTTCCTGGTTGCCGAAGAAAGTATCGAAAAGCTTGCGAAAAGTTTGACCCATGTCAGCCTCAAGAGCTGAAAAGCCCCCACAACGTCACTTTATCTTCTCGGCACGAAACAGAAATTGCAACTGAAAGGAAACAGAGAGAATCAAAGCGAGGATGAACGATTTCCAGGAATGAAGAGTTTTCCGAGAAAGAGAGGGAGAGAGAAAAAGGTTGCGTTTTCGGTACAAGGGATTCCAGTTGTATTAGATTCGGCTTGGTCTTCTCTCTGAAATTCAATTTTAATTTGGTTTACAAAATATCAAATCAAGGCCGGTTTATATAACCGTTAAAGGTAAAATGCAATGCCGTAAGGAATTTGCTCGAGGAAGCCACGTGTAGAGAATTTGTGTAGTTCCAAAAAATATTTCATTGATACTAATGTAGTAGTAAATCAAATCATCCCGAATAAGAAAAAGAGAAAATTGTAACGTAGAGAGGTTTTACCCCAAATCCAAAACCCCCACCAATTTCCCTACCTGAGAGTCTCTGTCTATATAGAAAAATTAGGAAGTTCTACAAACAAAAAAATAATAGAGTATTATTGGTTTATATAAGTTTAAGTATAAATTAAGAAAAAGTTATATATCATAGTCAACAAAAAAACTTTGTAACATGCAATTTTTTTCTTATCTAACTCTCTTCATTGGAAGAAAATTTTATCTATTTGAAATTCAATCAAAGATCATCTAAGTGGGTGCAATGCAAAGAAGCATACTACCCTTTGAGTTATATAACAAGAGGTTAAACATGAATTTAAAAAATGTAAGGGGTGTCACTTGACCCATTAGGCATGAGTCCGCCTCTGTCAGCAGCCATCTCGTCTTGACTCTCGTTGGGAGCAATAAGTCCAGGAATCGAAAGCATCCTTTGTCTCTCTCTCTCCATTTGAGCAGCAGCTTCCTCGGCATATAAATCTTTGTTATCCTGAAGAAAATTCCATTCGATAAGAGTTTGAATGAAATGTGGTCTAATGAAATGTTTATAGAAGACCAATCTTATTATACCTGAGCAGAAAATTCCTTGGACTGTACAAGGAAGTCGCGTATGTTATTCTTAAATCTCGCAAGGTCACTCCTTGACTCGTAAAGTCCATTCACAAACTGTGTCACCTGTTTGTTGTATGTTCAAAAGTAAGTGACAACGGAATCACTTTTAAGAAAGAGAAAATCCTCCCGTTTTTAAGTTTAGAGTTAGTTACCTCTGCTATAGTCATGTTGGGGAATGATGAGCTTAGAAGCTTGATGGTGTATTCACGAACAAAGGCGGCATTACTTGGATATTGATGAGGTACGGTTGCAGCATCCCATAAAGGTTCTGTCAAAGAACCGCTCTCAACCTGTTTTTTTTTCAATAAAGTGACCTCCCTTAAATCCGCAGAAACTAGCAAATGGTAGATTTACAGGTGTGTATATATATTTTTATATATTTACCAGGGAAAAGAGATGTTGTAGCACCAACACATGCAACTTGAAACCAGGCTTATGGAAGGTATCGGTCAACACGGCAAATATTTCTTGCTCAATTTGCATAAAGTATGTCCGGTAGAATTGGTTAGAGAAGTCAGATTTCTGTCACAATCAGAGAGAATACATGTTAAGATCAAGCACATTATGTCACAGCCAATTAATGATAAAAGTGAAACAGGGAATTTCAAAACCTGAAACTTTTTCAGCATCTCCAGCAAGAGAATAAGTCCGGTTTCGGCGATATTTCTCTCAGTATGCCTAAATGCCCAGATAACTGAATCCATCACTAGCTTCAGTTGCTGAAGATTAACAATAACGACACACAAGTACAAGAAAAGCTCAGGGATTACTAATAACAAATTAATATAGAGCGCTAATAGCTTTTTAAGATTAAGGCAAAAACAATAAATTCAATGCATGACCATAATCACCAACCTCGCTTGACAACTGTATCAAGGCACGGAAACAAAATGTAGCAATAGCTCGAAGTAACGAGAAAAACTTGAGGCGGTGCTCTGGATAATCTTCAAAATTCTTGGTAATCATCTGAATAAAAATATAAAAACGAATTGACCATCACTAGTCACTTCCATGTATGCATAACTACCGGTTTAATAATCAAAACAAACCACAAGTTATACCCAATATAATAATTCACTCCATTTCTTCTTCCATAAACAGTAAATAAGTAATACTTTCATATTATTTTCAATGGACCATAGAATCTGTTACCTCCAAAGTGCACTGGAAAACAGCTTCAAATATGCGAGGCACCTCATCTTGCATTACAACCTTGTACCTATGTAAATACATACACAAGTTTCTGACTTAGAAGGCAGTAGATTTCCATGTTACATCTTGCGGGAAAGACTTCTGTTGATAAGGCAGGCATCAACGTACAGAAAAGAGACATACTTGTTTATTATTGTTGCAAAGAGAGATAGAACTTCTGATTCCCTTGCATCGGGAACATTTCTGGCATAGTCACCAAGTACAGGATCCATCATTGGTGGAACAAACTGTTTTCCAATGTCTGGCTGGTTTTCAGCTTTGTCTAGAAAGGTTTCTATCAGCTTAAGGATTTCCCTCTTAACAGACCTGTTCCATGAAGCAAAGAGATGTAAAATATATTATTCGAGTTTATAATATAGGGTTATCAAAATCTGTGATGTTTATTTGGTATATAAAGCCGTCCTGCCTAAGAAGTTTAACAATAGATGTCCTCGAAGCATATGGGCCACCATCAGCAATGTTGCTTGACACGAGTTCACTGTACATTCTGGTGCATAAGAGGAAGAATAAAGTCAATTATTACTAAATTATGTCGAGAGAGAGAGAGAGAAATAAGAACTCTGTAAACATTTGTATAAGAAGTATAAAGAATTTACCTGTAAACATTCAGCATATCCAAGAAGATCAATGAAATTTGAGATAAGAAGTGTGTTCCTAGTGAAGTTGCAACTCTCGTATTTGTCTGCACACAAAAATAAGTTATGTATGAAGTTCTAATGCATTCCAACTAAGCTCTATAAGATCAATCAAAAAGATACCAATGTAAGATATCAGACCTGGAGGATATTAAGCACAGTGCGTATCATATCTGGGTTTTTGAGAATATCTGCACTTTGACGTGCTTGCCCTATAATTTCTGCCCATTTCTACATTGTACACACAAAAAAACCTTTAGTCAGCAATAAAAAAACAAAAGCTGAGCAGTACAATTTTACATCTTAACAGACCTGATTCGGGAGTGCCATCAACCTCTGAATGTATTCACCCCTCTTCTGAGAATCTGATTCTGCCTGGATCATACAGCCAACCTGGATAGAGAAAGACAGACAGAGAGTGAGATCATGGCAGGAAGTAGCTTCCCATTTCCATAAAAGAGACACTGCTGAAAATACGTACAGATTCATAAAAAGTGTGAATCTGATGAGGCTCAAGATCTCCAACAATTGTAGCAAGGCCTGACAGAAGTTCAGATACAAATGGCTCCTTTTCTCCAACCTGAAAAAAACACACATGACCTCATTTTAGATGATAAAGTAAGAATAAAAAAGGTGCATTAATCGAACTAGTACATACCTGAACAATAACGAATTTGCGCTTGCACTTCTGAACAATTTTTAAGAATGTATCACAAGCCATGTCCTGAAAGGAAAATGTACCATATTAGCTTGAGCTGATTTTAGATAAACGATACCACAGGGAAAGCGACAAAGTGAGCAAAAGCTTATTATGAAATTTTGAGATGTAATGATACATAAATGGTAATGCCCAATCGGTCCTACTTCATATGAAAGTCCAACTTGAACAAGGGAAGAATTACCTGAACACCAGGATGCGTCTCATGCATGAATTCAAACAACTTATGAACAACTGTCTTCAAAAACTTCCAATGGGCCCTTAAGAATCTTGAATACTGTCCAACAACATACCTGAAACGAATGTGGAAGAAGACAGAAATCAAAAATTCAAACGATTCATGCATGCAACAAGTTCAAGTTTTAAGATAATATATTATGCTAGCAGGGAACAAGTGAACCATTTCTAGTAAAAATCTCACGTAATATAAATACCAACAATCACTGTATAGGTTTTAGTATTAGCATTCATGATGTAGAAACAAACTCACATAATGTTGCTCGCAATGACAGCTTTATTGTCTTTTCCCTTGACGATTTCACATAAACTTAATAAATCACGAATAACCATCACCAGAAATCTGTTTTCCTGAAAAAAAAAAAACACACGAAGTTAAGACGATTCAGTAAAGGACACAAAATTTGCAGAATACTGATGGAACCAATCTATCATACATCGACCATAAATCACTGGGAGGCCATTAAAGAGCATTAAATAACAATAGAAAGATGCTACCAAATACCTAGAGCCAAGAAAGGTATTTGCTACTGCATTACAAACAAAATATCAACTGTTATTCACTGAAGATCTTACCTGGTCGACGTCCATGGAACCAGAAATAGACCCAATAGCCCAGCATAAAGTGTTCAGATTGTTCCATGACCATTCCTCCCCGCTTAATTGTTTGCTTAGCTTATTCAACATCTTTGCAGGAACAACAAAAAGTTGACATCAATACAGCAGGGTCAGCCAAGACACCAACATTACAAGATAACGGCTACTCCACATGTTAGAAATTATTAACACGTCTACATTTAAACTGTACAAATTAGAGATCCTCCACTGGTCTTCTACTTTATCATAATCCTTCAAATGAATACTCAATAAATTTCACAGCATATACAACCATTAGTACGCATAACTATAAAAGGACATAAAGTAAATTCTGAAAAGTAAATCATTCCACAGAATAAAGACATTCTGACATCCCTCATAATAAGTACCTGTCTTTCGGTATCATCATGATCAAGGTGTGCGAGGTAGATTAATGTCTCCCGCATTATCTGCAACAATGTAAACTATAAAATGAGAATACCGTATAATTGAGACCCAAAGTAGGATCTAAATAATTATAACTTCCTTCTGATTATATCGTAACACTATTTGGTATCATATATATAATGGGTCAAGAACAAAACAGCATCAACTGTCGAATAGGGTTTATTAAATATATAAATTAATTCAGAATCCTAACAAACATTCATTTATAGTTACTTTGTTATGAAGTATGTAATAAATAAAGAAAAAAATGAGAAGTTTTATCAATCATGAATATATACAGTTTGAGTAACTATGTATAAATCCATGCCGTGTGCGAGGACCTAGTCTATCTCATATAACTGAAGATAGGCCATATGTACAGTTGGTACCTTATACTGGACAAGAACATCATTATCCTTCATAGTCTCACGGACAATGTTCCCATTTTCATCTTCAACGATTAGCACTTCTTCAGGCTTAGCCATGCGACTAATCATGAGCCCCCTTAGTTTTGACATTGGATCAGAATATAGTTTCTGCCGATCCGTGACTTCAGATTTGACGCCATCAACCGTACGAGGAAGGAAAGCCATCTGATAACAGGCAAATCAAGACAAAAGGTAAGTAACCACTTCAAAGCAAGTTCAACCAGCACAATAAACCTAATTTCCATCTTATAAAAGAATATAAAGAAGCCATACTTGCAATCCAAACAGACTCGGAGTTAGTGCAGGGTGTCCAGCATGATAATGCGAACCAAACAACTCCAAAACTAAAGTGTTCCAATAATCCAAACAAACCTGTTCACTCGTAAGCAATCAAAAGGTGTCAATTTCAAAACCATTGGAAAATAACATGAAAGCATTCTTATTATAGTATTATTTATAAACAACAAAGAAGGTATTAAAAAAGGTAATTCACATACCTTGAACACTTCAGTGTCATCAACATATGATATGCTAATGAGATATCCGAGACCCGCAAGTAATAAAGAAATATTTTCGGGTGAAGATTCTAGGACTTTTATATGTAACTGTAAACGAAGAAATAGAGCACATCATTATTTTTTAAATGCATAGAATTTTTGAAAGGAAAAAGACTAAAAAATTAAACGCAAACCCTCATCACACATCTAAAGCCTAATATTACAGGAAAATCCACATAACACATCTTAAAAGAAAATTACCTTAAAAAACGCAGTGAAAAACAGTGCCAAGTTCTGGATAAAAGCCTAGAGGTAAAGAAGATATACAGTCAGTCATTATCACGAAATGTTACAGAGAAATATGGGATGGCCAGAACCTATTGCACAGAAAATACTTGCCTGTTCTTCACTACTTCCTGTTGAATATGCCTCTGGGATATTTAAATTTAAAGGAAGCACTGCCTGTAGACATGAAAACAAGTATGCGCGAAGAGTACATTAACCAACTAAAACTGAAACTAAGAAAAGCAATCAAAACAAAGATAAGTAGCACTAACCTGCAACTGTTTCATGAAGATGCTGTACATCTTGACATATTGCGCAGTGTAGAAGTCCACAAAATTAAGAGCTGCAACCTACCATAAAAACACAAGTCAATAGATAATGACCGTAAAATAGTGACAGCAGGAAAATCCGGACTATGAATGGCATACCTCTGACAGACACTGAAGAGTGAGATTCCTATACGCTGGCATATGGAAGAATTTAAGGAGTGTGTCCAGCTGCGAACAACGAGATCAGTAATAGGGTAACGTAATTGTGAGACTTGTTAAACCTCTCTTAGTCTATTTATTCCAAATATATTACCAAGGGTGACTCGAAAATATAGCCCAACGGAATCCAAGAAAGATAGGCATGCAATGCAGAGAGCGTTGCACGTATAAGCTCTGGTCTTTGGGAAGCTGAGAGAACATATAGGCATAGCTCCTGAATGAGTTCAAACTCGCTGCACATTAGAAAGCAGAATAAATTCGAAGGGTGTGGAAAAAATCATCAGTTGCAAATTATGGCAAGATATTTGTACAGTCTAACTTGCCTGTTTAGAGACTCTTTCAGCTCTTGTATCTTTTGTTGAGTCATCTCGCCTCTTGAGAAATCAAAAACCTCTTCACTTAGGAGCTAAGGAAAATAAGGAATGTTATTTAAGTACGTCACGGCCTTAATAATGTGAAAGCACTACAGCTTAGACGTACTTACTTTCAAAATAGCCATGCAATTCTCACAGATAGTTTCGCTAGTTTTAGCAGCATTAACTAGATCAGGAATAAAGCTTCTCCACTTTGCCGGCCACTCATGTTTCACGATCTGTATACGCATCACAAAAATATGTTTTTTCAAAGACTAAACAAAAATTTGTCAATCTTCAGCCGTGGCTTCGGAAAACCATAGCCAGAGAAAACATCACAAATAAATAGATAGTACACACACAACAAGGAGTCTATAAAGATACCTGAACCAGGATGACATTTAACTTGTTGACATAAAGCCTTTCCGATCTGAAAGATGCTTCATCCCTTGAAAGCTACACGGTAAATTCATCATCAAAATAATTCAGTTAGGCTAGAATCTTCGAAAGAAAAAAGAAAAAAAAACTAATGCCTCTCAAATATTTACCTGCACAATGACTTCAGAGATGTAATTTTTCATTCCATCACGTTGTTCAACGGGTAATGCATTCCATCTATATTTTATAACACCTTCTAGCACCTGAATGTGGAATCCATAAGAAACTTTCCCTAGCCTCAAAAAAATGAAATCTTATATGGAAATAGGATAAGCAAACTTACCTGAAGAGCAAAATATTTGGTATGCGTATTCTTGGCATTTTGTAGAATATGAACCACTTGAAGCCAAGTATCAGGATTAGCTTTCAAATCCCGTAGGATGTTATCCGCAGCAGCTCTCTGAAAGTTGTTGTCAGAGGAACATAATTATAAACGCAAATTACTTGAGCCTAATTACTGCTTTTTTTTTCCACAGTACAAGAACAATTACAAACAACCAAAGCCATAACAAAAGGACTAGCTCGTATCAGAAATATAAAGCCCTCAGATAGTCAGATTCCTAATTTGGAAAAAAGGCGAACGCCCAAATCGACGACAAGACGCATTAACAGTTTAAGACGAGAACGACATAATGGTGGATTTAGTGATTCATGGTTTAAACTTCTCCCAAGAGAAATAAACAATAGACTTACTTCTTCCTTAGATCCGGTAGCGTAAAAGGCCTCGACAGTAGCATCGAGTAAAGCAACGTCAATAGGCTGAGTCAAGTCCCTTAGCTTATCAGCAGACATGACAGAGAAGATGCGCAAATCCAAAGTAGAATCAAAAGAGAGAGTGGATAATGGAGGACGAGAGATGGGGGGAAAACCTTTTAGCTTTCAGGAGAGGGAAAACAAATTTGTAGAGAGAGGTTTTGCGGAGCGCATAGGAGGCAGTATAAATATTGAGAGGTTTTTGAAAGCAGCCTGAGATTGACGCAGGGACGGAGAGAAATTGGGATGACTTTTGATTTTCTCACTTTTTTTTTAACTAATTTGTCTTTTTTTGGTTGACCGGACAAGGGTTTCTAGTAAATACAATTTTTTTACTTTATAAGGAAATTTTTTATAATGGAATGCATTCATGTCAAATACTCAATATCAATATATTTCTACACTTTTGTGGGCATAAAAAAACAGATTATTTACAATATTTTAATAGATGACAAACCTCATGGTTAATGAAAAACACTAATTTATGATTTTCATTATTAGTTTTTATCTAATAATAGGTTTTTCATCAATTTCATAAATAACACTATTTTATGGTATTCATTATTAGATTTTATCCCTATATATAAAATATAGGGGTATTAATTGGGGTATATTTTTAATATTTGACATTAACAAGGAAAAAAAACTCATGGTTATTGTCCATATTTGGAATTTTTGAATACTTCATTACATTTATTAAATTTCTCTAATATTTAAAACAATTAATTTCTCTAAAATTTTAATTTAATATTTTTTAAAAAAAATAAAGGATTCTCTCGGGGATCCAGTTTTACCACTGTATGCAATGCAAGTAGAAATTTGTTTAGTAGTTACTACTATTACGAAAGAGAGAACTAGAAACTCAAATTCTCTGAATTTGCGTTTGTTATGGAAATATATTATTTCATTCTAATTCGAGCATATACAGAACTATATTCTGTACTAAGCTTTAAGCTAACCGGACAATTGAACCAGATAAACCAGAGTAAACCAATATACATGTGCCAATAGACAGAGAAACAAATCAACAATGATCCGATTAGAATTAATGATACATTTCTGAATCGTGAATAACTAACTATAGACGAAAAGGAAAGTACAGGGTCTTTTATGGAATGTAGTAATGCGGTCGATAATACAATCAACGATTTTCTTACACAAGTAGAACGATTTGCATGTTTTAAAACGTATTACAGTTTGATCTGGCAGTATTTGTTGACCTAGGAAGATTTCTTAAAAGTAATTAGTTTGGTATGATTTAAAACGTTGTAGTGTATTGATTATTATGTATATTAAAATACCACAAAGGCATAATCTATTAGATTTGAATCTTGTATTTTTGATTTTCACCTACAAAATGACAGTAAGAAAATGTTTTCAGTTGAATGGTATTCACTATTCACCAAAGCATCAAGGATCCAGGCCATAGCGAGTCAGTGGCCCATGAAACATCGATCAAACGATGCGTTTTGGTAAGTGTCTGTCTATCTATCGTATTTGTCCCTTGTTGTTTGGACTTTCGACATCGAAATCGAATACTCGAAAAAGGCTAGACTCCGAGGGAGAAATTGAGGAAGACCATGGCTTTGACGGTGGCGAAGAGTGCGTTGGAGGCGATTAGGGAGAAAGGTCTCGGCGGCTTCCTCAGAATGATCCGAGAAGAAGGATTCCTGTTAGTTCTTCTTCGTCTCTCTCATCAATCCTCTTGTCCTCTTCCCTACTTATTTTATTCTGGGATCTCCTTGGATTTGTTTTGTTTAGATCCCGTTAAAGTTTGTAATTGCCAAGATTTTTCGGGTTTTCAAGACATACTTTTGTTTTCTTTGAAGATTCTAGATGAACGCGCGTTTTTGTCTCTGCTTATCTGCCCATTCAGTTGTGTATCCGAGTGTCGCAGGTTGCTTGCAATGAATGTTTATCATTTATTCGGATTTTTTTCACCCATATGTTCAAATCTTCTTAATGAGAAATTGAAAATTAACACTGTGTTTTGATGAACATCAATTTTAGTGGGTGACGGTGATTTTTGAAATTTGGCTCAAATGTTTCTGGTTGCTTATAATTTTTTCTGAGGTTAAGCCATTTACTAATTGGGTCTTTCCATTTTTTCCCCCTCATTACAGGAGATGCCTACCAGATGGGAACCTCTTGTAAGTACCTATCCTTGACATTTAGACATTTGGTGCTTATTTTTTCACTTCTTTAGGGATTACGTATATGATTCAAGTGGTTGTTCAAGAATCCTTTATACCCCAAGCTCGTTGTCATTTTCTTATGTAGCCTTTCCTGTGCGAGCAAACATCATTCTTCAGACCTCACCAATTTTTGAGCTGTTTACTACTCTTTAACTCGAACTGCCGATTTTTGGCATAATTCTGTCAATTCCCTCATAGATGTAATGTAAAGTTGGTTCGGTGATCAATAAAGAAGAAGGATGTGTGTTGTTTTGGAAATGCTCAAGTTACATGTTTGAAGGAATTGACAAAGTTATGCCAGAAGGCATTTCGAGTCGAAGAGAATGAAGAGTTTTAAAATTGGTGAGGTCTGTTTCTCGATAGGGTTGAAACTAGTGTAATGAAATGTTCGCTCACACTGAAAAGGGCATAGATAAGAAAATGGCGAAGTTGGTGTAAAAAGTAGTCCTGAATGCTCCTAAAGCCAAAATTTACGTGCCTCTTAAAGATTTCAGTTTAATTTGGTTGTGTCATTCTTATAGGCTTTAGATAGTTGGTAAATTTCACTGCATTCACATCAATGTAGCGTACAAATCATTTATTTATGCTTGACATAATTAAATGGAGCTTGATTTAACATCTTAGTTTTGATACAGTGATATTATTATATAAACGTGAGATTTTTCAAATATTCAATCCGTGTATTGATTTTGTAAAACTTCTTTTATCAAGTAGTGTCATTTGATTTATAAATTCAGAGTATTGTTCTGCCATGATGGAGAATTATTACTATATCCAAAATTTGGTTTTGCTTAACATGAGGATATCCATCTTTTGTTCGTTGCTGATTCCGAATGTTAGTATGTCGTATAATATGGATGTTTGTTGTGTTTTACATATAATTACACCCTCTTTTATATTTGACCTTGCTACTGAGTAACACTTTCTGATCAATAAAAGTTTTTTTTGTCAATCTTTGATCATTCAAGGCAAACTAAAATACACAACATAGGAGCAACACTTGTTGGTGTCGACAAGTTCGGTAACAAATACTATCAGAAGTTGGGTGATACTCAATACGGTATGTGCATCTTTTTAATAACTTGATGTGTTGCCTATTTAAAATCATGCTTTTGCTAAATAATGATGCCGCTATAGGATTCATGATATCAGTTACTATCCTTTCTGCGAATGTTGGTCGTCCAAGAACTTTTTTATAATTTACTTCAGATGTCTTGTTAGTCTGAATTGTAGCTTTTGGTTTAACCATGTAATTTTTTGTCGAGCCAGCATATGTTATTTGCTATATCACACCATAATTTTAATTACTTAATTGAGTCAAGTAAGAGAAAACGAGCCTTTTAACCTAATCCACCAGAGATTTGATTAGGAAATGCCTAAGTTGTTATCGAGGCAAAATGAAACCCAATCTATATGATAGTTTTGAGGAAATTTGTGGTCAACTCCTCCCTTAAAGGATCTTATCTGTTGAAGATGTAGTGGTCAAACTTTAACTGTGTTTCTACAGAATGTTTAGGCAATGGGCTTTTTAATTTGAAGCATAGTCACTTGCTAACAGGTAGACACAGATGGGTAGAGTACGCATCGAAGGATCGTTACAACGCATCTCAAGTACCAGCTGAATGGCACGGATGGCTACATTTCATCACCGATCACACTGGAGATGAGGTATAATTAAAACCCATTTTAAAATCTGCTATCTCGACTCTCGACGAATTGGTAATAAGTTTGCTTCCTAGCCTGAAAAAAATCCATTGTCTCTCTGTGTTTCAAGCTTCTGAGTCAGAAACCAAAGAGGTATGGGATTGAGCATAAAGAGAACTTTTCTGGAGAAGGTGATGCATACATTTACCATTCTAAGGGACATACCTTGAACCCGGGGCAAAAGAACTGGACTCGTTACCAACCATGGGTACCCACCAAGACCAAGTAGGAAGATGAGCTTTGGTTGATGCTCTTTGAGAAGCTCTCTGAGTGATTTGCTGTTTTGTTTCTCTGTCTTTTTAATAAAAGCTGTTTGGGATCTAAAGCTGAACAATTGGGTTCTGCAGTTGTATAATTGATGCTTTTTCACCATTCTACTTAAGTTTCTTGTGTTTTTTATACCTCTGGAGAGCAGAGGAGAGTAGAGGATTCTTTAATTTTGTAAGAGTAATTCAACTTTATGAAATGACCTTGAATATCTAGTGTAGATTATATCAATTTATGTAAATTACAATGCTGAATGCTGATGAAAGCAACACAAGTAAATGGCAACTATCAGTAATCTCATAATTGAAACAATGATTATCAACTTTGATACAAGGGAGAATTGTGGTTTGACTTCACAAATATCTTCATATTGAGGTACATTGCAAAGATTAGAGGTTTTTTTTTTATATATAATAAAACTCACATATAGAAGTTGAAATTTAAAACAGGAAAATATCTTCCATCGATTTCTTAAATATAGCAGAATGATTTTTTTCTCCAAAACGGATTTTTTTTCATAAATACAAGCGGTACATGATACCTGGCTGTTTGTGATAATTTCTTTTCATCAGAAAAAAACATGTTTTAGTGGGAAAAAAAAATTAAAATGTTTCTTCTTCTTCTTTTGTCGTTTACGGTCAATTTGTTTGTCGTTGCTGTTTGTAATTTTCTCGGCAAGAAAATCCAAAACTGGAATTTGATTAAACAGAAATAGATCCAAATTCAGTATTCAATTTGCTTTTATTTACGCTAAAACACTATCAAGTCTATAGTATTTTTCTTATAATTGGAAAACAGTATCCTATTTAACCCCAAAAAAATTGAAAAACAGTATCCTAATTTGAAAGATCTACTATTTAAAGCTTGTTTCACTGTCCCGTTACAGTTATTATCACCCTGGCATGATTGTCCTCTCCCTTCCTCACATTTCTATCCTCTGCGAATTTGAAGCTCGTTGAGCTCAAAACCAAAGAAGTCAATCGTAGGAACCCACAGCGAGATCTTTATCTGTGGTCTCGTTGAACAGATCACACTCACGAATCTCGGGCTCCATATCAAGCTTCCGTAGCCATGGGGTTTGATTCCGAGAAGCAATCGATCTCTTCTGCTAAACAGGTTTCGCACTTCTTGTTACACATCCTCTTTTGGTATTTTGTTTCCCCTTCTTCATTCGATTTTGCTCGCGAGCTGGGTTTTGTTTGTTCGATTCTTCTCCCGGTCGATTTAAGGGCTCGAAAGAGTTTTGAATACAGTAGATAGGTTAGGGTTTGGCTTGATTTTTTTCTGAGTGGGAAGAGAAATGTGGATGTTTCTGTAACGTGTGGAACTTGCGAAATTGGGATTTCATTTTCAAACATGAAATTAAATCAAATTTTTAAACGATTTTGTTCAATTCCACAATCCCAACTCTGTCAAATCGGTATCAAGTCACTTAGTTACCTAATAATCGAAAATTTATATTGAAAATTTCTGAAATTATAGTCCTCTGTAGGTTGGTGATTCTTCTTCAGGTGGGATAAGCTCAGTGAAGGAACCTCTGATAAAGGAGAACCACAGCCCAGAAAACTTCTCTGTTCTTGCAGCCATTCCCCCGTGAGTTTTTCTCTCTGTCGTTTTCCCTTGTTTGGTAGTCATTAATACTAATTAATAAAACTGTGGTCCCAGAAAAGATTTTGATTTCTATTCACAGTTTATTGCCAATATTTCTGCCAAAAACTAGTGAGAAGCTGTTAGGTGTGAACATTACAGATTCGTCGAAAAGCATGCTAAGAAGTCATTTATTGCAGGTTTCTCTTTCCGGCTCTTGGAGCGTTGCTTTTTGGTTACGAAATTGGTGCAACATCTTGTGCAACCATCTCCATTAGGGTAATGGCTTTACCTTGTCTGAAACTGTGCATAGGTACTGGAGTTCTACTTAACCACCGTGTCTTCAGCTGCTGTTTTCAAGCTTGTATATCATGAAGCTGTGTACGTGGGACTAAGATATCCCACTTAAATGACGCTATTTCATTGTTTACACCTGCATTCTGCAGTGCCATTGTGTTCCCTTGAATTTCTCCTGCATAGTTGTTTGTTATGCATGTGTACTTGTTCAACTGTCTAAGCCGTTTACAATTCTGTTAATTACTCTGCTTTTCCTTCCTGTACAGTCGCCTACGCTAAGTGGAATTTCATGGTACAATTTGTCTCCAGTGGATGTTGGTATAATTGTGAGTCTATGATTCACCTTTCTTCGTTCTTGTTCATGTTGGTTACTGCATTCTTGTTTGTTACTGTCTCCTGCCTAGAGGAACTGTGGTCTTTCTTGTGGAAAGAACGTAATGTTCCTTACAGTATTTTTAAAATTTTGTGCAGACTAGTGGCTCACTTTACGGTGCCTTGATTGGATCCATTGTGGCTTTCAGTGTTGCCGACATTATAGGTTTTGTTTTTTCGAATTTCTTCATCTGGTTACGTAGCAGCGTCTCCATCTGAAAAAAGTTGAATTGTTGGATTGCTTTTTCAAGGAAGAAGAAAGGAGCTGATTTTGGCTGCATTCGTATATCTTGTTGGAGCCATTGTGACTGCAATAGCACCTGTCTTTTCTGTCCTGATAATTGGACGGCTTATGTATGGCATCGGAATTGGACTGGTAAGATGAATCGTGAATTTTTAGTGTCTTCCTGCTAAAACTTGTGTATGCCCGTGTGATCTTCCAGTTGCGGATTGCTTTTTACTGTTTAATCTACACGAATCAACTTTTACACAAAATAGCTACTTGGTAGAAATATGCTTATCTCTATTGCTCATCATGTGTCAATATCCGATGCATCCACATACAATACAACTACACATATATTGACTAACCTGGCAGTGTATGCATTCTTGAATACGTTGATTGGTTCGTGGAATTCGGGACAGCCTGAGATAGATTTCTTCGTCTGTATATTGGTCAAATTAAGATATTTTAACACCATGTATGAATCCATGCAGCTATGGATTACACTTTTTAGCACTTTTCTTAACTTGAAAGTTGTTATGTTCCCTTATATTTAGACAATGCACGCGGCTCCAATGTATATTGCGGAGACTGCTCCGAGTCAAATACGTGGACGGATGATATCACTAAAAGAATTCTCCACTGTCCTTGGGATGGTTGTAAGTTCTCGAATCTAAGGATTTGGAAATTTATCGCTGAGTTTGAAATTACAGAATTGATTCTCTCTGTAATGAAGCCTTTTTTTCCACCAAATTAATCTGACACATAGAATTTTGTGAAGGGAGGTTATGGAATCGGTAGCCTTTGGGTTACGGTTATTTCTGGTTGGCGTTACATGTACGCAACAATTGTCCCTTTGCCAGTTATTATGGGAATTGGCATGTGTTGGCTACCAGCATCTCCTAGGTGGCTCTTACTGCGCTCTCTCCAGGGAAAAGGGAATGTAGAGAACCTTCAACAGGCTGCAATCAGGTCTCTTCGCCGCCTTAGAGGGTCTGTCATAGTTGACTCAGCCGCTGAACAAGTAAATGAGATCTTGGCCGAACTTTCCTCTGCGGGTGAGGATAAAGAAGCTACACTTGGTGAATTATTTCAAGGCAAGTGCTTAAAAGCTCTCACTATAGCAGGAGGTTTAGTCTTGTTACAACAGGTTGGTGCAGTCAATTTATCAAAATGTCCTTAGGAAAAAGAACAATAGCTAAATACTGTATATAAATGTTTCCTTTTCATATGGCAGATAACCGGGCAACCAAGTGTACTTTATTATGCACCATCAATACTACAGGTTTTCTTTCATCTCTAATCCAGTTGTCTTTTTTTTTTTTTTTTCACTCGGAAGAAACTCGTGAGAAAATCTTAACTTCTTTGTTTTTACCACTAACATTACCTGTAGACTGCCGGCTTTTCTGCTGCGACTGATGCAACTCGGATCTCAATCCTGCTCGGTCTATTGAAGGTATTCATTTTCTTCCATCTGGTTGGGCTATGAAATATTGGAGGATTGATACGCTTTGCAGTAAATGTCTGGTACCAAGTTTTTATATGAAAGCTAAGAACATTTAAACCGTTTCATCCTTGTGAACTGAATTTTTCTGCAGCAAAGCTACTTGTATTTTTCCTTTCGAAGACTTGACGTGGTCCTTTGCTCTTGTAGTTGCTAATGACTGGAGTTGCTGTTATAGTTATTGACAAACTTGGAAGGAGACCTTTACTTCTTGGTGGTGTTAGTGGCATGGTCTGTCCTCTGACTTCTTCAGTCTTTCCTTTTCTTCTTGTCTTTTCGATTACATGAGACAGAAAACCTAAATAACTCGGAAATTTAGCCTCTTGTGTATCTTTAATTGTTTAACAGGTGGTTTCGTTGTTCCTCCTGGGATCCTACTACATCTTTTATAATACTGTACCAGCTGTTGCTGTAGTTGCATTGCTACTGTATGTGGGTTGTTACCAGGTTAAACCTTTTTACAGATTTTTTTCTGATCAAAGTTCATTTTTGGCTACGTTTAGTGTGATATTTTCTTGTGCGATCTTAAAGATCTGCCTTCAATCTTGCAGTTATCCTTTGGCCCTATTGGTTGGCTGATGATTTCAGAGATATTTCCCTTAAAATTAAGGGGTCGAGGAATCAGCATAGCAGTGCTTGTGAATTTCGGTACAAACGCTCTTGTGACATTCGCTTTCTCACCTCTAAAGGTAAAGATCCCGGAACCATGAAACAACTTTGCTGATTTGCTATATATATATATATATATATATATATCTTTAAATAGAACTCAGCTATAACTTTGGAAAAGCATGTTTAACTAGAGGTTCCCCATTTAGATCTCAGCTAACCAACTCGAAGATTGTTTCTGAGCTGATTACAGTGATCGTGCACTAGATAACACGCAAGAAAGCCTTATCAGTAATCCACTATTTCTGTTTAGGTGTTGCTGTGGATTTAACTGTGAACACATACATATATCTTGTTAGTTCCATAATATCTTCCGGTTTTTCCCCTGGGATCATCGACTTTGAGAGTTTTTAGCTCACCTTGGTATTTTTGCTGCAGGAGCTGTTAGGAGCTGGAGTATTGTTCAGTGGCTTTGGAGTGATATGTGTATTGTCTCTCTTCTTCATATACTTCATTGTTCCTGAGACAAAGGGTCTCACTCTTGAAGAAATTGAAGCCAAATGTCTCTAAAAGGATTCTCACCTTAGCTCCATTTTCTCTGCTGCTTCATTGTTTGAGGCTCTAGATGGCAAACGCAGGAACCGCAGGTGGCGTCGCTATTTACCGCGAAATTTTACGGTTTGGTTCAAAAAGAAGTGGGGCAGTGCAGCTCGCGGTAAAAGTTTAGTGCGTTGGACAACTTTTAAAATTCGAATGTTTATTAAAATGTAAGAAGAACGCACCTCACCCATTTATATGTTTATTCTATTGCAATTTTGTGTGTCCCTTCTATTTGTTCCATATAAGCTACACTTAATAAATTGTTAGGTAAGATGTAAGATTGAATTGTATTGACTATACGATGGAAATTTTTCTTAATTACTAACTACATTTTGCTTTTATTGTATTGGATATGATGGAAACTGGATTTCTTTTTTCTCAACATGAATGCATTCTTTTTCAGAACAAAACATGTAGCTAAGTGGTTTGTATTAGTGTTACCATCACAAGTCAAAATCCGCAAAAATGAATAAAGCTGACCGAAAAAAAAAATGCATATCCCCAATCAAGTAAAGAGTTACACCTATGATCTAAGTAGACGTTAGCCATATGGTGGAACCAGAGGGTGTGCATAATTTGCTCACCATCGCTCACAAACGGATCCGGGTTCAAGGTTTCGCAGCTACCGATTTCTATCATAAATACTCTGAGTTTTTGGATTTCGTACTCCCGTGTATTAGAGAAGGAAAGATAACATATGTTGAGGATATTGTCCAAGGTCTAGAGAACGGACCTTCTGTTTTGATTGGACTCTTCCACGGTAACAACGTGGGGAAACAACTTATTGCTGTTGCTCGCGAGTGAGTTAATTTTTATTATCAGCCAACGTGGTTATAATTTATTATCGTTAATTCTCTTTGTTTTAAGTTGTTGTCGGAATATTTGTTGTTTATTCGTTCGTTGAAGTCACTTGCATGCTTTTGTTTTTGTTTGTACTAGAGTGTAAATAATTTTGGATTGTGTTTTACTAATGTCTGTTTTGGGATTTTTCCTTTGCTGGGAGATTTCGAAGATCGATTAGACATCTATGTCAACAAAATAGGTTTAAATCCACGTTCGAAGGTAGACGACAACCTGAGACTAAACATAAATTAGCATTATATTTATTAAATTTAATAAAGTTTTATATTTTGTGGTTATAAACTTAGAATAATTTTCCCTCAAGGCCTCAACTATGGAGAAAATGAAGTTCTAATAAAAACGAATAACTGTTAAATCTTTTATCTTTGTATATAAAATACATGCATTTTTTGTTGTTAATTTTTTTTTCAACATAGTATTTGATAAAATAAATACCTGCCGACCATGTAATAAATGATGAAGTGTGGAAGGAAAATGTATTCATTGCAAAAGAAAAAAAAACAGTTATGCGAAACAATTGTGACGTCACTGATTATTATTACACGAAAGGGAAAACAGGAAAAGAAATATGGAAATACGAGAATCTTCTCGTTTTTCTTTCTTTTTCTTTTGGCGGTGTGGCTATGATGACACGATTCACAACAAAGCCCCCTATAAAAATGCAGACGCGTCCTCAACGTTCTTAAGAAAAAATCATCCTGTGCTATCAAAAAACCTAAACCAGATAAAAAAAATGGCGACCACAGGTGGCGAAGCGACAGCGACCAACAAGCAAGTCATACTGCGAGATTACGTCACCGGTTTCCCCAAGGAATCAGACCTCATCTTTAACGACACCACCGTCGATTTAAGGGTCCCGGCGGGATCCAAGAAGATTGTGGTGAAGAATCTCTTCTTGTCTTGCGATCCTTACATGCGCATTCGCATGGGCAAGCCCGATCCCACTGCTGCTCTCGCTCAAGCTTACAATCCCGGCGAGGTATTCTTTACATATTTGAAGCAGTTGTGGATTGGAAAAATTATTTTATTAAAATGCGGTAACGTTATTCTATTATTTTGACCAGTACGATGTCTCTTACAAAATCATTAAATATTTCCAATGCTAATTTTATGGCCAGTAATTTATTTTCCAATTTTGTGCCTGCTTTGATTTTCAATGTATAAATTTTTTTTTTTTTGTTGCAGCCAATCTATGGGTTTGGAGTGTCTGAAGTGATAGATTCTGGGCACCCAGATTACGAGAAGGGAGATTTAATTTGGGGAATAGTTGGATGGGAGGAGTACAGTGTTATAACTCCAAATCCTTCACATTTCAAGATCCAACACACCGATGTTCCGTTATCCTACTACACTGGGCTTCTCGGTATGTTATCAAGGCTTATCTTTTGGCTCATGCATGTAATTTTTCACTTGGTAATTTCAGAGAAAACAAAAACGTGAACTTGGATAGTGAGAAAGCCTCGCTTTACCATGCTTGATGTGCTTTTCCCTATGATTTTCGGCATTTAACATTGGTCATTATGGTCTGGTCTTGGGTTATAATGCATGCTTCATTGGCACAATCTTCCAATCATGTTGAATAACATTTTTCAACACGCTACAAGTTTCAATAGTTTACTAGTGCTCTTAAAAGCAATGCTCTGTTTCTGACAGGTATGGCCGGTATGACTGCCTATGCTGGGTTTTATGAAATCTGTTCTCCTAAGAAAGGAGAGACTGTCTTCGTGTCAGCTGCATCTGGTGCAGTTGGTCAGCTCGTGGGACAACTTGCAAAGATTATGGGCTGTTATGTCGTTGGAAGTGCCGGCAGTAATGAAAAGGTATTCAGACTTTTCTTGTACTCCATCTGTTGATCCGTTACGCAACATACGTATTTCGATTGGTTTCTTTCGTGTCATGTCTTTGTAAATTCTAACGAGAGAGTGACTTTACCGTCTTTGTTGAGTTTTGTTTTAGGTTGATCTTCTCAAGAATAAGTTTGGGTTTGACGAAGCTTTCAATTACAAAGAAGAGCAAGACCTTAATGCTGCCCTGAAGAGGTCAGTGACTACTTATTTTAATACCGATATCTAATAGCTTCATGTAAAGGAGATTTGACTCAAACCCTATGAGATATTTTTCTCACCAGGTGTTTTCGGGAAGGCATCGATATATACTTTGAGAATGTAGGAGGCAAAATGCTAGACGCAGTGCTCCTAAACATGAAGCTACAGGGTCGTATCGCGGTATGTGGAATGATCTCACAGTACAACCTCGAGGAGCAAGAAGGTGTACACAACCTAGCAACTGTCATCTACAAGCGGGTTCGGATGCAAGGTTTTGTGGTCTCTGATTACTTCGACAAATATTTCAAGTTTCTGGATTTTGTGATTCCTTATATTAGAGAAGGGAAGATCACTTATGTTGAAGATGTAGCCCAAGGACTCGAGAATGGTCCTTCTGCTTTGATTGGACTCTTCCATGGTAAGAACGTCGGCAAACAGCTCATCGCGGTGGCTCGTGAGTGAATAAGACGTTGAGATTTGTTTTTTGTTCGAGAGGAGTTATCACTTTGTGTTGTAGTTGTGTCGGAAGTTTAAGATACGTGCTTACATTTCGCTCTGTTTTTTTTTTTTTTTTTTTTTTTTTTGCAAATAAAGTCTTTTAGTTTATACATCTTTGCATTCCGACGACTGTTATGGTTTTTTGATTGGTAATTGGCCAGACCACAATTTTGATATTCCACAATTTTGAATCTAGAACTCAAATGTCGTTGTTCTGTTGTATATTTAATGACATATGAGTACTAATATTCTGTAACAATTCGTAGTTATTTTTTTATCCAAAAGTAATTATCGATCAGAATCAAAATATAGTAGCAAAATGTTACCTTTTCTTATGTATTTACCAAGGTAATCAGCAGCATTTAGCTAATCATCTCTTTAACATGAACGACCCGAGAACAACGATACCAATGGTCTTGGGGAATTGTAAATGGGCCTTTATTTTATTCAAAATGTGAGCTATGGTTTATAACTAAAGCCCAAGTAAAGGCGTCGTTGCTGGTTCGGCTAATCACAAACCACCACCCCTCTCGCTCTCTCTCTCTCTTCCCAGAGACTTGCTCTGATTATTTCGGTGTTGGAGGAAATGGCGTCGAATCTCCTGAAAGCTTTAATCCGATCGCAGATTCTTCCGTCGTCGAGGAGGAACTTTAGTGTGGCTACCACCCAGCTCGGCATTCCAACCGACGATCTAGTGGGCAATCACACCGCCAAATGGATGCAGGTACTTGGGGGGCGATTGTTGGTGTTCTATGGCCTTAGTTTTGTTTGCTCTTTACTATCCGCAATTAATCTGTCCCGATACTTTGATTCCTTTTCTAATTTGCGTTAATTACTCGGGAAATTACTCTTGTTGATCTCCCCTAGGGTTAGATCGTGTGATTTGGTATGTTTACGATTCGCTCATCTGGTATGACCTTAGTTTTGTTTGCTCTTTCCTATCCGCAATTACTCTGTCCCGAGACTTTGATTCCTTTTCTAATTTGCGTTAATTGCTCGGGAAATTACTCTCGTTGATCTCCCCTAGGGTTAGATCGTGTGATTTGGTATGTTTACGATTCGCTCATCTGGTATGGTAATCGATTCGTTTTTCTGAAACTCGTTACGGTTTCGAGGTTTCGTGAAACTATATTACTGGCATTAATTGGATTCGGGAAATCACAGGGAAGCTTGATTTTGGCTAATTGTCCTTAGTATAAGTCTGTATTCCCGATTCTCTTGATTAAGTGAAGTAAGTTTTCGATGTTAGATCAGGATTCATATTATCTATTTGAATCTTCTTACAAATTGTTTTGGATTTTGGAAATATTACTGCGTTTTCTTCTGCTCCCTGGGGAATCGTAGGGCTGCTATCGATGTGTTTATGCACTCTACGTATATATTTACATCCATAATCCAGTGATACAACATTAGCCAGAGGACTGAGAGTAGAATGGGAGTAGGCAATTAAGAGATAGCTTTAATGTGAGTAGAAAGTGTTCTCATGCTTCCTTGATTACGGTGTTACTATCTTTGATGGCTTATTGCTGGATTATCAGCTTGAAATTCTGGTGCAATCTGTGATATTCTATGCAATTGCGGATCTTATTCTGCAACTCTCAAGTCTAATAATTGAAAAGATAATTCAACGATTGCATGGCATTTTCCTTCTCCAATAGTTAAACCATCACTATCATTAGCTTAATACCTGACGGTCGTCGAACCATTTCCTTCCACTGATGAATTTTGTGAGGTTGAAAATTGCCCCGTGTTAGTTTACAATTAGTTTTACTTTGTTAGTCAACAGATTCATTTGAGTACTCGTTTATGTTGGCACTTCTCTTTACTACCAGGAGTTTTTGTTTGTGTCAACTTGACAAAAAGGCAGATCAAATTGCTCTGGTTAGTTGAATGCACCCGTGCCATAGGGGTTTCTTGTGGGTTCTTGCAACGAAATTGTTCATCACATACTATTCCTAGTTAAAGATGGCACCTCTGCTCTCAAAGAAAACTGATTCATTTTAGGGAATTTTAGCTTTCTGGTGATTATGCCAAATTTCAGTAGTTCTTTCTGGTAAACTATAAAGTTTGCGTCACACATATTTTCTTTGGCCGCTTTCCTGGTAATCTTTCATAACGTGGTTAAGGATCTTATCTGTACAGGATAGAAGCAAGAAGTCACCAATGGAACTGATCAATGAGGTTCCACCAATCAAAGTTGATGGAAGGATTGCTGCTTGTGAAGGAGGTTTGTCTCCTCTTCTCATCAGTGGCTTCAGATATTTGATTTAGTGATTTTGCCAAACTGGAGATTGATTTATAAATCAACTTTGCTATAACTTGCAGACACCAATCCGGCCCTCGGTCATCCGATTGAATTCATATGCCTCGACCTAGACGAGCCTGCGATCTGTAAGTACTGTGGCCTTCGTTATGTTCAAGATCATCATCACTAAGACAAATATGAAAGTAAGATCTCTGGTGTCTATCTCCCCTTTCTCTATTGTATTTTCAAGTTTGTTTATCGCTTTTGTGATGCTCTGGCAATTTCATATGTAATAAAGGATTTGATCAAAGTCGGGTAAGTGTGATTTTGTTTGATCTCACTTCCACTCGCGTCAGGTAGCAACATTCAATATCTGATATCTGTGTCTTTTCCATGCCGCTCAAAAAAGGCTTGGGGATTGCTAAAGCCAGTGTTGATTATTGACTCTCTTTTTCTTAACTCGTAACGACCATTTTTGCCACCAAGATTTAATATGATTTTTAGTTTACAAAAATGAGTTTAGTTTACAAGATTTTTTCACAACTTTTTAAAGTTTATTAATGGGGTTGTGAGCAGTCTACATAATGTCAATTGTAAATTAAACGTTGAGCTGTTAAGTCTCGAAAAAAAATAATCAATTAACAAACCAAAGCGTCAAACCATTCGAGAAATTATGAGCCCAATAACAGATTTTACTAGGCTTACTACGAGGATGATATCGGGTCCATAAAGCCCACTATTATGGCCTAAAGTAAATATCAAATCGGAGAAATTATGAGAATGAATCATTATAGGCCACTAAAAGGCCGTTAAAGGGCCAATGATCGGCCGTTAATGGACCAATGATGGGTCTCTAATAGGCCGTGATAAGGCCAAGATGGGCCTCAAGTAGGCCGTTAATGGGCCTCTAATAGCCCAATAATGGGCCTTTAATCGGCCGTTAATGAGCCTCTAATAGGCCGTTGATGGGCCTCAAATAGACGTTAATGGGCCAACGATGGGCCTCTAATACGCCGTTAATGGGCCAACGATATGCCGTTAATGGGCCAACGATGGGTCGTTAATGAGCCAATGAGCGACCGTTAATGGACCAATGATGGGCCTCTAATAGGGCCAATCAGTAGGTCATTAATGGGCCTCTATTAGACCATGATGGGCCGGTTACGGTCATTAATGGGTCTTTAATAGGCTGTTGATGGGTCTCTTATAGGCCGTTAATGGGTCGCTTATGGGCCTATGATGTACCGTTAATGGGCCCACGATGTGCCGTTAATGGGCCATTGATCGGTCGTTAATGGACCAATGATGGGCCTTTAATACGCCGTTAAGGGGTCATCGATGGGCCTCTAATAGACGTTAATGGGCCTTTAACTGGCCGTTAATGGGCCAATAATGGGCCTCTAATAGGTCGTTAGTAGGCGTCTTATGGGCCTCTAATGGACCAACGATGGGCCTTTAATGGGTCAATGATGGGCCTTTTATAGGTCGTTAATGGGTCTTTAATGGGCCGATTATGGGTCTCCAGTAATGGGCCGATTATGGGTCTTTAATGGGCCGATTATGGGTCTCCATTAAGCCGTTAATGGGCCTTTGATGGTCGTAAATGGGCTAAAGATGGGCCTCTAATAGGCCATTGATTGGGCCTATGATATGCCTCTAATCGCCGTTAATGGGCTTATTATGGATATCTAATAGGCTTAATGAGAGGTTAATATTGGGCTAACTAAAGCCCAGCAGCAAACTCAATCGGGGTACTGAGAAGCCCAATAACAGACTTTATAAGGCTTTACAAAGGGGATGATATTGGGCCCTCTAAAGCCCACTATTATGGCCTTTGGAAAACAGAATGCACGTGACGATTTTTTTTTAATCTCGGCAACAAACCCAATCAGGAAACTTTGAGCCCAGTAACAGACCCTGTAAAAAACCCAATCGGAAAATTTTGAGTCCAATAACAAACTTTACTTGGCTTACCACGAGGATAATATCGGGTCCATGATGGCTTGAAGCAAAAAACCAATCGGGAAATTATGAGCCCAACTTGGTTACCTTAAATATAAATCTCATTTTCAGTCGGTTCCAGTCAGTTTTCTTCTCTGCTGATGCTCTGCCACTTTGTAATCCACAACCTCTCTGAAGAGCATGGAGTCCAACACACAGTCCTCACTTCCATAAACAGCTGCCTGAACACTCGCCATCAGTTTCGCAATCTCTCTACCTGAAAACCCTTCGGTTTTTGCAGCCGCTTCCTTTAAGAGCTCTTCGGTAATTCCCTTTATCTCGATCTTCTGCTGCTCTTTCTTGAAGAGGCGGTGGAACAAACCTGGCTTTCTTGGACCAGCCTGAGCTATGTACTTTTCTAGATAGAGGTTTAGAAGCTTGAACCGCTCTTCTTCTCCCGGTAAGGGAAATTCAAGAACCTCATCGACACGGTCAGCCACAGCTGAGTCTAGGTCACCAGGTCGATTTGTGGCAAGTGCTAAGACTATGTCTTTGGACTGATCACCCGTACGGAAGAGAAGAGCATTTAGTGCACTCCTTTGTGCTTCGCTCATGTATGTTTTGTTTCTCCTGTTAAATTGCGATGAACACATCAAAACAATAGACAAAGTGTTAAAATGATCAGCTTGTAAAATAATAACACTTACTCGCACAAAAATGCGTCGGCTTCATCAATGAAGAGCAATAAGCCTCTCTTAGATTTTTTCCCCCAATCAAACAGTTGGTGAATCTTTGTAACAGCCTGAGATCCAAGGGGAGCAACATCTCCACCAGTCATCAGCGCATAATCCAAACCCTAGAAGAATTACAAATGTTAGAATAACAAAAAAGTAATGAAGTAACAAAATCCGAGAAGAACATGAACAACCTAGAACTAAAAAATTATGAGTTCAACCTTCAGATGCAATCATGGAAAATGCAGCAACCACCAATTTCTGTTATAGTGTCTAAACTCTATGTGCTAGAGATTCCAATGTCCATTCGGATGTCTCATATAATTAATTTTACAATAACTGAAACCTATATGGAAAGCATACTTACAGATTTACGAGCCAGCTCTCTGGCAGCCATTGTTTTCCCTGTTCCTGGAGGACCGTAGAAAAGCATATTACGGAAAGGAGCCTGGTGGGATTTTGTGTTGGCGGTTGCATTGGCTAGCTGTTCAATTCTCTTTTGTAGGGAAGGATGCAAAATAACATCACCAAACCCTTTTCCATTTTTGGTAGCTGACTCCTTCCCGCGTAATGTGGACATTGCACGAGAAAGCGAACCAGACCAAGGGTACTTGCCCCTTGATGATTCTCGGATTAAGGATGGTTGTCCTAATATTCTGTCCACATAGCTCCAGATAACCTTTGCACCTTCTCTGCAACAAGCAATTTAGCAGTCAGCAAAGACAATATTTCTATATTGCAGAACAATGGACTGACAGGCAAACTAAGAAAAATAATCAAGAACTGTAAAACGAGAATTTTCTTAGCTACTTCCTCAACGTTTGAGCAACAAGAACTCCTGATCATAGCAAACAATTTCTCAACCTACAGACAATATAGTGTTTACCTCGTTGTGTAGATTCCAGCTGCAAGAGCGGTGGCACCGCCAACGGCAACAATCAGTTTATTTTGATCCGTTAGAATTGCACGCAACCCGCCTAGGAAAAAAGAGTAAAGTGTCAAACACCTGTTCAAACATTTAGAACTTCCATATGTCAATGTAATGTACAGATTAGGTCCCACATCTATATCAATCACTAATTCATGGCACACGAGCATTTTCATTGAAAATGGATGATATCTACTTATGCATCAATGTCTGCACACTGCAGGGATTCCAGGTCTAAGCAACAGAGACACCATGTATGGAATTGAATCTCACACCTCCAATATGGTCGAATGTAGTGTTTATAGCAGCAACCCATTTCTCTCTTTCTGCATTTGCACGATCAACAAGCATCCTCCTGTTTACATCTTCAGCGAGCCTTGCTTCATGGGCTCTTCCTTCCGCTTCTGCTATAGCTTTGACCCTGATTGTCTCACGTTCAATCTCAGCCTTCTCCCTCTCAGTTTGTCGCCTCTGAGCCTGGATCTGTTCCTCTGTAGCTCGTCGAGCTTGCTCCTGCCTGATTGCCGAATCTTCTTGCATTTTCACAAGTTCTTGATTTCTTGTTCTATGAAACTCATTCTCAGCCTGTAAAACGATATACACAACAAAAGCTGTTATAACGAAGAAAAGAAACTTTAGATATTGTAAAACTGTAGGGAAAGTTGCATGCCTGCATCCTCTTTCTTGCCAAATCATCTTCATAACGGGCCATCTGCGATTTTGTCTGTGCTTGGTGCTGAGAAAGTTTTTTCTGTTCATCATATATTACCTTTTGCCTCTCCTGTAAAATGGAAAATATCAGGCACACAACTTTGCTGCCAAGAAATATCTAAGCCGAATAATAAACGATGCAGAGGAAGTGTCTCAAGTGATCACTAATGGCTGTAGTGGTGGAAGCAGGATACTATTCTCGACTTTACTAAGATAACTGCATAAACTTTACGCAGCATTTGCCTACTCATTTCTATTAGGTAGCCATAGTTGTAACACCACAGACTCATATAAACATGCCAACCATCAAAATATCGGATAATAAGCTTTAAAGTTAGTAGATCTCACCGTTTCAGATTGGGCTTGCATAGCTTTAAACTCTTGCGCCTTGGCTGCAAACTCAGTTTGCTTTGTCTCTTCTTGCTGCTTTATACTTTCAAAAACCTGAAAGAAACCAACACACACACCAACTGTGAGCCTAAAACACAGAAAAAGAACAATTCTGAGATCTGACAGAGAGATCTACTATATGAAACTTCTAACCTAGAAAGAATGCTTTTATCAGCTTCCACTCTCCTAAATCGTTGCATGATTCGATTGGTTCAGAAAAGATCAAAACAGAAAATCCCAAACTACACAGAGAAGGCAAAGACCTTTTTCGCATAAGAGGAATTGTTGATTTCCTTCAAGGCCTTAGCTCCTCGCTCCAGCGCCTCCGGATCGAAACCACCGGAACTCGTCCTCGGATTATCATTCCGAGGCCGCGGAAGAGCAGAAGATTCTTTACCAGCAGTCGACGGAGTTTGCGACGACGGAGAAGAAGAAGCAGTCTGATGCTGAGGATTCGCAGAAGGCGGAGGAGAATTAGAGAGTCCAGAGAAAGTGAAAGGACCATCTGCAGCAGCGACTTTCGATTGCGCAAGAGAAGCTGAAGCTGCTAGGGCTGAAATTAAACCAATCGCACATTTCTGAGCCATGCTTCCTGCGGAGGAGACTTAGGGTTCTTCCGGAATCGAGAATGCTGTAAGATAAATAGATTTATGTAGACGAGATTGGCTTGGAGAAGAAGAAATTCGAAGCCGAGATATTTGTTGCCATCGGAGAGAAGGCCCGTTTCTCAGTCTCATTTGGTAGGGTTTCGGCGGGACAATAATAAAATAGCTTTTATGTGTGTTTGGGCTCGTTTACTAGTTTCACGTTTCGGGTCGATTTCTTGATATTTAACCCGACCCGTCTGCTCCTATTAAATTAAATGAACGAATTAAGAAAAAAACCGATACGAAAAGTAAAATATAATATTATTGATTAACAGTAGCACATAAATAGTTCCATCAAAAGATTACAAAATTTAAAAAGACAGAAAAAATGTCCTTTTCCAGCAAAACAAAAAAAATAAAAGAAATGACAACGAGCGAAGTTCTTGACTTGCTCTATGTCAACTATACTTTGTGTTCTTGGCCAATCTGTCCGTCTCCAGCTTTTAAATCCTATCAGTCGCTGGCAAGACTTACATCTTTGGACAGATGTAATAATCTTATAAAGAAATGTAAACAATACATATATGTTAAGATTTGATATCCCAAGATTATATTCAGAAAGCAAACCTATAATCATGGGAATGTGAAAGATCCTCCAATTTGAGTAGAACCAGCAGGTGGATTAATGGCGACCCAAAGCAGAGAAATGGTGATAGCAACAAGTCCAGACCAAACATAAACAATGGTCGGAGTCCTTCCTCTTCTTCCCATAAGCCCTTTAGCAAAAGGATAAAGATGAGCCAAAACCCAGAAACTGAAGAACACTCCTCCAATCAGCTTACTCCACTGCGGAATCACACTGTAAATCGTCCTGCTAAACCCGACCGCGATCGCGATTAGATTCACCATCATGATTGTGATGGGTGGGATCATAAGCGATGTCCATTTCACAAGGTAGAGATCCGCGAACTCGTCGTCTATATCGTCTCCTCCGGATTTAGATGTCAACGTGAATGAGATTTCGATTCCGGCGACCACTTTGAGCAATCCTTGGATAACCGCGGCAAAATGAGCGCTTGTTCCTCCAATGAGCCAGAACTGCTCGTTTCGCCACCATTCCTCGAGTGAGATTCCTGACCACTTGATCTCAAGGATAGCGAGTAAGCAGAGTGTAATGGAGATGATCAAGAGGTAGATGAGGAATGTGACATTGAGTGTTTGGACTATGAATTGGCCTGAGAAGAGTGAGAGCGCAGGGAGGAAGCAGTAGACGATGAGGAAGATCGATGTGAACGGGTAGATTCCAACGTTTAGGTAAGCGATTCTCTGGAGGATTTTCATCCTCGGGCTAGCGAGAAAAGCGTTGTTTCTTGAGAAGAAGATCTCCACCGAGCCAGTAGCCCACCTGAGAACCTGATGCAGCCTATCCGTCAAGTTGATCGGCGCAGTGCCACGGAAAGCGTCCCGTTTCGTCACACAGTAAACCGATTTCCAGCCTCGGTTATGCATTCTATAACCCGTGACCACATCTTCCGTGACAGAACCATAAATCCAACCAATCCGAGATCCCCACTCGGTTTTATCCTCGTACCAACAAGAGATAACGGCTATGGCTTCTGCCACGGTCGATGCATCGAGAAGCTCGCGAGGAATGGTGAGAGCGCCGGGAGGACGTCCGTTTTGCACAGCCGGGTGATCCGCAAGAGGACGACCTTGGAACTCAGCGACCGGGATTGAATCGATAAGGAAAGTTGAGTTTCCGAATTTCTTGGGAACCAAGGAAAGATTCATCTCTTCATCATCATCCGAGTCACCACCCATTCTCAAAGATCGGTTTTCTTCCGGTACACGAGTTTTCTTCTTCTTGCGAGGGAAGCAGCAACTGCAGCATCCGGGATGGTGTTCTTTAGCCCGAGGCGGATCGAATCCGTACAATGCGATTCTTCTAAAGAGACAACCCGTTCCGACATAAACCGGACCCATCAAACCATCAAGAGCTCTCATGTTCACATCAAAGAAGACAGTGTTGTGATTCGCATACCGATCTGATGGGTCAATACCTTCAAACCGTTGCGGGAACTGAACGTAGCAAAGCCGGTCACCGCCTCGGTCCATCATGAAACACATTCCTTCTCTTAAAGCCTGAGAGTTGTATATGTAATGATCACAGTCAAGATTCAATATGAATGGACCGTTGGACATGATTGCAGAAGCTCGGACCAGTGCATTCATGGCTCCTGCTTTCTTGTTATGATCATAACCCGGACGCTTCTCACGCGAAACATAGACAAGAAGTGGAAGACGAATGTCGACGTCTGTAAGATCTAAGAACCCTTCAGATACTCCATGTAATGGCTCATCACTCGGCGGCTTTAACATCACCTACATTTTATTCAAAATTTCGAAAAAAATATTGATATATTAGCACAGAAACTGAAAATTCAAACCAAAATTCTTTAACCTCACGCAACCAAAAAATTTGCCAAACCAATTTGAACCAAACTCCGGTTCCCAATTCAGCTATAGACGAACTGAATGGCTCCAAACAAAAAAAACATGAAATAACCGAAGTGAACCGAAATGTACCTGGATGATACCGGCATGGTCACTACGGGAGTGATCAGGAGCAGAATTTATCCAAGTTCCAGGCCAGTGAGTACCATCAGCCATCCATGTAGCTTTAGGAATCTTGACTGGCTCTAAAATCTCTTCGTCTCTGTTTTGTCTCTGCTGCTTCATGGCCTTAATCTCTTCCCTCGCGTGATAAGCATCAGAACGGCGCCTGATCGAGTCAGGCAAGCTGTTAATCCTAACTTTGAACTCATCATACTCACGCTTCACCCGTCTCCGATCCTTAACGAAATCAGGCTTCACCTTGTTCTTGTAAGGATCTCTTTTCAGACTAAAGTATGAGTCCGGATTCCTCGGCTCGATAACGTGTTTACGACAGAAAGGAACCCATATGTTTGCAAAACTCGCTGCTTCAGCCATGGCTTCAAATGTCAAAAGCGCTCCTCCATCATCTGAGACGTAGCAAGCAAGCTTTTCGACAGGGTAGTCAGCAGCGAGAATCGATAAAATGGTGTTGGAAGTTACAAGAGGAGGTTCTTTCTCCGGATCTGCTGTAGATACAAACATATCGAGTCCCGGAAGATCAGATTTCCCGGTTGGGTTGCTCGGTGTAGGCGTTTCAAATTTTTCTTTAAGAACATTGAGATCTGTAGCTCGGTTAATCGGGCACAGCTTTGGAAGCTGATCAAGAAGCCAAGAAAAGGCGAACCAAAGCTCACAAACCACAGACATTCCCCATAGCCATATTGCATCTTGGTTTTTGTGATTAATCCTCCACATCAAGAACAGCGCAAGAACAACGATCCGGATAAATATTAAAAGCCTGCACAAGAAAATCAAATGCGTCAGTGAAAGTTTTGAACAAATGGAAATATCGTAGTAAAGAACAAATCAATTTCACCTGTAAGGACTAATAACAGCTGCAGGAATCTGCAGTTTCCGAGTAAGTGGTCTCCATGGTCTGCTCATCAGATCCTGTGGCCCCATACCGTGGCCATTTCCGTCCTTTTCACTCCCAAAATTCCCGTCCTTAGTCCAGAAAGCATTCCCGTAACCATAAGTACCGCTGGTTTCAAACAACCACCGATTATGATCAAAATCCCCGGTTTGACTCCTCATCAAACCGGACTTGGTCGACTTCATCAATGACAATCTTCTCTCCATCTTTGAGCCACCCGATGGTGGAGGAAGCATAGGCCGTTGCTGCGTCCCCTTGTTGTTGTTGTTATCAGCCAAATCCGTCAAATCAGTGTTCCTGTAAGGCTCCTTACACCCAGGGCATATACCACCGCCGGTTTTGACAGCATCCACAAAGCAATCCCTACAGATTTTGAAATCACATTCACAAGGAAGAAGATCTTGACCTCTCTCATCAGTCATCACCTTCACATCGCAACCAGGGATCGCGCAAGACGAGCCTTTCGCACCAGCCATCTGCGGATGGTTGGTCTCCGACTCAATAACTTTGTCCATGAGATGAGCCCGAGTCACACTGTTGAAACCTCCTGTGAACAAGGAGCTCGACACGTACTGCTCCTCAACCTTTTGAGAGATGGAAGGATCCATGGGCTGGTTATCTGGAGTTGGTGGAATGTGAACCGTATAGTTTGTAAAGTCAACACTTCCCAGCTCGCTCTCGAGATCATCTCTTGAGTAATTGACATAGCGACCAGAGGTTGTCCTCCGGGCAAATGTCACAGAAGGAGGCACAGCTTGCTGGTGCCTACCGGCGGCTTCAGCAGCATCAGAGTTTGTTGATAGATTGGATCGACTGTGTGTGAAATGGTTATTAGACGCCATTGTCTAATAATATCCACCGGACTTGTAGCCGGCAGATCCCTGAGAGAAATCCAAAAGTAATAATGCTCAAATTTTCAAGTCAATGTGTTATAAATCACACAATTTTCAGAAGATTATTAACTCGGAAATAATAACCAGTAGATCTAAGCTTGAACAAAAACGAATCTCATCATAATCTCCTGTAAAAAACATCAAAAAGGCAGTGATCATTGTTTCATAAGCCCACCAAAAGAGGAGAAAGCTTAAATCTGAGGCTAAAGAGGGAAATCTAAATAAGTAGCTCAATTTCAAACTCTCAAATTTCTAAAACCTTATTTTCCCAAATTTATTTCCGCATAAAAATCAAAATCAGATAAATCAAACTCGAAGCTTTCACATTCAAAGTCAAGAATGTTGTACCTGAGAGTCTGTAACAAAGGTTAAGCTTCAGATCTTCACCCGATATATATTTGGCAGAAGAAGAAAACGCTTTCTTAGTTTTGAGAAATCTTCTCTCAAGGAATCAAATGTGGTCGTGTTGCCCAAACTGGTTATGGGCATTTGAGAGAGAGGGAGAGAGAAAGAAGAAGAAGAGACGAGGAAGGGACTTAGTCGTGACCAAATACATCAGCACTACTACTGTTTTACTAATACACGTTATGATGGCAGCGATAACCCCATTTTTTTATTCAGAGATCTTACAGAAATTAAAATATATAAAAATTGGAGAAGAGAGATGAGAATGAAAGACGATCCAAAGATCTCTCAGCTCTAAGACTTTCTGACTGAAATAGTAAGGTTTCGAGGCCGTATTAACAGTGACGAAGTCTGTCAAAACACCGGCGAGAGAAGAAACCGGCGGAGATTGTGATTTTTTTTTTTATACCTTTTGGTGTTCTTTTTGAGTTGAGGTTTTCGGACAAGGTTGAGAGAATTAAGAAAATGTTTTATTTGTTTATTTTATTTTCCATTATAACGCGTTCGATTAATTTTTTTTTAGGACATTTTGGGAAATTCACAAGAAACGAACGCGTAACTTTGGATACAAAATTACATATTTGTTTTAGGTTGATGTAACGTGTGTTTGTAGACACAGTCCGTCAAAAACGTCAATCACGCATGTGTTATGGGGAGGAGCAAGTAAACACCAATAATGATCTTTTAAGAAAACTCAAACAAAACAAAAAACAGAAGGAAAATTGAACCCACTAAACGACTTGTTCTTACCAACATGTAAACAAAGTCAAACATCACGCGGTTATCTCTCAGTTCAATTGTACCGCATCTACAAAAACCCGAACAAAAGATAACCGAAGCTTTCTTCTTCAGAAAACATAAGTCAAAGGATTGTGGGATTGGATTGCCAACAAAGTTGAACGCAAGTCAAATTCCGAGTTTTCTTCTTCAGAGACAGAGACTACATTGTCTGGTCCACTTCTTGACTAAGTAATCACTCATCAGGACCCGGACATTGCAACTATATGAGTTGTTGTACTCTTCTATCATCTCCAAGTAGGTGAAGGAAAGCAGATTTGGAGTATCAAAACAAATGCTCTTTGGATTTCGATAGGACCTGGAGCCGAAGACGCTCAAAACTAGCTTTCTGAGGGTTGCACTTGACACGGTTACATCCAAATTCGCCCGTTCCATATTAGCAATTTGTAAATCCTCGAGCACAGGGAAACAAAGAAGAAGGTCCTCAATCTTGTCGTCGAAGAAATCCTCTCCGCGTAAATACGAAGACTTTTGAGCATTGGAAAGAAAGCGTCTATACAGCCCCACCAATGAACATCATAGACGCTTGTCACTTTCAGCTTCACTAGTGTACTACTGACGAACAACTCGGAAGGAAGAGTATAATAGTAATAATAGGGGAAATCGATGGAAAGATCAAGCTCCGAAACACCACGCTGCAGCGCTTTAACTATCCAACTATCTACACGATCAGAATCAACGCCTTCTCTGCACTTGAGGGAGAACTTGGTGATGGGAGAATCACCCTGCAAATCCAATACGCGATCAACGAAATCCATGAAGCTCTCCAGAACTCCGTCTCTTTCCCGCTTACCATCTTCCGGATGAAGAAAGACTGAGTCATCAATGTCGAGATTGGGGACAAATGCTACAAGATTGCGCCACCTCTTTGAGAGAATCGATGTCGAAGCAGCCTCCTTTGTGGTAAGCAAGGACAGTATATGAGTAAGAATTTCGTCCGGTAGACTGCTCAAGGGATCCATCTTCTCTGCAGCAACAAGAGCCAAATGAGTTCGGGACTGGGAGTGTGAAAGATACTAAAAAATTAGGGCGTCCCCTTCGAGAGAGAGAAAGAGAGAGAAAAAGGTATTTTTGGGATATTCCGTTTATAAAATGACATTTTTTCCTTCTTTTCTGCGTAATATAACGCGTGTTTTTGTAAACAGAACGAATGAATACAAAATATATGTATACAGCCAGCCAGATAGCGGTGACATTAACATTCGTATATTCCTATTTCGAACCCATACTAAAAAAATTAAACAACTTGGTCCAACCAACAATATGTAAACAAAAAAGTCTCATAATATATAGTATTATTTCCTAACCCCAAATCAAAAGGACAAATCGGGAAACAAACATAAGGAAAATTGAATTCGGCCTTTAAGATAAGACACGAGTCAAAGGATTGGAGACTGTGGAATTGGGTTGCCAGCAATCGCATCTGCATATACTCCTACTTCCTTTCACCATTCGCTGCGACCTCCTCGTGTGAAGCTTCATGCTCACCACTTTTCCTGCTATCTACAATTTGCAACAACATCATAAATTTCTTAGATAGGCTAATGCGTGAGTGATCATGCACACCAACGAGTCAGTGATCAAATGCACGAAATACTGAATCAAATAGGCTTATGCGTAATTCACTGTCTTGAAATCAACCAAAAACAATCAGAAAGCTCGGGGAAGAAAACCTTTAATTATGAGTGCTTTAGAGATTAGTCATAGAAACAAGGTATAAAGTGGAGGTAGCTATATACCATTCTCCATGTCAAGTCCTCTGGACCTAAAGGCTGAGCAGGGCTGGAATATAGGAAATGCCGCGAGTACTGCAAACAAAATGTTAACAAGCCCTTGTTTTATTCTGGGAAATTATGAAACCAGGTTCCAAACATTTCTTAGAATTAAATTCTGGTGAAGGTACAGTAAAGTAATTACTTACTTTAGCTACATTCTTCTGTAATCCTTTGATGTGGGAGGGACTAAGGCTTCTCAGATGATTCACAAGCCACCCAGGCTGGGTAGCATCACCAGAAGAAACAATCACAGCAATCTGAGAGAGAAATAAAAAGGAGAGATGAGAATAGAGTTTATAGAAACTCTTGTTTCTCATATACACAAATTCAGAAACAATTTGATCAAACTTCACAGCATCTAAATCTCACAAACACCAGTATGAAGTGAAACTGAAACACAGAAGCGACTTTGATGTGACAGGAATCAAAACTAATTACACCAAAAATTTTCACAATAATACTTAGGAGTCATCATTATTTGTTTTCCTGTTTTCAAGGAACGAATGTATGTTCTAGACTGCTCTCGATGGTGGTAAAAGAAATAGGCAAAAAAAAAAAAATGATGACTCCCAAGTATTATGGTGCAACTAACATTGATATCATCAGTCGATGTACCAGTTCAGACGCACCTTCCTGTAGTCAAGCAGTCCTTCAAAAGGTAACTCCAACTCATCGCTAACTACAACTGGTATGCATCCACTGACGATGGCATCAAACAGCCTCGCAGAGGATGGTGTGTCACCAGCAGGACACAGACAAAACAACGATCTGATGGAAGATACACATAGTTATAAGAAGATAAGAGGAACAATATGTACCACAGAAATTATCATAAACATCTCAGATTTTACCTGCGCATGCCCTTTTGAGCAGCCAATTTCCCTTCATCTCCAGCAGTGCCCTCTGTAATGATCACATCTTTAGCACTGCTTAACTCTGCACCGAGTTTGGCACGCACTTTCCCTCCCTACAAAAAAAAAATTTAGGACTCAATCTGTGAGACAGAGATTACATTGTCATCATACAAGTAGTTAAGGATAACTAAGAATACAACTCAGTTTCCTCGTTTAACAAAGTACTCCTACTAGAATGGGATAACAAATTTGTCACAGCATGTAAAAGGAAGATCACATGAATGGTATTAAGTATTAACAAAGCGACTCCTAATTTTAAAGCATAATTCTATCTAACGAAATGAAGAGGACTCAATATAGAGTTTACGAATTATTCTAAGAAAAAGGAATAGAGTTGGAGATAGCATGAATCATACAGCGTTCCGCTTAAGTCGGCCTCGGAAGAAAAGAAGAGTGGTCCTCTTTGGTGAATTCTCTGACAGGCACTTGGCATCGCAAAGATCCACATTGGGGACATAAGGAAGAATTAGGTCTTTCTCCAGCGAAACTTGCCCGGGCTTATACCTACAGTGTCGAATTTAACAGAAAAGCATTAAAGTATAGATAAAAACAACATTTTCTATGACTCATAAACTATGGAAGGAAATCTATAATTACCAGTTCCCAGTGGAGTCCAGATCTGGCAAAAGCCAGATTGCGTTTTTCACAAATTTGCGGACAGACTTGAAAGACCAGGGATGGTGAATAGGAAATACGTGATCCCTTCCCTCAGATCTTTTCCATGCAGGCTGATCAGTGATCCACTTCAAAGCTTCCTACAGTTAATAAATGGCCGAAATGTCACCGTTAAAGACCTAAATTCCATGTTTTTCCAATGGTAATTGTAGCAACTATTGAGGCAAGTTTAAACTGCATCTACAAAGAAGAAGCCTTGTTTAATGAAACACAAGCAATGGGAGAAGTCAGGATTCAGCAGTCGGTAACCTATCACTAAACAGCATTTGAGTTGCAAACAAAGGTCAGTGAGTATGGTAGAACCAAATATCTTCAGCGAGTTCATGGTAAATAAAGAAAGTAATTTCAAACACATACTAGCTCAGCCTAATATTTTCCACAAAGAAAAAGGCACTTGAAGATGAGGCCTACAAAAAGTAACACAACATATACAATCGAAAATAAAATGTAATAGCTGTAATTGTAGCTTGAATCTCACTCACACCCTATAGAGTGCTTTGCATTGCTGCTTCTCCAACAAGAAAAAGCTGATTGTAGTGAAAAAAGGAACATAGAAAATGTCCGCATCCTGCTGCTTATGGACCCTCACAACACTTTTCAAACGCCTTTCAGATTCAGGAGCAATCAGTTCAGCCCAGAGCCAGTAATCTATAGAATGCTGCAATTTAGAAAAGGTTGTTAATAAGCCAAAAATATTAAGCAGAAACAATTGAAGAAAATTGATCAGCCAAGTTTACGATCCATCAATTTTCTTACCAAAAGAATACAAGGGAAATCTGACAATTAACCACATGAACAATGATTCCACATTATTAATCTCTGATTTAGTCTCATGCTAGCATTATGCTCTTCAACTAGTAGAAATTTCGTAATCCCAGAGTCGTATCAAAAAAATTCACTCATGTTAGAGAAAGAGACACAGAGAGAGAGATGATCAACCCGTGTTACCTGCTCGATTAAGCGATGCACAGGGCTTCCATTAGAGGTGAGATTCGAAGTCTCTTTGTAAGTATTGTGAAACAACCAAAGAAGATCGTAGGTAAACTTCTTCGGCATCTTGTAAACGTAGACCTTAACCGGAAACCCCACGGGATCTTCGTTCAAAAGCCGATTCTCTCTCTCAAACACCAAATCGTCGAGCTTCCTAGCTAGATGATCACTCTCACCACGCACCGTGTCATCTATAACGTGTGACGAGAGCTTAGGCGCCTTATGTGTCAAAAAATGCTCCAAGGAAGCGACGAAGGACCTCTCCGTCTGGACCGAATAGGTAACCGAGGGCCTGACGGATGAGAAGTACACGGAGCAGATGAACAGAATAAAGACGACGGCGACGGCGGGGGCGGCGGCGAGAATTACGAATCTCAAGTTACATCTGCTGGATGAATGACGATTGTGCAGCTTTCCAGGCATTGAAAGATCTGAATCTTCGATCCAAAATCGGAAAATTTGTCTGTTACCCGGAGAATTATTAGAGTGAGTGAGGAAGGTAAGTAGCTACCGATGGGACTGGGACTTTTCCCGGCCGAGCCAGATCGGGGATGTGACGATTCTAAATTCTAATTAAGCGTTTGATAGTAAGCGACTGTGATGAATGAGTGCGTAAGATAGTAAAATGTGTTTAAGATAGCGCGGTTTATCCCATATATAGATGAGCACCTCAGATCAAGCGCGCAAGATAGACAATTAAAAAAGAAAAAAAGTCTTTGAACTTGCACATAACATGAAGAGGCTGAAGTCCAAGCCTTAACGTAACACAGATTCGCAATTCTTCTGTTTAAATCTCTCTTTTTCTATATAATAAACCCCTCACACGAGTCAAGTCAGAAATCAAGAAGGATAATTTTATTTACATAAAAACTGTTCATATTCCCAAGTTCAAACACCAGTCCACTAGAGTTTTCTCAACCCAAAAAAAAAACATCTCAGAAGCGAATGAGATCGTCGTTTTTAGAAGATTGCTGCTTCTTCGAGTCGTTCCCAGTCGCAGCTTCAGATGAAGAATGACCAAAACCTTTATTACCAAATATCATCTCATCGAGATCATCCATCATCATGTCATCGCTGCTGCTTCCATGAGCACCACCCGAGGATCTCCTGACCAGCGATTCTTCTCCTTTTGCATGAATGGGAGACTCAGCAGCAACAGGGATCATGGCTGGCTCAGGTGCAGCTAATGGTGCAGACGGTTTCTTCAACTCTTCATACTTTGACAGCGTTTTCACTAGTTCGTCGTTTACATTCAATGCTTCGAATAAAAGGGCTTCGTTTTCTCCAGATGCCTCGATGATTCTTTGAACAGTGCTTTTGGATCGCCGACATTGCTGTACAAGTGTAATTGTCAACTCGTCCTACAAACAAAAAATAAACCCATAAAAATGCAGAAATATTATATAATCGAAAAAAGAAACTCATATCTTTAGAGTTGGATTTACATGTAAAGCTTCCTGGTGAGGTGAAGAGGACAAAACCGTTGAAAGAAGTTCAATGCTGTTCCTCGCAACATCAAAAGCTTCTTTTGTCTCCTCCACAGTGAAGCTTTGTACAGGAGGAGCATTGTACTGCACATGTGCATGCTCATTCACATGCTGAGCAACATTCACTTCTGGTACTGAAGCTGATCGAGGAGGTGTGAAAATAGGTGCTAAGCTCTCGTTGTCACGTCCAGGGAAGCGGAGACCTCTTGATTTTAGGCTCTATAGTATTGCAACAAATGTATCAAAAACCCAATCGCCAGAGAGAAACATTTATAACCAAACAGGTTAAGAACACCAAACCTTGTAAGTTTCTTCGAAAACTGGTAAGTAGCGGAGTTCACTGGTTGATTCCCCCCAAGCTTCAATCAATATCAAAGCTTTATTCCGATTGTTCACAACAGTTTCAGGGTCATCAATTAGCTTAACCATTTCATCGAGGACTCTTTCAGCAGCAACCTCAGAGAAGGCTTTCTCACAATTCTTAACACACGTCTCAAGCAAAACCAAGGCAAGGTACTGAATCCTCGGCTGCTTCATCATTATCCTCTTCTTTATCCCGCGGATCAAATCAACGCTATTGATCTTCTCCTGATTGATCATATCGCATATCTCCAAGTTCATGGCCCAATCCGGTTCCTCTAGATTCTCTGAAGTAGCATCCTCGGCTAGCTTATCAGTTGGGTTAGGACCTTGGAAAAGTTCCTTCACTTTGAAACTCATCGAGCTCACACCAGCACTCACTTTCTTGCTCACCTCAGAACCTCCAATCTTGAGACGCTCACTAAATGAGCTTACTTTGTCCATTAGATTGTCACTCATCTTCTTCCGGTGCTAACACAAAAAAAAAACCTGGAAATCTCAAAACATAAGCAATATCAAGCCTAAAAGGATATTACGTATTATCTTATATTGAAGATTCCTCTAATCTCAATATGAATCTCCAAAAGGATTATCTGAAATTTTTCATCAAAGTAAAAGTCAGCAGAGGCTTTCGTATACACTTGATTTCACCGATCACAACTAAATTCATCTCGAACCATCAAAATAAGTCAATGAAGTCACTAGGCAATTGGATTCCGAGAACCAACTTGTAATTGAGGAATCAGATTAGGGGTTTTTAACAGGAAACTAAACTTCGAGAACGATTTTCATTGATAAAAATTCAGAAGAAAAACAGAACATAAATAGTTATGTTATAATTAGCTAGAACGACAAAAACTGTAGCGAAAAGCAGTCGATAACATCAGAAAGAAAAAAACAATAGTCGAGGGAAATATACGGAAATCAACATGAGATACTAACTTAAAAACGAAGAAACTACGAGAAGAGATAAGCGAAGTTACCTTTGTTCGTCGAAACGAGAAGTGAAGCTTTATGATCTGCAACAGAAATGTAATCTGGTTTTTTTTTTTTTGTCAACAAATGTTATCTGGTTTAAAAAGAAGACGAATAAGGAAGAAAATCTACGACGGAGTTGTCGTTGACTTAATAAAAAAAATTAGAAAAAAAAAAGTAGAAACGCGTTGACTTAAGTTGAGGTGTGTTTGGTCGTGCGAATAACTTTATCTCGAGCAAATCAGGATGCCCACAAATTTTAATATGATTGATTATCATATTATGGATTCTTATGATTTGGAAGACTCTTCTTGAATTAGATGAAGATTTTTGTAGAGTTTTAGGTTTTAATTCTTAGTTTTTAATATCCAAAATAAATAGGTTTTAAATTTCTTACCATAAAAACAAACTTAAAGAAAAAACTAAAGAATATATAGTAAAATCTTTCAAATTTATACTATTGGATAAGATCATAAGACAATGCATTTGTTTAATTTTAGGATGGATTAAAAAGTTTGGTTAGTTTAAAAAAAAAATGAAACCTAAAAGGAAAATTTTGCAAAAATAATGGGTGGCAAATTAATTACTGCTTTAAATATTGTAAAGGACATAGATAATCCCGTTCCCAAACAGAAAGCTATCGCCTAAATTGGCAAGAGTTGAGAGAAGGTCTGTTCAACTGCTCAGCCGCCGTATTTCTCCGGGAAGATTAAGGTAATGTTAAAAATACTCGTTGACTACTTGGATTCAAAACGTATTGCGATTACTCGTCCCTCGTAGATTTGTTTTGACAATTAAAAAGTGCTTATGAGTTTGTTGTTTTCTGAAAATCCCCATTGGTGAATCCTAGAATCGAGAAACCTTAGAAGGAAGTAGCTTTATCGATCAATGGGTCCGATACAGCTTTTGTTTGGCTTAAAAACTCTATCTTAGTGTGAATGATAGCTGTGGAATTGAGTTCTTGAGTTTCATGCTTCTAAGTTCTAATTATGTCAGCTTTTTGCATATGTTTAAGAGGCTGGTTTTTGGTTTTTGTTATTGTTCACTTGCATTACTTGAGAAAACTTTCTTATTCACTATAAATTCCCAAAATTAGTAGTGTGTTTCTCTCGTAATCACTGAGTTTAGTTTTTTTTTTCCCTTGAAGGATGGTGGATTTGATGTGGTTAAGTGCTTTACTTCTTGGAGCTGCACTTGGATATTACATCAGCACTCTACGACAATCCCGCGGCATCTTTGTCCCCTCCAGAACTGTCACCATCAATGCGGATTCCAATGGCAATAAGAAGACCAAGTCCAAGGAACCCCTCGAGATTGAGAAACTCACTGATTTCCGCCAAAAATTCAAAATGGTTACTCATAACTATTTCTCTCTGTAGTTGTAGACACAATAAGCTGATATGAATTTGCTTCTTTCTTTATGTTGTCTTTTGTAGGTTTTGGTAGTGAGGAATGATCTTAAAATGGGCAAAGGAAAGATTGCAGCTCAATGCAGGTGATTATCAAATTTTAAACGTTTTTATTTTTCTCTTTAAGTGTTTTAATCATCTGAAGTAATGATTCAATTTTTTGTTTTGTTTTTTTGTTTTGCATTATGTAGTCATGCAACTTTAGGTTTATACAAAAAACTCCTTCAACGGGCACCAAAAGCCTTGAACAGGTACACCACACCATATCATAGTCGTACTCAAATCCTTTTTTTTAGCAGGCGACAGACGAAATTAACAATTTTGGTTTTATTGTCATTGCAGATGGGAAAATTGTGCCCAGCCAAAAGTTGTTGTCAAAATCGAGAGTGAGGAAGAGATGCTAGTTTTGCAAGTGAGTTTTTAAACATGTGTTATTACCTTAGAAATCTTCTTGCGCTTTGCAAGATTGCAGATTGTTAGTTCTTGAACTTTTGGTTTAAGTTACAAAATAGATAGGATCGTATGTTGATTGTCTAGATGATTTCAACTTCAGAGTTTAACAGTGTTGTTAATATGGACAGAAAAAGGCAAAGTCTATTAAATTGCCAACCCATATCACCATTGATGCCGGAAAAACACAGATAGCTCCAGGTGAGTTCCATAATTACTGATTGGAATTCAAACCGCTCTCAAACTTCAAATCCTACTTAAACGTAGTCAGAAAAATAAGAATTTAATGTATGTACTTGTTATGTTTTTTTTTTTTTTCCAGATTCAAGGACAGTTATGGCTATTCTTGGTAAGTTATCATCTATGATCCTTCAAGGACAGTAATAGTTGCAGCCTCTTTCGACCGCTCTGTGTTTGAACGTTAATTAGATGAAATCTAGATTTTTCCTATAATTTCCCATAAACTGTTACTTGTGCAGGACCGGTGGATGTTGTTAATGATGTAACAGGTGGACTAAAGCTTATGTAACAACATTTGGATTCGATATTGATATAGTCTAGCAGAAGGGAGAGAGTGTTAATTGGCTGCAAGTTTTTTCGTCATTGCGGAGTGATTAATCTGTTTTCCTTCTTCTTAACCATTCTTGCCACTGAGAAGTCTATCAAATGGAAGTTATATCGGTGATGGATTTTTAGTGTTTTAATTAGAATAGTTTCACAAACTCCATACTTTTTGTTTGTCAACCAAAATCACCACGCTAAGTTTTATTAAAAAAAAATAGAAACATAAAATATTAAATTATAAATAAACTTTGCTTATACGCATGTTCTAATCTATGTCATAAATTACAAGAATATAGTATTACATAATTGTAAACATACTAATTTCAAAAAATTAAAAAACTGATGTATAAAATAAATTCTTATGGATTTGGTCATTTTAATAAGTTTATATCTTTAATATCTATCTTAACATATCTTTTAATAGAGGTATCCATTAACTTTTCAACTACTGTATTTTTAGTGAAAAAAGAACTAAAACCACAAAAATTTCTGATACAATATATTAGTAATTCCTACTGAATAAACATATATCTTTTACAAAATAAAATATATATATATATATTAGTAGAACTGTAATTACTTGCAACAATACATATAATCTGAAGTTTTTTAAGTAGCATACCTAGAGAAGGCCCTATCATCTACCAAATAAAATATCTATATATCAATTACAAAATAAAATACCTATAAATGAACAAAAACTGATATTACTTGCAAAATGCCAACATTACAGAATCTGAAGTTTTTTAAGTAGCATATCAAGAAAAGATCCTGTCACAAATCTCATGCACTTATTGTTTATATATTGATGGGTATAAATCTGAATAGTCAGAAGCTTCATACCCTATAAATATCCTGTAACATTTGGCTGAATCAAACAGTCTTCGAAACTTTTATTTCAGAAAAGGTTAAGTGCCTATAAGATCTGAAGCCAAAAATTGTTTGTCTAAACTAATTCCAATGAAGTTAATGGAGAGTCAAGAGGGGTCAGGAAATGTTCCGAGATGGGAAAATATGGATAAAGACATACTTTCAAACATTTTCAAGAAGCTCGACGTAGTGGACGTTGTCATGGGAACATCACGAGTGTGCATCACTTGGTTCCTTGCCTCTCACAACAAGACAATATGGAGCACTATCAAACTCAACGATCTTGATTCGATCGTCTTGGATGACCCCTATTGGCCACAAATGCAGGATAATGACGATAAAGAAAAGCATCGATACCACCTTAGGAAGATCTTGATTGAGATCAACAAATTCAGCCGTACTGTCCCGACAAACTTTTTCTTCAACGTATATTGCAACAATATACTAGAAGAGGATCTGGCGATCATTTCTAACGGGTAATAAAACTATCTCCATTCTTATCATTTGATTTCATTATTGAATTCTTTGTGGAATTAAAATCCTAAAATGACAAAAAAAAAAAAAAAAAAAAAAATCTCTTGTTTTCTTTTATGAAGGATGCCGAACATCCGAAAACTTGCGTTACCAATATGGAAAAGGTTAGATTTGAATTCAATTGAGTTAGCCTTTAGTAAATTGAAGAATCTACAAACGTTGACTATTTCACCATATCCATGGCGAGATGACGCCTTAAGCCCTGAGCTTCGAGCCATCGGAGACAGCTGTAGAAATCTTACCACCATAAAATTTCATTGTCTATTGGACAAAATCTTGGCCAATATAATTATCTGTAACTTTCCGAGCGTCCAGCGAATAAGCTTTCGATGCTCTTATGTCTGTATAGAAGCAACAATGTCGCTCATCATCGGCCATCCAAACCTCAAGATATTTAATCTTTCACATTGTATTTTCATGGAAAAACCGCACCAGTACAACGACGCCTACTATATATTAGGAATGAGACCTGAGGAAGAAATTGTACAAATCGGTACTCAGAAGCTTGATAGAATTTTGGTGTGTAGTAGTTCGGATCACTGCACAATTTTCCAAGATGTGTGGAAATATATACAGAATCGTATGGATCCTCCGCTCAAAGCTTCGCTACGTTCGGGAGGAACAGTGGAAACATGATGAGATAAATGAATTAGATTTTGACTTTTGAACCTAATTTAAAAATATATATATATATATATATATATATATATATATATATATGTTTTGAACAGAGTTGGTTCATTGATAACAAACTCTTTGTTATTGTAAAACTTCGATCGTTATGAAATATATACTATGAGTATGTGAGAAACGTGTGTTCCAGCCAGCTTTTCGACTTCCAAGTTTCAGATAAATAAACAAGAGACTTGTTTTTTTGTCCAACAGGAACCTTAATTTGTGTCAAATGAGGTGGTGCGTCACGTACTGCTTGCCAATGAGAAGTCTACGAACAAAACAAAACGACTGCATTCGAATCTCTCGATTTTACATGGACTTGTACAAAACTTGTCTTATTAGAAGATTCTAATTTGACAATATTTGCTGTTTACCGCCAAACTTTGGAAGATAAAGAGTCTGTTTTGATGCATTCTTCTGTTTTGCCTATTTAAGACCTATATAGTAGCGATTGGTTGATTCCGACTCACGCATAGCTATAAGTGGTTTTGCGCTAGTGTTGGAAACCAACAATGATAACTTTCTCTTCAAGCTATCAAATGTTCATCAAAAGAATATATGAAACTGTAAGTATCTCACAATATTTGTATGCAATCGCCCCTACTACACACACACATATACTTTCAAATCAGAATATGCAAAATGCTCAAATGAATCCTCTAGAAACAAAGAAATCTCCACACGATGCAGAAAATTTCAAATTATGTACCTTCTTCTTCATCCCCAAGCATTGTCAAACGATGCTGAAGTGATCGCTTGAACAAATTCTTGGAAATCGATACAACCGTCACCGTCTCGATCTGCTTCCTTGATCATCCCGGTTAACTCCTCCGCCGTCAACGCGTGACCTAGCTTCGCCATCGAGTGAGCTAGCTCCGCCGCCGTTATGTAACCGTTCCCGTCGCGGTCGAACATTTTGAAGATCGCTCTGAGCTGCTCATCCGTGTAAGGACACTTGACCAGATCTGGCTCGACGAGGGCGACGAATTCGGAGAACTCGATCATTCCGTTGTTATTCCGATCTGCTTTGTGGATCAGAGTATCGAGTTGGTCTTGACTCGGCTTTAGACCGAGAGATCTGAGAAGCGAGGCTAACTCGAGCTCCGTCAAACTTCCATCCTTGTTCTGGTCAAATGATCGGAAAATCTCTCGGAGCTCTGCTAATTGCTCATCGCCTAGTTTCCCCGGCGCCGGCGAAGGCTTGTCTCCGTCTCCGCTCATCTTTCTCCTCCAAGTAGCCGAATCTCGGATCCGATTTTGATTTCTATCAAGCTTTGATTTCGATGAACAACATTCTTTTTTGTAGAGGATTTGGGATTGATTTTGTTTCTTCTTGACAAGTCAACGACAGGTATGGGTTTAAGAATTCGAACAAGTAGGATTGTTTTCCTAATCAATGAGATAGGGAATGATAATTTTAATTTATTAAATTCAAATAAATGATTTCAGATGTACTAAGAAATTAAACGGTCAACGTTTGTTCGGCGGAGAGATAACAGTCGTGCTGATAAATAAGCGGTGGATATTTGTAATTTTGTTCCGTTTGATTAGAGTTTTTGGATTTTATAAACTAGCTTTTTTTTTTGTTTCTGGATTTGGGTATTTTGGGCGCTCGAGATTAATTTAATCCGAGATCAAATTCTAATTTGATTCGGTTTAACTTGATTTTGAACCAAATATATAAACACAATTAACTGATTTTCATTTTGGTTGATTTTAAATATATTTATTTAGTTTAGTATGTTAGTTCTTTTCATAAATTTCGGACAATTAGATTCAGTTTTACAACAACAGAAAACATAATTTTGTATGTTAGTTCTTTTCATAAATTTCGGACAATTAGATTCAGTTTTACAACAACAGAAAACATATAAACTTATTATTGTTTTCAAAATAAACTACTTGAATAGAAATATAAATTGCAGTGATTGGCAATTAAGTAGGAGTATCGAGAGCAAGATCCTTGATTTCTTTCCAAGTATAATGCGAAAAAAAACATCACAGGGCGATATTCTCTTATTTTATTACACATTGACAAGAATGAAAGTTGCACCAGTTCGATACAATCATATATACATACCAGTTTAATACATGCATACGACATACCTCCTTTGGTTATTATTCTTTTGTTGCTGCGACTCCACAAGATCTTAACCCATCTTCTCCATCTGCGAGAACAAGTCAGTTTTTCGCCAAAAGATTCTGGAAAGTGTGAATATATATGTATAGGTCATCAATAAAGAAAGATGGGTTACCTCTTGAGTAGAAAGACTGGCGATTTCATTTTCTGAGCGCATCTGATGTGAGAAGCCCCATCTGTTCAGTAAGATGGTTCATTTGTTGATTGTTGCTCAACACATTCCTCAGGCTGGATTGTAATTCTAGCTGCTCCATTATCACTCCATTTTCCACTGATCCTGAGACTAGCTCATCTGTGTCACCAATCACTGGGCTCTCACCAAAGAAATGTTCCCACAAAGAATCTTGGACTCCAGGAAGCAACTCATTTATGCCATCGGCTTCTAGTTCCATTGAGCCATCCAAAACAGCCCTTATTGGATCTAGACACTCTCCATTATCTGTCTCGCAACCAACCACATCTGAATTCGGGCTCCCATAAGCTGTTGCTCCTTGCTTTGGAGCTAGCAGATCAGCTTGCGAATAAGGAAAATTGGCCTCCAGGACTTGATTTGTTTCACAAGGGCCGTGATACTTCGTTCCAGGATATGAGCGTGTAGGATTGGATGAAACATCTGCTAATGTAACTCCAGATGCTCCATTTGAGGAGCTCCCATTGTCTGAAAGGTTAGAATTTGGAACATCGCCCAAAAGAAAGCTACCATGATTGTTGGAAACGGATTCATGACGGCTATGTGAGTTCATATTCTGTATCTGTTGGAGCATAGTGTTTGCGGCTTCGTTCATCGATGACTGATATCTAACAATCTGGCGGCTAAGACCATCAGCCCCGTGGCTGCCAGAATTCCTCTGGCTCTGATCCTCAACAGGTAGCCTCCTCTTTTTATTGCTCTCAGAAATGTGTTGCTGGTTTCCGTCATTATTCTGCTGCGCAAACTGGTTCAAGAAACCTGGACTTTGGACTGCCTTCGCCAGAAATGACATCATTTGTTGCTGCCTCTGCTCCATCACATGAACTTTCTGCCCCACATTTTGCAGGTGATGTTCGGTAACTTGTTGTTGCTGCCTTAACCTCACAAGTTCTTGCATAAGGACGTTCTTATCCCGCTGAAGTCTTTCCACTTCTTCTTCGAGTCCAAACTTCCCCACTTCAACGCACGCACCAACAGATGAGTGCTGAACTTGAGGTTGTTGTTGAGGCTGCACTTGAGCAGGTTTTCGCCGGACAATACTCTTTAGTATGTGTTTTTGGCCTCTCAAAAATCCCTCATTTGCAAATTCCCAGCGATCTGGATCAACTTTTCTGAAACCCTGGAAAAAAGATGATGCATGAAGAATGGAATAGTCATCAACCACAAGAAGTTACAGCATAGAATATTTTTATATAGAGTTATAAACATAACGACCATTAAATTCTTCAATAACTACTATTCTAGAGATGGTATAATATGATAAATCTCTCCACTGTGTCTAACTGCAGCACCAAACTACCACGGCTCAACGAAACTAAATAGTTCTTAGTGTATCGGCATGTACCTGGACGGACAAATACAAACGAATGGAAAGCTAACGTGGGACAACTGATAGAAATTTTGTTTTGTGAGTTAGAGCTACTTGGCAGAAATGGAACTGCTGAGGCAACCAAATCTTCAGACACATATGAGCACATGTCCAAACAAAGCCTGCAAAGTTCGCGGAACCTTTTGGTAAGTTAGAAAAGCAAAGAACAACAGGAAAGAAAGCTATGTAAGAGTATTATTTGACCTAAGAAAAGTTAATTTGGAAAATGGGATGAGAAATTGCATTCCAGCCTCACAGACACAGATGCAGAATACATGTACACAATACTACTCAAGGATATCTGCAAAACAAGGACAATACAGATATGTAGATCCACTATTTACCAAGGACAAAATTAGTGAAACTAAATGAAAAATAACACAACCAAGTAAAGGTGCATAGTTTTACCAGCGTCGGAAACTCTTTAGGAACACTAATCAGCATTATTATAAACACTCATAGGAGTTTGACTTCTCAAAGTCTATCCTTAACCCCTCGCAATCGACCAATCCTCCGTAAGAATAACGTCGATTTACTATTCTTAACCCCAGAGAAGAGACTAAAATCCGTGAAACCCTTTTTCTTTTTCTTAATTCGTAACCTAAGCAAATGAAGAATGAAGCACATAAACCCTATTCACTCGTTCAAATACCAAATTTCAACCAAACCAATAGAGAAAACGAAGCACGCAAAGTAGGACTTCCCCCAAATCGGATTATGAAATTTTTGACGAAAACAGGTAAATCAGATGATAAAATAAAATAAAAAAATCGAGGGGTTCTCACGTAAGTATTGAGCTGCCTAACAAAGCTGGAGAAATTGTTGTGCTTGAAATACTTGGGTAGGAACTGTTTGGCGAACTCAGGCACGTTCCAGACGACGAAGCTGTTGTTCCCGCTGCTCCAAGACACAACGTCGTTGGTCGATGGATCGTCAACCATATCGTAGGTTTTGCTCAGAAATGGCGGAATAGAGCTCATCACCGTCGTAGACGCCGACGAAGAGTTCGCCGTCGGTACAGATGCGGAAACAGATCCCATTTCTATCCTAGGAGTCAAAAATCAAAATCTACTCACTGAAACAAGGTAATCGATTTAATCGACGAAGAATTTCAAAGATCTACTCTCTTTAGAAGAAGTTGAACACTTACTTTAGTCTGCAAAAAGCTTTATCTCTGCTTCTTTTATTTATACTGCAATTTCTTATTCCAGAAAGCGGTGGAGTTTCGCAGGAGTAACTAGAACGTGTCACATTTTTCTACCGTCGATCCGAATTTCCTCTTTGCCTTCTATTAAAAATTAGATTACTTTTTTAAAACAAAAATTAAATTACACGTGGGCCGATGACAAATGATAGTAGGCCTTTTTTAATTCATCAACGTACCTAGTCTTTCTGTTTCTTAGAACGTATCTGGCCCTAAGCTGCTTTTTAAAACGTCGCACTGGACCGCGTTGAATTATTAGAACCCCTAAGCTTCTGCGTTTCGCGTTTCAAGTTGCTCTGCTACTGCTTCCCGCCGTAGAAGGCGGCCAATACTAGTTTTAAAAAAAAAATTATATAACCCCAAATAAATATCAAATCTAATTTTATGAATAACATCCCCCAAAAAAAAAAACTTATCAAGACTATACTAAATTAAGAAAACTATATCTTCGATTCATTTGAGTTTGTGTAGTAAAAAGTATATGCCCGAAAAATTAATCACTGTTATTGTCGCCTTTTTGGTGGCATTCAATTCAGTTTTGAGCATTGTTTGACCCAAATGTAACCTAATTTATTTTGAAAGAAATGGATTCAGCAGCTTCGATTTAGCAAAAGACATGTAAATCCATTTTTATAGATAGAAATCATATAACAAAAAAAGAAAATTAAGAATTTTTAGTGAGTTACGGTTTATTGGGTCTGGACCGTCTGGTTACATCGGTTGTGGCTTTGGCCTTTGGTATCAGTTTAGAAATTTCAGTCTGAATTTTGTTCGGTTCAGTTTTATATGTTCATCATTCATTACGTGTTAAGAGAGTGTTGTTGGAATGTCTTAGAGTTTTTCACCACCCGTCTTAAAATAGTTAGCTTTGTTGAAAATACCTATTTTGATTCATTGGCGATTATCCAGAAAAAAAAAACAACAACAACAAAAAACAACCTTTTGATGTCAAAAAATAGCTTAAACAATAAATTTATTTACGTCTCCAAAAAAAACCCCATCAAGGCCAATAGAACAGAAAAAGTTTTTTCACGCGGCGGCAATGGCGTCTTCTTCTTCTTCCTCCTTCTTATCCGTCATTACCTTCCTCCTCTTTGCGCCTCTCTGTTATTCACGTGAGTCACCTTCACAAATCCCAAACGGAACCTTAGATCTCTCTTTACTCTGGTACGGACAATTCACGCCGGTCCAAAAAGAGAGGGTTCGTGATTTCATAGAATCGCTTAACTTCGACGCCAAGGAAGGTCTTGATCCGAAAGTATCATCTTGGTGGAAAGTGGTGGAGAGTTATCAAGAGAGGTATGAGGTGAAAGAAATTTACCGACAGAAGAAGAGTAACAGAACTATAGCTCCGAGGATTAAGGTGAAGATTGTCCGAAGTTACGTGGATGATAAGATGAATTACGGTAAGGAATTGACAATCGATAATGGTGAGAAACTGGTTGAGACGGCCATTGGAAATATGTCGAAAGTAGTGCCCGTGGTAATACTTGCATCACAAGTTAGGGCTCATGGCGTAGGGTTTTGTAGCGGAACTTGCCAACAGTACGCCATTACGGTCAATGGCAGTGTTAAAGGTTTGATTTTCTTCTCGTTATTTGCATTATCTTGTATAATTATTAATCTATTTCGTATAAAAACTGATAATTAGAGACAATCATTTGACATAGTTAAGTAATTAATTAAATGGAACTCTCAGGTAAAAAACAACCACAACCGTACATAATGGTGAGCAACCCGGAGGTGCAATGTCCCGGAGAGTGCGCTTGGCCTTTCCACACGGCTGACAAAGGTCCACGTGGCATGACCTATCAACCGCCAAGTGGTGAAATCGGAGCCGACGCATTGATTATTCAGCTCGCCACCGGTTTAGCCGACCTAGCCACCAATTCAGCCTTAACGGAATTCTTATTCAAATCTGAGTCACCGTACCGCGCCGACGGAAATCAGAGCTCTACGAATTATGTCGTGGACCCCGCATCCAAGTGCACTCGGGTGTTCGGATCAGGAGCTTTTCCGGGTTTTACCGGTAAAATTCGGGTTGACCCGGTGACTGGTGGAGCCTTTAACTCACACGGAATCAACCACTTGAAATTCTTGATTCCTTCTGTTTGGGATCCTAAGACCAAATCTTGCTGGACTCCTATGTAAATCATTATTGTTCTTTGTGAATCAGTTTATATCCTTTTGGCAAAATCCAACTTCTTAAACCTTGATTTTTATGAAGGATATATATTTGTTATTCGAAATATGTAATGTAGAGTTGGAGTTGGCCCGATTCTAGTGTAAATCAAACACTGTGAGAAAAAAAAAAAAAAATCCATGGTTTAGTAATGAGATACATATTTATTTGGCATATTTAAAACTAAAACGCTAACACGTAAGAAAGTAAATTTCGAAGATTTGTTGTCACGATTCATGATGTTAGAAAATCCAAATATATGATTATTTTCTTCAATTGGACAACGAAGAAGAGGTTAAAAATCCCAATTAAAGTAAAATATAATAAGGATCGTTACAAATTAGTTGTCTCTTTGTCATCCTCTGATTAATAATCATATTGTTGATTACAATTATTATTCATTGTAAATGAATACGATCATCCAAACAGAGAAACAAATATTTTTTGAATGTTACTAAATAATTGATTAATCGTAAAACTTCTCTGACCTTATATATAGAGAGCCTCACTGCTCAATTTCTTCATTGCACTTGTCATACAAAGGAGTAAACATTGATCATGGGAAAGGTATGTGCTCCTTATTGGTGTAATCTTTGTGTGATTCTAGTATGTTAACTTTTTTTCTTTTTCGTTTTGTGTGCACTAAAGGGCAAGCAAAATGGAGAATCAGACAACAAGGCTGGGAAGAAGAATCAGAAAAAGGGAGATCTGGATAAGTCGGATAAGAAAAACCAATGTAAAGAAATTGTTTTGAAGGTTAACATGCACTGTGAAGGATGTGCTTCAAAAGTTTCTCATTGCTTGAAAGGATATGATGGTAATTTTTTACTAAAACTTAAACCATACATATATATATATATATATTCTGATTTACATTTTTTCTCTCAAAATTTAATTTTAAATTTATAGCTTTTAATCGAAACTTAAGTTGTATTTCCTTCATCTGGTTTCAGGTATTCTGTATGTAAACAAAAAAAATATTGAGAAGTTGTTTTTAGCTTGCACAACATTCTCTTCCAAATCTAGTTCTTAAAATATCATATAATGATAGGATTTTTCCGCTTTTTGCTTACTTAGGAATGATTCTAAGCGTTGATGTGAATATTTTCAGGGGTTGAGCAAATTAAGACAGAGATTGAAGACAATAAAGTGGTTGTGACTGGGAAATTTGATGATCCAACGAAGATATTACGAAGAGTGCAAAAGAAATTTAGTAAAAATGCTGAGTTAATTTCCCCAAAACCTAACCCTAAACAAGATCAGAAGAAGGAGCCACAACAAAAGAAAGAAGTAACTTTCTGTGTCCGTTATATTTATCTATTTCATAATTTTGATTAAATACTCTCATTAATTTGTACATAGTAAACTTAGATATTTCATATAAAACTAGTTTGATAAATCCCAACCAACATCATCAATCATTTTCTTTTGGTGTTTCAGAGTACTCCGCCAATCAAAACTGCAATTTTAAAAATGAACATGCACTGTGATGGATGTGTTCATGAAATCAAAAGAGGCATTGAGAAAATAAAAGGTAAAAATATATGTACAACACAAGAGAAATATTAATTCTAAAGTTCAGATGCTATTTTCCTCGTAAAACTATATGTTAAATTCAACTATTTTCCAATTAGTTTGTTACTTTTTAATATATGCAGGTCCAATATCTAATTGAAAATTAACTTATAAATATGTTTGTTATTTGACACATTAAAAGGTATTCAAACGGTGGTACCAGACCGGTCAAAGTCAACAGTGCTTGTACGAGGAGTCATGGATCCTCCAGTACTTGTGGAGAAAATTAAGAAAAAACTTGGGAAACATGCAGAGCTTCTAAGTCAAAGCACAGAAAAACGCAAAGACAATAAAGACAAAGACAGCAATAACAAGAACACCAACAAGAAAGAAGACGGTTATGGAAACCAAATATTCAGTTACCCTCAGATATTTAGCGACGAAAATGTACATTCATGTTCGATCATGTGATTTGACTCGTAAACTCAGAGTCTGAAGTTATATTATATGGATTTGAACCCCAAAAAGAAGTTATATTATATAGTTTTAGTTAAATTCGGTTATGAATGACACTCTATGAACATAATTTTTGAAGTCTCCACAACTCAATTAGATATGTGTGGTCTAGTACTGGTTGAGGCTTATAACTTTGGAACATAGTAAAAATTCATATCCCCATGTTCGTATATCCCACTACATACGCATAATGTTTAACCACTCGTGTATGTACGTTTTAAATAACGAAAAAAGCAAAATTCATTGACTTTAGAAATTGGTTTTAGGCATCATTTTGATTACAGAAAAAAATGTCAAAATGTATACAATTCAATTACTAAATGTTACTGTTGGACCTTTTGGTTGAATGATTAGGCTAGCCATGGCCCAAAAATACAGTTGGCTTGAGATTCTAGGGTCACAAAAAAATTCAAGCCACTTAACACTAAAAAAGATATCTTTGTTGGTCTCCCTTTATTTTGTGTTACAGTATTTATTTCATTTTGCTCATAGGTCTAAGGGTATGACCACATCTGTCTTAACCACTTCAGCCAGAACTGGGTGGATTAGGCCGAACCAGACTTACGAATGACGATCCACCCACCAGCTAGATCCACCCATTTACGATCTGGACTAGCCCGAACCAGACTTACAAATAACCGGGCGTTATAGTGTTGGAAAAAAAGGAATGTAAGGATTATTTATATCTTTTAAGAGATAGGGGTTTATTTGTAATATAATATAAGTCGAATCTCAAAAAGAAAAAGGGGAAGATGAGATTTCGATTTAGGGTTCATCAGAATTTGAAGCATCTATTTTACATTGTAATAAAAGGGAGCCTGTTTTGATTTCAGAAGACGTAATCTGGATCTTGGGTTCACGTCAAGTAAGTAAAGATTATATCTTTTATTGTTTTTCGTTTAGCCGGAGAATAGCTCTCACCGGAAACTTCGGTTCACTACATCATAAATGGTAGGATGGAGAAATTGCTTACGGATCGATGAGATAGTGATGAATAAGAATTGATAAATGATTCACTCATGAAACTCCGTTCAAAGACGATGAGAAATTGCGTGAATCGTAATAGTTTATGTTTCCGTTCTGTTCGTCAGATTTGAGCTTTAATCGTGTATAGGTTAGCATTGTTTCTGATTGAGTTCCAATTGGGTTCCTTGAGTTTGGCGAATTGGTTTTGGTTGCTGAATGTTCTTTGTGCATCTCCTTTGCAGGGTTGAGTTAAGAGTTTTTTTAAGTAAGTGGAGATGTCAGTTAAAGCAAGGAGGATTTCTGGTAGATTAGAGACTGCAGTGACTAAGGCTAACTATGCATTTGATCCGCTGGACGATGACAAAATCATAAGAAAACGGCTTCTGACCCGAACCACCACCACTCGAGGCGAACCTCCATTGAAGAAACTTCAGAAGAAGTTCACTTCTTTTGTGCTCGAGGTGGATAAAGAAGAAGAGAACTATAACGAGTGCGGTAGACTTGCGAAAGCTTTCCTACAGGAACTGTCTACTTTCGAAATCCCGCTTCTGAAGAGCCAAGCGGTTGTGGAAGCAAACCTTAGGGAGAAAGAGAGCTTCAACGAGGTGAAAGATGAGACGGAAAGGCAGATAATGCAGGCGAAAGCTGAGATTGAAGATCTAAAGAAGCAGCTCGAGGAGAGTAAAATTGAGAGGCAGCATAAAGAAGAGTGTGAGACCATAAGGAAACTGATTTCTGCGCAACCGCCGAGGTCAGAGACAGAGAAGGTCATACATGAATTGAAGAAGGAGATTGCTGAGCTTGAGGCAGAGAGCACTGCAAGCTGGAGATTGCTTGAGCTAAGGAAGAAGCAGTTTGCTCTGCTGTTGCATGTGGTAATGTCAATAACAGAGCCTTTTAGTTTGCGTTTTCACAACGTGATATATATATGCGTTTGAAGTTTGAGTTTGAGTTTGTCATTGTGAACATTGTTTTGGACACAGGTGGATGAGTTGCAGAACACAATGGAAGATGAGCAGAAGAGTCTAGTGGATGAGATTCGGACAGCGTTGGAAGATCAGAGGAACATTACCGATGCCATGTCTGTGGATTAACTCCTAATTTGGATACTTTGTAATGTAATGCAATAATGATTCTTAATAATCCAAACCGAGGCTGAACTGGTGATTCGAATAAACCGAGATGAATTATTAGAAAACTGGTATTTTCTTCTTTCTTTGTGTCTGTAAACTTATACAATCTCTAAAACACATAGCCAAAATATATGGAAATCGTTGATGGCATTTTTTTTCTGATATCTTAGGAATGTTAAATCCTGTTCTCGATTTGGATAGTTCGGTTTATGAATTATGTGAGCCAAACTAAAATCGTAGAATTCTTGTATGAAAAATAAAATCAAAACATATAAGAATGGAAGTATTTTATAATAGAATCAAACCGTTTTCCTTTATCGACTATTTGACTTAATTCGAAAGGTTTCGGTTGCACTATCTTTATTTATGGATTGGATTTATGGTTTTTGGGTGTTTCAGATGTAGTCTCATTTTGTTTGGTGCGGTTTCTATTTTTGTTCTCGAGAATTTTTCTTACAAGTGTGATTGAATATATCATATTTCCTGCAAATCGTTATCCACAAGCAAAGCTTAGTGTCGATTTTTGGAAATAATTAATTATTAATGAAAAGTAATAATGCGACCGACTAGCCAAATAGGCTTTATAGTCCAAATGTAGGTTTCTAATTTCTTGAGAATATTTGAGCAGCATTAGCATTCGTATATTAACACACGTTTCTCCGTTATTACTTATGTCTCTCATGTCACAATCTCGACACTAAAAATGAACTTTTGAGTGTTTAATTTGAACTTGGAATTCCAATGTCATCTTTTTGCTTTGACTATAAAGTTTTCACTTTGATTTTTTTTTTTTGTGGAACGGTTTTACTTTGAATTAAACATTTGTTCTTACAAATATTTCCCAAAATATTCCATCTTACCCAATAAAAGAAGATGGCAGCTTTTTGTGAAAAATAGGCGACACATTGGTGATGCAACGCATAATTTCTTAACTGAATCAAACTGAAAATGAACGTATGTAATTATCTAAATTTTGCTTAATTAACTCGCATAGAAATTCAGCGATCCTAAATTAAAACCAAACTGCAATTAGCTTTGACTTGTTTCTCTTTAATCAAAAGCGCCACTTAGTAGTTAAAAATAATTTATATGTAAATACGATCGGTTTAAGTGATTATATGCATATTCGTGAAGTTCACTGTGTTATCATTTTAATTCATTACCTGAGAGGCTTAATGCAATTTCTAGTTTCCATATTGAAACGCGTTAATATTTTTTTTTGTATATACATTTGTTTTTATTTTAAATCGTAGCGACAGTAAATCCAGTGTGTGATGTAATTATGGCCACGAGTGCAAGATGTACAAATACAATGATGTTTAAATGCTACCCTCTATGTACATCTCTTTTGTCTATAAGTCAAATAAAAATAAGACTGTGTCACTTTCGAGACGCTATTATTTCACTTCTTCTTAACCATCCCCAACTAAATCTGAATCTTGGATATATAGGAGTAAAAGGGAAAAAAAGTCTATAACTTTACCGAAGAAGCATTATCTTAATAACCATTTGGGTCATGGATTAATTTATCTGCTATAATTTATATATGTAAGCTCTCATACGTGGAGAAGTATTTTACTAATCAATACATCTTTCGAAACAAAAAAAAAATTACAGAAAAAATATTACAAATGTATGATGATAAGTTTTGTACAGTATCTATGTTTTGTATACATGGTCGAAAAATATAGGGAAAAAAAAATATAATACAAACTGTATGTCTGTATGAAAATTAATTAACAATAAACATGTATAAATCTATATCCACAGAAAAAATAATGTTCATGTTTTTCTTTGGTCTCTATTCACGAAATGGCCAAGGCTCCGAACAAGTTTGCCTGCAAAGAGAAAAACAAACTGCTGTTAAGAACTTGTCGATACTAAATTATTAAATATATGTGTGTGTAAGTGTTTAGGTTCTTCGACTTACTCTATGATTTCTTTCCAATAAGAATCACTTGCTTCATCATCAATTATGTCACACCATGGCTGATGGTCTTGTGTGAACGTTGAGGTCGATGAAGGGTTTGAAGTAGGATCATCATGCTTCAAAATTCCCTTGTTCTTGGTCATCATTTGGGTTTGTTTAGACTCATCAGGAGAGGCCGAAATCAGTGAAGGAATCATATCGTGATCATCTTGATGAGAAGCTACTTGAATCGGGCTAGAAAACGAATCCAGAGGCTGATGATCAATGTAAGAGAGGCTTTGAGTTGGATCATAAAGATTTTCACTAATATGGTTCTCTAAGAAAGAAGATTGGCCAAAGAGATTATTGTTGGTATGATGAATGTCAAAGGAAGCAGAAGAGGTATTGTTGTTGTTGTTGTTGTTAAGGACTTGAATCATACTATGTAACAATTGGGCTTTTGCAATACTTGTTGCATCCAATTGTATATTTTGATTTAGAGTCAAGAGGTTATTGAAATTTGCGGCAGCTAGAAGTTGAGGTAGCGCGGCGAGAACGTTTAGATGGTCGGTTCTCGGCCTGTGGGTCACCGGATCGATCCCCATCTGAATAAGTTTCTTTCTTATATGCGTGTTCCAATAGTTCTTTATTTCGTTGTCCGTTCTTCCTGGAAGATGACCAGCTATAGACGACCACCTTTAAGAAATACGAGAAAAAAAAATTAGTTAAATTGATTGATTATATATATGGTGGGTTAGTTAAGCCTTATCCGTGTTGTATGATTTTCAAGCTACAACAAAATAATTAATCTATAGACTTGAAAATATTGAACATTGACGAGTACGTATGCATGCACCTAGAAAAATCCAGTGTAGTAGGTTTTCATCTGTATTCCTTTATACCTCAACTAACCGAAAACTGTATATACAGGATACACCTTTATTAGACGATATAAATAAGAGCGGCGAAAAAGCGCTCAAGATTTAAGAAACATTAAAATTTAATTTGTATAAGATTTGAAAAACTTTGAAATTTAATTTCTATATTTTTTTTAAAAAAAAATTCTATAATTTATACATATTGAAAGGAATGCTATAAGAAAATATAGACAGAATATCTAGTCAAACACTACCATATTTTAGTATAATCTTCTTCATCTCTTTTAACTTGTTTTTCTACAGATCTTTCAAAATCTATTAGTTTTAGCCCCAAAGAAAGACTTATAGTACAGAAAAGCAGCAATAACGTATAAATCACAATAATGATTTACTAAATTTTGTTTAGTATAAAAATTTGATCTGCTTCTGTTTGTTTTGATCATGATCTCAAATACGATAATTAAAGGATTAGAGTAATTAAAAAAATTACTTGTTTCCAAGAAGCGAGTGAAGGTTGATGATGGTTTGCTCTTCCTCAGCAGTGAAGTTTCCTCTTTTGATGTCTGGTCTCAAGTAATTAGTCCATCTCAGTCTGCAACTCTTCCCACACCGGTTTAAACCGGCTTGCTTTGGAAGAGCTCTCCAGCTTCCATGACCGTGTTTTCGTATGTGATTTATCAGTTTCTGATCTTCTTCTGGCGTCCATGGCCCTTTCTTTAACCCGCTCTCATCGCAACACGGTGATCTCCCCATTTTACTATAGCATCTATTACACGAATCTGTAAAAAAACCATTTTGACATAAATTAGATCACCGCCGAATAGACTTGGTTATACAGAAGAAAAAAATGGGCGTTAATGAACAAAATTGGTTAAAAACAAAAGTATATCCTTTATAACACAAAATGGTAAAATACAATTTTGATAAGAGAATCGGATTTATGATAACATAGGAGATTGTTAAGTAAGTATACATATATATGCATTTGTATATGTAATTTACCTGTGAGGAATAGAGAGAATTGTGGTGAAGGCAAGATCTTAGCTAATGAGGCTATGTGTTTTGTTCTTTGCTTTATATATAGAAAACATATAAGAGGCTTTCGTCTCTGTCTTGTGTCTTGTCGGAGCAAGGAGATCTTAGTTAGCTTTTGTGACGTGTCCTTTTGACTTTAATCTTATCAAAGAAGTGATATGACGAAAAAGGACCTTGATGAGAACCAGAAGAAATATGAGGAGGAAGAGAAGAAGAAGATGTTCAAGTTTGTGAAGCAATGTGTGATATAAAAGTTGCTGCAACTAATTCATGTTGACAATGCAAAGCTTAGCTTCTCAAACTTAAAAAAAATTCAGAATACAAAAAGTTAGTTACTTACAAGAGCTAAATATTCAGATAATGAGTTCTCGTATTATCTTGATTAATTACAATATAGATATATAAAATAAAATATATGCAGTACTCTCAGCGCAAAGGTCATAGATAATTTATATTTATTTTGTTTTTTTTTTTTACACTCACTCTTTTTTTCTTTTCCTTTTTCTTACAATCTTACTACAATTCTCGTTGTTTGAATTTTGGTAAAAAAAAGAAGAAGCTACTATGTATATATTTCTTGTATATAATTTAGTTACATGGTTGACAAAACAATTTAGTTACATGTTACCGCTATATCTTGTCTTTGTCAACTCATGTTATCGCTTTTCGCTATATCATGTTGATGATTCTCCACTCTTATCATATACTCTAATATTTTCATATAATATAAGGTTTGTATATATTACCCTTTTAATTTCCGTAGAACTCAGTTCGAACCCAATATACTGTATCAGGTAAATCATTTCCACGAGAAAAGATGTCCTAATTTGTCTGATACCTTTTTGTGGTCGATTATAGTAGAGATCGTGTATGCCTATGCGTTACTGGAATAATTATTAAGATTTATAAGGAAGAATATTTAATGTCACGTTGACCTAAGTATTTATGAAAACATATTGCATAACAGCATAAGAGAGACGGACACATAGTGTCTATACAATAGTATGGATACACATGCATTTGAACCATACACACATCAAATTAACAACAGTGTTCCTAAACAATATTGAAAAATCAAAATGAAAACAAATAAATAGTTCAACGAAACAAAACAAAATAATTTGATTTATTATGTTTAAAAAGATTTTTCGTAATTTTTTTTGTACTGATATTTTTTTTTGGATTTGTATCTTCTTTTTATTAAATTTCTTTTATATTCATGCAACTTACATACATAATTCGCGCGCTGCTTAAAAACTGTTTCTGGTAAGCTAAAATATATTTAATCAAGTCTCGATATGGTTGTTCATTATTGGTATAAATCTAGTTTTAAGCACATCAAGACACGCAAACTTTTTGTTTGAGACCATATAAGCCCATGGGACCCCCCAAAATCTTAACCTTTTCTAACTACTTAACTTTTTTTTTTTTTTGCTGACACCAATTTTGAATATGAACAGGCCTAATACATATATATACCGCATTCTAAAATCTAATCAAATGTTTAGATATCCCAAAAGTAAATTATTATGCGGTTTTGGCCATTTCACTAAACTAAACTAACTGCAACTGAACCTATCGCTATGACTGTAAATTGCTTTACATTCATTAATCCTACATACAATTAAAAAAAAAAAAACTCAAGGAGAAAAATCTAGCAATTTATCGATGTTTCGAAAACATCTTATATTATTTTAATTTTTAAAACAGTTCCTAGCTAGTACAAATCAGTCTAGAAAAGCATCTATACGCACGTGGCAGAATATCTTAAACTGATTGTAACAATTTGAAATCTTAATTAGTAATAGTTTTAGCTGAGATTAAAAGGGGAAAAAGTATATTCGTACGGCAGAAGTTTCCAACTAATCCGAACGTGACGGCATTCCCACAGTTGATCTTCTTATAACCAAACACACTTTATAGTTCGTCTACGGTCTAACCTTAGAACATGACCTTGATTAGTATATTGGGTTCTAAGTGCACTTATGCTGTTTAACAATTTAAATAAATACTTTACGGTAGTGTAAGATGAGTATATATGAGAATGAGCCAATGCTAAATGAAAATATCCTCAAATTAATAGAAGGCTAGCAATTAGTAAATTTCTCCTTAATGCACAAACTAACGCCATAAAATTATAAATACGGACGTTAATCCTTTTTTGTGCTTTTAAAATACGTACATGTACACGGCACATATAATAGAATCAATAGTATAATTTCTGTATCGTTACATCATATAATTAAACCTTCAATATTTGCTAAAAGACAAAATTCAAGAAATAACACTCTCACGCAAGCTAAATCTGATTGTAGTTTGATACAATACTCGTAGTTCCCAAAGCATAACACAACATAACTTAAATAGTAATTAATTAACCTAATTATCATAAAATGATATATTATCACTAACGAGCCATGCAATGTAACGTCACGTTAGGATTTAGAGTACCGTTTTTTCATACTGTCACTAGTGATCGAAACCAAATTGAACGGTTATGTTTTGGTCTTTAGTTTGGTTCAAGAATATATAGTCATAATTAAATTATTAAATGAATTTCTCAGCCGACATTTATAAGTTTAATCAATATAATAGCTTCCAAATGTGTAATACATGAATGAAAATAAACCAAATGATCCAATGGTTGTAGAGTTCATCTTAGATGTCTTTTTGGCAAGTTCTCTTACAAACTCGAATTTATATGGACCATGCAAAATAGTGTGGATTTCAGTTAATTTAAAATTTCCATTGACAAAAAAAAATAGAAATGCATGAATGAAATACATTTAATACATTATAAATACGTAATACTATCTAGAGGTTATAATTACCATTTTGTTCGATTGAACCTAACCAGGGTCTAACAACCATTCAACCCGCGCATTTATAGTTTTGTTCAATGAAATTAGCTTTGGGACCAATTAGGACGTAAATCTTTAACCACTAATCACTTGGATCTCGGTCGGAGTGCTCTATGTGTGATATCTTTGAAGGAATTTTTTTTTTTTTTTTTTGCTAAACATCTTTGAAGGAAACTTTTTACCAGAAATTTTGCTCACCATCAGAATTAGCTTGACGTTGCTTTTATCAAAACCCGGATCCACATAACTAAATATGAAAAAATCCAGCAGGTCCTAAAGTTAAATTCTTTCAAATTATATAGATTTATAATCTTTCAAATTAAGAAAAAATGCAACCAAATCCGTATGTTCTCTATCTCCGTTCACTTTAATATACACATTATCAATATTTTCAGTTTGACTTCTGATATTATCTACATTATCTTTACCTACGAAAATATGTACACCAAAAATAACAAAAGATCGGATTACCTTAAGATTATATCACACAATAAGTATAGCGTAATTTGTAGTGAGAAATCAGTACTCATTTACGTATAAGATTTGATCATGCTCGTTTTTAAAAGAAGTTTGATAGATAATTATACATTTAAGAATCGTCAGTACAATGAAGTTTTTTAAAAAAATAAAAAATTCAACTACTTTTGAATTCAAATACATTCCTGCGTTTGCTTTCAAATACGTATCTATATAACACAATGACTAGTTGGTATGTAAATGTCTACACAGTAAACAAAACGGAGTACATTCACCTCGACTTCAAAATAAAAGTGAGCAAAATTCATATATTTTGAAACCAAATACATTAATATATATGTATATCTGATTTAATCACGTAACATCGAAGATAACTCGGTCCAATTTTATTGTTTATAAATGTAAAAATCCAGAAGTATGTAAACTAAATGTTCCTCTATACGTAGATTCAAGATGAATGGAACAGATGACCAATATATTATATCTCTTTTACCTTCTAAGAAACAAAGGTTTCGTTAAACTACAGACTTGCCTATTTTGAAGCACAGATTTTACCTTTCTCGACTTTGTTATCCGTTTAGAAGTCAAAGATTATGAAACACAACTCTGACTTTCTTGCAATGTCTAAAGGTTAGGGATATGACCATATAAAAAGTTAATTACTTTTTTTAACCGTGAGAAACTTGTAAGTTCTGCACGCTCAAATAAAGAGTTATAAACTCTTTTCAAAAAGTTACTTACCGTGAGAAACTTGCATGCAAGAACCAAAAATAGTTAAAGCTCTTTCTAATTAAGTTCTTCACGGTCAAAGAACAGAGAATCGTACGTTTTAGAAGAATTCTATACAAAGTTTTTTCACTTCTTTTTTGAGCGGGTGAAACAATACAAGTTTCTCACGGTTAAAAAAAGTAACTTTTTATATGGTCATATCCCTAACCTTTGTATGCTTACCTACGGTGTTTATTCCTGGATATCTAACGAGCAATACCAAGAATAAAGCACAAACTTACATAAACAGAGATTCTAAAATGTTCGTAAGTTAATGGAAAAGAGAGCTTCATGAAAAAAAAAACAGAAATTTTGTTTTTGGGTTTGTAGATGACGTGAACGAAAAACAGGGTAAGCCCAAAATTCGAAAGAAGAAAAGAATCATAACCCAACAACTTAATACAAACCTATTGCAGAAGCCATAACCCAAAAAAAAAAAGATCAATTAAGAAGAAATCAAAATGATGATGAAGAGAGTGATGTGTGTACCTATGTGTATGTGATAAGCTAGATTCCGCAATCAAGAGATGTTTATTTATTTATTTCTGGTTCACTGCTCCCTTCTTCTTGAGAAGGTTCCCAACTTTACCAAATAGTGTTTTCTTCTTCTTCTTCTCCTTTTCATTCACCAGCTGATCTTCTCCGGTTAATATATCTCCTGTTTCTTTCATGTTTTCCGGTGAGGTTTTCTCGCTTTTGACTATCATGTCTGAGTCTTCCACTTCTTCTTTTGGTAACTCTTGCTCTGTGTTTCCCTTGTGGAAAGCTTCTTTCTTCTCAATCTGACAACTTTCCCACATCTTAAATTCAACTTCAACTGTATCACCATCATCATCATTACCATCTGGAGAATCTTCTTTCCTTTCTCTATCCTCCTCGGGTTTCATGTTCATGCCGTCGAGGGTTTCCACTTTAGAGGACTTGTCTTGTGTGATTCTGTGACCATTCTCCTCAGAAAACTCAACCACCTTTGGAAGCAAATCATAGTCTTTTTCACTTTCACTGAGCTCACCGTTCTCTTCTGTAAGTTTCTTGGCCAAAGCTTCCTCGAGTAACTTCGACAACTCCTTGATCTTCTTCAGAGAATCATCCTGTTTTACTCTGAGTAAATCATTCTCATGAACAACGCTTTGAAACTCACTTTCTTTATCCAACATTTTCTCATTTAGTTTCAAGCTTTCAGCTCTTGCTTCCCTCAGAGTTTCCTGAAGATAAATCACCTCATCTTCGACTTCTTTAAGACTGTCTCTCATCTGGGATTCTTTCTTCCATGCTGCATCAGCTTCTTCCTTTGTCCTTTTAACCAAATTACCCAACCTATTCATTTCTTTCCCCATTGAAGAAACTTCTTCATCAAATTTCTTCACGTGATTCACCAAACCGGCTTCTCTCATCTCCCAATCTACCATTGAGCTCTCGAACTGTTTCTTGGTTTGCTCCACCGCACTGACAAGAACATCGATCTCATGTCTCGCCTCGTCAAGCATATTCTCGTACTTCTCGTTTGTTGCTTTGATGACCAACTTCAGATCTTCTACTTGTGTTTCATAATCCTCATCACCTCGACTCGACAACTTTTCTTTCAACTCGCGTGCTTCACTCGACACTTCGTGCAATGCCGAAGCTAAACTCTCCATAGCTTTCTTACTCTTCTCCTCTTCTTCTTTCGAGCTCTCCAGCTCTGACAAGATCTTGTTTTTCTCTTCCAAGAGCATTTGAACACTTGAAGTAGCATCTTGTTCCTTCTTTACTATCTGACTCTTCTCCTCCTTTACAGTTTCAAGCTCGTTCTTCAGCTTCCCTGCCTCTTTCTCGACCTTGGATAATTCTTCTTCTGCAATACTCAGCCTTTGTTCAGATTCTTCGAGATCCTCCTTCTGTCTAGCAACTTCCGTCTCCAACAACCCGATTTTCTCCTTGAGATCAGTAATTTCAGACTCCATAGCGTACAATCTGCCATTGCTTCCTTCCAGCTGCTTCGTCACAGATAACAGAGAAACCGAGGCAGATCTCTTCAGATTGTTAGCTTCATCCAACTGTTGCTCCAATTCTTTAGCTTTGTTATGCCACTCGTCAGCAGAGCCGTGCGCATAAGACTCTGCCAGTTTCGCAGCTTCCAACTCAAGCTTAAGCCTCTCAATGATCATCTCTTGTTCCTTGACCTCTGCTTTAAATCTTGTCGCATCTTCAAGCTCTCTTTTCAAAACCACTATCTCCGCTCCTAGCTTTGAAGCAATCTCCTTGTTGGAGATGGTTTCCTTCTCTCGGGTTGAGTCAAGCAATGCCTTCAACCGTATCAACTCCGATGACAAGATTTCCACTTTCTCTGCATGAATTACAGCCATCTTGCAAGCATCATCTGCTTTACTCATAACCTTACTCTTGGCATCATTAGCTGCGACCAATTCTTGATTCAGTTTCTCCAGCTCCCGGGTCACCGAAAGAAGAGCAGCTGAATCTGAAGCATGTTGGTTCTTGACAATCTCGAGCTCTTTCTTAAGTTGTTCTTCTTTTCTCCGAACCGCCTCTATCCCTGCCTCAACAGCCTCAAATTTCTCAATCTCAAAACTCTCCTCAATTTTTCTCTGAGCTTTCAAAGCCTCATCCAGTTTCCCGGACGCCTCCTCAGCCTCTTTCCGTGCTTCTTCAAGTTCACCAAGTGCTTTAGCTTTTTCATTCTCAAGGGATTCTATCAGCTCATTCGCTTTCTTCAGATCTTCCTTGATTTGACTCAACCGAGGTTGCGACTCTGATCCTTTCACAGTCCGCATTTGAGTTTTCTGCAAAGCAATTCATAGACCAAGAAAAATGGATATTAACTGTCAAAGCAATACAAACCCCAACTTTAAGACCAGAAACCGCTCTGACACACTTACTTCTGGAGGGGTTGGAACCTTGGGAGACCTCTTTTCAGTAGAAAGCTTCGAGTTAACAGAAGAGCGGTCGAGCGAAAGCCGTGAATGTTGAGTCGGTGAAGGAGAATTAGGTTCGGATCTAGTCATTATCCGAGTCACTTTAGACACTCTTAGAGAGCCTGGAGATGATTTGCGCAGAGTCGTTTCGGATAGACCACTTCTGCTTCAAAAAACAACCAAGTCTCATCAGAGGCAAGCAAAAGGAGACAAGTAAAAGAATTAACTCAACTTGCAAAAATCATGAAGTAACGGAAACTTCAATAGTCCAAAACTTCAATGCTAGTGAGTAATGAATTAATTAGTAACACATTAACACTGGGTGCTTCAAAAAAATCATATACAGTTTCATACTCTCCCACTCTAGTGCAGTCTCATGTTGAACCAGTCGAACCAATGGAGGCTTAAAAGAACAAAATTAGAAAGGAGAACATAAAAAAAAACAAATAAAGATCAAGATAAAGACAACAGCTAAAAACTCGCCATGGAATCGTAATAATTAAAATATATGTGAATCAGTTTAATAAAGGTTTAAAATTTACAGAAACGGACGGGGTTTAATAAAAATAATGATCATGAGCTAAAAATAGGATCCTTCGAAAAAAAGAAAAGAGAGATCAAAACCCTAAACCCAAACCCATTGGATCTACTCGATCATACGACAATCTCTAAAACAACAAAGAAACCTCAGAGAAACTCTGTTTCGGAAGAGACGAGATAAGCCCAGATCGGAATATGAATCGACGAAATTTTCCACGGAGATAAAGACATAACTTTGAAGAGAGACAAAAGAATCGGAGATGCTTACTTAATCTTAGAAGCCATAGCCACAGCCTCACTTTGCTACGGATCAGTGAGAAGTGAAATTGGAAAGTGACACAGATATAAACTTGTGAATCTTGAACCTGTAAACTCAAATTTTCTCAGATTGAAATTTCCATATTATTTTGTTTGAGTAAAGATCAAGAGAGAGAGACAATGATTTGGTTCATCGGGTTAAGGAAACGATTGATGAACCAACAGAGAGAATGATACAAGTTGGTGAGGTTTGTCTCCAGAGTGGCCACACTCCTAAAAAGCGAAAAGGCTTAAATAGATTCTCTTTAATATATTGTAAAACAAAAATCCCGATTCGCATTCCGATCCTACGAGATCAACGCCAACGATAACGACCAACATTAATAACGTATAAACAATAAATAATCGATTAATCATAAACTAAAAACGTGAGATTAGGGGTAAAGACTAATAATATGTCAGCTCTGAATGACAAAACTATCTTTTTTTGGTTTTAAAACCTCAATTCAAGATAGCTAATAGAACGTGAAAAAGAAAGAAAAATAAAATCGTTAGTCCGATACATATGCGATTTTTAATGAACATTATTAAAACACACAAATTCTTTATTTTTTACATGAAAATTAAGTAACAATGTTAACAATCAGAGATAACCTTTACCAAAATAAAATAAAATAATAACAACCAGAGAGATAACGATTGATCAAATACTTTAAAAAATCATAAGCCACATAAATACAATTTTTAAATGGTTTAAATCTACTTTATAGCCGTATGAAATAATGTATGTTATACATATGTTGCCTGTTCTTAATTTGAACTACAATCACAAGCCTTGCCAAAAGATCAACTTCCCTGTCTGTTCTTAAAAATCATTGATCGTCTCTTGTTGAAACTTAAAACTATACTTACTAATCAGATCCGAAAACATGTAATCCTTAAAAAAAAAAATATCCGAAAACATGTATATATTTTTCCAATTTGCGTCATATATAAAGGACAGTTAAGTAAAATGAGAAATAATGATATTTCAGATAATTAGACAACTATGCTTTTGTAAACAAAAGGTAAATGTTCAAATTTCTCGCGGGAAAATGGTGGAGAGTTTTGGCGGGAACTATACATACATTTTTCATTAATTAGTAATTTTGATACGAAAAGTGGAATTTTCTTATTTCTAGATATTAGTTTTGAAAATATGCTGATGATATCTAAAAAATTCTAAATACTGAGTAGTTAGTAATTATTTAAGACTCCTCAGCTTCTTCAATCCATAGAGACATTTCCAGAATCTCCAGGCGATATTTCGAATCTACTTCCGTTGAAGCGACGGGCGTTTCATTAGGGTTTCGATCGCCAGCAGCAAGGAGAGCGAACTAAAACATGTTCGGAGGCGACTTTGACGGCAACGCGGCTTTCGCCGGCGGCGGTTTCATGCCTTCCCAGGCAACTACGGAAGCGCCTGACTCCGCATCGTCCTTCAAGGTAATCTTCTTCGCCATCGACGAATTTGAGAAATCCTTCCCGCGTTTCGTGCTATTGAAATTCAATCTATCGCGCTTACGATTCTATCGAAGTTCTCTCTTATCATGCGGTTTTATTTTCGTGCCTGTACTTGTTTTATGCATCCGATTCTCTCCGTTTCAAGTCAATTAGTAGAAGAATCATGATAGTTCCGCTCGATTTTTCTTTGATTTCACTCTTGACATGGCTGAATTGTATTGAAGAACAAATAGCTTACCAGAGAGATCTGGAAATGTAGATGTGTCCGTGACTTTTGCATCTTATTACAAATCGATTTATCTCAATGCATTAATTCTATGTTTGTGGAGCTGTGAATCTGGATATAAGACACCGTATATTGAGCAACATTTTACTTGAGCAAAGCAGCAATATATGGGTTTTAACCACTGTTTTGCAGAACCGCGATGTACGTACCTTGCTTCCCCTGACACTGAAGCAATTGAATAGCGTATCAACCAATGGCGAATCAAATTTCTCCATAGACGGCGTTGATATTAACACTGTAAGCTTATATATTATGCCCTCTTACTGATTTTTTTGCTGCATATTTGGCTATTCACGGTTAAGTTTGAAGTCTATTGAGTCAAGTATGTTTCTGTTGTACATCTGTTGATTCTTTAATCTCTTATAATATCTGATATTGAGCTTGGTGTCAACTGTCAATTATGTTTCTGTTGTAGATTTGATGTCTCTGGAGTTGAGCATTTGCACTGTGTTTTCTGTTTTTAGGTTGCAATTGTTGGACGAGTTTCTAGAATGGAGAACAGAATCACCCAGGTCGATTTTGTTGTAGATGATGGTACAGGCTGCGTTGAATGTGTCAGATGGTAGGTATTCTTCTGATTCTAATAGAACCTCAATATGAAAATGCTGTCATTAGAGCTAAACTATATCTTGCTAATTCATTGTGAACAATAATCTGCAGGTGTCATGAACGTCAAGAAACTGAAGAAATAGAAGCAATCAAGTATGTTTTCTGCAGAACAATTGTAGATTCTTTTATTTGATATAGTATCTAATCTTGATACAACACATCTGTAACAGGCTGGGAATGTATGTTCGCCTACATGGACACCTGAAAAGTTTTCAAGGGAAGCGATCTGTGAATGTTTTCTCAATCAGGTACCTTTGTTTACTTGATATACTTATCTCGATCAGTCTATGAAATACTTGATAAGCGAACCATATCATATCTGGCTTTCTAGATTTGACATTACTATTTGATCTAGGATATTCCTCTGTTTTGCATTGTCCAAGTAAATGAACTTTTTTCATCTGACTTTAGTCTAATAATATGCTTGCAGGCCTGTCACTGACTTCAACGAGATTGTACACCACTTTGCCGAGTGTATCTATGTCCACATGTACAACACCAAGTCACGGGTATTAGCCTATCCTTTATCGCTATGTTTTTTGTCAATTTTTTTTTGTCAACGCTATTTGAAGCTTTGTTCCACAGCTTCAAACGTCTTCATGTTATATACTAACCTCAATTTTCTTCAGGGTGGTTCCATTTCTCAGGCTACTGTTACTCCTAGGCCCCAAATGCCATATTCAACGATGCCAACCCCTGCAAAGCCGTACCAAACTGGTCCATCTAATCAGGTAGTAGACAGATGTAATCTAGAATTGAGTTTATTCTATGCTTCTTTGTGGCCCTTTTAAGTTATTGACGAATCTTTTTCAGTTCCCAAATCAATTCAATGATCCATTGCACGGCTTCAAGCAGATGATCTTGAATTACCTGAATCAACCTATGCACCTGTAAGTTCATCTACTATCCCCAAAAGATCCCCTTTAGCCTTTCATATATATCATTCATACCGCTTTCAATGATCAAACTTCTGTTCATATAATAAGCAAATAAACCACTAAAGTCTCTATGAGCCAATCTTTTAAGTTAAACTCATTCAACATACCACAAGTGTAAGCCTTGTCGCTGAAGATTAATGCTTGTGTTAGTGTTGAGTGTATTGCCATTTGAAACTCAACTTCTTTCATTGGATTCTCTCTCTCTGTCTCTCTGTTGGATTCTCTCTTGGATTCTCTTTCTCTCTCTCTCTCTCTAAAAGCATAACTTGAGTTTAATATTTGGTTTTATATATGTTGAATCTACATCAGTACATCTGAAGCTGGAGTCCACTGTGATGTGATTGCACGCAACCTCGGGATTCCGCCTCTTAAAGTCAAGTATATCTCTCTCACTCTTTCTCTATATCTATCTCCCTCCTCTCTCTATTTCTTCAAAAAAATGTTACAATATAAAAATGGAAACTTTCTTGACAAGAACTACTTGGTCTTCTATTGGCAGGGATGCATTAGAGCAGCTCTCGAACGATGGCTGCGTTTACTCTACTATGGATGAGACTTGCTTCAAATCAACCGCGAACGCATGATCAAATTCGATTCACGTATCAATCGACCTCAAAGTTTCTATTTTCTTAAAAAAGGCTTTTGTATAGGCCCTAAGGTACGACAACCTATGGCTTTCTTTAAGACTAAAAATCTAGACCTAGTAGCTTTTGGATTTCTTAAAACCTAACTCAAAGGTTCAATCAAATATTTCCCGTCGTATGATATTATCTTTGTTCTAGTAGCTATATAAACCGGGTCATAGGTCGGCCCGGTGCTTACGTTAACCGAGCCGAATTTTGGGCTGGGCCGTTTGTTTTTAGTAGTCATTCGTTACGACCAGAATTTAAGCACCAAAAAGCTTTTCTAGAAAAACAAATATTTTTCGGGGCTAAATATATTTCATGAACTTGCCGGACTTGACCAGTCCAGTGTACAAGGGTTTTATAAAGGACTACCCGGCTAAAATTCTAGGTATTTCTCAAATAATTGTCAAACAAAAATGTTTTTTTTTTTTTTGCAGATTTTAGTGGCATGACCATGGCTAGCTGTCTCTTGAGTCTTGACTATACGAGATCTTTGAAATACGTAATCTTTTACTTCATATGAAAATACAAATGGTAGAATTAAAAAATTGACATTCAAATAATTGGGTTCATAGAATATTATTAAATTTGGAATAGTTCCGTAGGGTCCCGAGAGTTTAAAAGATACTGTCATTTTTTTATCTCCAACAATTATTAAAAAAAAAGGTTGATACAAATTTTAATTGTAACTTTTGTGATGGAACAATATATGTTTTATTGATAAATAAACAAACAAAGATTAGATTCGGATACGAGATTTAAAGCATCACCTGAATCTAAAGAACTAACGATAACAAAAGTAAAACAAGTGCAGCCTAAAACTTATTTGACTTATTTAAAGATGGAATCATATATGTTTTACATCCAACAATCACATAAGCTAATCAAAATGTTCATCGATAGCAAAAACGGTTGTACGGATAGGATGGATCAGTGGGACCCTAAGAATAGGTGAAAGTGAAACTATGCGGCTTTTCCTTCTTAGATTGTTCGTTTTGGTTTTCCCGTGTGGGAAAATGAAAAATCAGTCACATGGAGAAGAAACGAAAATACGGATATGGTCCAAGAAGCTAAGATGCTGAGGCCGATCGTTACGCTTGACATATCCACGCGCTTCGTTTTCCGTGTACGCGCCGAACGATCTCCCTCGATTCCTCTCCCAAAGCTCTTCCTCGTAGCTCTTGTGCGCGTAATACGCCTCCACCACGCACGACGACGACGGCTCTGTTGTTTTCAGATCTCCTCCCTCTTCCTCCTCCGTCGTGTCGAGGCGGATCTGTTGCCGGACGTAATGGCCGCGACTGATCCCTTCGAGCTCGTCGAGACGCGAGAGACCGCGAGGAGAAACCGCGTAAAGCTCTCCGGTGACACGATGACCCGATCCAGGCTTGTTGAGGAGGAAAGGGACTCGGTAGGGTCCGCAGACGAGCGGATATTGTTCTAGGGTTTGGTAAACTCCTTTGAAAGAGGCGTCGCCAGATCGGATCAGATCTTGCATCAGGACGTGGTTGGAGAATCCTCTCTTCAGAGTTCCGTACGTGAAGACGAGCGTCGTCTTCGTGGTCGCTGTCGCCATTGTTTCGTGGCCCATTGCTGAGAACAAAAATTAAGAGGAATTTGGATAGGGAAGGAGAAAGAGATCTAAGGAGAATTTTCTACGGTTGGTGTGAGAAATTGGAATCAGAATCGAAGAGAGAGAGATTGAAATATTGGAATCTCTGATTTTTAGGGGCGTGAAATTTGCGTTAAGCCGATGACGCGTTTATATAGTAGTGGATTTCGTCTGCTGAGTTTATTATTTTATTTTATTAATGGTTTTCTTCTTTAATTGTGTTTCTTTAATGGTTTCTCTAATTTTGTTTTCTCTTGTTAGAAAATAATTAAAAGTATAAAAATTAATAACCATTGTTTTTGATTATTCAGAAAATTGATCAATCTACATGTCTAAGAAAATAACTGATTGTCACTATTTTTTAACATAAACATGCTATATATTTTCTGTGGATGAGATTATAATTACATTCTCTAAGTGTTTTCTGTGTAGTTTGAAAAACTTGGTTACTCATAGTTCATCATTTCTGATCTATAAATACCAATAATCTATAGATGTATAATATATCAAACAGTTTTCATAAATTTATCGGCTATTAAGAATATTTTCATCATTTATCTTGCTTGATATTATACATGGATGATAGATCGATCCTATGGGAAACTTTTTGGACACCAAATTGTTATGTGAATGACACAAGTGATGACCCAAGTTGTAATTTTACCAATTATGTATATGAAAATGTGAAATTAGAATATTATGAGAGGAGGTCCACTCGGCTCACTAAATGGACAAAAGTACAGGAAACGTCGTATCATATACATCATACAACATATAATATGATAAGCTTGACGAAAAATATATCTTTGTCGTAATTTTAAATTTTCATTTTATTTCTTTAACCTATTCTTCTTTTGGGGCGTATAAAACAAAAATAGAACAATAATTGGCGTGAGGTGTTGTGTTTGGTATTACGTGTAGATGCGGAATGTAGCAGCACCACACATTACAGCCAAGTTGCCATTCTTTTTTAAATCTTTTATTTGAAAATTTTATTTCCATTCTCTTATTTAAACAAATCAACCTTTTCAATTCCCGTTATTTAAAAAAAAAAACACAATTTAGAACAAATAATAATATCATTATTGATAGGGTGGATGTTTAATTTGCTCACTCAAATATACATATAGAAACACATTTATTGGATTTTTCTTTGATTTTCGAAATTTATGATGAATTATTGGGAATGTTTTAAGAGTAGAAAAACGTACCTATTCGCATGAATGAAAGAAATCAAGAATACTCGGTTTGGTTGACAAAGCGAAGACGAAGAGATGAAGGATGAAGATGATTAGACAATGACAAACACACAACAAAAGCTGATGCTTTTTTGTTTTATTCCCTTTGGATTTTTGTTCCGTGGCTGTAGTACAATTGCACCGTACTTCTTTTTACCCACCCTGAAAAATTCGCTTTAACTTTAATTAATACTACTTTTAAAAGCTGAAAAGTAAGTAAATTAAAATAACCACTTGGTACAAAGTAAATCAAAGGTACTTTGTTAATTCAGCTTTTTTAACATAATGCAGCCTGGCTGATTAGACTAATCTGTCCGCAATCTGATTCATTTTCACTTTTTTCTTTTCTTCGTTTGTTTTTTCTTTCTTTTATTCCATTTTTTAAAACTTCAAAACATCAAACATTGAATCAAGAATGAAATTGATAATCAGGTGTTTAATGCTTGTATGTAAACTTTTGTAATTTTATTTTGACTGAGATACCGAGTCTAAACTAATGTATTGTGTAAACTGTTTTTACGGGTTTCCTATAATTCAAGAACAGTTTTGTGAAATATTAAGGGGTTGCTTGGGTATAATTATTTTCATGTAAAAGCACAATGGAACAAACAAACAAAAAAAAACAGAGTCTGAACTGTGAAGCACATTCAATGGTGGACACAAAGCATGACTCATCTAAACTTTTGAGCACATTCAATGGATGAAGTGACGATGAACATAAAAGTTGCTATAGAAACCTTTACACATTTCGTTTAGTGATTAATCATTTCATTCTGCTATTCTTTTTCTGAAACCATGTTTTTATATACTCTTTGTAGTTTATAATAAATGTTGTTTCACAATGCCGATTTTAAGTTTTCATTTGTAGGAGTAATCGTTAAATGTATTAATCCGAGAAATATACTTGTTTATCATATTTTTTAATTATTATTATGATTTCTTCTGATTTGCGTAAAAAAAAATCTTTAAACGATATTTCAACTGAAAACTTGAAATTTTGGTATTGATTCCGTGCCAGGATAAAACTAAAAGTCAAAACATAGCTTAATTCTAAACATGAGCAATGTAAGATATATGTTTCCTCTGTTTTAAGCAGAGCTACAGAACCTACAACAGATAAGCACCAAAAGTTGAAGCTTTTATCGTCGTTTCACTTTAGTTTATGTCATGTGACCCATGAATGATATAATACAACACAATAAAGGCTTTAATCAAAATCTCTGAAGGTTAGCATTGTCCAGACACAATGTTGCTTTCTTATTGTAGCATCATCAAATTTTCAAATACGTACAACATTTAACATACTGCAAAAGCTGTCATATCGTCGAATGGGGAGGACATAAGGCACAAACCTATCTGTGTGCCAGCTTCTTGTATAAATCCGGAGAGACGGACTAATAATGCCTTTGGAGTTTCAGAGCAAATGTTACATAGCTCTGTTTCTGCTTCAGTTTCTACAGAGCAGTAGTATTCTCCTGCAGAAGAAACGTGACAGAATTGCATTAGCTATTGACTGGCAATGGAGTTAATGAGCGGAAGAGGATAGTCGGTTTAGCGCAAAACAAGAAGTAAACCGGATCGAAACCTTGCTAATCTGTCTTGTTATTATTGCCTTCTCCCAATTGTTGTGTCCTGCGATTTTCACGAGTTAGAAAAGACCGTGTTTTTCAGAGTTTCACTGCTATGATTGTTTGGTTTTGTTTGGTAATTTTAGTTTCCGGTTTATTCGTGGGTTCGAGACTAAACAATAACCGAGTTCAGATTTAATTCAGTCTAGGATATAGGAAAAAAATAACTTACAAAATACTACTATTTCAACCTTATTGAATGTCTGGTTTGATGAACTTACAAAATACTACATTCAGGTTTTTGATTTCTTCTTTCGGTTATAAAAAAAATGATAAAACTGATCAGGCCACAAGCAAATTTCGGTTTGGTCTTGATATTTAAGCAAACCGGAAAAAAATGTGGAGTTTTGAAGAGAGGTACCATGGTGATGAGGAGTGACTGATGCCCAGTCCATTGCAAGTGAGTATCATTCCCTTAAATCTTGCGAGATATTCCTGCGCGTTTAAATATCTCAAAATACTTATAACGCGAACGATATTCGAAAGCTCAAAGCAACATTATCCATACCCGCAAAGTATACTTGTGAATTTCGTAAATACCGGTCATATCATACTCAAAACGTAAAGCAGGATCCATTAGCACTGCAATAATAAGAGAGAGAGAGAAACGCAAAATCGAATGAATGAGGTAATCGCCTTAACAAAGTTTTGGTAACTAAGTCGAAGGTATATGCTGCATAGTATCGACAACATACTACATTATTAATAATATCAAATCAAACTGAACCTATTTTATGCAAAAGGCGTTACCATTGTAAGCTTCATTTATCTCCTGAAATTTTGAAGTAGCCACAGTATCACCATTGTGCTTATCAGGATGCCACTTCTGCATATGGCAAGAATCTCCATTTCACTTTACTAACCAAGTTTCCATCTAAACCAAACTTACTGATATATTTTAGTTTTTTGTTTACTAACCAAAGCAAGCTTCCGATAATTTAGTTTGATCATCTCCTCAGTTCCATCATAATCAACTTCTAGAATCTTATAGTAATCCTTCATTAAAAAATATGAGTAAAATCAGATTTATAGTAATAAATCACATAAATTTTCCAGAAACGATCAACTGATTTAAAAGAGTGGAAGCCAGTTCCAATTCAAGAAGCTATAAAAACACAAACTTGCAAAAGACTAAAGTAACATAAGAACAAAGAATCACCTAAATTAAACAAAACCAAACCTTTCAACAATCTAATAAACAACGAATCATCTCTGAACCTCATTTCATGAATATATACAGAAAAAATCTAAACTTTTACATCACAACAAGATTGAATCAAAGAAACAATGATAGTGGAATCAAACGCAGTGATCATCAGTGATAGAAGAAAAAAAAACCCAAATTTTTGTACCTTGGGAGAATTGTTATCTTCCATCTGATGCAGAGACGAACAGAGGAAGAATATCTTCATACATCTTCTAGCTGAAGAATAAAAGCACTAACACGGAAAAAAGGATTGCAGATTTTCTTCTTTTTTTCCCTCGGAAAAATCAAATTAATGGCAGAGAAAATACTGAAATATTATTCCCCTAGAAAAAATGTGGAATTTCAACAGAAAAATATCAATCGAATCTGTGGTTTTGCTTTGATCTTTTTTTCTTCTTTGGTTTTCTTTTTCTTTACGATGAGAAGAAGAGACTTTTTGACTTTAAGTTTTGGCCTTTGGGGGTAATGTTCAAGATTAGATAGCCGATAGCATGAAGAGGCAACCGCCTATACTAAGTTTGACCAATCCGGTTTACCGTTGATTTCACTTTTGGTCGGGTTTGCAATAATTTATAGTAATAATAGGTTATTTAAAATTATCTTCGATTAACACATTTTACAGTTGACGTAATTGTTATATACAGTAGTACAATATCTGATGTTAAATGGTTATGGTTTATGTCATATGATAAAAGATTCAAATCTGCATGTGATCAACTGATCATGGTGAGATATATGGTTACTTTAACTATGTGGTTATATGTTCTAGTTAAAATGATTATGGTTATAATCGAGTGCTTTCCTCTCTCCTGCCGTTCATTACAAAAAAAAAAAAAAACAGTTTTTATAAGACGATCATGAGTTGATCAAGTGCCTCGTCTCTTGGGTGGCATAGAACATTTCTCTTTTTTTCCTCGAAATACACCCCAAAGGAAAAAAAACATGTTCCAACCTGCAAATACAATGGATAGAGAGACATAAGCAACAGACTTGGTACAGATTAAAACAGGGTCTTACATACAGAAGTTCAGCTCTACTGAGAACAGTGAAACTTGCCAAAAAAAAACGCATGTTCACGATGTGAAAGAGTTTTCGTTAACATACTTACGTTGGCAGTTCTGAGGAAGCTGATTGGACGCAAAAATCAAAAGCTCAACACCCTCGAGGTTTCCTTTTAGCGCTACATCTTTCTGGATCATGTTATCTACCAGGGGCTTATAATTTTTTTCATAACTGTGTGACACGCAACAATTTATATATTTCGTCAGCGAATTAGGATCCTATCATCTATGTTTGTTAGATGAATAAAACATTGAAGCCTGATTTGAAATTTAGACAAGAATAAATTACTGAAGCCACCAAAACACAAGAAACCATGCGAAATAAAAATAATAACACAATTATATGCAGATACCTCTCATTGTCCTTAGGAAAGAAGAAAAGAGCCACATGGTCTTCCTTAACACCTATATCTTGAAACTGTGCAGGCCATGTACTTAGCCTGGGTACTTCATTCAAAATGACTTTTACTGGAAATTGGTTCACCAATTCAACAACCTTAGGTGATGCTAATGTTGATAGATATGCTTGCATTCCACAATACATTGCTGATAGATTTCTGTTTTTCTGCACCTCCATGTCCCCTCTGGTCAAAGGAAACAGAAGGTTTATCTACAAGCATTAAAACCCAGAAAAGATATATTCATAAAAAGGAATAAAAGCCATACTGCCAAATGTATTCATGCTCTGGGATGGCTGAGGTTGTCGGCAGAGCAGATGGGGCAACCACAGGCAAATCTCTCATGACCGGTTTTACAGAAGTTAAATGAACCACAGTCTCTGCAGATTGGGAAGCAGCCATTGCATCAGCATCAGAGAGTGTAAACTGCTTTCCATTTACTGCAACCGTCTGCTTGTGTGTCCGTATATTTGGATGCCCTCCTTGCAATCCCACAGGCCAATCTCTCACGACCGGCACCTTCGAGGGAAAGTTTTGAATAGTCTTATCACAACTAGAATCCACATTAGACACTGAAGGCAAATCAGATTGCTCCAATCCTCTGTTCTTGCCAAAGCTAGGTTTTCTCCGCAGAGCAGCATCAACCGCTGCTCGCAACCTATTGCCCTTATTTATATCCTCCCTAATATTTCGTGTGGTAGAGAGATTGCTTCCAGAGGCACATGACGACTCAGAGGGTTCTGCATTCTGACCTTTTTGAGATGGCAGGCCTTTAGAACCAGATAACAGGTCAGACCTTTGGCAATTACCAACAGCGTCTTTGCTTTTCTCCCCCGCCTCTCTGAATTCCCTCGACCGGGATAAACCATCAACATCTGCCAGTTCATCCTTACGTTTGGCTTCACTTGATATTTGCTCACTTGAACTGGACTTTGATATCTTTTCATTTGTAGATGTATCCCCTACTGCATAGGTAAGAAATAAATTCCTGGGAGTCAACCATGATATCTTTAAACGCAGCAAATCTTTTACTAACAGAACAAAAAACCGATAACAGTAACAGTTGAAATTGTACCAGAAGCAACTATATCTTCTAGACGGTTTTGACTTCGGTGTCTGGCTTGCTTTTTCAAGCTACCTTGCTTACCATCAGACTGCATCCCCTGCAAATCACGTGCATTGTTTGCATATGAAATGGACGAATGGCCACGTGAGATTAGCTGCTGATCGACTGTGGATGCTGAAGGGTTAGCTTCTGTACTTCGATCTTTCAGTTGCTTCGAACCTTTTACTTTTGAGTCCTTGCAACTAGAGCTCCCAACGCCTATACATCTAGCTGACGTTGATTTGCCTACAATTCTGGAAAACCCCTCCTTTACAAGGGAAGCATTTTCTTTCCCAATTTTCTGTCGTAGAAGCATATCATCATCCACTGGTCTCACCTTTGGTCTAGAGCTCGAAGAATTAAACGAATTGGACTTGATGAAGGAGCCTGTACAAACAGAAAACAAGATCATTATCTACCTGCAAAAATCACCAGATGTACGAGAAACTAGATGACGAAGACCTGCGTTTGAGAGAATTTTTATCATATATCCTACCTTTAGGGGACTGGAGCTGTGAGTCAGTAGATCGTGTGCTTTCTGTGTCATCACTAAAGTGGCTATTGAAGGATGGGTGATGAGATAGCTTTCTCGTTGTCTTCTCTAAGCCCTTAAATGATGTTTCCCGAGATAAAGCGGACAATCTGGGAGGAACAGGTCTCTTGGGTGACCCTGTTGGAGCCTCAACTGCCTGTCTTTTTGCATTTGGAGCTACCTCAAGTTTATCTATGTGCCTTTTTCCGGAACTCTGAGTATTCAAATTTACCCCAGTTTCTGCATGTTTCAACTAAAGTTGGTTAGATAAAAAAGGAAAAACCAAGTTCACGACCAAGTTCCGCTAATATTTTGAACGAATTTCATGTTGGTAAATTATTCAGCTTTACCTGTCTTCTTCGTTTCTGCTTCCTCAGCAAGCTTGCATTCTTCACAAAGCCAATCACCCTCGGGAACTTTTTTAAGCACTACCCGCATGCAATAGCTGAGCAAAAGAAAACACAACTATATCATTGGCACACAAAAAATACTGCTGCTTTATTAATTATAGGATATTCCAATCAAATTTCACTAATACTATCCTGAACGGCAATTAGCCATTAGTTCAGAAAGACGGGGTACCCCGGACTCCAAAAAGTACTTAATCTTTCCTTTCCCATGAACATAAGGAACCTTACGTGTGTTCTGCACCATCACTGCATCTGCTGCAGATAGCAAGTAAATCCTCACGACCTGCATCTCCACAAATGTCACAGACTTTTACCTGCTCAAAACAGAGAGAACATTTCTTAAATTTTTGGTCACTAGGAGATGAAAGTAAATATTGCAACAAAAAGAAACAGAAGCAAAAGTCCAGCCACAACAAAATAGATGTGTTCTCTAATTCTGCCTAAAATGACTGTATGAGATAAAACAGCATTACTTACATCAAATTCCAGCATTTCAGAATCCGCACTCTCACACTCAGACATAGGTGATGTGTTTGGTTCCTCTGCTATATTAAAGGCACTATTTTCTCCCGGATTCCCAACCATCCCACTTTGATCTGAATGCGTAGAACTTTCATTTATACAATTTTTCTTGTCTTCCTTATTCTCTGTTCCTGGCTTTTCTTTGACTTTTCCCGGCCCTGAAATGTTTCTCGCTTGGTGGTCAGATAACAAACTATGTGAAGTCTGCGACTTCACTTCCTTTGGAAGAGCATTCCATGAGTCTCCCTTCATAGAATCTTGACCTTTGCGAGACCAATCTAGATTTGGGCCATCAGACATATCAGGAAATCTTATCATTTCGTTACTCTCAGCATTCTCGGAGGAGGTATCATGACGGGAATTAAGCCGATTGCTCGCCTCACTAGCAGTGTTCTGTGAACTGCCGAGAGCATTAACCCGAGAAGAAGGCAAAAGATCGTCCTCGTTGAAAGAACACTGGCTCACCACTACACCATGGGAGTTTTCATCTGATGACTCGTCTGACTTTGAACCGGTGAAGCCCGCGTTACGATGCATGCAAGATGAACAAGGAGCAGAGCAGACATTACAAGTTCCAAACTCTATTTTAGAACGACCTCTCCGACCCATGGAGCGAATACCAGCTCTTCTATCAGCCTTCAGGCATAACATAGAGAGGATGTTAGAAGTAAAAAGAAGCAGATTGACAGGAAAAAATTAAGGAATTCTCTTTTTAAACAATATCAGTGAAATAAAATCAGCATTAAAGGGAAAATGTAAGGAGACATAATTTCATACTTTTTTTTTTTTTTTGATTTTTGTTGCTAAGAGGTCAAACCAAAAAAAAAAAAAAAAAAAGTGGCATTGGACAACAAGGAAACTTCCATTTTTATATTGCATCCACGAAGCATTTTCTATGTGAAGTTTTGAGGTAAAATCGAGTCCTCCATGTGAGCGGTTTCCTAAACTACAACTAAACATCCCCAGGGAAGATTCTTAATGCAATCCACAAAAAACAATACAGATTATCCTCTGTTCTTAGACCATCCTTAAGCAAGAACATGCCACAAAATCGTTAACACAAAAAAAAAAAAAGATAACTCCAGAGTCTCCAGATAATCTTACCATGTACAACAAAACTGATGAGCACGACTCGCAAATCGATTTCTAGTCCGCTAGTTCAACTGTGAAGAAAAGAACAAATGGCATCATTAAGAGCTGCAAAATAATCAACAACAAACCCATATGCTTTAATCATGCTTTTTAACAACATTAAGCGTAGAAGAAGATACAAATTGAGCACAAATCCTAGCGAAGCCCCAAGGAAATGACATAATCCCTCCAACTAATTCACAGTTGAAAGTATCTAGTGACCAATTTCTGGATAGAAAAACACCAGAAAACAAGGAATTTAAAGATAATCAAGCGAATTTGCCTCTAAGAAATCCCAAAACCAGAAATTAAGATTACATTGTTCAGGTCTCAAAATCATATTCCTCAACATTTGCATATCCGCAATCATCTTAATCACCATCACCATGCGCCAATCAAGATTTTATCTAAACCTTAACTCACCATCTCTCGATTTTGGCTCTCCAACTCCTACAGTCAAACCCTAGTTACACTACAATCCAGATTCGATTCCTCTTATCTCTCTCTCTCTCTTTCTCCCTCTCTCCCTCTCTCTCTCTCTCGATTTTCCTCGTCATATACACAGAAAAGCTGCTATTAAATAGCCACCCAGGATTTATATCTACACGTAGATATGTACGGACATATACGCACGCAAAATTTTATATATATATATATATATATATACTACATTACTAATGTACACGAATATTTGTTGGATTAAACACGCAAGGTTTAAGAGCTTTTAAAACGTGCTTAACAACATCTTTACAGTGATTAATATTTCACCTTCAACCCCATAGAAATGAAAGCACCTCTGTGATTTCAGTATTCTGCACATAATTATACAACACGAATACAGCAATTTTATCCTCGCGTCAAATAACATTTGAATTAATTGCTGATTTGGTTATCTTATTTGAAAGTTTATTTTTTTCTTCTCAATTATCTTGAAGTCGGGAAAACTTTCAGGCCATGCGTTGACGTTCAAATATTAGACCAAGGAAATTATGAAATTGCCATTTTGAGATCAACCCAACATAAAATATGTCATCTCGTCATGCATTCTTTTCGGCCGCTCAGCCCAAATATTATGGGCTTTACACACCGATTTAAACGTAGCTGGCAGCAATATTCTAGGCCAGCCCATTAAGCCTTTTGAGAAACTTTGACGTAGTGGGAATTTAGATGGTGTTTTGATATCAATCCAATGCCATTTAAATTTTTAACTAAAGAGAAAAAAAAACAGATACTGTAATACGAAAAATAATATCCAAGAAACTAAGAAAGTGTGGGTGTTAGGCGACTTCAACCATATCGATTCCACTTTGACAATTTTTATAGAATATGATACTATTGATGTGATTGATACGAGTTCAAAAAATACGTATATGAGTTCATAAAATACAAATACAGAGTAAAATAGCCAAACATAAATTCCAACAAAGAGTTTTAGGTACGTATGTATTGTTGGTACCTATTACTGTACATCTCTTCAGATTCCAGCTCCTGATATCATAATTCCTCAATAAAAATAATATATATATATATATGAACTATTATAATCTCCAAGCAACCATGTTTAAATATAACGTTAATCCGAGGTAAAAAAAAGGTCCTATTAGTTATCCAGTATATATATAGTTAAGAGTCGTTTACACTATATGGCTCTTTTTGAGTTTTTATTTACATATTATAGCACTTTAATTTGAAATAGTTTTTTCTTTAAGTTTAGGAGAAGAAAATTATTTTGCTGTCCTTACCCATTCTAAATGAGAATATATTAGTTTACTTTTTGTAACCTAAACCGGTTTAACTTCTCATTTTTTCTCCAAACCTGTTTTCTCTTTCTCACTCAAATCATCTTCTTCCTTTTCTTCAGCACGTTCTTTTTCTCTCAGATTTCTCTCTATCAAATCTCTATTTTTCCTCTTCTCTATTTTTTCTCTTCCTTTCGAATCTCTCTTTCTCTTTCTCAGATCTCTCTTCTTCCTCTTAACCATTTTGTTCTCTTCTTCTTCTTCTTGAATTAACGGTGGCCACAAATTTTCCCACCACCACTCTTCATCTTCAGCTGTTAAACCCAGAGATAACTCGACAACACCAGATGAGCATGCCAAAATTCGTATTTCTCCAGATCTGGATAGTTGCAGACAATTAAAATTAATTGTCCTGTAAACTTGTACACCACACAATCCTTATTTGTTCGTCTCCATGTGTTCTTACCATAGTGGACATAAATTATATTTAAAAAACGACCATTGGACAACAACCCTACGGTATTGTATATTGTTTCTTGTTTTAATTTGCTTGTTGAGACTTCACCATTAACTATGTTCCATATGGTTATCTTTATATAGACAAGATATTCATCTTGAAAGTTTTAGAGAGAAAGCTCTCATGTTTTAATATAAGTGAATAAGTAAGATAATATGGACGCTTGTAGAATGTTGCTCAATCTGGTGTGAGTAAAAATGTGAGTAACTTGGTGTTATGGTTGTTGTGCTCTGTTCAATAAACCATATACCTTAATGGTGTCCATATAGACCTGTCCATATCTTCTATGTTGATATTATGGACAAATCCACAAATTCATCCGATATCTCGTTTTAGAAAAATTAGCATCAGACTCCACCTAATCTGGATGTATCCACCGACCATGATGGTCACGTCCATGATTTATTGGTCACATATGGTTGCGTCCATGATTTATTTGTCACATTGCATCTCAAATATGGATATGTATATATACTCACAATCTAGATCCATCTGGTTCTCACCATCCACGTCCTCAGCGGATGCTATGATGACCACGTCCACGATTTATGGGTTATATTATATCTCAAATATGGATATGTATATAGATTCACCATCCACGTCCATCTGGTTCTCATCTTCTACGTCCTCGGCGGATACTATGATAATCTGTCCATGATTTATTGGTCATATTGCATCTTAAATATATATGTATATAGACTCACTGTCCACATCAATCTGGTTCTCAACATCCAAAACCAGATAAAAAAAATCTGTGACCATATTATGTTCACACTAAGCAAAAAAATATATAATTTTTTAATAACATCTACTTGTACACGTCCATATGGACATATCTTTTACATAAGTTTTTTGAGCATTATAGTCCCTACATATAGAAGAGAACAAATAGGGAATGTGTACATGGACAAGTGGGCGTGGACATATCGCTATTCAAAGCGAAAACAGCAAAACAGATCTAGAAAAGAACAAGTTAGATTAAAAAAAACAAATGAATTGATAAATTAGTTTTATGGTATATAGAGACATACACATAAAGAATACTATTTGTAGAGACATACACATAAAGTGGGAGTGAGATACCTTTTAATCCCAGAATCTGTAGAGACATACACATAAAGAATACTATTTGTAAGAGGGAGGAGAGGAAAATACTCGTAGGAAGAAGAAGATTCATAAAGTGGGAGTGAGATACAATATTTTCACGTGTAGGAGAGAGAGAAAATAGATATAAGTAATTGAATTGGTTTGAATTATTTTTTTGGTTTAAGATGATTAATTTTGGTTTGGTTAATAATAAATAAATGACAAGATTAAACTGTCTTTTCGCAGAACAAAGATGTTTGAAAGTAGTACTTTAAACAAAAGAGCTATAGAGTGTAAATATTCTGAAAAAAGAATCATACAGTATAATTATCTCTATAGTTAATGATATAACAAGTGTCCAAGAAGTGCAATATGAATACTTATGTGCGTGTGTAGTACCCACATGACATTAACAAGAGACATTTAGACAAAGTATAGTGTCATTCAACTGTCTATGACTCTGTGTAAATTGGTATATCACATGAAAAGAATGGAGAGTTTTAACATTTAATTCAACATCCAGATCACATTTTTTTACTATAGTAACTGTTACTATTTTCATAAAATAATAAATTACAACGACTAGTCCCCCTTCGATTACTACAAAAGTTGAATTGCATCATTATATATTATACATATATATATATATATATATATGTTTCAATACAAAAGTTTAATTCAATTTTATAATGTTTTTTTGTGGTGTACGGTTACTGGTTAGTGGTTACCAACTTCACGTTATAAAACTTTAAAATAAATGAGAACGTGAACTATTTGTCAGTCAATCGTGAGATAATTCATGACAACTTTTTGTCGTCGATATTTTATTATTACAATTTTTAGGCAATTTCTTTGTTTTCTGTTTTGTGTTTTTAATAAACAGAGAGACCTTTTCTTTTTGGACGGCGATGAAAAAAACAAAATCGTTGAATTTATTTTTGGCCGAATCGTTGACTAAAATTGTAGGATAAGATGTTAAACGAAGAAAAAACACAATTTATTCACACACAATCAATGATATATTTATACAAAAATTGGCAGAGCAATATTTTATAAACATTTTTATAAATTTTCAAATTAAGAAAAATAGAAAAAAAAAAAAATTCTTCAACGTCTCATCTCAATTTGAGGCTCAAGAATTAACGAACAAACTAGGACAAGAAAGGAAAAAAAAGGCGGGGAGGGCGTTGAATCTATTCAACAAATTGCAATTTAGCCCCAAACAATTTTAAAATTGATCAATTTTGACCCCACAAATCAGTCAGATACCGGATTTGGGGAGCCTGATGAATGCGAAACCTCCTCGATAAGTCTGGTGACCTCGGCCATCGAAGGACGACTATCGGGGTACTGAGCTGTACAACTCATACCGATCTTCAAGAGCCGGATCATGTTCTCATTGCCTTCTGATTGGTACCTTGTGAGCTCGGGATCAAACACATCAGATGGTGATTGTTGATCGGTAATCGATTGGACCCATCTTGGCAAGTCTACGCCTTCTTCGTTCAATTGCTGATGTGTTGGAGATTTCCCTGCAATGCTACCATGTTAAACATCATAAACCCGCAGCAATCGCAAAAAACGCAATTAAAGATCTGTGCTTTACTGTGTATTACCTGTGAGTAATTCAAGGATTAGGACACCAAAGCTGTAAACATCAGCTTTTTGGGAGATTTTGCGAGCATCAGTGACTTCAGGGGCACGGTAGCCATCGATACGGTTAGGTGCAGATGTGGAGCTAATGATAGGCGCTAGACCATAATCAGAGACCTTAGCTTCATAGGAATCAGACAAAAGTATGTTTGAGGACTTGATGTTTCCATGGGAAGTTGTCGAATCACGCGAATGTAGGTAACTAATCGCTCTTGCAGCTCCTAAGGCTATTCCGGCTCTGGTTTCCCAGTTCAATTGAGTCCTCCCGCTTCCTTTGTTCCCTGCAAATCCGTTTTTAAAAAGCTCAAAAACAGAGCTCGAAGCTTACTGAATCAAAGATCAAGAGCTAGCATCAAGAGACATAAGACCAACTAACTAAGAACCTTATATCGACTGAGCGGTAATCATTTTCCATCTTAACCAAAAAAAACAAACTTTGTCAAGATTCTAAGAAACCTGAAAAAAATCGACAAAATGCAGTGATGATGATTTCGATCATTACCGTGCAATAGCGCAGATAAGCTTCCTCTAGACATGTACTCAAAGACAAGAAGCTTCTCGTCGCGGCTGAAATAGTAAGCAATAAGTGTCACGAGATTGGCATGACTCATTGATCCCAAAACTTGCAACCTCTCTCTGAAATCTTTTTCAGGCACCACAACGTCTCTTAATCGTTTGACGGCCACCACTAATCCATGATCAAAGCTTGCCTTATACGAAGACCCAACTGTTCCTTTCCCAAGAACCTCAGCTGAAGCCTTCAACAATCCATCCAAATCGAATTCCCCAAAAGATTTCACGAAAAAGGTCAAGTCTTTATTCACCGCACCGCTCTCAGCCTTCGCCGGCGGAACATTACCCGCCGTTTCTCTAGGTATAGCAGCGGCGGAGGTCGGAGCGACGACAGGAGCTTCGATGTTTCTCGATGGAACGTTCTCTTCCTTCTTTCTCTTTCTGCAGAGACAGAACAGAATGAAGAGAAGCACCAATAAAACCACAACACATGCGATTACGATTCCGGCAATAGCTCCGGCAGACAATTTATCGCTGTCTTTTTTCCCCGGCGATGGCCCCGGCGGAGAGTTGGGGCTTTCGGCGGTGGCGTCACAAGGGTTTAAGGGCTTCCCACAAAGAGAATTCCCTTGGAAAGCAGCTTGGGGAAAACCCGACAACGAATCCGGAATCGACCCGTTTAATTGATTGGAAGAGACGTTGAATTGCTGAAGAGTAATCGTGATCTCAGGGATCGGACCGGTGAGTTGATTCCTCTCTAAGTAGAGTGTAGCTAACCGGGTCGCGGAATTGACATTATCCGGGATCGGACCGGAGAGATTGTTCTCCCCTAGATTGATTCGGATTATGTTGGGAAGCGTGAAGAGAAACGACGGAATCTCGCCGGAAAAGGAATTACCTTGGAGATACAAGTAACGGAGGAGGACAAGGTTTGAGAAATCCGAAGGGATTGGACCAGAGAGCGAATTGAAACGGAGAGAAAGGGTTTGGAGCTCGGTCAGGTTACCAATTCCTCCGACCGGTAATGAACCGAATAAACCCGATCCAGGTAATCGGAGCTCCGTGACCCGACCCGCATCGCAGTGGACTCCGTGCCAGGTACAAGGAGAGGCACTCATGTTCCATAGCAACGGACGGCCACGAACACTGTTACGGAGGACGACTAACGCTTGCCGGTCAGACTCTAGATCTGAAGTCACCGCCGCGAGATAAAGGAAGAAGATGAAGAAGAAGACGGAGAGAGATAGCTTGGACTTGGACTTCATCTTCCTCGAATTGAAGTTCTTCGTGTCCTTGGTTTTCAGTGAATTTATTGGTTTTCGGAGATTTTGGTAACTTATTGGGCTACGCGTAAACAAGTGTTTGAACAGAGAGAAGAATGGTGGGATTGGAGAAGACTTTTTACATGAGTTTCAGCTCTCTCTCTCTCTATCTAGACGGCTAAGAAAGAGAAAGAGACCATAATTGCAGAAGAAGGGGAAAAAGAAAAGTTACTAATTAGAATTTTTTCCTTTTAGACAAAAAGTAAAGAGAATCTTATGTATTAATTGTGACAGCTAGCTTCAGAAATACTTCTAATTAAAACAAATATTTAATAACAAGGTCATGAATAGTTGTAACGATTAATTCATAGTCAACTGGTCATCGCGTTACATAAATAATACTATTTACTGTTATCAATATCACTGCAGGCTGCAGTAATGTTGTGTAGACGTTTAAACGACCACTGTTTTTTCTTAAATATATCTACATATTAGCTCCAATAAAATCAATGGTCGTTATCGTTTTTTTTTGTTTCTTTATGTTTTTTTTTCTTTTGTTAAGGTTGAGTGTGACCAAAAACGATCTAGATTTGTGAATATGTCTAACCCACCACCGTTGACAAAAATCAATAGTGTCTGAGACACCGCTTTTTATTATTTTGTTTAAGTATTTGCTTATGATAATTCCTCATCTACTTTTCAAAAAAGATCTATTCGTACAATCGTACCATTGACATTTGATTAAAATTTTATGTATTTGTATCAATTCGATAGGGAATGGAAATGGTCATATATATAAAAAAAACTACTAGTGTTGCATATAACATGCTCGAAATTGAAAATATTTAATTTTGCTTTATCCGAATTGATTGGATTTTCAAATTTGGTTACCTCATATCATAGGAGTCCTATGATTTATGTTTGATACCATTTTTTCTTTATAGAAATAACTCTATCTATATAGTTTGGTTTGAGACCAAATTGTTCTATAAAATTTTCACACCAAATCGAAACGGAAATAAATTTGCATGTTTGTTCAATATGAGGTTTTATTTAGAATTTTCGAAATAAACCGGACCAAAATTACAGTTTAATATTAAATACCCTTCTTACCAAACCGAAACCTAACTAAAATACCCCACCCAACTTCTAAGTTTCAAGACGAGTAGATGATCGATCGTTCATTACAAACAACAAAATGCTGATTTTTTCTCCTAACATATTCTATAACTCACTCTTCACCTCACGGTCGAAGCCATGACCATGTTTATCCAAATAAGAGACTGCCATGGCTGCGTGAAGAGCTGCTCCAACAGGAAGAGCTTCTTCATCAACAAAGAAGTAAGGCGAATGAAGCGGCTGACCAGCGCCTAGCGTCTCATTCTTTATCCCGACCACAAAAATCGCGGCTTTAGTCTTCTGAGTGAAGAAGCTGAAATCCTCTGCTCCCATTGTCACCGGAAAATCATGGAAGTTATTCTTTCCGATCATCGCTTCCGCCACTTGTTTTCCATGCTCATATAACCCCTCGTCGTTCTTCATTACCGGGTGAAGTGAAGGCTTTTTCTGTTCGAAATTCACTTCTGCTGTGCATTGGTATACCGAGGCTTGTGCCTCGGAAATCTGCGTCATCATCAACAACCCAAAGAAACCAAAATTAACCGAACAATTCGGATAAAAAGAATCAAGATTGCAAAGAAAAATGGTGCTTCTCATTACCTCTCTGATTCGTCTTTGGATAAATAGAAGCCCATCGTTGCTTAAGCTTCTGAAAGTTCCTCCGAATTTTGCAGACTGCGGTATTACGTTCTAGGCATGACCTCCTTCAATGTATCCAACCGTAACCACCTGAGAAACATTCAAAGATTATGATTTCTGTCAAGATTCTGATTATATCAAACATGCAACATGTTTTGAAAGGCAGAAAACAAAACTTACACCAGCTTCTAGCGGATCCAGTTCCCGTGAAACAATCTGTTGCAAGGCAACAACAGCGGAAGAAGCTGCAAGAACCGGGTCTCTAGACAAGTGTGGTGTAGCTGCGTGGCTACCTTGACCGTGAACCGTGACTGAAAACAAACCTGCACCTGCAAGAACTGTACCAGGCCTAGCGCCGATACCACCCGATGGGATTGTTGGCAAGACATGTACGCTGAGAATTCCATCTAAGTCGTCTAGGATCTCGTCTTTTAGCATTTCATAGGCCCCTGCATAACCTTCTTCGCCTGGTTGAAACACTAGTTTCACAGTCCCCTTATGCAAAACAAATCGAAATTTTAAAAAATAATAAGAAATCGAGTTTCATTCAAAGGCCCCAAGATTCACCATATCGGAATCCTGACCAATTACGAAATTTCTCATTTTGATTGCTATGCACCAAATTATAATCTGTCCCATTCAGAAAATTCACAATATCGTTTCATTAAAAAAACCAGCAGATCAGAGCCTGGACCATTTATAGAAAGTTGACATATTGAATGCTGGGCATACAGTAACTAAGAGCTCACTATTGTGTATACATACATACTAACAGATCAGACCACTAACGCACGTTGAAAAGATTCATTTTTGATTGCTGAGTAAGTGAGTAGTGAACACACACTGAATCAAGCGAGAGAGAGAAAGAGAGAGACCTTGATTTGGTGTTTTCTGGACTGCAGAAGCTTAGCTGCTCCAAGAAGCATAGCAACATGTGTATCATTACCACAAGCATGCATCTCTCCATGTACTTTACTCTTCGATTCCCACTCCACTAATTCCTTTTTTTTTTCTCCCCAAATCACAGTCCATCAATATTTCAAATTAACTTAAAAAACGAAATTTTGATGAGACTCTTTTTTATATAGAGAAAAAATAACAAACCTGTAAGCCTGTAACGGAAGTGCGTCCATGTCGGCCCTGAGTTCGAAAACGGGTTTCGACCCGGATCCGATCCAGGCCACGACGCCAGTCTTGGCCACAGGCCACTTATACTTGACTCCGAGCGAGTCAAGCTCGTCTCGAACGAGTTGACTCGTTTTGAACTCCTGAAACCCTGTTTCTGGGTTCTCGTGAATCCTCCTCCTAATTCCTCTCATCCATTCGAAGAACTCAGGTTCCTTCGCCGAATCGAGCATCCCGCGAGCGAGTGACTCGAGACCCGACCCGGGATCATAGCTCCGAGCTGGAGACAGAAGGCGAAGAAAGAACAAGACAAAGAAGATTCCTGAGAAATTCATGATTTTTGTTTCTTAGATTATAGTTTTGCTCCAAAGTGGCAAATGGAAGCACGGTGAAGAGTGAAGACGACGAGGTGGAGAAGGAAGGTCCAAATTTTTATATATCCGTCAATTAACCCACGTGTTAACAAATATTTAATCTTTTTACTTTTTTGTTTTGTTTTTGTTATTTAGCAATAATGTATTAAAAAAAATCGTAAACTTATAATGAAAATAGTCGATTTTAACGACACAAACGCATATCACATATTCACATATCTAGAATTGAAGTACTGATAATATTAATAAGAAGAAAAAATGATGCCAAAATATATCAGAGAAAAAGGATTTTCTTTTCAGAAGGTAGAAGATGAGTCATTTCACATTTGAATGCAAGGTATACAAAAAGAATATTTGCCTAAAATGATAATTTTCTTCCTTCTAAGACACGATTTTACCATTTATGTTAACCAAAAATTAACATTTTCTCGAATAAAACATCGAATGCAGATCATGCAGTAGTCTGTGATAGATGATGATGGTTGCTCACGAGTTACATCTTTTTCCCTTTTTGAAGGATACATTTTTTTTCCTTACGAGTTAAGCACTAATTCCAAAAAAATTAAAGCTCAATTTCCAAATGTTACACATCATTACTTACGATTGATGATGATTTGGTTTCAATGAAATTAAACAAATAATAACAAATTTAAACAAGTAATTGTATCTTTAAGATTATGGGATTGACAAAGATAACACCATATTTCCTACGTTTACGTATTTGTGGGGTAAATCCGTAAATGTCAATTATTAGGTTTTCATAAGAAATTGTAGGCGAAACAAAATGTTATCAGAGATATATAAAAATTAATTCGCTAATAGTACAATAGTCTCAGGCCCAAACCCCGACTCGATTTGACCCGACCCGGAAAAGATAAAGCTGATTCAGATTGCGGAGAGGATTAACGGAGGAAGGATAAAAAAAACTTCTTTCTCATCTCAAATCTTCCATCGCATTTCCGATTCTGATCATCGGGAACGTCCCATTTTCCGTAGATTCTACTCTCCACAGGTAAATAATCAAACTTTTAAGGAAACGCTAACTAAGATTAAGATTAGATTCCCCGAATATTCTCTCTATGCCCAACCACAGAAACCGCTAACTTTTTTCTTCTTTTTCTCAGAAGCACCCAGAAACAAAGCGTTACTCTTTTTGGCTTCTCTAAACCTCCATTCATCGAAAATGGCTGCCAATGGTAAAGCCACGTTTCAATCTCTGCTAACTTCTTCTTTTTGATTTCCCCGTTTTCTCATTTTCTTTTGTTTTTTTCTTTTTGCTACATTCGATGAAGACTCTCTAGATCAGTTCTTGGTTGCCGCCATTGATGCCGCTCAAAAAGCTGGACAGGTCTCTCTCTTTTCTTTTTTTTATCTCCTTGAGTTGGATCGATCAAGTGGCTAATCGTAGTTAATTGATTTGGATCTTTTGGTTGTCTTTGTGCAGGTCATTCGTAAAGGGTTTTACGAGACCAAACATGTTGAACACAAAGGCCAGGTTTTTGTTCTGTTTCCCGCCCTCTTACATTTCATTGCAAAATTACTTATTGATTTCACACAATCACAAAACGGGGATGGCTGTTCTGACTCACTTGAATTGTTACTTATGCTCATCCTTGTTCTGTCAATTTTTGGTTTCTTTATATAAGCTGGCATGTTTCTGTAGCTCCTGAATTTGCTGTTTTTAGGTGGATTTGGTGACGGAGACTGATAAAGGATGTGAAGAACTCGTGTTTAACCATCTCAAGCAGCTTTTTCCCAGTCACAAGGTCATTATTAGAAATCCACTCTGCTGTTATGTACCTTTGGTAGCTTCTTCCTTGCATTGATCGATCATTATAATTTTGTCATGAATTAGTTCATAGGAGAAGAAACTACAGCTGCAAACGGTGTGACAGAATTAACAGACGAACCAACTTGGATTGTTGATCCTCTTGACGGAACCACAAATTTCGTTCACGGGTATATATTCTTGTTGTTGCTCAATTCATTTTTGAATGGCTATCTTTTTTCGTTCTTTACATTTTATTAAAAACTAAACCAAATGCTGTTTCTGCAGGTTCCCTTTTGTGTGTGTTTCCATTGGCCTTACGATTGGGAAAGTCCCTGTGGTTGGGGTCGTTTATAATCCTATTATGGATGAGGTAAATGACTGTGTGTCGACCCTCCTCGTGGTTCAGTTGTAGCAATCTCTACTTTAAGTTTCCTTGATGATGCCGTGGACATGAATATAGCGCGATCATGTCTCTTAATTTTGTACATAATATCTAATGATGAAACAGTTATTCACCGGTGTCCAAGGGAAAGGAGCCTTCTTGAATGGAAAACCGATTAAAGGTTAGCACTTTATATAATTCATTCACTCTTTATAGTCTATAGATTTTGTTAATCAAAAAGTGTTCATTTTCTCAAGACGAAAACAATGTTCTTTTTGGCAGTGTCAGCTCAGAGCGAACTTGTAACCGCTTTGCTCCTAACAGAGGTAAAATCTGTCTCCTTTGTATCACACTAGACTGCTCTGAAGCCTCCGCTCATCGCTTACATGAACACAGGCGGGCACTAAACGAGACAGAGCTACATTAGATGATACAACCAACAGAATTAACAGTTTGTTAACCAAGGTGAAAGTTTATTGAGAGAGATTTGGAGGCCCATCAATTGACTCAAAACTCTGCCAAAACTCATGATTGTGTTCTTGTGTTTAATTCATTCATCAGGTTAGGTCCCTTAGGATGAGCGGCTCGTGCGCACTGGACCTCTGTGGCGTTGCGTGTGGAAGGGTTGATATCTTCTATGAAATCGGTTTCGGTGGTCCATGGTAAAATGTCTTTTTTTTTTTTTTTTTGGGTATCGCTTTGCTTTGCTTGGATATTGCAAAGTTTGGTGCTTGCAGAGACAGGACGATCTAAAAATGGCATATTATATCAATCCACAGGGACATTGCAGCTGGAATTGTGATCGTCAGAGAAGCTGGTGGACTTATTTTTGATCCGTAAGAGTTTTCCTAATAAGATAAAAGTCAACACACTCAATGCAACAACGGACCAAGCTTTTTAACTTTTATTTTTGTATGTGTGTAATGGTCAGATCCGGTAAAGATTTGGACATCACATCGCAGAGAATTGCGGCGTCAAACGCTTCTCTCAAGGAGTTGTTCGTGGATGCGTTGCGGCTTACAAAGGCATGAAGTCATCTATTTTGTTGTGGTCACACTTCATGAACCCATTCAAAACCAATATACACTTTCTATGATTAGTGTGACAAATAAAATATTTTGTATTTCTCTAGAGCAATAGACAAGGAACTGCAGTTTTTTTTTTTTTTTAAAAAATTCTACATGTCTTCCATGACAAAGCCATTTCTTCAAGCTCAACTATATATACAATATGGAGATAAAGTAAGAACACTCTAAAAGCCAGATAATCCTTTTCTTTGGCATGGCAAATTAATAAGAAGTAGAATTACCTATCTAGAAAGAAGAAGAAGAAAACAAGTGGTTAATTTAGGGTTGTGAAGATTCCATATCAAAAAAAGACTTGCCTCCTGAGATATCTGATGGAGGCTGAGGGTAGTATTTGTACAGGTTGATGTTCTGAAAAGCTTCCATAGCATTGAAATAAGGAAGACAATAGTCGAACATCCTGACACGCTCTTCACTGAGAGCAGCTCTCCTCTGCGTACAGACCATGATAAAAATTTGAAACTTGAACCTTTATATATTCCGATAAAAGGAAAACTAAAACAAATTAAAAAAAAAAAAAATGAAATAAAAGAGGTGTAGGGATTTATTTGTCACAGACAGATTATTTGAGCGACCAAAAATTTAGGGTTCAAATCTTCAACCTCTAGGTTGCGTTGAAATCTTCTAATCATATATATTGGGACCAAAATTTCTCTGGGAATATTTCCGGGTGGGTAGCTCTAAGGGAGTGATGGATGCTCAAGCGAAGAAGAAGGCGATGTTTCGCTCTAAACTCAACGCCAAGAAGAAAGTCACCCGCATCGATTCTCCTCTCGTCAGGTAATTATTGATTCTTCTTTCCGTATCGATGCCAATTACCCACGAATTCCCCTAATTGAACGAATCCTCTGCTGAAAAATGATGAAAATGTAGAGAAACAGTAGGCTAGATCGGTCTGGGGATTGAGCTCGAGCCTCTAGTGGTAGGCTATATTACAATCTGGGATCAAAATGATGTTTTCAGGTACAACGAATTAGACCAGCCTGTGTGTCAAATTTGCAATATGGCATTGAAATCTGAATCACTCTGGGATGTACACCAAGCTTCTCGTAAGCACCACGAGGTAGGTATCTCTTCCTCCTGATTTCTATGAGCTTTGCTTCACATTCATTCTATTCTAGATAGATGTTCAGAGTTAAGATTCATCGATTTATAGAGTCTCTATGCTTATATGTTCTTATCATTTCAATAACTTAGCTTATGTTAATTAATTTTGTGACAGGCAGTGGATAATTTTAAGGCTAGAGCAGCAGGAATTCAACGGGGTAGCAAACCTGTTGAAACTCAGACCACGAAACTTGAAGCTTTGGCTAAACCATCCAGACCTCAGACTTCATCTCTTCTTCCTCCAAATTTCTTCGAAAATACAAATCCTGGTAATGGCTAAATACACTTTCCTTCTACCAAAAATTGGCATGAATAAGTATCTCTGTTAATTGATTTTTGTTAGGTTGTTATTTTTGTCGATAGCATGGTAATATGTTGATTAGATGGTACTTTCGTTTTTTGGTGAACTGAGTTTCCGATTGTTGGATATTGTGCCACAAGCTTACTAGTCGACTGTATGTGTTTAGAATCTGCACAAGTAGAATCTGCAAAAGCCAAGAATGTACAGCAATCAAAGCAGACTATAGCTTCAGAAACAAAAAAGACAAAGGGACCTCTTCCAGACGGATTCTTTGATTCTTCAAATACCAAAACCACCAGTGAGCCTAAACAGAGTCAGCCACAGACCACCGGTGGTTCGGATACGAAACCAGTGGTGAAAGGAGCCCTTCCCACCGGTTTTTTCGATAATAAGGAAGCTGACCTGCTTGCCCGTGGAATCAAGCTCGTCAAACCAGATATAAAGTGAGTTTCTTTTTTTGCTTTTACCTTGCCCGTTGCAGATTGAAACCTTTTTAACGTTGTGTTTTTCAGTTACTCTCTTTAACGTTCTCAATTTTAGATCCAGTGGGTCATGATCTTTAAGTGCTGGTGATCTGTTATCTAAAGTTCTTTGTAGTAAAGCAATCGTTTTTTTTCTACAGGGACGAATATAAAGAATTTGAGAAGTTGATACAAGAAGATCTGCAGGTAGTCGATAGTCGCATGGAAGAAGAAGAGGTCAGATATTTTTATATCAAACATCAAAAAATTGCTGACACCATCGTATCCTCTGTTTTTTGTTTTAACATTAAAAGTCGTTCTTTCGCATCTCTAATTCTCAGGTTGAGGCTGCGGAAACTATAGAAGAGGAGGAACAACGAGAGCAAAGGTGATTAAATTATACACGTTTGTTATAGCTAGAAGATGAGAATTTGGAAACTTGTTCAAGATCAAGTTGACAATTGATTTTTCTTCTGCAGATCTTACAAAGAGAAAGTGGAGATTCTGAAGAGAAAGAAAATGGAACTGAAAGCGGCTAGATTAGCTAAGCGCAGTAAAACCTCTGAGGGGTCAGTTAAAAAGCCGAAGAAGACAGAAGAAGAATCGCCCAGCGATGATGAAGATGGAGAAGATTCTGCTGTTGATTGGAGAGCTCAACATCTTTAAACGAAAAAAAAAAGACAAAATGTTCCAACTGGTAAAACATTCAATCTTCTGTTAGAATCCTCTGTGAAAACGAGTCATTTTCTGATATAGAATGCTCAAAGCTTATTATCTGCAAATTTAGAGGATCAATTGGTATTTGAGTGTAGTTAACGGTTTACGGCTATAAATCTTGAACGTAATTTTCAACACCGGACTTGTCGAAAAGGGCCTGAATATTCGTAGAAAGAGGTAAGCCTGAAACTATGGCAGTAGGTAAACACTTGACTCTCTTATTCGAGTGTTTCCTTCCATGTTTTACAGAATTTTTTGACTATACAACTAAATGTGTATATATAAATGTAGAGGTTTAGGGGTCAAGTATTTCTAGAAGCCAATTTAAGGGTCAAGTATTCAAGAAGGAAAGACCCACTAACTATAGATATTTCTATTTTAATAAATTTTGGACTGATTTGTGTATGCCAACCATATGCTTATACTTTTCAATATAAACCATCTACATGAATAATCAAATCGAGATTATAATATAACCCAACAACGAGGAAATAGAAACGCTAAGTTATCTTCAATATGACTTTAAAACGAGTCCACAAAAATAAGAGAAAACAGCCAAAGCAAAGGTCGGTTAATGCACAACTGATATAAACTAATTTCCCATTAGAACATAAATTAATTAACCGATAACTTGTGACCTAACTAAAAGCACTTCTTTTACCAAAAAAAAAAAAAAAGCACTCAGTTATCTGGCTTATACTGTCACGTGAATTTATTAATGGTAAAGTATTAGCACAAAGGGAATCAAAATTTGGGGACATTTTTTGTTTAGAGTCTATCCATCATAAAACTTGTATTGCTCCGTCAGCTCAACTTCGTATTTCCGAAAGCATTTAAGATATTATATCCTAGTTATCATGAAATTTTATCGATCGATAGAAGAAATTCAGCTTCGACCTACATAATCGAAAGTATGTATCTTCTGAGTTCTGAAATAGTATAATTTTTCTAGCTCTTATGTATGTGTAAATGCGATAAAAGATGAAGAATGTTTTGCACTAAAACAACGCAATTTGCCAAACATCACGAAACTTTTATGGCATGTAGCATTTAGTGACCTGTTATCTATAACTTGTGTTTATAAAAGTTTTGTGAGTTTCACTTTTATGTGTTCTTCATAGGTCCACCTTATTTTCAAATGTATATCATTATTATTATTTTTTTAACATGTAGTATAGTTTACATTACATTTAATTATGGCCATATGATAGAACTTAAAGTTACAACGTAGCATGGGCATTATGAATCACTCTGAGATAGCATAGTTTTGTAATTAAAACAATCTACCTTTTAGAAGAATAAAAAATTAAACAACAGCAATATCCAGCACTAATAAGCGGAAATTTCTATAAATTATATCGCTTCGATGTTATTGTTCATCGAATAACTTGAGTTGCTATTTTTTCCCCATCTGATAAATTTCAAATTTTGAAAACACAGGCGCCAAATTTAGGCGTAACTGAATAATCACGAAAAAAAAGAAGGAAATAAGAGAGAAGAGAGAGAGAGAGATTCTGGCCCAAAGGGAAAAAAAATAGAGAAAAGAGAGACAAAACAAAGAGATTGTCTTCTTCAAATCTCTGGTTATACCTGATTCCGTGATTCAGAGGTAATGGGAGGTAGCAGCGGCGGCGGAGCTTCTTACCAGAGCGGCGGCGAATCGGACGTGGAATTAGAGGATTACGAGGTGGATGATTTCGGAGAAGGGATTGTTGAATCTCGAGGAAACAGATTCAATCCCCTCGCCAATTTCTTAGGGTTAGACTTCGCCGGCGGTAACGGCGGAAAGTTCACCGTCATTAATGGAATCAGAGATATCTCCAGAGGCTCCATTGTTCATCCCGATAACCGGTAAAATTAAAATCCCCATCATATGTTTTTTTAATTGTTTTGTTCCGAGTCCTTATTGTTTTATTGTCTTACAACTAGTCCTTTCATTTTTCTTTTTCTTATTTTAGCACACTTACTTTACTTAGATAGATTTAGAGTCCAGTTGATTCTGTTTGTAGCAAAAGATTAATTTCTAGACTAATTCTATGTAAGTTTAAGTAGTAACTCTTTAAAGAAGTGCCTTAGAGAAAATCTATAAGAAATAAAAAATAATTCTAGAGTAACATTGGGATTGTACTTAAAAATTAAAAAAAATGAGGGCATGAATGTGGTTTTAACATTCTTGGTTCTGTGAATACATTTTCTTCGGGTTATTCATCCATTTTCCCGCCACTTTATGACACGTATCAATTTCTCAATGGTCAAAATAATCGTTCGTTAAAAGTCTAACGGCCACGAGCCTGTACACTTCAGAAAATCCTGACAGAGCAAAACTCTGTTTTGCTGATGTTTTTGAGCAATCTATCAAAGTAACGAGTTTAGTTTAGCTAACCAAAGATTCTGTCGGAATCTTAAGATTGATCACTAGATTGTTGGATTTACAGGTGGTACAAGGCGTGGACGATGTTCATAATGATATGGGCACTTTACTCTTCCTTCTTCACTCCATTGGAATTCGGATTCTTCAGGGGATTACCAGAAAATCTGTTCATCCTCGACATCGCAGGCCAGATCGCTTTCTTAGTCGATATTGTGTTAACATTCTTCGTAGCATATAGAGATAGCAGAACTTACAGAATGGTCTATAGACGCAGCTCAATCGCTTTACGGTATTAAAGCTCTCTATCCCTCTGCTTCTGTTTCCTGGTTAAGTTTCTCTTAATTGATGATATTATTATTCGCTTAGTAATGGCAATTTGATCAATAAACCGGAAATATTTGGCCATTTAGGGAGGTAATTAGAATGATCTCTTTGGTTACAAAATAACGGGTATGGCGTCATATGTTCAATTTGATACAGTTTCGACTTTAACATACATATATCTTTAATTTGAAAGGTTTTAAGGGCATAGCGATTTTACTCTGTTTGGTTTATTATTTGTTCCGATTTAATCAAATGTATTAAGAAATGAAAGTTAACCTCTTCATGGTGTTCACTATATTTGCAGGTACTTAAAATCAACATTTATTATTGATTTACTTGCTTGCATGCCATGGGATATCATCTACAAGGTAGACTTTTTATTCTTTGATCTTGCTAAAATTGTGAGAAATCCGAACGGGAATATGAAACTGTAGATTTGAAAACAGGCTGCCGGCGCAAAAGAAGAAGTGAGATACCTACTGTTGATAAGGCTATATCGAGTTCGTAGAGTAATCCTGTTTTTCCACAAAATGGAGAAAGATATAAGAATCAATTACCTGTTCACGAGAATCGTCAAGCTTATATTTGTGGAGCTCTATTGCACACACACCGCGGCTTGCATCTTCTACTACTTGGCCACGACGCTGCCTGCTTCTCAGGAAGGGTACACTTGGATTGGAAGCTTGAAGTTGGGAGACTACAGTTACTCCCAGTTCAGAGAGATCGACCTCTGGACTCGTTACACCACTTCTATGTACTTTGCAGTTGTCACTATGGCAACTGTTGGTAAGTGTTGTGATAACTGCAATTATGCTTTGGTCAGAACTTTGTATTTCGAGCTGTTCTGTTTTTTTTTTTGGTATACTTGGTGATATGATGTTTCTTATGCAGGTTATGGAGATATACACGCGGTTAATATGCGGGAAATGATATTCGCAATGGTCTACATTTCATTCGACATGATTCTAGGCGCGTACCTGATCGGTAACATGACAGCTTTGATTGTAAAAGGCTCAAAAACAGAGAGATTTCGGGATAAGATGGCTGATATTATGAGGTATATGAACCGAAACAAACTCGGTAGAAACATCCGTGGACAGATCACAGGGCATTTGCGGTTGCAGTACGAAAGTAGCTACACCGAGGCAGCTGTTCTTCAAGACATACCTGTCTCTATCCGCGCTAAGGTATGAATGATGATGAATGTCTTTGAGATGCTTGTTTAAGTTTCAGACTTACAGTTTCAGATGATGAAACAAATTTTTTAACTTACTGCAGATCGCGCAAACTTTATACTTGCCGTATATTGAGAAAGTTCCTCTTTTTCGTGGGTGCTCATCTGAATTCATTAACCAGATTGTAAGCCTTTCGATTTGGACTGTAAAGTTCGAGACCTTTTCTTTCAGGTAACTCTAAGGCACATTTTTTTTTTCTCTTACAGGTTATAAGACTTCATGAAGAATTCTTTCTCCCTGGAGAAGTTATAATGGAGCAAGGAAGCGTTGTTGATCAACTATACTTCGTTTGTCATGGTGTTCTGGTAAACTATAAAAAAGTTTCGTGGATAAATGCTTAGGAGTGTTTGAAGTTAAGGGAGTAAAACAAGATTTTTTGGGATTAAATTCAGGAGGAGATAGGTATAGCTAAGGATGGATCCGAAGAAATAGTGGCACTTCTTCAACCAGATAATTCCTTTGGAGAGATTTCAATCCTCTGCAATATTCCTCAGCCTTACACGGTTCGAGTTTCCGAGCTATGTCGGATTCTAAGGCTCGAAAAACAGTCTTTTATGAACATCCTCGAGATATATTTCCATGATGGGAGGAGGATTCTCAACAATCTGCTTGAAGGGAAAGAATCAAATGTCCGGATTAAGCAATTGGAATCCGACATAACCTTCCATATCAGTAAACAAGAAGTAGAGCTAGCTCTGAAGTTGAATAGCGCTGCTTTCTACGGTGATCTTTATCAGCTCAAGAGTTTGATCCGAGCTGGAGCTGACCCGAATAAGACAGATTATGACGGAAGATCGCCTTTGGTATGGCCTTCTCGGTTTCTTTTATTCAAGATTTAAACGTATCTAATATAATGTTTTGTTCTTGACAGCATCTTGCAGCATCAAGAGGATATGAAGACATTACATTATATCTTATTCAAGAATCAGTAGATGTAAATATCAAAGATAAACTGGGGAACACACCGTTGCTTGAAGCAATAAAGAACGGGAACGATCGTGTTGCGGCATTGCTTGTGAAAGAAGGAGCTACATTGAACATAGAGAACGCAGGGACTTTCCTTTGCACGGTGGTTGCTAAAGGAGACAGCGATTTCCTAAAACGGCTTCTCAGTAACGGCATTGATCCTAACTCTAAAGATTATGATCACAGGACGCCTCTTCACGTTGCCGCTTCTGAAGGATTGTATCTTTTGGCGATGCAATTGGTAGAAGCAAGTGCTAATGTTCTTGCAAAAGACAGGTATTATAATCTTTTGATCCTTAAATTATTCACACCAAATAAAGACAGCAGTTATTAACAGTGTTATTTGTAATCTTTGTAGATGGGGAAATACTCCTCTGGATGAAGCTTTGGGTTGCGGGAACAAGATGCTGATAAAATTACTCCAAGATGCTAAAAACTCTCAGCTCACTTCATTTCCGAGCAGCTCCAAAGACCTTAAAGGTAGTTTACTGATGTTTTTCTCATGGATTTTTAAAGGGATTGATTAACGAGTGGTTATATATTGGAATAATCTCCAGATAAAGTCCATAAGAAGAAATGTACAGTGTATTCTTCACAACCGAATGATGCGAAAGAGAAAAGAAGACGCGGTATTGTATTGTGGGTGCCTCGAAGCATCGATGAGCTTGTAAGAACTGCGGCGGAACAGCTGAATGTTCCGGAAGCTTCTTGTGTTTTATCTGAAGATGAAGCTAAAATCATTGATGTAGATTTGATAAATGATGGACAAAAACTGTATTTGACTGTTGAAACATAATATGTATGATTCAAAAAAAAAAAAAAACAGAGTATTTAGAAACAGAGTTAACTACAAAAGAATCATGTTGTGTATTGTGTTTGTTTGATTAAAATGATTTCTTCACTTTCTTCAAATGCATCGAAGAATCGACACAATTCGTCTGCTCGATTTCGTTTCTGCAGCGGTTTAAATTCCGCAACAGCTCGCTCGCTTTCTCCTTGGTCTTCTCCTCGCACCCGACTTGCAAAACCACTAAAAGTTTCTCAAAGGCACCAACTTGAAGAGCTTCAACTAGCAGACGATCTTCATCTCCGTTCTTTTTCCATAGCTTCCAAAGAATAGAGACCGAGCACTGCGTTGCGAGATCTGAAACACGAAGAATCTTCTTCACTAGAAGAGGAACGATCAAAGCGTTTCTAAGAACATCTTCTCTGCCTTGCTCGTTGTCACATATAACGTTGAGAACAACGAGACATCTTTCGCAAACGCTCTTTTCCGCGTTGTTCACAATCATCTCTGTGATCAGTCCCACCAAACCCAACTTCACGAATCTTGCAGCGATCTTGTTGTCACAAGAAATCGCTCTATAAATCGCCATTAGAGATGCTTTTGTCGAGCTCGTCGAAACAGAGTCGTTAATAATGTTAACTAATCCTTCACAAGCTCCTTCGATATCTGTCAACGCATACACATACCTCTTGTCTATCGCAATAACCTCTCTGATACAAAACGCAGCGTTTTGCCTCGTTCTTGCGTCTGCACCGTTCAAGAACCGTACGAGACGGTCAAGCGAAGCCGTTGATCCCATCTTCGAGAAACCCTCTGATCGACTCAGCGACAAGGGCAAGCAAGAAGAGAGAACAGACAAGACTTCCTCCAACAGACGCGCGTCTTCCTCAGGCGCTGTAGCGAAACTTTCGAAACAAGAAGACAGCGCGGACACGACGCCGTTTTGGACCAAACATTTCTTGTTAGTCTCTCCTCCTCCTCTTCCCAAGTTCTTGATTTTACTCACAGTCTCGAAACACTCGGCATTTTCCTCACGCGCCGCCGCGTTTTCCAATCTCCGACATATCTCCGCCGCATCACGCGGGGTCAACGGCACTCTCGGTGACTGAATCCGCTCGGTTCTTGATGATCGGAGTTGAGCCGGAATCTTGGTTTCCACGACGCAGATGTCGCCGGAATTCAGTTGATTACGTCTTTTTGTTGCTCCTCCTCTTGATCTCCATGGTAACACCATAATTTCTTTTTCAATCCTTTATTTTTTGTTTGGTTTTGCTCAAAAAGCTTCAAGTACTTTCGATTGATTATTCGATAAAACTGAATTTGGGGTTGTTGGCTTGTATAAATATATATGTTTTGTTTACGTGTTTAACATATATAGATGCAGGTATGTGTTGTTTTGTATTTATATATATAGAGAGAGGTGGTCAAAGGTTGTAAAACTTTGAAAGAGAAAAGGTATGAAATGGAACACTTTGATTTATGTTTGTGAACTGGATTGGAATGTTGACCGTTGAAATCTCTCGATTAGTATTCTGGGTCCAGATTTATGACTAATTATTTTCGGGTTTTATTGTTTTCATTTGAATATGTGTAAAACAAAGAAAACTTAGTACTTAGATCATCGTAAACTTATGTTTTTCCTAATCAATTGTATAATACTGTATATGTTTTAATATAACCATTGTAAACTACTTGTTCGTTATTAAGCATAAATTTAGCTCGAGGTGTTATAAGGTTCATTGATAATTAGTAACTATATGATATTTAACTTTATAAGTTACATCTTGATTATTATACTAATCTAATGCGTTTTATATATATATATATATATATATATATATATATAGATATGATATGATATGACCATGACCATGACGTATATCTAATAATATACGTAGATCGTAGTACAAATTACAAAGCCTTAAATAATTGTAGTAGACGGGAAAATTTGGACTCGACTCAAGTAGGTACGTGAGACTCATTCTGAGAAAAAGAAATTAGAAATAGTCATGGTTGAAATAAAATTAATTATATTAAGAGTTTAAGGGTTAATTATATATATATAAAAAAAGAAAAAACCGAGTTACGGAAGACTTAAGATAAGGCGTGTGCGAGACTCGGGCAGGGTCGCATGTCTGTAAGTGTCCGTGTTTGTTTACTTTTCCCGGCGTCATGGTTTCTGCAATAATATTACGCGTAGAATTATGTGCCCAACAAACATATATATATCATATGTGACATCAAAGTCAGGAGTATATATATCTACATATCTACTAGTATATTCGATTTGATGCTACGAAACTAAATAAAACGAATTAAAAATTACATTAAACATAATCCGTACAAAACGAATCCATACAAATTTTCTGAAAAAAAATGTACTCAAGATTGGGTTTGTGGGCTTTTTGTTAAAGAGATCATATATTCCTGTATTTTTCTATTGGATTCCAAGTTTTAAACATATCCATTTGTACACGTCCATATATAGCTTTCAAAGAGTCTCATTCTCTTTTGTTACGTGGGCTATGTATCGATGGTTTTTACTTCACAGAGAGGTCGTTTCCGACACAGATGTTCTTTGGGATTCCGTTTTTATGTTTCCACAAGCTCATCCCCTTAAAAAATAACCAAAAAACACATTTACAAATCTTACAGACAGAAGTGAATTAGTGTGCACCTCCATAGATCAACTCCATGGAATAGAAGATTTTTCCTTGAAGAAATTGTCATAGAGGTACATAGTCAATGTTGTCATCTTCCGACACAAATTTGGTACTGAGTTTCAACCTATTTGCTTTATAGATGACTGACTTCACAATTGGAATCGAAGATTGAAATACGATAATATGAAAGAAAAAAAAAATGTTCCAAGAATGTGTGTCCTCCGTAGAGCTACTCCATGGAGGAGAAGACTTCCATGAAGATAATGCCATGGAGGTAATTAAAATGATGTTATCATCTTCCGACACAAAATTGGTACAAAATTAAAGCCTAATTTGCTTTGTAGATGATCTCATAACGAAATTGCAAGTGCGATTAGAGAAGAACACACCAAAATAATCGAAGTTTTTACACTCACAGAAAAGCTAAGCCCTACAAATAGAAGTGGAAGTTAAGAGAGACAAAAACACAGCTTATATATTCTGGCTGGTTAGGGCAACCAATTGTGTGAACCAAAACGATGCCGGTTAATGGTAAATTGGGCTTTTAACTGTCTAATCATTCATTTGGGCTAAATTTACGCCTATTGGGCTGTACATCCTCACGGGAATGAATTGAATTGAAGCGATCTCTCTCTTTATGTCATCGATTTAAAATATCCACGCTTGGTTTAACTAATCTTGAACAATTCTTGGGTCACCCCTAAGGGTGAATGAATGAATTCACCCCTTCTCATTTTAACCAATGAGAATTTGCCATATAATAAAATCACTTAAAGTAACTTATTAAAATAACACATTTTAAATATATTTTTTCAATAAAAAAAACTAAAGCCTAATTTAGAAATATTGAACTCAAATATAATATTAAAGTTAATGTAGAATTATTTTTAATAAAAATATATTTACATAATTATTTGTTTATTTTCGAAATTTTTTAAAAAAAAAAAACTAAACCCAAAATTGGAAATAGCGAACCCAAACATAATATTAAATTATCTTTTTAATGGAAAAAACTAAATTCTAATTTAGAAATAGTGAATCCAAGCCTAATATTGAAATTTATGTAGAATTAGTTTTAATAAAAAAAATATTTTTACATAATTATTTGTTTTATTTTTGGAATTTTAAATAAATAAAAAAACTAAAACCTAAATTGGAAATAGTGAACCCAAGCATAATATTAAATTTTAATATATATGTATATATTTATATAATTATTTATTTTATTTTCGGAATTTTAAACTCTAATCTCTAAATTCTAATTTTTAAATTCTAAATTCTAATTTTTATACTCTAAATCATAATCTATAAACTTTTAAAAAATTAAAATAAAAACTAAACCCTAAATTCTAATCTTTATATATATTATTTATTATATATATATAATATCAAAATATTTGATTGAGTATTTAATTTTTTAATTTTTTTTAAAGATAATATTACATGGCAGATTCTAATTGGTTTAAATGAAATGGGGTGAATGAATGAATTCAACCTTACCCTAGAGGTGAACGGCAAGAATTTTTGTTGTCGTTGAAAGCTATTGGACTCCTTTTTGACAGAAAGTGCGAACACAACACGAGGATTGTTAAAAAAAATATGAAAAATCAACGTGTAAATATATTAAATGTTGAACCGGTGGTTATAAGAAGATTCTAAACCAGATCATATATAAAACAATGTTACCTTATTTCCTCCAAAGTCAAATTTGAGGAAATTACTTGATCATCATTTATTCACCTGATTCGCCAAAATAATATTACAACAATGGCGACCAGATCAGATCAATATCAGTTTGTATAATCACCTCTATACATTATTAATAATAAAAAGCTTGAGATTAAAATTAAAATGAGAATTTACAGATTCCTCTTTGAAAAATCAAAGCTTTTTTTTTTTTAAAGCCCTTTCTTCTTTTGTTTCTTCATTGCTGTGTATCAATGGTTGTGTCTTTACCAGAGGTAGTCGCTGCTTGTCTTGTGGGATTCCCACTTGATGTTTCAACAACCTCATCTGTCTCCGAAGCTGTGTTTTCGTATGTGAATACTCGCATTGGGTGATCAAATTTACAGCTTGGACCAAATTTGCAGATTCCATACCGAGTGTAGAACACACACAACGGTTCTCCCTAACCACACAACACTTGGATTAAAAACAAAATACACAAATACCGATTCTAATCAAAGAAACAAATTCAAGATGTGTTTTTTCAGTCTTTGAGCTTACCGGGCGTAAAGGGAGGCCAATGGGACTTAAGAGGCAATCAGGAGGAGGAACTTGTCTGTCTCTAGGATGATGAAACTTGCAAACTGTGCCAAATTTGCAGTCACCTGTCTTCATGTAGAATTGGCATTCGGGTTGTCCGGGTCTTTCCGGGAAAACATTTTCCCTCGGCAATGCATAGAACCCTCTTAGTGGAACAGAGGATCCCGAATTGAAACCCGAGAATGACCCTTGAGACTGAGACCCTGACTCTATGGTCTCGTTCTGCTGCAAGTTTCTGTAGTTGTGATCATTTCCGGTACCTGAAGGAGAAACTGAGCCGAGCTGACCCTAACGAAATGGAAACCCCGAGAAAAGAGTTCAATGTGAAACAAAAGCAAGCAATACAAATCAGATTATCTAAAGGTTAAGCAAATTGTTTTCTTGACGTCTTACACTGTAAGGGTTCCATCCTTGAACCGGGACAACTCCTTGAGGCATAATCAAGGGGGTGAAGCTAGACGGATCTTGCCATCGAGGGTTGGCAATAAAAGAAGCTCTTGACCAAGGATAAGACTGTTGGCCTGAAGCAGGAACCATCATGTTGGTTGTTGGTTGAGGCTGAGGGTGGTTGAATTTACAAGTCCCACCAAATTTACAGTGCCCAGTTCTCAGAAAATAAGCACAATCAACCTCATTCTGCATATTGACATCAAGAGAATGAATCTCTAAGAGTGTGAAACGATGGGAAGTGAGATGAAATCAGAGAGGTCAAAGGTCAACATACCGAGCGTAGAGGATAGCCTAACATATTGAGAGAGACTCTTCCAGCAATCCCAGCTTTGTTCCTAGGATGATGAAACTTACACGATACTCCAAACTTGCAGGTTCCTGTCTTAAGGTAGTACTAAGCAACACAAGCATACAACATACAATGTAAGTTAGTTTGTGAAAGAAGATGACGCAATTAGATACCAAAGCTTGAGAAAATGCTAATTTTACAATTATAAAATCAAACTTCTTATGAACAGGTAGAGAATGTGTTTCGAGTTATGTAAGGGAGAACAGTTTTCAATAACTCGATCACCTCGCATTCAGGCTGACCAATCCTTTCAGGGTATTCTCCTCTCATCCTTGCAGTGGCTATAACCTACGAGACATCAAAACATTTTCAAAAGCTTTGAAATTTGGATCCAGCCAAACAGATCTCTAAACTCCAACATCAAACACACAGAAACACACACACACACAAAACGTATCATACCAGTTCCCGATCACGAGGATGATTGAACCGACAAGTTGAACCAAATCTACAAAGTCCAGTTCTTATGAAATAAGAACAATTCGGCTCTCCTGGTCGTTCTGGGTAAGAACCAGTTTCCATTGTTTCGTCTGAACTCAAATTCATTTGCCACATTGCATCTGATCAGGACCTCCACCCATAAGAAAGAAAAAAAAAATCGAAATTAAACCCAATCCGTAGAAAGAAAAAAAAATCATATTTTTCCGATCAAAACTGAAAAGAAAAAGAGGAAGAAATTGATCGGACCTTGATTCATCAGAGGTGAAAGAGAGGACATAGGAACTCCGGCATTAAAATCCATAGACGTGAAGAGGAATGCCTCCGACGGTGATGATGATAAGCATAAGACATTATACTGTCATCACTTTCAGTGATTCGCCGGAAATCGAAACCCAAATCGTAATTCCTCTTAAAAGAAAATGAAGTGTAGAGAAGTAATTGACAACGGAGAAAGAAGACATAGAAGAAGAATCGTGTAAACAGAGAGAGGTGAGAGGAAGTGAAGAGAGAGACGAAAAGCAAAAAAGCGTCCTCGTCTCACCTCCACACAAAAGAAACAAGACATTTGAGAGAAAATTAATTAATTAATAGTTTATATAAATAGGAAGACGATATTACCCCTACGGATGTTTTTTGCTCGTGTGTGTCGATTTATTTTATCTTCTCCACCAAAATTGGACGGTAGAGAACACGTCACAAAATTTTATTATTTGTTTCATTATCTTTGTCCTTTTCTATGTGGCTTAACTCATATAATATATATAAAATGTTGGAAAAAAAACAAATGTGCTAAAATTAAAAGCTTTATGCCAGTGTCCATAATTTTGGGTCCTAAACCGAGTTTGAACCAAAACTGATATGAACATTGGTTACCTTACCTATAGTCAAAATCCAAGAATATTTTATGGAAAATCCAAAATGAACATCTCTAGATATAAAGCTAAGCTAATCTTGATTTGGTTCGAGCCTTGCTTTGGCTCTTTCAAGAGCCTTTAGCCTATTAGCTTCCATTCGTAGTCTCTGTTCCTCGGAGATGTTCTGAGCTCTCTCCACTGCCTTTAATCTATTAGCTTCCGTACGTGCTCTTTGCTCTTCTGTCAGTTCACTGCTTTTATCCATGTTTTGTTCATCGCTCGGTATCTTCGAACTATGTGTTGAATCCATCCCATTATCAAATATCTCATTCAACATACTGTCTTGAAAAGCATCAGCATTTGTATCAGCATCGGCATCAACGCTCTGCGATGGTATGTCCTCCTCGTCATGACTTGGCTGATCCATATCTGTGTTACCTGCAAAAGAGTTTTCATCACCAACAATGCAAAGATTGTAATGGAGTAATAGAAACTGAACTTTAGTGGAATTCAGCCACACGAGAAGCGTTTCTCTTTTTTTCACATCAATCTCTCAACACTTATGCAGCCAGCCAAATTCCAAGATTAAGCAGCATTTGAGACATTAAGAAGATTCAAGGGAAAAAAGCAGATCTGTTTTGAGATACCTTGATTATTATTAGAAGGAACAGCATTTTCCTCCTGCTTATCATATAACTTGTTTGGATCAACTCCGCTGGCGACCCTTTCTCTCAGTTCGTTTATACAAATCTGAAAGGATAACACATTAGCTAATTTTGTAAGTGCACCAAGTTGCAAATGAAACATACTCACTGAGTGAATATAGAGTTCGTAGTTACTGGTAGAAGCTAAGTATGTTAGGGAAGTAAAGACTAAGGTATGAGCACAATGGTCATAAACCAAAAAACAGCCTAACACACTCTCAGATTCTTGTGCTTGATACTTATAAAGCAACGCATGATTGATCGCAAAAGGAGACGAGCGAATTTCTAAATTTCAGTAATCTTGACTAAAAACTGGTTTGATAGAATCATCTGAGCATATTTTCAGCCTTCAAATCCGGATTCAAAGATTCACTGCATGTGCAAAATCAGAGAAAAGAGGGGGATTGGGCCAATGTACCTTCACACGCTTAGTAGCAGCGACTTGTTGCACTTTGTGCACAAACTGATCAAATGAATAGTAAGGTAGCAAATGAGAGTGCCACTCACTGTACAGCCTTATCAAATTCCCCAAATCGCTGACCTAAAAAAAACAAACATATCCAAATTATCACACCTCAACACAAAACAGTTCCCAAATCTGACAGAGAAAGCAGCAAAATCAAATAGAATCGGCGAATAAATTGTGGGAAATGGCTTGCCTCTTTCGATCGGCCACGATACTTGAAGGATCTAGGAAAATAACGAAGAACATAGCCGAGACCATCCTCCGAGAGCAGCAAATCAGGTGTTAGCTTAGGCCTTTGAAGTCTCGTCTTCGTCGCTTTGGGAACGGATGTTCCGGCGGCAGTATTTCCACTTTTGGCAAAAGATCTCTGAAAGGCGTTGTTAGGGGCTTGAGTTGGAGTGGTAGAAGAAGGATCGGAGTTGCCGGCGACCGGAGCCGAGGATGGGCAATCGCGAGACCAATGACCGGGACGGCCACATTTGAAGCATCCCGTCGGAGCAGATTCCATCTTTCACCCTACGATCTCTCTCTCTCTCTCCTCTCTCTCTCGGTCTTATCAGATTCGCCAGCAAAATTCATTTTGGCGGTTTTACATTTTAGGCTGGCGGGAAAATTACATGGGGCGAATCGGGCGGGTGGTATTTATTCGACCCGGCCCAGTTTTAATAAAATTAAAAAAGCAAATACTGTAATGTGAATTCACATTTCACACTGTCGACAAATAACGAAGAATAATAAATCAAGACACAATGACACTCTCAGAGCAGTGACGAAAGAGCGTTTTAGGACTGATTTTCTAAAATAGCTTTTTTAACGACGAGATAATATAGCAAAACTCGCCAAAATATATTTTAGTCAGTTGTAGGACAGATTAATCCACTTTTAACTTCGGAGCGTATCTATTTTTTGTAGCTACAAAATTAGATTTTACAGAAATCGAAAGAAGAAGGACGGTTCTCCATGCTTTTGGGAGAATGTTAGCATTTCTTGAGAGATGGAGAATACAAAGAAAATCCACACTTTTGTTTTTGTTTTAAAAAAAAAAAAATGTTTTCCCTTCTTCTTCGGAGAAGTCACTCTTCTTCATCGATTTCTTGTGGCTTGGATTTGTCTCTTTTTTTTCTTCCTCTCTTTCTTCTTTCATTTTTCTTCGTGCGTTTCTCCTTTTTACGTGGGTCCTTCAATCTCCCCCATGAAGGACCCGACCCTTTGCTAAATCCAAAACAGAAACAAAACAAAATCTTGTATTTTCTCTGTGTCTTTCGCTTAATTAGGCTTCTTTAACCCTTTAATTACTTAAGTTTTGCATCATGCACTGTTTTCCGTGTTTTTCTGTGCCAAAGTGTAAAAAATATTCAAGTACGAATGAGGCTAACGACAACGAAGCCAGACCGCATGGTATGTTATGTCCTAATGCTCGCCTTTTTTTGATCTGAGAATGGAAAGTCGTTTTTGATCTGATCGGTAAAATCAAATTAAAAAAAAAAAAATTGATATTTTTTTTGTTCCTTGTTCTTAAAGAAAGGAGACGATCAGATGAAACAGAGCAATTAGAAGGAACGACGCTAAAAACATTCACTTTCCGAGAATTAGCGACGGCGACAAAGAATTTCCGGCAAGAGTGTTTGCTAGGAGAAGGTGGATTCGGTAGGGTTTACAAAGGAACCCTTCAATCTACTGGCCAGGTTCGATACTGAAACTTAGAATTGAGAAATTTTAATGATCCATCACCAAAGTTGCCAAAGATTCACCAATAAGAATTTGTATTGTTTTTTTTTTTTTTGGGAAATGTGAAGGTGGTGGCTGTAAAACAACTAGACAAGCATGGATTACATGAGAACAAAGAGTTTAAAGCTGAGGTTTTGTCATTAGGCCAAATCGATCATCCGAATCTTGTTAAGCTTGTAGGTTATTGCGCCGATGGAGATCAAAGGCTTTTGGTCTATGATTATGTCTCTGGAGGTTCCCTTCAAGACCATCTTCACGGTATTATTATACATACAGTACATATATAGAGAACTCCTTTTCTTTTAACTTTTTTTTTAGCTGAGATTTTTGGATGTTTGTTTTGCAGAGCCAAGATCAGACGGCCAACCGATGGACTGGACAACGAGGATGAAGATCGCGTATGGTGCAGCGCAAGGGCTTGATTACTTGCACGATAAAGCGAATCCACCTGTGATATATCGAGATTTGAAAGCTTCAAACGTTTTGTTGGACGATGACTTATGTCCTAAGCTTTCTGACTTTGGCCTGCATAAGCTAGGACCAGGGACAGGTGATAAGATGATGGCTTTATCTTCTCGAGTAATGGGAACTTATGGTTACTCCGCACCTGAGTATACGCGAGGAGGAAATCTGACTATGAAGTCAGATGTCTACAGCTTTGGAGTTGTGTTGCTTGAGCTCATCACGGGTCGAAGAGCTCTTGATACTACTAGGCCTAATGATGAACAGAACTTAGTTTCTTGGGTAAACGACAAAACCATAGAGATTGCTCTGTTTTCTTGAATCGGTTATATCACAAGATTATATCTTTTTTTTTTAGAAATTCTCCCGTTTTTTTGTAGGCGCAACCGATATTTAGAGATCCGAAAAGATACCCGGATATGGCAGATCCAGTTCTGGAGAGGAAATTCTCAGAGAGAGGGTTAAACCAAGCAGTGGCAATAGCTTCAATGTGTGTGCAAGAGGAAGCAGCAGCTCGTCCTTTGATAAGCGATGTAATGGTTGCACTTAGCTTCCTTTCCATGTCTACCGAAGACGGTATTCCCACAGCAGTTCCTATCTTATCCTTCAGGGACAAGAGCATCTCTATAGCCTTAAGCCGGCATGATTCAAATCTTGTTTCTCCTCCTCCTGAGCTAGCAACGGAAGATGACAAGTCTAGTATATCATCAGGTGAAGAATCATTTTTGGACAGCGTAAAGGAGACTGTGAGCAAGAAGAAAAAGCATGAGAATGAAGGTAGCTCGACGGAATCTGATGATGGGTCTGATCCCAACTCAGATGATGAACATGAAAAGGAACAAAAAGGTCCCCCACCAAAGCCTATTGATGAGAAGAACCCAGCGCAGAGCTTGAAGATAAAGTATAGATATAGCTGGGAAGAAGTTGATGTCAATGATGACAAGCTAAGCAGTAAGAGCAGCCAGAAATCCACTGATGAGAGCATTTCTTCGCGCTATGATAGCGACAGAGATCATGATGATTCACCAAGGAAAGAGGAGAATGAGAACAAAGAGGAAGAGGAAAAGCATACTCATCTTGAACACGTTCATAGCTCCAAAACTGATGATGATCAAAGTGTTTACTTTGATGATGATGATGATGATTCAAGGTCAGGAGATGACGGTGAAGCCTCTTTGCGTCGGATAAAATCAGAGGATAAGATTGATTCTATTGAATATGCCAATGAAGCCTCTTTGCATCAGATAAAATCAGATGATGAGACTGATTCTGTTGAAGATGCCAATGAAGTCTCTTTGCATCAGATAAAATCAGACGATGAGACTGATTCTGTTGAAGATGTTAATGAAACCTCTTTGCATCAGATTAAATTTGAAGTTGAGATTGATTCTACGGAAGATGCCAATGAAGCCTCTTTGCACCGGATAAAGTCAGAGGCTGAGATTGATTCTACTGGTGATTGAAACTTTCTTCCTGATTTCCTATTCATCTATTGAAGCTAAAGACACTAAGAGTTTGAATCTTTTTGGGATTTATTTTTGGGGGAAAACTCTCATGGGAATATGAAAACATATTTTTATGTTATTCTGAACAAATTATAATCATCTCTCTTTATATATGATGAAGATGTCTTAATAGATTACCAAACAAGATGTATAAATCGAATGATCTGTTTGATAAAACAAAACTCAGATTTCTATAATTGTTTTATGTCTTATGGTCCATTTGAGAGAAAAAAAAGAGTAGAAACAAATTATAATTAAAGAGGTATTATCATTTTCTCTTATAATTTGTGGTAATTGCAAATGCAGACTGAATAAAATGTTTAAGAAAAACACTAAATTGAGAAAAATTATGTTAGTATTTGAAACATAGACAAGTGTCAAATAATTAAACCCTAAATAATTTATGAATCTTAAGCATTAATCTTAGCTATTATGACTGTGAGTAAGATTAGATTATCCAAAAAAAGGGAAATAGGAAATAATATTAGATTCTCAATATAGATAGGCTAAATTAGATACTTAACTGATAGAAATAATTCAGATAACATTAATATGTGTGTATCCTATTTGTGATTAAGGAATTAGTCTTTATACTTTTTTTTTTTGTTTGGTCAACAAATTTTTTTTTCTTGTCAATAGTCAATACTTTCAGTCTGTAGAATAAAAATTCAAATGAGGCCACTCAACTTTTTATTTGTTTTTCTCGCGATTCGACCACCCAAGTTTTTATTCTCGTTCGACCACTTTATTTGAGAATTTTTGTTTGATCAAATTTTTTTTGTTTTAAAGGATTGACTCAAAACTAGATTCGTTAAAGAATCGTCAGCTGTGAGGTGTAAGGAAACGCAGAAGACATTACACGTGTCAAGATCCTAGAGATTCTAAAGGGTCCATCCTAAATCCTTAAAGGTTTTAACCCAATAGGAAGAAAGAATCCTACCCAAAAACTCCCAAAATCTGAGTCCGCTTTTCAAAGTTGTTTCCTTTTTTTAATAGAAACCCCACTTGATCCTCTTTCCTCCTATAAAAACCCTTTCTTTTATTTTCCTTCTCAAACCAATTTCATCAATTCTTTCTCTAAGATTTCTGGGTTTTTGCTCTGTTTCTCGTTATATTTTATAGACGGAGGCAGCAGCAATTTCTTAATAGGTTATTGGAATTCGATGTGTTTGATAATGGAAACGGATGATCACGACGGTGGTGTTTTAGTTTCGCCGTCGAATTTCTCCATGGTTGAAGACGGGATTTATCGATCTGGGTTTCCTCAACCCGAGAATTTCGGTTTCCTCACAACCCTAAATCTCCGTTCCATCATGTAAGACAGATTGATTCTCTTCCTTTATTAATCGTCTGGGTTTCATTAAATTAACTCTTTTGATTGATTTTTAACAATTGATTTCGATTGTATTAATTAATAAAAGTCGTTGGTTGATTCACAAAACAGTTATCTTTGCCCTGAGCCATACCCAGAGGAGAATCTCAAGTTTCTTGCGGCCAACAACATTCAGCTTTTCCAATTTGGAATCGAAGGGAAAACGGTGCGTTCTCATTGGATTAAGCCTCTCTTGAACAACAATCTCTTTTGTTTCTTGTTGGTTTTTGAATCATTGTAATGCTCTTGATTCCTTATGTCGAATTTGTTTATGATGTGCAGGATCCTCCTACTCCAATGCCAAAAGATACAGTTTTGGATGCTCTCAAAGTCTTAGTTGGTAAGGAATCAACAACGCTCACTACGGTCTTTGATGTTTATAAGCTCTTTCTTAGCTGTTTCGTGTATCTTAAAGTCACTCTTATGTTTTCTCTGTAGATGTAAGAAACCATCCGATTCTCATACATTGCAAACGTGGGAAGGTAATATACATCAACCCTTATCTCTCTTCTTCTTCTTCTTCTTCTTCTAGGAGCTTGGCCTATTCTTAGGACGCTCTTTGGTGGTCTTTCAAGAGATTGTGTGATTAGTTATTTACAGGACACTAATGGTTTGATGGTTTTTTTTTGTGAACTCAATATGGATGCAGCATAGGACAGGTTGTTTGGTGGGATGCTTAAGAAAAGTTCAGAGCTGGTGTTTACCATCGGTGCTCGAGGAATACCAGAAGAACGCGGGATTGAAGTGGAGACAAAGGGATTTGAAGTTTATAGAGACTTTTGATATCGTGAGCTTGAGGCAGTGTCTCTTGAGCATTATGTATCGGTATCACGGTTATGGTTCCAAGAGGAAAAGGTTGGTCTATGAAGAAGAAAATGTCCAGCAACCGAAACCGCAGGCTGCTAAAGTTTGAAAATGAGAGCAACCAAGTGGGATATGGTTCGGGGGTTTAAATCTGATGATTCTTCTAGGAGGTTAAGTTTGGTTTTTTAGCAATGGAAATGTACAGAAAGGTCACTCTTCATTAAAGACTGATGCATGAGAGGTCAATCAACTCGATGACCACTAATGCCTCTGTTGCTTTTATCTTTTTTTTTTTTTTTTTACTTGTCAACTCTTAAAGTGGCTTTAGCTAATTGTTCAAAGACCCTCTCTTTCAAATAAGAAATATTATTACAAGAAATTAGACTATGGAAAGGTTTCTGACTGTATATATAGCACATGTATTAAAATGGCTTGGGGTAATTGTTCAAAGTGACTATACATATACATATATAATTGATAAAAATGGAAAACAGAGGAGGTAAAGAGTATCGAGTCATCTTCCAATTTATACCATGTGCACTGCAGGACAAGGTTTCTGACTATATGTAGCACATGTATTGGGAAAACTTTTCTCTAAAGATGTCTTTTTAAAAAAAAAAAAAAAAGATAATCAAAGAATCCAATTTGTTTAGCATTCTTTAACTAGAGGAGGCCATATTCTCTTTACCTATCACGGTGCTTTACACCAAATGTTAGTTAATATATATATACATACACCTGCTTTTGAATTCCATTATCAGCCTCCACGTGATCGAGCCAGCGAATTAGGACAGATAAATAGTCTATGTAACTAAACCGAACGACACCGGAAAAGAACAATCTAAAACCGAACCAAATCTAACCTAAGTATATCCGATAAAAACTCGAGACCACAGACGCAAACTGATAATGTGCACAATCCTCTAACAAAGAAACTTTACGTCATTATCAGAAATATGTCTGCACATTGACGTACTTTTGAGATCATTCTGAACAAAGGTTTCCTCTGATTATGTCTGAACAGAAACAGAGGTTTTTTTTGTATATATTTAAGAACTATATTCTCTTATTTATGAGAAGATTATTGCCTGCAAGAGCTTTCTGTAAGAAAAAGAACCAGTACTAAACAAGAGAGATTGGAACTAAAAACCCATCAAACAGTTCCAACACCGGGGTCCTTAAAACAAAAAAGATGTCTGATGTGCTTGCAGCTTCAAAGAATGGAACTTCAAGGTCATTAATCATAACATAAAACGAACTTAAACCAAACGTGTTCTACACTTAATGTTATGCCAAAACAAATAAACAGAGAGATTGAAACCACAACGCTAGCTAGCCTAAACCAAAGGGCATACAAACCTTATATTCTTTACCAGACAAATTCTTGCAAGTAAGAACATTTGTAAGTTAACACAGACTCGAGAAGAGATATCGTTCAAATCTCAATTTATTCATATAACATCCCCTCCATCTGGAAAATAGCAGATAACAAGTTTGAGATCATAAACAAGAAAAGAAAAGGTAGAAGCCATAAGGGTCATCAACATGATGGATTGGGACAAGAGTTCATAATATTCGAAACCAAAATATCACAAATTTTGAAGGAGATTGAATTATTTCTTCAAGCTTCCCCTAATGCCAGGTTTAGGCTTCGCCTCAGCAACTGGTGCTAAAACAGCATGGAGATTAACGAGCTTGGATTCGTCGTAAGGGATCTTCGGATGCTTGGATTCGTGATGGATCTGCATCGTCTTGAGATCAGGAGCTGTAATTTTGCAGTGAGGACACTCGTATTTAGCGTGACCACCTTTCTCTTTTCCGGTCCTATCAGCGATTCCCGCCTTTCCTCCGCCTCTGTTGGTCAACGCAGCATCGATCTTAGCTTGGATCTCCTTCGCCGTATGCTTCTTCGGCTTCGCCTTACCAGTCATCCTCGATGGCGACTTCTCTGGGAGCGACGATCTCGCAGGAAGGGCGAACCCCTAACCCTAACCCTAGTTGTGCTCCTCTTCTGACCAAGACGGACAATTTTGCTCTACATTGTTATGGGAAATTTTCAAAAAAACCCTCCAAACTAACTACTTGTTTCAATTAAACCCTCTAACTATGAAATTCACAAAACAATCTTTTCTTTTCAAATAAAATGGTCTCATAGTTATTGAATTGACTTGCAAAACACGGTTAGTTTAGGGGTTTTGATTGCAAATTTCCTTCTTGTTTTTTTTAGTTGGAGAAAGGAAAGCTGACAAAAAAAAGGAAATAATCTTATCCGCTTTTGTCAGGAGTGGTGTAATCAAATGCGGAGAGGTATATGGTAAGAGTCGTGGACATAAAATAAAATAAAACGCAGAACGCAGGGGAGCGCATCAGTCATCAACCACATGCACACCAATGTCTGCTTCTTCTTTATTTAATCTCTCATTGATTCGCCTCAGATCTCTCCCTCTTCTCTCTTCTTCTTCTTCTTCCTCTTCCCACTTTTCCCATCTTCCTCTATCTTCGATCCGATCTGTTCCCATTTCACTGAGAAAGTTATCGAATTTCCGGGCATTCTCCGCTACCACCATGACAGACTCTAAAGATGCTGGAATGGATGCTGTTCAGAGACGCCTCATGTTTGAGGACGAGTTAGTCTTTGATTTCCGTTTAATTCTCCGTATTTCGATTTCAACTTTTGGGTTTTGCCAAAATAGTACCTTTTTCGCTTCAAATCGTTTCCTCGAATCTGAATCGTTAGGTTGCTGAGAAAATGGAAGGAAAATTGACGAATTAGGTTCTGGGATTTGAGTTATTTTTCGATTAGCCATGGTTCAGGAGCATAGGTCTATTGATTTGTTGACTTTGGTGTAATAATAAATGACTTGTGGATTTAGTAATTGTTAAGTTTCTTCCATTTTTTGTCAACGCTTTAGTGTCTTCTATGAAATGTGGGAGGAACATAGTCAGGTGGTCTATATTCCCAGCCGAAAATGGATTCTTTGGATATGATAGTTGATCCTTTGCTTTGATAGAGATGTTTCTTTTCCAAGTTTTCGGTCTCTCGATGCCCAGTACAAGAATCTATATATATATATACGATCTCCCCGCCTTAATTGAATGATTCATTTCTTCATTGACTATCTTGTTTTCAGATGCATTCTTGTTGACGAAACTGATCGTGTCGTGGGGCATGACAGCAAATATAATTGTAAGTGAACTTGTTCGAGTCTCATTTTACCTCTTAGTGTTTTGAATTTCGTGTGCTTCTTTACTATTCTCCTATGGCTGAAGTTAGTTGCAGTTACTGCATCAAGATCTGACATAGCGTGGCTGCTTTTATTTAATGTTGTTCATAATCATAGCCCCTCTAGATTACAACTTTTGAGTTTCCATCAAATGTCGTTGGCCTCTCCATGAATGTGTCGAACATATTATTTATTGTGTAGCTAATAAACATCTTCAGTGTCTACAAAGTTTGTAAATTATCATTCCTATAGTGTATGGATGTATTATGCGACACTTTGCATTGCAGTGTTGTGCCATTTTCACAAGAATAGGATATTTTTCTCCAATGACAGTAATTTCTGTCTTGTTTGAAATAGACGAATATAAAATCTTGCTGCTGGAAAATGGTTAAAGAAAATTAACTACTCGCTTAGTTTTCTTTGGCATATTGCTTATACTGAAGTGATAGAGGATGGTTATTTTACTTCTAATCTCTGTCCACTATTCAAGATACTGACACCTTCTCAAATCTGTAGGTCATCTGATGGAAAATATTGAAGCTAAGAATTTGCTTCACAGGGCTTTTAGTGTATTTTTATTCAACTCGAACTATGAGTTGCTTCTCCAGGTATTTGTTTTGTTTACGACTGCTTTGAATTCAAGATAAGTCAAGTTTTGTATACGACTACCGTGTACTAGGCATGCTGGTGTTATATCTAGAATCATCTTCTTGTAGAGAAAAATAAGCTCAATAATTATGGGTAATTTTAGAGATTTTGTTGGACGTATTGGGTGTGGCACTGATGCTGCGATGCTCTCGTGATTTAAGATGGTTGGCGGATCTGGCTCATATGTCATCCTACTGAAATTTCTCCTCTTTGTAACAGCAAAGGTCGAAAGCAAAGGTGACCTTCCCTCTTGTGTGGACAAACACTTGTTGCAGCCATCCTCTTTACCGTGAATCAGAGCTTATCGAGGAAAATTCACTCGGTTGGTATTTACTGGGCCAACAATTCAGTACTTGTTACTAGCTATGCAGCAAACTGTAGCTTCACTTGAATACTGACCTCACTGTTTGTATCATGCTCATCAGGTGTGAGGAATGCTGCACAGAGAAAGCTTCTTGACGAGCTTGGTATTGTAGCTGAAGATGTACCAGTCGATGAATTCACTGCCTTGGGACGTATGCTTTACAAGGCTCCTTCTGATGGCAAATGGGGAGAGCACGAACGTAAATACCATTCCCTGAGACTCGTGTTGACCTTTTTTTCTTCTTGAATACACACTGCCAAAAACGTTAATGGAACACTGATGTTTTTCTCCGTTGGCCTTCTTTTTGCAGTTGACTACTTACTCTTCATTGTGCGGGACGTGAAGGTTCAACCAAACCCAGACGAAGTAGCAGATATCAAGTATGTGAGCCGGGAAGGGCTGAAGGAGCTGGTGAAGAAAGCAGATGCAGGCGAGGAAGGTCTCAAACTGTCTCCATGGTTCCGATTGGTGGTGGACAATTTCTTGATGAAGTGGTGGGATCATGTTGAGAAGGGAACTCTGGGTGAAGCTATAGACATGAAAACCATCCACAAACTCTGAAATCTTCCTTGAGTTTTTGGATAATCTTTCTCTTTCCCTTTCATCTTTTTGATATTTGTGATGGTAATAATTGGGAGACACGAGACTTTTCCATGAAAAAATCACGCAATAAAGTTTCATTTTTATTTGAATTTAGGAATATCTTTCAATGATCTTGAATTTTACATTGTTTATGAGATGTGTAAAACGCATTTGGGTGGAGAGAAGGCGAGAAAATGATAGCAAGTAAACAGAGACGAAAACAGAGAAAAGGAAAAGCAAAGATTCCTTTTTCCGAAGCTTACCTTCGATCTGATTTATATAAAAGGCTAAAAGTCAATATTTTATTGTTATAAAATGACCAAAGCAAAGCAAGTATTTCTGACTTTGTTCTGCTTTAAATCATCACTTCATTTCTGAATTCTGAGACTTGAGAGCACACAGACAGAGTTCGTCATCCGAGTTTCTTGTATTTCAGGTAAACGAAACGAGATTCGATCTAATCCCTTCTATTTATCAAGGTTGATTTTTGGATGGTTTTCTAGTGAAATGAATGAATTTTCCGTTTGGGTTTCACGGATTGACCGTGGATCATAATACTTAATCCAGGTGAGAAGAGAGAAAATGGCGTTTGTGACCACTGCGGAAGTTTGTGACGCGAATCAAGAGCTGATCCGGAGTGGGCAGCTCCGAGCTCTGCAACCCATTTTCCAGATTTACGGTCGTCGTCAAATATTCTCAGGTCCAGTAGTTACTGTCAAAGTATTTGAAGACAATGGCTTGATCCGTCAGTTTCTCGAAGAGAAAGGTATTCAATGATTCTTTCTTGCTCAAGAGATTTCAAAAGGCTGAACCTTTATTCCTAGAAAGACCTTAAGAGAGATATTATGAACTTTCTTCATAGGATCATTGACATGGTTTAGTTTTATAGATTTAGACTCAATTCTGGTTTGCTGCTTGTCAAACAGCTCCAATCTTTCTTTGCGTGAAACTAACAAGTTTAAGATCATGTATCTGAATCCGTACCTAGTAACTAGAGATGAGATGTGTCTTGTAGGAAAACCAGAGGCTTCGCTTACAGTAAACCAAATCTGTTCTCTTTGTTATCTTTCACATGAAAAACTCACCGATGCTTAAAAAAACAGGCAATGGAAGAGTTCTAGTGGTGGATGGTGGAGGGAGTTTACGATGTGCGATACTTGGAGGAAACCCGGTAGTACAAGCGCAGAACAACGGATGGGCGGGGATCATAGTGAACGGTTGCATCAGAGACGTTGATGAGATCAATGGTTGCGACATTGGAGTCAGAGCTTTGGCTTCTCATCCTTTAAAGGCTAGTAAGAAAGGACTTGGTGAACAAAGAGTCCCTTTGAACATTGCTGGGACTCGGATTTGCGATGGCGAATGGCTTTACGCTGACACTGATGGAATCCTTGTTTCTCAGATCGAATTATCGGTTTAGAAAGAAAGAAAACAAAATTGGTTTCTTGATTTGTTGAATCTTGAAGCTGTTGCTATTGAGCTTTACGTTCCCTCTTCTTCTTTTGTGGCTTAATGTATATCAAAGTAAAGTTTGCTTCTTTGAACTATTGAATCCATTTAAGTTTCTGGAGTTACTAAAAAAAAAACCCGTTATTTTTTATTTTTTAATAAAAAATAATAATAATGGTTATGTAATTGATTCAGTGTCACGCGTGCCAACTCCCGTTTAGGTTAAATATAAACTGCGTTTCATTGAGCCGGAAAAAAATCACTGCGTTTCACAACACTCTCTCTCTGGCTTCAGCTCTGTTAATGGCGGCGGAGAGATTGACGTTCACTCTCGGAGGCAAAGGATCTTCGTCCTCTTCTTCCTCCGTTTACAAGGTTGCTTCTCGCGTATCTAATGTAGGGATCGACTCTTCTGCGATCGAGAGATTCTCCACTAAAACCCTTCAATTGACCAAAAGAAGCTCCTTTGGAATCCCTGAAGGGTTAACGAACGAAGAGATCCGAGCTTCTTTGGTTGTGCTCTTAAACAAGCTTCTTTTGTCGAACTCGGGTCCTTCTTCTTCTTCCTCCACCGTTCGTTCTGTTCTTCCGGTTAAGATATTGGAGATTCTGAATTCAAAGACTGAGAATTTCGAATCTGGTGAGATTGAAGTGACAGAAGGGGAAAATTTTGTGCTGGAGAAGTCGTGTGCTTCGTTTATTGGACTATGTTCGATTATAGATTACAAATCGACGGCTCTTTCTCAGATTGTGGATTCTGTTGCTGCCTTGAGCTGTGAGGCTACAAAAGGTGATATCACTTTGTTTAGCTCGTTGGATTCAGGAGACGGGTTTGGTCATAAAGATGCAATTAGTGTAGCTGGTGATCTCAAGGTTTTGCTAAATGGGTCTAAAGCTGTGGGGAAATTCGAAATCGAAGAGATTTCGAAAATTCCCATGATTCATGGAAAATTCAGAGATTTGGTGAAAAGCCTGCACTTGGATGCTCGGAATGAGTTGAATTCGGGTGTTAAAGGAGGCAAAACTGGGTCTGTAGACTCTGGAGTTGGTGAGGCTTTAGGAGCAACATTGCCATCTTTGTCAAAGCTGATTAAGAGCCTGGGAGCATGCTCTTTCCTTCGTGCTAAGCTGTGTTTTCAGTCCATTGGAAATGAGAATCTGAGGAATGGTTTGTCGCAACTGTTCGAAGCGAGCTGTATTGAGTACGAGAACCTGAAAAATGGCTTCTCTGAAGAGGATGACTGCAGATTTGCTCATAAATTGAATGAGACTCTAGGGATCGTATGGAGAATTGTTGGTTTTGAAGCAGTTGCTGCCTTTTTTGCACTTGCTGGTGGAGAGTTGTTTGGCGAGAAGGGAGGAGACGTGGGACAAGAGGAGTCCAAGAGCGATAAGAAAAAGAAGAAGAATGAGAAAAAAGCGGTTTTAGGGAAGGGGACAAGCGTAGTTATCCAGTTTATCAAAGAGAGATTGGTGAGTAATGAGGCAGCAAGTGGTGATGATCAGATGAAGTCATTGAACCAATGGGTGGAGCAAATCTTAAATCTTTTTAATCCCGCGGGTCACGGTTTTGATTCCTTCTTGGCAAAAGTGAAAGAGATTGTAGAAAGTAATGAAAACAGGAGACTTCCCAAGCTTCCAAAGGTAAAATTTTTTGATCTTAGAATCAAAATGTTATGCCTCGAGTCTGTTTCTTATTTGTTTGGTTCTATGACAGGGTACTCGAGATTTCGCTAAAGAACAAATGATAGTCCGAGAAAAAGCATTTTCAATCATACAAAACGTTTTCAAGAAACATGGTGCAACTGCACTTGATACTCCTGTCTTTGAATTGAGGGAGACACTTATGGGGAAGTACGGAGAAGACTCAAAGTTGATCTACGATATTGCTGATCAGGTAAAACTCATCTCGACTACTGCGATTTGATCAGTTTTGTGGATACTGATGTTAGAACTCATGCTCACCTGGTTTATTAATTGCAGGGTGGAGAGCTTTGCTCTTTAAGATATGATTTAACCGTCCCATTTGCACGGTATGTGGCTATGAATGGTTTCACATCATTCAAAAGATATCAAATAGCTAAGGTGTACAGAAGGGATAATCCATCTAAAGGGAGATACAGAGAGTTTTATCAGTGTGATTTCGATATCGCTGGTTTGTCGGAACCAATGGGACCCGATTTTGAAGTTGTCAAGATTTTAACAGAACTCCTTGATAAATTGGAGATCGGAGAATATGTGGTAATAACTTTAGCTCGAAGTCTTGATAATTGCCTGGTTTGTTATCTCCTTCTTAGGTTCTTGATTCGTTTTTTTTTTTTCGTTTGTTTTTGTTTTTGTAAATAGGTGAAACTGAATCATCGAAAGTTGCTTGATGGAATGCTGGAGATATGTGGAGTACCAGCTGAGAAATTCAGAACCATATGTTCGAGTATCGATAAGTTAGACAAGCAATCATTTGAGCAGGTGAAGAAAGAAATGGTGGAGGAGAAGGGTTTGTCTTCAGAGATTGCAGACAGAATCGGCAACTTTGTCAAGGAAAAAGGACGTCCCATGGAGCTGTTGAGTAAACTGAGACAAGAAGGGAGCGAGTTTTTAGCTAACAAATCATCAAACGAAGCTCTTGAGGAGTTGAGTATCATGTTTGAAGCTCTTGAGAGATCAAAGTGCAGTCACAGAATAGTCTTTGATTTAAGTCTAGCTAGAGGTCTTGATTACTACACAGGCGTCATCTTTGAAGCCGTTTGTATTGGAGCAGAGGTAAAAGAAGAAAGAAAAAAAACCCCCGCGACTTGCCTCTTGCAGTTCAATGAGAAAAAAACAGTAAATATGAATGAAATTTCTTATTTTTGTGTAGGTTGGATCAATTGCTGCTGGTGGGCGATACGATAACCTTATAGGAATGTTTGGATCAAGGCAAGTCCCTGCGGTTGGCGTGAGCCTTGGGATCGAGCGAGTGTTTAACATTATGGAAGAGCAACAAAAACAAGTAACTTGCCAAAGTCTTTTCTTTTTTTTTTTTGTTGTCCTTAGTTCAAAAGATTGTTTTTTTGAACTTATGTTTTGGTATGAATGGAGGTGGTTCGACCTACGGAGACACAGGTTTTGGTTAGTATAATGGAGGATAATAAGCTAGGGGAAGCTGCGGAATTGGCTAGTCAGTTATGGGAAGCTGATATCAATGCAGAGTATCTTGTGAGCAAAAGGAGAGCAAAGCATTTCGATCGTGCTACGAATTCAGGGATTCCTTGGATGGTGATTGTAGGCAAAACAGAACTCACTCAAGGTGTTGTCACATTGAAGAAGATCGTCAAGGGAAGTGAAGAGGAAATCCCTGATGTTCCTAGAGATTGTTTCGTTGGAGAATTGTTGAAACGTCTCTGACTTCTCTCTCTTGCATAAATGGTACACTTACCCAAACTCTCACTGGTTCGAATCCCAGCGAAAGTGAATCACAGTTGTGTTGCATTTTTATTTTGTTATTTTGTACTTTTCTTTTATAAAAAATTTTGATTGGAAAAGCACGACTCAAAATCGATGATTGGTGTTATTTGAGATAAGAAGTGAGAGATATTTTTTTATGATGACTTGGTTGGTATTTTTACTATATGAGGTGATAAAATCATTGATCTTGAGATGTGATTGATTAGTGGATAACCGACCGGGCCCGACCCAATCCGATAGATTAATCTATTGTATAGGTTGATTGTCGAATGAGCGATTAAACATTCTGATTATTACGAATTTGTGCTAATTTCTTATTAGATAAATATACAAAATATTCGACGGTAGTTACTAGTTACTACTACTAGCTAGACTGATTAGTCAACGATTAAACCGGTCATAGTCGCTAATCGGCTATCTAGTAATCGATTATTAGAAGCTTGATACAAATCAAGAAACCAAAAAGGCAGCTGTTTAACTCATCCATGATTGACTTAATCTACTATCTTATCCAGAAGAAGTTCGATTATTTGATTGAGATCGGACTCGGACTCGAGCAAGCAATCAAGGAAGAAGATAAGACTAACACATAGGTGAAAACTGATATTGCGTTTCATGAGAGAGAGAGAGAGAGAGAGAGAGAGACACCGAAACAAAACTCAGCACAGGTTGTTGTCTTCAAAATAATGTTGATCTGCAGATCTGCTGCATGAGAAGAAGTTGATACGTGTTGGAATCTGTGCCTCGTTGCCGACATGTGGCTTCAGTTTCTGTATTCACAATGTATGTAGGCATTTGACTGTTTTGGTTCGATTGAAAACGCAAATAGTCTCTCTCCGTTTCATATGTTTTGACTAAAAACACACAGCTATTATAAATTTTACTTTTCTTTAAAAGATTTCATTGATTATATAAATTAAAATAATTCAGTCAATCATAAAAAAACTATATAATATAATTAGTTACATATTCAATAAAGTAAAAATTGCATAGAAATATAAAAGTCGAAGGAGTATAATTCTGTCAATCACATATTTAAAATAAAAAACAATTAGGTTTTTTCTTTCCCCATTTTCAATAGTAAAAATAATATTAAAACAGCTTAAATCCAGAGCCGGTTTTGAGCCCAAGCAAACCAAGCATGGCTTGCGGCCCCTATGTTTATATGAAAATTTTTAAAGATAAAACAGCTCATTTTTTGAAAAAAATATGTAAAACAGTCCATTTTTGTTATATAGCTTGCGGCCCATGCAAAAAATATTCAGTTTAGGGCCGGCTCTGCGTTAAATCCAACCTATTTTATTCAAACTAATTACAACAATACCATTTTATTATGCTATTTTAAGAAGAAAAAAAAACTGATTACATTCACGTATCTTAAAATATCTTACAGTAGATGTAATTTTTTGTAGTACAAAATATCAATTTGTTTTGAGTAACATCGTTAGACCTACTAACAGTATGTACACAGCATATTAAAATCATGGAATAAATATGGTAGATAGTCTCTCACCTTTACGGGATGATTGACTGATTGAGAGACCTCAAATATATGATCTGTGATATTTGTATCGATTTTTATAGAATTTCTTATTTTGGTGGATGTCAGGAAATTATGTGTAAGAAAAACGTCTTATCCAACCCCATGTTAATTGTGCCAGCTTGAAAAAAAAAAAAAAAGAATATTAATATAAAGGGAACCCATCTCTATTAAAAAATAGAAATTAAGTTTTACAAAAATCATCATTTCCAAAGAAAAATCTCTTTACATATTTGGTTGTATTGTATTGTTTTTGTTTAGAGACTGTGACCCATCTCCATTACTGTTTCTGTCTCTCTCTTCTCTCTCTCTACACACAAAAGTAGAAAGTCGAAGAAGAAAGAACGGGTTTGTAGTTGGTGGTTGCGTTTCTTTCTCGTAAAATTTCATCTTCTCTTTTTTTTTTTTTTTTTCTTGTTTCTCTCTACGCGCCAACAGAATCCTACGCCTCTTCTTCTTCGTCTTCTCCGTTTTTGTTTGTTTTATTTCCGGGGTTGAAACTGATTCTGAGATCCTCCTACCTTTTGATTGATCTGTCTCCTGGTGAGTGTCTTTTCAGCTCGAATTCGAATTTAGGTATTTGATAAACGTTTAATTCTTTGTGGAGTTAAATTTTTCTCAGTGATTGTCTTTTGATTGGTTGCAGACGAAGAAGAAACGAGAGAGAGAGGCTTTTGATGATTCTCGTGTTTCTAGTCTCTTTCTCAATCACTGTTTGATGGATTCGGATGTATAAATAAACAACCACATCTCTCTCTCTTTTTTTTTTCTGCGTGTGTGGTGCCAATAGAAAAAATCTACGTAGATCTGTTCCTTTTTCTCGTAAAACTTTTGGGGTTAAATAACTGTACAAATATTAAAAGAGAGAAAAGAGTTTTTTTTTTCTTCTTCTTCTTTGAAGACTCAACAAAGGGTCAGACTCAGACCCAGAAGTCTTACCTTACCTTTTCTTTGGTCAGCTTTGAAAGGCTTGATTTTTTTTTTTTTTCCTTTCGTTCATTCAATTTTGGTGATTTGGGTTTAAGAATCACTGCTGTGTGTTGTCAGTTGAGAAATTATTTTGACCAGTAGAGTTGTTGCAGAAAGTAGCTGAAACTAAGAAAAGAGGTTTGTTCTTCTTACAGTTGAATCATCATTTGCTCTTTGTGGTGATCATTGGGATCTAAAAAGGGGTTGTTCTTCCAGAGACCTTTCATCATTGCTCTTTGTGGTGATAATTGGGATCTAAAGCTTCAATCTTTCTCGCTGGAGAACCGTGGGTGTGATTGTACCATTGTTGGTCTGGAGTGCCTTCTTAATATAATCAGGGCCCTGAGAATGGGGTCCTGTTTATCTGCAGAGAGCAGGAGCCCTATACCAGGCTCTCCTTGCTCCCCTGCGTTTGGTGTGAGGAAGAGGAAGAACTCGAAGAAGAGACCTGGTTCCAGGAACTCGTCCTTTGATTACAGGAGAGAAGAGCCGTTGCATCGGGTTCCGGGTCGGATGTTCTTGAATGGATCAAGTGATGTTGCTTGTATCTTCACTCAACAAGGCAAGAAAGGGCCTAATCAAGATGCCATGGTTGTTTGGGAGGTTAGTTAGATCCATAAGTCTTCCGAATTTTTATTGTTTATTTTACTGGTTTTTATATGTCCTATTGTTTATCCACACCTTTGATCTAACCAGTAAATGGTTTAGATTAGAATCTTGATTTTTACGTCAAAGTGTTAACCTTTTCTTTGCACACTTAGATTTAAAATGGTTTTCAAGTGGTCGAATGGATAGGCTCTGCTGTCTCTTCTCTATGTATTGCACACTATAAGAGATTTGAAATTTTGAAATCTGTGCTTAGAAGCATCAGGTTTTCTATAATGATCTATGCAGGAATGGTTCTTATTGATGTGTGTTTTCGTCCACAGAATTTTGGTTCGAGGACAGATACAATCTTCTGTGGAGTGTTTGATGGGCATGGTCCATATGGTCATATGGTTGCAAAGAGAGTCAGAGACAACCTTCCTCTCAAATTAAGTGCTTATTGGGAAGCGAAAGTGTCAGTTGAAGGTGATCTAAAGGCGATCACCACCGTTAATAATGCTAGCAGCATCAACAACTCTGAAGATGCTGCGGCTTCTTTTGTATCCGCTGAAGAAGAACCTAGGCTACCCGTTGACATGGAAGAGGAGAACACGGAAGAGTCCCATTCTGAATTGTTTCAAACTCTGAAAGAGGCGTTTCTTAAGGCTTTCAAAGTGATGGATAGAGAACTTAAATTCCACGGAAGTGTTGACTGTTTTTGCAGTGGGACAACGGCTGTGACTTTGATCAAGCAGGTATTGTCTCGGCTTGGTACATTTAAAGTTTAAGCCTCCTTATTCACTGTTTCAGGATCTTTATTATCTATACTTTTCATTATTGTAGGGTCAATATCTTGTCGTTGGAAATGTCGGAGACTCAAGAGCTGTGTTGGGCACAAGAGACAGTAAAAATGCTCTTGTTGCTGTTCAACTAACTGTGGATCTCAAGCCAAATCTCCCAGGTTGAATGATTGTTCCTTATGATGGTGCATGTGGATGCATGATGGATCTCATTAATTTGTAATTTTTGCCCTCAACTGAATTTGCAGCCGAGGCAGAGAGAATAAAAAAGTGTCGTGGACGGGTATTTGCTCTTAGAGATGAACCTGAAGTTTGTAGAGTTTGGCTGCCAAACTGTGACTCGCCTGGACTTGCAATGGCACGTGCTTTTGGAGACTTTTGCCTTAAAGATTTTGGTCTAATCTCTGTGCCTGATGTGTCTTTTCGTCGATTAACCGAAAAAGATGAGTTTATAGTGTTGGCTACAGATGGGGTAATCTTTCTCTCCCTCTCTCTCTCTCTCACACACACACACACATTTATTTTCTATATGCATTCTTTGCTCACATTTCTAATGTTATGTTTGTGTGATAGATTTGGGATGTTCTCTCAAATGAAGATGTAGTGGCGATTGTAGCTTCAGCACCATCTCGTTCCTCTGCATCGAGAGCTTTAGTCGAGTCTGCGGTTAGAGCTTGGAGATACAAATACCCGACCTCCAAAGTCGATGACTGTGCTGCAGTTTGCTTGTATCTAGACTCCAACAACACAAACGCCATATCTACAGCTTCTTCCATCTCCAAACTAGAAGAGGAAGAAGAGGAAGAACTAAAAACCACGACTGAGAATGATGATGCATCAGGACCAAGCAATCTAGGCCGTTCGAGTACTGTCAGGACCGGGAAAGAGATTGCTCTCGACGAAAGTGAAGCGGAAAAGCTGATAAAGGAAGAGGATAACTTGGATTCAGAACCTGGAACAGAGTATTCTGCACTAGAAGGTGTTGCAAGAGTTAATACACTTTTAAACTTACCAAGATTTGTGCCTGGAAAGTGAAAAGAGAAAGAAGAGTTTGAAGTGAAGAAACTGAGTGGTGATAAATCAATCAAATAAAACACCCAAGAGAAGGTACTGTGTCTTTTTATCTGTTCTTTTTTTTTTTTTTCCATTTTCACCTTCCTACATTGATCTCTTATTCTTTTTTGGAAGTCAAGATTCATTGGTTTTGGAACATAAATTTTTGTCAGTTTTGTCTATTATTTATGTCTTTCTTTCTTGTTGGTGTTTTATGCTGTTTTATTTGTTTTGTCAGTAAAGAAGAGTGAAAAAACATCACATGATGTAATAATGGCTTGTGTCTGTGATTCCGTGAAACCCCCTCAGGCTTAATTTTGTCTGTCTGTAGGGTTTGTCTGTTCAAAAAGCTCCAATTCCACAACTGCAGATTTGTGTCAATATCTCTCTCTCTCTTTCACAATCATGAAAAACGACAATATTTTAACAAATGGGAAGCAGATCCTTTACTGATAATAACAACAAAAGGAACCAACTTTTTACCATAGAAGGTTTTCTCTGAAGCTATAAAGCAATGTTACAGAGGAAAGGAATTAAGAGAGAAACAATTGTAAGAAGTTTGGTAATAGCTAAAGAGGAAGACCATGACAGGTTGTGAGCACCAACTGTGTAGATTGCTCCACTTTGTTCATCCTTTACTTGTATTCCTCCCGAGCCTGTGTGAATGGTTCATTTCAGTCAAAACACTTAAAGCCTCCTATCTAATAAAATTAAGCAAAGATAGGATTTGTGATGCTTACAGTTGTGATTGGTCCATCCAATAACTTGGTTTTCGATATCGTAGACAACCAACTTGTTAGAAAGCGCCATATCTGCCGAACAGAATGAGGACTTAATTGTTTTTGGCGATTCGATGATGAATGACATTTATGGAAGAGAGAGATTTACCTCCAAGAATTGTCAATGCTCCACCTTCTTTAGTCTGCAATCCACCGTTTTGCCAGCCAAAACACCATGTGTCTCCCTAGAGTCGGTTTTATGTCAGAACAAGAATGCATACAAAATAAATAGGCAGAACAAGAGCACGAACGAACAGAACAAGAACATGACTTACTTGAATTTGGAATAGATAATCCCGAGGAGACACCGTCAAGGAAGCAGACTTGTCGAACTGAAATGTGACAGGTGGGAACCGATCTAATCTGTGAATTTGTCAGTAGATTTTCAGAGGGTCAAAACTCCAAATATAAATGAACTAGAAGTATAAATCAGTCACCTAATCAAATGTGGTAGAGTAAAACCGAAGAGCAGAAATTAGTACATCTCCACCAAATGACAGTATCATTTCAAACAACAGTGTATACGAAACAGCGAGAACAACAAAGAAATGAGTTAGACTCTTACTTGTCGGTATAATGGAAACACGTAAACGATTCTTGAACACTATGCAAGGTAAGCTCTGGATGCGAAGACAGGATCTGCCAAAACCCCACGGAAAAAAAAAAAACAAAATTGTTTAAGAACTTTCTAGTAAAAAAAAAAAACAGAGAGCTTTTCACAAAACAAAAGAAAATAACTGTCTTGACCTCATTCATTAACGGCTTAAAAACAGCATCGGGAAGATAAACCAAAGTTGTACCACTGTCAACAATGACTCCTTTGTCATCTCCCGAATCAAAGGCATCTGACGAAAGTTCTAAAACTGAATTGCCAATTTCGATTGATTTGAGGTTAACACTGTAGTGAGATCTGCAAAAGGGTCACAATCAGTGTAAGAAATTCAAAACGTTTTGACAGGAAACAGAAAAGCACATATTTAAGAAAAGGCATTCACTTACGATTTAGAGAGCATAGGAGTAGTCTTCAGCTTCGGTGACACGACTTCTCCAATGGCGAATATACCGCCTCCTTTGTTATTATCCAAGCAATGTGCAAAAGACCTTTTGACTTTTCTTTGTGAAGCTAGCTGAGATATAAACGATGAATTCGTTTGTCCAAATCCCATTATCCCATCAACTGCAGATATGGATTCACCGAGCTGACCAGACTGTTTAGACCCACACCTGTAAAATACAGATTAATATCAACTGAAAATGGCACAATGCAGAGAAGAGAGAAGCTTGTTTTCCCTCTTTAACTCACCCAAAGATAATACTTCCATTGATGGAACCGGTTTGACGATTTCCAGTAACTAAATCCAAATGCACAACATCTCTCACCAAGTATCCATTGGTCGAGCTTCCATCTCCGTATTGAATAACATACTGGCAAGTGGAACCTGAGTGACACTCGGATCTTTGGTTAACGTAAGAGCAAAAGTTGTCATCACACGAAACAGATTTTGCAGTGGACGAAGCATCCGAATCATAAGGTGTCAGCTCTACCTGAAAGATAATGAAACTATGAAACTACAACAAATGTAACTTAAAGCTCTGTTCTTTTGGGGGATAAAAATCAATGCTTTTACCAAATCACTTTTCCTTGGACATCTGATACATCCGGCACAATTCACCCATAAGATATCACTTCCTGTATCAACTTGGACATGAAAGTTTCTTGATGGAGTTCCGAGACCGATTTCAGTGAAGTACAAACTGAAATATAAGAAACCAAACCAAGAACAAGAGTCAGAGGTTTCACAATAGCAGACAAAAGAAGGAAATTGCACAGAATGGTTTAAAATCAAGCAACCAGAGAGTCAACAATGAGTCAATGACCAAACAAACAGTGGAGAATCTCAAAAGAGCAAAAGCTAAAAGGGTTTTCTTCAGATTCCACCACATTAATAGGCAAAAAGAAATCGTTTTTCTGTTTAAATTCCCAAATTTGTCTTGTCTCTTTAAAAAGAGGAAAACAAAAATTCCCAAAATTACAGGTTTAGGTAATGGGCGAATCGAACCCAATAGACTCAGGCTGGCTATCGCCGCCGAGAGGAAGATCGATGGCGGAGAGGAGTCTAGAGTGACGGTGAGCGTCGTGAGCTTTGAGAGCTCCGAGATCTTTTTCTCTTTTCCCGGCGAACTTGCTTCGAACCTCAAACACCAAATTCTCCGCCGCCGCAGCCGCCGATAACTGCGGCTCAATCAGCAACGTCACGACTGCCGCAGATAGCAAAATCGCCGACAAAGAGCAATGTCTACGGCTGAGATCCATCCTCCGTCAACACTACCGAGGATTAGGATATTCCTAGCTTATTAATGGAGAAAGAAAAAAAAGGAAAGTGAAGAACAACAAATTAAATAAAAAAATAAGAAAAAGTGTCAGCTTTGGCGGTGGAGTGATGTTTAGGACAAAGAGGTAGAAGAAGAAAGAAACTGGTGGGTAACTTACAAATTACAATATATTAAAAATTTATGTCGAAACACCTTTGAAACTTGACTAAAAAATCATACTTTTTACTCTCTTTTCTCCCCTAAATTAGAAATTCAAAAGTCCGATATTGTGATCACTTGAAGAAGGAATCTGAACTAACCGTTAGATTCACTTTGGCGGCAGTTGTTTGCCTGTCTTGTGTCAGTTGTTATGAAGGTTATTATATTTATGGCTATGGTATTTCTAATCACCAATTTATGATGTAACAATCTTTTTTTTGCTAATCTGGTTTTCTACTTTATTATGAAATTCTTTAAAAATTTCAAAAGATTCATTAGAGAAATATAGCAACATCTACTAAAATCAATCAGTACATGTAACAAAGTGTTGATAATTTCTTCTTCTGACACTTGAACACATTGACCCACATAAACGTTATGTAATCGCAAATAAAACTTGATTCTTCTTTTTTGAAACTGAATCAAACTTTTATTATAACTTGTGGTCCATTTTATTTTAGGTTTACCTTTACTTAACATTTGTATTCACGTTAATATAGAATTCTAGGAATGTATGACTAACGATAACATACTCATCCGTTAATATATATATATATATACCTTTCTTATAAAAAAAGGGTTCATATGGAAAAACAGAGGTTTTTCTTTTAAAAGATCATCATTAGTTGTTTTTGCGCAACATATAATTTGAGGGATGGAATCGTCATTTAGCAGCAAAACATAAATATCAATCGTAATTCCCTCGGGAGGAATCTACACCTCCCGTTCATCTATCACGAAAACAACGAGCTGACATAACTACCCTCGAATATCCTTGTTCATCCGTAGCGGTATAAGGATAATATCGTCTTTTTGTGCTATAAAATCCAACGATAGAAAATGAAAAAAATAAGTAAAAAAATAGAAGCAAAATCAATAAATAATAATATAGCTCTCTCTGGCTCACTCCGTTGAGACCGCACACACACACAGAGAGATAGAAGCTGCTGCTGATCAAATAAACTTTTCGAATTCCATTTCATCGTTCCTCGTCTATAAAAAGCTTCCCCTAAGAATGCCTCTCTCTCTCCGTCTCGCTCCATCTCCGACTGCTTTAGCCCCGACCACCGGCGGATTTGGTCCCGTTAGGAAGCAGTGTCGGATCCCTTACTCCGGCGTCGCGAAGACGAAGATTGGTCTCTGCTCATTATTGGATTGTGGGAGAAGGTGGGATTCCTCTGTGGTGGTGGTGAGGTGTAGCTTAGAAACGGTGAGTGTTAATGTTGGTCAAGTGACGGAGGTTGATAAGGACACCTTTTGGCCCATCGTTAAAGCCGCCGGTGATAAGATTGTCGTTCTTGACATGTACACTCAGTGGTATGTTCCAAATTAGCTTGTGATTGTTTAGCCGAGAAGAATTGACGCATCATCTTTCTCTTACTCTGTGCTGCTTCATGTTATTGTCGAAATAGATCCCTGAATGAGCGAATGAATCATGTAATTATGCAGGTGTGGTCCATGTAAAGTGATTGCCCCTAAATACAAAGCTTTATCAGAGAAGTACGAGGACGTTGTGTTTCTCAAGCTTGACTGCAACCCAGATAACCGGGTTTGTGTTCTGCTTTTAAATCCTCATTTCTCATCACCAAATGTGTTGCTTAGCCATAATATCATGAGTAGCTAACGATAGTGTCCAAGCATGGAAATGGACTCGAACCAAAACCATAACAAGTCTTTCTTATTGTAATATTGTTACTTGTTGTTGCTGCTGCTTAGCCATAATTGTTCTTTTTGTTTGGTGCAGCCATTGGCAAAGGAGCTAGGAATAAGAGTGGTTCCAACTTTCAAAATCTTAAAGGATAATAAAGTCGTCAAGGAAGTTACCGGTGCCAAATATGATGACCTGGTTGCAGCCATTGAAACAGCCAGGTCTGTTCCTTCGGAATGAACCAATCTCATGGTTGTTCCAGTGTAAACTCTGCTTCTGTTATTATGACTCTTTCATGTATGTGTAAATGTTTTTCAAGAAATATATGATCAAGGTAATGTTTATTTATCCATATGTTTTAGGGGTGGACAGTCGATTATACGGTTCCATTGGAACCTGAAATTCGCCAAGTAATCTAAGGGTGATGAAGTAAACAAACCAGACTGATCATAATCAGATCATAATTCATCAATTCGAACTGAACAATAAAAAAAAAAAATTTGCCTAGTCAACAATAGACCGATCTCATCAACCTTTTCTGATCTTAGGGTTAATTGTTGATTCTTGCCGTACTCTATATACAAAAAAAAACAACATTGACCCACATGACTCATGTGGAAAACGGAAAAAGCAAGGATCCGTTTAGTTGATTCATTCCCAACTAAATATGCTTTAGTCACCGAAAATATAATATGACACTAATATTTTGATAGTAAGCTAGTCAAAGGATTAGAGAGAAAAGAAACAAATTCTCGGAAACCTTATTGCCAACTCAAAGAAAAGGCTTCAGTTTAGACACAAAATCCTCAACAGGAGACATTCCGGTCACATGCCACAAGTGTTACACACATTAGTACATTACACAGCAGACGAGTAGGTTGGACGGATTCCGCATGAAAGGGGAGTTTGCATATAACATATTAACATGGACTAGAATGAAACCTGAATGCCCAACAAAGCCATTAGCTGTGACACAAACTCTGGGTGTCCCGGCCATGCTGCGCCAGTTACCAGATTCCCGTCAGTGAAGCATCGGTGGATTGGATCTGGTTCTAACCAAGTTCCTCCTCCGAGTACCACATTCAGTTTCACGGCTGGATAAGCAGTGCATTTCCTTCCCTGCATCAGTAATCAGGTAACATAAAAATCAGACAAAGAAAATTTCTCAACGCGGAAAGAAAAAGAGAGAGAGAACATAATCAACTTCACTGGAGCTACGACAGAACAAAACTGACCTTGAGGACACCGGCAGCAGCTAAGATCTGTTGTCCGTGGCAAATAGATGCAACTGGTTTCTCAGAAATCATAAACTCCTTAACTATGGTAAGGACATGTTCGTTCAAGGCAAGATATTCTGGAGCTCTGCCTCCCGGGATGACCAGAGCATCATAACTGGAGGAATTTAGGCCATCAAAGCTAGCAGTTAAAGCAAAAGTGTGGCCTGGTTTTTCACTGTAAGTTTGGTCTCCCTCAAAGTCATGGATTGCAGTTGGGCAGCGATCACCAGCCTTCTTCTCTGGACAAACCGCATCGACTTGACATCCCAAAGCTTGAAGGGACTGAAAAGGGCCTTTGACTTCATAGTCTTCCATATAATCCTGGAAAGGTCAAAACTATGACATATGAGGCTCCTGAGGCTCTGACATATGACTATATGAGGTACCAGCTAAAGCAAGAAGGTAAGCAAAACTAATGAAAAACCATGGTTACTAACAAAACTGAGCCAAGAGAATAGTAAGGTGGCTAACCCCACAAAGAAACAAGATTCTTTGATTTGCTCCAGTTATTTTAGCGCCCAGAGCCTTGAGAAAGAGCTGGATGAATTCAGGATGGCCCTCATAGGTAGCTGCAGTAATTAAACTACCATCAACGACACAGACATGAGGCGTTGTTGGTTCCACCCAGTTGGCGCCTGCAGCGATAAGGGCAGGTCCCACAGTTGCATAAGCTGTGCAATTTCGACCATTAACTGTGTCTGCAGCAGCCAATATCAACTGTCCGTGGCAAATAGAGGCAATGGGCTAAGAAATCCTCTAAGAATATGTCTCAGAATATGTCTGCAATTTCTCTAAGAAATCCAATCAGGAAATACAATACAAGGATCCTAAACTAAAAAATAAAAAATGAGAGAATCTCCTAGGACGAACTTCGACAATAGAGTATCTCCGTTGACTTGAAACGATACAAAATTATACAAGTATCATCTAATTCATAGCTCAATTGAAAGTGAAGAATTTCTAAATTTGTTTTTTAATGGATCATCACACGCGGCCGGCTACACATCGAGATTGATCAAGAAAGAGTGAGAGATCGAGAGAGACCTGGTGGCCACAGAAATCGTGAACAGCGGTGGGGCAAGAGTCACCAGATTTCTTTCCGGGGCAGACGGTAAGCCTGGAACGGCACCATCACCTGAGAAAAGAAGAAAGCACATATATACCAGATTTTTTGTAAGCACAACGAAGATGTAGATTTTTTGTTTTCTGTTTTTGTAGAAAAAGGTAGTCGAGGAAGAAGACGACCTCATAGTCTTCCATGTAGTCACCGCACAAGATCAAAAGAGTTCTCGAGTTCGCCATTTTCAGCTAGAGAGAGCGATTCTGCTTTGCTTGAAGGTGTTTTTAAATTTAGACTGGAGAGAGATGACATTCTGGAGAGATCTGGTAACGGCGACGTTTAGGGACACGACGAATGGAGCACGCGTCGTTACTTTTTCTTTAAAAAAAAAGAAAAAACGTGGACGGCAGGATTCGAACCTGCGCGGGCAAAGCCCACATGATTTCTAGTCATGCCCGATAACCACTCCGGCACGTCCACCTTTGTGTTCAAAGTTATCATCAATACAACTTATATATAAACTTATAAGAGAGTTAAACCAGATACTTAAGGAAGCTGCCAGATTAATGAATTTCAAATCACAAAAATATTGTTCGATTGAAAGAGAGAAAAAAAAAAAACAGTCAATGAATGACTTTTTGCTTTTGAGTTTAAAATCCTCTGAGATAAAGCAGAGCATCTCTGGTCCCAATACAGTCTTTTCCCAACTTCTTTCTTTCTCTAACTCACATTGCCGATATAAACAACTGGATTCTCGCCTGTCCTCGTTCCTTTTCCTCTGCTCCTTCAACATCTCCAATGTTGTCATGATATTCCTGTGAATGGCTTTCTTATCTTAGCACAAGCAAGCAACGAGGACACAATAAAATTTGCTCGCAGAGAAAAAGAGAGATTTGTTTCCAGAACTTGCACGGAAAAATGGTTGAGTTCATACGCCATGTCAAAATCTGTTACTAGCTAGTCGGTGTTGGGTTTCAGTGAATCAAATTGTTCAAAAAGTTTCTCCATATCAAGTCAAAAATTTACTTAATTGCTCTACTTTAAGGTGATAAAAGAGAACCTGAAGTATCTCCTTGACGTCGTTTTTACTAAGCTTTTGTTGCTTCAACAGCAGCTCGATCCGCGCTCTCATTCCAGAATGCCTACATTTAAGAAACGATTACAAATTAGTATGCCTGAAACTAAGCTTAGGAATGCATTTTAACGGTGTTTTAACGGACGGTACTTACTCAGAACACCAAATATGCCCCAGAATAACAGCAATAAGCTGCAATGTCAGAGGTAACATTACTGAGGATTAAGAAACAACATAAACACGAAGTTTTTTAAATAAAAAGAAATACAATCATTTCTATTAGAGTAGAGGCCTGTAACTATGCCATGTCGCACATGTACACATACGAGGCACCTTTTCCATAACTGATACAGACATGAAACTGGGTAAACTAAACTTAGTCGAACCTGAAGACTGTAGAGGCCTGATTCTAGCTTCCGATTATATTTTTCATCTTCATCCAACTGGAAAGCAACACAGTGGAATCACTTCATCAACAGATTCAAGCTCAGAATGAAAACGGTAAGATTTATTGAGGAGAGAAAGTGAATTACCTCAAGGTCATCAAGCTCAATTTGGTCTAACCTCTCGGCCTCTGATCTAACCCTATCAGAGTATCTGCCAAGTGTGCAAAGACACTCCTTTAGATACATAACAAAGCTATCACAAACGAATGTGGGCTCTTTCATCAGATGCTCAAAATGGAATTATTAAGATAAACAGAACACTTAAATTACCTCATGTATAGTTCCATAAGGCGATCGATCTTCTCATATTCATTCTCAACAAACTTGCTTAACAAACGATCTCTTCTAGAACCCCTAAGAATCCCAGCTGAAAGATACAGTAAACCGCCAAGAGACTAATGAATTAGCATCAAGAGCATGCACGCAGAACACGCTTTTTACATGAACATATCACTTGCTTTCGTACCAAATAATGACGCAACAAGCGAAATAACCCGCTCCTCTAGCTCCTCCTTATACCGCTCCCTTTTGATCCTCTTGTTAAGCGGAATCTAAACATTTCAAGAACTAAACAAAATCACTACGCAAGTATGACTCAGAATCGCCTCTTACACATTACTTTGATCTATGCAAGCATTTCTAACAGAAGATACAGAATACAAAACCTCATTAAAACCACCAGAGAGTCTGTAAAGATGCTCAGATAATAAGAAAGGGGATTGAAAAACTTGCCTTACCCATGAAAGCAGCAAATGCTGTTTTCAGTCCCATAACATCCATAAACCTCTCACATGCAGGTGGGTAATTGGTCATGGCAAAGTCGAGAGCCCGGATCGCAGACCCGTAAGCATATTTCTTCTGCTTCATGATAATAATCATCAGCTCAACTCCTTCCGCATTGACGAACCTCTCCTTGTTCTCCAATGGCATCAAGAGGCAGCACAAGCAATCGAATAGATTCTCTAACATCTCTTCCTCGTCAGGAGTTTTGGGATCCTTGGACTTATACATCGCCACACCCTCGAGCACAGCGTCTACACCATTCATTTGCCCTAGCCGTTTCTGGTTCGCCGTGCTGTTCTGAAGCAGAATCGCCAGGATCTCAGACGCGTACTGCTTGATACCCTCGAAATCCCTCATCTTGATCTTCAAAAGAAGCCACCGCAATAGCTTCGTCCGTTCACACACCATTTCAGCTACAGCCGGCTTCACTTCCACCAGATTCTCAATCACCGTCAAGGTTGCGTATATAGCCGTTGCCTCATCAGGGTCTGCCTCCGTTAACCGGTTCATATTCTGAACCAAGAGCTCGAGCACATTGTTTTCAATCAGCGCGTCGACTAGCACACGCGCCGGCTCGTCGTTATCCTCCAAGGCATCTTCGTCAGTCAGATCTTGAAGAAGCTGAACAACATCGTTGGCGATATCGGCGTTTTCATGGGAGAGGAGATTCACAATCGAGGGAACCGTATTCGAAGCAACAAGCTCCGGGTAAAGCTCCGGAGCCCCAGCGAGAACCTTGAGCTTTTGCAAATCATCGTGTAGGTCAACCTCGGAGTCTGCGAACTTTTCTGGATTCTCCACATACTTGAGCCGAGCAGCTATGTTGTCCCTAAGACGCCGCTCGAAGGATAGGACAAGCTTTTTTAGGGTTTTAAGATCAACTGCCTCTACTGGATTATGGGAAGATTTCTCAAGTGCTTCAAGGAGAGAAAAATCTACAGTGTTAGGATCGTAGCCGTCCGAGCCTCGATACGCCGGCGGTAATGACGGCGGCGAGTTGTTGCCGGCGTCGATTGCTTTCCGTTTTCTGGCGTGATTTGAGACTTCCATGGCAACGCTTCTTCTCAGAACAAGATTTTGCTTCTTTAAAAGTGGCGAAGATCCTGGACTAAAATTTGGGCTTTAATATAATAAAAGTACATTACAAACGTCGTCGGTTTAAGAAAATCGTTTGCGTTTTGAGGCCCAGTGACGTAACGGTGTCGTTTCGGGAGGAGTTAAACCATAAATTTCATTAGTTGGGGTTTATTTACTTAATTAATTTAAAATTATGGTAAAATATGTAGCTCCATTTTTTATGTAAAATACCCAACCGATGAATTTTTTTATATGATGACTGTAGAGGCAGAGTGATGGATAAGGCTTTAGGCAAAATGGTTTGATGAATGACAACACTACTGTCATTTTAGTTGGAAAGGCTGCTATGTACATATTTAGTTGGAATATTTTTTGGAAGGAAAGAGATTATAAGCAAAACTTTTTTTTTGGGGTCAATAATAATAACATTTGTATCCCTTTTTGAAAATTTAAATTTATGATTTACCCAACTTCCAAGGGAAAGAAAACCCCACACGCGAAGCAAAATCAGATCTTCTTCTCTCTTTCTCTATCCGCCGCCGCGTTATCTCATCGTTTCTGGTTCTCTGTTCGCCGGCGGGGGATTTTGAGAAATCGAGACGATGGGATTTCTCTCCCACAAAATTTCTGTAGATGATGTGAAACCAGGCGATCACATCTATTCATGGCGTCAGGCCTATGTTTACGCTCATCACGGTACTATGATCTCTCTCTCTCTCTCTAGATCAATAGATAGATACATTTACATTCATGGTAATGCTAGTTAACTGTCATAGTTGTCTCAATTCGATTAACTGTTGAGATTCGCAAAAGCTTCAAAATTGGGGAAGAATAAGTATGAGTTTTCTGTTTTGAGTTTGATCAAAATGAATACAAGGTTTAGGAGATTTCTAGCTTATGTCATATGGCGTTAACGATGATTCTCTGTTACAAGTCTAAATAGTGATCCTTGATCGTTGTAAGGGAAATGTGGTATAACATTTGACAGAAACCTCAATGCTAAATTCTCTAGTGTTGTTTTAGGTTCAACGAGGCTCAGATTCTCACGGTGCTAGGTAGTGGAATTCATTCCGCAGAAATTTTATTTAGATCAATAGGCCTGAATTTGGCAATGTGATAAATGAAAGCTGCTCTTATCAAAGATGCAACTGTGTATCCTAGTTGTAAGAGGAATAAGTTTGAAGTTTTGGCTGCACTTGAACATTGTTCATGCACTGTTGTTCTTGGCAGTCTTTTGAACCTACCCTTCGAATCATTACCTGGATAGATCAATTGTGTGTTTTAGTCCTCTTCTAGGCTCGTTGATATGGTTATTGGCTCGTTGTGGCATAATTAGATCCTCTTGCGAACTTTTCTTTGTGATCTTGTTAACTTATATGCGTATGATTGGCAGGAATCTATGTAGGTGACGGACAAGTCAACCATTTCACTCGTGGCGATGGCCAAGAGACTGGAACTGGGACTTTCTTGGACAAAATCATTGTTAGTTCAACCCCAAGTCATGGAGACAGCCCATGTCCTAATTGTGGAGATAGATCCAAGCTTGGTGGTGTAATCTCTTCCTGTCTCGACTGCTTCCTCGCTGGAGGGGATCTCTACGTCTTCGAGTACAGTGTCTCTCCTGCTATTTTTCTTGCCAAACCTCGAGGTGGCATATGCACAATAGCATCTTCAGATCCTCCAGAAGAAGTCGTTTACCGTGCAAACTTCCTCTTGCGAAATGGTTTCGGTGTTTACAATGTTTTCAAGAACAACTGTGAAGATTTCGCCATCTATTGCAAAACTGGTTTGCTGGTAGCAAACACTGAAGTGGGAAGGAGCGGCCAAGCCGCTTCAATGGTTGCAGCAGCCAGCGTTGTTCTTTCTTCACCACTCAGGTTTGTAGCAGGTTTTGGTGGTTTGGCTGTGGCTGGCTATGGCATGTACTGCGTCAGTCGCTTGGCTTCAGACATAGGCATGCGATGGGATGTGAGCAAGGTGCCTGTGGAGAGACTAGTTGCTGATATGGATGATATGGTCGGGATGGAAAGTAAACCAGAGGACAATAAGACAAGTTAACATGGGCTATTATGCACAGACTGGTCCGGTTTGGGAGTATGGTTGATATCTGATTGTAATTGATTGTAATGCTTACGCTGTATCGAGTTGTGCATAACAAGACTATCCTCTATTTCATCTGTTACGTTAAGTAAGAGAATATGCTAAATGATGTACCGAATTGTGCAACTTAATTTGGCTTATGGTTATCACTGAACTATGATTACCTTCACTTTATTATATACAAAAGCAAATAAAAAATAATGATTGTTTTACATTTTTAAGAAACTTTGAAAAAAGCAGAACGAACTGAGAGAGTGTCTCAGTCGTTGTTGCCTACAGGAAAGTTCACCAAGTATATAGCGACCAAAGTGACAGCTGCTCCGAGAAGTTGCAACGAGGAGAAAGTCTCATCAAGGTACAGATACCTGTTTCCGAGACAAACATATCAGAATACGAACCAAATACATTAAAAAAAAACCTTGTTATCAGAACGAATCATGGATGGGTTTGTTGTTCTGCTGAATTTGGTGGTCTTACCCAAAGATTGAGGCAAACATTGGTGTCAAGAAGGTGAGTGAGCTGAGTTTAGTCAGGCTTCCTGCAAAAAAAGAGAAATCAGAAATCTGAGACCCACATCAGCGATACCATCACGAAGAGGGGAACAAAATAGAACCTTTAGTCGCGCTGTAGAAATAAACACCGTAACTAACTGCACTGCCGAAAATGGATGTGTAAAGAAGTGCTATGACATCATTTGCGGACAGCTCTTGAGTACCGCCGTTAAAAAACGGGTCATGGTTTAAAATGGAAATCGCCAATAGAGGAAGGCCACCGATTACCATATGCTGCAGATAAAACCAGAGACATGTTTAGTTTAGTTTAGTTCGGTTCTTGTAAGTAAGAACTCTTAGAGACAAGCCATTGAACAGAAATATTACCCAGCCGGTTGCCATAATTGGATCCGAGTATTTTGAAACCCATCGAACCATCACGGTGCCAACAGCCATGCTCTGAGCTGCAAGGAGCATCCACCACTCTCCACTTCCCCACAAGGAAAAGTTATTACCATCTGACGTAACTGATGGAATCTGTCACGAATCAGACAATTATCCTCAAGTTGCAAGAAAAACTATCGAGATACTAGCTCGGTATTGATCTTAGATCATGAACAAGTAAAACCTTTTACCTCAAGAAGCAAAAGTCCTGCAACGCCAAGAACCAAACCTCCAGCTCTCACTATTCCAATGGACTCACCAAACAAGAAGGATGCTAATACAGCTACAGTCAGTGGCTGGGAATCAATTATAACCTGCAAGCAACAAAAAAGTTTAATTCTAGGACAAGCGTACAAAGGTAGTAGAGAGATAACTTTCTTACACTTCCTAGACCAGCAGAAGTCCTCTGTAATCCTTGAGCAAGAAATCCCTGAACCATCATCATCACCATTATTATCATTCAGACAAGAATTCATCAACTTTAACTCTTAGAGCTCAGGTCAAGTGAGCAAGCAGACCTGGAAACAAGTAGCGTCCACAAGAGCAAAGAGAGCAATAGAGAGCCAAGCATTGATTCCTTTAGGCAAAGGTCTGCCTCTGTAAACCGCAAAGGCAACCAGCAACAAACCGGCCGGAATTAACCGAAATGCAGCGACGAAGAAAGGACCGGTTATCGGCAATACTTCCTTCATCGCAACCATCGCCGTCCCCCAGAAAAAGAAGGGTGAAATCAGAACCGTCCATTCAAGCAACGATCCTTCTCCTCCGCTCAAGATTCCGGAGCTACGATTCTCCTCATCTTCTCCGTTGTAGACACACTCCACGTCTGATCCCATTCCGACGCAATCTACAGACGAAGATGGCGATGACTCGGTCTCCTCCGCATTTTTGTTGCTTGTGGTGCTTCTTCGGACAACGGATTCTCCATAGATTCGACGTTTACAGATCACACCAGTGACCAGATTATGCTTCGAGTCGAATCTGCTCTCTCGCAAGGGTTTAATCGAGGTGTACCATGGATATTTGTTTGCACAATTCAAATTCGTTGGTCCAGAAAGAGACAAGCATGGGTTAGGAGAAGCAAATAAGCCACCAGAAGAAGAAGCGATGGCCGACCATGGCCACTCCATTGTAACTATTGTGTTTAGAACAAGAGAGAGGATAAAATTTGTATCTTTTCGAGTTAACAGGGAAGTAATGGCCACATGTTTTCATTTCTGATCTGAGAAGATAAAAAATCGAATTCAAGTTTTCATCAGAGAAACAAAAGAATATATATTATATCCCAGTGTACATCTGAGGCATTGTTACGTCATTAAAAGACCAACAAAAAAAAAAACAATCTTTTGATTAGTTCTTTGTGATCCAGAAACCAGAATCATGCCACCACTCTCAAACGATCTTCTAGAGGATTCTTCTTCTGATTCACCCAGAAGTAGTCCTGCCATGTAGAAAAAAGCTGAAAGCTTAGACCTTTTGAAGAAGAACAAACAAACCTGAGAAATTAAAAGAGCAAGATCCCACAACAACAATTGCATATCACCTTGAAAACTCAACCTCGAGTGAGAAACCCGCGAATGGAACCAGCCGTTCCACGCTTTCTAGCCTGCATATTTTGATACAAGTGTTAAGAAAACAAAAAAAAATAGCTGGATGATCTCTAGATTTTGATGCAAGATGATGTTGATTGACACCTTTTCATTGTTAAACAAGTCCTCTGCAACGGCTTCCATCTGCTTCCTCTTCTTCTCTTCTCTCATAAAATCTGTCACTTCCCCGCTATCATATTCTCTGTCATTACCAAAACAAACGGCTTAAGTAAACAAAGAGAAAAAATACTTTAGGAGCTAACGAGCAAGAAAAAGACTCGAGATTACTTGTATGGATCCTTGGCGAATGGTATCAGGCTACTGAAGCTGTTTCCGGATGTAACATTTCCCTAAACAAAAAGAACAAAAAAAATTATCATCATCATCTTGCGAACATAACGTTTGTTCAGGATCCAAAGGTTCTGATTTGCCTTTCTGAATCTCTTAAAGTCAACAACTCCTTCCTCGCCTGTAGACCGAACATTTCTAATTGATCGCAAATCCCTAACAATAAGATCTTGAGTGTAGATAATCTCCGAGTTCCCACATTCAGCCTCATCATTTTGATCCCTTCGAATTGTCACATCACGGACACTATCACTTGGGATCTTCTCATCACTGTAGCCTTTGGTTTCAGTATCTATCAATAAGTTTACGCTTTTAAACTCATTCAAATTCATTGTTTCTTCCAATATCGTAACAGGACTCTCCTCTATCACAATAGCAGCAGGATCCTCCGGTGTTTCTGCCTTTTCAGTGGCATCGATCATATGAACAGACGATGTTGTTTCTTCCTCTTCGGCGTCAGAATCTGCTACAACTGTCTCATCCGTAGAGCACGATGATGAAATTACAACTACAAACAGGAAATGTTTCAAGATGAGAGTTTTGCGATTTATAATTTCAAGAAAAGCAAATATAGTTGGCATTGTGTATTCACCGGAAGGTGGTATCAACGAAGTCGAAGGTAGATTTCCGGACAAGATAGCGCATATTAAATCCATTTCGTTCACTCTAGATAACAGACTGAGATGCTTTAATCGGCCAAATTTGTCTCCTGAACTTTTTGGGATGACACATATCATGCGATTAGTTTCTCCATACTGAGACTCCTGCAAAGTTGATTATGTGTGTTAGTGCTACTTACATAAAAAAAAAAAATGAGCAAAATAATATAAAAACACAAACCTGACTCATGGAGCTAACGTCTGCTACGCCAACAGTCTCTGCGCCACATACTTTCAGCAAAGATGGGAAGCTGCTTCCAAATCTGTACTGCACAAAGAGAAAGAAAAAAATATGAAAAAGGAAAGAGCGAAAGAAAAAGGCAGGCATGTTCATCAATAATTTAGTCGGATTCTTTTTGAACAAATAAGAGACTATACCGTGTCTGCTGGTTCCAGCACAAAAGTAAATCCTTCAAGACATTTTTCACGGATGTTTGGTTCTATTACATCCACCAAAGCTTCTTCCACCATCACCGATGGTCTGTATCTGTATTAAAATTAGCATGTAAGTAACTGCAGAGTTTGTTGGGAAAATCTTTAAGATAATAATACTTACTGGCTGTATCCAGGAATGTCGCTGCGGATACTTTTCTCTGCGAGAAGCTAGACAAACACTGAAGTTAAGACCCATAAACGAACAACAAACGAGGGCTGACAACAGAATTATCTGACATACCTTAACCCAATTCGTCAAAATGATGGGTTTTTTGGCTAAAATTGCATTGACTAGAGCTTCATTCACTTGCATACGCGGTTCAACAAGAACATGGGTGCACTCCTCACTCAAGGTTGGAGCAATACGAGCACCTGAATATCGACATATTTTCAGGCAATGGGGAAAATATGCAATTTTACTTGCATTAGGCAGGAGATAAGGTTTTTTCACTAACCGATTGACGAAATTGAATCTTGTACCGACCGATCCACCTTAACGGTCTCAGAGGAAAGGCAGAAGTAAAACACCAGCGGAACTAAAGACAACCTGCAATGATGTTAAAGGGACGGATATCAGCCATCTTACATGAAGAAACAATCATACAATCATACAACAACAACAACAAAAACAGTCACATGGATTAGGCAGGAATACCTGTAAGTTGCTGCACCTGTACCAAATGTGATAACATCTCCATCTTTGAGAATTTTCTCCTTGTCAGGTAGCTCATGAACTTTATATTTTTCCCCGAGGTCAGTTTTGATAAAGGTCCCATATTTTGAATAGTCTTTTACGCGGATAACAAATGAGGGATCTGAAGATTTGTTCCTCCGAGAGGTTGAAAGAGCTGTTGCATCGAAAGCTAACTCTGCATGGACCCTAGATACCCCCTTATCCTTATTGATAATTATGTCACATCCTAGAGAATAAATAGACCATGGCCACAGATTTAACCAAGTTAATGAAACAAACCGAGCAAGGAAGGGGATGAAAGTGTAAGTGAAATGAAGATGTAACAATACCTTTTCGACCAATCTTGTAATTCCCTTTTGAAAAGATATAGTATTTATCTTCACCTGAGACACAGACTCAAATCATTTACAACGGTCCAAAACTTCCGAGATTCTTAAAAAAGCAAGATTAAAGCTAACACAGACTCACTTCTCTAGCAAAACCCAGAAGAAATTTGGGTTTTTTCTTACATTATCAGAGGACAGTTATGAAAAGGTAAAAGCGTGTGTCGCTAATAACTCAAGGGTCATCACGAAGTTCACTAAACGAATGAAATTTTGGGTATTTCGAAGAATAGAACATAGTTGAGAACTGCAGTTACTGGAGCAAATATTTCGTAATGGCGAAAGATTTAAATAGGAACGAAGCAATCAAACTCTTTCATTTGCAAGCCAATACAAATCTAATGGGGGAAAAACCTGAGAGGGGATCAACGGGAAAGAGACCCCAAACCATTGATTCGCTGTGTTGGAAAGGGTTTATCTACAGAGAAACTCCCGATGAATTATGTTTAAGAAAACAAACAAACCAGAAAGATGAAAGCTTTGCTGGGTTTAATAACCCGGTTTTGTATCTAAACAGTTTCAAATTGAATTATAGATTTTTAAACTAAACCGGAGATTTCTCGGTCTATCTTGGTTTCAAATAATCTGAAGCTGTGTGGCAAAGCAAAGGTGGAAACTGGAAACCAAATTCCATTTCCTGGAGTTACAAACCAGTAGTAAGCTCTTTCGCTTCTTTCTTCTCGAAGTTTAAAATTTGGGTGGAAACTTTATCCATTTAGGTGTATTATAATTTCGCTGAAGTTGGGAATGAATATGTTTTTGGTTATCCCGATGTAGTTTATCTGGGTCTCTTCTAATCAAGCTGTCAGATGCAATGATGGGGGTGGGGGATGGAGAATCCTTTTATAATTTGGTGTAAATCTTTGGGATTCCTTTCTAGTTTGCTTTGAAGTTTCCAGTTTTGGAGATTGAACATTTTCTTTCTCGGGTGTTTGGGGTGAATATACGACTGTATTGTTAATGCCCATAAGGTGTTTGTCAATTTGCCTGCCTGAGAATTTTGGATTTGTAGCAGGCTTAATCGATTGGTTATTATTCCAATCACTGGACTTTTCACTTTTTGCAAATAGTTTTTTTTTTCTATATCAGACCAACTTGTGCATTGACTTGCGCCTATGTTTGTTTACAGTTTTAGAGGATAAAGATCGGTAATTTATCGTTGTTTCCAGCTAATGGTGTTTCTATTTAGTTTTCAGTTTTAGTTACCAGCTTGGCTATTCAAGAAAGGTTTCAGCAATCAGCATATAAACGTATGGCATATGCAACAGGAACGACGCTTGCTTCAAGGAGCATCTTCCCTATTTGTTCCAGAACCTTCTTATCTCCCTTGCGTGTGGCTTCTTTACTCGTTTCTCCTGAGAAATCCTCCTCAACTTTCTTCAGAAGGGTCCAATTTCATCACCTTTTCTCCGCTTCGACAACTCCTCTGCTCTCCTCTGTTAAGTGTTCAATTCAATCTACTGTTTCTCGCCCTAATGTAGTCGATATACTCGAAGAAAGAGGACTCCTCGAGTCAATCACCAGCGAGAGTCTCAGGTCTGCTTGTTCTGATCCTAGCGTAGCTCCTCTAAAGGTCTACTGCGGGTTTGATCCAACGGCTGAGAGTTTACACTTGGGTAATCTACTTGGTATCATTGTGCTTTCTTGGTTCCAAAGATGTGGACATCAAGTTGTTGGTTTAATCGGTGGTGCCACGGGACGAGTTGGTGACCCATCTGGTAAAAGCCTTGAAAGACCTGAGCTTGACGCCGATACATTGGAGAAGAACATTGCCGGGATTAAAAAAATTATCATCAAGATTCTGGGTTCTGGTGGTAGCTCTTATGTGATTTTTAATAACTATGACTGGTGGAAAGATATGACAATGCTCGACTTTCTGAAAAAAGTCGGTCGGTTTGCCAGGGTTGGACCTATGCTGGCAAAGGAGAGTGTGAAGAAGAGATTAGAATCAGAGCAAGGTATCAGCTACACCGAATTGAGTTATCAGTTACTGCAAGGCTATGATTTTGTTCACTTGTTCGACAAGGAAGGGATCAATGTTCAGATAGGTGGGAGTGATCAATGGGGCAATATAACAGCTGGAACTGATTTGATCCGGAAGATTCTTCAAACCGAAGAAGCGGCTTACGGGCTAACGTTTCCTCTCCTATTGAAAAACGATGGAACAAAATTTGGTAAATCAGAAGATGGAGCAATCTGGCTCTCTCCTTCGATGTTATCGCCTTATAAATTCTATCAGTACTTCTTCTCAGTTCCAGACGTTGATGTGATACGCTTCTTAAAGACTCTAACTTTTCTGAGTTTGGATGAGATAAAGATCTTGGAAGATCAAATGAGCAAACCCGGGTATGTCCCTAATACCGCTCAAATCAAACTCGCTGCAGAGGTAACCCGATTTGTACATGGTGAAGAAGGTTTGAAGGAAGCCATCAAAGCAACAGAAGCTTTAAGACCAGGAGCTGAGACAAAGCTTGAGTGGAACTTGATTGAGAGAATTGCAGAGGATATACCTTCTTGTTCATTGCCTATTGATCGAGTCTCTGGTTTTTCAGTTGTGGATCTATCGGTTTCTGCGGGTTTGTTTGAGAGCAAATCTGCTGCAAAGAGAATGTTGAAGCAAGGTGGGATTTATATGAACAATGCGAGAGTTGATGATGAGAATAAAAGAGTTGAGGAAGCAGATATTATTGACGGCAAAGGTCTTGTTCTGTCTTCAGGCAAGAAGAACAAAGTGGTCGTTAGAATTTCCTGAAATTTTTTGTTTCTGTATTATCTTTGTGATGAAGTACAGCATTGGATCATTAATGGTTTATTATTTGGTCTTCGAATTCGGAAGAAGCCACAACGTAGCCTCCACCTCTTCCTCCACAACGTAGCCTCCACCTCTTCCTCCTCATCGAGGAAATTGTAACCGATATTGGTTTTTTTCTACCACCATTATTAAACTAGATTACATTGGAAATGAATAATTTATCTACAATTCTCATTTGAAATATTGAAGGCGACACCAAAACTGACTTAAAACTGTTGTTATTCTATAGAAGCTAGATGCAAGCGAAATATGACCATGGGTAAACTGATACACACTATTCAAAACAAAAGCAAAAAAAAAAAAAAAAATTGAACCGAAAACCAAATGCAAACCGAACAATGACCGTGAAGGCTTATAGTTATTGGAGAATGCTGGAGTACAAAAGATAATTCCAGTAACAAAAGAACAAACAAGGTATCATCTTCTGAGGTTTCAAACCAAGAGATAGAACAATGACAAATATCGGTTGGGATCAGATTCTATGCTGCAGCAAGTGAGTTACCATTTTCGGTTACCTTGGCTTCAGATTCCATCTCTTTAACAGCCCTTATAAGCCCCTGCGTAATCGCATTCAAGTGCAAGCCTTTCTGCTTCATCTCATCAAACAGCATCTCTGCTTTTTGCCAATCCAGAGCTTTGAGGCAGAATGATTGTATTAGCTTAGTATACTCATCGGCATTAGGCTTCACGCCAAAACAATCCATTTCATTCAAAAGTATCAGAGCTTGATCATATTCTTCAATCTTGCAATAGCCTCGGATAAGTGCGTGATACGTCACAGGACTAAGCTTCTTATGTTTCTTTTTCGCTTCTGCTAGAAATTTTTGAGCTTCATTCATTAGCCCTCCTTTAGCATAACCGCTAATGATGACGGTGTATGTGTACACATCTGGTTTCAAGCCTCTACTCTCCATCAACTTCAAAACCTCTTTTGCTTCATCCAGATCTCCGGTTCTCGAACAAGCATGGACAATCAGATTGAAAACCGCATTTCCAGGAGCAGGCCCTTTAGAAATCATATCCAAAAGCAAAGCTTTAGCGTCTTTTACATTTTTAAGCCTGCATAAACTACGGATAACATCAGAGAACGGTTTTATCCCCTGTCGCCTAGCTTCTCCAGATAAATCTCCCAGCATCTCCTGAGCAAACACGACAGTCCCATCATTCTTGCAGAGCGCACTTATCAGAGTAGCAACAGAGTTAGGAGGCGGGATTTTCTCTTGCGCCTTTGCCAATTCGTAAACCGAATAAGCCTCTTCGGATTTCCCTTCTTTACAAAACCAAGTGATGATGTTGCCAATCTGGTGTCCCTCTGGTAACACACCACTCTTAATCATTTTCTCGCATACAGAGCATGCCCATTCCATAAACGACCGCTTGCAAAGCACCTCCAAAGTCAGATAATAAGTTTTTGCATTGGGAGTAAAGCCAAACTCTTCCGTTTTACTAAACACATCAAAAGCAGCTTTGGATTTGCCAAGCTTCCCAAACAAGGCTATCAATCCATTCAGTATCTCCAGAGTCAAAACACTACTATCTTCCTTCTCACCAATCTCTTTAACTAAATCCCACAAAGCATAAGCATCCAATCTACGTGTATCACCAGATATTGCCACAACAAGAGACTCTACAAGTGATGTGGTAACAGTAATCTCTTCTTTATTAGTTGCCCACTTCAAAAACCTAATCAAATTCTTACCTGAAATCCCTGGGGATTCAAACACTTTGACCACAAGTTCCATGTGTAAATCGACATCCAGCGCCTTAAGACCAAACTCCAAGGACTCTTCATCACTCCGTAACAATGATAGCAAAGATTCTAACTTCTCGTCGTCAAATTGGTACACCTCGTCAGCCCGAGAATCCCCGACTTCTACAGTGGATCCGTCGTCAGAAGCTTCAATTGAAACAATACCTGAATCTCCATCTTCACCATCACCTCCAATGGCTACTGCGGAAGTACCATTTACACCAAAATCGCCACTTTCGGAACCCAAATCGGAAGCATTCGATCCTTCAAGAGTAAGCTCTTCAGCTGAAGATATTGGGATCTCATCCGTAGGTAACGAGACTGGGTTCTCTTCCTCCTTAGGACTCGCGGAGAAGAACCTCAGGTTTCGGGCTGAAGCATTTGCAGACGACTTGACGTCTGAGAATCTGGAAAGTGAGGGTAGCGATGGAGTCTTCTTCTTCTTCGAGATTCGAGTGACGGCGAGATTACGAGACGCATTTTGCGATCTCCAGAAAATGGATCTCCACATTTCTACTTTCTTCCCGGACTATCTGCAGCAGCAGTTTCTGATTCTAAACCCAAAAACCCTATTCTCTCTTTCTCTCAAATTCGATTTTAAGCATAAAATGATAAAATGTATTTATGGGGATAAATTGGAAGAAATACAAAAAAGGAGGACTTTTGTTGCAAAAAGTAGATTTTTCTAATTCGGTTTAATCAAATTTTATCTAGTTTAAGAAAACTAGAATTTTTTTTTCATGGTTAAAGAATTATACATCGAGATTATAAATGTAGATAATCTAAATTAGTATCGCAATCTTGCGTCGTAGTTAAGTGATTGACATTTTTTATGATCGTAACGTATAATCACTTCACCAAAATGTTTTCGTAAAGTTAAGTTACCAAATAGAACCAAAATGTTTCCAAAACTGAACCACACTAGAAAGACATGCTACCATAAAATTCATAAATGGTTCAACATAACCCAGAATCAAATGGTAACCACAGTCACATGCGTCATCGCCAATTGGAATCTCACCTAACCGGTTCTCAGCCGAAGCAACCTCAAGTAGCTAAACACCAAAGAGAGCACTTGCAATGAAACCAACATGAGCAGTAAAACCGCCGCAAAAAACGCAAAAATCTGCCAAGAACCATAGAGATAAACCTCAACAAATCTCCCAATCTTCACTTTCCACCTTCCGGTATAATACCGGTTAACATCCTCAATAGTCTTATCCAAGAACCCAACTTTGGTCAACCTCACAGATTTGCTCATACCATTCCACATCTCCGCAGCTTCTTGATCACTCTTGAGACGGCTCACAAGAACGCCTTGTTCTCTAAGCAACCTAACGTCTTCTTCCGAATCGATGATTCCGTTTATCAGCTCTGTGTAACGAGTGAACACTAATGCTCCTGAAGTGTTCGAAGCTTCGTAAGCAACGAGGTTTCGAAGAACAGTTTCTGTGTTGATGTCTAGGTTTATTACAGGGAGGTAAAACTGACCAGAGTTTGAATCGAATGTTACCGTTGAAATGTTACCATTTATTGTTGCTTTGAATCGAACTCCTGCTTTGTAAAGATCAGAGACTGATGGAATTGTGAGTTCTTCGACGAGAGGAGGCTTCTCCATGTCGGGAATCGCAGCCGATGATGATTCTTGTCTAGTTGCTGTTGCTTCGTTTTCTTGTCGTGTGAAGAGATAATTCGCTGAGAGTTTCAGAGCGATGAATCCGGGAAGATTTGATATGATTCTCCATGGAAATCTCAAGATTGAATCCGCAGATCTAGATGCGAAAACCCTATTGAATTGAATCTTGATCTCTTGCAGAAACCTACTTGCTCTGTTTTCGCCATTGTCGTCTGCTCTGTTTTCTTCCTCTTCTTCGGCGTCTTCTGATTCGATTCTTGGAACGATCATCTGATACAAGAAATCCAAAATATGATTATAGTCTTGAAGCTGAGACTTCAAAATTTCATCATCGTCGAATTTGATAACGAGAGGTGAGAGATCTCTGCATAATCCCGTGAGAACAGAGACCAACAGATCATCAGCTGAATCCGTCGATCCAAGCTGAAACTCGAGTGTTTTCCTCAAAACAAAAAGCGGGATTTGGTTCTCCACCATCATTATATCTCTAAGAATCTCGTTGTGTCCAACTCTATTGATCAAAGCTTCCACCTTTCTGGAACTGTAAATCTTAAGAAACTGTATCAAGAATGACGAATCTACAGCCATAATCCACATCAGAGTCTCGCCGTCAAACCCGATATACTTATGATAACTAGCTCGAATCTTGGTCTCCATGGATTTTATCTTCTCTACGAGATCATGAAACCTGAAAGATTTAGTTTGATCTCGAATTTTTCTCGCGATCATTAGTTTATACCTCTCCATTTCGTGAAGCTCTGGTTTTAGACAGTGATAAGGTCCGATCGAAACTCGGTGAGGTGTGTATGAATCTGGATGGCTACACATTAATGCTTTAGGAACAGTGTAAATGCTGACTCTGACTTCTTCGAGATCGTGTTCTTCGAGCTCAACATCTAGAGATTTTTGGAGATTGATGACCCATCGAGCTTCGTCAAAGCCATGTTGCTCTGTAGATGAATCAGTTGGTTTTTTGGGCAACATGATCTTTGGTTCTAGAGTCTTGAATCGAATCTTTCGTCTTTTTCTAATATGAGAGTAACAGAAGAAAAGAAGAAACAACTTTGTTTTCTAGCAGTTATCATTGTTTCGTCTAGACTTTACTCTGTTTCAATGTACTAAAACGTTCTTTAAGTTTCATCTTCGACCTGGTCTTAAAACGGTCAGTTTCGGTTTCGGTATTATATAATATCGAAAAAGCTCAACCGGTCAAATAGACAATCGTAGTTTGAACTGGTCAACTCCAGGTTTATCATACTTTTTGCTTGGTTTTCAATTATTATTATTTTTTTTTTTGTTTATGAGTGCATTGCTTATTTTGAAAAAAAAAAAACTGAAATTGGATATGAAACAGGTCGATTTAAGAAGTAAAATGTTTGAACCAGTTAAAATTCTATTCGATTTTTTTATATCAACTGTTTGGTTTAATTGAATTGATCCGATCAAATTACCGAGGATAAAGATATCCTTGTCTCGGACAAACGTGAACTCAAAATAGCCCATTGGGCCTGCCAGTCTTGTTATCAAAAAAGAAAAGCAAAACACTAGCAGATATTCAGATCTGTAATTCTGCGAAACCAAACGGTCATATATTTGGAAAATCCGACCGTTTGAGTCTCTCTGTCTCTCTCTCTGTCTCACTTTTCTACATAAATCTAAATCGAATACACACAATCACAATTCACAAGCTATCTTCTTCTTCTACTTCTTCTTCTCCATATCGAAATATAAATCTGTGGTCAGAAAATTTCATCATCATCATTATGGGTTTAATTCCTCAACCACAAGAATCAGTTCAAGAATCTCATTACCACACCCACAAAATCTTTATCTTGTCGAACTACCTCCTCCTTGGTGCATCCGCAAGTTGCATCTTACTCACACTCTCTCTCCGTCTAATCCCTTCGCTCTGGGGTTTCTTCCTCATCCTCCTCCACGCCACCACAATCGCAGCCGCCGTCTCCGGCTGTGCAGCCGCATCCTACGGTAAGAACCGGTGGTACGCAGCACACATGATCGCTACTGTCCTCACCGCCATTTTCCAAGGATCAGTCTCTGTTCTCATCTTCACCAACACATCCAACTTCCTCGAGAGTCTTAACTCCTATGTCCGTGAAAAAGAAGCGTCTTTGATCTTGAAACTAGCTGGTGGGCTCTGTGTTTTGATCTTCTGCCTTGAGTGGATCGTTCTTGTGCTTGCCTTCTTCTTGAAGTACTATGCTTATGTCGATGGTGGTGGTAACAGAAATGGAGTTGCTATGAAGCGAACTGGTGGTAAGATACAGAGTGAAGAGACTCTCAAGGATTCGCCATGGCCGTTCCAAGTTTGAGAAATATTGTAATGATTTCGTTTAGATCGAGGGAGAGTTTTGTATCAAATGTTAGTTTGATCTGTTTTTAATGGTTATAATGTCTTTGTTAACAAGAGTATTATCATGCAGCTCAGATTCTGTACACATTCTCTAGAAATCGCAACTTTGAGCAAGCACGACAGAACAATAAAAAATCCAGACTTTTCACTTCCGTTTCATTGTTTTTACACAAACTCCCATTCTCTTAAATGAAAAAGCCCTCTATTACTAAACACTAAATGATGTTACTTGGTTTCTTCATATTATATAATCCGGAATTAATCAAAATTTGATTTTGCAAAGAAACTATAAAACATCTTTTGTATTGAATAAAAGAAAGTGTGCCAAGCAATCGAGAGAGAAAATGGTTGAGTTTTACCGACCATTTATTTACTTATGAGAGGACATTATTTAGTACTGATACAACAACAACAAAAAAAAAGATAATCAAAAACGAAAAGCAAACTTTAAAGTCTTGTTCTAGGTAACCAGACATTATCACTACGACGAACACTCAAACAGCTGTTTTTGGTCTTTGACTGATTCAAACATGAAACATAACCTAACCACATAACTTTATCTACAATGTTCCGTATAAAACAAAACAAATTCAAATGAACTTTCGTGGTCTTAGAACTGGTCCGTCATCGGTGAGATGTTGGTGAAGAACTTTATGGCTTACTTTGGATAATTTGAAACAGCAGAATTGTTTACTTAAGCCCTGATCTCTCGACCAAAAATCCAGCTGAATGGTATGTTTTTGGCTGCTTCTTTAGCTCTCCCTTGAGCTCTCTCTTCAATTCTGCGGATTCTCGCAGGTAGTCCACAGACAAAGTCCTGTAAGGCCATGATAAGAGTCAGAATTAAAGTTCAGGTCCCAGTCACACCTTCATATACACAAAACAGACCAAGCAGTCCAGCTAATATAGTATTCATGACCAAAAATCCAAAAAACTACCAACTAAAAGAAGTAGAAATTTTGATGGTGGTAATTTACCTGGGCCCTGTGTCCTTCACTAGAAAGGCCTGACAAAGTCTCAACGTTCCACCGTTCAACAAGAAACTCCAGAATATCAGCATAGTCCTTGGCAGTGTAAACGCCGAGCCTCTGGGCAACGGTTGAGAAGTGCTCAAACAGGTTATCATCTTGCCCATCATACATTAAATGAGCAGGCATTGAGATCTTTTTCTTCATCATATCAGCCAATCCCAAGATCGTGCCATCAGGGTCAATTTCAAAGAGCTTCTCCACAATCTTGGTGTAAGCAGTCTCATGGCGCTTCTCATCAGCAGCAATGGTCCCGCATATCTGCGCAAGTTTCAAATCTCCACGACCTTTCGCCAGTCTGGCAGTGTTTCCATGGGAAATGAAGGTAGCTCTTTCTTGAAAGGAAGTGTAGATGAAACCCAAGTAAGGGTTGTTTTCAGTTTTCGGATCCTAAGATGATAAGACAATCAATCATATATATGGGGAATAGGGAATACAAACTTTACACACAGAATAATTTTGTTTTTAAGTGGCACCTAAGGGGAATTACTTCAACTCTATCTTCAGAACTTGATAACATAAACTAAGCGTATTTTGCAAACAAGAGAGGTACATGGTTTATGATTGTATTTCCACCTAACCAATAATAACAGTCACTTCAAATACGATTAGCAGAGGATCAGGGTATCGAAGATCTTAAAGCAAAAAAAAAAATATCAGAGGAGCTTACCATTCCAGAACCAATCAGGTACTGAATTGTCTTTTCAATCTGCCTCATGTCTACTCGACCAGACAAATAAAGATACTTGTTAAGAAGATCTCCATGCCTGTTCTCTTCAGCAGTCCAAGCTCTCGTCCATATCGCCCAAGGAGTAGGACTTGCTCCTGTCTCATCCCTAACTCCATCCAAGGTGTTCAACATTGTCTGGTAGGTTGGAAGTGCCTCTTCTGTGATCATATCCCCAACAAGCACCACAAAATAGTCATCGGGAAGTTCCTTACACCTTTCCCTTAACTCCTTGACTTGGTCATAGAATCCTTCTGACTCAGCTTCTGGTAGAAAATCGGTCGGCTGCCACGATTTCTCAACAGGTTTTAAATAAGGCAAGAGTGTTTCATCAGCCCATCCTTCCAAGGACTTAAAGATCTCCAACTTTTGTGGTGGCATAGAATGCTTCACTTGGACATGCACCTCACGAGGAGGGATATACAGTTTCTTTCCATTCGTAACTTCCCTGCAATTAACCAAAATTCAAAAGGACTTACAGCGAGTGGTAAATAAAATAGACTAAGCAGCTATTATCCTCAATGCAACAGAAATAACAGAGATTGGAAATGCATGAATTATGATTTTCCACAATTAGCAAGTAGAATTCTTCTGAACAGAACAGAAGAAAAGTCCCAAAAATTCATAGAGATACTGTAGATAGTAACATCGACACGCATGTACGCAGTATTCCCACGAATATAAGAAAACTTACATCTGTAGAAAATTACAAAAACAAATAAATGATTTTGGTTGTATGTGAATTTGTTAAAAAAAAAAAAAAAAAAGTCTAACACAAGCAAACAAATAATTGAATAAGAAATTGATTAGCAGAGTAGTCTTATGGGTCAACAACCATGAAATGAACACAAAACAATTCATGCATGCGACACTAGAAAATTTTAAATGATGTTGTAGAAAACGAGACAAAGATTGCCCTTCGCATCATATAATACGTGAGGGAAATTTCGTTTCTCTCTGGAAGAGAAAAAAGCCCACAGATTAATCAGAAAACTGGTAAATTGGAAGAGTTTAAGAAAGAAAAAGAAGAAGCAAATTCATCATTTCACGAACCAGATACATGTGATTATTTCTCAGATTTCGACGTCCTCAAAAATACAGCTACGTGTGCTAAAAAGAGAGCAAAAAATGCGTGCTTTTTACAAAAGAATAAGAAATGAGATTGCATTGGGCAAAAAGAAAAAAAAGCTGCTGAACAGTAAACTGGATCAATCAAATCCAGAGATTTATCATTTATCATCGACACTCAATCCAAAAACCCAGATCAGAAAAGCACACGATTTAGACAATGAAGCGAGAAAACTCACGTAGTATCAGAGCGAATCGTAGAAGCCATGGAAACTCTGGAAGATCTGGATCCCCGAGCTTGAGAAGGACGATAAACGTAAGAAGAAGGGGAAACGACGATCCGATCCGAAGCCATAGCCATTTTCTCTAGTTTCTTCTCTGATAAACTCAATCGATCGAAGATGATGCAAGTGTTTAAATAACAAAAACGAATCCCAGAGAAAGAGAGAAAAAACAAAACAAGGAAGGTACTGTGACAAATGTGAAGGTTTTAACGAGAGGAGAACAAAAACTTTGGGCGTGATGATCGAGCCATTGACACTAAATGCAACCTTTTTTCCTTCTCTAGAATATCCCTCAGGTACCTTTGTATTTACATCTACGCCACTCCTTACAGATATTTTCTTTGTTTATTTGACCGGCCCATGGGCCTTTGTATTAACATCTACGCCACTCCTTACAGATGTCAAAAAAAAAAAAAATTGACGGGCCCATGGGCCTTTGATAAGCACATTGATACAATACCTTTACTAAAACGCAAGAACTGTAATCGTTTTATACGTTCTTTTCTTTATTCCACTAACTACTAGATTTCTCTTGATTATCTTCTATTATTATTTTACAATAATCAATATGCAAACAGAAGTTATAACGAAGAACTGAACAAAAATGATTATGTCTTTGTATTTAACTAAACAAATTTTGGTATCTGAACTTGTGGTTGGATTGATCCGAACTGAACCAATTTAAAGAAATTAACCTTAATCAATACCCATACCGGATTCCTTAAACGGTTAATGAAAACGACAGAAATCTACTAAAGTTGTCTAAGTTTCTAAAAAAAAGAAGAAGAGAAGGTGTGTCATAAAAGAAGCAAGCAACCAAAGCAGCTTCAGAGTATCTTCCTCTCAGCCTCTGCCAGTTTCTACATCTTCTTCTCTCCTCATACTCGGATTATCCACCAAATGTAAACCCATAAAGCCGCCGTCTTCCTCTTCACCGTTTTCACCACCCTGTGGCGGTCGCTGCGCCGCTTCTCCATTCTCGGCTGCTACCGCTCGTGCGGCCTCCAACACTTGGAAGTAAGCATATGGTCCCCAACCTGCAAAAACATTTGACCATCAGTTAACAAATACAATCTTTTTCAATAAATGGATCCGTCGATTCTTTTTCTTTTTAACCTTCGGTGTGATATGGTGGCGGAAAGAATTGAAGATAACAAAACGTAGAGATCACGAGACCTGCGATTTTAGACGATGGTATAAGTTTGAATGGTGATGTTGAACGGGAACAAGTTTAGAACTTTTCGAGTAGAGAGTGAAAACAAACCTAGCAAGCCTCCTGCAAAGACGTCTTGCCAGTGATGCCAATAGTCATCTACACGGGAAATGCCGACAAGGGCTGCGAATAGCAACGGGAGTATCACAATGCATAGCTTTGCAACGTGGCCTTTACCGTCAAAAGCTTGAATCTTTCCCGATAAGTAGAGCGACAGAAATCCCAGACCTGCAAAAGACCCTACAAAAACAAAAACCAACCCACAGCTTTACTTTGTTTGCTTCTTCTTCCTACAGTTCTGTACTATAAAGACCAAACTTTCTTTTCCGGCATAAGATGCTCATGAAAGAAGAAAAGTAGGTTGGGTCTTACATGAGGTGTGTCCGCTTGGGAAGCTTTTGTGCCCTTCCCTTATGACGTATTTATCACCATGGCATATAACATCTCCCAGTCTATCGTAAAGCTGAGAAGCAAAATCGGAATTCAAGGGGCATAACAATATCTAAAACGCAATAGTAAAAAAAAAATAATGGAAACATACAGCTTTGCCATCGGGGAAACAACGCCAGAAGAAGTCAGGGCGTGGTCGACCAACTGCGTTCTTTATTGCATCGGTAAGTACTGCTGTTACCAGAACAGAGTATAAGAGACCTGCACATCAGAAACAAAACAAAAAAGGGGCCAGCTTTAATACTTAATATGAAAAACGACATTTGAAGTAAACAGTAGTCTCTTTTCAGGAATCCTGACCTAGCACCGCATGATGAAGATCGTATACATCTCTTCTACGGAAGTAGATAACGATGAAGATTACCAATGGCAACAGCATCGCATAGACCTGTCCATCCCGATGAAAAGAACATTTTTTTTATATTTTATTTGTGAAAAATGTGTCCAGCAAATGTTAGAGTTTTACTTTACTGGAAGCTTACCGGGACTGTCCAAATCGGTACTGTGTTGCTCTTTAAAGGGTAACTGAGATCAGTCATCATATCTTTTCCGACAAAGCGATAAAATGGATGGATTATAAGTAGTACGCACTCGAGAATAACAAGTAACACGAGTATGATCCAATCATGCATGTGAGTCCTTGCAAGGGTCATTCCATGGGACCTCACAGTGTGAGCGCCTAGCTGTGCCTCTCTCATCCTGTGCTGCTTGGAGAAGTGAAATTTGCCATTAATCAACTAATCATCCCTTTTTTCTCTTGAAGTCTCGAAGCGGCCACAGTGATGCAAAAACCAAACAATCCAAGCAAGAAAGGTACGTCTAGTATGTGAAAGGCAAAGAATCGGTAGCCCTTGTGGGTGAAAATAGCAACATGGACTCAATAGAATATCTAGTTGTAGCATTATATGGAGCCCTCTACCAAAAACGGAGTTTCGAAGCAGTGTTATCCTAAATTCAAATCATCAATAACATGGACTAAACTCGCCAAAAGACAATATACAATTAAGGGTACCTCTTTACTACTAGGTTCTATGAGTGGAATGTCAGATGGTGAGACCCGATAATCAGCAGTTTCTGAAGTCTCAGGTCCCCGGTTTGTCACTGCCTAAAATCACAAATTCTTGCGGGTAATAAATTTAGTATAGGGGAAGACAGAGAATACCACCGCCCAATACTCAAGAAACAAGATTATGGGAAAACGTGCATTTCTACTCCATTGAAACATGCGAGCAATATCGATTTCCTAATGCTTATAGAAGAAGACTTCATTGGACATGCATTTTATTGAACAGCAAAAGTTTTGATTGGTTTGGTATTACAAATGCGGTTATAAGCCTTCTTCTATATTAAACACCTAATCCATCTTTATGTTTCAAGCTGGAGACTAAGGCTTATAAGAAACCCAGCAAAAGATATCACTTATCTGCAAAGAACTCAAAACACAATTGTGATCACCAAAACGAATCTGGAACCAAGGTTCACTGACTTTAAATTATCCAATTCGAAGGTTGAATTGAGACTCTTGCAAACCTAACACTCTCCAATGACATTCAAAATAAGGCTAAGTAGTAACTTCACCTAAAATTTGGAAGTGGAAGAAACCAAACGTGTTAATTTTGAAGGAACGCATCAATTTGATGTGTCAAAGCAAAACCCACCAATTTCAAACCTTTCCTGGCAAGAATGGACAAACCTGGAAAAAAACCCCAAAAATCTGAAAACGAGGAAAAGGCATCGTATCGTAAAAGTCCCAAAATTAGCTGAAGAGTGAAGAGGAACAATAAAGAGAAAATCTAGCTGTCGAAAAAGTAGAGAAGGATTAAGAATTAAGAAAGAGGAAGAAGACAGAAACAGATAAGAAAGGACATCTTAATTATTACATGAAAACCCAATTCAAATCACAGTAATTGAAGAGTTAACACAGTGACTTTCTGTGGGACAACCTAACCTAATCTACACAAGTGGGTGTGGCAATATAAATGTTTTGTATGTCTACAAAAAGACCCATGTGAAAGTATCGACCTTTATTCCCCCATGGATATGCAAAAGAAGAACCTTTGTTTTTTTAATTAGATAACGAAAATTACCAGGCTCTGCTCGATTTTTCGAGTGTAAAAAAAAAAGCGAAAAGGAGGAATTTACCTAACTCTGATTTGATTCGCCTTGTGGGTTGTTTTGAAGCTTATGAAAAAAATGTGGGTTAACAAAAAGGTGTGTTATATATTTTCATGGCGGATGAAAGAGAGGGAGAGAAAAAGCACGCGCTTTGATGCATTGATGATGAAGAAAGCTTTTGTCTGGGGTGCGATTATGTAAATTTTTGATCTGTATAATTTTCTTCATTTGTTATGTATTTGAATTTTTGATTGTTATTTCTCTTTTTTTTTTTCATATTTTTCTCTTTTGGTGTTTTTTCTTGTTTTTGGAGTTCTTACCTTAACTGAAAAAGACAAACTTTGCCTCTTACATGCTACGGTTATATTTTGATCAAACTCACCTACCACCACATAAGTGAAATTAGTTTACTATTTTCTTTAAAACAATTATGAGATTGCTAATTTATTTAGAAAGAAATGTACTAAAAGTGATCACAGTACAAAATTACGGGAAATGTAATAAAAAAAAAATTCAGATTTTTACTCTAAAAGATCCAAGTTTGAAATATTATCATCAGGCAATTATAGAAGGCTCTATATTGAAAGAGATTGATCCTCCGTATACCCACAACATTTTAGCATTAAAGGATTAACAGCAAAGTCAGAAACTTTGCAGCAAATTGTGCGCAGTCACGTTTCAAATTCCAACAAAAGTGATTAGAAAAGACTTAAGAGACACGAGAAGAACAACATACAGGAAGAAAAACGTAAAACACTTTAATAAAAACATTCTCACTTTACTTTCCCCTTCAAGCACTTGTCTTCTTCTGCTAACGGAACCTTAAGGGAGCCAAACATCCAATCCATGCAAATAGTATAATGACCATAGTTATGCTTGTATGTGGTATGGTGTATGGTATGGTATCCTGCACCCATTATAGGCCAAATGTTACCATGGATGCAATCATGGATGCTCGCTGTCCAAATCCCTTCCAAAAACAAAAGACTCAAATGTGTTATGAGATGAACCGGCACTATGAACAAAGCTATCACGTGCGGTACAGCCTGAAGTATCCCATCCAACGGGTTAAATGCGAGCCCTGATGGAGAAAAACCGAAGAACGTTAAGTTACATAAACCAAGTTTAGAGACACGGACCTAATTAGAATTTGATAGACAGTTACCATATTCTTGATTTTGAAGTTAAAATGCAAGAAAACCCCCCGATAAAAGTAGCTAGGAATAAAAAAAATACACTTTTTGAGAATTGGACTATATACCAGCAAATGGAGAGAGTGTGTTTTGCTTGTTGTAAATATGGTGGGTTGCATGGAGATGCTTATAGAGAAATTTGATCTCATGAAGCTCTTTGTGAGTCCAATAAACCCCAAACTCAATCAAAGCAAGATAGAGTGCGATGTAAATCAAACAGAGGAACCAGTTGATTTGGTCAAGTGAAGAGTAACATTTGGTCCAACCACGCTCGATCATATACTCAGAGATAGCTGGAAGAAGAGTGTACCAAGGCATAGCCTTCATTGCCACATATATTTGCATAATCATAGCTTTTCTTGTAGGAATGGAATCTGAAGCAAAATGTATATTCACAAAAAATTTAAAACTTATAAGACAAATGAAAAAGAAAAAAAAAAACTCACAAGAAACAAGAAAAACTAAAATAGAAAGGAAAAAGTAGTAACAGAACTATGATCCACAGTAATTCAGTTTCAAGGTATTTATAATCTCAAATTTCATCGAGAACTCAACTTCAACCTTAGAAATGAAAATTAACAATTTGAAAAGAAGAAGAAAAAAAAAAATTGAGATAATCACCTTTGGGGACGTAAACGTTGAGTTTAAGGTAATAAATGTAGAAGCACCAGAGAAAGCCGGAGATGAAGTAAAGTAGGTTTCCGGCGAGGTAATTCCGGAGCCACGTCTGGAGGAAATGTGGTAAAGGCTCCCACAGATTCGAAGGCAAAAGGTAACTGAGGACGATTCGGTTGTAAAACGTTGTCTCGTCGACGAACTGAGTAAGATACCCATAACCCGTCGCCATGTATCCGCCTTGGAAAAGTCAAACTCTGCTAATGCGTGAGAGAGAAAGAGAGAGAGAGAGCAGAGAGTCTGTGCGTAGAAATCGCCAGATGGGAAGGGCTTTGTGATGTGTGTTTAGGTTCCGTGCTATATAAGTATCTTCTTCCCAACATTAACTATAGCCTCATGTTTTTATTATGTGAAATTCTTTTTAATTTTGTCGGTTAACGATTTCATTAAAAACCCCATCTAAACTGTACAACAATAATTATGGGAAGTTAAAGCCATCGTTATTTCTTTGATTTGAGAGTGCAAAAATTCAAATTGGATACCATTACCAACGACATTTGAAACAATCTCTTGCTGCTACAATTTTGTGTTACTCACTATTGAATGGTGATTAGCATTTAATTATAATTGTAGCTGTAAAAATTTGGATTGTAAAATTTATTGTTCAGACTAAGTTAAAAACTCTCAAATAGTTGAGAGCAGTAAAATTGGACAAGCAAACAGAAACTCAAAGTAGATTTTAACTGAAAGTCATAAGACGATCAAGCTGGACCTAGTTTTTACGATCGAGTTGAGCCTTAAAACACCTACTTGAAGTAATGATTTGAAATAGATCTAAAAGGCCTAAACGACGGTCCTTTTAACCACTTCCATAGCTTTTTGAGGATTTTGAAATCTGTTTTGAAGCTTTCAGTGTACAGGTTTGCATTGTATCCTTTCCATCTTTCCTGATCCTAGAAGGATGACGTATGATACTGGTCACATGCTTGTAAATTGTTTAACAAGAAAGAACAAGTCATTAGTTATGCTAGGTCTAGCGCAAGCCGTTCGATCATTATGATATTTTAGCTCATTCTAAACCGTATAAGAACAGATAGGCCCGCACCGTATTAGGTGGTGAAGAAAAGTCGCAAAACCTTTGTTTCAAGATTTACCGTTTTATAAAACCCGACTCTTGCAAAGAATAAAAGATTTACCTGAATTAAACTAGACAGCAAATGTGCAGTCAGTGTTTCTAAACAACATAATTGGAAAGGTTGAGAGAAACACATGAAGATGAAAAAAAAGGAAAAAAAAAGGTTGAAACTCTGAACAAGCAAGCAAAACCCAAATGGGTATTTTTCAGTCTGCTTTCTTGGAGCTATCTTTGTTGTCATCTTCTTCTTCTAAGAGAGGGTCCCTAAGAGAGCCAAACATCCAGTCCATCCATATGGTATAGTGACCATAATTATGCTTGTATGTGGTGTGGTGTATGGTATGGTACCCTGCACCCATAACTGGCCAGATGTTACCGTGGATGCAGTCATGGATGTTTGCTGTCCATATGGCTTCCATGAACAAAAGACCTAAATGGGTTGTGAAATGGATTGGCACTATAAACAGAGCTATCACATGCGGTATAGCCTGAAGTATCCCGTCTAGTGGGTGAAACGCAAGCCCTGAAAACCAAAGCGTAAGGAAGTTAAGAGTTCATATCCGATGCCACATTCTGGAGTACCACAAGATACGATCTTGGGAAGTAGATAAAAGGGACTTCTCGAGGTTCCCAATCAGCACGAGACCAGAAGAGAAACAAAGATCTAAACTCTGGCTAATGCATAAGTCTCTTTGGCATATAATTCTAGCTCTTCCTAGCTACTTTGTACATGGGAAATGCAAATACGAAGTTCAAATTTGATTTGGGTTATAATAAGACGCTCACAAAATCTTTAAGGGTAAGAACCTGAATGCTACCAATCTTTGACATGAATTAAGTATAAGAAACTGAATACACTCACCAGCAAACGGAGAAAGGGTATTCTGCTTGTTGTAGATATGATGGGTCGCATGGAGATACTTATATAGAGGCTTAATGTCATGAAGCTCTCTGTGCATCCAATAAATCCCAAACTCAACTAAAACAAGATATGTGGCGATGGAAACAAAATAGAGGATCCAGCTGAATTCGCCTATTCTAGAGTAACATTTGGTCCAACCACTTTCAATCATACTCTCGGAGACAGTTGGAAGAAGAGTGTAAAAAGGCATAGCCTTCATCGCCACATATATTTGCAAAAGCATAGCCTTTCTCGTAGGAATGGCATCTGAAGACAAATTTTATCAAAGAAAAAATAAAATTCAAACCCAAGACAAAGGAGTAGACTTTCTAGAAGATTAGAAGGAATGACTTACAAAAATTCTTATAGAAACACTGCTATATCCTTCTCCAGGGAAAAAACTCAGAGAAGAAGCAAAATACATATTCCTAATATCGAATGAAGTCAAGATCCAACTTAAACAATCACTGCAGCTACCAATTTAGTTAATGTGAAGTATAACGTACAACATTCAACTTTAAAGATATGAAACTTGTCACTGGTAGCCAAGAACTTATAGTAGTGTAATCTTTTTTTTGGTCAAAGGAGAGTTTTACAATCAAGCAGCATATATAACGCAAGCACAAAGCTATGATCCACGTAGTCCATCAATTTCAAGGTAAATACAATTGAGTTTGACTCTCATCCATATATTCATAGAAGTCAAACTGAAAAATTAGTTATTGAGGTTGTTTTCATAACTAAGAAATTGAACTACCAAACCAAAGCCATATAAAATTGAAAACCGACGAGAACCAATCAGACGATAGCAGCATCGAAGCGATCACTAAACTTCAAACATAAAACAAATTGAAAGTCGATGAATCGAGATCATCACATTTTTGTAGAGAAAAAAAAAAACAAGTTGAAATCACCTTTGGGAAGGTAGACGTTGAGTTTAAGGTAATAGATGTAGAAGCACCAGAGAAAGCCGGAGATGAAGTAGAGTAAGGTTCCGGCGAGGTAATTCCGGAGCCATGTCTGGAAAAAATGAGGTAATGGATCCCACAGATTCGACGGCAACAGGTGACTCAGAACAATGCGATTGTAAAACGATGTCTCGTCGACAAACTGCATCAGATACGAATGATCCACCGCCATGTAATCCGCCGCCGCAACAAAACACCGAGAAGACTCGCCGGAATGATTTTTTTTACTTGAAATGGAACGAGTCAGGTGTACTAATGATTGCCACTCAGCGAGATTGACAAAGTTGATCGATCTCTCTCACTCGCTCACATCTTCGTTGGCCCACTTTGATTTCATCGAAACAGCTGTATTTCTTCCCAATATTTTGTTTATATTTACAAATCAAACCTTTTACTTCTGTGCATTGATAATACACCCAGATCACAGGGTTTACAAATTAAAATTATAGACGAAGAGGGAAAATTATGAATTATTCAAGATTTTGTACTAAAACACTTTTTGACAAAGTCTCTGGCTGTTACTGGATTTTGGAGCTTTCTTAATTGGTCTAAAATTTTCTGTGGGAGGTTGTAAAAGAAAAAAAGGTATGTGTGTGTAATAAAAAACAATATTGGGGTGAAAACTGTAAAATATTAAAAGAAAGGGAGGAGTCTAAAAGGCAAAAGAAGTAGGAGGTGATTTGATTCCGGTGATAGAGATATTTTAAGATTTGCCAGTGCTTAGTGGTCCTTGAGTACAGAACATGACGTGCCCGCACGTGGAGGAGGAAAAGAGTCACGCGCCGTCAGAACGAATCAAAAGGCCTATATGACCCATAACATTGTAATGGGCTAATAGTAAAAGGCCTTAAACTATAAATCCCAAACTAGTCGAGTACAACACTGTTTCAGTGCAACCAAGAAAAATTGTTTAAAGCTTTAAACAATTCAATTCTGTTATTTGGTTATCAGATGGAGATTAATATAATAAATGTGTGATCTTTCGGTGTTGAATGTCTTTACGTTTCCACCAATTTAACACACTGAGTTTATAACAATGAAGTTTTGTTGGTTTAGAAAACGATAAAGGAAACTTTTTATTAAATAAAAAAGATATCCAAACGTATCGCCTAGAATTTTTTTCTATTATTGATCAAATTTTTTCTGTTTTTATGTTTTTCAACGTTAGATTTTTCTGTTTTATTCATATAAAGACTAAATTTGGATTTGTGTCGTATAAAATGAGAACGTTTTTAACATTTTCTTTTGGTTATTTGTCGGTTTACTTCTTTCTTTTATTTGTAGTTATTACACAACTACAAAAGTATTTAGAGACGTGAGAGTGAGTCATCGTGAGAGTCCACGTGGACAGCTAGCAAACGGCCCACAAACCACGGACGACGTTAAATCCGTCGGCAAAGCACGTGATTTCTTCTAACATCTGTCACTTTTCCACCTTCTTAAGTTAAACATCTCAGCCCCACGTTTAATTTTTATTCCCACTTTTGAACCCCATACTTTTTATTTTACAATCATACCTTCCTCTGTTTATAAAATACAAAATTTTCAACGAATCGGGAACGCGCAAAAGTAAAAAAGCTCGAGTCTTCTTCCATTGCCATGGGCGCTTAGCTTATACTTGAGATTAACTATCTCCGAGACACGGATTTCAATTCGTAATCGTGAGTTTTGCTGTAATGGAGATCGCTACTGTCGTTAAGGCTAATGGCGGTTGTGAAGCAGATCGACGACGGCTTCGCCGATTGAAATGCTCCGTCAAGGATTACGATTGGGGGAAAATTGGGTCGGATTCACTTGTTTACAGGGTTTATGCGGCAAATTCTGATTACCAGATCGATTCGACCAGACCGTACGCCGAGCTTTGGATGGGGACTCACGAGTCCGGTCCTAGTTACTTGGCTGATGCCGATGGCTCCAATGGCATGACCCTTAGATCGTGGATTACCGAAAACCCTAAATCTCTCGGTAATAGGGTTTTGGAGAAATGGGGTTGCGATCTCCCGTTTCTGTTCAAGGTACAGACATCTATACATTGCCACATTGTTAGAATTTCCCCCAAAATCTCTGCATTTAACGATTTGCAGAAATGATTTTGCTCATTTCCTCTGATAATTTAGCTGAGTCTCTACTACAATTTCTTGTGTTCGAGTTGCAGAAATCTTATTTAAACATTGTACAATCTGATAGGTGTTGTCGGTGGCAAGGCCCTTGTCGATTCAAGCACATCCAGATAAGAATTTGGCAAAGAAAATGCATAAAGCTCATCCAAATCTTTATAAAGACGACAATCACAAACCAGAGATGGCCTTGGCCTATACCCAATTCGAGGCTCTGTGTGGATTTATACCTCTCCAGGTATCGTTTGCTGTGTTAGCAGTTATCACTATCTTTGCCGTTGCCAAAGTTTTTGTTTTTACATAAAAGATGAACCTTTGCGATGGCCCACTTTGTCTCCCAACTTCGACTAGTATAAACACATGTCGTTTGGCCTGATAAGAACCGTTTATATGAGTAATGATTAAAGACTTTAGTGTCCTCCTCCTCTACTGCTCCAAGTAGGAGCCTATGTTTTGAGATTAGATTCGATGAAGAATTCTTTGGGTTCCTTCGTGGTGTTACACATTATTCTTATAGCACTTTCCTCTTTTACTTTGGAGATATATCTCAGAATATGTACATGTGACCAAAAATTCGGCAACAATTTGTTTAGCTCTATGAATCTATAAGTCTCTCAGTTCCCAAAACTCAAGGATTCATAGCTTATTTTTTTTTCTGAATTGAAGGATTTAAGTTTCTTCTTGTACAAATATTGCAGGAGCTGAAGAGTGTCATTCGTGCTATTCCGGAGATTGAAGAACTTGTTGGGAGTGAAGAAGCAAACCAAGTCTTCTGCATCAGTGAACATGATGAGGAGAAAGTGAAATCTGCTGTCCGAACAATATTCACCCTGCTTATGTCTGCAGGTCCCGATACAACAAAGCAAATCGTATTCAAGCTAAAACGCCGTCTGCATATGGAGAGTCAGGTCAGTATACTTTACTCAAATAATTTTTTCCCCCCTAATGATCTCTCCTCGTACCGATTGTCTTGTAAAATGCAACTGCCTGAAACCTTCCCTCGCGATTAATGCAGGAACGCCATCTGACGGACAAGGAACGGCTAGTTTTGAAGCTAGAGAAGCAATATCCAGATGATATCGGGGTCATTTCTGCATTCTTCTTCAATTATGTGAAGCTCAATCCTGGTGAAGCCTTGTACCTCGGTGCAAACGAGCCTCATGCATACTTATTTGGTGAGTGCATCGAGGTCATGGCGACTTCAGACAACGTAGTACGAGCTGGCCTCACATCCAAGCCTCTGGATATTCAAACACTCTGTTCCATGCTCTCATATAAACTGGTAAATATTTTAACTGAATGCCAAACTCAGGTTCTACACCGAGACATAAGAAATGCTTGCAGGTTAGTGACTGCTCATTGCTGAGTTTCAGGGCTTTCCTGAAATCCTGAAGGGATCAAGGATTCGACCATACATCACAAGATACCTCCCTCCTTTCGAGGAGTTTGAAGTTGATCTCTGTGATCTTCCATGTGGAGCCTCGACAGTGTTTCCCTCTGTACCAGGCCCTTCTCTTCTGCTTGTACTCCTAGGTGAAGGAAGAGTGTCTACAGACGCTTCAGCAGATGAGATTTCAATGGGAGATGTTCTATTTGTGCCTGCAGATACTGAGATTCAATTAAAGTCTTCATTCGACTTGAAGCTGTACAGAGCAGGAGTGAACAATAGGTTTCTGTATTCTCCATAGTTGAACTATACACAATCTTTTTCTCAGTTATTGTATTATTAATCGAATTGTGTCAACGCACTTTTGTGCCCAGAAATTACGAATTCGAAGTGAAATTTTTGATATAATGTTTACCCAAACTGCATGCTTGACGAAGAGAAGGGTCTTGTAAATAGAACTTGAAAGAAGAACTGAAGTTACTGAAACAAGAACATCTTTCCAAAGAGTTTTACTCGCGAACAGAATCAAAAGAGCTATCCGACAAAAAAAGAATCGAACAAACGTTCATCTCTTCAAGCTTCTGTGACTGGGTACTCGAAAACTACATCTCTCCCTGTAAGTTTTCTGTACACACCAATCATTGTCTCGAGCTTGTACTCAGTGTTGTTCCTCTCCTTAGGCTCCAAATAGACCTGAAATAAAAAAATAGAGTTGAAACATGTTAGCTAAAAGCTTAAAAGCATATTGATAGACAGATAAAAGTGTTGTTAGTTTCTTGACCTTCATGACTTTGGTGCCATCAACACGGTATCTGGTACGCTTTCCTACAATCTCAGCAGGGTAAGCGACATCCTCAAGCATTGCTTCATGGACGGAAGTGAGAGTTCTGTTGCGTGGTCTCTGAACAGCTGAGCCTTTCTTTGGGGGACGCATGATTCTTCTGGTGGCAACAAAGATGACATCTTTTCCACTGAACTTCTTCTCAAGCTCTCTGACAAGACGAGGATGAATCTTGCGGAAAGCTTTCCTCAATCTGAATGGAACGTAAATCACAACAGCCTTGCGGCTGCCAGAAATATCCATGTGACTGCACAGAAAGAAAAAAAGGAGAGATATTTTAGTCGAGAAACCATAGTTAAGATCCTTGCAACAATAAAAAATGAGTACATACACTGCTTGGTTAATGTACAGATCTTTCAAGTCACTTTTCAACTCCTGGTTGGTGTTCTCCAAGTCAAAGAAAGCCTGCGAAATTAAAGAAATCAACATTCTAATCAGTGAACACGCGAGAATAAAAACACAACATTCACAAGAAGAGAATGAGACAGCAATGACATAAAGCAAGAACCTGAGCAACTTGCTCTTCAAACTCTGTTGGTGCCACACCCTTGTCCTTGTGGATCTTGTTCTGAGCAGAGAACATCTTGGCAGTTTCTAGAACATCGACAACATAAACACACACAAAATAAGAAAATCAACATTTGGTGTTCGGACAAATATCAACTATTATCTGTAGAGATAAGTCGAATTTCATCAAATCCCGAAATCTAGTGGCAAGCAAAGTTTCCTAGTCTTCAATAGCTAAATTACACAGCAAAATATTGAGCACCATGAAGCTCAAACATTCGGAATTTCCACATTGATAGAGCTCGAGAAAACAAAATTTAATAATCCAAAACTCCAAATTTAGTACACTGATGAGTAAAGCAAAGAACCAAACAGCTCATAACCAAAAGAAACTTCTTAACTCGCTAGTAAGATTGACCAACATTTCTCAAATGGTGACAATAGTTAACATAATCAAAGCAGATCACCCTAATTGTGAGCCTAATCAAACCCATGGATTACAGCTCTCACAAAAGCTAACATCGAAAACGCAGACCCAATCCCACGAACTTGGAGAATAGTATATTGAAAGGAAATGATTTGAAGCGTACCAGTTAACAACGACGAAGAACACTAGAAGGTAGAAAAGTTTACGGCTTTCAGAGCTTCGTGTTCAAGAGGCAACACAAATCTGGTGAAGCAAAGGTTTAAATATTAAGGGTTTCTTTTGAGATCCCTATTTTGGACGGTCGGGATCTGCTCATGGTTGATGTTATAACCCAAACTGGGCCGTTGATAGGTTTTCATAACCCATGGGCCTATCATATGTATTATTTAGTTTGCATCATTTAGTTTTATGCTTATAGTCTAACATTTTGCTTAAATGTGGTAGATGCTTTCGAATGTACCGAACGCATAAACAACTTATTGCACTTTGACCATTCAGAGGCAACAAGTTAAAAATCTGAAATGTTTGATGGTTACTTTATAATTAACGACTTTTTACCCAAAAAAAAATTAACGACTTGCCTGCATACTACTAACTTGTCCCCTTTTTTTGTTGAAGCATACGATTTAAAGGGTGGCGAGGAGAAAATAAGCAAAATCATATTATATTGTCATTGCGACATCGTTTTGGTACGCAAAACCTTATATTCACATGTTTTTGGGTTATAAAGTGGCTTCACAGCCGCTCTGTTTCTCCTCTTTCGCTCACCCTTATCGCCGCTGTTTCGTCATAAATTCTCTTGAAGGTTTTGTTTACTTCTCTCTATCTCTCTCTCTCTTCTTTATCAAGTTCCGTTAATGGTGGAAATGACAGATCGAAGATTTTTGTTTGCTTATTTTTCCTCGTAAACGGTTTGTTGTAAGATCTAGATGTTTAAATTCTTATCTTGTTCGTTTTCTTTGGTCTCATGAAAAGTTTCCGTTTTTAGTCGAGTCAATACGTCCTTACTCTTCATTCTTCTAATTTTTCTATTGAATTGGCTTCTTCTGGTCAACCTATTCGTTGGCTTTTTCTGTTTCTAAACGTACTTTTTACATCCAATCTTTTATTAATTTCGAAATGATCCATTTTTTCCCCCAAATCCAAATTTCCCTCGAATTCGATCTGGGTGAGAATTTAGGGAGAATTTTCTGGATCCTACCAAGTATTATTCCGATTTCTTATCCGTTGTGATTGATCTTCAGTTTTCTTTTGTTTTCTGAAAGTCCTAATTTTTCTCTGTGTTTTTCTGATCTCTCTTGTGTTTCACTTGATGCAACAGATTAGGCGTTCTACTGTGGATAAAAGTGGTTCGAAGATGAATCATTGTAAACTTCAGCAGAACGCCTTCAAGTCCCGTGACGAATCCAGAGGATTTGCTCCTATCACTTGTCATCCATTGGACTCTCTTGTTTGTCCTAAGCCTTGTCGCGTCCCCAATAACCTTTTTCCTCCTTTTAGATTACATTCTAGGTAATATAAACTCTCTTCCTTTTATTGTCTTTCTTTGCCTACGAAAAAAAAATCGTATTTTTCTTATAAAAAATGCTGATTTACTTTGTCTTGGGATTTCACAGTCCATCAGAATCAGGAGCCGCTGATGTATGTGATTCTAAAGCCGGGGCAGATCTTTTGGACATAATTCGTAGAAAGGTTCGTTTTCTTCTTTTTTTTTTTTCTTTTCCTTTCCGAGTTGTGTGTTGAAGCACTGTCTATTGGATTTCACTTGTCTTCCTTTGTTTGAACTATATCGTTTTTGAAGCATTTCCTTGATTTGTTTTTCTTTGTATCAAAATCAATGCTAGGCTATATAGTTGCTCTAAGAGGTTAATCCGTCTCTAAAGTCTGACTGATGATTCTTGTTTCTTCCCTCTGACTGATGATTCTTGTTTCTTCCCTTACAACAAAGCTTCTCATCGTTTTCAGTTCTTTGTTATGTAGTTGAGTATATAGAATGTCCATATATTGTGTCTTGTGATCAAAACTATGGTTCTCTCGTCTTCTTTTTTCTCTGCAGGAAGAAACATTATCTGCTGTAACTTCATCGCCTCCGTTTTTCCTCGGGTCTCCCCCGAGCAGAGCATCAAACCCGTTAGCTCAAGATGCGCGATTTGGAAATGAGAAACTCAACCCTATCTCACCCTCACTCTCACCATTCCTCCCTTCTCCATCTCCATCTCGTGTCAAAGGAGGAGGTTGTGGTCGAGTGAAGTTTGGGCTTAAACCAGCAGCTGTTAGAGTAGAAGGATTCGATTACTTGAACAGGGACCGCCAAAGCTCGAGCATCCCTGCCATGGCTTAGAAGAAGAAAGAAGAAAGAACAGAGAGAATCACAAGTGTACATAAAATCCAGAATCAAGACTCCATTTTTTTTGAAGCAGATATTTCGTATTTTTGAAGATGACGAGGAAAAGGAAGGTTAAAGATTAGTCACCATCACCAGTCAAGGCTTTTACTTCAGTTTTCTTTAACTCTGAGATCAATATTGTGTATATATACGGTAATTAAGATGTAAAATCATGTGTTATCTAAATCTTTTCGAGTCTCGTTGTAACATATTAAAACCAATTTGGAGTGTTCTTTTTTTCTTTCGAATCTGTAAAAATATAAGTTCTCTTTTGTATAGTTACGTTTCTTCCTTTTGGAGATTCTCAATCTTTGTAAAATGTAATTTTGATAAGTTCGATAAATATGAATGCTTTGTATCAATCTCTCTCTCTTTTTAGGCTTTAGATAATCTAATTTGCTCGTCTCGTAGTCGTAGGGATAGAAGAAAAAGAGAGAAACGGAACGGAAACTAATGGTGACTGATACGGAGTCGTTAGTCGTTGACTTGCGAAGAAGATCCCGTTACGTGACACTGACAAGTTACGGTCTATTCAAAGATGAAGATTCCTTCGATGTTATGCGTCTTGAACAAAACCTGTAACTCATGGACGAATTGAAGGAATTGAAATTGGGTTTGACTAATTAGTTTTGGTTTGAATTTCATTGAAGTTTCAGCCAACACCATGGAAATAACACGACTGGTTGCAGCGGATAATATAATGAAGGATGGTGTATGAATGTAACAATAACTAACAAATGTGCAGAGTTTCAAATTATTGAAATGTTTTCTCGGTTAGATCAAATAAAGTTGATTAGGTGAATATATGAAAGCTAGTTTTAGGTTATCTGAATTATATGAATTTTTAAACTAATAAGGGTGATTAAAGACAAAACAAAATAAAACAAATAGATTACGTTTTTAAACAAAACCGTCGGCGAACAGAACACAAAAAAGATCCGCCCACAGTCACAAGAAGAAAATATCAAAGACCGGAAACCGAAAACCGGAAACCAGTCACTAGTTTTGGACAAATTATAAAGGGAAGGGTAAGCAGTTTTTGTAAACGGGATTCTTTTCCAGAAAACCAGGAGCTATGTGTGGACCCTACTTTCCCAAAAACTTCCTCTCAAATGACTCAAATGTGGCGATTCGACCAAATTTTCTGACGCGCGGGCGTGAATGCCACGTGTTTTGTCATTGCCTTTATCCCACTTTTTTTTTAAAAAAAAAAAGAGATAAGAATTTCTTTTTCCCCAAGAACCAGGGAATAGTTTTTGTTTTTTTTTAACAACAGCAGGAAAACAATGCAATTAGTTTTAGACACAAATTTACAACAAGTGATAACACAATTGTAAACAAATAATTAGTAGATAAATCATCAGAAATTAGCTAATGATCTGTTAATATTAGTTTTCAATTAGGAGTTGGTAAAAAAAGCTCTATCTAAGTATCTTGTAAAGAAATCCATGATATTCACCCATAGCCAATCATAATATCTAAACATTTTGGAACGTAATCTAATTCTAAAATAGTTTAGTTATCCACCAGTTATAATAAAATCATAATTAAATGCTGTAAACACGTGTAGGACACGCGCGTGAAGAAACACAAGATGTGAATACCTTAAACCAGGGGAAAAAAAAAACCGCGGCGTTTCAGGGAAAAGAGAAGAAATAAAAAAGGACAAAACAGCCCTTGTCTTTACTCTTTTGTCTTCTTTTCTTCTTCCCTTGGTTTTATATCTCATATCCCAAAAACCCAGGGGCTTCTTCTCAACGCACTCAATCCCTCTAAGCTATACCATCCTTCTTATATAATTTGCGAATCTCCATCTCCGTAGCCACTTCCTACAAAAGCTCCCAAAATACAAAACGGAAACAAAACATCTGAATCTAGCGCCAGACAAAAACGATGCGAATGAGCTGTAATGGATGCAGAGTCCTGCGAAAAGGGTGTAGTGAGGATTGTAGCATAAGACCGTGTTTGGCTTGGATCAAAACGCCCGAAGCGCAAGCAAACGCAACCGTGTTTCTCGCCAAGTTCTATGGCCGTGCTGGACTCATGAACCTCATCAACGCCGGTCCCGATCATCTTCGTCCTGGTTAGTGCTTTTCCATTAACGACGCCGTATTTTGAACCCTTTTACGCAGATGACGCCGTTTAATAGCATTTCCTAAACGTTGTCGTTTCGTATCATCTCATTTGTGTGAAATTATGCAGGGATTTTCCGATCGTTGTTGCACGAAGCTTGTGGGAGGATTGTGAATCCGATCTATGGTTCAGTGGGTTTGTTATGGTCGGGAAATTGGCAGCTTTGTCAAGCCGCCGTGGAGGCGGTGATGAAAGGTGAACCGATCACAGAGATTGCCACAGATGCGGCGACCAACGGCCAGGGTCCGCCGCTGAAGATGTACGATATCCGACATAATTCTAAAGATGAGAACTCCGCCGCTGCTGCAGCAGCTACGGGTTCAACCGATCTGAAACGGGCGAAAACTCGCCGGACTAAGCGAGTCGCTGCCCTCGCTAAACGGGCAGAATCGGAGGGGAAATCCGGCGGCGAAGAGGCAAGTCACGAGTCGTCGTTGAGTCACCAGTCTGAAATTGTGGCTGCTTATGAAGGAGAGAGCAAAGAATCGGAAAGCAATGTCTCGGAGGTCATGACATTGTCGCCGCCGGCTGTGCAGGGCTCCGCCGGGGAGATTAAGCTTGACCTAACTTTAGGGCTCGAGCCGGTGTCACGTGCGTATCACGTGGTACCTGTTAAGAAGAGAAAGATTGGCGTGTTTGGCACGTGTCAGGAGGAGAGCCCGTGTAAGACTGAGCTTATGCTCTAAGCTGAAGCTCCATTATACTAGAAGTTTTGCCCGCATCGGCTCCATTCGTTTCGGTTTTATGCCATTGAGCCAAGCCGCATCATTTAACCGAGCCGATAACTTTTATTTTATTTTTTTCTCTCTATTTACCGTCTATAGATTTGCTTGCACTTACCCTGGTGATCAGTTAAAGCATGTACAAACTTATTTACAGAGATAATTTCAAGATTGGATAAGAGTTCATTACTTTTCTGTTTTTTTTCCCCACTAACACCCCCAAACAAAGCCAGAGGATTTTTTTCAAAAATGAAGAAGAAAAATGGTCACGATTAGTGGATTATACTTCTACCCATTAGAAAATATTGTGGGCCTATCTTGTAACCATAAGAAACATTTTGGGCCTCTCTTTTCACGATCTTAATCCAGGAAATAAATTGTCAACTTGTTGACATGACATATTTTAAATTGATAAAATGAAAGATGACGTGGCAGAGTAGAAAATACAAACCCATGTGCTTCGGGCCACAATCCAGTGGAGATATCGAGGGAACGCAAAGGTAGGGGCCTGATTTCGTATCTTCTTTCACCTACCTTCTCTCTCTCTCTCTCTCTCTCTCTCTCTCTCTCTCTCTCTCTTCTGAAGTTATCGCCGGCGGCGATCGATCGTAACAGGATTTCGCCGGAGAATCAGTCACTGGAACAGGAATTTCGCTTGAGTCGAGAAGATGAAGATATTTGTGAAAACTCTCAAGGGGATTCACTTCGAGATCGAAGTAAAACCCGATGATTCGGTATGGGAGTTTCTGCAGATAGTTTTCTTACTCGTTGATTGAGACGGCTGAGTTCCGTATCCGAGGCGGGTTTTCGATCGAGTTTCGTATTTGAATTTTTGATTTTGTCGAGTTTTAGGAGGTTTTTTTAGAGGAATGATCAACACTAAATAACTATAGCATTTCTTTACTTGCTGAGCTGGCTATAGCTTGTTTGCTTCCACGCTGTTGTAGCATCCGAAGAAAATTTGTGGACCGTGCTTTTGTTTATTTTCTTCAACTGATGCTTGTAAAACATTCACATTCAGGTTGCTGATGTGAAGAAGAACATAGAGACTGTGCAGGGAGCAGATGTTTATCCCGCTGCAAAATTGATGCTTATCCACCAAGGGAAAGTGCTTAAAGATGAGACCACAATTGAGGAGAACAAAGTTGCTGAGAACAGTTTTATTGTCATTATGATGACCAAGGTGCATTTGGATATGAGGAAACAAATGTGATTTTGTTGTTGTCTGTTTAGCTCTTTGATTACCTAATATTGACTTATGCTCTTTGGGGCTAAACATGTAGAGTAAACCTGCCTCAACTGGAGCGTCTAGTGCATCTGCTAGCCCTACAGCGCAGGTGAGTTGGTTCTGCTGTTATAGCATCATCGTAAACAATGAGACGCTGCAACCTTGTTTGTTGAATGATCTAACTTTAGCATTGGTTTAGGCTAAGTCGATGCCTACCTCATCAACACAGCCTTCAAATTCCCCTCAGCCTCCAGCTTCTGTAGCAATGTGAGTTTAAGGGATAAGCATTTTCTGCTTGGAGATCTCCTGAAATTTGTCTGAGAAAATTGTGTCTGTTCTATGTTAATACTAACTTGGATTTTCTCCCCCCAATCTTCCTAATTTTGTGCAGGCCAGATGCACCTTCACCGACACCTGCAGCTGCAACTGAAACTGTGGTTGCACCTGTACCTGTACCTGAAACCGTACCTGTACCTGAAGTTGTTTCTGCTACTCTACCAGGAAGCACTCCCATACCCGAATCAAATCCTGCTGGGTAAGCATCTCTTCTATCTGAATCTAGTCCCTGGAATTTTCCGCTGATTCAAAAACTGGCCTACTATTGTTTTGTTTCATCTGATTTTTGGTTAAGATAGATCTCTGGGTGATGTTTACGGACAAGCAGCATCTAATCTGGCCGCTGGAAGTAATTTAGAGAGTACTATTCAGCAGATTCTTGACATGGGTGGAGGAACCTGGGATCGTAACACTGTCGTCCGTGCACTCCGTGCTGCATTTAACAACCCTGAAAGAGCTGTGGAATATCTTTACTCTGTGAGTTCGATTTTTTTTTTGCTCTGTATATGCTGTGTGTCCTATCTTCTTGGTCAATAGGCTTGTAAACTACTTCCTTGCCTCTATTAGAGGCTACTAATATCCTTTCCACTAAGGCGAGAGAATTTACTTATCTTTATGCTTTAGGGGATCCCTGAGCAAGCTGAAGTTCCACCAGTTGCCCGTGCCCCAGCTAGTGGTGGACAGCCAGCAATTCCTCCAGCACAGACTCAGCAACCTGCAGCGGCACCTGCAACTGGTCCTAATGCAAATCCGTTAGATCTTTTCCCACAGGTAATACACCTGGAGAATGAAAGCATACTTGCTTTTTTTTTTTTAGACTGTTGATCATAATTGGGTGTGTAACCAATATCTACTCTTATCTTTGACAGGGGTTGCCAAATGTTGGAGCAAATCCTGGTGCCGGAACACTTGACTTCCTGCGCAACAGCCAGCAGGTATGAGGTGTTTATTTTCTTACACTTGCTGACAGAAAGAGTATATCAGATATCAGTGTGTGATATGTTTATTGTTTTCTGGTTATATCAGTTCCAAGCTCTGCGTGCAATGGTGCAAGCAAACCCTCAAGTTCTGCAGGTATGCAAACTGACAGAAGAAGTGAAATAGTTGTCAGGCTTTCGCTGGGTAAAGTCATTTGGTAGCGTCACAAATGAATTTCCATCCATATGTTTTCTGCAGCCTATGCTTCAGGAACTGGGAAAGCAAAACCCAAACTTGATGCGGTTAATTCAAGACCATCAAGCTGACTTCTTACGTTTAATCAACGAACCCGTTGAAGGAGGGGGAGAAAGGTATGTACAATCATCACCATTATGATTCATATGTAACATTTGCCTATAAAAACAGAACTTTGAGAGGCTTTCGACTACTTTAAAAACATGATTATTTTCCTGATTAGTTTATGCATTGTATGAATCAGCGGCAACCTCTTTGGCCAATTGGAGGCGGGAATGCCACAACCACAGGCGATCCAAGTCACACCTGAGGAACGCGAAGCAATCGAACGGGTTTGTTCCTCTTTTTTTTTTCCACTTTGATCATTCCTCTAAAGAAAAAGTCTGCATCTCTGTTACTGATTGATCAACTCGGGTTTACCTTGATAAAAAAAAAACAGCTTGAAGCAATGGGATTTGAGAGAGCATTGGTGTTGGAAGTGTTCTTCGCGTGTAACAAGAACGAAGAGTTGGCTGCGAACTATCTTCTTGATCACATGCATGAGTTCGAGGAATAGCTGCTTCAGTAAAGTTACCTTGTTCATCTTTCTTCTTTCTATCTCTTATCATTGGTCCATATGTATGGCCTTGCCTATAGGAATAGAGAAGAAACATTGTCCCCATTTTTTTTAATAAAATTTTAAGGGTCCATTTGATTGATTAATTCCTAAATTTTTAACATTGTAGTAAAACTTGAGTTTTGGTTACATTAGCAACTAATTGAAAAGTTAATTAAAGTTGAAAAAATGAAAAACCAAAATAATTTCACTGTAATAGTCTCCTAAAACAATGACCTTTTCTAATGCAAGATTACCTATTTATCTCGTGGAAAATATATATATATTTCTTCTACTGTTAGACGACTGATGTAACTTTGTATCTTTTACTGTTTTTGGTTCGAGTAGTTGATTTGCGAAAAAAAACTGAAATACTATTAGGGGAAAACTGAAAAGTCTATAAAAATTGCAAGTCTCTAGTTCAGCAAGGGTTTTTCCTTTGTGTGATAATCCGACGTCGTTGAGAGAATAAATGGATGGTTTTGAGACTTTTCTCTTTTCCTCTTGCATTTCGACTCTCACTTAGCAGCAACACCGAAATTTAAAAAGAAGAAATAAAAGAGAAAATTCAGAAGCTCCTCGAAGGAAAGCCCTAGAATCACTCTCTCTTTCCAGTTTCTCCTCTAAATCTCTTTCGACGAGTTTGATCTCCCATCATCGAAAATGTCTGTGCGTGTTCTGAATCCTAATGCCGAGGTGCTCAACAAATCGGCGGCGCTTCATATGACCATCAACGCCGCTAAGGGTTTACAGGATGTACTCAAGTCGAATCTCGGTCCTAAGGGAACCATAAAGATGTAAGTCTGTTTCTGCCTCTTCTTCTTTTTTCTTTTCTTTCTTGGATCTATGTATTATTTCTTTCTTTGTGCCTTAATTTTTTTTCTTACCCCATACTCATGCGAATTTATCAATCACTCGCTCTAGGCTTGTTGGTGGTTCCGGTGACATCAAGCTTACCAAGGATGGAAACACGCTTTTGAAGGAAATGGTGAGTCAGAAAAAAAACCAAAAAAATGCTAGATCTTGTTGATTGATTAATAAATTTAGCTTAATAGTATCTCTTCTTACTTGTGAAGTGTTTTCAGAAGCTTGAAACTTTTGTCGTTTAAATATTAGGCCGGGGTTGTGGAAATTGAATATGTTTTAAACGTTACTTAGTCGGTAAAGTGATCAAAAATGACATACACAAATCATTAGAAATAGTTTGATAATGCTTACAGTTCCCACTTGCTTATCTTTGCAGCAAATTCAAAATCCCACAGCCATCATGATTGCAAGGACAGCTGTTGCTCAGGATGACATAAGTGGTGATGGTACTACTTCCACTGTCATCTTCATTGGTGAGCTCATGAAACAGTCAGAGCGTTGCATCGATGAAGGTTAGCCAAATTAGCTTGTCTCTGACTTATTCTTTGATTTAGATTGGTGAATTGGGTAGTTTTATGCTTCTCTATGTCTGTTTTTTATTTAAGCTGGATCGTATGCCTTTTCATTTTCTGTATCAGTTTATCATGGTTAACATATAATCCTTTCCATCTAATCATCTTCAGCTACCTTGTCATGTTTTGTGTAACCTCTGTGAAAAATGGTCGTAATGAAATGGTTTATACGTTTCTCAGGAATGCATCCTCGTGTCTTAGTTGATGGTTTCGAGATTGCAAAAAGAGCGACTCTCCAATTTCTCGACACTTTCAAGACACCTGTGGTTATGGGTGACGAGCCTGATAAAGAGATCCTGAAAATGGTTGCCAGGACAACGCTAAGAACAAAGGTTTTCTTCAATCTGGTGTTTTTTTTTTTTTTCGTTATCACAGGCTTTTCTCTTCACTTCTAACTGGCAGTTTTTTTCTGGCTACTTAGTTGTATGAAGGCTTGGCTGATCAACTGACCGATATTGTTGTTAATTCGGTAAGTTTACTGATATCTCTCATTTGAGTATCATCGTGCTTTTTTCACATGTTTATGAGAATTAATCTATGATTAAGTTTTTGTTTCAAGCTTGTTTGTCTTCTAATCAGCTCCTTCCCGCACATAACAGGTTCTCTGCATTCGGAAGCCCGAGGAACCTATTGATCTCTTTATGGTTGAGATCATGCACATGCGCCACAAATTTGATGTTGACACACGATTGGTATGCCTTTGATGTCTCGGAATTTAAGCGTTTTCACTCTAGTAGAACGACTTGTGTATGGGATTTAATCCTTTTGCTGGTCGTGAATCGTAAATGTCATCTTTATGCACCTGTTGCTAATATCATACGTATTGTTTCTCTTGTATTAGGTTGAAGGTCTTGTTCTGGATCACGGTTCAAGACACCCTGACATGAAGCGACGTGCAGAGAATTGTCACATCCTTACTTGCAATGTGTCACTGGAGTATGAGAAGAGGTGTGTAATATAAACCTATGGTTGGTTGGTTGAAGAGATATGAAAGGCTAGAAGTTAGAAGACCTATCCTGTCATCTTGTGTATCAGTCATTTCGTAGCCTAACTTTGTATATATCAGTGAAATTAATGCAGGGTTTTTCTACTCGAATGCGGAACAGAGGGAAGCCATGGTTACTGCTGAGCGACGTTCCGTTGATGAAAGAGTGAAGAAAATTATTGAGCTGAAGAACAAGGTTCGTTCGAAACTACTTCATCCGAGCCATATGCTGTAATTTTTCTGATATCTACATGGTCTATATCTTATGCAGGTTTGTGCTGGTAATGATAACAGCTTTGTTATCTTAAATCAAAAGGGTATTGATCCCCCATCATTGGATCTTCTTGCTAGAGAAGGGGTAAGCTTTTTCTTGTCTCTCGTCTCGTACTCGGTTTATTCTGTCTACAAGTTGTTGCAGTCTAATTAATTATTTTTTTTAAAGTCCAATTATCTTTCTGTTTCTTTACGTATATTTGTTTCTCCAGATAATCGCCCTTAGAAGAGCTAAGAGGAGGAACATGGAACGATTGGTTTTGGCGTGTGGGGGAGAAGCTGTGAACTCCGTTGACGACTTGACTCCGGACTGTCTTGGCTGGGCTGGACTTGTATATGAGCACGTTCTTGGGGAAGAAAAGTACACATTTGTCGAGCAAGTGAAGAATCCTCATTCATGTACTATCCTCATAAAAGGTACAAAGGCCCAAACTTCTATCTCCTGTAAGCTAAGTTTTGAAGGTCGGATTTTTTTAATTTTTTTTATTACAAGCCTGATCATGAAATACTTGATTTTATAGGGCCTAACGACCACACCATTGCTCAAATCAAGGACGCTGTCCGTGATGGTTTAAGATCAGTTAAGAATACCTTAGAAGATGAGTGTGTTGTATTAGTAAGTCCCTTCTTTTTCACAAAGATTGAAGATATTTTTCCATTTTTAGTGTGATTGTCTTAGTTTCGTGTGCTTATGGGTTTTGACGGTTGCCTCATTTGGCAGGGAGCTGGAGCTTTTGAAGTTGCGGCGAGACAACACCTAATCAATGAAGTCAAGAAAACGGTTCAAGGGGTAAGTATAAAGTAACGTCTCTCTCTGATCCAAGACCAGTCCTTGATTTTTTCCGGTTGCTAATGTTAATTGTGGGCAAATTGCAGCGAGCTCAACTAGGTGTTGAAGCTTTTGCGAACGCCCTTCTCGTGGTTCCCAAGACACTCGCTGAAAATGCTGGTCTTGATACACAAGACGTTATCATTTCTCTAACGGTATTATACTTTTATTTTCCTCTTTTTCTGCTTTCGATAATGCTCCAAACAACAAATATTATATACTATGTTTTGAACTTCTATGTTTGTACAGAGTGAGCATGACAAAGGAAACGTCGTGGGACTAAACCTACAGGATGGAGAACCCGTCGACCCTCTGCTTGCTGGTATTTTTGACAATTACTCGGTGAAACGCCAACTTATCAATTCAGGGTATGCACTAAACCAAAACGCAACCTATAGTTAACCACAAACTCTAAAATTCACGAGTATGTACTAATTCAGTTGTTTGGTGATGTGTTTGCAGGCCGGTGATTGCTTCGCAGTTGCTATTAGTGGATGAAGTGATTCGTGCTGGAAGAAATATGAGGAAGCCCACTTAAATCTCTCTTCTTTTTTTTTTTTTTCACCTTTTTCGTCCTTCGAGTTTTGAGTATTACCATATGAAATTTTTTTTCTTTTAACCAACGTTTTTTTACCTTGTATCTTTTGTTGTCATAGATAATCTCGATCAGAATCTATCTTCCTTTTATTTTTATTTTAATGAGAAAAACTTTATGGTTGTTTTGATTTTGTCTCGAGTTGAAAAGAAAAAGAGTGATCTCTAGCTACTTTGTTTTGTGGGTTTTCATACTACTCGTTGTTTTTCTTTCCTGTTTTTTCCTACTAAGTTCGAAATATATCGTTCAAGCGTGATACCTTGGACCGAAACTCCATTGGAGCGAATTTTGAAGAAACATGAGACCATTAATCACAGCATTTTACACCAAAACCAATAACAAAGTATTATTGGGTAATGTCTTAAAAGTCAAAAGCGGTTAAAGTTTATTGGGAGCTTTTTTTTCTTCTTCTTCTTCTTCTTTTCAATACTTTTGTGTGATTTACGAAAGATTTGAAACTTTCATGGAAATGGAACCAGAATTATTTTCAAAATGATAAAGTCAAAATTACCAAAAATGCACGGTTCAATTTCAGGGCCCATGTAATTATTCAATTTTTTTGCACGAAGTTGAAGTCTTTCACGGGTCAACACCATTAGATACTTGTCAAGCTATTATTGGGCCTTTTCCTCCTTTACTTTCTCCTAAAAATCAAGAAAACCCATCTCTTCCTTTTTTTTTTTTTTTTTTCCCCCTTATTTCTCCTCCTCACTTGCAATATTTCGCTTCCAAATTCGACAACCCCAAATTCGAAAATCTCTCGGTAAGCTGCTACAGATCTGACCTCGTTTTGCTCATTAGTTCGACGAATATCTTCTCTGTTTTAGTTTCGTTTTGTGGACTTTCCTACTTCCCTTACTCTGTTGGTTTTCTTGTCTCTGTTCGTAGTTATTTCGAGATCTGGCTTAGTTACGATTGGTTTTGGTATTTCTTAGTGTTCGTTTCATCGAGGATTGATCTGTCCGAACCATATGATGACGAGAAAATTTTGGAAAACATGAAAATCGTTTTTGTCTTTTTCTCTCTTTACGACTTGGGTGTTTCCTGGGAATTAATTGTTGATTTTGCACAGCTACAGTTATGCTCATCAAGTTTGAAACGAATTTTGAAAACAGGATCGATCGATCGAACAAGAAAATATGTCGTCTACTCGGGAAGAGAATGTGTACTTAGCCAAGCTTGCCGAGCAAGCTGAACGTTACGAAGAAATGGTTGAGTTCATGGAGAAAGTTGCAAAGACCGTAGACACGGAGGAGCTCACTGTGGAGGAGAGAAACCTCTTGTCTGTTGCTTACAAGAACGTTATTGGTGCTAGGAGAGCTTCGTGGAGGATCATTTCTTCCATCGAACAGAAGGAAGAAAGCAGAGGAAACGGAGATCATGTTTCGATAATCAAGGACTACAGAGGAAAGATCGAAACCGAGCTCAACAAAATCTGCGATGGAATATTGAACCTTCTGGATTCTCATCTGATTCCCACTGCATCTTTGGCTGAGTCCAAAGTCTTTTACCTCAAGATGAAAGGAGATTACCACAGGTACCTTGCTGAGTTTAAGACTGGATCTGAGAGGAAGGAAGCTGCGGAGAGCACTCTTTTGGCTTACAAGTCAGCTCAGGTCAACTCTATTATTCCAAGTTTTAAAATTCTGATTCTGCTGCTGCTTGAGTCTAGCAAATGGGTAATCTTTATAAACGATTTTATGGTGTTTTTCTTCTGGTGTAGGATATTGCACTTGCTGATTTACCTCCTACTCATCCGATTAGATTGGGACTTGCTCTTAACTTTTCTGTCTTCTACTATGAGATTCTTAACTCACCTGATCGCGCTTGCAACCTCGCAAAACAGGTTTGTGTTTTGCCATATGGGATGTCGTTTTGCTTTCAGACTTTGTAACACTCGTGCCCATACCAAATCCCGATTAATATATTCACTTTAACGTTTTCACAGGCCTTTGATGAAGCAATCTCTGAGCTGGACACATTAGGAGAAGAATCATACAAAGACAGTACACTTATCATGCAACTTCTCCGTGACAATCTCACCCTCTGGACTTCTGACATCAATGTACACTTTTGTCTCTCTCCCTAACTCTTTCCTTTTTGCTCTTATCTACACAATCTAAAGCATCTTTACATGTGTTTATAAATTTCATGTAATGAGTAAATTTTTTGATTAAACACTACTGATGTGTTTTTCGTTTTCAGGATGAGGCGGGTGGTGATGAGATCAAGGAGGCGTCAAAACCTGAGTCGGAAGAAGGGAAACAAACTTAGACGTGGAAGTGACCAGAGAGAGAGAGAGAGAGAGGCATGTATGGTATAAATTTGGCTCTAGTTTCCTGGAGATCATGATTTGATTCTCCTTTGAAAACTCATAAACTCTCTTCTTCTTCTTCTTCTTCTTCTTCTTCTTCTTCTTCTCTTTTTGGTTTTAAAAGCTGTCGAGTCTTTGATTTTACTTCGTTGCTTGTTACTACATTTAGGAAGTGAAGGTCGAGAAGCAGAAACAAAACTTAGGATTATTGATTTCGATTCCACTCGTTTTGGATTTTACCATTCAGGGTATCGGAGTATTATTTTTTCACTAGGGTATTTGAAGAATCTTGAAAGCAAAATCAAACACTTGATTACGCCAAGAAAAGAAAATAAAAACTTTCAGCATCAAAGTTTTATTCACGCGCAGAGTCAACAAACAAACAAAAATACAAAATACAATATGGTTTCAAATTTCAAACCATATTTATATCCCTGTGTGTGTAACTAGTATAGGACTTTCTGGAAAAGAAAAAAAAAAAAAAAAAAACATAAACATAGCATAGGACTCATGTCATGGGTCTCTTTCCATATTTCTCTTTCTTAAGTTTTTTTTTTTCCATTTTCTGTAGTTATCCATGTTTTCCATATGTGAATTTATATTTTGCATTGACATTATTAGAATTTGAAATAGTAACCTCGTCAATTATCTTTATAGAAATATGAATATACGCAAATCAATGTCTTGAGCATCTTAAAGTAATTATGAATTATAATCAAATAATTAAAACACATACTTAACATAAAAACACATCGGTATTATTACCACCCCCTCGAATCCCACTGCTTTGCTTTTCCGCTTGTCTCTAAGCATTCATTCACCTTCTCTCTCTTCTCTCTCTTCTCTCTCTCCCTTGCTCAAATGGTTTCAGCAACTTCAATCATAGCCTGGTCCATTACTCTTCTCTGTTCACTTCCTTCTATCGAACAAAGTTCCGATTTTTCACTCACTCTTTGTTAAAACTCGGCCTCTCTCTTACCATCTTTTTATCCGCTTCTCTCAGGGGCTCTGGAGAAGATGGGCAACTAGGAATTGGTACCAACGAAGAAAGGGAATGGGCTTGCGTCGTTGAAGCTCTCGAGCCTTACTCTGTTCGCTCCGTTGTCTCCGGTAGCCGTAACTCCCTCGCCATTTGCGATGATGGCACGGTACTCTCCCAATATCATACACTTTGGGGTTTATCTAAATGATATTTTCTCTTGTTTTAATTGGTCTCTATGCATTCGAGGATATGATTTCCCCATCTGTTTTATGTCAAACTAAAAGAGGGCCTCTCTAAGTTTGGTTTTATAAGTTCTTGTAAGATTTCCAAGAAACATGGTTTGTCTCATCAATCATAACCGATGAAGCTCTCTGTCTTCTTCTCTTGTGGGAAAAGTCTCTAAAGCTGAAAAAAATCTTGATCCAATAGGTTAAATTTGTTTTCTTGAACCGGTTTTCGTTGTGTTATCATGGGATTGCTCTGGTTCTGGTCCTTATTCAAGTAGTTTAATGACTAAAACAAGCAAAGGTTTAGGATCAGAAGGTTGATATTTTTAAAGGCTCTATTTCGGTAACTTATGTTCTGTGTTGTTTTTAAAAACTGATTCAGATGTTTACATGGGGTTGGAATCAAAGAGGTACATTAGGACACCCACCAGAGAAAAAGACAGAAAATGTACCTAGTCGAGTGAAGGCTCTTGCCAGTGTCAAGATTACTCAGGTTTGATCTTTCTTTCTACTGAATTTCTAATGTGGTTTTCGTTAGATTATCATATGGAACTAGCAGTTTTTACTTTCAGTCTAATGGTTGATAGGCAGCAATTGGTGGCTGGCATTGTTTAGCTGTTGATGATCAAGGCCGAGCATATGCGTGGGGTATGTTATTGATTGTTTTATTCCCTAATCTCTTTTTGTTTTTTTTTTTCTTCTGGTGAGCCGTATTGAAAATGATTATGGATATTACACGCAGGTGGGAATGAATATGGACAATGTGGGGAAGAGCCTTTGAAAGACGAGATGGGTAGACCCGTGCGAAGAGATATTGTGATCCCTAAGCGTTGTGCACCGAAACTTACAGTCCGACAGGTAAAACCAACTCGTGTTATAAATCTCTCAAAAATCAAGTGATCGTGTGCATTCACTATACAAAAATAATAAATCCATTTGAGGGTGTTAACAGGTAGCTGCAGGTGGTACTCACTCAGTGGTTCTGACTCGGGAAGGTCATGTGTGGACTTGGGGTCAACCGTGGCCTCCCGGTGACATGTATACAAAACAATTAAACTCACACACAAAGCAGTAGTATACATTTTTGAGGCTGTTTTTACTAAACTGTTTTGGTTTTGGTTTCCTCTGTATATATATATTTTGCAGAAAACAGATATCTGTTCCTGTGAGAGTCCAAGGACTTGAGAATGTCCGTCTAATCGCTGTTGGAGCATTTCATAACCTGGCTCTTGAAGAAGATGGGAGGTTATTGGCATGGGGTAATAACGAATACGGACAACTTGGAACCGGTGATACACAGCCAAGCTCTCATCCTGTTCCAGTCCAAGGCCTCGATGATCTCACTTTGGTTCGTTTTATTTTTCCCTTTCTTGATTCCTTGTCTACCCATTACAACTTCTGATGCTTGCTTACTTTACAAAAGGCATAAAAGCTTCAACAAATTCTCTCTCTCTATGTGAAAACGCATCTGCAGGTTGATACTGCTGCGGGTGGATGGCATTCAACAGCTTTAACCGATAAAGGAGAGGTATTAGAACTCACTCATCTACTCTTCCAAACTTATTCTCAAAGTTTCTAACTTTCCTTCTCGTTTTCACCAAGTGAAGAAGATATATACGTGTGTGTGTGTGTGTGTGTTTGGTCTTGTAATATTTATTAGGTGTATGGTTGGGGAAGAGGAGAACACGGAAGACTCGGGTTCGGTGACAACGACAAGAGCAGCAAAATGGTTCCACAGAAAGTTAACCTTCTAGGTGAAGAAGATATCATTCAGGTAAGTCAGTCAGAGCAGCATTTAACCTTAATGATCTCGGTGAAAATGAGGTTTGATCATTTTGAGGGTAATTAGCATTGAACTCCTTAATAATTAAATAACGTTTCAAAATAGGTTTCTTGCGGCGGAACACATTCAGTTGCTTTGACAAGAGATGGCAGAGTCTTCTCGGTTAGTAGATAGGTTTTTGGATTTTACGCAAAAAGAAACGTTAAATCTTCTTCTGATATTATGAATGAGTCTCTTTGTGATCCAGTTTGGTAGAGGAGATCACGGAAGACTTGGATATGGAAGGAAAGTAACAACAGGACAGCCATTGGAGTTACCGATAAAGATTCCTCCGCCTGAAGGAAGCTTCAATCACGCAGACGAAGAAGAAGAAGGAAATTGGTTTGCTAAATCTATTGCTTGCGGTGGCCGCCACACTCTTGCCATTGTAGAATGGAAGGCTGATGATATTTGATCTCTCCGCTCTCTCATAAACAAAACTTAGAGCATGTACATTAGTGAACCCTTCTAAGGGGTTCACCAGAATAAAATGTTATTATTTTGTGGTTTTTAGTTTTTGGAAGAATCTGTGTCAATTTCTAGGTTCCATTGATAACAATAAAAAAGTGTCTTGAACCACATGAAATTCGAATTTGCAACAAAGATTTAGAAACTTTAAAATTGATGCAACATACACGACAAGATTAGCTTTTTTTATTAATTTGATTGTGTTACTTATTTCAATGTGTGACAATTTTACAAGCAGGCCTTTGAAACCAAAACAAGAGTAGAAATTGTCTTTCTCAAAACTTAATTACTTGTCTCCATCTTTCTTTAGTCGAACTCGTGATGAAAAAATTCTGATCATACAATATAACTTAAGACGACAAAACCGTTGCAGCCAAGAAGCAAAACTTATCGGCTCTGAGGTTCAATGTTTCCACTACTGATGCCTATACTAAATCATAAAGTGTGAACATTGTTTATATACAGATAACAATAAAACAGGTCATATATTTAAGATAAAAACAACAAGATCTGCAACTATTCTCTCATTTTGCATCATTTAAATTCTCTCAATTTCAACTTAAACAGCACCACCGGCATTGTTCATGAAATGGGAAATCCATAGCTGTTAGATCAAGAATCGATTCAAGTTAAATTACAGTCAAAACGGAGTCATACATACCTCATCCCAAGTGCTTGAAGTCAGTGGATCAGATGTTGTAATGTTTTTCTTCTCGATGTTATCAGGTTCATCGCCCAATCTGCGGCAATGAAAACTGCGGTTCCATAAGTTGATTTTCTCATTTGAATTAGCTGTAACAAGAACCCAAAAATACTAAACTCAACACCAGAATCTAATAGCATGAATTCTGGAGCGATAGTAGGAAGGAAACAAAATCAAAAGATACTAAACTCAATACCAGAAAACATCTTATAACAGTTCCTCGATCGATTTCGTTCGTTTTCCCCAAAAGTTATAACAGTTTAACAAATTACAAAGGAAGAACAATTTAACAAATTACAAAGGAAGAACGATTACCTTGATGATGGGAATAGATACTCGATGCTCGGATTACAACACCACCGGTAAATTTGACGGAATCTCCGATTGATTGAAAATCATCGGGGAAGAGAAAGAGAGAAGAGAGTTGCGATGGGATGAAAATGAATTTTGTCCGAGAAAAAAAAATTTGTCGCTCAAAATTACACAATATTTTTGCTCCAATCAGGTTCTTCCACGTGGTTAAGAGGCGAGGTCTTCAGAATCTTCAGGATGAACCGGTTCATCCAATATAGCTTTTTTTCTTTTATTTTTAATTGGTTTTGCCTATAAAACTGGTCCATGAACCTTAGGTAAACCCCTGATGTACATGGTCTTACGAAGAGAATAATGGCAAAAAAAAGAGAAGTTTGTGTGTGTATTTATTAGAAAAGAACGGGAGAAAAACATGCTTTTTTCAATATTACTTTTTCCCCTATAAAATAATCTTTAGATAAAAGTAATTTTTTTTATATGAAGGAAAATTTTACAAATATATAACTTCAATCAGGTGAGACGATCTTGGTAGACTTTTACTTTGTTGAAAAGCCTTGAACAAAAACATTTTCTTTTACAATGTTCTTTTTAATCAATGAGAAAATGTGTCTTTGCAGTTTGCACATTCGCAGATTGGACAGAAGCTTTCTTTTGGGGTTGTTTAGTTTAGTTTGTCCGAAATTCTTTAATTTTGTATACAACGTGTAAGCTATTATTATATTAACGGAAATTATGTCAGCCCGATAAGTCATTTGAGCCCATTCGTAAGGTTAATATAAGCTCAAATTTGTCAGCAATTAAGAATGCTAAGGCCCAATAAGTCTATTTAATTTATTTATTTAAAGGCTTGTAAAGCTTATATAAAATTAATACTTTTTTGCTTTGATTATTACAGAAATTCGTGATTTCATTCATACTTCTTTTCTTTTCACTATCTCATATTTCAATTAGATTACTAGTTCCAAGATATTGGATGCTTCATTAGCCCGAAACCAATCAACCTTAATTCAAATGATTAGTGTATACCAAAAATACAAAGTCGAAATCGGTTCTTGGTGCGTTGCACTGGACAAGTATATGTTTAATTATACGGACACTATCTGACTATCTTTTGAATCATCCAAGACCAAGATACGGGTTAATGATTCTTAATTGTGTTTAATTTTCATTGTTAACTAGCCCATTATACTATAATTGAGATGGTAAAATCATGATGAATAGAATAGTTTTTAATTAATAAGACTAAGTACAGTCAACTGAGTAGAGAGTATTAAGTAAGGAGACAAGATAACAAAAGTTGTCTAGGTTATGCCAAACAGTAACCCTTAGCCATGCGAATTTCACGCGCGGCATGCTCCACATGCTTCTTTCTATTTCTTTCTTCTTTTTCCTTTCTATATTTTTTTTAGCTTTGTTATAAATTAAAAATAATTGGATACAAACAACTGCCAAGACAACACAAGTTCAAGACCTATTGCCTAGATTCAACTTTTTCATTATTCGAGTACTTCTTGCCTTTCAAGATGAGAGTACTATCGTTGATAATACATGTGTAAACGCTTGCTTATCTTTGTTTAAAAATCGAAAACACAAATTGTAATCATAATAGCATGCAAATGCATGACTGACGAAAATTTTAAGTTTAGATTGTCTTTTTTCTTATATTCCTTGAAAAAAATACAATGGGGCATTGGCTATGGCTTTTCGCGTGCGAGTTATGGTGAGAAATGTACATGTACGCATAGATTTGATTGGTATATATACAGTACCATGGATTATATATATATATATATAGCTAGCTGAGTTACAAGATCAAAAAAAAAAAAAAAAAAGATCAAAATGTTCTGTTTTAAAACATGACAAGTGGAAAATCGGGATATTATAAGGGAAAGGGGACACACAAAACAATTTCCAAGAATTAAGGCGCTAGTAGAATATGTAGGCTTTGGTATTTGAACTGTAATTAAGTAAAATTAATCAAAAATATCTATATAATCAATACAACTGGAGAGATTGGGTTTTATTGTATGAATGATTAAGTGGAAGCTGAATAAAGCAGGCCAGGTTCAAGTTACGGCTGATTTGGTGGTGGAACACGAGAAAAGACATGTGGGATTATGTTTTGGCTTTGATTACTAAAGCTCTTATCTAAGCTCACAAGTCTCAAATCCCAAGTACTTAAAAACTAATCTTGTTCTAACACTACAAGAAAACAGCAGGTTTTTCTACAAAAAATATCATCAAAAAATGGTAGGAAACAGGCATTTCCTATCAATTTCCGACGAAAAATTTCGGTAGGTTCTATACCGTCGGAAATTATAAATGGTCAGAAAATGGTAGGAAATTTCCTACGAAACTTTTGGTCTGAAAATTTAATCGGAAAAATTGGTCAGAATATCGTAGGATATTTGCTATTACTTTTCTCCCATTTTCCTACGAAAAAATTCAACCGTTTTTCTACAAACATTTTCCTACCATATTCGTACCAATTTTCTACTAGATATATAAAAACAGTTTTAATTCAATTAATTCTAAAATTAAATAATTTCAATTATTAAATAAATTATAAAAATTAAATCTAAATTAATCAGCCCAATTAAAAACTAATTAGAAATTAATTTTAACTAAATATGGAACTTCTAAATGCTAAATTATATTAATTCACTTAATATTTTTTTCTAGTTAAGATATGTCACTATTTATAGAGCCTATTCAGTGTGTCTTCCACTTTGGTTGGTCGATGTGGGAATTTTCCCATTTCTTGTTTTGACTGATTTTGGTAGGAAATTGATAGGATATTTAAATTATAAAATATTTGCTTAGTAAGAAATTGATAGGTAATTTTTTACATATTCTATTTGTAGAAAAGTGGTCAGAAATTTTCGACGAATTTCCTACTATTATCACAGTAAAATTTTTTTATCGATTTCCTACCATTTTCTGATCAGATTTCCTACAAATACTTTTTTGGTGAATATTGGTAAGAAAATTTTGACCGTTTTGGACGATTTTTATCATAAGAAATTTCTTATCAATTTCCTACCATTTCTAATTTTTGTCATAAATTTGTAGGAAAATGATAAAAAACATTTCCTACTAAAATTTTCGTAGGAAAATTCATAAGAATTCAACATGTTTTTTTGTAATGTAATAGTAAAAAAAACTAGGAATTGAGCTTCGGAAGTTTCGTGGATAGTTTCTTAAGCTACACTACTTTTGCAAAAAGTTTTTGGAAATCGTTTTTCAATTTTAGATGTACGGTACCGTTACTCTAAGTTAGCCATTGAAAATAAACACATCAAATACATGTAACGTATATTAAAACTTCATTTATACATATGTTTTAAACTAATTTAGTATGTAGATTTTTTCTTTTCGGCACTAACTAGTATGTAGATATATTAGATGAAAGTTATGAAAATGGACGTACTTTTGTTTGCGAGTAAAAGTGACTCAAAGCATCCCCATTTTTGTGGGATCTATTCATTTCATTTGAAGCAAAATGGCTCTGACCATTGAATCAGCCAATCTGTTGAAAAACAATAACAAATGACAGAGCACTCAAAAGTATGTTATCTTTTGATGAAAATTCCATATATCCGACCACGATTATATTACATGAAGAGAAAAACTATTCTTATACATTGAAGTTATTGTTTTTTTGTCACTTGTTATTTTATAGTACATAAAAGAATAAGGTCTGTAACCAAATGGCCGACCAATGTATCTTGGTTGGTGGATTTTCACATTGTTATGTAAAGTTTGGCGACGTGACTCAACCATAAAGATGAGAATATATAATAAATTTGTTCAAACTCCATTCTTGTTATTTATTATTTACATGGTCCCCGTATATATTACTTCTTTTTGTATGGATTTTATTCATTTATTAACATGTACAATGCAGACAATAACTTCTCCCTATAAAAGCTCATTCGAGCAAGTCTCTTCACCCATCAAATCATTTATATTCCAAAGCTTTCTGCCCTGTTCAAAAAATCACACTCTCTATCTCGACTCTATCTAAATTATCTTTCTAGAAGATTCGTAACTCGAGAAAAATCTAAGACAAGTTTTTTGTCAAGAGATTCGTCGTATTAAATCTCACCATCTTTAGTATTTGAGAGTACTAAATCATTGTTACATATCAACCGGTCTGCAAACGGATATGGAGAGCATCATGAACATGAAGAGAAAGGAGAAGAAATCACAAAGTAGAAGACTCGGGAAGTATCTCAAAGAACAGAAAGCGAGGATTTACATCATTAGGAGATGTGTGATGATGCTCCTATGTTCACGTGATTGATTCATTTATTCATTAACAACACATATACATGCATGCTTATGTACGTGTATGTGTGTGTGTGTGTGTGAGAGAGAGAGTATGCAGAAATCAGAGGCAAGCTAAAGGAAAGCATGTCAATGATAAAAATTTAGATTGCTTTGTTTTGCCTTGTCCTATATGTAAATACACTATTAGAAGCCAATGATCATGATTAGAAGAAAGTATTACTTTATGCAGTCGTGTTACGATGTCAATCACACAATATCAGCGTTCATTACTCAATCACAAAGAGATCGGCCACAGTGTGAAGATTAATTCACATTCATTTCTAGTTATCCCGTACGATTCTCCCGATCTAAATCGGTTTTACATGAAGAAGATTTTACTCAACATGTTCTATTCGATACGGGTAGGAGAAACGGTATTCTTTTCAAAAAAAAATATTAATAAAAAATCACTCTAAAGACAAACGGTTTTATACCACCAAACTAAAAAAACTCCCTTCTTTTTTAGGTTATATAATACGAAACCACTTGTTCTTCTCTGTTCTTATTAAGTAGTTAGGTTTACGGCTCCGATCAGTGATCACAAATTGACATCTTTTACAATCAGCTTCGTAATAACTCATCGAATTAGTCAAGACGTGGAATGACCCAAAAGAAAAAAAATATCCATTCAAATGATGAAACGACAAAATATATGTATATATATATATATACGACTGGTGCCAAAAACTAAGATTATATATATATATACTATATACTCGTCCTAGATGTAAATATCACTTACTGTTTTTCTTTAAGAGAAATTCTTGAAGGTTGATTATTTTTAAGCTGAAATCTCTATAAAGTTCCAACTCAAAACGAAGAGAGTACAAAACAACACATGATCCATGATTTTCATGTAGGAATTACTAAAAACAAATACACATATTTCTAGGTTTTTGATACTTTAGAGATTTCTGAGTGCTATATACATGTCCTAGAGTAAAAACTCATGAAAATTTTATATAAACTTTTGTAGAACATTATTTGTGCAAAATTTTTTTTAATCAACAACTGAATTTTAGAATAGATTACATTTTCTGAAATCCCTCACCAACTTTGTTTCTTACATGGATTTTAGAATAGAGACAAAGTTGGTAAGGAATTTCAGAAAATATAATCTATTCTAAAATGGTACATATATCAGATTAACCAAAAAAAAGATTAATCTAGTATTCATCTTCAATCCTCCCTTTTCACTCCATCATTTTCACATTAGGAAATCAGATATTCATTAACTATATATCAAAAAGATTTCATTAACATTCAAGAAATGAAATAACATCAGAAACAGCATGCAGTAATGGGAAATTAAAAACATCCCAAATTTATTAAATAACTCCAACAGAGGATTATTACAAAAAAAACTGAAAGTTGTTAGGTGTTCTTGTTCGGCCTATGATTCACATTTATGATTATGACCATATATCTCTTTATGTACGTGCGTGTGTATATATACATTTTAATATTAATTTTGTAATATTATTCAAAACAAAATTGAACCTGTTGCATGGAGTCTTGAGCTGAAGCAGCAGCATCTTTGGCCCTATCCATCATACCACTTGCCTTCTCCTGCATTCACACATTGTTAACACATTTATCAATATACATTTCGCCAAAATTAAATTCAGTTTAACAAACTTGTTTACAGAAATAAATACATTTCAATTCTATGTATTTACGTGTAGGTCTCTCATAGATAGCATTTATCAACATATAATTAATCTCAACGAACAAAAAAACAAAGAATTGACTCAAATGAATTTGCAAAAATCTTAATTTCATATAAGATTTAGTGTAAGAGTTAAGAGAGAGACCTTAGTCTGGCCAGTGGCTTGACCGGCTTGGTAGCTTATGTTTTGCTTGTTGTCTACTATTTTCTCTCTTGCTGGTTTTTGCTTAAACTTAATGTGATGCTTTCTTTGATTGGTTGTTTGTGTTCTGATGATGATATAATAATACTTGAGTTTTGGGGTTGCTATAAATAACCCAAGGGACGTGCTTGGGTGCCTCCACGTGTTGCATCTCTTGATACGTGGCGCGTCCACGTGTTAGTTTAACCGTTTGACCAGGATATAAGAGCATCTATAATGGTGAACTTTTTATGGGGTTCACTTCAATTTTTTTATTAATTAAATTTTGAGAAGAGAGAGAATGTAAAAGAAGAGAGAAAGTCGAAGAAAAGAAGAAGAGAAGAGAGAGAAAAAGAGAGAAAGAGAAAGAAGATGGAAGAACAAAAAGCTCAGCCAATAAAATTATGACACGTCGCGTGAACCCCTTCTTAAAATCTTAAAATCGTTTCTAAAAACTCTAAATTAAGACCCATTTTATAAATATTGAATTTTATTCATTTATTTTTAATGAAAAAAACCCATGAACCTCTCTTTTAAATACTCCATTACAGATGGTCTAAGCCTCTTACGTACGTGGTTTTTCTCAGATCCCTGATTCGGAAACGACACGGTTCTACTTCTTGGGCTTAGGCTTGTATTGGACGAACGAATTATTCTTTTGTTGCTAGATGATAGGATTTCTAGTGAAAGAAAAAGATTTTCTCACTCACTAATCAAGATTTACAATCTTTTTTTCGCTCATTTTTTTTAGTTCGACATTCATCTTTGGGAAAAATGTCATAAAAAGCACGAACTTTCAAATTTAGGCCATTTTAAGCATGAACTCTAAGGTCGGCCATTTGAGGCTTGAACCTTCGTTGACTTTCCGTTTAAGGCATAAAAAAAAATTGACTCGGCCAAATCGAACACAACGTTAAATCGCGTAACAGAGAAACTAAACCTCGTTAAGCCGACGTTAATGTCTCTGTTAGTTACTAAACACCGACGTTTTAAGCCTAAAATCCCCTAAATCCAACCTCAAATCCCTAAATCCCCAAATTCTCTCTCAAATATCATCTTCCTCTCTTGCCAATTGAAGCTCGTTTCTTCATCTTTTTATCAAAGCTAAACGCAAGCGAACCTGATTCCTTCATCTTTTACAGAGATAAGCTGCAAATCTGGGTCTTCTTCCATTGTTGATGATGATTTACGCGGCTTTCCATCAAAGTGTCATTGTGGAAGAGGTGTTGTCATCTACACATCAAGCACCGAAGAAAACCCAGGGAGACCCTTCTTCCGGTGTCCTAGAAAACGTCGGCGTTTAGTAACTAACAGAGACATTAACGTTGGCTTAACGAGGTTTAGTCTCTCTGTTATGCGATTTAACGTTGTGTTCGATTTGGCCGAGTCAATTTTTTTTTATGCCTTAAACGGAAAGTCCACGAAGGTTCATGCCTCAAATGGCCGACCTTAAAGTTCATGCTTAAAATGGCCTAAATTTGAAAGTTCGTGCTTTTTATGACATTTTTCCCATTCATCTTTGGCAAGATAAATCATCACTTTTTTTGGTTAAATATATTTATACTCAAAACAATCATTATCTTTCTGCTTAATTTTCCCCAAAAAGAAAAAAAAAAACAGATGGGAAAACTAGAAAGTACGCATAAATTTGAATTTTGAAAATAAAATATCAATTTCGAAAAAGGAATCCAACTTGTGCTCGGAGATTTCCCTTCTTCCCCAAATTGAACCCTGAACATACCTTACCGATCGAGGAAAACTAAACAAAGGCGAAAACTTTGATCGCAGGTTCCAAAAATGGGAGTCATTGAGATATGGGTGGCCGAATTCGTCCTCCGTCGCCACCAAAATCCTAGGGTTTACGCTACTAGCCTCTTCTCGGCTCTGAAATTGGACGACTGTCCAAAGCTCAAGACTAGTGCCGTGGTGCGGGACATGTCGAATTCGTTGATTCGAGGTCAAGTCGACGAGAGAATGCTGGATCTTCTCGAGGTTCTCGAGAAGCTGCAGGAGGATTCGGTAACCATGGAGTCTCTCAAGTCGGCCTATTGCTGGACGGCCGTCGAATGCACGCTTAGATTCATGTGGCCAGAGACTGCTTCGGATGGTTTCTTCGGCGAGGCCCTCGAGAGGATTTGGGGGAAGCGGATTGGGATTTTGAAGGTGAGGGAGAGCGATCTGGTGACTCCTGAGTTATTGAAGTGGGAGAGTGATCTAAAGATGGCCGTTGAGGAACCTGACATGTACCAGAAGATTCGTGAGACTAACATCAGGTACAATGCCATCTCTCATCTCAATCAGCTTCTCAAAGAGCAGTGGGCTCTACTTGGTTGTTCCTCTCTTGAGTTAGAAGCTCGAAAATGGTTTCTTAAGCGCAAGGATCCAAATGCTGCCCGGGAAAGAGGTAAGCATTACGGATACAGTGGGGAGGAAGTTAATGACGTTGAAGATACGGTGAATGAACAAGAACAAGAACGTGAGCCAAGTCTTGATACGGTGAATGAACAAGAACAGGAACATGAGCCAAGTCTTGATAAGGCGGACATAACAGTGGCTCGAGAGCTTAAGGATTGTTTGTTAGAGATCATTCAAGGACTGGTGGAACCTTCCACGAGGCAAGGGCAAGAAAACAACAACGCAACTGGCCTCTCCTCAGTTGATGTCTCTCCTCAGCCAGATCGGGCAAACAGGACTGAAACAGGAAGAGGTCGAGCAGAAGATAGCCAGGGAACATCATCGTCATCATTGTCTGGGAGAGTTCGGCCTTATCTACCAACCCCGAAACCTCTGAATGTATCATCGTTGAAGAAAGATAAACCGGCTAAAACGGGTTTCAAAAGGCCAGTGAGACACTGGACGCCTGAAGAAGTGCAAGCTTTAAGGGATGGAGTGAAAGAGTATGGAAAATCATGGAAAGATATAAAGAAGTCAAACCCTCTTGTATTCGCTGCTAGAACTGAGGTGAATTTGAAGGATAAGTGGAGGAATTTAATCGGTCGCTAGTTTGAGTTCTTGGATTTCTTTTTTGTCTTTTGTCAAAGTAGAACTGAGGTGATTTTGAAGGATAAGCAGAATATGTTTTGTAAGAGTAGTCGCAGATGGTCGGAGGGATGCAAGAGTAGAAAATCTAAGTCTGATGTTGTCTCTTGGTTGTAATAGCAAGTTTACGTAAGAACAGATGCTTCGTAATTTCGCTCGTAACTAATGTTGTCTCTTGGTTGTTATGTTCTTATACTTTTTGTATTTCTAAGCAAAACATGATTCAGAACTGACGTTTTTTCCCCCTTCAATCGTGGACAGAAAAACATCGACAAGAGTAATGTATAAAGAGGATAAACATAAATAGCAACATAATCGTCTCACATATATAATTATAAAGACCAAAAGAAAACATGAACACACACTTGCTTGAGAAGAGACTACGTCAACTTCACAAGTCATTATTCATTAGAACATATTATTAAAAGAAAGCTCAAAAATAGTTTAGATAAAAGTTCTGCTAGATTCCCTCGTCCTTCTCGTCCTCGCTGCTGCAGCTATTGTTGCTGCTCCAGTCACACTTCAAGGTAGATCTAGGCGACCCACAGTACTTGCCAAGCTTCTCAAACGTCTGATACATGACTGTTCCACTCTCTTCTCCTAGTGACTCAAATGTCCTCTCTCTGCACCCATAATCTTCCAAGTCCACACTGATCTCCGGCTTGTACGCCTTCACTCCAATGCTCGAGTGCACAGCTACAGAGAATTGCTTAGGCTCGAAGCAAGACAGAACCCTTGTCACCAGCTGGCTCAGGTCTATAGTGTTGAAGTCATAACCCACAGCTTCGAAGCTCGCGTAGCTGAACCCATCCTCAGGGGTCACATGGATAGTGGAGATCGCATCTCCTTCAATAGAGTTCATAGAGTAGCCACAAGGCTCGAATTCGAAGTCGCAGATCTGGGACTTGGGGAGGATCTTTCTGATTCCAGAGTTGTCAGTCATTGATCCGGTCTCGCCAGTTTCATTCTTGTAGAAGACAGAGGCCTTCTCTCTGTCTAGACCAGTCATGCACATCTCGAGCGTGTAGACATTGTTGTTGCAGTTGCTCGAGGACTGGGCAGAGGCAGCATAGACATGCCATTTCTTAGTCTCATCATCATTGCCCATCAAGTAGGCTACGCTGTTCAGGCCAAGCTTAGAAAAGTGCCCATCAAGAACAGAGACTTCTTCAGAGAAGCTCCGGTGGGGAAACGGCTGGCCTCCGGGGCAGAGGAAGGAGCCACGAGTGTACTTGACAGACTTGACACTCAGAGAGAGCTCACCGGCCAGCTTAAGGAGCGGCGGGATAGAGAGGAGGAGCTTCGTGGTACCACAAGTCTTGATGATGACTTTGTATGGGTAGACAAAGAAGCTGGACTCAGAGAGGACGTACGAGTCCAATTGGTCGTTGGAGAGAGACGAAACGATCGTGCATGCAGCAGGAGTGAGAATTTCGTCCAGCTGGGACTTGGTCAGAGCACGGAGTCCCAAACCCTTGGAGTCTTGAAAGATGCTTGGCTCAAAGAAAGATACTTTGAGCCGCTTCTCGTAACCTTCGAAACCGATTGCAGATAAGGCCATCTCGCCTTGTTGTTGGAGGAGAGAACGATTGGATTTGGGAACCAGCAGAAACGGAGCTTTGAAAAAGGTAAATTATAAACTGGAAATTAAAGAAAGCTATAACTATATTAGGAGACTCGGTGCACGCTACAACTCAGGATGGCCTCTTAGCGCACTGCAACAAAGATAAAAGAACACAAACAATGCTAAGAAACTTGATACTGAATATATTGAACAAAACTCATAAAATGTGAATAGAGGAGGAAACTCACGTTGGAGTAGACAGAAGATTTGAATTTCTTGATTCCACCGTTTGGACGAACGTCTTCAATGCTGTAACCGAGGGGAGCTTCGTAAAATAAGGAACTACTACTGCTAGACTTCTTATTACCACCTTTCGACTCCATCATAATCTCATTCACGCTCTTCTGTAATTACATAAGACACACAAAACGTTAGATAACAAAAGAGGACCCAACTTCAACACAGATAATTACTGATCAATAATAATTTCAACTCCTCATTCAAGCAATAATTAAGCATATCGGTTCATCAGACATGATCGGATTGTTTCGTCAGATCTAGAGCCATGAGAGCCTATGATTAGGGCTAATCCTTAGAAACTAAGCCTAAGACGGTTTCTTATTTCTATAAATCACACAACGTCAATCGAAACCTTAGTCGTTCGATCTGAATGTAGAATCCCATATGGGCAGAATCAATTATAATATGCATTCGAATATCAATCTAGATCAGAATTATGAATATTTTAATTTTTTTTAAAAAACAAAGATAATTTGTGATCGGTGTAAATCAATCGAAAGCGTAGGTCAGACGATAAGAGTACTTACATAAATATGAATGTAGATCTAGACCACGAATTATGAATCCTTATTTCCAGAAACTCCTTTCTCCAGATATCAAACGAAACCCTCAAACCTGAAACCAACACAACCAAGAATTCTTCGGTCAGAAAACAATTTCATAAGAAGAACAACGATCAGATCTACGAAAGAAAAATTGAGATCTATATATTGCAAAAAAAAAAGCTCACCAGATCCAGATGTTTCAGAAAACCGCTAGACTTTGAATAGAAAAAACTCTTAACAATTTCGAAAAGAGAAAGTGAGAACCCTAATTTGAGAGAACGATTATGATGATTTGGTAATGATGAGGCAATGAGAAGCGTTCGTGAGGAGAAAAGAAAGGTAGAAAGAGTCCTTTATATAAGCTCTAGGGCTATCTCCCGCCGAAAAATTACGTGTTTACCCTTAAACCTTAAGAAAAGGTTTCGCGTTAATTTGCGTGAAGCTCCCTGAACCGTTCATTTTATTTATTTATTTTCCAACAATTTGCCGTTTTCAAGGTTTTACCAAAATTACCTTTAAACCCCCTTTTTGAAAAAGAAAATGTGGAAACGGTAGGTGCTTGAATCACGATTCCTGACCACAGAAAAATAGCAACAATCAAAACAAATTAAATTTATTTGTTTTCCTGCCACTTGTTTTGAACATATTTTTGACATTATCTTAGCATAACAACATTAGTAGATTGGCCGACACGCTATTAAAAATACTAAAGAGAGAGAATTAAAAACAACCAATCAAATAATGACACTTGTAAAGATACGTGTATCGTTTGAGCGGATAACCCGAGGTGTGCTGTCACGTAACGTGGGCCCAGAGAATCAAATTCTATTTCTTCTTCTCAAAGGCCCTCAAGTCTCAACTGCTCCGCTAGACGACAAAAAGGACCCCTTCCCGTGACTCACTCATGACTCATGACACATGATCCCATTTGTCAAAAGTTCGAACAACATAAAAAAATTGCGTAAAAGTAATCAACATTTGACCTTCATGTAAGTTATTCTACTAAAAAAGTGGAATGATTAACATGTAGTATTTAGATTTTGTACAAACATACAATTTTTTCAATTAGGAAAAGTCGAACAACTAAAATGATTTACCTTTGACATTAATAATGAGATTTCTCTACAAACACTACAACAACAAATCTCTATCTATAATACCTTCTTTACCAGAAATTTCTTGAAATCGAAACGATATAAAGTGATTCCTCCCCCCAACTTGACAAATATGATGAAAGAAGAATATATTCCAAAATCCAAAAAGATAAGGATGAGAAAAGAATTCGAATCCAAGCGTCTGGTGGTTCAGGCTACTGCCAAACCGATTTTCTTACGGTTGAACCGGTTTGCCAATAGTCTTCTCATAATCCTTTTTCAGTTCTTCCAAACGCTTTGATACCTGGGATGACCAACTTAAACCATTAATGCCAACTCTAACTAACTCTAGCAAAGCTCAGAAAAAACAGAATTAACAGCATCATCAATGCCTAAGCTGTTCAATTGGGGTACGTTAAAATTTAGTCAGTCAAGTTAATTATGTCGATATCTAAAATCTGATTCATTCACTGTGTGTTATAAAATATAAGTTCCCGTCTCACATATCTCTCGGAAGTTTAAATGGAAGATAAAGGAGAAAGCTTTTTTAACTCTAGCAAGAGAAAGAGAACCTTAATGGAGTAAGCCAATGGAAGCAAGGTATCTGGATTCATTGCATCTTCAGGGAAATTTTTCAGAGCATGTATGAGTTTTTCAAACGGTAATTTTACCTGGAGAATTCATATATAGGATACAGTTGATAAGAAGAAAGCTCAGTTTAGCGAATTTAACTTACTGACTCGTAAGAAAAGCTCCACTCACCAGCTCATCTTGGCAATACTTCAACAATGCTAAGCCGACTTTGAACACGATTTTAACGCCCTAAAGAAACAATGACCAAAGAAGATAACAGAATATTACAGCAAAATACTGAAAGAAGATTTTGAAGAAAGTGAATTAATTTTACCTCAGAGAGAAACACATCCCATATCCGTAGAGCCAAAGGGAAAGGAAATGAATAAGAGAAGACGGTGATGAACCATTGACTTGCATACATACTCGGATTGATCATTTCTTCAGTGAAATGTTCTCCGAGCTTCGGGATTAGCTCTCGAACCAAGCTTTCTAACTGAAACAGGTATTGCTGTACAAGAGGAAGCCCTGCCTACATTACACACAAGTGAGATCAATACAATATCCTTATATGTTGGATACTCCATTCGAAATAATTGACAGATAATTTTTCAAAGGTGGTCACAAATTCTAATTCACGCAGAAAAAGAAGGGTTTTTTTGGGCTCTCAACTATAAGTCGTTTTCTTGCAACGATTAAAAGACTTACATGATACAATCCTTCCATTGGAGCATGAACAGCTCCTTTGAGTAATGCAACTAGTAACCAGAACGCATCTTCTTCGCTCATATAAAGAAGCAACAGACCGGCTATAAAACCCATCCCCTGCAGTTACAAAAATCATGAATTTTGAGTAATATGGCAATAAAATGAGACACAAAGAGTTATATCTCAGAAGACAGACCTGAACATATCCAACATCTCTGTCATAAACTGAGTACGCCTTAAGGACATTGTAGAGCGATCTTTGTCCAGGTCCATGTCTCTTCTGAAAGAAAACATGGGATGGGAAAGTACGGGATATGTCTCGAATGATATCAAGTTCTGATGCCGATGTCTCATAAATCACCAATTGCTGCAGAGAAGTATTGATAAATTTATCAGAATATGACTCAAATAAAAAGCAAACAATGTAAGCAAAAGGGAGGAATTACCTCATAAACACCAGGATTCATAAGCAAAAGGTCCCGGCTTCCTGAGATTAACTGCCAAACAAGACCTCTAAGACAATCCGGGATCCCTTTTCGTATACGCCTTTTGACAACATTAGGTTTTCTTCTAACATAATGCTTCCAGTCACTACCTCCAATCCCAATCATCTTCCTCCATTTTCTCACCTTTCTCTCCTCTCTAGAGCCAACAAAAAAAACACACCCTCACTGTTATCTCTCTCTCTCTCTCTCTGAGAAACTCTATTCAATTTTTACTCAGGACATACCTGTCATGGTCAGTGGATGATGTTGATCTAGCCTTGCTGAAGCGTTCTGGCGAGTTACCATGTTCTTGCTTCAGGAACCCGAATCTATCAACCGGGACACGAGGAGTGACTGGTCCTGACTCACTGTCAATTTCTGTTTTTTTTCTGCTCATTCTACTAACCTGATGATGAGACTCCTAGCATTGGTTTTACACAACTTTCAGTCTCCTTCTTCATAAGATTGTGATCAAGCTGAAAAATGTCAAAATCACAGATATTAAGAAAAAAATTTCCAAAAACCGTAGAGAAGTGAAATTTATAGACAGAATCCTAGATTACAAAACCGGACATGACATTAAAATGATTCCTGGTGATATATTTGACCGCAGAAATGTGATGTAGAAGGGACGCAAAATCCATGGACATCAGTTCTTGCTACTAAAAGAAGACGACCTACAGACTAGAGTGAAAGAGGAACAAAATTTAACACTCGGTACCAACGTTTGGTTGGATGGAAAGATTCGTACCCAAATCGTCGATGCTTCCGATGAAATAAGACGAGCCAAGGAATTGAAAATTCGAAAAGGAACTGACGATAAGATTACGAAACCGGTAGAAATACAACGTTCGTTGGAGATCACATCCGCTTACGATCCAGATGTAGCAAGTCTTCGAATTTTTCCATCCGCTCGGAGAAAGTGATTTTTTTTTCCTCTCCCGAGAAAATGTGAGACAAAAAGAATGAAACAAAGACAGAGTGAAACCAGCACGATACGACGCCGTCAAGACTATTATTATTTAATCATCTTTATTTGTGTTTTGATTCAAAAAAAAATAATCTTTGACGATGTGATGCCAACTTGCTAAAGTTTTGTGCCAACTAACACCTGATTTCTAAAATGAGTATAATTAAGGACGACTTGAGTGATAGAGATTTCTTCACGATTTAGACTTTCATTCATAATTTTAAAATAAAAGAACAAGGAATGAAAGAGTACACGACTGTATATACACATTGTTAACCAGTTATACATTGTTCTACAGATTCATTGATTAACTTACAATATTTCATTATTTTTGTTCAAAGACGATAAACAAAAATAACAACTTTAAATATTTCTTGAAACTCAAATGAAAAGAGAAGTTCACTTATTGATTTTTGACAACGTTGTTTTGTTTTATTTTGTTTTTATTAGGAGAGGTCTATCGTTAAATTCTACTAAAAATCGAAAAATTGAAAACATATCTTTTTATAAAAAAATTAGTGAAATTGCTGTGTCAAAAACAAAAGTCAAAAGTGTTTAGAGCTTTTGCGAGCTCTCTTATCCTTTCAATTGAAGAGTCATCAGCTTCAAGACGATAACTTTTCCAATTCCATCTCCAATTCAATCTTGTCACGAGTCTTGCGCTTGGTGGGTTTTCGTAAGATTTTGGTTGTTTCGTTTTTGCCCAATTATGAACAACGCATGATTCAGTTTCCAGGAAAGAGAACCCATGGCTACTTTTAATGTTCTCTGTAGTAATCGTTTTCATCTCAAAGGAGGCAATTTTCCGGAGAAATCTAGCAGAATAGTATCTTCGCGGTGTAGTGAGCTTAATATTTGTGTCGCTAGGACGAAGAATCAGTCGTTTGGTTGCAGGAGACTTGGTGGGTTTTTGGAGATTGGGGAAACTAGATCAGGGTTTAGACTTCACGGCGATTCTCGGAATGGGTTTGCTTGTAATAGCGAGATTAAGCGACTAGTCAATGGTGATTACGGAGATAAGGAGACTCGTATTGGTGAAAATGGTAGAAACAAAGAGAAGAGAAGAAGATTTTCTCTTAGGCTTCGACCTAGATTACGATTGTTGAGCATGCGACTTGGAAGATTCGATTTGAGGGCATCAATTGAGGATTTCCGGTTATTTTTGAGAAAGAATATCAAAAGAGTGATCCTATCTACTGGTGTGGCTGTTATCTTCGGACTGTGTTATGTGTTCTTGAGGTTAACCGCTGTTCCGTCTCCTTCCATTGTTCCTTACTCAGACTTTGTAACGAATCTTCGAGGTGGTTCCGTTTCAAAGGTTTTGCTCGAAGAAGGTTCTCGTCGAATCTACTACAACACTAATGATAATGTTGAAGATGATCACAAGTCTGAAACTTCAGAAGAACCTGCGATCCAAGTGGAAACCGCGACTGAAGCTACTGCCAAAGACGTTATTATGCCGCGAAAGGTTCGAGCTTTGACTCCTGTGTGGAAGTATGTGACGAGAAAAGTAGATCACGATGAGAAGTTTCTTCTTAGTTTGATGAGGGAGAAAGGGATAACTTATAGTTCAGCTCCTCAGTCTGCATTGATGTCCATGAGAAATACTTTGATAACAATCATTTCTTTATGGATTCCTTTAACACCTCTTATGTGGCTTCTCTATCGGCAACTCTCTGCATCTAACAGCCCTGCGAAAAAACGACGCACTAAAAATCCCACTGTTGGATTCGAGGATGTTGAGGGCGTGGATTCTGCTAAAGACGAGCTCGTGGAGGTAAAAACAAAGTTTCTGTAAAATGCGATGTTTTTTTTTTGGATTTACGAGTGAGTGAATACAAACTAGGCTTGATGTTTTCTGCTATGTTTTCTTTGTAGATAGTCTCATGTCTTCAAGGAAGTATAAACTACAGAAAACTAGGAGCAAGATTACCAAGAGGTGTGCTTTTGGTTGGTCCACCGGGGACCGGTAAAACCTTGTTGGCTCGGGCTGTAGCTGGAGAGGCGGGAGTTCCGTTCTTCTCTGTTTCGGCTAGTGAGTTCGTTGAATTGTTTGTTGGAAGAGGTGCAGCGCGAATCAGAGATCTTTTCAATGCGGCCAGGAAAAACTCACCTTCCATTATATTCATCGATGAGCTCGATGCGGTTGGAGGAAAACGAGGGAGGAGTTTCAACGATGAACGTGACCAGACGTTAAACCAGGTAAAAAAAAAAAATCAACATTTTTAGAAACATTTTTAACCATGTAGATGCCATAACTGATTGATATATGTTTGAAGCTGCTTCCTTTCTTTTGTAGCTGCTTACTGAAATGGATGGTTTTGAGTCAGACACAAAAGTCATTGTAATTGCAGCAACTAACCGACCAGAAGCGTTAGACGCGGCTCTTTGTCGGCCAGGAAGGTTCTCAAGAAAAGTGGTGGTTGCAGAACCAGACCAAGAAGGCCGTCGAAAAATCTTGGCCGTACATCTGAGAGACGTGCCGCTAGAAGAAGACGCATTTCTCATATGTGATCTCGTTGCTTCTCTAACTCCCGGATTCGTAGGTGCTGATCTCGCCAATATTGTCAATGAAGCTGCATTGCTCGCTGCTCGTAGAGGTCAGTCTTCAAGAGACCTTATTCATCAACCCTTATATAATTCATATCTTGTTGTGCTTCCCGGATAAAAAAAGGCCGCATATGCGCGGTTTCTCGATCGTTTTCAGGCGGAGAAGCGGTGGCACGGGAAGATATAATGGAAGCGATAGAGAGGGCGAAATTTGGGATCAATGATAAGGAAATGAGACCAAGGACTATCGGAAATGAGCTCAGCAGGCTGTTCCCATGGATGCCATCTTTGGTTGGGAGGAATGGACCAGATCAAGGCGGTTTACAAGGACCGTTAGGTTATCAAACTCTCAGCTAAACCATGACCCAGACTAACCGGTTAGAGAGAGCAAATCTATTGATACCAAGTTTCCTTGTAGTATCTGAAATTTTTGGAGATTGTGCGTTTTTTGCGCTCCGATCTCTGTTTACAAAAGACCATAATATAAACATTGAATATGGTTTTAGTAATATGTACTCATTAGTTTACCTTGTTTCATGCTGATCCAATAATCCAAAATCTTCCTAGGATCTCTCTCTCCCCCTAAAATTAAAATAGGCATTCCTAATATTTCTTACTATTTTCTTTAAAGTTGTAATTTTTTTGGGGAATTATCGAGATGGAATTTCCCGGGACAAAGTTACGAATAGGACAAGTGATTTTTCCTCTTATTCTTCTACTTACAATAGCTCCAATCATTTATCTTCTTTTTGGTTATCCTCTCTATTACTCACCATCATCAATTTACAAACATGTATCGAATTCACCATCGAAAAACTCTTTTCCATCGCTTTCTTCATCTAGTTCATCACAACTAGTGTCATCATCAACGGATCATAACAAGACATTACCATCATTGTACGACAATAACAATGATTATGACGACACATATCATGTTTCTAAGCCCTCATCATCTTTGCATACTGAGTACAACCAACATTCCATATCATCATCATCGTCGAATGTTGATGATGATCATCAAGAAACTGATCATAAACCGAAGAGATCATGCGATCTATTCTCCGGCGAGTGGGTCCCAAACCCTGAAGCTCCGTACTACACAAACACGACATGCTGGGCGATACACGAGCATCAAAACTGCATGAAGTTTGGGAGACCTGATTTAGGTTTCATGAAATGGAGATGGAAACCAAGTGGGTGTGATCTCCCTTTGTTTGATCCTATCGAGTTTCTCGAGTTGCTTAGAGGCAAAAGCATGGCCTTTGTTGGTGACTCCGTTAGCAGAAACCATGTCCAGTCTTTGATCTGCCTACTCTCTAGGGTATAATGCTTATTCATCAGTTCATTAAAGTTCGTATGCGTACGTGTTCGAGTTTTTCTAGTGGTCAATATTGCAATACTTTGAACATGAATAAACAACTATTCCCACCAAGCCACCAAATTAAATAACACTTAAATGAGAAAAAAAAAAAACAACCTATTTTTTTTTTCAGGTGGAATATCCCGAGGACGACTCAAGACAACAAGACTTTAACTTCCAAAGATGGAAATACAAAACGTACAACCTAACAATTGCCACATTTTGGACAACCCATTTGGTTCGGTCCGAAGAAACCGGTCCGGGCGGTCCGAATTCATTCTACAATCTCTACCTCGATGAACCGGATCCTTCTTGGGCTTCCCAAATCGTTGAGTTCGATTACCTCATCATTTCCTCCGGGCAATGGTTTTTTCGACCACTCTTTCTTTTTGACAAACAAAAAACGATAGGCTGCTTGTATTGTTACATTCCCGGAGTCAGAAATGTCGGGGCACATTTCGCGTATAGAAGAGCTTTAAGAACAACATTTAAGACAATCAAAGGGTTAGAGAATTTTAAAGGACAAGTGTTTCTAAGGACATTTGCACCTTCGCATTTTGAGGATGGAGAATGGGATAAAGGTGGAAATTGCTTGAAAACGCGACCATACAGGTATTATTATTTTTCTTGTCGCTTCGTTCAGATTTATCAGACGTTCGTTATTACACTAGGGATATCTTCCGAATTACAGCCAATTACTTTAGTCGGTTTAGCTCGGTTATGTTTAACTCAGTTTTATATTTGTTATTCGATATTTGCAAATCAAAACAAATACAAATAACCACATGCACATATATAAGTTTATTTTTGGTGTTCAGTTCGATTTGTTTGACTAGTTCTGTTTCTACAAGATTTATTTAGTTTGGCGTCTTGTTCAACCATTCGTTTTTTTTTTTTTTTAAGTTTCGTTGGTTCAGAATTAATAATTTCAGTTTGATTTGATTCGACTGTTCATTTATTTGGGTTTATTTTTGTTGTAGGAGCAATGAGACAGAGTTAGAAGGTATGAATCTAGAGACACACAACATTCAACTAGATGAATTTCGCATTGCGAAAAGAGACAAAAACAAAAGTAACGGATTAAAATTGAGATTACTAGATGTAACAAAACTAATGTTGTTAAGGCCAGATGGACATCCGAGCAGATTTGGGCATAAACGTGAAGATAAAGTTATACTATACAATGATTGTGTACATTGGTGTTTACCAGGCCCGATTGATTCATGGAATGATTTTTTACTCGAGATGTTGAGACGTAAATGAAACGTCTCGCCGTTTTCGTTGTGTTTAGAGACGTAAATGAAACGCTATAGAATTTTACCGGCGATCAATATTTCCGGTTACAAGATATCCAATACCGTGACGTCTCGCCGGAAAAACAGTAAACAAAAGGGTACACATAACCCCAACACCCACCGGAACAATGTCCAAAACATGTTTCGTCTCTTCCTCCGGCGACGGACAAAAGCAATCCGTTACATACTTATCTCTCAACGCAACCGCTCCAAACACTAAAACCGACAACGTGGCATGGATCCAATCAACGACCCGCATCCGATATTTGGCTAAATCGGGTAAACCCGACCCGGTAATGTCAGGGTAATCGACGACCCACATGCCTTTGAACGTGACGAAACCAAAGTAGATCGTTCCATCGTCGGCTTTAACGCTATCGGTGAAAGAGCTGACGAAGCAAGACGCGGCTAAGAGGAAGAGGAGAATAGCGGTTAGGAAACGAGTTGCGTGGTCGCAAACGCCGTTTGAAGTGAAAACGGGCGTTAAGAGTTGAAACGCGAGGAGTGTTCCCGTTGGGAGGAGGTTTGAGAGATTTGCTGCTGACGTTAGCGTGTTTGACATGGCTCGTTGAGACATTGACATCTGTCTTTTGAGCGCCGCGGGCTGTGTTTCTGACGGCAGCTGCTCGGAAAGGTCATCAGGCTCCGGCGCCGGAATATACGCGTTTCTTAGCCTAAGGCCGCTAGACATTTTCTAGAAAATATTTTAAATATTTTGTTTGTTTCTTTCCAATTTTGGATTGAGTATGGATGATTTTGGTGATGGTAATGATGATGATGATGTTTTTATAGATGCTAGTACGTAGAAACAGCTAATCATACATAAGTTTACGCAATTACGCATATTGATATATTGGATTAATATACACTTAGCTGCATGAATTGAAAAAGACTGCACCTAACTGAAATTCATTTTCTTTAAGTTAACATATTTTGATGATATATTAGTTGGAATTTAATTAGTGTTATCCAAATCCAAGGTAATATAAATGGAAACAAATGGAGAAAAAAGTGCCATGTATTTATTTATTTATTTTTTGTCATGGATAATTAATTTGCATATTTGGATACTCATTTTTCTGCAGAGACGCATGTTTTGATGAAAAACGAATCGAATAAAAAAAGGAACCAAATCCAAATTAGATTTTATCCACATCTCTAAACAAAATGAAACCTAACTGAAATTACCATTGTCTTATCCGTATCTTATTAATCGCTTCGATCTCGGTCAAATTTTATTTTGGTCCGGTTTAATATGAAATTGTAGAGTCTGAGGTGTTTATCGGATAGAAGATTCGGTACTAACGACAATGCATAACATATATATCAAACCAACACCATGTCTTATATTATAATGGAGAGAAATTTTGAGAAATATATATAACTGCATACGACGATTCAATTAATTTTAAAGTCCACAACAAACTCGCCACTCGCCAAACGTCGTCGCTTTTTTGGAAGATTCCTCTAGAGTAGGAAGAGTGGACCAAAGAGAGAAACCCAGAAAGGTCGAATCTCTCCGGCGAAAATAAAAAGAGAGAGTTTGAAGCGATCTCACTCATTGATGGCGGAAAACAGCGAAGATCCTCAGCGATTGAAGAAGATCGCGGCGGCAGCATACGACTACGACAACGACGCTCGATGGGCGGATTACTGGTCCAATATTCTCATCCCTCCTCACATGGCTTCTCGCCCCGAGGTCATCGAGCATTTCAAGCGCAAATTCTATCAACGCTTCGAGGTCCGTACTATTGCCTCTCGATTCTTCATCACTTCGAGTTTGAGTTTTGTTTTGTGGGCGCTTCTGGTTTGGGGATTCTGTGTGAACTTAGGTTTAGTAAGCGTGTTGCAGTTGGTCGATTTTACGATTTGGGAGTTTTTGATGTTATTTCTGCTAACTTATTAGTTCCTCGGTTTCATAATGATTAGGGGATTGAGCCGATAGGAGGGATTCTATTGAATTCTGTGCTTAATTTATAGATTCCAATTCTCTTTGGGTCTTGTGTATATTATATAAGAACCATGTGTTCATCTTTGCTATGCTTTTTTCGAAGATTTCGAACGTTTTTAATATCTTCTGAATCTGGGTGTTATACTGTCATGGACTTGTGTAGGATCCTGATCTTGTTGTGGAGCCTATGTCGACTTCGTCTTCGTCTTCGCAATCTGCCAGACCATCTGCTACATCTGCATCTGCGAATGCAAATGAACAAGCTCGTTCACGGAACTCAGGTGAACTTTTTTTTTTCCCTGATATTCTTGACCTTTCAGTTTATTCTACATGGGGTGAGCTTTCTTCTTATGACCAAAAACTAACTAAACTTTGTGCCTCAGGATCGGTTCCACGAACCACTGGGCCGTCTGCTACTACGACAGGTGCAAACCCAAGTTCGGGCCGCTGGGATCAGCAGACAATTCAGTTTTCTGTCAATGCTTGGGTATGATTATGTTTTCCTGCTGCAATTTCTATCGATGCTTCCTTCTTCATATTTTGTTGATCAGAATCACTCCTTATTCACTGAACTGCAGACTTAATTTCTTAAATCGTTTTTACCTTCTTCCCTGTGCCTTTTCCCCCCGTTCTTATAATCACTAGATTTTTACTAGACATATCTTTGAAAAAGATATAGCTCTTATTAGGGGGCTTTGATGTTTTAATCTGTGTGGTTCATCATATGAACTAATGAAGACTAATACGTTTTGTCTGGCATACTTCACCTTACACTTTACTATTCTTCCCTCGTCAAGTTTTGTAATCCCTATCATATTTTGCAGGTTTTTGTTATAGCTGTGCTGGCAGTGTTACCTCTAGTACCACAGAATCTCTCAAATAGGGCTTATCGTCTATCTTTCATGGGAACTGCGTGCTCATCTCTATACTCCTTGTACTCTCTTTACGGGGTAAGCCGTATGATCTCTCATTTATAATCTCTAGGATCCATACGACGTCGGATTTCCTTCGGTAAGCAGATTTTTGTTATCTGCAGAGGCCAAGGGCATGGAATATGCAAGGGCTGCAAGTTTATTTTCAGTCAATTGTCGGAGCAAAGGATTTCATCTATTTCATCTACTGCCTTACATTTGTCACTTCGCATCTCTGTCTCAAGTGTAGGAGTTGATTGAATTTTTTTTGTGTATATGTGTGTGAATTTCTTCATATGACATAAATTCTTATGACTAGTCTGAGTCTCTTATCAATTTGTCACAGTTGCTTTGATTCCCATCTTGTGTCGAGCACTTGAACAAGTGGCCAAGTTCTTGAGGCGTAACTTTGCTCGCTCCACCATTTACAGGTAGTTTGCATCCAGCTGATCCGCAGGTCTGATTTTTAGTAGTCGTTTTCGTATTGTGGATTCTTACTGATGCTTAACTCTCCCCTTGTGTCTTGTTTTGTAATGGTTATCAGAAAGTACTTGGAAGACCCATGTGTGTGGGTGGAGTCGAACACAACTACCCTCAACATCCTCTCATCGCAGGCTGAGATAGCCATTGGCTTCCTTTTGATCATCTCTCTGCTCTCGTACGCTCTTTCGTCCTTTTAGAAGCAATAATAGTTTATTGGCACTAAATTCATTAGAACCTTTTGAAATGAATTGAGTTCATATTTGAATATCATGAGTGCTCTGGTTAGAACTGCATTTTACTGGTTTCACTCATCTGATCAAAATTGTCATTTTACTTACTGCAGATGGCAACGCAACATCATACAGACATTCATGTACTGGCAGGTACGTCTATTCAAATGTCTATCTTGGTCTACTTTCGGGTCGAGTCATCACCATTTCTCTCTAAATGGCGAAGCATCTGCAAGTAGAATTCTTTGTTGAAACTTGATCAACTGAACATATATATATATATGAACTTATTTGTTCTTTATGAAATTATAAGAAATTGTTCGGAGCCATGCTAATGGTTCGGGGTATTCAATGGAGTATGTCATTCATAATAATTTCAGAAACGATTAATTAATATATATATATATATATATATATATATATGATTATAGGGAGGAACCACCGTATTTAATCAAACACCTTTTTTCTTTTGTTGTTGATCTTTTTCTTTGAAACGAAGGGTTACGCGGGCTAAGGCCATTAGGTCGGTAATAAGAAGAGTTTTTTGCTCCTTTATTGAGTTGAAAATCATGCGTTTATGTCATGAGAAACCGTCAAACTCCTTTTTTGTGGGTTGGATCTTGAGAGTTGTTATCATGAATAAGGGATAAGCCTGAGTTTTTGTTAATGTTGGCAGCTATTGAAGCTGATGTATCAAGCACCAGTAACAGCAGGTTATCACCAGAGCACATGGAGCAGAATCGGGCGGACGGTGAATCCGATTATCCAACGTTACGCTCCTTTCTTGAATACTCCGGTGACTGCCGTTCAGAGATGGTGGTTCAGGTGAAATTCAAACACTAAATGCAGAGTTGACTTTTAAAATCCTTTTTCTTTTGTTTAAAAAAAAAAAAACAAAAGGATACCACCAGGCTCTCACAGTCTTATTTTTCTCGTAACTCATCATATTTCAGCGTAAAGTAGATTCTTCTTCTCCTTTTACGTTTTCTTGGTTATGAAATATTATTGTTGCTAAAAAAGATTTCGACTTTCTTTTGGTTACTAATATTCTTTAGAGATATATACTTAAAAATATTGTCTTTGAAGGGGGAGAAAAAGAATTATAATTAGGATAAATCCAATTCAAATTATAGGAACAAGAGAGCTCATCATTGTTTTGATTAGATTGTCTTTGGTTGGTGCGCGTGCCACCGCTAAGTTTACCCGTCACGTTCTAAGGCGTGTGGGCCCTCTATTCCATGTGGCGTTTACACACAACTCTATTTAAAGTTTCGAGATTATCACACAAATGATTAGCAGCAGTAGCGTTTACATTAGCAGTTACTCTATTTACCGTTTCGAACGCAATTCATTATTCTCAACGCAATTATTGTATCACCTTTTTATTTTTGATATCGCCTTCAGAAACCGTTTATAGGTCGATAAACAATAAACTCAGGTGTACATAGCTAAATTCTCAGTAATATCGTTAAATAGCGATGAATTATGAAATAACCACCTCCCACAAATCCACTATAAAATACTCATCATTAGGATAGTATATTAATTAGTAGAGAAAAATTAAATGACTCAGTTAGGAAGCACAATTTTGTTATTCCCTCGTGATCGCACATGATTTTAAATAAATAGCTTTCTTTTTTCAAAGGGATGCTTTGAAATAATAAAACAGAACCGATAAATAAATAGAACCAAAGAGGAGGGAGAATCCGACATCCAATCATTTTCCGACCAATTTCACGGCGGACATGCAACCGTCTCCGGAGATTCGCCATGCGGACCGTTGCCGTCCGATGTCTTCAACGGCGTCAGAGTTCAAGGAGGTTGGCACAGCGGATTCCGACGAAATGGAAATGGCGCTGCTTGACGGCTTCAACAGGTTGTCTTCACCCGAAAAAGTTCGTCGGAGAGTCTCCGGGAAGTCATCGGCGGACGAATCGCCTCGAATTTGCCGGCAGCAGTCGTTGGGTCGCGACATCGGCCATGCGGCGGCCGAAACGTATTTGATAACTCGACTTAGCTTCAACCTTCTTGGATATCTCGGGTACTAATTTCGATTTTACCCTTCCTTTTCAATTTGATTACCACAGCTCCATGGACATATATCTTGTGGCATGGTGTCGTTATATTTTGTTCGTATGATTGTAACTTGCTCGACAGGGAATCATAATAAAAAAAATTCAAATTCTCTGTAATTGTTGTCACTCTAATCAATTTGATTTTGATTTTACAAGAGTTACTTGTCACACACTAAAGTTGTACATGTCAAACGTCTTCTGGATGAATTCTTACCACAATTTTTCTGTAAGAAGAGTTTGTATTTTATTGTTGCAAGTTTTAATGCAGGGTAGGTTACCGGTGGATCACAAGATTACTTGCTCTTGCTTGTTACGCAATGCTCCTCATGCCCGGATTTCTTCAAGGTGATGTGCCATGCAAGAAGGGTCTCTTGTTATTTATTTATTATGAAGCTGTTTTGTCAATTGTGTACATTTTAACAAGCTTGTTTGTTTTCTTTCTTCTTCTTCTTCTTCTGCAGTTGCATTTCTTTATTTTTTCTCATCGCAAGTTAGGAGGAGTATAGTTTATGGAGATCAACCTAGGAATAGGTAAAACAAGCATAATTAATCTTGCCTTCTCCCTTCACTCAATATATATATAGAGTTCCCAAATGATTCGTTTATATGGCAGGCTTGATTTGTACATACCCCCAACAAATGATGGCCTGAAGCCGGTTGTAGTTTTCGTGACTGGTGGCGCTTGGATTATCGGGTAATCCACACTCTTCCTCTACTTTGAGATTGTTTTAGACTTCCTTCTATGTAATTAGTTCGCTCGCTGTGGGTATACTAACTCATACTAGTCTGATAGATTTAGTATACAAATATTGCACAAAGGTTTATTCTTGCATGTATAGGTCTCTCTTATCGTGGTTAACTTTAAATAAAACGCATAGGATCCCTGAAGCTTCCTAATTTTACAAAGATAAAGTCGAATTCAGATAGTTTCATAGTTGACTCATCCTTTAGGTACAAAGCTTGGGGTTCTCTCTTGGGACTGCAGCTAGCAGAAAGGGATATCATTGTTGCATGTTTAGATTACAGGTAATTTAATCAGATTAAACAAACAATTCCTTAACCGTTTTAATCTAACAAATATCTTTGGTCCAGAAACTTCCCTCAGGGAACAATCAGTGATATGGTAAGCGATGCTTCTCAAGGAATCTCATTTGTCTGCAATAACATCTCTGCATTTGGAGGCGATCCTAACAGGTTGAAAACTCACTCACTCATCACTTTCTTTGGGGTTATGTATGTACAATTCTCTATATCTTTCACAGGCTCTGATTGTTTGTGTAGAATCTATTTGATGGGGCAATCAGCTGGTGCACATATCTCTGCTTGTGCTCTCATCGATCAAGCCATTAAAGAATCAAGAGGAGAGAGCATCTCTTGGAGTGTCTCTCAGATGAAAGCTTATTTTGGTTTATCTGGCGGGTAAGTATTCCTTGACTTAGCGTCAACAACTACCATGAAGCTTACGAACGGTTTTGGTCTCGGATCCATCCAGTAATCAGAATATCTTTTCACTATTTGCAAACTGGAGCAGGTACAATCTCTTTAATTTGGTCGAACACTGCCATAATCGGGGCCTGTATCGTTCCATTTTCCTAAGGTAATTCCTGCTTAGGCGCCATATGATCAGTCATGTTTGAAACTCTGAAAATGCCATTACTTGCTATCATATTTACTTCTCTGACATATAGCTTTGGGTGGTTCTTTTTGTTTGTTGATCAACTTTGCAGCATAATGGAAGGAGAAGAGTCATTTGAACAATTCTCTCCTGGAGTGAGATTGAAAGACCCGAGTGTAAGAAAAGCCGCATCTCTATTGCCTCACATTGTGCTCTTTCATGGATCCGAAGATCATTCCATCCCACCTGAAGCAAGGTTAGATCACCACGAATCTGACAAATACGCTAGTTATTAGTCTAATTAATACGTTTGTTGAAAACAGACGAATTGTGTCTTTCTTTGTGTAGCAAAACTTTTGCAGAAGCTCTTCGAGGTGTTGAAGTCAAAACCGAAGTAATTGTGTACAATGGTAAAACTCATACCGATCTATTTCTTCAGGTAAGCAATACTACCTAGATACATAATAGCTCAGTGTGTTTGTAAAACACATGCTGCATCTGGTGTATAATAATCATTCACAATTTGCATTGCAAGGATCCTCTGAGAGGCGGTAAAGACGAGCTGTTTGATCATATAGTCTCTTTGATACACGCCAATGACAGTGACGCTTTGAGAAAAGATGCGTTTGCGCTGCCGAGAAAACGGCTTGTCCCGGAGTTTTTGCTGAAACTGGCTGGCAAGGTCAGTCCTTTTTGAACAGACAAAACACTAATCTCCGATCTCAGTATACTTGTTGTTTGTTGTTTGTTGTTGTATGTGTTTCTTCTGCTTTGGTTTTGTTTATTATTGTATCAAATTCGAAATGTAGAAACCCTCACATGTCAATAAGATTTTAGTATAAGTATCTCTTTTCATAAGCAAGCCACATGAGTTATTTTGCCAAGCAGAGCGTTGTAAATTCCTCATATATCAATCAATGGATCCAAAAGAGTCGAACTGAAGCTATTATCATCACATTCAACGATCTGAATAACAAATCAAGTATATATTATTGATTGGCAGTTACAGTCACATGATATTATTTTATATAATGAAGAAGAAACTCCAACTAGTAGTGGTTCCTAGCACAATCTCGAACATAGTATTCTCAGGGGTGGGGGTGATCTTAACTATGTCATATATTTTTTTAACTCACACTCCCATTTCCCTTTGCTTGCTTCTGCTCTGCAATATGCTTGTGAACTCTCAGAGATTTACTTCTCATGGACTCTATTATCTTCTCTGTCTCCTCCACTGTCTGTTTTCCCAGGTTAACCTCCGTGAATCTAAACCATCCTCTAAATGACATTTTCCCAAAATCAACCTCTACCTTGTCTACAACACTCTTATTGCTGGATTCCTGCTCAGCCTTTTCCTCATCATCACATCCACCACCGTCTGATGTCTCGATACCAGCCTCCTCGCTCTTACGGTCTCTTCCCTCGTCGTCGATTGTATCTTGTAATTCGTCTGTCTCTCCGTCTTCTCTAACAGCACAGTTCAGGTCCTCTTCTCCTAATGTGCTCTTCCTTGACTCAATCTCCACCCTCTTGGATCCATCATCATCTTCTTCTTTCTGAGCTTCAACATCCTTTTCATTTTCCTTATCTTCTTCTTCAACCTCATCATTTCTGTCTTCCATCTCTTCTACTACTACGCTCTTGTGCTCCATTTTCTTCTTCTTTGCACGGCTCTTCCGGGCTTGGTTCAGGACCATCTCCAAATCCAAGAAAGAATCTCCACCAATTTCTTTCCTCTTGCTTCTGGTAGCCCTTGCACAAGTTACCTTCTCCTCCACAACACTATCCTCACTCTTTACATTCGCCAATCCGAGACAGGGTTTTTCAACCTGCCTGCTTCTTGTCGGTCTCTTCATGGCTGAGACTTCCACTCCCTTTGGGGTATCCTCAATTTCCAATTTGATTGAGTTCAAACCCAAATTCTCAGTCTTCTTCTTACCTCCCCGAGCCCTTGAGTTGTTGCCCTTTTTCTCCTCCGGCGCTTCTTCTTCTTCCAGGGTTTTACTTCTCGTTTCCCTACTTCTCTTGGGCACTTGATGTTCCTCTTGCTTCGAAGGTCTGCCCTTGCGCTTTCGGTTCTCCTGAACCGACTCAACAGGAACAACCGGATCCGGATCCGGATCCGCAACAGCCAGACGCCTGTTGTTCCTCCTTGGCCTGGGAGGAAGCTTATGCTGCTCCTGAACATCAGTCTCTAAGTTGACGACAAAGGAAGTATACTCACCAAGCTTGATTACGTCTCCATGGCGAAGAATGTGGGGTTTATCTGGGTGGAGAGTGTCCGAGTTCAGTATGGTGCCGTTGGAAGATCCTAGGTCGTGGATTATCCACTTCTCGGAATCGGAGACGATCCGGAGGTGCTTGGTGGAGATTCCGGCGTCTTTAATGGCGATTTCATTACCACGAACGATTCGGCCAATCCGGATAGTGGATCCGGGCTTGTACTCTACAGATTCGCCTTCTCTTGGACCCTGCACGAACGCGAGCTTCAGCAATGGCGGATTCATCGTTTACTGTTTTTATTTTTTTTAGCGGAGCTTTTCAATGGAAAATGGAATTTGAAATTTCGGATTACGCTGTTCAAAAAAAAAAAAAAAATCCGGATTACGTCATATCACACGCATAAGGGTTTTTGAGCGCGTGAACGTTGACGCTCATAAAATGCGCGCGCGTGGGACTAATGGAGCGCTTGCTGTGACTTATTATGAACCTTTGAGCCCTTTTCTACACTACGGGCTTTTCTTTATTTGGTGATTAATACATGATCATAGTATTTTCTTCAAACATTGAGAAAATACTCTATTAAAATCATAAGTAACAATTAGAACTAAAGACTTCTTATATCTGTAGTAGGCCTGAATTTTTCGGGAATCAGGACGGGAATTGATGGGTAGGGGATGAGAATGAGAATTTCGGGAATCTGAATATACTACCCAAAGTATTCCCACAAAATAACGGGAGGGAAATTTACGGATATGAGACGGGAACGGAAAATTCAGGAATCAAAACATATTTCTCATACAATCCCAAAATAAAATATAATCGAAAAAAGAACGGGAAAAAGACGGGAAAAATTTCGAATAATTCAGATAATTAGATTAAAATCAATTTTTGTTTTTTAAAAAAAAATTATTATTTGTTAATAAATTAGAAAAATCATTATTTATTATAAAAAAAATTTCAAATAACCGAAATCTCTAAAATTTTACTTTATATAATTATCCAACGGCAAGTTCGGGTAATCCCATTCCCGTCCCTATCCTTTTCCTTACCCATTCAAATATTATTTTTAATCCACGAATGAGAAATTACCTTTCCCAAAAAATTCGGGAATTTCGGGACGGGTACAGAACGGATTACCTTTCCCAAAAAATTCAGGTCTAATCAGTAGTAAAAAAAAACTCAATAGTTTTACAATCTTTAGATAGGCCACAGTATTTCACACATTGAGGAAACAAACATTCAGTGTGAAAATATTATTCAAAGGAGAAGAAGAAGAAGAATACGAAAGAGAGCTAGAGATAGATATAGAGAATCATCAGATCTTGGATTTGGATTGTCTTGCAATCTTGAACCACTCGGTGTGGAAAGATCCTTCCACATCAGTTCTTTCATATGTATGAGCACCAAAGTAATCTCTCTGAGCTTGGACAAGGTTCGCCGGCAATCTCTCTCTCCGGTAAGAGTCAAAGTAGGCCAGACTCGCAGACATACCTGGCGTGCTGATACCCGAGTTGATACTTAGGCACACGACTCTTCTCCAAGCTGACTGTCTCTCGATTATCTCTTTTGCAAACTCAGGATCGACCAAGAGGTTAGCCAGTTCTGCGTTCCTGTCATAAGCTTGCTTGATCCTGTCTAAGAATATTGCTCTGATTATGCAGCCTCCTTTCCAGATTCTAGCCAACTCACCTAGCTTTAAGCCCCACCCTTTTTCTATGCTCTTGGCACGGATCAGGTTCATGCCTTGTGCGTAGCTGCAGATTTTGGATGCGTAAAGAGCCTTCCTCACATCATCGATCAGCTGTTTCTTGTCAACGGTTTGATCGGTTAAGATATCGCCAAAACCACCTTCCTTGAAGACTTTAGCGGCTTGCACACGTTCATCTTTTAGCCCGCTAAGGAACCTCGCATCAAGAGAGGATTCAATGGTGGGAGCAGGAACAGATAGCTCGGCAGCTTGCTGCACGGTCCATTTTCCGGTACCTTTCATGCCGGTTTTGTCTAGAACTTTGTCGACCAAATGCCCGTCCCCTTTATCGTCCTTGATCCCGAAAATATCCGCTGTGATCTCTATCAAGAAACTCTCAAGCTCACCTTTGTTCCACTCGGTGAAGACACCGTGAAGCTCCTCATTGGATAATTTACCAACAGATTTAAGGACGTCATAAGCTTCCGCAATCAGCTGCATATCACCGTACTCGATGCCGTTGTGGACCATTTTAACAAAGTTTCCAGAGCCGCCTTTCCCGATGTAAGTCACACAGGGACCACTATCCCTGACCTGAGCTGCAACCTTGAGAAGAATGTCCTCGATATTCTTGTAGGCTTCATAAGAGCCTCCAGGCATCATAGATGGCCCGTTACGAGCACCTTCTTCACCACCAGAAACTCCCATTCCGAGGTAGAGGAAACCGTTGTCAGCCACGGCTTTCTCTCTCCTCTCCGTGTTCTCATACCATTCGTTACCACCATCCACAATGCAATCACCCTTTTCCAGATAAGCAGAGAGGGTCTTGATGGTCTGGTCAACGGGCGCACCAGCCTTAACAAGCATGATTATGACACGTGGCTTCTGGATCGAATTGACAAAGGACTTAGGGTCATGGAAGCCATAGAGCGGAAGATTCCCTTCCTTCTTGGCTCGTTCCACGGTCTCGTCAACTTTGGAAGTTGTTCTGTTGTAAACAGAGATTGGGAAGCCTTTCTCAGCAATGTTGAGAGCTAAGTTCTGACCCATCACAGCCAGTCCTGCTAGACCTATTCTAGTAGGTTGAACAGCCATTGTCTTCTCTCTGCCAAACAATAAACACCTCACAAATCTCAGATCTCAGAAAGATGAAAAAACGAAAACATCTTCTTGTGCTACACATAAAGATATCCATTGGAGGTAAGCGATGAGACTAGAAGCCAAAAGTGATACACATATATATCTGAAGATAAACCCATCGATTTTAAGTAGGACTCAAAATCTCTACGGCAGGCAATATTTTTTCAGTCTTAATCGATACATGCAAGAGTTAGTGTCCACACCAAATTTCAAAGTTGAATCAAGGACGAAGACTATTACAGATCTCAAATTTTTGAACGATCGTAGCATACACCAACCGCAAGCGCGAAGATTCGATCTCAACAACAACGTGACGATAATATTCAAAAAGCATCCTAGATCGCGAATCAAAAACGCAGGGACTCTTAACTACGCGAAAGTTAAATCACATCTCCGATTAAACTTCCTATCAAAATTTTCGATACATCTGAACAGGAAAAAAAACATACACACATCATCTATGTCGAGAAACGATTGAGAAAATCACATAGCAAAACAAAAACGATTGAGTAAACGAGAGTGGGTGATACAAACCTGATTTCTCACGAAATGAATTTGAGATTGTCCAAGAAAGATCAAGAGGAAAAGATCTAGAAGACGGTAAAATTCCGGAGCCTGGTGATGTTTTTTGTATCAGATATATAGCGAATGAACGGTCTGATTCGCACCAAGTAGAATTAATTAATTTTTTTTTAACTTTCCCCCTTTAAAAATATTTGTCAAAGTTGGCCACTCCGGGTTAGGTGAGAAAAGGTGGGTGGTGGTAGATGTTTGTCTCTTTTTCTCTTCTATTTTGGATCCTGATATATATAGAAAATGTATATTTCTATTCATATTTTGTTGAATTTTCTTAATTTTGATCATTGAAATTTTCCACTAGTTTTAAACTATAAAGTAGTAAAACCATCATCATTCTTTTAATCTTAGACATTGTAGTTTGGAGAAGCTTTTGCTGTGAAGAGTTACAAAATGAAAATAAGAACAAAAAAAACTATAACAGAAAGAACAAGCAAAATACTTTGTAACTCTATATAAAAAGATAAACGTATCAGTTAAAGAATGCCCGTAAGATGAAACATATCGATCCGAGGTTACCTCTTACCGGTAATATTTTCTTCGGGGGTTTTTTTTTTGTTCGGTCTCTCTTTAGAGGCCAAAATTGCACATCTGCACAAACTCCATTTCGTTATCGACGTATTTAGTCCAGAGAGACTTGTATTGGTTCATAGCAATGTCAAGCCATGGTTTCATGTTTCCATTGTAATGGATCACCGCTGCATTTCTGATCTCGTCCATGCTCACTCCCGGGTTGTAGCCTAACCCAAGCACATGCCAAGATTTGTCCAATGATTTCGTCTTTGAATAGAATGTGATCAATCCCGGAGGTAGAGTGCCCAATTTCCAGAGTGTTCTGTCTTCATTCTGCTCATAAACAAAACAGAGTCAACAGAAGAAGATAAGCACATACATAATAAAGAGTTTCATATGTCTAAGTAGTTACTAAGAATGAATCATACATTATTATATCACTAATCACAATAGACTTACCAAGTTCTGCCAGTAATGGTATTGATTGGTGCATTTCTCGCGCCTCCAAGCATTGAGATCAAATATATTCATTCCAAAGGCCCAAGCACAAGCATTGGGATTAAAGCTTTCCTTGATCAAAGGATGAGTGAAATTAAGGTACTGACCATATCGATGAAAAGAACCAAAGCATGTCTCAACAGCTCCATTCACTTTTCCATCTAAGTTGATCTTCCACAAACCAGTCACGTCTTTCTGCACCACAACATCATCGTCCAAGAACAAGATCTTGTTCAGCTTCGGATACATTTCCGGTAAGTAAAATCTGAGATGGTTCAACATCGAGAGATATTTTGGGTTCTTGAACTTAAGGTTATGGGCATCTTTCGTTGCGTTCTCCGCCTGGTTCTCAAAGTAAAACTTCTGCAACTTGGCAGACTCGAGCTGCCTCAAGACCGGTGCATATGAAGTGTTCAAGAACTTGAAATCCTCCACAGATTTGATCTCAACATGGGCACCACGGTCCAAAGGACGCATCTTAAACCAGACCTTCATGGCTGCAAGATTCATTCGATCGGTCACCACATGAAAGACATGCTTCCATGGCTCCTCGGCGTTCATCACAACCGATCGCACCACTACTGACACAGCAATCACGTTGTCAGAGAAAATTGCATAGTGGTAAAGACTTGGATCCTCCGCTGCTGGATCAGGAGGAGCATCCTTGTACTTTTCCGGATTTGAGATCCTCTCTCCTACAAGCCTCATAGCCAAACAATGAAGACTTTTAGGGACTGACTTGGCTGAAATCAAGCTTGCGACAGCGCCGCTTTTCTTTGCTTTTGTCAACTGCTCCTGGACAGCAAAGATTGTATCTTTCAACTTCTGGATTTTGAGCTGTGTATCATAGCTCTCTTTCGACTCAACAATCATCATCCTCGCTGTCTTCACCTTATCTTTCACTTCTTTTTCAAGCTGCCTGAACGTATCCTCCTCGAGAGCATTGCCGTTTTCAGACACAGCAGATTTCAAACCAGGTTTTGACTGCAAATCAGAGAAGTTGATAGCCAAATCTTCAAATAGCTTCAGCTGCTTGGAAGCATCAAGCTTCAGCTTCCTGGCGTAAGCCGCATATGCATTCACCAGTGTCAGATGATCAGTCGCTTGCTTGTGTATCAGATCCAACCTTGTTTTCAACGGATCCGATTGTAAAGCCAAAAACGTCCTCTGCATATATGCGTTTCCCATACTCGGCAACGTCTAAACCACAGAACCAAAACAAAATCAGGCACGAGCAATCAGAATTCCAGTTTACATGAATGCTTAAATCGAAGCTCAGATTCAAAGAGTTACCACCGAATCATTCTAAATTTTGACCGAAATGTAACCAAATCAAAGCATAAATATATAAACAAGAGAAATTTTTTAAAGAGCTGTGAGATTGAGACGCATACATGATCCTGATGAGGCTGATGACGAGAGGAGTTGAGGACGACGGAGAACGTGGCAAGGAATAGAAAAGAGAACAAGGCGGAGATAAAGATCCGGTACGAGAAGAAACTGCGAAGTCCGGTAGATTGGCCGGATCCGACGCCGCCCCTGCCTCCGCGGAAGGCCACCGCCATTTCTACCGATACACTTCACCTTACCGGTCACTTTTTTAAGATCGGGCTTTTTCGATTCGATTCGTCGGTGAGCTTCTTCCTTGGTCGAGAGAAGAAGAAGAAGAAGATGACTGAGTTTAACCTCTGGAGAGTGACGGATAGATCTCAAACATTTAGTGAGTGAAGAAAACACGTTATTAATTATAGAAGATCATACGAAAATTAAATAAACAATTATTTAGTGCAGAGGTAATAAACAAATTAATTAATACATTACATAGGAAAATAAAGATAATGTAATGCGGAAGAATGTGACGAACCAAAAGATTTCTGCGTCGGTGCGATCTATTGTCAAATTGACAAAGCTAAGCTCTATTGTGTATTTCACATTCACACCTTTTATATTGGTCATTATTTAAGTTTAGTCCCTCAAGCTTTTCAAATCACAGTCTCATCCTTGCTCTCTTTCTACTTACAGGCTTTAGTATGGCGGGCCGATATTCGGGCCACATGAAGAATGATAGATCCATGAAATTACGACAAACGACACGATGTTCCCATTTAAAACATAAGAACTTGACGTTGTTCATTATTTCCCAATGGTGACGGACAACTCTATCTATCTCATGAGAATTGCTGAGACTTGAAGTTGAACAAAAGAAATATTTTGAAAATATTTCAAAATTTCTCTTGATGACAAACGAAGCGACGATGTATGGTCATATACAGAGTTCTGCCCATTTGTTATCTCGAAATCAGCAGGGAAAAAAATAAAATATATATAATGAGATCAGACATACATAAGTGGAACATACCAGAGAGACAAGAGTTTTAATTTCACAAACTCCATGGAACCTGTAAGGAACTATTGAAGTCCTGCAACAATACAATCACAAGTTTAACTGAGAGTTCCAGAGAGAACAAGTAAGAATACGTAGATCATCAAAGAAATTACAAAAGATAACCTCTAGTTTTGCTCTTTCCAGATCATGCAATCTAGCATAAGAGTCTGTCAATAACTAGAGAAGCAAAGAAGGTAAATAATATAACTGAAAAAACCAAATAAGCTAAATATTATAACCGAAGTAGCAAGAAGCAGTGATTACAGTCTCATCAATGAATACAACTAGGAAGAGATAATGTAACTTCACAACCACTTGCAAGATATGGCCTTCAAAGGTCCAACTTGATATTATGTCATAAAAAAAGAATATCTACAACATGAGCACTTTGGAATTTACGATGAGTGCTTATCACAAACAAAGTGGTTCAAGGATTCTCAAACTGTGACTATTAACATGACGAACAGATACTTCAAATAAAATCAACACTATATCTACCCGGTAAGGAAAAGACTGCTTTGTGATGATCTCCTATGCCTTTCATACTCAAAATCATCAGTAGGAAACTCAAACCGACAAACCGGACAAGTATTCCTTATCTTCAACCAAGACACAATACACTCTCCATGATAGGAATGCCTACAAGGAAGCATATTCACTTTCTCCTCTATGACCATTTCATCTTTGCAGACCGCACAAAAGATGTTCCCTTTGTTTACTTCTTCCACTGTAAGTTCCACAACTGGAAGATCCTCAATCACCCTTTTTGCAGCTGGAGGATTTCCCCTGATTCCAGTCTCGTTATCAAACATTTGCCCAAAGATAGCATCATCATCAATATGATTCTCGGCATATTCATCCAAACTAGCTAGATACAGGTAATGACTCGGATCGATATCACCAGGGCTTATCACGATTCCTTCAGCTTGTTCGATGTAATTAACAACGTTGTTCACAGTTAACAAGACCTGCCAGTCCAGTTCATGCTCTTCTTGATCATCCCTTGATGAATTTCTTGATGGAGAAGACAATTCTTCTTCTCCCTCTTCCTCCTCTTCTTCGGATCTACTAAAAGACATAAGCGTCCAGCTAATCGCGTTCTGCAACTCCTCCAAATCTTCATCAGCCACCATGGTTTCCCCATCGAAGGCGTAATCCCAGACAGGAGGACGACCCGTACCGACCTCGACCCGACCCAGAACATTAGCCTCATTCTCACTATCCCCTAAAGTAAAATCGAACACGCCATCTTCGTAATCGGAATCTGAATCGATACCGGTCACTCGAAGCCCTTGCTCGTCTGAGTTACCATGTTGCCGATCCGAATCGGATCCTGACCCGGATCCCGACACACATCCAGCCCCCAAAACGATCTCCTCCTCGTCTTCCTTGGGGTCATAAAAGCCCCATATATTGAAATCATCGGTGGTCAGCCCCTCCGATTCCAAGTACTCAGCCGCGTCAACCCCGGAAGATTCTCGATCGAAGAAATCGATTGGACAGTTGTACGGAGCAGGTTCTGTATCCGTGTAAGAACCTGATCCAGAATCTGAAATCGCGCCAGAGAAAGGGAAATAAGGATTGCAATCGATGTCCCTGTCGTCGAGCGCAGAGTAACAAACGAGCAAGCTCGTAGCCTCGCCATCTGCTGTGAAATTCAAACAGTCTACGGCTGCACCTCCGCCTTCCGCCTCTTCTTCAAGGTCGATTTCGGGACCGGGCTTCGTCGACGCCATTGCTGAGTTTCAGAGAAAAGTAAAAGAAATTAAAAATGAAAATGAAAATTTCAGAGGGAAAATCGTATGATCTATACACAAAGAATGTAATATGATGACGTGTAAATGCAGGGATTTGCTGGTGGATTAAGATTCTGCCACATAAGACAAAAATTGAAAGAGCCAAAAAAAAAGCAAGGACGTAAAAAAGGAATACGCCGTTGCGGGGATCGAAACCCAAGAGAATAGGCCCGTCAAGAGATGTCAATTTGGGCTTGGACCCGCGGGCCCGTTAAACCATCCCGACTGCACGCCTTACGCAAAAGTCAAAGCTTGCGTAAGGAGCAATTATATATCGACATGTGTCCAGATCCCATCACAGATCTTGTTGCGTAATTCACTGCTTGAAAAAAAAAATTAACGTCTTTTTGCTGTGTAAATTTGTACGGATTTCTTACGTCACTTGAAGATCTTTGCTGGTAGATTCTTTGCCCAAAGGAAACTATAGATTTCAAGAATTACTTCACATACAAATCCAGGTAAGGGCGACAGATATTTAAAATCAACAGAAACTAGCCCATATTTTTTAAGTATTGACAAATTATGTAGAAAATAACAAACAAGAAACATACAACATGGCAAACAACATGCCTAATTAAAATTTTAATATCCCAAGCGTTTTGATAGAAGCATGCAGAAACAGTACAGCAGTTAACACCAGATTTCCAAACAGTTATTAATTAATACTTCCTCTGTTCAGAATTATTTGATGTTTAAGGTTTTTGCACACAGTTTAAGAATTCATTTAATTTTTATTTTTCCTATACTAAAAATATTATTTATAATTTATTTAAATATCATTCAGCCAATAAAAAAACAATCTGCAGAATATAAAAGGTCAAAAACTATAAAAATTCATTAAATTTTGTATTGAAAAGTGAGAACATCAAATAATTCTGAACAAAAAAACCCTTCTAAAACATCAAATAATTCTGAACAGAGGGAGTATATATCAAAAGTTACCCTTAACGAAAAAAAAAGTACCCTTCTTTGGCCGATCACCTCAAAAACTTTAATTCTCATAACACTTGCAAGCAGTAGCCAAACGAAGAAGATTGGACAAGAAATTAAACTAAATCTACTGCTTCAGGTTCTTGATTGTTTTGAAGTTTAAAAAAAAAAATACAACATGCATACAGGAAAGCGAAAACATAACAAACTATGTGTGCAACTTCAAACTTCAAAGTAGATGATAGGACTAGGAGTAGGAGCCAATAGAAACGCGACACACACACACATATCCATATTAAGGTAGGAGAGGTTTTTCTGCATCTTGTGAAATAGAAAATGATGATAGCTGCTTTCGTATTATTGTAGAAGCCAATGTTGTTATTCCCCACTCTCACGCGCCTTAGCCACTTGGACAATTTTTGATTTTTCATTTCATTAAAAGTTTATAAAACGTAAGCACAACAATGACATAACTCCTTTTGTAATGAACGATTCTTGTATAATTTTTATTGATGACAAAGAAAAAAAAATTACTACATAAACACACGTTGTGCTAAAAGAAAAAAAAATTACAGAACAGACGTTATTAACCAAATTTTCGTATCATGTAGTATAGTTATATATGCTATATCAGTATCGATGTTACAATTTGTTCTATGAAGTAGTCAGGTAATATATCATGTGTGTATACCTAAAAGAGTGGAAGCACAGTATATCTAGTTATCTATATAATTATATAAACATGCAGACGTGAATCATAATAATCAGAGACCATAAACTTCTGTAATTAGTAAGCAACTCATTGCACACAATGGCTTCTGTGTGACACGCGCGTGTGAGAGAGAGAGAGAGCGTGAGAATGTTCTTAACTTCTTCCTTTTTGTAAAAGAGGGAGGAGAGAGAAAGAGCAAAGAAGTAGAGAGGGAGAGAGAGAGTGAATGAAACACACCAGATATATCACCAAACCCTAATAACCTCTCACCCTCACAAATTTCTTATCTTTATAGCTTTTACAGATTCACAAAAGCTTTCTTCAGATTTACAATCTCATCACACACAGCCCTTCAAAACATAAGATCCAAAGAAGAAACAAGAACCCTACAATCAAATCAAAACCAAAACAAGAAGCAAAAGTTTCTTCTTTTTATGTTCTACTCTCAATTCCTCTTGTTCTTGTTCTTGAAAAACTAGGGTTATATTCTCCAAAAGACAAGATCTTTCATCAGAAAAATAAATGAACCCAAGCCATGTTTGTGCATAGATAAACAATATTAGTATATTACCTACCCTAATATAAGGTTAAATATACATATTTAAGAGGAAATAAATTAGGGGTTTTGGGGGAAAAAATGGGAAGGGGAAGAGTAGAGCTGAAGAGGATAGAGAATAAAATCAACAGACAAGTGACGTTTGCAAAGCGTAGGAACGGTTTGTTGAAAAAAGCCTATGAGCTTTCTGTTCTCTGCGATGCGGAGGTTTCTCTCATCGTCTTCTCCAATCGTGGCAAGCTCTACGAGTTCTGCAGCTCCTCCAAGTAATTTTCTATTTTTTTCTCTCTCTCCCTCTGATCACTATATACATTACATTTCAAAAATATTGTTGTTAGATCTGTCTGTGTATAGATCTTTCCTTTTCATCAGTCTTGTGATATTGGTTCTTGATTGCTTTTAACATTCTTGATTTTCAGTTTCTTAGTCTGATCAATAAGGTTTTGATTTTAGAAGGATAATTCAGTTTTAAATTATTGAATTTCTAGATCTGGTCTCTTCTCATGTCAATTTCTTAGGGGTTTTTTTGTGTAGATTCAAAATCTGTAGGTCACAGAAGTGTCATACTTAATGATATAATATCATTCTCTCTACACAGATATATATGTCTGAATAGAGATTATTAAAGTAGTTAAAAAGATTCACAGATTTCAATAAAAATATAAAGATCCAAAGAAGAATATTTTGTGGATCCATGCATTAACCAGTCTCTACTTCATGCAGACATTTAAGCACCCAAGGAATTTAATTACATCTCTTTTCAATTAAGGATTTCGCCAAGATCTTCTTTTTAACGTTATTTGTTAGTTAATTAATTCATTAATTTTAGTTTGTAATTGTTTCTTCTCCTACTAACTATGTGCTTTGATCTTTCAGCATGCTCAAGACACTAGAGAGGTACCAGAAGTGTAGCTATGGCTCCATTGAAGTCAACAACAAACCTGCCAAAGAACTCGAGGTTTAATCTCCACCTCTCTTCCATCTTATAAATAACAAAGTTTACCTGATAAATTTACGACAAATGCTAAGGCTTCAAAATTGATGATCCACAATAATAAAAAAAAAGGAAGAAATCAGTCAAGGAGCCTAACATTATCATCTCTTTTCTTGGCATTTTCTAGAATAGCTATAGAGAGTATTTGAAGCTGAAAGGTAGATATGAGAATCTTCAACGTCAGCAGAGGTACATATGATTATATATACATTAATTAATCTCTATGCTCACGTATAAACAGCGTGTATATATATATATATATAAATATGTGTGTGTATGTGTGTTTGTATTGATATAAGTGTATGTTGCTGCAGAAACCTACTTGGAGAAGACCTTGGACCTCTGAATTCAAAGGAGCTAGAGCAGCTTGAGCGTCAACTAGACGGCTCTCTGAAGCAAGTTCGCTGCATCAAGGTGATTTAATATTATCATTGTATATACACAGAAAGATTCACATAAATCACTCTATATGTATAGACAGAGACACACATGAACTCTTTTCATGCGTGTGGATATCTGAAAATTCTTTTTTTTTGTAGACACAGTATATGCTTGACCAGCTCACTGATCTTCAAGGTAAAGAGCATATCTTGCTTGAAGCCAACAGAGCTTTGTCAATGAAGGTATATGATGCTTCCCTCTATCTCTCTTCCAGTTTCTTATTAATAATAAACTTTAAATACACCCATTTATATATGAGTTTGAATCTCACAATCTACAACTGCTACATGTCTTTTAAATTTATCTGTATTATTATTTCAAAATTAGTTACGTTTGAATAATGTTGTGTTTCTTTAGCTGGAAGATATGATCGGCGTGAGAAGTCACCATATAGGAGGGGCATGGGAAGGTGGCGATCAACAGAATGTTGCCTATGGACATCATCAGGCTCAATCTCAAGGACTATTCCAATCTCTTGAATGTGATCCCACTTTGCAAATTGGGTAAATCAAACAACTTCTCTTGCCTTCAACACATCAAAACTCGAATGATAATCAGTTAATAGTTTGGTTAAGCCCAACATGGTCTTTGTCTCAAAGAGATCTGGTTAAAAAATGTGTTGTTCGGTCTAAAGTATCAGCACTTTGATGTCTAAAGGAGAGAAAATCAAACATGGAAAAGCCCTTTTTTTTATTTATTTGAAGGCTCTTTAAAAAAAGGGTTGCAATTGTAGATTGTTAAACTATGTTGTTGTGGTGTGTAAACAGATATAACAATCCAGTGTGTTCAGAGCAAATGGCTGTAACGACGCAAGGTCAGTCCCAACCAGGAAACGGCTACATCCCTGGCTGGATGTTGTGAGCGATACTTCTGCCCCTCCAATAAGGATCTTGAGCATGCAAGTTGTGGGTTCTTGATGATGAGATGAAGAATTATATATATGAATAAGGATGAATAGTGATGAATTTTGTGTTTATGTATGCATAAGACTTTTGATTTGTAGACATAAGCGGCTATAGCTGCAATAGCCTTCAACACCTCTCCTCTATTTGAGGAGATGTTTCTGCCTTTTGGGACCTTTGCTTATATATTAATGGATTGTAACGTGTGTAATGTTAAATTGACCATATCTCACCGGGTTAACCTATCTTCGTATAATACAAAACGCGGTTCGATCCTAGTAAACTCTCAAATTAATAATGAGATTCAACACTGCAAGATCCAGCTTTTATTTCCAATTCTAAAGGGTACATAACAGATAATTACAATATCTGGAACTTACAGAGACAGGACAGGAAATGAAGTATGTCCTGGAAAGTAAAATGGTACAGAGAGTTCTGCTGAAGAATGGACTTTCTGGTTTATTACATTTTCAATTGTTCAATGATACAGGATAAATTGTAATAACTTCCAACAGTACGTACTAAGCTGTTCTAGAGTTCTAGATTGGTGCTTTTAATATACTTCTTCCCCATCCGCAAAGTCTCCATCAAGTAACTGCTCCCTGATGAAACACATCAATTCACATCGTACTTTAGCTTTGCCTGACTTGGATTCTTTCCAAGTTTGAAGGTGCAATTGCAGGTAACAGAGAACTATGTCCAAAAAACTCCAGCTTTGCTTACCTGAGTCTTTCGCAGAGGCGGGCTAAAGCTTCGGAACCCATTCTGAATGCCACATCTTGAATCTTTGCAGCATTTGAGAGGTTCACACTATCTGCCAATTGAAATTCACACAGCTCCTTCAACGAGAATGCATCGGTTAGAACAGCTGAGTGACCACCTCCTGCTGCTAGCTTCCTCACTTGTCCTACACACCTGAACGCAATACCAGAATTTCCTGTTAATCTAACAGAAAAAATCCACAATGTCTGCATCACAAACCGTTTCATATACTTTGGTTTGATTTACAGACGAATTAGCTAATTTAAGAAAAAAACTTTTTTGAGCTATACCAGTCTACAGGCGACGGGTACCAAGCATGTGATGATTTCTCATTTGCTGCTTGACCATAGCTATTATAACCCCATCCACAAATCCGTCCCTCTCTCATATAAACGAGAGTGTGAGAATGTCCACATGCAACAAGCCGGACATCGGTTGGGATGACTAATACCGGGACATTGCGTAGAAGCATTTCACTCCCATTAGAGGCACAAAACAAGAAACCAGACTGAGGACCAAGTCCTAGCTGTCCAGCTTGGCCACCACCCCAAGCATAAAGTGCTCCTTCCACAGATAAAGCACAAGTGTGTACACCGCCACAAGCAACTTCTTTCATGGACACACCATCGAGACCAGCGACTCGCCTTGGTATCAACTCCTTATCCCCAGATTGAAGAGAAACATGCCCGAGTTGACCCATGCTTCCTAATCCCCAAGTGTAGCTGCAACGAAAGAGATAAGCAGTGGACACTGAATAAGATAACTGAAAGAAATTAAGCGAAAGGGAAGGAGACTTGCATAGTCAAATGTCAGGAATCCATTTGCTTCCTCAAGCATTTCCATCTGCTTCCCACTAGGGTGTGATGAGATAGATATCTCCATCAGAAAACAATTTCCTTTCCAGGACCCTTCTTGCACAGATAATTAGTTACCCATGCCATGTGAATAACCCACAAAGTTTTCAAGAAGAAGGCATTGAGATAACTTACACCTCGCCCGTTTCAGATACAGCAGCAGTATGGTATTCCCCACATGAAACTTGCATAATCTTCACAAGCTCGGGTGCTTCGTCAAGGAATTTCGCATAAGCAGTTATCACACGAGGTGCTTGTAGTCCTTCACAAGTGACTCCTCTGCCAAGTTGGCCTTGTTCATTATAGCCTTATTTTCCATGGAGCACAAGAAACCTCACGATCATAAATACCATAATTCTACCACAAACAAGTTTTAATTTTTATAACAATGTCTCAAAGCTTTCTTACCCCAAGCTTGAAGAAGGCCTTCCTCTGATAAGGCCACAACGTGAGCTGTCCCACATGACACTTGGCGGATCGCCTAAGATATGATCATATTACCAAATCATCTGCCAATGCTGATTTAAAACTTGATTCCGTTCAAGGAGAGAGTTGAGTACATACCGTGGCAGCGGGAAATGCCCCCGAGAATAAGCGTGGCAGATTTGATCCCTATCATGAAAAAAGTTTTGAGAAATTCATAAGGGAAACACATGATGCCATAATAATGGCAATAAACCTGTTGTGTACCTGATTTTGGCCCCAAACCCAGAGTCTACTCGTGGAAAGAGTAGCGTCATTTTCACGGGGTTCCGCTATAGCTGCAGAGCAGAAAGCACCACAGGAAACAAATTTCACAAACTCTGATTCCAGCTGCTTCACCTTCTTTGGATTTTTCCTCCCAACCTCGGTTCCATCTCCGAGTTGGCCATATTCATTGGCACCTGACATAAAGATGTAAGAACCATATGCCTGACTTCAGGAAGTAAAAAGAGCAGAATCACGTATATGGAAAAGGAGAGACAGACCCCAAGTAAAGAGAGATCCATCTGATGCAACAGCAGCTGTATGTTCCCGACCACACGAGATGTCGAGCCACCGCGAGTTGGCACCAGCTGGGCAACCAAAAAGCTCAGGAGGAAGCTGCTTTGGGATACGCAAAAGCCTCTCTTCTCCTTTCCTACCTGTTTGTCCGCTTTGATTGTAACCCCAGACGTATATGGCGCTCTTTGTTGGGATACTTACACAAGGAGCTTCCTCACCAATTATCTCTCTGATATCCATTCTTTTTTCTTTTTTTTTTTTTGAAGAAGAAAAAGGAGGATCCTGCACACAAAAATTGCAGAAATGTTTCGAAAAGACTCGAAATTTTATGCGTAATATACATATATCAATGATCTAAGCTCTGACTTTACAGTAATGAGCAGAAGCGATCACGAATCAGGCAAGTTTTTTGATACCCAAATTAAATTCAATCACGAATTCAAACGTTCCACAACTAAGAAGACACCACACGCAAAGGCGAACTAGATTCACAACAATTCATGGGACGCTAATCAAGAGAAGGAAAAAAAACAATGTTAAACAAACCCAGACAGAATCTCAGTCCGTACCTCTGATATCAATGCTACAAATTTGGGAAGAATCGAAATTTCTGAAGCTTTTTGTGTCAGTTTGGTGTTGTTAATGTAATAATGTGTAAGAAACGGAGGGAAGGAGAGAAGCAATGATGGTCGTTCGTTCGTTTGCTCCGACACCTCGGGGACAGGGTAAAGTTCTGATATTAGCACCGGAAGACCTTCATTTTACATATTATTTACACAAAAGTCCGTAAACTTCAATGTTCTTCTATCGCTAAGTGTATTATTCCTCAGATTGAACAAAACTAAAGGACAGTATAATTTATAAAACCAACGACAATGGATGATGTAAGAGTTACAACGGAGGCATTTAATGAGGAAAACAAAAAAGCACTCAAAGACGAAATATTGCTTCTTGTTTTGCATTTCTTTTCTTGTTTCATGGAGTTTATATTTTCTCATAAGATTAAACTGTTGCAGAGGAACATTTTCTTCCTTTCTGCTTCATCTATTTACCATTGTAAATGACAGACAACATTCACAAACCAACAAGTCAAATTTACAAAACATCCCCTCTGCTTTGCCTTGTCATCTTCCCCGGTTTCAGTTCAGATACAGGACACAGATCAATGATCGATGATTGATGATCACGGTGTTTCGTTGAATTCCATCACCTGCATACAAGGACATTGGAGAAAAAAAAATGGGAGCTTTTATTAAATCGGAATGAATCAGAACAACACGACTTTTATGAATTGCAGGAAAAGATTAGCTCTTTATTGAAAGACTTCTACGCATATATGCTTCACTTGTTCTATCTATCACACATCTCTCTCAGGCAGATAAAACCAGAAGACGCCATGGAAACGACCGAAATCTTATGAATTCCGCGAAAAAGATTGCTTTGAATCTCCTATAGACCGGGGAACTTCGAAAAGCATATGAATTTTTGCTTTCTCAGGAGATTTCTACGCATATATTTTCACTGTTTTTAGGATGAAGAAAAAAAAAGTGTTTACCTTTCCGCAGACAGGACAGTTTTCACTTCTCTCCATCCATTCATAAATGCAACCAAGGTGGAAATGATGGGAACATTTTGTTATAATCTTTGGGTTCTCTGATGTGTATTCTGCCAAGAAAACAACAACAAGACGATGAATATTGAAGGAACATAATAGGAAACTAGGTACAGGATTATTACCTTCAAGACAAGTTGGACAGACGTCTTCATCTTCAGACAATCTATACATGTTTTCAGAGGTCGACCTTGATTTCAAAATCCTAAGACTGGATTTACTGGAGTAGTCATCTTTGGAAGCTTTATCAGAGATAATGGATTTATTATTTGCCCATTTGCATCCTCCCAGGCCGAAAGATTCAGAATCTGCATCGTTATCACTTCTTAGAGGTTCAGCTTCCTCATGTGAATGACTTGAACCCTTGTCCCGTCTTGAGACGAGTGAGCGCAAGTATCTAGGATCAGCATCATAAGGCAGAGGCCTAGGAGTAGAACGAAATGCTTCAGAAAGAAAGTTATCATGCGAAGAAGAGGAAGTTATTGATGCAGTAGCTTGAACAGAAGATGGGAGAGAGCGGGTTTCCCCTCTTCTGAACACCGAAACATACTGCAACAATTAATGTGGGCTCAAATTAGATTAGAAATCAAGGTAGATATTACTGTCACTAGGACCTGCAATTGCAATCATGGAAGAAAACATGAAACTGAAAGAATCAATTAATATAAGCAATGGGAACAAACGTACCAGGTTAAGGAAATTATGAGCAAGGCATCTAATGCAGGGACAGTTCCTATATACAGAGCTACTTGGATTCATGTACTCATCAATGTCTTCGACCCGAAAGCAAGAAGAAACACAACCCATCTTCCCCTCTTCTACTCTGGTTTCTTTCTTTCTATGTATAAAATTTTCTTTTCACCTTAAAAACCAATCATATGGTAAACAATCTGCTTCATATCTCCACTTTACCTGCAACGATAAAATGGGATTGATTCCTTCATATGATGCAAACATATATGTCTCGTTCCCCAGAACGTATGGTAAACAATCTGCTTCATAACACCATAATGCAGGTAATGATGTGATCACTGTTGGAAGAACGCAACTACAAAATATACATGCAACTAATCTAAGAAAACCAAAAGTCGAATTTCTGTTTAGTAGCAACTGAGATTTTTCGATCTGAACTTTGAACACTCTCACAATACTAATTTGAGTTTCCACTAAAATGAAAATGCAAGCACACAAACTGATAAACCCCTAAATTAGGTAAACTTCTAACAATTGCAAAAAGAAAAGAAAAAAGATAAAAACTTTGCTACAACAGAGAAACAGACAAACCCAATTGAGATGAGACAAGATACACCAAAAAATTGAAAATCCCATTTCGATTAATCCAAAGCACTGAGAAAACAGAGTATATTAACGAAAAAAAGCAGCGAAATTTAACCAGAGCAAAAACATTGAGATCAACAAGACGGAATGATCACAACTCATTTCCAGTAATCTTCAAATGATCGGAAAATTAAAAGGAAAGGGCAAACCTTCGATCGAGAACTGAGATGGAAAGAGAGAAGAGGCAAAGACCTTTTTTCGATCGGGGCTCTAGAGAGAAGAGAGAGAGAGATGTGATAACATATAATCGACGAAAGAGAGACTCAAGAAATGGTTCAATTTAATTAATATGGAGACTCATTAATTGTTTTCTTTTTCAAATCCCAGGAAATTCAAAAGTGAAACTTCAATGAATTTTCTTCCCTTTTTTTTCCTTTTCTCTAATTCTCGTCGGTGGTAAGAAAGATTGCGGAAAAAGTGAGGAACACTGGAGATGATGATGATTGTTGTTGTGAAGGTGGGTGAAAGAGCTTTGTTGGATACTAATGGAGCTTCAAGAATTAAAAAAAGTAGGAAAAATCCATTAATAATAATCAAATTATATACTAATAGACTATAGATAATGCGTTAACAAGTTGGAAGATAACCTTGTATATTATTATTACTTTGTAGTTTGTATTGTCCTTTCTCTGGATTTAGACGTGGAAGAAATAATTTTTGGTACAAGGTTGAAAACTCCTCTTCGGTTTCCTTTGTCGAATTCTAAATCAGATAACGAGTTATTGGCAGTCGAAATCTCACTACTTTTGTTTTATGGGATGATTAATGGAATGTGAAAGTATTATTTTGTTACTCACGCATGCTCAATTGCTCATCTTTTTCACTTTTTCTACCCAAAAAAAAAAAAAGAAAAACTTTTTGATTTCGTTTTCCACCAATATCATTACTTCCATTCATTCAAAACAATTTTTTTTTTAATACAATAACACTATTCAACATAGAAACGTTTTAACTTTAGAAGTTGTGACTTATTGAGTTTTTGGATTGATTATCAAATCTCACAAAAATATTGTACTATTCAATTAAATATTTCAACAATTTAAGGGAAATAAATATTATTTATTTATTTAATTGATGATTTCATAAATAGATATTTATTTAATTGATGATTACCTTGAGTATTAGTCAATTAGTGATTATGAAATACAACAACGTAACCAACCAAAAACTTATGTAGTTTAACTTTAAAGAAGAAATATATATAAATATGTAGCCCTCTCGTTATATAAAAGGAGTAAGAATTTCAAATTTATCTCCAAAAAATAAATCCAAACTATATCAAACAGATCATCTTCGGTTAAACCAACTAATGTTATATCAAGAGTTCATATCTCGGAATACACGATTGGAATGTTAAGGCAGGCTAATTAAGAGACTATCAAGCAACATCAAAAGTCCACCAAATTCAAGGTAACATAGCATAACCATTAACCAGAGAAGTTGCATAGCATTGCCCTGTGCTGGCTGTGCATACCAATAACATCGTGAGAAAGCAGTCTCAGACTGCCAGTCTAGTTTCATTTTTTTCCTTGGATAATGAGTTAATGACATTCCACACAGCCTCTTTGTATGATCTCTGTCATAACATAAAAAAGCATATTATAATGCAAGAGAAATTCCCCAAAACAGGTAAAAATCTACCTAATCTTCTTCCTGATACATATCGCGACATTCAGCTTCGCCGCATCAAATAAGAAGCATACAACACAATCAGCTGCCTAGGATTTTCTCCGATAGTCGCCACTTCCAATCACCAAACTTAACCGGAAAAAACCAAAAAAAATTATCCGGTTATATGTTGTTACTTGTTACGACGAAGAAGAAACAGAGATAATGTCCAACTCAAGGCAAAAGGCCCAAACACTTCACGGGAAGCCCAAACTCAGCCGGTTCGGAAAATAGTTATGGAATTTTTTGTCATTATTTTTTTTTTTCTGATTTTGAAAGTAAAGAATAGTAAGAAAATGAAAACGACGAAGTGTCGCAAAAAAAAAAAAAAAAAAAAATGAAAACGACGAAGAAGAAAGGTACATCGTCTTCTCCACAGTGTCCTCTTTCACCGCCTTTGATTCTTTACTTAATAAACCCTTCTTTTCCTTTGTGTATCTCTCTAGAAACCTTTTCCTCGTGAACTCTTCCTTCTTTCTCCTCGCCAGAGATGGCAGATGACTTGGCGAATCTCTGCCGATTTCTCTTCGACGAGGCCGCCTTTCCCTCGTTGTCGTCGACGCCGTCTTCCACATCTTCAGATCTCTTTTCTCAACGCTTACGCTCCGATGATTCGATCAAGCGTGGTCTCCGTTATTTCTATCTCCTCCTTCGCTCGGGTATCGCTCCGATCGCCGGAGATGATGATGACTCCTCCGGCAAGCTACGCTTTGAGACCTGGTCGGATTCGCAGGTCCAAGCCCTCGTTTCCATCTCTCAGGCGATCCTTCTACTATCGCGATCTCTATTAGGTACCAACTTGACTCTGAATACTTAAATCGAGGTTTGTTTCGCTATTGAATTACTTGCCGATTGTTTGATTATACTCCGTCTTTCACTTTCTGAGCTTTGGTATCTGCTATTCTTTTGGTTCTGTTAAGTTTGCTACCCTAGAAATGTTAGTTCATAAATTTTCAGAGTGAAGGCTGATGGCCTAGAATCATTTTCCTGACTGTTTTACTGATTTTTTTTTTGTTTTTGGCGTATCTCAGTGGACCAAGTCGAACCAATACTTTTGGGTGTCATCCAGGAGGTGATGGAATTCTCTCTCAGCTTCTTAGAGAAGTCAAATTTTAGACAAACTGATCTGAAAATGGAGGTTTGTTCTTTATCTTTATAAATGTGCTACCGTTTTACCACGTTCTTTATTTCATTTTGTGATAGAGATTTCGGTAGGAAAGTCGTTAAAGTTGGATATTTGTTCTTCCCTTCGTCATGATGGGAAAGTCTCTCTGTTGGTCTTATTTGGTACAGTGTGTAAGTCGAGGAAATAAGTACCTTGTTCGAGCATAAACGTACCTTAGAGAGAATTTATTTTACTGCGTTTGTTTTTGTGTTGATGAGGCGTTTGAACTCGTTTTACAAGTCTTTATCAGGTCTAACACCGGTGGCTAGGTTTCAATGTTGCATCATAGAAATTAGTTACACATACTCACCAACATGTCTTCGTTTAACTTTTCCATAAGGGGTATAATGGGGTTACGTTGTACTTCCATTACCAAACAATTTGTGGGCTAATGACTTGTTTTCTTTCTTTGTTTCTATCGAGCTCCACTGCGTTATCTAACAAATGCTTGTCGTGAATCAGATTAGAATGGAAATGCTTTTGGAGATTGTTTCTCTTGGTGAAAGCGAGAAACAATATGATATATTGCCACCTGTCTCCCCAGCTGAAGCTGCAGAATTGTGGCCAACAATTTCTGCCGAGCATGATATTATGGAATCATATAGCCTTGTGAAATGTACTTTTCAAGGTATTGCTGCTACCAATATATTTAGCAATATATCATTATTACTTGAAATTTATCTGATTATCTTTATACCCTTTGACATATCAAGCAGGGGGCAGGTGCTCAAATGAAGAGAAGCCAGTTGACAGGCTTCTTATTACGCTGATGTCTGAATGCGTTGACTCTGATGTCCAGACTCACTCAGTAGCCAAGCCCTCTTTTCAGCAAGACTATGGAAATCTGAATCCCTTGACTCGACACCTGGCAGTTGTTCATCTCGGCTGTGTTTGTCGTCTGATTATGGTCTGCAAAGAGCTTGTTCAATTGCCAAGTGTGTTAGATGAGAAGACGGTTGATCAAGTTCTTCTTGATAAATTGTCGTTCTGCTTAAGAGTTCTGAAGCTGCTTGGAAGCCTTTCCAAAGATGTTCAAAGCATAGAAAGTGATGGGTCATTGTTACAAGCAGTAGCTTCATTTACAGATGCACTTCCTAAGCTGTTCAGGGTTTTCTTTGAATTCACTAACCACACTGCTACAGAGGGTAATATTGAGAGTCTTTCTCTAGCGCTGGTGGAAGGATTTCTTAATCTTGTCCAACTCATTTTTGGCAAGAGTAGTGTTTTTCAGAATGTCCAGGCATGTGTATCAGCTTCTATTGTGAACAATCTAGATGCCTCAGTGTGGAGATATGATGCGTCCTCTTGTAATTTGATACCTCCGCTTGCTTACTTCCCTCGGTCTGTTATCTACACATTGAGACTCATTCAAGATCTCACAAGACAACCGTACCATATCCAAGATCTGAGGGTTTTGGAGTCAGAAGCCAACTATGACAATGCCAATTCCTCCGTTGATTCTGCTTGTTTCCATCTGCGTCAGGAAAATGTCCCGTTGCTCAAGTGCTTAACGGTCGATGACATAATGAGAGTGATATTTCCTTCATCAAGGCCGTGGTTGGACAACTTGTTTCATCTTGTTTACTTCCTTCATCGTGAAGGGGTAAAATTACGACCGAAAGTGGAGAGAACATATTCCAGTTTAAGATCCAACAGTTTTGCTGAAGTCGAAAGCCAAATTTCTCATGACGATGAAGCCCTGTTTGGAAACTTGTTTTCTGAGGGTAGCCGTTCTCTGTGTTCCATAGAACCAAACGATCAACCACCCGTTTCTGTCAGCAGCAATTTGCCATTGCAAGCTGCAAAGGAACTGTTGAACTTTCTTAGAATGTGCATTTTCTGTAAAGAATGGGTTCCCAGTATATACGAAGATGGATGTAAAAAGCTTGACACTTGCCACATTGATATCCTGCTCAATATTGTAGGATGTAGTATTGAAGACAAGGCTTCTGATGGTGGTTGCATGCTCCAAGATGAAGGAAAACCTGGACATGTTGCGTTTGAGCTGTTACTTAATCTCTTGAGAAGTCGTGCTCTGTCTGATTCTATCGAGTCGTACCTTTTTCAGCAAATTCTTGCTGTTGAAAATGGTGACTTCGACTATAATGATAAGACTCTGGCACTGTTGGCTCATACTCTTCTTTGTAGGCCGGGCGTGGCTGGGGCACAGTTGAGAGCCAAAGTTTATGTTGGTTTCGTCAGTTTTATTGCCGAGAGAGCACGAGTAATATGCGCCGAAGGTGCGAGTCTGAAGGAGTTGACTGCCTGTCTTCCCTCCGCTTTCCATATTGAGATTCTTCTTATGGCTTTCCATTTATCAAATGAAGCAGAAAAGGCCAAATTCTCAAATCTTATCGCTTCGTGTCTGCATAAAGTTGCTACCCCGTCAGGAATATGTGATGGTCCTCAGCTGTCCTGTTGGGCGATACTGATATCTAGGTTGTTAGTGCTGTTGCACCACATGTTGTTGCATCCAAACACATGCCCAACATCATTAATGCTAGATTTAAGGTCTAAACTGAGGGAAGTTCGTAGCGTTGGTAGTAATTTGCATGTAAGCGTTGGTGATCATTTATCTTCTTGGGCGTCTCTTGTAGCAAGGGGCATAACTGATTCATGGGCTGAAGAGGAGTCAGTCAACCATCTGATGAGTCAAATGATTGAC